TTTATTATTACTATAATATAATATCCGGTTTTTCTAGAAATCTATTCTTTCGGATTATATAATCATTTGTTATTATAATTATAACAATCGAATATTAAAATATCTTTTATTTAATCAATATTTAGATTATATTTCTTAATCTATAAAATATCAAAAATAATTATATATTTATTTAATAATATTAAATCTATTTTGATCTATTCGATATATCTATTTAGTATAATCATTTTGATAATATTAATTTCTTTATATATTCAACTATCAATTCTAGTTTTCTTTTTTTTTAATAATATTAACTAATAAAAATCCTGTTTTAATTCTATAAGAATTCTATTTTCTTTTACGAAATTGGGATTTATAAATATACTCATAACTCCAGAATCAATTAAAATATTAATTTATTGATTCTCTAATTTGATTTCTATAATTAATTATCCAATTCCTATAATATTATTTAATTCTAACAATAATAATTCAATAATTTGTTTTTTAATAAAAAGATTTAGTTATTTATATTGATATTTATTTATATTTAATAATCAATAGAATATAATAAATAATAATCTTATTAATTCTATTTGAAAATTTCGATAATAATCTTGGTTTAATATTTTTTTATTATTTTTATCGATTTTTTGTCAAATATAACAAATCCTGATTTATAATAGAATCTTTTATATATCTTTAATTTTTAAATTATATTTATTATATTTCTATATTTTATTGAAAAATAAAGAATTTATATTTACAATATATTTCCTAATATTATTTATCCCAATATTTTTCTAAAATATTATACAATAAATATTATTATATATTATTATATAAAATACTAACAAAATAAGATAATTATAAATTCTATATTTCTCGATAAAATCAAGTTTCTTTTCTTTATAATAATACTATATCTATTTTTCATTTAAATAATTGATTAGATACTATAACTCATTTTTTCAAAATAATTAATAAAATTCAACTAATTATTAATTCTTTTTGAATTCCTTATTTAATTCTTTATCTTTTGATTCGAAGTTTTTTAAAAATTCTTTTTTGTAATCAATATTGTTTTCAATATTAATTCTAAGATTTTGATTATTGATATTCAATTTCTCTAATTATTCGAAATTGAATTGAAATAAATCTCTTTTCAATAATCCTATTTCCCTTAAATTTCTTTTCAAGATCTTTACTTCTCGAAAACCTTATTTTCTATTTTCAAATCTCATTTGTTTTCTATCTTTTATAATAAATAATTTCTTCTTTTGAAAACAATCTTAAAATATATATTTACTTTTCTTATAGATATAATATAAATTATTCTTTTTATACCTTTTCTTTTTATTAATATTTAGATTATTTGATTTTATATAATATCGTTCGATATTATTCAATTCTATTAGATCGTTAATATTATAATATCTATTTTAATAATAAGGTTTTTAGAATTTCTTATTTTTTTGAATGATTCCTTTTTTTTTTATTCATTATTTGTAAAATCAATTATTAATAAAAATAAAGATTTCGATTAATTTAGAAAGATTAAATGATTTCAAAGTTTTTGTTAATTTGTCTTTGATGATATTCTTTAATCCTTTATAGAATTATGATTTTAAATAATTATCATTTTATATAATATACTCAATATATTATTGAAACTTAATAATATAAATTATAATTGATCCGATCTATCTGAATTGTTGTAATACTTTTTCAATTATATAATCGAAATCTACTTCTCCAAATACTTTATCAAATCCCTATCTGAATAATTTATAATTGAGAAAGAAATAATAAATCTCAGATTTCATATTTTTGTTTAACTGATTATCAATAATCTTGATCATTAGATTATTAAAAAATGATTCAATTTAATTAAATATAATTTTATAGAAAAAAAAAATCAATTATAAAATCCTTTATATAAAAGTTAAAAAAAATTGTTTATTAAAAATATAATAAAGATCAATTTATATAACAAAAGTTTAATATTTATTATAATCTTTATAAAATAAATCAAAGATAGATATTTAAATTGTTTGTTTGTATTTTATAATAATAACAATTTGAACAAAAGCTTTGATTGGATTGAATAAAGACAATTCGGTGGATTATTAATTGGAAGCTATTATACTATATATAATTTAACTATAATAATATTCAAAGTATAACAATCTGATCGAGATAATAATTATCTTAGGTTTTTATATAATTAGTAATTATAAATTAAAACTAATAATCATTGATTATCTATTCGAAAATAAATATATTATTAAATCAATTGAAATATAAATAAATTAATTGATAATTAAATTGAATATAAAGTTTTTAAATTATAAAATTATTTTGATTATATATTAATGAATATAAAAAAGCTTTGTAGAATTCTAAAACTTCAAAAAGTTCCTAAAGCTCTAAAAGCTTTCGAAACTTCCAGGATTCCTTATCACATAATTAAGATCAGATTATATATCCGAGCTTGTTAAAAATAAAGAGACCACATAAAACAATTACGATACAAATTTGTATACAAATCGCCTTGCTTTTCGATAAGGCCTAAGCTCATATAAACACGTTGATTGCTGCCCCTCAACATATCCTTATCTTAATCGTAAATCGTGATATATATATATCTATAACAGAAGGATCTATAAAATCATATTTAATCCTTCGATATATATATTCATTATATCGAAAAGAATTCTTTTTTGAAATAATATAAATACAAAAATTATCTTTATAATAAATATAAAAAGATATAATATCTCTTTAAAATTCAATTAATTTTACAAACTTGATTCGTTCTTTATATTTTTTTGATTATATAAATAATATAATAAAAGAAAGGAAAATCTATTTTACAAAAACCTTATAAATCAATAAACAAAATTATTATAAAAACTTGAAACAAATATTAAACTAAAAAGAGAATAATATTATAAAATAATAATCAATCTATTTATATAAATTTAGATTTTATTGAAAAACAAAACAATTTGTATACAAATTTGTATAATAATCGCTTTATATAATCTCCTTACCTTTAACAAGTTTGGATATATAATCTGATCGTAATTATATAATGAATTATAAAATCTAAAGGATTTAAAGAATCATATTCTAGATCCATTAGATCCTTATAATTCAATTAATAAAAAAGTCTATATAACTAAGAAAGGATTCCTTTTGTAAAGCTTTATACTCAAAATCAATCATTTAGTATACTTTATTATTAGTTACGAATTGCAATTATTGATATTATTTTAAAGCCCCTGCTTGACGCCTAGTTATAAACCATTCGAGGATCCAGGCCATTTCCACGTGATCTAGATCGCAACCCTCGTAACATTAAGGCTAATAATCACTAGTTATCCACTTGAAAATGAATTCGTTACTAGATCAATTAAAATATAGGTAAACTAATTGATAACTAAGTTGAGCACGAAGCTCCTAAACTATGAAACTATTCTGATTATATACTAATCCATTTCGGGAGCCTCCAGGAGCGTAGGTTCCCGTAGGCTCCTCGAGGCTCCATCACGTGACTATGATCAGACTATATGTCCGAGCTTGCTGAAGGTGGGGAGACCATATGAAGCGGTTACCATACAAATTTGTATACAAGTTGCTTTGCTTTTCAAGGAGGTCCAAGCTCATAAGGACAGGTTGACTGTTACCCTGTAACATTCTATAAAATGATTTTGTGATACTGAGTTTCTTTATAATTATATTACTTTTATAATTATTAAATGGATTATATTTTAATTTAATTATTTATTACAATTTACAGTTTTCATTATAGTAGTATTATTAATATCGATGATTTAGATATCGATTATTAAAAAGATATGATTTAATTATTATTTTTAAAAGATCTAATTATTTACAAATAAGAATTCAAGATTCCTAAAATAAGTATTCTAAATAATTATATTAAAATAAAACAAATGTTCTAGTTAATTAATTATAATAAAATAATTATTTTAAAGGATATTATATTCTAAAACAAAGATTTCTAAAGGAAAACTTTTAAGATAAATATTCTAAAAAAGAAAAAGTTTTAAAATTGATTATATAATAAAAAACTTTAGAAGTTTGAAAAGCTTTTAGAATTTTAAAAGTTTTTTGAATTTTTTAGATTTTACAAAACTTCTTTTTATTCATTAATATATAATTAGAATATTTTTATAATTTAGAAGCTTTATACTCAATTGAATTATCAATTAGTTTACTTATATTCTATTTGATCTAATGACGAATTCACTTTCAAGTAAATAATTAATGATTAATAACCTTAATCCACAACTACCAACCATACGAACCTCAGGCAGCCGCTGCCTCGACCAGATCGTTACACTAATATCAAAATTCTTAAATTTTCCACAGTCTGATATCTCCTACGTTCATCCTAATCATACTTACTCCGAGTATAGACTCTTCGGGCAAAGCAACAGCCATTAGCATAGAACGATTACCTCGTATTCGTAGCTGCTATAGATAATCTTCAGAGATATAGAGTATAACAAGTACATCAAGCACACCACTACCTCCCATTATAGTTCTTACCCGTAACTACTGACGCGAGTCAACCATAGAGTGTGTGTAGACACCTTCTCTTTGATGATAATAATCTTCGAAACTCACTTACATTGATGGGAGTCGATTACAATATGGGCACATATGAATTCTTCGAAAGGGTAACATCAATCAGTATATATAATTTATAGAATTAATATATAAATATATAATCAATATAAGATATACTTGTTAATGAAAACTCAAAGTTACAAATGATATTAGAAATTGCAAATTAGATTCTTATCGGACTTTTACAATATAATATCTTGTAAATTTTATTTACAAAAAATTTATAAAATATATTTTATAAGTCTATCCTTTTTTATTTAATCAAATTATCAATACTATATTATACAAGATCTCAAAACAATATCTATAAGTAATACAATTAATCAAAACAAATCATATCAATTTATATATATATCATCCTCTTACAAAAAGACACTTAAAACATCACTTCTAAGTCGATGATATCTCCCTTCGATGATTTATTTATATGTTAATAATCGAGTAATGAATTGAATGAATCGAATGAATCTATCTATAGCTTGGATAAAACTCAGCACTTGATTTGTTATCCAGATGATTCCCCTTTTTAGTATATATATATGTGTCTTTGGTAGGAAGGGCTTTCTTCCTAATGCAGATGCAAGATGCAAGATATGGTTTGTATCTGCAGAAACGTAACCGCATGGGTATTTTCGAGGTCCCAAGAAACCAATTCTTTCCTCACCTCCATCCCCATCATCAAAAAATCACACAGTCACCTCCCCTCCCTCTTCCCTGCTCCACCAAACCTACCAACCCCTCCATAACCCTCGGTCTCCTCACCCTCCTAACCTCCAAATCCCTCTCGACCAACCGTAACGGCACACTCGAACTAGCCCTATCACTCCTTTCCCCCACCTACTCCCTCCTCTCCCACCTCCCCTCCTTCTCCTCCTCATTCCACCCACTCCTCCTCCCACTATCACTCTCCCAATCCACCAACCCCTTACTCCAAATCCTGCCCTCGATATTCTTCCCCAAATGCGCCGCTATCCCCGATCTCTTCGGATCAATTGGTTTAAAAGGGCCAAAGAGGGGATTCGTAAGAGGATGAGAAATATACTGATCATGTGTATAGCGGGAGATATTGAGAGAAAGCGAGAAGATTTTTTCGATTGGTTTTGAGGATTGCGTTGATGTTGATGTTGCTGATGGATTTACATTGTTGGGAAGAGTGGGATTAGGTTCGACGATTAGACGATAGCGGACTGGACTTGCGTTTATGAGTTCTTGGGCTGCGGTTTCGGAGTTGAAGATTGAGATGAATGCGTTTTGGATGGGGGATATAGGGTGGTGCTTTTTATTTGTTAGTATATCCCATCTCTAAATCTCTCCTCCCTCTTTCCCCCATTCCCTCCCTCCTCTCCTCCTCTCCTCCTCTCCTCCTCTCCTCCTCTCCTCCTCTCCTCCTCTCCTCCTCCTCCTCTCCTCCTCTCCTCCTCTCCTCCTACCAACAAAACCCCCAAAATCCCAAAATCCAAAACATACCTTCAAACTCTTAAACATATTAACCTCACCAAACCTCTCCAAAACCCTCAAAACCTCTCTTCTCTCCGCGAACGTCCTCGCAGAAGGAAAGATTTTAACATGAACCGTACGATTTGCGACATTGGAACTAGCAGCGCGTAATGAAGAAGCCATTTTAGAAGTGTAATGTAATATGATGTGATTGAAAGCTCAATCGGGAGCTTTTTGCTATTGTACTCTGTATTGGCATTGGATGGTATGGTGGTATGCGGGGGGGAGGTTGTGAATGAATGCTTGATGGATGGGTGGTCGAGAAGGGGAAATTTTGATCAGGTTGGATTTGGATAGAGGTTGAGATTACGGTGACCGAGTGGGAGGGGGAAGTGCAAGTAACTTGAAACAATAATGAGTGTAAAAATTCCGAGAGTTTAATTTAAAAAAAATATCAAAACTCGATATTTCCAAATTATTCTAATTTAATAATTACAATTTAATATTTAATAAAATCTTAAAAATTAAATAAATTAAAAATTAATTTATTTTTTTAATTTACTAAAAGATAATAATTTTATAATTTATTAAAAAATTATTAAATATTTAATATAATATATCAAATCATAATTAAATTATAATAATTATACACAGTTATTTGTTGTTTATTAAAATTACATTATAATTTATATAAAACATTTAAATTATTTTATTTTTAAAATTAACAAAATATTATTTTTATTTTTATTTTATAAAAATTAAAAATAAAAATTTATTAATAAAATAAACAAAACCATAAACTTTTTAAAATAATTTTTTGAATAATATAAAATATAATATTGAAATTTAATTAAATAAATAAAAAGTGAATATATAAATTATTTAATATATATTTTAATTTTTTTATTAATTATAATAATTTTATATAAGATTTTTTTTTATTGAAAATATAATAAAATAACAACTTTTGATATAATTTAAAAATAAAAAAAATTACTTATAGAATTTCTGTTATATTATATTTATTATCGAAATAACAATTTTATTTATTTATTTAATTCTTCTCCCTTCTCCCTTTCCCCTTCCCCCTTCCCTCTTCTTATAAATCTCAAATCTCAAATCTCAAATCTCAACATACCTACCTACCTACCTACCTACCTACCTACCTCTCTATGTATCCTCTAAAAAAAAAATAACAAAACAGCAAAATAACCATCAGTAAATCACATGATCAACCTCGCAAGGGAGCCATACGACTAGTACATTCTAGTCTGTACCCCTTTCAATATAAATAAACTCTTTTCCTTTAGATAGATAATAATCATCCATGAACAAATACAAAAGATACTCCTATCCTATGCATTGCATCGTATCGTATCACTGAAGTGATACCAACAGTAACAAAGAATCCGCATCCCATCCATCCCACCCTCCTAGTCACCAAAAACACCAAAAACATCCAAAATCAAAACCTATCAAAAACCATATAAACGTATATAAAACGTATATAAAACACAAATTTCCTATTTAATTTCATTTATATCTATCTATAATAGAAATAGAATAAAAGTAGAATATATATATATATATTATAATAAAAGTTTCCAATTCATTCATTTATTCATTCATCAGATTAATCTATACTAATCTAATTAACAGCATTATATTATACGAAATACAAAGTACGAAATGTAATTATAAAAATGCAAGAAATATATTCAGTCTTTAAAGTAAATAAATATCTTTAGAATTTCATCATTGAAATCTCTCCTCTTCTATCTAATTAAACAGTCCAGTCTCTAACTGTCTCTAATAACCCAGGGTATATGATATGTTTTGAAAGAAAGTTCAAGCCCAGCAGCCGAGTAAATAAAGATAGGTATGTAAGAAGTCATCCTGTCCTATGCCAATTCCAATTCCATTACCGATTCAATTCCCAGTATGACTGAATAGCCGTGGGGCTCATCCTTATATTCATTCATTTATCCAACCAACCATCCATCCATCCATCGAGCCAGCCAGCCATCCATCCAGCCATCCAGAGTGCCAGAGTGCCAGAGTGCCAGAGTGCCGAACGCCAATTTTCCAACCTAAAAGTGAAATTAAATCTCGACAGAAACATTACTGCGACCATCCCAAACACATCAACAACCTCTCCCGCCCCCAAAAACACAACACCCAAGGTATAAAACCCCACTACTCAACCACTCTCCCCACCTTTCCCATCCTCATTTTCATTCTCGGCCCCCTAGCAACCTTCATCCTAACACCCCCCACACAATCCAAACTCGTCTTACACCTCAACCCCAATTTTTTAATCCCAATTGGAGTACTTGCTCTTCTGAGGGATAGACAAGCATCTTCCCGATCCCAATGATCTCCCTCCATATAAAGCTCATCAACATCAATATCATTCACAACGATATTTAACCATCTTCTCCTCGCCTTTTCACTTTCACTATCATTCCACTCATTTTGTGTACAAGGATCCACTACCATTGTCGACATTGGCGAAGATGCTAGAGTAGTTTTTGAAGGAGATGGATGTAAATTGCATTGAGAGTTATTACTCAACATATCTTCGACGAGTGAACTAATATCACGAATATGAGAGGTGGAACATTGAAGTTGGACGTTAACTTGACGTTGGAGTCTTCGACATGCTAGAACGCCGGCTCTGTAAGGAGAGGTAGGTGTACTTGGTACAGAATGTGTTGAGTCGGAAGACGAAGAAGATATCTCCGAATCTCCAGATAGGGAAGGTGTTGGAGATGCGTATTGTCGAGATTGAAAATTTCTTGCTTCTTCGTAGGAAAGTGATTGGTGATGAAATTGATCGATTATGTCATCCAGTGGTGTGGAAGGTTTATAATCATCGAAGAAAGGATATGAATTGTCGGAAGGTGATATTGGGATAGGATATGAGTCGTCTCTTGGTGATAGTTGCACATCATCATCGTATTGATAAGGATTGGTCGGGGCAGCGCCGAAAGTAAAGTTCTCGAACATATTGAAGATGTAAAGAGTAGAGGATAGAGTTATTAAGTCGATATTAAGTTGATATTAAGAGGGGGAATGTCGCGATTATAAGCCCATCAAGGGTTGAAATGTATCGGCTTCAACAGAAGGGGATCATGAATCGTGAAGTAAAGAATATGATGGCTAGTAAATGCTTGGAACGAATCGTAATAAAAATCCAAGTGACTAATATTTGATATATTTGACTCGAGTCAGCTTGTGTTGGTTAATTAATTGAAGGATTGAGATGAGTGATAAGCTTCAATGATAAGTGTAATTTAACGAGGGGATAGAAAGGCTTTTATGTTCTAAAAGGAAGATGTTGAGTGCCGTTCAAGCATTAGGAGAATCGGCCGGACCTTTTAAAAGGATCGAATGGTCTCTCCAAAGGTACAAGCTAGAAAGTAGAAGGCTTCGATCTGTGGCCACCAAGACCTTGGTTGGGCGAATGGAAGGTATTTCACTCAGCCTTAACCTAATTAGTTGCACTGTTGTACTAGACTCATCGATGGTTTCCCCCTAAGAAGTTTGGATCTGGGTGTTTGGGGTCAGGGATTAAAGGGTACCGGGGTGAATAGCTTAATGGGCTGCATACTGGGGACTGCCATGGTGGCAAAATGAAGCGTCGTTGATGATGATTGGAGGGGATCGAGATGAGATGGGCGCTTTGGTAGTTATCTGTGGAGAGCATAATCATGACCCAGGGAGAACCCTACCCTCCCCTACTAGGTACCTAATGTGATAAATTTCCAATCTCAGCAATCTGGAAAGTTTTGTTTGTTTTTTCCAGCTCGGAAGATGGATATTTGGAACTTTGTCTTAAGCTGGGAAATTCGGAAATGAGAATGATAGCTTATCTAATTGGCTCTTGATCCGATTAGTCCAAGTCTTCATTCATTATACTTTGTGCTCGCTCCTTTTATCACCTGTCATACTAATTAACAATTTGTAACTCTAGTGCTATCGAGATGAAAGTACTAACACTAGTGGCCATGGATGAAGGCTGCAGGTCTGGTCTGGGGAACAAACGCGAAAGAGAGACGAGCAAAACAGAGTCGAAATGGAAATGGTCTTAAGACATCCTCACCCCATTATGCAAGTCTACGTATAAAAAAGATCGGAGTCAGCGGAGAAAGCGGAGAAACTGTTCTAGGCAATGTCCAACTGTATGTTCGACTGACACCATTTCACATCTAGGTATTTATTGGGTAAGAATGCATGATTGGGTACGAAAAGCTAGACAGCTCGTAGGCGCTTTGTTATTTGGGTGTGAGCGGCAAAGGTATGCGTAGATGGGTAGACGGGCGTTTCGAAAAGACATGGCTTCTTCTTGAACCAGTTACTCCTAGGTAGATCGATTGATTAGAAAGAAGGCAAGGAACCCTCAGTTTGTCAGGTTAAAACCAACCCAATTATAATTGGATGACTACGGTGTACAGTACTTTTAAATAAAGTAAAAATAATTCGGTTTCCTTCGGACATGAAGGTTAAGACCACGGAAAGGAAGCTTCCCTTTTTTTCATTTAGCTGCTACATTTCTCAACAGGTAGGAGACTAGGTACAGGAGTCTCCTCCGGCCCCTACATGAAATGTCTTGAACGTTAAAATAATACAGAGAAAGGCACAGGGCTGAAGGCAATATTCCGAACAGCGCAGGTATAAAAAACAGAAACCAAATGCAAATGCAAATGCAAATGCAAACCCTGGCGTGTTTGTGGAAAAAAGATGACGATGATGACATTCCATGGGGCCTTTGCGACCTTGCGACCTTGCGACCCTGCGACCCTGCGACCCTGCGACCCTGCGACCCTGCGACCTCACTCCTGAGTCCTATCAAGCCTCTCATTAAAAAGCAAATCGAAATAGAGCAGTATTTGCCCCAAGCTCTCAACTGCGGGCTGCCTATCATTACCTATCACGTACTCTAGTCTGGATAAACCTTCTAGAAATATGTATCGAAGGTCTAAGCGGATAAGATATTTTTGAGTCATGTGGGTACCTTTTGATGGCCTTGAAGGTGCGTGTACTCCGTAATGGCAATTGTTTGGAGACAGCTACGGAGTGGCCGATTCGATGTTCAGCTAGAGTGAGATCAAACAGAAATGAGAATACTACACAGGCTTTTGCTTGTTTAAAAACTTATTCTCAGCAGTATTGAACAAACCGTTTTCCCATGTTCATTGGTTATTCAAGAAACAGAAGCACCCGTATGCTCACCATAGAAATCATCGGCCAGTTATTCGACAGCGCAATTCTGCACCGTTAAGATCTACACGATCTACAATCCTATACCCTGTCAACATGAGACATTTAATCTTAGCACAAACCTTTTTGATCCTTTATAATTTGATAGAATACTTGAGCCTAGAGTAAGTAGACTTATGAACTTATGAACTTGTGAAGGCATCGACGCTTCTTACATAAGCATTTCATGATAAATACACAAACACAAAGTGGCACATGATGAAAAGCCACGCACGCGTCAAGCCACATGGCACATGCACCAAAGTGGCTATGTATCCACCTTTACCCCTTTCACTTTAGTTCCTTCCAAGAATAGTAAATTGATCTCCATACCATTTTGCGACGTAAGAATTCACAAAGAGATTGCGAAGTTCTTAACAAACAGACGCAATTATTGACTTGATACGAATACCAAAACGAGAAACAACTGAAAATATCCAATCATCACGACAGTACGTCATCTCACGATAACCATCCGAATTGAAACTCATCACAAACCTTCCGACTTGACGATATCCACTCTCGCAGAACCTCATTCCAATTCGCGACAACAAACCATCACAATGCATTTCACCTCACTCTCCACTCTACCTCTCCTCGCCCTCCTCCCAACCCTCACATACGCACAAGCAGGTTTAGGTGGAATAGTCGTCACATCAGTAGCCACACAGATGGCAACCACAACGCCAGGAGCCCCATCACTTTACACGACAGATGGTACGACGACCGTCTCATATATACCGATATATACGCAGACGTTTGCTACGACGGCTTTGGGAACTTGGGCTATTGGACCTACGCCGCTGGTGGGAAGTATTGGGTTGGGTAGTATTCACGGGACGGCTGGGTCGATGAAAAGTAAGAGGGCGGCGGCTAGTGGGGTTTTTGGGGAAAGTCGTTAGGGGTTTGTGGAATGGATTGGATGAGGGACGGGGATGGGGATGGTGATTGGAGGAGAATGTGGTGATAGTGAAATGTGGCTGAGATGGTTTGAGAAGGGTGTTGGAAATGTGCCAGATGACACGAGATGAATTATGATAAGAAGTGAAAACGGAGGTGGAAATCTGGATACGATAGACGATGCGATGTGATAATACGACAATGTCAAGGGATATATGTCTTCACGAATGATGATGAACCTTTCGATTGAGTTTCCATCCTTCCAGTCAGCGCACGGATTCATCTCCAACTATGACGATTGATGTCGAAATCCTCATTGATTATCCATATCCATCTCAGATCAACACTCGAAAAGAGCGTCCAGTTCAGTAGTTGAGCGATTCATTCAAAATAACCTAGACAGCATTCAGCACATGATACATCACAGCGAACCGAATACTCACACCGCTAACATCATCAACTACCTACCTCCCACGCATCTCACACATATCTTCCACCACCCTCATTTAAACCAACCATACGCATCAACCTCACTAGACGAAAACCACTAGTAACTTTACACATGCAAAAGTTCCAAATCCGTTGACTAGATTCGTGAAGCGGCATTATTAGGAGTTTCGGCGCAGTCTTTACTTTATTTTGTTCTGCCAATTTGAAAACTTAGAGGCAAATGATACAACATCGGTTTTCAATTTTTCAATTTTTTTTACTTCTTGGTTTTGTGTCGATTCTGGATTTTGGTTTTTGTCTGAGTAGGTAGTTGGATGGATATTAGAAATATCAATTAGTTTATACTGGAGAGGATCGGAGAGGAGATGAGGATGGGGATGGTGATGGTGATGGTGATGGTGATGGACATAGAGAGGGGGATAGAAATAGTGATATCATAGTATATTGTTTATAGTATAAGTATATATTAAATGAATTAAAAAAAGATTAAGAATTATAAGATCTTACATATATATATATATATATATTTATTCTCAATTATAAAACTTCCAAAAAGTATTTTTAAATAACTTTTCATTTTCTGTTGATGGTAAGAACCACCACACCACACCACACCACAATACATCACATCACATCACATCACAACTACAACACGCATCTCCAAAACAGTCTAACCCTCCCACAACCTCACCCTCTCCCACCAAAAACCACAAGCTTCCCTCTCTACTTCATCCTCCCTATCCTCCTCCATTTGCACCACCACACCTTTTTCCTTGTCCTCCTCCTTCCCCCTCACAATCTCATTATTTCCCATTCCAAAAACAATTTTTGGTCTTTTGCCTTTTTCACCTTTATATTCCGGCCATATGATTCGTGTAGGATATCTCCCGGGGATTGCATTTGGGTCTCCTGTTGGGGAAATAATAAAAGATGTCCAGTAAGCATGCATTAAGCCTGCGATTTCTTTAATCGTGGGGGATACGTGTGTTATATCGGATGAGAAGACAGGGAATGGGGATTGATCTCCGTGAGTGGCGCCTTGGAGTATACTGCTATTTACTGCGTATTGGTATAGGTATACTGGTGATTGCTTTGGTTGACTGGAATTTGAGGGAGCATTTTCGTAGGAATGTTCACCGGAAGCGAAATAAGCCGTTTGGCGTACAGGGCTTATGTATGCGAAATCTCCGTATGCTTTATCGAGACGTCGATATTGATTTCCTACGCCGAAAGCAGTGTTGTTGAAGGCGTAGGGAGAGTTAGGATTGGATTCGGGATTTGGGTAGAGTGAGTCGAGAAGTGAGAGATCTTCTGTGGAAAGAGTGGGTAGGAGAACATGAAAGAAATCAATGAAGGATTTTCCGTTATTAGGCGCTTTAGGGACGAATAATGACCCTTCGTTGGTGTTATAACCGGTTATGATAGGAATGTGATGGTATGTGTTGTTTAAAAATGCTTGAATTGGTGGTATTGGAATGATACTGTTTGGACCAGGTCCATCGACGCATGGTTGGAAGGGCCAACGAAGAGATGGGTTGTAATATTCAAAGATTTGCTCTGAAGCAGCTTTTATAGATTTAACAGGGAGACTGCGAAGTTTTGGGAGAATTTCGCTGCGAGGATTGCTAGGAATGTCAAGCTTTTTGAGGAATTCTAAGAATTGGGTTTCGTGGAGGGGGTTGTCATAAGCATAGACGGCTCGAGCTGTTGGTCCCCCTGATTCGATGATTGCTTTAGCAAAGGGTAGAGGGGAGCCATCATTGTACATTAGATGATGGCCGATCTGTGTCATCATTAGAATTCGCAATGGTGTATTCAATATACTTTAGTAATTAACAAAAACTTGGGTACCAATGTTCTGTACTACAGTACTAATTTGGACGCTTTCCAGTTTGAAAAGCAGCGGAATTTCAATGGGGTTTGATGAGGGGTCTCATGTCAAACTGATCATTCAATAATGTAAGTCCTACAACACAAAACTGCGTATAAGAATTTAGAATACCTCATCATCAGACAGAATTTCAAACTATTGAAAGACCTAGATGAGGGTATATTGCTACTAGTGCCTAATCATGATTGTCACAATAAAAGTCAACTTACAGAATGAGCTCCAGCTGACGGACCCATCACCGTAACATTATCCGGATCACCACCGAAGCTTGAAACATATTTCTGCACCCATTCAAACAACAACTTTTGGTCCTTCAAACCCAAATTTAAAGCCCCTTCATCAGCCATCAACTTTGAAGGTAAAAATCCCAAAGCACCCAGTCTATACTCAAACGTGATGGCAATTAAAGGTTGCTTAGACCAACCCACAAGAGATTGTATCTCTCTATCATCTGCGTATCCAAAATTAAATGCTCCACCATGAACATGAATCAAAACTGGTAAACTCTCATGTGATGAATTTGAGTCTTTAGGGCGATAGATATTCAGATGAAGACAATCCTCACTTTGAGGTTCATTATCCGGGCCGGATATACATCTTGGAGCAGGTTTCGTGACATCAAAAGTTTCATTTGAGGTATTCACGGGAACAGGAGGACGAAACCTGCGGTCTCCTGTTGGTGATAATGCGTACGGTATTCCGAGGAATTCTTCGAGGATTTGTGGGTATTTGGAAGTTTGTTTTCCGATGAATGTTCCTTGCGGGGTTGTAACATTGGGTTTTGTAGAAACGTCGGAAGATGCAGGTGTAGGCATATTGGAGGTTTGTGTTATGAAATTGATTGATGTGCTTGAAGATGGGGAAATGGAGCTTGTTGAGTGTTCAAATTTTGCATTATCCTCATTGGTTGGTTCCTTGAAGGTATCAGTCTTTTCCGGAATCACCGGCTTTGGTCGTATTCTTTCCTCTCCGGTTTCAGGTGAATATTGCACTCGCCAGAAATAGAGAAGAGCGATGGTGAAGATGGAAATGGTAAAGAGAAATGCTAATCGTTTGCGCAAAATTATGTTTGCCATATTTGTTACCCCGCGGTCGTAGATGGATGGCGCCCGTGTTGGACTATTTAGATATTTATATGAGCGTTGGGTTAAAAGAAGTTCACAACAGTATTACATAACATGTCGGAGATGTGCAGTCAGTAAATATCGAAACATCGAACATTTCCCAAATACCGTTCCAACGGTGTCGCGGCGTGGTAGTTCTAGAAAAGGTTGTGGGAGTGCACGTGATTCTGATCGCAGTTTTAGATCGCACGAGCGGAGAGTCATTTTCAAGACGGAGAGTTCGTCATTTTGATTACTAGATATACATGCGATGATTATTAGAAAAGCAAGAAACCAGTGATTTATTAATTGAGAGTTAATAAATTTTATGGATTACAGTTAGTAATTTATCAATAGAGAAATTATAAATGTATTATTTTTCTGATTATACTTTAATCAAATCATATAATAAGATTTTAATAAAATTATAAGTTTTAATTTAGGGGTTTTTTTTCAATTTATAAAGATATATTATAATTTTATAAATTAAAGATAATAATTAAAAGAAATTTAAATCTATCTTTTTACATTTAGTTTGTTTTATTTATTTATTTTAATAAAATCAAAAGAATTTATTTTGTATTGAATGAAAATTATAAATATTAATAATTTTCAAAGGTTAAAGATTTTTATATTATAATTTAGAAATAAATCTACTGATTAAGAATTATCTATTATATATTAAAGATTTAAAATACTTATAATGGTTTAATATAGATTATAATATTGGTAATTCATTGATTTCTTGCTTTTATAAAATTAATTCTTTAACTTCAACCTCTGAGCTCCAATGTTCTTCTCATAAGACTTACAACCTTCAAATCAATACTATAGATTATTTCGCAAAGAATAATTCAATTCAGTTGTCGGCTACCATGGACTATACAATACAGTGGAAGGGACTTTATCGAGCTTTCACCAAGTTCCCAGTTATAATGGTAGGAGTTCTAAGATTCCCATCATTCTCTAGGAACGTCAAATTAAAGTCACGTTTCCTCCTCTGAAAATTTCCCTTCATATAAACTCCCAACTCATCCACTTTATATTGTTATAATAATTAAATTTTACATGTATCAGATACAAGATGTATTTAATATGTTATTGAAAGAAAAGTATAAGAAATTAATGAGATATAAGATTGCAACAAAACTCCAAATATTCTCATTCCAAATTTACACCTTTGGGAATTTACGACTTCAGCCACGAGAAGATATATTGATGAAATCCTGTAAGTTTTGATATGCAATTCTTAGGGAGAACGTTTTCGGTTCTTTTCAATCCATATACAGCATCTGAAGGGATTTTAGTCACGTTTGGTGAATAAGATACATGTTCAAAGAATTTATATCACAGGGTAGTGAAATATGCAAAAGACGAATAGAGATAATTGAAAGATACATTTTGGTAGGCTATTTTCTGTACCAGATATGTTGTGGGGGGAGAACTTCTGGGGTGGCAGCAGTATGTGTGGTAGTGGCGTGAGTTATTGCCTCCTTCCATGTTTACCCTGGCAGATTCAATACTGCTCATCGTAGTGAAACTTCATCGTTTACACGATTAAGAAGTCTAATATACCAGCGTAAAACTACCAGGTATATGATTTAAGTGATTTCTCGAACCAAAGTGCTTTGCAATGAATTCCATACACGATTCAGCGTAACTACTCACACTCCTTCCTTCCTTCCAAGTTTGGCCACGGCCCAAACAACTTCTCAATGTCTGTGACTTCCATTTTTACATCCATATGACCCAAATTGCTCCTTCCCATGCTATGCTAATTTGTTGACCCAAACAAAAAATATCTTCCTGTCTCAATGCTCTTCCAATTATCATCCAAAAAACAAGCACACAGCAACATCGCTACAAATTTTGCTCTCTCAACCTACCACAACCATCAGACACACACTCAAAGAAATCTTGGTTTTCTAAATTAAACATCAACTATCCTTGCTCTTCGACGCATTGCTTCCTTCTAGTCCCCAATCTTCATACACTTTGAGTGTTGCTTGTCCATGAAGATCGGTGTCAAACCTTGAGACTTGGCATGCCACGTTTCCTACTCCTCCTATCCTCTTTCTTTTTATAAAGAAGAGTGCTTAACGGATAAAGTGAAATTTCGAAGTACTCAAGAGGGGCATTTCTCAAGGGCATCAAGACTCATTCTAGTCTGAAGCCTATTCCTGAATCAGATTCTGGCACCTTGACTCCTGCTCCTCCTTCGCCATATTTGGAGCCTTTGACGCTGGCTCAAAAAGCTTATTGGACCTATAAGGATCTGAATGATATCTCAGAACCTTATTCTGGTGAGTCCATTGGTTGTGCGGTATATTTGGTATAGTTTGGGTGGAGCTTTTATGGTTTTGGTGACTAATTCTTGCACGACAGACACTACAGAAAAAACTTTGGACAAGCGCATTCGAAGTCTTCTCAGGGCATTGGAAAGTAAAATAACCTCCAGAGAACAAAACCCTTGACAGAAGGTTAAGTCTTCTGAGATACGCCTCCCGAGATTGTCTGTGGCACTATTTGTTTGGAAGGGTTACTACAGCTCATGCACAGAAGCCCATTTGAAGTCGACTGACCTGATATTGGAAACATACAATTCAGACAAATATTTCAGAGAAGGGCAAGGTTGGTAAGAGGAATAATGGTTCATTATGAGCAAAGAAAGGCACGGCTGGTGCTCAGAAACACACCGGGTGGAGGAGGTGATCCTCCAAGGTTGGTATTAAGGCAACAGAGAGAGGAGTCACCATTTCCAAATGGCAATAATACAACAAACATACCTTTACATATGGCCTATCTTCAACAACCTTATCATGGTTCTTTCCATAATGTGGGCCCTGGCACTTTACCATATGCGACCTTCCAACACCAGCTGCCAATGACATATAACGTTCCGCTGAACATGAATATGGCTGCTGGTCATGTAGCATTACGGACAGTCAACACGAGGACTCATCATCATAACATAGCTATCCAAGACGGCCGGGGTCCTGAAAATGGCGATGATATATATGCTGAGTGCACCCCGGTTCTCGAGGAGCGTCGAGATGAGAATACCGGAAGAGTTTCCCCCCGAGTTGCATTACGCACTATGATGCAGCAAACTTTAAGACCAAATACACAGCCCGATAAATTTGGACGCCAAACACATTACACTCAACATTCGCACTACCCACGAGATGCTTTTCGCATCAGTTCAAGCGGCGCCAGTGTGGAATCGGATATTTCAATTTGCCCTCCGATTGACAGATGCCTTGAGGCTAATATTAGAGAACAGCTTGCTCGTTCCGGTCTTCTCCGAGATTGTCCAGATCCAGAATACGTTAGCAGACCAATGGCGGTTGATCCTTCAATTATCTCTTGTGGAAGAGCCTTGAAGCAACTGGGGCCAATGAATCATCGCAGACCCCAGTACCTCTTCGGTCGAACACAGCCATGTGAAGAATTTAGATTTAATAGAGAGTTTACGCGGGCACCTCTTGTAAACAACAGCTCGCCCCAAAAGTTCCAGAAAAATACTGGAATCCCAACTTACAGAGCTAGTCCGCAGTCGACTATCCCTCAGATTCAGACGTACAGAGGTGTTGATTCAGTGATCAAAGAGCCAAAAAGAAAAGATAGCCCTCAGTCATACAAGGTTGAAGCTGGATCAAAATTCTTGACGAAAGATGATTACACTCCTACCAAGAGAATCATTGGCTACTATGTAGATTCTTCGAGCGACAGTCCTAAATCCGCTCAGAAACTTCCAATCGAGCCCCTTAGCATTCAGGAGGAGACAACGCCGAGACCTTCTAGGCAACCTGTCAAGGATCGCTTAGGTGGTGCCTCGGAACCAGAAATGACACAACCTCCCATCAGAGAGGGAAAATACAAAGTCAACATGAGTGAGGACATATCCAAGATATCGGCTCCTTCGACAGAAACTGTTGCTGAGGGACCTCCTCCCAAGCTGATTAAGTCTATCGACAGATATACTTCTAATCCAAAAGATTGTGTCCACGTTACAGCGCGGGAACTGTCAGAGGAAGAATCAACTGAAAGCCCGGACGGCAAGAAAGCAGGAGATTTACTTGAGGATTGCATTAGGTCCCTTGCTACGTGGGAAAAGGGTGATCGAGAAGTACTTCATAAGCTTTTGAAGGTTTTGAAAAGACTTGACGATGATGGTGACAATGATTTCAAGTCTATCGAGAATTTGAAGATTGCTCACGACACCAAACGTAGCCCGAGAAAGAAGAGGGGTTCCAGCAACACTCTCAACCCCGAGGCAGCATGCTTCGAAGACTTTGCGTCTGAAAGGGCTCATATTACACGCACTTACCATGAACGGCAAAGTACCTTCTGGAAGGAAGAAATTAACCCAACCTCCAACGAAATGTTACCAATGTTTTACCCAAAGCCGCTTATGCCAGCAGAGCCGGTTTGGATCAAGAGCCAGCCAAAGAAGCTCGTACTACCACCTCCAGGTCTTTCTATTCCATGCAAAGCACATGTTGGTCGTAAAGTGCCAGTCAAAACGACACTGAAGCAGCCTCTAAATGAGGATGATGAAGGAAGAACAGCCAAAGCTATGGACCTCCGTCTAGCAGCGCCACTTCTTGCTCGGTTTTACGAAAAGTATCCATTGACTGGTACGATATGCACTAATCCACCTTCGCCTCCCCCGGTTGCTGTGAAGAGTGCTGCGGAGATTCAAGAGGAGCTTGAGCGTCTATTGTTGCAAGAAAAGGAGAAAAAGGCATTTGCAAATCCTTTTGCTACTAAGCCTCGTGCATCAAACGGTGCTGCCGAACTTTGAAGCTTCGAAGCTTGTTAAATGATTGAGAGTGGGTAATGAATAATGAATCAAGAAAAGCGGAAGTATTGATTAACATAGTATATTATCCTTTTTGATGGCAGTAGTGTTTAGTGTTATTTTAAGATAGCGGCGATACTTTACGCAGAGCAGAGAAGCAGAGAGCACTTGTATACAATTATTTGTTGTAGTAGTCTTGAATTTTAGCCCTTGTTGGACTCGTGATTGTAAAATTCGTCGAATTTTGTGTATGATAATTTGTGTGATACGAAGGTTGTAGAACTTATGCATTTTCCATGACCTTACTCAAGGCCGCTCATGAAAGGGAAGCGGTCATTGCGGCCGACAGGCCCGCACCATTCGATAACAATCATCTTATCTTTTGTTCTTCAGAAACACAATCGCTTTTGCAATTGTAAGATCTTACCACTCTACATTTAGCAGCGCCGTCGATTTCGTGAAATCGTACATGTAAGTTTGGACTTCGTATGCGACAATGACTATGTAAATTTAATCGCCATAATTACAACCGCACAAAACTTGCAGCTCTAAAGCTACAGTATTTGCTACCCGTCTTTCTACCTACCATTCCACCACGATAACTTGTTCCTCAACTCGAAAATCAATCCACATATAATCTATAAACTACCACCAAAATGGCAACTCCAACACCAGGAAAATATCCCGGTGTAGCAGCTACACCACCCGTTTCAACTCCATTTTCTACATCTCATCTAGCATTCTCTCCTCATGGACCGCGTTCTGTTGTCCCATCTCCTTCTCAAATCAAGAAATCTAGTCCAGCAGGAACTTCAATGTCGAATCAAGGATATAATATGGGGATGGTAGGATTTGATAGTCCTTCTGCTGCATTAGCATTGGGGATGGGTGCGGATGTGGTAGGAGATTTGGGAATTGATTTACATGGAATTGGAGCATTGGGTGGAGGTCCGGGAAAGGATGAGGAGGAGAAAAGGAGGAGGTTGATGGCATGTATTGAGATTTTGAAGGTGAGTTTAATTGGGTTGGATGGCGGAAAAGCGAGAAATTATTTGTGGTGGTATGGATTGGCAATACTAATGTGGTTGAATAGCCAAATAAAGGGCGACTTAGTGAAGCTGGGCTCGAAAGATTAGCACGAAGAGTAGGATTAGAATGTTTATGGGAGGATTCAATGGGCGGCGCGAGCAATGGGCGAACACTTATTATAGCAGGGAATGCTCTCGCGCTCGATATCGATTTTGCGAATAATATCGTACAAAAAGTTTCGCTATCGTTCCCTGATGCGCCAGAATCAGTAACGAAACATGAGAAGACGGCCTCCGATATTTTGTTGAAGGATTTACAATTCGAAGCTGGAGAGAGTCCTTTGACGAAGATGCTAGATCGATTCGCGGCAAACTTGGAGAGGTTAACTATGTTGGATAAATTGAGCGTTATACCTGGACTTAATTGTCATGAGGCGGTTGCGGGGATATATTGTAGTTTACATAAACTATATAATTGGGAGTTGAGCAGGTTGGGGGAGAATGATATGCTGGGAATGGGGGATGAGGAAATTGTGAAGGCGGCGATGTGTATCAGGAGTGGCATACCAGTTATGCATTCAAGGAAAAGATTGGGATTGAGTCTGGATTATTGGCAAGAAAAACGACGAATTCCAACAAAGGAAAAGGAAAAGAATAGGAAGACATGGTCGTTATTGGTTGAAGTCGCACCATTACCTTCATTAGTAGTGGGGGTGTATACCCCTCTACGTGTGTCTGATAAATGGATATCAGATGATATTCAGAAAGCAGATCCAGCAGTCGACGAGTTATTTCAGGCAGCACAATTACGCCAAGGGCCAATTTTAGATTGGTTGGAACCTGACAATACTCTTTTACCGTCAAATTCTGATAATAAGACGGATGGCTTGGATGTTGGAGCACAAAAATTCCCAGAAGCTATTTTCGTTGCGAAATTTGATCCGCCAATTATAGTACCTTACGCAATCGCAATGCAGATATATCAATCAACCCAAACGCCTTTTGATTTTTCGGAAATCACAACGTTTGATGGACTTATGTTTCCGCTAAGTGCGGAGGAAGCATTGAAGACTAGCGAAACACAAGCCAGAACTATTAACATGGAGAGGAATGTTCCTGTTTGGGATCGAGAAGGGAAGAAGAGGATAGAGCAACATAGTAACACGTTGTTTATTGAGAAGATTGATTATGGAAGGCAGGTGGAGGAGGTATCATTTAGTCATCCAAGACAATTGGTGGAAATGTTGCCATGTTTGAGACAATTTGCCTTTTTGAGCACGATTTTGAGAAAAAGTTTTGGGGCGGAAGAAAATTCGAAATTAAAATCAAAGGAGAGAGATTCATCTAAAGTTGATACAGTCTCCAAGTCTCCAGAACCAGAAATTATCAATCCTCCGACTAAGAAACGGGAATTTGAGGATTTTATGAAGGGTCTTATTGCAACGCCAACGCGAACATCAACTTCCATAGCAAAACAAGAGAAAGGGAAAAAAGATAAATCAAAACATCTAGATGTTTCATTAACATTAACTCCGGTACCTAGAGTCCAAGTAGTATTTGACTTTAAAAAAAGAAGCGCGAATGTGGTTTTTGAAATTCAGGGGAATGGAGGCGTGGTTGTGGTGGATGAGAATGTTTTACGTGGCGTAACCTTGGAAGGGGATGATGTAGTAGGGGAGGAAAAGGGGAGAATTCCCACGAGAGATGATTTGGGTAGAGTGTTGGAGGTTTGTGAGGATTTGGGGGTTTGGGTTGAGTGGGTTAGGAGGAGGTTGTAAGTTGTTGGTTGTGGGGGGGAGGGTATTTGGGAGGTGATTTGGAGATGAGGATGGGAGAGGGGAGAGTGAGATGAGTGAAGAAAGAGAGCGGAGAAAAGCGAATATGGCGTGTATAAGTGTATTAAGTGTATGATACCCAGCGAGAGCGAGATTTTATAAATTTATCTATATCTATTCTATTGATTTATTGAATTCCTTCAATTCCTTCTTTCAGTATAACACAATATAATATAACATAATATAATCAATCCTTAACCTAAGCGAGTATTAATTAACAAAAAAAACATCGATCGATCTGACTTTCACATATCCTGAGATATTCATTTCATTTTATTTCATTCCACTTCATGTAAAGAATCACACTTCATCCTCATCCATCCATCCATCCATCCATCCATCCATCAATCAACTAGCTCGCCATCCATTCAAATACAATAACACAGTTAACACAGCTAATATAGCATTCGAATGAACAAAATAGTAGTAGTAGTAGTAGTAGTAGTAGTAGGTAATAGTAGTAGTAATAATACTAATAGCAAGATATAAACAACAATCAATCAATTAACCTTACTACCTACCTACCTACCTACCATCATCCAATATTCCATTCCATCCATCCATCCATGCATCCATCCTTCCAAACCGAATCCGCACCATATCCCATCCCTATTCCTACCCACCCACGTTCCCATTCCCGTTACCATCCTATCCTATCCTCACTCCGCCAAATAAAATAAAATATAATCATAGAAAAAAATCCATCGATCATCATGAATTACCAGCCAAATCATCAAATCTCATCTTATCTTTCACTCTTTCACGAGAAAAAAAAAAAGAATATCATCATCAAGCCAAACAATACGACAAAATCAACTCAACCATTTAAATAAGGTTAATTACCGAGAGAGAGAAAAAGACCATTAATCAGCTTCTGCCAATTGAATAATTAATTTACTTGCCAAATCCAAGAAAGGAAAAGGACTAGTAACATCTTTCTCCTCACACATCATACCATCTGCTGTTTCGTAGCCTGCGCATTTGAAATCCACAAGATATACACCTGGTTCCATTTCGTAAAGTTGAATGTCGAGATGCATGATGACTCCTCCATCGATAGAATCTAATCCATCATCTTTGGGCATCGATGATGGATGTGCTGGACTAGACGTTGAACTATTTAAGGAGGCAATGGAATGACGTCGGATATCTGTTTAAGGTTAAAAAGAAATTCTTAATGTGGCCATGAGATCACTTACCAGTTTTCTTCCAACGGACATGTAAGACCCATGGATCTTCTGGTAACTTATAGTTGCCTTTCTTATCAATACCACTGAACCTATTTTTCTTTGACGTGTTGTCATTCATAGAAGTTTCACGATGCAAAGAAGCACCACTCCCATTTGGATCATCGTTATCATCATTATCATCATTCCTTTTGTTCCCAATATTTTCACTTTGACCAGGTGTCCATTCATCTCCCACTAACCATTCAGCACCAAGCTTTTGAAGAGCTCTATAAATGCATCCAATTGCTTCAAGAGGTTGATTCCGTGAACGAATTCCAAATTGCCACTTGGTAGGTTTTGCCTTCTTTACAGGAACTGGAGTCATACCAGCTGGTTTCTTGCCTTCATCAAGTTTAGCTAAACTCCTAGAATGTGGATTTAATCGTCGAACTGTCTCCGCTTTTTCCGCTTCAGTCTGAGGTGAAGGTTCGATTGTCTCTGAATGAGAATTTGATAGAGTACTCTCCTGATGACCAGATTTATGTGTTTCCATGAACTCGTTATGGTACTGTGGAATACTGCTTGGTAAGATTCCTATTTTGCTAACATATGGTCGAACAAATGATCTATCAGTTCCAATTGAACTACTAGATCTAGGTGATACGGCATCGAGAAGGGGGCTAGGTCGAGGTTGAAATGGTGAGACTGTTGGTGGAATATTACCGGGTCGTTCCTTGACAAGAGGTGAAGGCGAATCAGGCATTGATGGAGGAATTGTTGAGTCATAAGTTGGAGGCGAAGGAATTTGAAAAAGAAGTTGATTTTTATCATCCGTGAGATTTGCTGTAACTGTTAATTTAAATCCATAAATGAAAATCATAAAGGAAATGGAACACCTACGATTAGCTTGCATCAATTTATTCTCTCGAACAATAAGATATGCATCTTTAATGGCCGAAGGTTCTTCTGCAGCCAATGCCTCTTGGACATCCTTAATACCATAACCCATAGTCTTACTGATCTTTTCAGTAACTTGCACATGCAATTTCTCTTGAACAGCGGGACTAGCATGAGGCGCTATGGATCGAGGATTAATAGCTTTTGCTGGATCGACTCCGGTATCAATAAATTCTTCCACCGGAGGTTGCAAATAAGCAGGTAAATTTGTGGTAAACCATGGATCATCTCGGATTTCCGCAATAGTAGCTCTATAGACCGGATTGACTGCCAACATCTTCTTGATCAAAGCAGCCGCTTCACGACCCATATAACTCGGAACATTATATTGACCCCTAGCAATTTTTGCAAACAGAGAAGGAATATGTTCGTCATCGAAAGGTAATCTTCCCACAAGTAAAACATACAATATAACACCACAACTCCAAACATCGACCTCCGGACCAGCGTATAACTTTCCGTTGATGACCTCTGGTGCTGCATAATTCGGACTTCCGCAACTTGTCTTGAGGAAATTTCCATCCGTCATGATATTACTAAGTCCGAAATCGGCAATTTTGACATTGAGATTCTCATCGAGGAGAAGATTCTCTGGTTTCAAATCTCGATGTACGATCTTATGTCTATGACAATATTCGACTGCGCAAATAATCTGTTGAAAAAACCGTCTTGCTTCATCTTCTCTCATCTTTCCATGTTGTACAATGTAATCGAATAATTCATTCCCGGCATATTCAAGAACCATAATAATCTCGTGTGGAGTCTTAATGACTGTATATCTAGCGATACAGAGTTAGCTACTAAATAGATAAACTTAAGAAAGGAGCATTCTCACAATTTGATAATATGGGGATGTCTCAAAAGTTGAAGATATTCGATCTCCCTCTCGACCCTGCCAGCCATATCACGACTAATCAACTTCCTCCTCGCAATAATCTTCAGCGCAACCTGTTGCTGTGTAACCCGATGAACAGCCAACTTCACCTTTCCAAAAGAACCCTCTCCAAGTGTACGAACGACCGAGTATGCGCCCACACGCTGCTCAGTTTTCTTCTGCGGAGCAGATTCCATCCTCCTATTCCCTCCATTTTGTGAATCCCGACGGGGGTTGGAACTGGCTTCCGAGGATCTATGTTGTGTGCGATGATTTGCGGAAGGTGCCAGAGATATTTCTAGCTCGCCGTCATCATAACGATTCATGGCGTTGTTTGTGAAGTATTCCAATGATGTTGAATGGTTGTATGTTGACTCGGGGTAATCGTTCCGTTGTCGTTGCTTTAACCCCACCAAGGATGATTTTTGGTGGCTTTCTGTAGGTAGATAGATATAAGCTTTGAATCAAATGCGAATCACTTATTGTGAGTAATAATTGAAGACTCAGAAATGAGGAATCCGAAAGATTTTAAGGGTATCAAATTTAGTGAATGATTAGAAAGACTCTTCCGTTGAGAAATAAACTTTTTGATAATCTTTTAAAGGAAAAGTTGATTTGTGGTTCCAGCTCTTCAAGATCAGAGGTGGCCGATGCGTGAAGCTCTAGGTAGGTCGTGTAGTTGTAGTTGACCTTAGCGATATCTGGGGAAGCTGAAGGGGATCAAAAGAGTTGGTGTAACATTGTGCACGGGGAGAGAAATATTTAGGTTGCTCTTGCTCAAGTATTGAAAAACTTGTTTATTGTTCAGATTTTCACTTCCATCCGAACTTATTACATGACATAGGTAAATATAATACTGAGATTTCGGTATACTTGTCTGGAATCTTTTATCTTTTACAAACATTCATGTAACGACTTCTCCAGATTCTGGATTCTAGATTCCACCAGATGTCCCTAGTTAGTTGAGACCCAAGCCACGAGACGCTCCCAACCTATTAATAGTGCCAAATCATCATGGGATAGCTGAAGCAAGTAAACTCAATTATATCACTCAAGACACGAATTAGGTTTGTATCAGGATTAGAGATCTACGCTTGACCCTGACCATTACTCGAGTGGCTGATTACATATTCCAATAGCTAGGGACCTATGCGTCAGTACTCATCCAAAGACTCTCTAGACTTTCCGCTTCCACGTAGATTCTAGGACGGACATGATAGAGACTAGGAGGGAGCCTACTGACGGAGTGAACTCATGAGACTATTTTTGAATACCGGATTGTACTACATAGCCGTTACAACGGTGTTAGTATTAGGCACATATATTGTATGTTTGTTCAGAGCAATATACTATGTATGTTTCCACTGCTTCTTACTTGCTTGGATAGTAACCCTGAAACAAATCCAGAGTGCATAATAGCATCCGACCCAATATCCCAATAACATAGCCCATCATCAGCTCCTATCCCATTCCACCCATCACTAGGTTCCATCTTGAAGTATATTCCATTTTGCTGCGCGTTTCTTTCGTTCACATGTCATATGCCCGGAAATACCTCACGGCCCTGCCGCTGACTAATACCCATCAATCATGAAGCTAGCTAATTGCCTAATCGAGCCATCTATGCCGATATCTTATCGAAAAAATAATCACTTACCTCCGTAGTACTTACTTGCTTGCACGCATCGCCAACAAACACCACTCTTATCGCTCAGCTCCCAAAAATGTTACTCTCAAGATCTGCAGCCCTATCGCATACATTGCGCACCATAAACCTATCGAGTAAATCTCCGCAGACCATTATACGACGCGCAGTTTCAACATTAAAGGAAAATCCGCATATAGTTTGTTGTCCCTCTTCTCTTTTCCTATTACCAACAATCGCAATTCCAATTCCGATTGTTCTTCTACAACACCTCCTCTCCACACCCACCATCTCAAGTCAGCTAACCTCCCTCCACTAGTACATCCACCCCACACCCACCCCAACAACCCACAAACCACGACCCTGAGCCTCCTCCCCACCAACCCACCCCTCTCTCCCTCGGAACCATCACCTCCCCGCCAACCACCCCAATAACCCCCTCAACCTTCACACCCAACCCATCCTTCCTCCCGTTCCTCTCCACCATCCTCTCCAAATACGCACATCTCGATTCACAACTGCAATCGCAAGCCGCCGCATTCGCAACCACATCTACACATTTCTCTTTAAGTCCACCATCTACCTATCGCCAATCTATAAAGAGTGCAAGAGGGAAGGATTCCGGAGCGCCGCCTAGCGCTAGTCAAGGTATGATTTCATTTCCTTTTCCCACGAGACATCCCTACTCCCCAAATACAAAACACAACTAACACCCCTCCCCCCTTCTCACAGGTGGCGCCGGCTCCAGCGGCCACAGCGGTTACATCCACCTATCAGACACGCGCTCACCCCCTGATTACGGCCGAATAGCCTACCCGGAAGACATATTCGGATCCCTCGAAGTCGACGCGACTGGAAATTTTGTCGCAGGCGATGAAGGAAAAGAGCCTGGAAACTGGCAAGACTCAGGAACCTACCGTATCGTAACACGCGAGGGAGTCTTCGGCCTAACGGATTTTCTAAGAGGGAAATTGGTAGAGGCTTTGAGGGAGGAGGAGAAGAAAATTTTGGGTGGGAAGAGTGCTTGATGTAGGAGATGGCGAAGAGGAGATGAGGAACCTAGTTAAAGAGAATGAAGATAAAAGACACAAGAAGAGAGGACATCATGCACAAATCAATCAATGACGTGCTCGAGGGTGTATATTATGTATATTATGTATTACGATTTATCACGAGGCTCTCTTCTCCAAAGCTAAACTAGCTAGCTGCGCTATACTAATAAAGATTTAAATACCTGGGGAAGGGAGAATCCGGAGAAAGAGGTGGGGTAACACTACTTACTACTTACTGTTAGATTAGAATATCCCCAGCTTTCAAGGAAGACAGGGTGGATAGATATGATGGGCACAGGCCAGGATGGTAAAAAGCATCAAAAGCGCCAATGACATGGATAGGATTTGGATATCATTTTTATTCAGATAGGCAAAAAAAAAAAAAGGTCAACCATCTACAATGCAACTATGCTATGCTGAAAATTTCAACGAAAAGCATTTTAACCCTCAAAACGCTTGAAACGAAAATAGACCTCATCGCCAAGCCATTATCCACTTTCTCCCACCCCAGACATGTGAAAATAATCTATTTCTTCACCTCAGTTACCATCGAGTCCACCGAACATCTAAAATCTGATTAGCCAAGTCCATTTGCCACTTGATTATGAAATAACTTACAGTCTCCATCATAATACCAGTAATTTGATATGGATCAGCATTTGAAGCGGGTCTTCTATCCTCAAAGTATCCGTAACCCTTGGCACCACACTCTCTTGGAATACGAATGGATGCACCACGGTTAGCAACACCATAAGTGAAACTATCGATAGAACCAGTCTCATGTCTACCGGTAAGACGCATGGCATTGTCATCTCCGTAAACTGCAATGTGTTCCTTGTGACGACCCTCAAGCTTCTTGATAGCAGCCTCAATGTGCTTCATGCCTCCCTCTACACGCATCTCAGCACTTGAGAAGTTGGAGTGAAGACCAGCACCATTCCAGTCACCTGGGATTGGCTTGGGGTGGAAAGAGATCTTGGCACCGAATTCTTCGGCGACGCGATTGAGGAGGAAACGAGCCAACCAGAGGTGATCACCCACTAAATAAGAGTCAGTCATGATTCATATTGATAATAAAAACAAGGGAGTACCCACTTTCGATACCGTCGCAAGGACCAACTTGGAACTCCCATTGAGCTGGCATAACTTCGGCATTGGTACCGGAGATCTTAATACCAGCATTCAAACAAGCCTTGTAGTGAGCCTCAACAATATCTCTGCAGAAAACCTTGCCAGTACCAACACCACAGTAGTATGGGCCTTGCGGACCTGGGAAACCATTGATTGGCCATCCATATGGTCTATCGGACATATCAAGGAGAGTATATTCTTGCTCCAGACCGAACCATGGCTCATGAGCCTTGTGTGCCTCCATGAGTTTAGCAGCTTCATGACGGTAGTTGAACTTGTTTGGGGTTCCATCAGCATCCCAACATTCAGTCAAGACCAAGATGTTTGGGGCACCACGGAATGGATCTGGGAAGATTGCGATGGGGCGAAGGTAAACGTCGGAGTTTTCACCGGGGGCTTGACCTGTCGAGCTACCGTCGAAGTTCCATTCTGGAAGATCATCAAGAGTGAACTGGCCACTCTCTGGAATCTTGGTAAGAGTCTATAAATAGAAATCGATATTAGTATGACTCATTTGAGATGTTTTGTGAATTTTTTTGAATGGAAGAGTGAGATTGAGTTGCGGCGCAAAGCCTTGGTGTTATTGTTTTGTTGAATGTTTTCTTACCTTTGACTTGGAACGAGTGCCACCATTCGCATCGATCCAGATGTACCTTTGTAAAGGATTAGATTTTGAAAGAGGGGAAACAATATTCCATTAATTAGCTTACTCTGCCATAGCAGATCCCTTCTGGTCGAGCGCCATGTACTTCATGAGCTATAATTCAAAGATCAAAGTCAGTATTCTTGTTGCGCCGATCGCGGGGCATTTAATTGGAGAGAAAGAAGAAAATTACTCACGTTCGCCGTATAGGAAACGGTTGTTGAGGAAGCCATAACTGCGGATTTATTATGAGAATATCGAGGAGAGAAATAAAAGAGAAGAAAGTAATGCTGAAGAGCAAAAGAAGAAGAGTATAAACTTGAACAAATATGTAGCAGACTTAAAAGTCCTGAGAGTGTAGTGTGGGGGATTTGGGGAAGAAAAGAGAAGATTGAAGGAGGAAGTGGAAGTGGAAGTGGAAGTGGAAAGGTTATGCGTGTTTATTAGTAGATTTTTTGGAATGAATGAATCTAACGCCTCGATTATTATTGTCAGCGTAAGACGTAGATAAGAAGTGGGGAATCGGCTTGTACGCCCGCCGCCCATACGCCTTTTCGAGACGACGCCAAATTTGCAGGGGCCAAAATTAAATATATATGGTAGTGGGTAAAGCGTAATTGTGGTGGGTGGGTAGTGGGTGGGTAGTGGATAGTGAATCAATTGATTAAATGTAACTTTTGTTGACTCTGCGGGCGGAGCAAAATCAACATCATGGAGGGGCTATGAAAATGATGAGTTTTGAATAAGTAGAGAGAGGCAGAGGCAGAGAGGCAAATGGTGAATGGTGAATGGTGAATGTTTTGAAGATGGGCAATGATTCATTCAAGACACTCAAATAACGGGTCTTTTAGGAATGTGTCTGATAGCAGAAAGTTGAAAGAAATTCAATCTTCCTCCATGGTGATAGGTTGATAGGTTGATTTTCTGTTGTCGAGGAGATCGTACTCCTATCCATTTTTGATATCAACCTTCTTTGTTCCAAACTCATTCAGTCATTTGCCCATCGCCCAATATCGACTTTCCTATTATGACCCAACCCGGCAATTAAGCCTTTGCCCAAGCTGTTGTAATAATGTATATATCCCTTCAGCAACGGGACACTTTGACTTGGGGACAATACCTACATTAGAATCCTGGATACCATGTACAAACCTTTTGAAGCACAACCTTTTGAGGCATATATTACTCGACCAAAAGATCAATCCTTGAACTTTCCCTGTCATGAAGAGTTATATATGTAAAATGATATGTAGCAACGACCTTGGCATCTAATCAATATAAGGCTTTTCCATTTAAAAATCCAGAAGGGGAAACCACATGCAGAAATGCTACCTAGTAATCCTCCTCTGACTGCTCGAGACTTTTCTTCCTTTGACGTTCTCTTTCCTCGCATTTTATTCCGCGTCGTCACATCCAGGGGTAATGCACATATACTTGGTCAGGTTCTTTACTAGTACGAGTACAGTTACATAACCCCGACGCGAGGGTAGAAGTACTTGGACATATTTGTCCATAAAAATCTGTTAAATTTACAGAAAACTGTGCTTCCATCATTGGATCATTCATTAACCACAAAGGCTGATATCTGACATTCGTCGCCGAGTGATTTTCCAACTATCATATATTTGACTCATTCGGATCAATCCCACGCGAAAGACGCATCAAAACGAGAGAATTTTTTCAGCCATATTCAGCCATCTTACCGTTAACATGGATAAATGCGTGTTAGGGTTTTCTTCAGCCTCTCGAATAATAGAAAACTGTCTTGAATATTTGTTGCACGACATGGAAAGAACGCAACTAGGGTCTATATAAACCCAGATATTGCAGATGTGGCAAAACGTCTGGTCTCTATCGAACACATACATTACTCCGTAAAAAGGTCCCCCACACAAACAATGCGCCTCTCACGGTCTCACCTATTCGATGATTTCTATCCCATGGCCAATCAATATTAACGTAAAAGGGTTTCTAAACTCCCCGGGTTAAGCTTTCTCTATCTGATACAAAACATTTCTACGGAGTACATAGTACATACCTACTCATGCTATCAAAGTGCTAGCTATCTAAACTTCTAAGGATCAAACAAAAGAGTGGAAATGGCCGAATCTATGCGTAACCTTTACAAATAGAATGCTTCTTACGGGATAGAGGATGAAGGTATTTTGACATCGAGGAGATATGATTCGGTTCAGAGTAAAGGGATGTCTAGCTCGGCCGCGATCTAAGAGTAAAGAAGTCATGGATTCTGATAAGAAACTTTGCATTTTGATTGGGTTGATTAAGATCAGTTCGTAAGCATCCCATCTAATAATTCCAATGCTGCCGTCCGATCTCGCCTATGATTTGTGAGTTTATGGTTGGATGAATTGAAGCCAATTACATGTAAATACAATTTGTCGGGTCGTATCATGTGATTTGGATCCGGCTCTAGATTTATCCCATGTTGAGAGATTATCCATTTTGATTCTTTTTATTTCTTCAACTGATTCAGAGATTGTTTCTCATATCGATCTACAAAATATCTTTCTAAATGGATGCTCATCAAATGATACTATTCGTATTTCTTGAGCGTCTTGGCAATGTACATGAACAACACATTCATACCGCTGTCTCCTCATACTCATTATTCTGTAAGCTTTACATTGCACAACTGCATTCAAATTCAAATTCATTCTGTTGGGGGCCAAGCCCCTTTCTGACACCGACTTAAACAGACGGAGTCGTACTTTTCGCGTGTCCTCGCGATACATTTCTTTGTTCTTATATTTGCCTTCATTCATCACCATATTTACATCGGAAACAGTCGGTTGACAATTTTAAACACTTTTTGTACCTTTTTACGTAGGTACCAAGACCTTCAGTACCCAACCTCAGCGGAAGTCTCCCTGAATTTCCTCTGGTGTTGTTTCTCAAAATACGACCGTACCGTCTTTCTAGAATCAAAGTTATTGCTTATTTTAGCAATGTCCTTCTCCCTTCAATACGGTGATACTACCCCAGAGAATTTCTAGAAACTCGGATGCGACATATCGTGTTCCACGACTCAGGGCTCACGACTCAGGGTTCACTGCTCCATACATTTTCTCTGTTCACGGACATCTCATTCGATCTCGTATTACTCTATGGGATTCAAAGTATCTACACCGTCTTCAACTTGTGAAACAAAATGTCACATAAATAACCTTTCCGAATAAACATTTCCGCAGAACATATCCGAGTGGACCGGCTATTATCGGGTTACAAATGGCATGTTTTACCAAAATGCTAATTTTTATTCCCCATTCGAGGATTGGGGATCTCCGCCCTCGGAATGTCTTGCATGTGGTTTCCCTCCAATGATTAGATCCTGATACGACGATCTATTCAAGTACCCGCTGTCATATGCAGGATTCCACTCGGTAAATTGTTCCGCTTCGATTTTGTCATACATCTTTAATCAGATAGTTATGAAGTCTGAGAATGAGGAATGACAAGTTCATCAATCATTTTGAATACTCCACATATAAACAATTCTTACCTCGCATGGTAACGCATTTTTTGCGTAGTTCTCGAAGGAAGACAATCATCATTTCCTGCCGCATCGCTCTCGTATCCTGCTAGCAACCACTCAGGGGGCTGTGCTTCGCTACACATTCCCCGTCATCCAGAAATTAGCTGCTACTTTCCGATTTTCTTTTTCTTTTGTGTCGACACCAGCTCTTAATATTTCATGAACTAATCATTTTATCTTCACCCTACCATAATCTTTCCTTCTCTCCCATTCGAACCAGCTCTCTCATGCGTCCTAACCACATCATGTACGACATAAGTCACATGCAAAGCGCATTCCATATTCAACCCTAATTATGCCTAAGTTTTAGCCATCTACAACGTTAGCACCCTGCATACATCTACCATAGAATCATATCTAAATACCAGAGGATTTGATAGACTTTTACTCGCTAGCTTAGTTTCTAAATAAAAGAAATTGATTTCCTACTAATATTGTAAAAGTGGTAAGTCGAGATACGTGCGTCCCGATAGCACGCACGCTGTGAGGGGGAATTGGAAGAGAAAGCTGATTAGATTATATCGTAATACGTTACTTATAGAGAAAACGAGGTTCATAATGGTTTTGGGGTTGAGGTTATATAGATTCAAATGTATATATGTAGAAGGTTGATTCTTATGAAAAGGAGAGGCAAAAGCTCTTCTTTTATATCTAATTACAAGAGGTCACGTGATTGGCTAGTTAAAAACCTCTATATGTGGCCTATAATTCCAACTTTCTCACAATATATATACGGTACAAGCTACAAAAATCGAGCCCTTTATAACCGAAGCTGGAGAGAGCTTTACAAAGCAGCGAAACTATAAGTAGCCTCGAAACCACTACAGAGAAGGAGATGGAGAGATGGAGAAAGTGTATTACTTTACTCCTACACCCATTCATCTCCTCAACTAAATAACTATTTGAAAAGAAAGGAAAATAGAGACTACTTCAAAGTTTGATATAATACAACACAACAGCTCCTTTATTTAATATTTTACTAAATCAAAAATCATAGATACATTAATACTATCAAGATAAAAGAAGATATTAATTATAAATAATTAATTTATTATCTTCTTTATATTTATTTTTAAATAAAATTATTCAATAACTTTATATTAACTTTTTATTTATAATCTTTATGATCTTTGTAAAGATTATACATTTTTAAATATTTATTTAATAATAAATAAATATATTAAAATATATTTCAAATAGCCTTGTGCTTATATACACTACCTCACGCTCGTTCGACGTGAAAAATATATATTAATAACAACGTCCAGTATATCATATAAAATATATAAAGAACAATAACTTCTTCATTCACTCTCATTCACAGAAAACAGGAAAAGATAAATACCAATTAGACATTCTTATTGTGAAAAAGATTTCATTCTTTCGCTTGTTTTTTTCATGCAATATATTTGCAATCATAATGATACAATTTCTCCCAACTCCAGTGTTTTCCCAGAGCTACGCTGTTTAACAATCTGCATTGCATCAATAGCTTTGATAACACTCCCAGAATACCATCTAGTAACTACATCAATCTAATCCATATTTTCATTCTGCCGTCCTTTGGACAGGAATCGATTGTCCATAGATATATACCTTCAATAAGGTACGTGCCAGTAATTCAGTCCTGAACGCCAAAGTCATATCATCTCCCATTCTCAATTCTCCCCTTCTATACCATTATCCCACTATCTCCTCTCATCATGATTACCCCCTGGTGGAGGCATACCAGGAAATCCTTGTCCAGGAGGCGGCATTCCTGGAAAACCTCCTGGTGGAGGAATTGGGAATTGAAAATTAGGTGGTAAGCCGCCAGGAGGAGGAAATGGCATTCCAGCGGGCATACCCGGGAATGGTGGCATAGGTGGCGCACCAGGTTGTCCAGGTAAAGGAGGCATAGGGAAACCTCTTGCGCCTGGTGGAGGAAATGGCATACCGCCTGGACCGGACGCTGGAGGGAAAGGTGGTGGAACGCCTCCGGGAAAGTTGGCTGGGGGAAATGGTGGAAAAGGTGTTGAGGCTGCAGGATTGTGGAGCATAGGGTTTGAGGATGATTGACCTTCGGCCGCGTAAGAGGATGTTATAGAATCGATTACGGATTGGGCTTTTTCGTGGCCGATTTCTGGAGTCGGGTGACGGGTTAGTTTGTTTATAGTTTGAGTATGGGATAGTGGGCAAGAGAAACATACGTTGATAATAATCGACGACATTGCGCAAATGGTTACGTCCACTGTTATGAGCTTTGCGCACACTCATTGAGTCATGAGTGAGGTAGACATCGCAGTAATCACCTTTGGAGATGTGTTAACAAGCTGTTTCGCAAAGAAGGAATTAAAGCTCGAATGTCGCAAGTATCGCGGCGCGTGGATTTTGTACTTACAGAAGACTGTGACATTAGTTAGCATATATCACTAAGTCGCGACAACATGAAAACTTACATTTTGGCATATTTGCAGTATTAAAATATCTCAATCTGTTGATATTGTCGTTGAAATTGAAGCTCAAAAATCCCCGAATCTAAATCTAGAAGTTTAAGCTTCGTCAGCACGTGATTCGCAGTTCACTCATCCCTGTACCCCAAACTTTACACGTCGTCTAAATATCTGGGTTGCCGCGATCTGGTTCTTAAGTTTCGAGAGCTACATCTACACATATTTTCCGAAGCTCCTTGTTTTCCACACGATCAATTCGGTTCCTGCATATCATGGCTTACACAAGGTCATTTCTGCAAACACTTTGCAGTTTCTTTTTGGTACTTGCAGTTGCGGAAGCACTGAAATTCGATATCGATGCTTATCACAAAGGGGACAAGAAGGGAGAGAGATGTATTAGGAATTTCGTGGCGAAAGATACTTTGGTGGTAGTTACAGCTACAATTGATGGTCATAAAGGGGATGGTATGCAAGTCGATATGCATGTACGTTTGCCTGGAATTGCTTGAAGGAAGTTAGGATACATGCTGATATGAACTATAGATTAAAGATGCTGTTGGAAACGAGTATGGAAAACCAAAGGATATTGTAGGCGAGAAGAGAATGGCCTTCACATCCCACGCCGATGCATCATTCGATGTATGCTTCTATAATTTTTTTACAGCCAGTTCGTTGCCCGCTCTCCCTTCATTTCCATCCTGGCTAGTACTAACTCACATCTAGCAAGCCGTATCCACAATCCTCGCCGCCATGTTGAACTCGATATCGATATTGGAGCTGATGCCAAAGATTGGTCTGCTGTTCAAGCTACAGAGAAACTTAAGCCAGTTGAGACTGAATTACGGCGCATCGAAGAAATGGTCGCTGAAATCGTTGCGGAAATGGATTACCTTAGACAAAGAGAACAAAAATTGAGAGATACAAATGAGAGTACGAATAACAGAGTTAAATGGTTTGCGTTTGGAACTATGGGAATGTTGGTCTCATTGGGAGCTTGGCAGGTGATATATTTGAGGGCGTACTTCAGGTATGTTTTTGAAATTGTCAAGAAGAGAGTACTTAATGCTAATTATGGGGATAGATCAAAGCATCTTATTTAAATATAAGTACGGTGATCGGCATGAGGGTAATGGGTCGCGGGGAGGGTTTCTACAGCGAATAAGACTTTGTTTTACTAGAGTGTGAAGACATTTGTATAATGGAATATGATATAAAAGCTATTCACAATTTTAGCATGAGGGAGCTGCCGTTCATTATTGGCTCTTGTCATATCAATCTATGTTCGTTTTTGAAGAAAAGTACTCGGAAGTCGAGCCTTCATATTCATGCATAGTAAAATTCAAATGCCAAGTTTTGTGTGCTGCAGGGGACATTTCCTGCATTGGCAGGAAATGCACCTGAAATAGAGCGGCCTTCTGAATTATATCCAACACAATTCTTTTCATTGTATATACAGTCTGGTCGCTTGTGATAGACGATGAAATGTCTAGCAAAGAGTAGTAGGACCCAGGCTGAAAAGGAGTTAGGACTCCTCCCAGACATCCCATTTTTGCTCTATTTGGCATATCGTCTCAATTCTTGACGAAACAGATACCTCGCCGCCGTTCAAGCTTATTGAACTCTCTCTTCGGCCATAATCCTATCGTTTTCTATCGCAGTCATGACAGTGCTCAGGTGTCACTATTGCGTCTCGCATTATGCGAATTCTACGGACGGTCCTATAATAAATGATTAAGTGTTATGAAGTGTTTTAAACCCCGCGGAACTACACTTATTTGTGTGCTGTAGTAATGGAGCTCTTGTCCATGGCAACTTTACTGGTAGATTGATCAGCTCAGGCTCCATGTTGTATTGATACTAATGCCTCCCATGACAGTCTAATCGGGAAAGAAAAATCAATAAATGTTGCTCACATATGTCTATCCCTTCTTCCCCAGTTCCAATTACACAAACTACAAAAACGAATATCAATCCCCACTAGTTCTCATCCGCAATTTCAGTATCATCTAACGCCATGCCTATCCTTTGGAAGTATTTCCTCTGACTTCCCGAGCGTCGTCTATGCCAAATGTATAACCTTCCGTCCTATATCCAAAAAGGTCATCTCCCTCTCTTTCCAAGCTGGCTCTTGATATCTGTTCTTTCTCCTCATTTCCGACTCCTTTCTTCATTGCTTTGCGTAAAAGTATCCTCAGGGGACGATTTTAGATTGAAGCTGTCCAATGTATCGATCATTGCTTTTATTACTCACTCGTTGTCGGTACCTGCCATTCGACCTAAGTAAATAGCGTTAACGTGGATCGGAATGTCGTAAAGACTGCAACCATTTGTGTACGTAAGCTGGTTATCACTGACATCTATAGGGCTAGGATTACTCATGCATCTCCATTTTGCGAAGATCAAAATTTTTTACATGACTTCCGAATAAGACCATGGTGGTGTGACAGTTGAATAAAAAGGATGGAGGTGCCACTAACTCGTTAGTGTGACAATCCGTACTATCAATGTTCTGGCATAGGCCGTACCAGGTTTTGATAGACACAACCCAGGGGAGTTCTCCAGATACTATTATGAATTGCCCGTGCAGATCACACTCAAGCATGTATAAAAAGAAAGTCAGTGCCCAACAAGCAAGACGGAATATAGACAATGCTGGATAAACATTCCGGATCGTTTGATTGCACAGAGTTAGAGGATAAATTAATGTCTAGATATATATAGACGGTAAAGTGTCGTGTGAGAGTAAACGCTCAACGATGAAAACAGGTCACAGTGGAGACTCTGAGGTGAATTATTGGTATTCAATACTGGCAATCAAGTCGCAGGTTGGAAGTAAAAATTAGTTGAATGAATTAATATCCAATTTTGGGTTTTTGGTTCTCTATTCTCACTAGGACTTTATATCTCTTGTGTGCCAAACTTCTCTCTCGACTCCGCTATGAGGTCGAGATCATGTAGACATTTTTCCAGTATTCAGGCCTAATTTTTCGTCTCCCAACCGCCATTTTGATAATTGTTTCAACTTTCCAGCGTGAAATTTTGAACTTACACACAATTTCAAGAAAATCAACCAAACCACCGCCCTGGAAAGGACAACTAAGAACAGCACTCCATCGCACCAAGATTAGAATATTTCTGTGCCGCAACTCGAACGTTTCGGTTACTTTCATTGCATTAAAATTCGAGGTCTTTTTAACCTAGTAAAGTTCGGGCGTTTTGTTTTCCAAAATAAGATTCCAGTCTGAACACTTCATGTTTTCGAGCGATTTCTCTTCCTTTCTCTAATAACACTGACAAAACCGCGCTTCACTTTCCTGCCAAAACATGCTCTATGTTCACTTCAGAGAATTTCTAAGCTTTCTCCGACTAGGCTTGCCAGTGTGTCTGTCGCTTGAGATTTTCGGAAACTTCTGAATAATACAAAAAAGATTCGAAAAACTTTTTCTTTCTGTTTTGGTGGCGTCCTGTATTACCGCAAGAAGCAAAAATTTGGTTGATTTAATTATAATGATCTAGTGGTAGATCTAAATACTTGTTGAATATATTCTTCTGGGTTTTTGAGAATTTTCTTTGAGTGTTAATCATATAGTTAATCTTACAATCCCCTATTCTCAACAACATTAACCGAACACTTCGCCTACTTTATACAGATAAACTAGCAGGCCGGTGTAGACGAGCATGCAGATTATCTTTGGAATGAAATTTATTCTAGGCTTCTTTTACATCAGAGTAGAGAGACGTGTTTTAGATAATATCTTCTCGTTCCTTGGCAACATTCAAGTAGCGTACATCTCATGTCTTCGTGGATAACGGGTGACATTCGGTGCAGTATGGAAGCCATTCACTAAAGATTAAATGAGGGAACTGTAGTAAGATCTGTCCATCACTTATTTTAGTGCAATAATCAAGTGTCGTTCATCCCACATCTTCGCAGGTATCCACCGTAAGAACAATGAGCCTTGTCTCTTCAAATTTGAACTTATTTGCAAAGATAATACTTTGCATTATATATCTGATTTCCCTACAAAAGTTTTTGCAATCAGCAGTAACGCATCAGCATGAAAACCAAAAGATTTGCCTCAAATTCAGGATTGACTCCGTATGATGGGAAACTTACTGTGGATGAGATTTAGGTAGCCCTCACTCACTGAACGCCTTTTAGACGACAGGTACAGGTACAGATACAAGTACGAATGACTCAAGAATGTATAGATAACACGCACTTCTCTCAGAGGAAATCGAAAAAGCTCGTAAGTAGGAAGAGTATGAGGCAAAAAAAGAGACACATTGCGTGATGGAGTGAGTTTCTGGGTGTGAGATTCGAGGACGATTAAGCTGGGCAGCGGGACTGGATGGACGAAAATGAAGGGTGGACAGGAGACTGATAGGTCCAAGACAACCACGAGAGTAAAATCTCTCGTTTTGCGTCCGGAATTCATGTATGCATCCACGTCGCAATTTATGAACGCTTTTCTGGATGTCATCCCAAAATTTCTGCTCAAAAAGCTTGCTCGGTGTTATTTATCATTGATTGTATAGCTACCTACTTGTAATATTATCATTAAACGCATAGTAGCTTATAGTCGAGCGGAAATCAGTGAGCATACCACCTTGTCCTTTCAATCGGGTCATTTTATGATGCTTAGCGGAGGAGGTCGTGAATTCTCCAAGAACGTATGGGATATTGGTGGAGGTCATCAAGGACTACCAGAATTTTTCCCCTTTTCCTTACTACTTCATACGTAGATAGCAGAAGGGATGATATCATGAGTCATTCCCTTGAGTAACAGAGTCAAGAAGATCCCCGGGGTTTAAAATGACAGCATCCTCAAAAACAGCGTACCGTTCAGAAGATCACCAGCTGTGCTAGAATCATACCAGCCGATTGTGGGAGATCATGATGCCATTCTCTCCTCGATATCCTGTTTATTCAATTCCCATCCGATGTTGTTGATCTATCCATGATCTTCTCACGCGGGATGGAAAGACCCCTCTCCACACTGCGAGAACGGATAGATGATGGATGATGGATGATAGATGGAAACTAGATGGATATTAAAAAGAAATTTTCGGACAAGACTTTTGATTTATCTATCTACTATATTAACTCTATATATATATAGATAGTAGATAGATGGATGATAGACAAATAATTATTTTGAGTGAATGATTATCAAAAGTCGAAGTTAACATACCCAGCCTAATAATAATATAATAAATATCAGATTGAGAATATAAATTTGTACTTCCATTCATTGATTGATTGTATTTGTCATCATCATCCATCTCAGACCCACATTCACCCCACCCACTAGCACCAACCAAAACCCCCACCCACTCGGCTAACCCCACCAATCCCCTCCAACCCTCAAAAATAACCACCAAAAAATCCAAAAAGAAACCACAGGGCACAGATGGACTCAAACCACCTTTGTTTTATCTTCAATCCAAACTCCTCAAAGTCTGGCGGTGCTGGGAATCGAACCCAGATTGAAACGGAATCATTCGTGAGAAAATCTATTGAAAGATGAACCACAACGTCACGTGCTACCATTACACCACACCACCTGTTTTGTTGGTATTATTTGATGAAGATTATTGGGCTTTTGCAAATATGTTGATTGAGTGTTGAGCTTGGTTGACGGCGCTGGATGGAGATAGATAGGATGATAGATGGGATGATTGGGTTAACGTTGTTTGTATTGTTGGATAATAATAAACTTGTATATACATATAGTAATATATCATTAAGATATTCAAATTCATCTCTTCAGTCAGCCATATAGAATCTCCTAATCGTTAAATTTCTCACTGTTAACAATAAATACAATGAGCGAGTTTCTCAATCCGATATTTATAAAAAGAATGTAATAAAAGTCTATTAAATCACATCTATAATTCGATAACCCCATCACTCAATGAATATTTGATTAATTACTATTCCAACGCTACTAAAACATCACATACAGGTATATGGGTATATATTCATGACGGAGAGCGAGTAATAAAAAGAACGTAGCTCTTGACCACCGGTGACCGCTAAACACTGACTGGGTATATTTAAAAAAAAGCCACTGTTTCCGCCTCAGAATTCAGCCCATTAGTCATAACCTCATTTCATGCCATACTTTCTCCACTCGTATATCTCGGCCTTGAAGCATTCTCCTCATGCATCACTGATCCATTACTACTTCCAATCTCCTTCATTCCTATTGCTCCACCAACTACTGATTCAAGAACCATTTTTTCCGGAACAACTGACAGATCTCCACGCTTTCCAAATTCCAGCTCCAACTTCTTCGCAGCCCCTACAGCACCAAACCAACTCTTCGTTTCGAGGAATATCAAATCGATTTCCTCCAAGTTTCTATATGCAGTTTCTGGATAAAGGAAATAGATAACTGGCATCATGAAAAAGTTGATGACTGCAAAAATAATGTAGGTTTTGTAACCAATGGAATTAAATGCAACTGGGGTGATCATTACAACCATGAAATTGAAAATCCAGTTGGCCGATGTAGAGAGACCATTTGCTGGTGCACGGATTTTGAGAGGAACAATTTCAGCAGGGTATAACCAAGGGACTGCGAGCCATCCACCTGCAAAGAAAATGTTGAAGGCGAAGAGGAACACGGTGGAGACAACGCCAGGCGTTGAACCGCCGATGCCGTTTTCGGAAAGGTAATTCATGACGGCAAGAATGACCATACTTGCTACCATGCCGACTGAGCCCCATAACATGGATTTACGACGACCGAGTTTTTCAATTGTAAAGGGGGCAATGAAGGAAGCAATGAAGTATACCGATCCGTTTCCTGCTGCTAGAATACGGGAAGTTCGACCATCGAGACCGATGTATTTCTCGAAAATTGTAGCCGCATAGTAGGTTATGAGATTAATACCAGAGATTTGTTGGAATACTTGAATAGTATATGCGAGCACAACACGATGGAAGTTACGCTCCGGGCCCATGGTAAATAGATCACGGTAGCCGGAATTGGCTGCTTCGGCCACCTGATCTTTGATCATACCGAAAGTTTTGCGAACACCTTCGTTATCTTCAGGAAGATCCGCAAGTGCTGAGAGGACTCCTTTAGCCTCTGCTTCTCGTTTTCTCAAAACAAGCCAACTAAAAGGTTTGTCAGATTGAATTAAGTTGGACATTGGAAGAAGATACTTACCGAGGGGATTCTGGAAGCTGGAGAATAAACATAAGTATTAGAACGGCTGGCAAAATTTGGAAAGCAATTGGAAACCTCCAAGATACTGAATCTTGCTCCACAAAAGATAATCCGAAATCAAGCCAGTATGACAAGGCAATACCACCTGTAATCATGGCACCTTGGAACATGACCATTCTTCCTCTCGTATGAGACTCAGATGTTTCAGAAGCCCATGTAGGAACTGTACTTGTATTCATGCCATTTCCTACACCAGTAATAACACGTCCAGCAACCAGTTGACCGAGACTAAAAGCACATGCCTGGAGGACAGCTCCAACGATCATGATACAAGAACCAAGGAATATCATGCGACGTCGGCCGAGAACATCTCCAATAAAGATGGTAACTATAGCTCCAAGGAAACAACCAAGATTGTAACTCGACACTGATATGCCTTGAATGGTGGATGTGTAATTGGATGTATCGCGAAGAGTATCGATTTCCGGAAATGTTGCAACGAAAGATGGCAGAGTCAACAATCCTCCCCTAAGAAGATATGAGCTCAATCCTGTAACGGTTCTGGGCGAACCCAGATCGTTTGATAGTCCGGACTAACAGACTAGATGTGAGCTTTCGATGTTTGAAAAGTTGTAAATCTTTGAACATAATTAACATTCAATTAATTCGAATATTCCAATGAATCAGAAAGTCACTCATTGTCAGACTGTAGTCCGGACCATTAGATACTGTGATTTGAATTGCAGTATACGAATGAGGTTGTTTTGGGAACACTTACATGACACCCTGGTCATAACCAAAAAGACTATGAAGGAGTTAGCGGTGGATACTGGCTACGTGATTCATGCCGGGAAAACACCGGAAAAGTAAAGTCTTCAGCAAGGAAAAAAGGTGGTTCACTCAAACCCACCCAACCCCACCTCCATCTTCTCAAATGTCGTACCATGACAATGTGGGTATACAATCTGCCACACACCACAAAATGTGAAATGAAAGGAAAACTCACGCAAAATCCAGTCCAGAAACTACTGTAATGGCGAGATTCAACTTGGAGCCTCTGAGGCCGAAGTAATTTTCTGAACCAAACATGGCCATGTTTCTCCGTTGTCTAACCGTGTATGTGTATACCGCTGAAAAGATATAAAAGAGTTGAGGACTTCCGAAAGATACTTATCAATCATCCACCACTTGACCCTCACAAGACGACTGACTGTACACGAAAATGAAAAGAAGTAAGGTGGCACAAACGAAAACCAAACGAGAAAACAGCAGATATGATCATTCTTATACATATGCCGGTGGAACTTGATCAGAAGAAAACTCTGTTCGCAGTAAAGCATTTCGGGAAGAAGTACACGCAGATCCCTCATACCTCCTCCATAACACAATATGAAGTAGTACTGTAGTAGTAGGTAAGTAAGCATTACGGCAGCACATAAGCAGAAAAAGTCGGTAGAAAGTTACTACCCGTGCGATGGATGTGAATCTTGCACTTGCCATTCTAAGGTCACATCTGCCAGCTCTTGGCTACAGTCACAAATACCTGGGGACCCCACATGTCACGCAGAACTTTGCGGAAACATGTTATGACCATGATTTCATTCGCCCAACCCCGCAGAGTTATTTGACAACTACCGTCCGAACCATATTACACTAAGCCTATATAAGTCAGTTAGATTTTCCGGACCAAAGCAAAGTGGATAAGGGACTTATCCGCTACAAAGATTCTCCCACATCTATAGGTATTGCTCGATGAAGTATTCTAGGAATTGAGTGTTCTAGGTGAATCTAGACAGTATGATAAGTATCTAGTACTTGGAGAATTTGGACTAAATTTACTCCCAATGCCAGTTTGTGTACGAGCTCGACTGAAGCAAGACGAGGGATAGACCACGTGCTGCTTCAGTATGCTCCTAAGCCAGGGGAATTTCCCTTAATGACATAACTAGCGGGGTCAACCTTTGCATATCTGTCAAAGCCAAAGGCCCATTCATTGCGCTTATTTAAAAGAGGACAAGCGGAGCGGATAGGAGAGAAGTTGGAGAACTTGGCGCTGATATACCGTGTGTTTCCGGGGGTGGGGAATATTTTCTTTACCTTTATATTATGGTTTTGACGCCCGCAACGTATCTGGCTGATCTGCGAAAGAACTCTATTCTTCGCATCGCAAAGCAAATGCAACCCCTTCATGTTGGCATTCCATTTGCGTCCAATCATTCTAGTGCTAGACGAAGCAACAACAAACGCTCAATGTCGCCCACAAAGAAACAGGAGAAATAGCTAGCTTAGAATGGTGATCCCATTGTTATGTTGCATTGTGAGCGGATTCCAGATTTTTTTTTCAATGTCAAGTACATCCCCCATTCTCTGAGCTCTCGGGGCGCTCCGATGTTACATTTTATGCTTACTGGTGAGGACGGGTTGCTATAGGCTCGCGTGTACAAGTGTGGTTCCCTTGGCCGCCAGCTCCGCACCAATTGAAGGAAATTTCTTTCCTGTACTGCAACCTTGTTGTTGTTGGCGAAGATCACGTTTGATATAAGTTATCACTTTTTGAATATTATAGGTAGGATATTGTGGATACGTCGTAACATCAATAGAAACTATTTGTCAGGACTTTCGACAGGAGGGGAGATAATTTCCAATCAATGTTGGCTCTTATCATGTTTGTCTGATGGCCTGATCTGTAAAGGAATTTGCTCAGCAGCGCTCTTTTTGTTGGAGAGGAGTTGCTTTATAGTGAATGTTTTGTAGTCAAAATATACTCCATGGGAAAGTCGTCTATACACTACTGAACCATCACTTTTCACAAATCCATCACCAACATACGGTTCTACCTTACCACGTCAATTGCTCAAATAGTCTTAAGATGCCATTGAAAATTTTCACCGCGAGAGATATTTTATAATATTGTTGTACCGCTGGACAATTTAATGATTGATCAGATACAGACAGACCTATAATTTATATAAGAAATTAACTTGGGAAAGGAAATATTTATTTAAGAACTTCTAATATCTTTTTTATTATTTTTATTAGAATGTTATATCTTTATTCAATATCATATTTAAGTATTTTATATATCTCTTTCCTAACCTGGTAATACAAAATATAAAATATGAATAACATAAGAGATTATTAATTATTCTAAATCTAGATCTTAAACTCATTTTCTCAATGAATAAATAAATTCGAGATTAGATACTCTGAAATCCTTTTGACAGATGACTGAGATGTAAGTTATAAAGTTACTTTTGATGTCTGATACTCTATAAGAGGTAATATAAGATCTCACAAATATATTGTAACATACCACAGTAACTTTCACTCAGCAACTTCATTACAGAGCACTAGCTTTTATCTATCAATGAAAAATTTTCTTTCCATCTATTCTCCATCTAACATTTTTCAATTTATCCAGATTGATAGAAAATTTTGAATTAAAAACGCCATTTTCGTCACGCTGATAACAATTTTACCCATTCTATCCATTCATAGATACCCCCATCTCATCTAAGCCCAGATAGCTCTAAACTTCTCATCAAATTCTGTCTTCAACTTTCTAAATGCCCGATAAACAGTCATCAACTTTTGATACTCTTCATCTTCCGTCGCTCCCGCACCACTCTCCTTTTCCTTCTCCAAATAATCTTCTTCCGCAGCCAATCTGTCCTCACCAGCATCCCAATCATCGACTACCTTCTTTCGACGCACCGGTTGAGCTTGCTGAAGTTCACTAGATGGTGTAGAAACATTTTGCGGAACTAAATCTTCGGCCATTTTCTCATCATTCTCGTTCTCAACGGAATCTCCTGCTCCCATTACATCGAGAAGTTCTGCATCGGTATCTTGGCCTAGGCCAAGATGTAAGGCGAGGGAAGTGGCGATTGTAGCTAGAACCATAGAAAAGTCGTTAAGTACAAACCAAACGTCTGATTTGCGGATACCATTGGCTTCCTCGAGAGGTTGTAAAGAACCATGCTTGTAGAAATCGAGGAGGTATGAATTTAAAGGTGATCTAGTTTCATCGGGGTGAAGCTCGAGATGGGGAATCACGGCTGCTTCAAGGAAGACGCCTTCACGGGTGGAGCTGCAGAGATCTTCTATGGTAGTGAAGGAGTCACCTAGCCCGGATAGTGCTACAAATGGTGATCTCGCCTGCGGACGGGGCAATGAAGGAAGAAACCCAATGGCCGAGTTTGTGTTACCATTGGTCTTGCTTGCTTCATTCGGACCGACTGGGCTTTTAGTGAATGGCAAAGCGTGTTCATCTTCAGTAATGTGTTGCTCAGCGAATGTCTTCACGTACGTAGAAAATACCTCCAAAGTGCTCTTGTTATGACCACGAAGTATATTAGCTGCGTCTTCTGGCATGGGCTCAAGATACACGTTCGATGGTGAGCGGTGGATCTTCTCTGCCTCTTCAGGATCGTCAACTTCTCTGACAACTTGCCGGCCGAAAAGATGGCTCAATACTAGAATCATTGTACGCAGTACATCTTCGGATTTGGTGTCGATATCTGCACAGAGCTTGTGGAAGTACTTTCCATTGAGAAGTGCTGGTGCCCATTAGCTCATGATATACATTTTTTACCATACAGATAGAGGAACCACTTACCATGAAATGCAAAACTCGAATTTTCAGTAAAGTAGAGATGCGAAACACAACTAGTGAAGTTGACAGGTTCACCTCCAGGTCCAAGGAGTGCATTGCGCCGCAAGTACTCTATGGAAAATCTTAAGTGGTGAAGGACTTGCTCTTTGAAACTTTGACCACCAAGATACAGTCTAGGCTGAGAAAGAAGGGAATTGATAGCTCTAACTGCATATGGCGAGTTCTTGGAATCGTTCAAAAGTGTGAATAATCGCAATACCAATGTTGTCGTGATTGGAAAGTGACCAGTAAGTTCAGGAAGTCGGGAACTGAGAAGTCGGCTTGCTCGCTCTCGAGAGATACCTTGGAATACAACGTTTCCGAGAAGATCAAAACCACGACGACCTGAACGACCTGCAGCTTGACGGAAATTCAGGGCAGTCAAAAATACCGAGTCACCACTAAAAACCACCTGCAAGATCGGTCAGTTCTGCCTACCAGAAGGAGATTTAGGAGAAGGAGGAGAAAGCTGTATCGGCGGGTAAAAGGAGCAGATATGAGGAAATGTCACACTAGGATCTGAGATCGGGGAAAAAATTAGGTACTTACAGTTGCACAGGGCATGTTAATACCCAAACTAAGTGTGCCGGTTGCAATGACGACTCTCAGGAAGCCTTTACGGAACAGCATCTCTACACATTGACGGTATTTTCGGTTCATACCAGCATGATGAACACCTATACCCCTTTTCAGCAAGTCAATTAAGTCCTCCTTAATCTCCTTGCGACGAAGTTGTCGAATGAATCCATCAAGTTCTTCTTTTTGCAAACGCTTTGGATCAGCAAACGAGAAATCAGCTTGCGGAGCGGCCGGATCGAAGAGATCATAGAAGGAAGATCCATCTGTTGCATCCTCGCGCATTCGGTCCATCTTTGATCCACCTTCGTCGTCTTGGTTTGTCTTCTTGGATGGTTTGGCCGGTTTACGAGCTTTTTTCGTCTTCATTTCTTGGTACTTTTCATAGCCGTCTATTAGTTTTTTCCAAGCTGATCCTTTCTTCCATTGTTCTTCAGCTTGAGTCAATTGGTTCAATAGAGTGTTCGCAATGCTCTCGCAAGCAGCACGGTCATAGTTGAACAAAATAGCTGGCAGGGCACGACGCTTGTGCAACTGATGCAATAATGGCAGGGTTGTTGCTTGAAGATCCAATGGGTCAATGAGCTCAGTCGATGGGCCAGAGGAGCTGGGAATTGAGATATCATCATCGATCTCAGTCTTCTCGGGAGTCAATTCCTTTACCACAATGGCGAATTGCGGTCGACACTCTACCATCCATTGAAGCAGCACTCTCTTAAGGCTCTTTTCCCAAGCGAATATATCCGCTTTTCGAATGCAGGGTGGTAATGCCTGTTCTGGGTTGAGTGATTCGGGAACATTGTACTCCTTGCTCTGATGTTTGACCATAGCTTTCCACAACGATAAGCAATCTCGAGGCTCAAGTGCAAGATCTTCGGGCATCCCCCTCGAAGGATCAACCAAGGACGAAACCGGATGGAAAGTTTGAAATCCTTGCAACCCATCCAAACCTAGACCAAGGCCGAATGAGTCTCCGAGACCCTCGAAATGAAACATTTGAGGCGGTTCGTACATGAACTTTCGTAAGTCGGAATATCTCGTGGAATGCTTGATCATCTTCAATTCAGATCCATTTGCTTTTTGAGTTTCGCCAAGCCAATCCGCAAATTGCTCAGGGTTTCCCACAGTAGCGGAAAGGGCAATAATAGGACACGGTGCTAACAACAAGAGCTGTTCCCATACCACACCGTCTTCAGACTGGCCGATAGAATGGATCTCATCAAAAATGATACGCTTTACTCGTGGAGCCCATGACTTCGCATTCGTTGGCGATAGAAGCATAATCTGAAGAATATGAGGCACAGTGACGAGTATTTGACAACCTGTAGGATTATTCACGCGATAATCTCTTGTATGAATAGCCCACACTCCTTTGCCTGCTTGGGGGAATCTCTTAGAGAATCGACCTTGAATATCATTGTTAGTGATGACCTTGGTAAGCTTTTTAATAAGAGGAATTCGTTTGTTTTATATTTTTGGTGCGAAGCAAGGTGATGTTTGCTCCTCAGCGAAAGAGTCAGGAGGAAAGGCAAAAAATCGATTGTGCTTACCTTGAACTTCAGCCGCAATTTGATTGACAAGTGCCTTCGTTGGTGCAACATAAACAAGAACTCCATCGTTATCAGCCCGTAGAATCTGCTCCATAGCATAGAAACTAATGAATGTTTTACCAGCAGAGGTGGGAGCCACCACAAATACACTCTTATCGGCATCTAATTGGTCGAGCACATCTCTCTGCCAACCATCCGGAATGAAGCTCGAAACACGAGCATCTGGCTTTGCATCAAGCATCCTGTCCATGTACGGACCACAGTGTTCGAGCTGGAATTCTGATTGAGAAAGGCCAATCTTCAAGGATAAAGTCGGGGGCGGATACTTGAAGGTAAAAGATAGCTTGCGATCAACACCGATGACTTTCGGCTGAGAGAAAGCGTCCGAGATTCCAACTAGTTTGCAAATCTTCTCGACGTGCTGAACAATCTCTTTTGTGATTGGTGCACTAGTAGTACATACGAATCTTACAGTTGTCCAAATCAATGCAACTACATGGTAGCCAGTCATTTTCTTACTCTCCTTGCAATACCCAGCCCACCAAGACAATAGACATTGGAGTATGTAGGTGTTAATATCCCCTTCAAGGATTTTTGTTCTGGCACCATCAAGATTGTTAAGATATTGTTTTGCACGGAGGTAGCGATTTTCATCGTTAGAGGTCAAATCAAGATCTTTCATAATCATAGACCACGCAAGGAAAGCTTTATCAGTCTCCGTGTCGCCTTTCTTTTCCAGGTTTGCAGCGCGGATCTGGTCAGCAGCTGAAAGACCACCACCCTTTTTTGTACCCTTCTTAGCACTGGATCCAGGTTTCTTATTCTGGAAGTTATTGTCAGCTTGATTTAATTGACCAGGCGTAATGAATGCATACATCACTTGCAGCTTCTTTCTTCGATTTAGGCGCTGGGTTTTCGACTTTACTCGCCTTTGATGGTTTCTCCTCAACAACTTTCACCAGTTGCTTGGGCCCCACCACGATAGTTTCCGGTTCGAGTGCCTTTCCCTTTGCTCCGGTTAAACTTGCGGCATAGGCAGTCATTTCGCTCATATAAAATTGATTGGTACGAAGAGGATTACTGCAGACAGCTTAGTACGTACTCGGTCATACACATGATGTATCAAAGATCAGCTCAAGGTAACGTTGCTTACCGCCATTTAGAGACTTTCTGTGCTGGAAGAGCTTTTGTGACGAGCGGCTTTTTGTGATTATGCCAGTGGCTTGTTTCTCTGTACAGTTTCATTGCGCCAAATTGTGTGGACAGAGACGCGTCTGTCTTGACATGGATGCACTGCAAGTGCTTGTTGAACACAGCGTTAGTGAAGGGTAAAACTGTAAGATCCTCTGAGCTTGAGTCAGTATCTCCAGTTGCAACGATTTTAACGGAGTCTAAATCAGAGCTTGCTTTCAAGGAAAGCTCTTGACTCGAAAGCTCTTTGGTCAGATTGCAAAGCACCAGCCACTCCTCGTGGATTGATTGAGGAAAAGGGTCTGAGGATTCGTCGCACAGAGCTTGTATGACGACGCGTAATAATCTGCCATCGACAAGATCATGCGTATCTCTTGTAAGATCATTCGCTTCCACAAATTTGCTCCATATTGGATTGTCTAGTATATTTTGGGCTGCTTCTGCATATAAGGACAGGAAACTAGTAATTTCTTCCTCGAAGTTTTCGTCGAAATCAATAGATGGAAATCGACGCTTTGCAAGGGGAATTTGGTCAAGTAGAACACTGTGTAATACGAGGGCGGAAGCGAGGAAAACATCAGATTGATTCCCCTTCAGGATATGAGACGCAGAAAGAGCTGAAACGCATGATCTCTCACTCAGATGTCCCTCTGCTAAGGCAGCAGATAGCTTCTTGATGGTTTCGTCGTCAATGACGGGTATCCTATCGGTGGTACCAGATTGTAAATCTTCCGCAAACTTTATACGAGCTTGGGAAATGTACTCGGCGAATGTAGAATTCATCAGTAGTTTGCGCTGGTTTGAGATGGTCATGCTTTCCACGATCATCGTAAAAACCTTCGAATCTCTGAACTCTATGTGGTTGATCAAAGCAACATTAAGCTTGTGGCAATTAAAAGACCATATCATCCCACGCAGAATAATCTTGGCTTCTTTTGATGAGCGAGGTTTCTTTGCTGTGGCCGCCCCATCATGAGACATGGCAAAGTGAATCGGTGTATCATGGAGATAACTTGAGAATTCTTGACTCTCCGTTGACGAGAAAGTATTGATAATAATCTCTGGGTGCGACAGTGGTAGCTTGTGGTGCAGATGCTCCCTAATTGCTGTGCGAGCGAGGAGATATCTACCCCAGTGTGTGGGTTCCACTCCTGGTGGTAAACATAATTGCCGATTCTCTAATAGTAAGGTTAGAATTGTCGATTGGGTTGGAATGCTCGAATATTATATGAACGCCCAAAAGCATAGTTTTGTAAGGGAACCACTTACCTTCGAAGAACGCAATATGAAAGTTGCAATGTCTCTTAACTAGATTCTCAAGGAATCGTTCTACTACATATACAGCATGTAGTAGTTGAAATCCATCTAATAACGTTAGCTCATGAGTCCTTTTGCGAAAATGGATTTAAAGAGAGCAGTTGGGTTGCTCTCAGGAGCCCTCCATATACGACACGCAGTGACATGAAGCTTTCGTGATGGTGTAGTGTTGTACATCAATTCGTATTGAAAGCAAGTACATGCGTATTGTAATTCCCGATATGAAATTCTCCGTGAAAAGCCAGCCGCCCCACGGATCAAAAAGCGAAAGATCAAGAGAAAATGACTATCTTTCTTACCTTGAAAATCAATCCTCTCATCTGCAAAACATTCTCTTAATAGAGAATCACCCTCAAGCAGAAACAACTCTTTTCCAGCATAATCCCCAACAAGATCAATCCACATAGGGCGAGTCTCATCGTACCAACTCAAAATAGAATTTGGAACGTGAGTTGTCCCGTGCACCTCCACAGCGACCCCATCGGAAGTCACCATATTATTAATATGGCTTTGTCGATGTGACAGTTTCTGAATTGTCAAGTTTCGTGTTATCGCAAGGATTTGTGATAATTGTATGAAGTTATAATTCTTGTAATGAGTTGTGTAGAGTCTGAAGAGAAAAAGTTGAGGCTGCGTTTGCTGGCAAACACTTTGTTTGCCTGAATGAGTTTCCAAGTTTGCATGTTAGGATTTAACACGTTTGTGCCTACCGTATTTTTGAAATTCACGTGATATAAAAACTTCACAATTCTGGAGCTTGAGCCGGCAGATTGTTTGACATAGCCATAGTAATATAGATAGATCACTGGGAGTAGTTCCAGTTTGATTTTACGACTTGAACCTTGGAATCATTATATTCTCATCTACTGTGATTTATTCATGATTTTGGATAATTTAGTGATCACATGATATGAAATAAGTATCTTGGGTTACCGACGTCGCACGGGCTTTGCAGTGGTTTCTTCCAATATGCAATGTGGAGTCTTGCTCGTTTCTTCAACGTTATCGAGTTTTCCTGATACCGATGGCACTGATATGGTACCATGTTACAAGCCCCTCCTGGCATTTTTAGAAGCATACACTATCGATAATCAGTCAATTGCAGAGTCTCCAAACTTTATTTAGGGAAAGGGAATAGTTTGAATTATCAACCCTCTGACTCGCAATTGCAGGACGTGCTCCTCGAATACCGCAGTAAGATTTTGTATTCGATCATAAGATGTTGGAAGACGTGGTAGCAAGTGCATTATTTCGCTATGTGCGGTTGATTGGATGTAAGGTTCGAGATATAAAAAGGTATGAGGCTAGAAGTAAGATCTTAAAATACCATGTACCTGCCTAGCTATGTAAGTTCCACAAGATTACCGGTGAAATCGGAATTTACCCTATTTGTCGTCGTCGATATGCTTAAGTCTGACATCGCCATGGGTAATTGACCTCGAATAACTGGCCTACGCGTACCAAAGATAAAGGTTACTCATGCACGTCTTGCGATTCTTCTTTGGCTTTAGTATCTTTCTTTGCAGAACAACAACTACTTGTCCTTGCTTTTATACCCAGCTTTTGAGTTAACATTGGGCGCTGATTGTATCATGGATGCATGCAACGAAACTCGAACTTGCCAGTTATATGTTGGCAATAACTTCGGTCCGACAATATCCCTTTGTAAACCCACGTTCGAATTCACCATACTCTTCGAGCAAGCCATACTTTCTGTTATTCCAAGCGTGATATTCCTGCTTCTTTCGCCATGAAGATTTTGGTTTCTTAGGATACCCGTCAGAAGACGAGTACGAGTCGGATATCAATCACAAAACCGATTAATTACATCCGTGGCATTGATCTCGACTCTCGAGTCAAATAATAGTTCTGAATTTTTACACTACTCCAATAGAATCCGAACACGCTTCCCGACTCCATTGTCCCGCTCTCTCATTTTGAACAATATCGTTCTTTAAATCCATCTACACTCATTAGCTTATGTCTTGCGTTTTCGGCTGCAGCTCTTGACATTCCCCAGGTTCGGACTTTGTATCTCATTCCTAGCAATCGTTTTCTCCTTTGCCTTGGCAGTCAAGGTCATATTAATGTGTCTTGAGGATGAGATAAGGAAGTATTTCTCATGGAACAATATCAAGCTAGAAATCTAGATATATTAATGATTAATAACTAGCTAGACTACTAAATACTTTATCAATCCAAGTCATAGATGTTTCATTAAACATTCTATTTTATTCATAATATTCATATTCCCCATCTCATAACTCCATTTCTTATTCTACCTGAACTGACACATTGCACATCGGAAAAAGAAACCATGGCAGTCTAACTACCCATAAATATTTTTTCTCAAACTCCAATTCTCGCCCTTCTCAATTGCATCAAGCCACGCCGTAAGCCGCTTAACAGACCACCCACCATCGCAATGTTGCACCGCTATTTCAAAATCCGCTTTCCCTGCTCCTTTCGTAGACTCTTCAATCCATTCTGGTGCAATTTTCTGCATTTCGTCTAGAAAAAGTGTGCGGAGCATGGTCGATTCGTATTCTAAAAGGTGCTCCCAGTAGAGATCGTTAATTCCTTCATTATCAAGTGCATCTGCTGCTGGTCCGTTGGCATCTTCCTCGTCTTCCGGAGCGTAGTTGTTTCTGTCCGGCTCCTCGTTTCTTTCCTTTCCTTTAGGGAATTCTGGGAAGTCGCAGGATTTCCATAGTGGGAGTGTGGAGACGCACTCCCAGTCGACGATTCCCGTGATTGTGCCCTCGTCGTCTATTAAGATATTTCGTGAAGATGAATCGTCGTGGAAGAGCACAGTTTGCTCTGGAATGGACTCAGTGGTAGGAAAAGCGCTGGGAAGAAGTTTAAGAAGTCTCTCAGCGAGGATTTTGGCGTCCTGCGCATCTTCAATCTCGTCTTCGTCGTCGGTTGTTTTGAGAATTCTTTCCTGGTCGTTAATGGCCAAGGTAAGACGAGCGCAGAGCCAGTATCTGCTGTTGGTGAATGGTCCTTTGGGCAGATCTTGTGTAGTGTGATCTCCCCAGAAGAAGAACATTGACACTATTTGTCCCAGGGCAAGTGACAGGTGTTATGAGTCTTGTGGTGTTCCTTTAGCACCAGCTAATAATATACTAGAAGACAGATGCCCTTTCACAAGTTGAGATTCTGGGGCAACAAACATGTTGCCAATAGCAGAGAACTTGTGACGAAAAGCTGGGCTTGATATTGTACGATCTGCTTGACCAGATTCTGTTTGGAATCTTGGGACAATTTCCTCCATTTCGTTCGCAAATTCCCACCAGGTAACATAGTCATTAGTATCCATTCGAACCCAAGCTCGTTCTCACTAGTATTATCAAATGCAAGGATATGTGATATTGGGATATCTGTAGTTTGGCGAATGAAGTTGATAGTTGCTACCTCACTGTTTGTTTTATTGGAGGGGTCGACAGGCAGTGTGACACGAACTAAAAAGCATCCGCTTTCGATCTCGACTTTGTATAGTTTATTGAAAGCTCCTTGAGCATAAAAGCTAAGATGGCAAAAATCATTTTCCTTAAGGTTAAAATGCTTTCGAAAGATTGATTCGACTTTTTGCTATATCAGGCTTAGATGTCCAACGCGGCTCGAGCCCAAATGTGTCGGCCACCCATTCCAGTCCATTTTGTTTGATCATTTTGTGGGCGCAAAGGAACAATGATAACAAATCGAGGGTGCTGAACTGTGAGATAAATAAACTGAGGCAGCAGTTGCAATCCGAAGCTCCATCAAATTGTGATCGGAGATCCCAAAATATATTGCCGTATCAAAACCAATCCGACTAAAGTTTATATGAGGCTGTATTTTGGCCTAGTTGTGAAGATGAAGGTTTTAAGCCCCGTACAATTCTGTGATTAAGAGATATTGGTATGAGTATTTAAGTGTGCAACAATCAACCCAATAGGTGTGCTTATCTCATCTTGGAAATGGCCTCGAATGAAGTTATGACCACAAGCATCAGCGCCGAATCACTCCTGTCTTGGTTAGGCCTTACAGGCTTTCACTTTTCTCCTTTAATGATGTTATTTATTATTGGGACAAAACCGGCTTTTCTTGGCCAAGATTTGTGATTTGAAGAGATAGGGCAGACAATCTCATTATAATATATATTAAGGGCTAGTTTAAAGAATATCAATTTCTTTTTATATTTTATATTTAAAAAACTTGTGATAGATATTATTTAATATTAATTAGATTTATTATCTAATATAAGTTCATTATATAAAAATTAAAAAACTCTTTTCAAACCATTTAAAAGATTTAAAAATTAGAAATATATTTAAAATTAATATTATTAAAATTAATATTATTAAAATTAATATTATTAAAATTAATATTATTAAAATTAATATTATTAAAATTAATATTATTAAAATTATATATAATTTTTTAAAATATTTTTATTTATTATATTAATTCAAGTTTAGAAAATATAAAACAAAGATTATATAAAATTGCTTTTTGTAATTTGAGAGAAAATCTCAAGTAAAAAGTATGAAAAAGCCGTTAATAACGAAGGACAAGGTATCATACATATTGAAACAGATCAAACTCAAATCATTTCCCAAGAATCGGATCCTACTCCCAACTGTGCATAGAAACACCAAACATCCGCTCTTATTGCGCGTCAATCACAATCACCAATCTTCTTGACTAAACCCGGACACCCGAGACCCCTTCCATAGATCCCTTCACTTCACTTCACCTCTAAACCCAAATCTTACTCACAACCTAGCCACCAGCATGCGCACTAATCCACTGACCAAACAGAGCCGGATTCCTCGTTTGAAGGAAAACTGTCCCCGGCCCCGTAAATTTACACACCAAACCCTCTCCACTGCTCAATCCACTGATAATACCTCCCGATGCTACACGCTCAAGTATGTATTTTGTGTTCCAGGCGACCAGGTGACCGTTATCGACTACGTAGCGTTCGCCTTCTTGTAGCTATCTGAGTGTTAGTTGGGAGGAAATGAAAAGAGTAGAGAAGCTATCGGCAACGGGAAAGGGGGAAAGGGGAGCGGGGAAACATACATCCTTCCTAATAATGGCGCCAAAACTACTAATCCATAACAAACCCACCCCACTAATCTTATAAACAAACAGGCCCTCTCCACTGAACATTGCTTTACCAATGCCTTGTCTTTTATACTCCTTGATGACTCCTTGTGTAGAAGCTAAATATGCATCTCGTCCCACACTCCATTGTTCATCACCACTTAATCGAATATTCGTGATATCTCCTAAAGACGAAGGAGCTAGGAGAAGTTCACCTGGACCAGTAAAAGTAGAATGGGTCATTTCACCACCAATGACAAACTTCTTCACGGAGAACTTAATTGCACCCTTGAGCGTTATGGTCGGAGTCATAGCGATCATTGCGCCTTTGGTTGGGTTAGCAAATATCCTCTATCTCATTCCCTCGCTCACAAGATTTCATTAACAAAAAGAATAGAGGAAAGGGGGAAAAACAAACCAGGTTTAACAGTCAACGGACACCCCATCGCCAACTGAATCGTCACAATACTATTTGTATCCCTGTGACTAATGCGATAACTCCCACCATTAAACGTGCCTACATCATCCTGAGTCGTACTTGCTCCTACAAAATGCGCTGCGCTAGGTGCTCCATGATCCAAATTAATCGTAAGACTTGTATTTAGGGCTGGTTTTTCAGGTGGGTAATCGCTTGTATTCGGATAGGGATTGGGATTGGAGCCTGGATGTGCATAATTTGGAAGATTTGTTTCTTGGGGAGAGACGGCAGAGGAAGATGCATAGCTTTGTGATTGTTGAGGTGGGGGCGTGTGGATTGGAAGAGTATGTTGACCACCGGAATAAGAAGGACGATGGGAGAAATTTGGCGGAGACCCATATTGTTGTTGTAGTTGTTGTTGGGGAGGAGTAGGTTGGGGGTTGGGGAGGGTATAGCTTGTCGGGAGTAGATGGAGGGGTGGGTAGTAGGCATGTGAAGATTGAGCTGGGGTCGAGGTGAGTGGAGCGGCATATTTGAATGAGGTTTGGTTTGGAGGCGGAGATGTTGGAGGTGGTGCGTATGATTGTTGCTGAGGTGAAGATATTGGAGGTGGTGCGTATGATTGTTGCTGAGGTGACGATGTTGGAGGAGGTGCATATTGTTGTTGCTGAGGTGAAGATGTTGGAGGAGGTGCGTATTGTTGTTGTTGAGGAGCTTTAGTGAGAGGTTAGAGGGGTATGTTTGGAATATAGAGTGGTATTCTTTTTCTTACCTCCATTCCCTCCTGGAGGAGCTGTCGAAGTATTAGTTAGGTGATTTTGCGAGCAGGCTGGCTACAGGTACTTACGAGGATAATATGTAGACATCTTGATTGATTTCAACGATTAAAAAAATCCAAAACAAACAACCAAAAAGATCCAAAGCTAGATCAGGTTATATTTGAGTTGTCGTCGTCGAAGGGCTGAGAAGCAGTCAGCATATCATACCATCGCAGCCATCTTACAAGATGCAGTACTCACCACTTCGATCAAAATCCAATATTATTAATAGTACCTCGAATTTCAAGCTTCACAGACAGCATTCAGACACGCATACTGAAGAAAATAATGCACTCAACATCTTCATCGTGAAAACAGCAGCTGCTTTTCATCATATAAACCCACCGTTCATCCCATGCCATCTGCCCCAAGCTCCTACAAACCCTGTTCAGGCCCCGGATTGGCCTGCGCGGTTCTTGGTGTGGGCTGTGCTATTTCAGTTATCACTTGTCTACCAATAATTAATCCAGGATCAAATTAGAAGCTTTGATCTTTTTATATTGATATCGATCGAAAAATGGATTCAAAATATCCCGAGCGCTTAAATATTGGATGTCACTTATATACTGGATGACGCGGTACAGATATATAAGCTAGATTGGAATGCAAAATCTAAACTCTGATGCTATCTTTGAGCTCCCCTTGTGTTTTAGTTTTGACGATATTTATACTCCTATAAAATATCATTGTTCCTCTATATAACTTCCACCACACGATAAATACCTACTTTAGTCTTTCCAACCTCACTACATTTCGCCCCCGCACGTAAGATTCCATTACCCTCTTCGAGTATGCTTACCAAGTATTTAATACCTATCCTTAGATACCCATTCCCTCTTCAAAAATTTATAATTATATATAAGTTGACAATAATCTTAATGCATGGTCTACTTTTATTAGCGATGCTCCCCGTGAGCTCCCGACGACTTCATATATTTGCAACAGGCATATCGAATTTTTAAACTTTAAAACTCTCAATGTTACACATTTAGAATGCTATTCAAAACTAAAAACTTTGGACACGGTATTATTTCCAAGAAGACTAGGGATAGACGAAAACTCTTTACGGAATTGTATAAGAAGCTTCCCCTTGATATATACATGAAATGTACATGTGCCAACATTCGATAGAGGAGATGAGCCATACACCGGAATGATGCTTGAGACTATTTGATCATTTAGTGTGAATCAGAACAATGAAGAGTGTTAAAGGTATTTAAACCTGGAAGGTCATTTAATTATCGAATCCACGAGTAACTGAGTAGTTTGTTGAAGATGCCATAATCAACTTCTCTTTATCTCTCTTACTCCCGCCTAGCCTCAATCCGTGTATAAACTGAGCCCAAAATATCCCAGCTTAAGCAAGAACCTGAACATCTACAACAGACCCAGCGCATATAGACAGTGAAATAGAGAGTAAAGTAGCCACAGAAGGAAGAATGACCTACTCATACGGGTAAGGTAAAGTTCCAAGCACGGCGCCTTGACATCGACTTGAATACACTCAAGACGAAGATCAATTCTCTACTTAAAGTCTTCAACGCTCGAATTTATCAAGATCAATGATTTCTTAAAGAAAATACAAATTTCATCATTGCTTGTTTGTATGCACCTTTGCTTCTGCTTCTACTTCATAGAGTATGTCATTGATCCATGATTGATATGTCGATTCCAACTTGAATCCCAATCCCACCACACCACAACAGCAGTCACTCTCCTGGCTAAATCTAAGTTCCAAGACATCTTTAGATATAAAGAACGTGATGATATCGATTCAAAAACCCAACATCATCAAACCCTCAACTTGCATCCAAGGTATTTTAATCTAATCTCACACATCCATCTCCCTAGCATCCACCTCTCAAACCCCAACAAGCAGTGAGAATCCAACCAGCACTGGTATGACCCTCACTCAGTGTATGTACAAGCTCTCAACAAGAACACTATGACGAGCTCACATACATATCCATCCACACATCATACAACCCGCTCTAATCCGCATGAACCCCCTTCCCATCCTCAAAAGGCCCGCACAGCATACTTCCTCCTACACAAACTTCAACCCAAAATCAAACATCAACCCAACCATCAAACTCAACACGACCACCCCAATTATTTAATTAATTAAGCTTTGTCAATTCCACAGCTCCACAGCTCCAGAGCTCCAAAGCTTCAGAGCTCCAGATCTTGTAAGCCTGTCCTCACCTCATGATTTATCTCTAACAAAAAATATCAAATATCAAATATCAAAAGTTGGATGTGGAATGTGAAAGCTAAAACCAAAACCAAAACTAATATCTTTCTTTCTTCCATACATCCAGAATCTCGGGGGGAAGTTTAGATGTTCAGATGTTCAGATATTGAAAATCAAGGGATATTTATACTTCCCAGCTCTCTCTCTCTCTCTATCCCCTCTCCTCCCGAATATGGATGTCTCATCAGAGAACCAAGGACCAATGAAAAGATATGTATGCTATCATCGTTATCACCATCATCAAAAGAAAACATATCAATCCGACAACATGCAAACCCATTAGGAATCATATAATTTTCAAATTTGAATTCTGAAATTGGAATATGTTGCATCGAATCATTCAGATAGCTAGCTAGGTAAACAAAGTAGGTAGAGCTATGATACATATAGTGGAAACTCTTAACCTTGCTGCCTTCTTCTCTTACCAACTTGTGCAGAAAATCCAGTCTTGATAGCAGTTACCGAACGCCTAGAACCGCAAGAATTGCAAGTGATGAAGAACAATCTGTTTTCTCCCTTGTTCAATTCTGTATCCGGGGATCGACAAGTCTTGCATGTTACATACTCCACTGTAAAGGATGTTAGTAAAGCTTTTAAAAATAATAATGTAAACGTACTGATGTATTTCCTCAAAACGTTCTCAATTTGCTTTTGTTGAAAGCGACCCTTGATAACCAAACGTCTGCTACCATCAACGGAACCGTTGGTACCCAATTCAGCGAACAGATATTGAGTAACATGTTCATCAGTTCTCTTCATACGCTTGCAAATCTCGGCGATGTTGGCGAAGATAGTCTTCTTGTTTCCTTCACGCAGACATTGTGGAGGAGGAATCTTATAACTCTTTGAACCGGAAGATGCGTGATCGGGATTCTTTTGGGCGAGCAAGGTGAAGAATCGAGAGAGAAGTTGTTCGTAAGGAATTAATTTCGTCTCATCGTGTGCCCAGATACCAGTTCCCTTCATCATATCACCTTCATCGACCGGGGTCTCCTCAGCAGCCTTCTCCCCATCATCGTTAAGATTCGCGGCCGCGAGTCGAGCTGTGAAATCATCTTCGCCATCCTTGGGCTTCTTGCTGCTCTTCTTCTTCTTCTTCATAGTCGAGAGGTCAAGACCACCATCCGCAGCAGCTTCATCACCTCCCTCCTCACCCTCGTCCACCTTCTTGCTCTTCTTCTTCTTCTTCTTCATCAACGACAAATCGCCCAATCCATCATCTTCATTATTTGCGGTCGCTTCATCGCCATTGCCTTGGAAAGGATCAGTAAATGCGCCCAAAGCCTGGGAAAGTGGCGGCGTACTAGGTGAGTGGGACTGCGCCGTCTCTTTAGTATCGTCGTGCCCGTCTTCCTTCATTGTGACTTCTCCGTTCTCGTCTACGATTGTAGTTCCGTCGCTGAAAGCCACCGATTTGCGCGGCTTGACATCAACCTCCTGATACAGTGTTAGAAACGTGAAATTGTTTGCCTTAAATCAAAGCAAGATTTAGGTGGGGTGAAAGTGATTCAGAATTGAAAAATCAATGAGAAATCGTAACTTACGTCGGCCATGATCGCGGCAGTGAATGTCTCAAAATTATATTCTGACTGTGGTGTTATGCGTATGGTCCGTCGTTTTTATACTCGGAAAGTGATATGGTGGTTCTTTCTTCGAAACAAAAGTTTTGGAAACTCGCCCACAGCTATCAATTTGATGACTCAAACCGTGAAAGCCGTTCTAAAACCTTATAAGTTAGGCATAAAGAGGGATCAAAAGGCCGTGACACGTGACTGCATCTAACACGCCAACGGAAGTCGTATCAAATGGGCGCCGAGTTCGAGCTCCAAGTACGAAATAACTAGGCATTTATATCCCTCCCAAAGACTCCTCTCGCCCCTCAATGGATCGCCAGATCCCTCTTTGGCGATAGCGATTTTCATTTTCTTTCTATGCTTCTTCTAGCAGCTTAATAAACCCTTTGCACTTTCCACATTCATCCATCTACCATTCAGCAAAAATGTCCCTCTCTGCCTCAGATTCATACCTCCATGCCTCCGCCCATTCTCAAGATCAACTCGATGAGCTCCACGAATTAGATTCTTTGCCTTCCTCCATTGCTAGCTCTGATTATGCCTCTTCAGACGAGGGAGAAGAATCCGATGCACAGAAGGAATGGGAAGCCAGTTTGCAGCAGTTGGAAATGATGCTTACGATGGTGATTGTGCCATGGGTTGGGAAATACTTTGGAAGGAAATTTGCTTACTGGAGTATGTCCTCCTGCTTTTGCTGCTGCTTTTTGTTTTGTTTTCTTGCTTTCTTTGGATTTCTGTGGGAGGTGACAAGAGGAGACGTGAATTATCTCCTCTTCTGAAAAGATTATAAATGCAAGGACATTGGCTAATAAATCCCCGTTATCTGCAAATAGGTTGGGCAAAATATATGACATGGAAGTATCCAGTCACCGTCGAAATAACCAGTAAACCAGCCTTTGAAGGAGCTGGAGCCGTAGAAGCTGCAGCCTCATTATGAGCAAAGCCTAGGGATTTGAGTCTAAAGCCAGCGAGGCTAAAGCAAGCACATACGAGAGAAAATATCCACGAATGCAAATCGCAGACTCGAGGGGAATATTCGAGTGAACTTGTGAATACGAGACTCATGAGCATGAGGCCTGTGGATTAGAGAAGTCAGGCGGAGAAGTCGCAAGCATCAGATGTCTTATTCAGAAGAGAGTTCTTGGTAAATCATCAAAGGGCATCCTGGAACAGCTATTATGGCATTGGGATTGGCGTTTATAGACGATGCATATGGAGGTACATTGCCGATATCTGATATCTTGGCTGGGCACATTGTTTATAGAGGGATTGCTTGAGTGCAAGCAAGACATGTACATGATTTAGCTCACTCGGTACATATGAATGTGAAATTTACACATTTTCGACGGGATCTTGTTTTTCATGAATGCACATCAAACAATTAGGAACAATCTTTGATTGAAGTCATACACATCTCTTACCCCTCATTTCAACGTCTCTATGAAACCAACTTCGCAATTTCCCAAGGTTAATTCCTTCAGTAACGCGTACATTTCGATAGAATATTACTCAGTATATTAAACATCGAATAAAATTGTTCATTAACTATGGTATTATTAAGTCCATATTCCCGTTTATACTGTACACGTTAAAAATCCTTCCGAAGTACCCACTTGCCCCTCCTTACGTCATAAACATAAAGACATAAACATCATTTACAAGCTTTACTCCTGAACACGACATCAAAGAGCAATCCCTTATACCCAACCCTCTATCTGTACTAACCGCGAATAGCGGACTTTCGCCTGAGCTTGGTTTGAGATATTGATACAGACTCATATGTCCTGTATTGAAGGTTTGTTAGATGAAGTTCTCGGAGCAGCGGAGGATGGGGGATAAAGGATGAAGGGAAACTACTAACCTATCGATCGCCAGTTCCTCCTTAGACTTGGGTCATAGTTGGTCCGGTACGAGCGGCACTACGACGACGCATGCTTGTACTAGAGCCCTTATTCATGAAATCCGCAGCAATCGACGCAGTGAACAAAGCAAACGAGAACCAGAAAAACGCCGTAGCAGCTTGAAGCTCACGGCATCGACTCGTTGAGCCCTGCGTTAATTGATTGCTATTGACATAACCCTATATGATTATCAGTAAAAGTATCCAGCAATACACGTCGGAAGAACAAACTTACTCTGTTACTACAGCTGTGGACATGCAGATAGCCAGCTAGAATAATACCAGCCAGGAGATTGAAAACCAAGGCAGCGCTATCCATAATCATAAGAATAAATGGGTGTGCAAGAGACTCGACGAATGCAGCTGCTAGACCATATAGGACGACGATCATGGAGATGACAGCTGTGAACATGGCATAGTTGACGCTATTGTTGCCGAAACGCTGGATATCTATTGCCGCGGCGATGAGGGCGAGTGAAATAAGTACCGTGATAAATTGAGCACTTCTCAAACCGATTTGTGCTATTGAAGGCATTTTGATATTGATGTTGTGGGTTCTATTCGAGGAGGAATTATGTATGTTTGTATGTATGTAGGTATATGTTTGAGAAATATGAGCGTATGATACGAAAACTGGCTGCTTCTGGTTGCTGATATGGAAAGTTGTATGGAAAGCAGTAGCATAAAGAAAAAATAACCGATTTCTCAAGAGGGGGTCCCAAATGTATATGGCAAGTAAGAGTAAGCTCTACGCTAGAAAGCTCTGATTCGTGTGATGATGATGATGGTGATGACTCCAGGGTTAATTAGTTTTTGGATTACTTTTCTTTCTGAGGTTTCGTTCCTTGACACGCTGTGTTTGGCGTGGTGTTAGGGTGTTTATTGTTTATGACGATGCTTGATGGAAGCTTGCCTAGATCGAGTCCAGTGTGATGTTTATCAATGTATGGTATAGGTGGGTAAGGAAAGGTGGAATGGTCCTTGTATGTATGGATTGTGCGGGAGGATCGTGGGGTATTTGTATTTGACATGTAATGTTTGGTTTGGATAGAATGAGTGATAGGTAGGTAGGTATATGTCAAAGAAAATAACAACAAATCGATGAGGATTTTCCGAGTATTTATTTGAAAAAGGTATTAGATGGAATGATTTCTTTTTTCGTGATGTTGAGCTTGAAAGAAAGTGATTCCCAGATTGTAAATGGAAATGCTCCCATCATTATGTGGCGTCATATTTCAACCTTACTACTGTAACCGTGTGTGATCGATCGGATCAGATAGACTACTTGAATAACCTTAATAATAAGTAACGCAAAATACCAATAACAGTTATTATCAAAGTTTTCTTTCTAATTACTTAAGTCTTACTCTTACCTACTTACTTCCTTACTTCCTTACTTCCTTACCCTTACTTCCACTTCCACAGTAAATAATAGGGTTACCACCTTCACAATATTCATTCTTCTTACCTGCTTGAACATCAAATCCATAGATTTAATAAGGTTATCCTGCAAACATCCCCCCTACCCTACCCTCCACAATAACTTAAGATTTACATTCCAACCTACAGCCCCGAAACAAAGAGACATCTTCCCTCCTTTCCCTTCTTCCACACCCCCAAACTTGGAACGCATATCGATGAAATCATCGGTTTGGAAACGCCTAGATCATCCTTGTATCTTACTTTGTACCCTTCCGTACCTAACTAATCCAAAATATAAAAACCCCGCCCAAAAAATCACAAAGCAAGAAAATTGTCCAAGCTCCGTGGCTGTGTATTCTGGTAGATCTGGAGAACGGATGCGCGGACGGTGCTCTACCTAGGCAGGTAAGGTTATGGGTCTAGGGGTGTTTCGGTAGTTGTGGAAACCTTGGTTGGTGGCTTATGCTGATGCTCATCAAAATAACGTTACTTCCCCACCAACAGTGGAGTTGGATTCTCGAATATAAATACTCGAATATAAATACTCGTTGTTTATCCTACTGATCTGGATTTATTAATATAATAATATTTAATCCCATTTTCAAAACCATATCCTAGCTCTTTCTCTTCTCCTACTCTTAGAACGACATAAAAAATGCGATTTGTGAGATTCATTAAGTACCGTACCTGCGTAGGTGGGAAAATCGTACTGAGGTTGCATGGAAACGCAATCCATATTTTGTTATCTAGGTTGTAGAGCTTACAAGTAAGTCTGTTAAATAATGATGATCATTGACGGGAAATTTTGCTGCCGAGCCACGATCTTTAGTTCTATGAGCTTTTAGCTCTGTGGATGAAATAGATGGAAGGGATTTTAACGTTGTGTAATGCTGCTAGTATTACGATTACATATAGCTTGATATTATCTATAGAAACCTTGGAATTATTAGATATCTGGAGTAGCTTTCCATTACCCATAGGAGCTACTAAGTATATGATCTAGGATAACTTTTGGCTCTTTTTCCATCGGTCGGGCGCCTGGTATACCCGTATAATACGAAGTACTGGCTTAGTCTCTTCAATATCAAAACAGGTATTCATATAGTACAGTAAAAGAAGACTTTCTTCGTTCATTTTCAACCTCGGGCCCGTTGCTGTCAGCCCTCTGTACATATCGAACAAGATAATCTCCTCCGATCCCGGCAGAAATGGTACCGCCAGTTATTAAACATCCGTTAACAAACCACCACCAACAATCCTTTACATTCTTTAAGTTAACCTTTTTGATCATGACAGCCAAAGTGACAGCAGCACCACCACATCCACCAACAAAAAAGACTGGTCCTGCTCCAACAGCAACACCGGCTGCTGTCAGCAATCCAATCTGAGTTATGGCGAGCCCGGTCAAGATTTGTTTGGTTTGAGCATCATGTCGTAATGCGATACTTTTGATTCCTGCTTTGGCATCATCTTTGATATCCATATGTGCATATATCATATCGTATAAAACCGTCCATGCCACATTCGACGCATACAGAAATCCAGTTGCTGTCAAAGCAGCGCTATTCGAGAGAAGATCAATTCCAAGAGCAGGAAATCCCATGATTGCGCCCCAGGAGAATGTCAACCCCAAGACAAATTGCGGATAATGAGTGACTCGTTTAGCGAGCGGATACGCAGCCACGAAAAGTAAGCTTGGGGTAGCATAGAAGAAGCATTGGTAGGGAAATTGTAGAAGGATTGCAAGACCAGCGAAAAGTTGACCTCCAGTGAAGACCAAGGCTTTGAATGGAGAGACGGCTCCTCGGGCAATGGGACGTAATCGGGTTCGAGTAACATTTGGATCTAGGTTTCGATCCCAGAGGTCATTGATAGTACATCCTGCACCACGCATGATCAAAGCGCCGCTGAAGAATAAAAGAGATGTTCCCACGACAGTGAGTGGTGAGACCATGGGGACAGTTAATGGAGCGGCCAGTAAAGTCGAAAAGAGGCATGGAAAGAATAGGTAATATGTTCCAGCTGGTTTGTCTAGTCTTATCAGTTCGGCATATGGTACCCAAGAAGAAGGAAGTTTTGATAAAAGACCAGTAGTTGGCGGTACATAAGGTGTAAGAACAGGTGATGGAATATCTTCACTGATATTAGAGACCTTTCCATCGCTCACAGTCGTCGAAATGGCTCTTGCTTTGATACTGCGAAGGCTTCTTCCATGTTGACTTCCGACACTTTTGCTTGTTTCCTTTCTGCTGAGGTACGAGCAAGTGGTTATCTTTGAATAATTGACCAGTGTTCTAAGTGAGGGCCTCTGGCTCCGGGAGATATTTTGAAAGAGAGTGTTCCGGCAGCCTCCCGGCAAGCTGAATATGCCACATCTAGGCATCATTGAACGAGAAGGACAATAACCACTATTTCCCGTTAGTTTGATAGAAAAATACTGCTTTTTCTGTGAGCTTTAAAAAAGTAACCTCAAACTCGTTGTAAAAACATACTCCAACAGACGACTTTCAACTATTTTACATTTGTGAGGCTCAGGTAACCAATCAACATTCATCATTTATATTATATCTGCACCTCTTGATATGAATTGGCTAGATTCTTTCGTGTGTGTGAATGTAGAGCTTTATGAATATCGCTTGATACCCTGAACTCGAAAGAAAACTTGCAATGCTACTTCTCATTCCCACAACATAACAGAACTTCATTGCTGTAGAATTTAAGATCTTTCAGCTTATTTGCAATTGAATGAATAAACTTACTTCGCACAATCACTACCAATTCCCAATATCTGATGCTCAATTCACCCTCATCCTCTTTTTTGTCTTTCTTCTCCAGAAAATTAAAATTCTGACTAATAAAGTGATAGATTATTGACAAGGATTTATTTAGGCTAGGTAGTAAAGCGCCGGAAAGTGGTGGAATGGCCCAGTAGCGCGTTGCTTAACTGTGCAGGGAATTAGAAAAGCACTCGCCTCGCGTCTACAAGGAACTCCTCATAAATTTCAGATCGCGATAACTACAGTACGTTACATACTTATTAACTTAAATCACAACAACTCCACCACCTCTCAAGGAATTTACAAACAAAGCTTTCACTATCTTCCTTGGAGCTCCTCCAAAAATTGCTTCCTACTTCACTCAAATCTGTTCCACGATTTTCAAACATACCAAAGCTACTTTCCCCATTCTCAACGTTGCGACATCTGATTATTGGTACGAATGCAACCGGCCTCGACTTTGATATCGACCACATCTTAGCTTCTACCATCCCCGCATATTCCACGTCCCGCATATCCAGCAACTTCTACTATGCAATTCTAGCTACGTCGATAGAAGGCATATCTTTTAGTCTTCAAAACGTACATCGAGGTTTTAACCAGCTTGTCGCAATGCCTTCGCAACAACATCCAAGAGCACAATTTGTGCCTCTTTCACCTAACATCGATCTGGACGCCCTTGTAAATGATAATCCAAGCTTCGATCATGTTCGCAGACTCCCTCAATCCGACTTGGAAGCACACACTGTACAGAGTCTGGAGCAATTAGTGTATGTCTATGTCATTCAAGAAGGTCGACCCCTGGTTCTGGAAGGTTGGGGTTCGTATATTCCACCTTGGTTATTTTCCGCAAAGTGGTTAGAGGACAATTACGGTAGAGAAGGTGAATGATCTGGTCCTCTTTTAAGTAGTACGATTTCTGACTTTAACTTTACCTTTAGTGCAAAAGGTTCGCGATATTACCAGTGGCATTGATCTTCAAATGACTATGGGACATTACCTACGTTCGATGGGACAATTAGCGAATCAATTTACCCCTCAAACCTACCGAGACCCGAAAAGACAACGGCTGTATTTAAAGGATATTGACTGTCCGACTGAATGGGAAGAGAATTTGAAAGACGTTTTGCCTGAAGCTTTTTTCTACTTAAACGATTGTATCGAGTCGCGTACTGGTGGTGATGGAGCAATCCGCGAACCCAACGAATTCGGCCAAATGAGATTTGGAAAAGGGGTTGCCCCCGCAGGTGACTTGATGAGCAGTCTTCCAAAGGATATGCGGGCCTTGAATATGATGTGTTATATCGGACACGAAGGTACTTATACTCCTGCTCACAGAGAAATGTGCGCAAGTCTGGGACACAATCTTATGGTTGAAACCTCGGGTGCCAATGATGGAGAAATCCCTGGGAGCTCAATCTGGTTCATGACCGAGTCTAAGGAGAGAGAAATGGTATCAGAATGGTTCATTTCTAAACTGGGCCACGATATAGAGGTCGAGAAACATTTCGCACAACTGAATGCCTGGAGAAAAGCCCCATTTAATGTTTGGGTGACAGAGCAAAGGGCCGGAGACCTTATTTTAATTCCACCTCTTGCTCCGCACCAGGTTTGGAATCGCGGAACACGAACGATGAAAGCTGCATGGAATCGAACAACCGTCGACACACTTGAGCTTGCCATCCACGAGGCACTTCCACGTGCGCGTCTTGTTTGTCGAGATGAGCAATACAAGAACAAGGCCATCATTTACTATACCCTAGACAAGTACTATCGTTTACTTTCACGAGATACAGTTGAACAAAAAATGTGGATGAGACCTGGAAGTCGAATCCGACAGGTCATGGAAGATTTCAAACGCCTATTCAAACTCTATACAGAAGTGCTAATCAGTGAGCTATTCTCTCGCTCGCGCCCCGAAAGGAACGTAGAATACCTACCATACGACTCGAATGTCACTTGCTCATACTGTAGATGCAATATCTTCAACCGCTTCTTGACATGCAAATCATGTATCCTGACGGCTGATACTGAAGAGGAAGATACATACGACGTTTGTATGGAGTGTTACGCCATGGGCCGCTCCTGTGCTTGCATTTCTTGTTTGGAGTGGGTAGAGCAATGGAAAGAAGCTGAACTAAGAGAGAACTACGAGTTATGGCGTAAGGTGGTATTAAGCTTCGAAGATCCTCATGAAAATTCACCTAAATCGTTGGAAGAGGAGAGAGACAAAACCGGCAAAAAAAGTGTTGCTCAGATATGTCAAGAACAACTTGCCATCCGACCATGGAAAGATATTACCAAGCCAGATGTAATTGAGCCATTAGACGGCGAATCAGACGTTGAGCCAGAAGTTGATGATGAAGGACGTTTGAAGAAACCGTACAGAAAGCCTTCTAGAAGAGGTAGAATCCAGGCAACTAAAAACAAGACAAGTAGTTGCCATATCTGCAGCCATCACCATTGGAATTGGCAATCAGCGCGCTGCTCCACCTGCTCCTCATCGTATTGCTACGGGACTTTGTGGAGAGCGTTTGACTTGATGCCTCAAACGGTAATGGAGATGGAAAATTGGGAATGTCCAAAATGTCTGAAGATGTGCTCGTGTGCACGATGTCGAAGAGATTCGAAGCAAACACCGTACACTCCCAAAGGAACACTTCTTGGACATGATACCAAGAAGGTGGCCGACTACAGGAGCGTTGAGAGTCTAGTTGACTTTGCGAAAACAAATCTTCCCTGGTTGAGACACGAAGATGAAAATCAACCAGATCCTCAAGAAACGGGAAGAATGCGGAGATTGAGAGAAAAGGCTGAAAAGGACAAAGCACAAGAGCCTACTATTGACAATAGTTATCTTGGATTTGGGGAGGAGGCTTTCTTTCGTGCGGACGACCCAGAGGATAACCATTTCAACACCATGGCAGATATTGATCCTTCACTTCGTGATGACACAAATCAATCATCTCAAAATCAGACTAATGGATTTCACTCAGCTTGGGATCAGACTCAGGAGGCTCCTGGATATAGTATTGAGGAGCAGCTTCATCAGCAATTAGAAGCCCTTGACGCACACCATGATCTAGACGATAATTATCATGCTGAAATGCATGGTCCTAGTGAAGTAGCACAATATCCATCAAGACTTTTAGCACCAGTAGCACCTATGATTTCTACAGAACCAGCGCAACTCGATCCTCAAACACCTGAACCAGCTAGCATGATGGGTGGAGATTACTACCCGACAGAAATTGGCATGGACGGCATCCTCTACGATTCCCCGAAATCTGACTCAGAGCCAAACGAAATGGCAACCGTAAACCCTGCAGATCTTTTAGCTTCACTTGATCAGTTCCGCAGTGTAGCAAAAAAGAGGAAACGACTCAATTCCGAAGGCATTCCGGAGGACGATGACGAGGATGTGGAATTCCTCACTCCCAAGCGCCAAAGAAAAGTTAAACCTAAGAACACAATCGTTCCAGACATAAAACAAGAGAGTATTTCTCGGCCTGAGCATCGTCCGTCGCGTGTTCATAAACGCCAAGATTACACCGAACCATCATTAGCAGATGTAGAGAATTTTTTAAGTTCGGAAGAAGAGGCAGAACCACATTCGACCTCGCGACAGAGCTTAGCGCGCACAGCTGGTCAGGAAAACGATGATGTCAATCTCGCCGCAAAGGCTTTTGGTTATATAACTAAAGATCAGGTAACAAAGAGTGCTGGCAGTACACCCATATCTAATGGTAAGAAAAAGCGTGGTCGCCCGAGCACAGCATCTAAAATAGCTGCATCACCTGGCCCATCAAAGCAATCTGTGTCGGTTAAAGCTTCTCGGAAGTCTACTTGGCTTTCAAGAAATGAAGGCGCAGATGATGAGGAAGAATATCCTTCTGAGTTACCAGTCACGAGAACCAGAAGCTCGCGTCACAGTGCGTCATTTGAAATGAAGTCGGGGACTCCTCGGCAAGCTATCAGTGGTGCTTCCGGCGATGAAAGTGGAGTCGAAGCAGAGAGCGATGATCCTTTTGAGGACCGACCTAGGAAGACACGGAGAACCCGCCAAAGCACACTACAAAGAGAGCCAAAATCGCGGATTAATATGTCAGGCAACGAATTCGAGGAGGCTACTAACGACTATGGCCGTGAGATCAGTGATGGTAGTCTTTTCGGCAATGATGCGGATAATGTCGTCAGTCCAGTTAGCCCGGACATGTCTGACGATGAAGATCGGAAAATTGAGAACGGTGCTGAAGATCCTGATAATAAGGGCACAGCAGCAAAAGGCCAATTGGCGAAATCTTCTGTCCATACATCTATTGAGGGACCAGTGACGGGCAAGAAGCGAAGAGGGCGACCACCGAAGAAAGCACAAAATGCACGAATTTCTCCACGCCCTACTCAAACAATGCCTAAGTTACGATCTCCGTCCTCGTCTAAATCGCCTCCACCTCCTGGTGGCTCTAGTTCCATTATCGGTAGACCTAGTCAGTTTCTTTCACTTCGTGAGAAGCTTGCACTTAAGGGGAAGAAGGTCAAGATTGTTTCGCAACAATCAAAGCAAAAGACGACCGGCGAGCAACAGCAAAATCAATCAGCTACCCCAACTGCCAAGGATACCTCATTTCCAGCAGTTGATTCTGCCAAGCAGTCGCCAGTATTCACCCCAATTAATGATACATATCCTCATGACGCGGCGTCTCTGCCAAAGACAGTCTCTAGAACATCTTCAGCTGTACCTTCACGTCACCAATCCACAAGCCGCAATGGAACTCCAGGTATGCTGGCTAATCCAACAACAGGCGTCCAGGCGGAGTCATCGAAACACCCCACTCCTCCTATTCTCAATTCAAATGCCCATACTTCATCCTCGAGCGATAAAAGTATTTCAGCACAGCCAGTTAAGGATGGACCCACAGTTGTACGTTTGGATAATGACGAAAACAAGCAAGTGAAGAAGGGTCCCACAGTAGTCCGACTCATGGAATCTGAATCCGAGTCAGATTTTGAACACAGTGACAACTTAGGACCAAAAAATCCAAGTCCATCAAAATCTACCAGAAGGGGCAGTTATAGTGAGGAATCAGACGAGGAAGGTTGGTCGAGTTCAGATGATGATATCCCTGCTGTTAAACCCGTTAAAAATGTTCAAGTATCACCGGTATCCGCGGGCCAATTGAAATCACCCGTTACAGCAAGAGCAAGAGGTAGACCTCCTATCCGGGGATGAATGTCTTGACGGAGTAGAGTAGTTGACTTGTAGAATTATGCATACATATAACTGGCTGGTATAGGCGTTACATATGTGCACTTCACTTGCTTCTTGCTTCTTTGCATTATCGCGTGCGAGAATATGAGGATATACCCATTTATCTGTCTATATCTACTGCGTGGGATTTGCTACATTTTCTTTTTTGGGTGGAAGGGCGGGTTTTGGGTGTGGTGGGTGTGGGGGTGGAGTTTTTCAAGAGTGAGATGAGGATAAGGATGAAGAAGCAATAAGTTTTTCGTCAAGATCGATGGAGTTTTTGAAAGGAGCAGATGGTTAGCTAGATAGGGTAGCTTTTTAAGATTTTCAAGATGAAATAAAGAAATAGGAGAGAGGTATTTATTAGTGAGTGAGTGAGTGATTGGGCGGGTGGGTGGATGGATGGATGGATGGGTATTAATTTGCTTAGTTTAGTTATTAAGTAGATGATGTGGTATGGTATGATAATACAATGAGAATGACCTATAATTATCTATGAGTCTTGTGGTGAATTTACCATTTATGTATGCAATTGTGAATTGTAAATGGGGATTTTGGTTGCTATGTAATTTTGAAGTGGAGTGGAGTGGGTTATGTGTGGCATTGTTAGATGGGTGGTGGATTTATTTCATTGTTTATTCTATATCCCGTGGTCTGTAATAAATATCTAAGATACATCATGCTTATGAAACGCCAAAACACCAAACCCATTATTTACAAATCTCCATCTAAACTTGTCCATCCATTCATTCCAATTCGCTCTCTCCTCCCCACTCCCTCCTCCCTACCTCATCCCCGTCTCCGTCTCTGTCCCTCTCCTAACCCCCACCCATCCCTCAACAACACCCCCACCTCCTCCAACCCCAACCCCCTCGTCTCAGGATACACATTCCAAATCGCCACCCAACCAGCCGCACATACAGCCGCATAAACCACAAACGTCCATTGCGGGGACAAAAATTCCATCATGGGAAGAAAAGTAAGTCCGATGATGAAATTCGCAGACCAATTTGTACAAGTGGAGAGGGAGGAGCCGAGGGAGCGGACGGACAAAGGGAAGAGCTCGGATTGCATCCAGGGGACGTTTCCGAGGCCGAGGGCAAAGGAGGCGGTGTAGATGGTTATGGAGAGGAGGATTAGGAGGAGGGAGGATGCGGGGTTTGAGGAGGTTTCGTGGAGGGGATAGGTGGTGCTGGTGGAGAAGGTGGAGGGTAGATCCATGAAGTGGAAACCGATGGAGCAGAGGAGGAGTCCAAGGATCATTATGGGGATTGAGATTAGGAGGATGCGACGACGGCCGATACGGTCGATGAGTAAGAGAGCAGCGCAGGTTAGGACGAAGTTTGTGAGGGCAACGGAGAGGGATGTGAGGGTTGGGGAGGAAAATCCGAGGATGGTGAAGATTGTGGCGCTGAAATACATTAGGGAGTTCTGTGAGACTTTTATTAGTTGAATTTTTCTATTGAACTGGAAAAGATACTTACGAAGCCGCATAGTTGTTGCAGACCTTGTAACAAACAAGCAATTATTAAAGCTCTCCTATTTCCTCCAACTCCTATTAATTCCTCCCAGCTATCTTTCGCGTCGCTTATCCAGGAATCTTCCGATCCCTTATTCTTCCTCGCCATGCCTCTTAACCTTTTCGCCTCATCCTCCTCTCTCACTTCTCTCACAATCCCCTTCAAAACCGCATCTACCACTTTCTGCATCTCCAACCCGGTCCCAAAAACCTTATTCAAAACACTTCTCCCCTCATCCACCCTCCCAACCTGTACCAACCACCTCGGCGTCTCAGGCATAACCAACATAACCAAAATTTGCACCAGAGCCGGCAGCGCTCCCAACCCAACCATCCACCTCCACCCCGTCTCTAGAGTCCCCCATTCCACAAACGCCCAGCCAACAATATAGGCCACGACCTGACCCAATGTAATAAACAACACATTCAACACCACTAATCTACCTCTCCACATACTCGGCGCCAATTCACTTATATACAACGGAGCCACGAAACTACCTGCCCCCACTGCGAGTCCCACAATACTTCTTCCGAGGATCATACCCCATACTGTGGTTGTAAATGCTTGGATAAGCGCGCCGAGAACAAAGGCTAAATCTGCGAGGAGAACGACTCGTTTGCGACCAAAGGAGGAAGCCAGCACGCCCGAAAGAGGAGAGATGAGAAGTGCGAAGAGAGAGGTGCAGGATGTGATTAGAGATTTATCGAGTGTTGTTAGGGGGCGGCCTAGAGAGGTATGAAGACTTATCAGCGTGGAGGATATGACGCCTGTGTCGTCTGGTTTGTATGTTGTTAGTTATGATCTATGATGCTCGCAAATGGAGATCGGAGTAGAGTGTAAGATGGAGAAACCCATACATCCAAATAACAATCCGCTAATCCCAGCCGAAAAAGTAAGTAACCAAACGAATAAGCCTGGTTTACTTAAATTCTTCTCGAGAAGCAATGAGATATCTCCATTTACTTGATTCTCTTCATCCTCCTCTTCCGCGCCAGGCTGATTCGACAAGAGAGGTTCTTCGGCTGTAGACGACGCCATTGTTTCGAGTGGGATATCTATTGAAGATGCCAGTGTGAGCAATGTGAACTTTGAGTTCACATATCGTAGCCCATTTGCTTAAATGAATGCTGGCTATTTTGTACTTTGTTGATGGTGATATCGATATTGCTATGTGATATGGAGATTGAAGAGTTGGCTCAGCCGCGTGGTTCCTGAATGGTCTGTTTGTGGGTCTGATTCTGAGACATGTGGCTCGTGCGTGGTATGTGCAGGATGAATACAGGGTTGGGATTGGACAGCCGTGGTTAGTGTTTGTTCAGCCTTGTGGAAAGGCTATGGTGAATGGGTGTGAATGGGTGTGGATGTATTGTGTTACGATAGGAATTAGCTGATGCAAATTAATTCAATGTGCATGGTACTTGTGGGTCTAGTTCGCATTATCATTCGAACAGATGAGACAGATGGCTTCAAACTATAAAGGTTGGCTATTAATGTAAACCTTTCTACCATCATTAACCGAGTATCATTGGGCAAAATTGACGTCGAATTTGAAATAATTATTCAAAAATACAAATAAATTCATAAAGTTTTGCCTTCTCAAATTATCAATCAGTCTGGACTGTTAATGCTTTGGAATGAACGTGTAGTACGTATAGGAAAATAAGGTATTTCACAGTTAGTGACAAAATCGTGGTAAAATTTCCAAACCTTTTATAGAATCTAAAATACGAATTTATCTATCCGGCACAGTTGAAGATTATGATAGTAGAGCAAGAAGGAATGCCGATGGCAAGCACAGTCACAAATCTATGATAAATAAAATCTTACATCCGAAAGCGTGTTATTCCTTTTATTGTGCAATTAATGTAGCTCTCCTCCCATAGACAGCTAGATTTTTTATTTTACCTCTCACATTCCGTGATTGCCAATATAGGTCGAATTTGGGAAAGAATTATTTCATCCAGTTAGTGAAGCCAACTCAAGCCATGACTCTTGGTCCAGGTAGTGCAGCTTTCCAAATCATCCGTCGAATCTCTACAGGCAGCTGGCCAAACAAATGGAATGTTGCACCTGGATTGCGAGTGGTAGGGGCTGAGACAGGAGTCATTGCTGTAGACCAACAGGAACGTCCGAGTAGTATTTGATTCGGATATCGCAATAACTTCTAAGAATCTGTTGAAAGGATGAAGTTCTCGCTAGAAGGAAGTCCTCCAGAAAACTTTACTGACGAACACGGTTTAATTTGCGCACTGGCGGAGGAGGTGGGTGCCGTTCCTAGATCGACATGAATTCTTCAACGCAAAGTTCGACAACCATCAAGATAGAAAAACAGCAGAATCGTTTGGAATTGTTCATTAGAAGAAGTTCAATTTGTATGGAGAGATGCGGTGGTATAAGGGACTTCACAAGAATAAGTGATAAATCGTAAAACTTTCTTGACAAATATAACCTTGAAGAAGTACATGAGCGGTTTGAGAATTTTCATTAAGTACCTTAGCGGCAGACGCGGCTATTTTATTATAACTCTAATGTTAGGTATATACGAAACATATTATTTATTGAGTTGTATAGACATAAATTAAATAATTGATAAAATTATATTAGAATATTGTATTAAAATATCTTTAATTTAGAAGCTTTTATTTTTATTTTTATTTTTAAATAACGACTCGGTATTATTATAAATAAATAATAAATTAATATAACTTAATTTCTTGTATACAATTCAACCTCACGTATACAGTTTTAGACACAGTTTAACATAAGGTACATAATTTTACCTGTATACACAATACAATCTCAAGTATTTAATGTTAGTTCGTGTGTATAACTTAAGAACCCTCGTCACTGCTTCAAAACCAGCGGCCTCCACTAAGGTAGGTAATACTTTTGATGTGTGTATTTGGAAGTGAAATGAAGTTGTTCGAAAGTGAAGTGAATACCTCGTACCCCGCCCTGCTGTCGTCCGATTCCTTCTCGCTTCTCCCAAACATCAACACACGCCATTTACCTGCAACCTTACTTTCATCATAATATAATTCAAACAGTCATATTTCATATATATCATTTGAATAGATGCCTCATATACGAGTATCATTAACATGAATTGGACAGGAGGACGCCTGCAAAGGCATTCTGGAAAATCTTCCCGTGGTGCTGGTGCCTTGACCAGTAGACAAAAGGAACACTTCGCGAAAGTGAGATCGAACTTACGAAGCGGTGGTCAAAGGAATACTCCTAAACAATGGTTGATCTTTGACAGAATTCCGGTTGGTCAGTCACAAGGAAAATCGTCTAAGGATCATGCCAAATCAATGAAAGATCATGACCATACTTCGAGACAGGAAAGGGACGGAAGTGAAATTAGGCCTGGACCTTGGGATGATCGCAAAGAATACAATGAATTTCCTACATCTCATTCGCCACAGAGAGGGCCTCAGGGGATACGTGCGAATGCTCGTTCTCAGTCAGTTGAGATCGTTCAAAGAAGTTCCGAACCTGATGATGATTTATACAATGCGACCCCTCCGCCAGTAAGAATCAAGCGCGAACATATTGTATCATCGGCAGCTAGAGACATTTCGCAAGACTATGATTTGCAAGAACCAAGTGAAGACTCTATAGAAGAGAGGATAAGAAAATTATTGAGTCAGAAAGACTGGGTTGGCTTAAGCCTCCGCCGTCCACCACAACTGAAGGTCAACGGCTCAAAAAATGACCCAGATGTTGGAAAAAGAAGAAAAATGATAGATGGCCATAGAGCAAGATATTCCAAACTGCAAACGAGAATCAGCTCGCCATTCGCGTCAAGGAAGATTCGAATGCGTCAAGAAGAAGAGGGTCATACACGGAAAAGGATGTCAAAAAATGATGTTAGGATTTCCATTGGTGATAGGATCATCTCACCGGGCATAAGTTCCAGCTCGCGACCGAACAGAATCCATCACCACTCTACATCGCGTATGACGCATCAAATATCGTCACCAGATGATATGTTGCTAGACGCTGATTATATCATGGAGGACCGGGGGGTTTTGTATGGTGATAAAAATCTTTCCACTTTAGAAATAAGGACATATGGCAGTGCTGGATATCGAGGTTCTGCAATGAGTAACCGATCAAACGCAATCCAAGATGAGCTTGGAAGTGAAGATTTCCAGTTTTCTCGCACATCCGTTAGATCAAGTTGCAATACTAGTATGAAACAACCACTACCGACTCGTCCTACAAAGCATCCGGTTCTCTATATAAGCTCACCTAAGTGCAACAGCAGTATGCTTGCACAGTTTGGAGAATTAAAAGGTGATATTTCGGAAAATCGAGTTATGGAGGATGACTTGTGGAAGACATGGATGGCGCCTTCTGCACAAGGTACAGAATATTGTAGCTATGATATTCAAAGAGAAGCAAACTTAGAGGACCGAATGGTACCAATAAGCCCAGGAATAAGCGCAATTACAACCTCCAATGAGGACACTTTTAGTGCGTCGAGATTCGAAAATGAGGGATCACGCGGACAATATCAGCATGCCGAGTCATGGGAAGGCTGCGGGAGCTCGTCCGTACGGAAGGGGTTTGCCGAACGATCCAGCAAAGATATATACCACTCGGAAAACGTCAACCGCATACGGCACAATGATGTATCACACAGTTCGGACTCTTATGAGCAGTCCCTCTCATCTGATTGTTGCGAGCCTGGAGGTGGTACAGGAGTGATCTCTTCTGACCAATACATGAACGAAGACCATGTCTCGATTGAACCACAATATGCTCAATCTTCACAGAGAACATCTTCAAGCATTGCTTGGGACTCTCCTAAGAACTCAACTCCTGATATCATCGAGCCTTGTCAGTGCAAGGGTACTGATCGTTCGGCGCTCAGTATTTCCTATCTTCAGCCGGGTACCACTGTTGCCAGACAAAATCTTGAGTCAGATAAGACTCTTCCACAGCACGAAGTTGTGCCGCCGAAATCAAACCACAAGCTTGATGAGAGAGATAATTGCCCTGCCAAAGCTGTTGGAGAGACAGACCAAAATAAACTTTGGATGAAATTTATTTTTGACAAAGATGGTGGAGACGAGGAGGTGTTATTCAACGGGACAAAATCCGCTAGGACTAGACCGGCAAGCAATCCGTGCAAGTCTTCTAGAAGTGTAAATCCCGATATGACTGCCGGTCGTTCACCTGCGGTACATGAAAATCGGGGGGAGAAACCATCACCAACGATGTCAACATTTGTGCACAATTCTATTGATTCCGGAATCCAATTACAACTGAAATATACTACTCCAATCCGCAATCATGGCCGTTGGCACAATCCACAGCAAGATGACAATGCAACCAACTTTAAATCCTCAATTCATGGTGACTATCTATCTTCAGAGCCAGAATCAGTTTCTATGATCGCCGTTCCAGGTTCTCAAATCGATGTATCAGAGCCAAACCAGACGAGGTCTTTCCTAGGAACACAATGCAAAGTCGTCTTCACAAAGCCTCAACCTTTCGTTCGATCGAGAGCAAACGCACGGAGAGGGTCCGAGAAGCAGACAAGTAGTGGTTCTGGCATGACGCTTGCAGAGGATATAGAGGATGATTAAAGAGAATTGCAATGTTCAGTACGTATTTAAGAGCTTCGGGCCGAGAGCTGGAGTTGGCTAGATGTTTAAATGGTTAGCACTTAAAATAGAGCTTATCGAACGCACGGGACAAAATGCGGACACAGAAGCTGCAATCACATCCCTGGGCTTCATCGATGAACTTTAATTCTTTACAGTTTTAGTGATACCCGTGAAAGAGGGGTTCAATGTTGCTAAACCTAATCACGTACCTAGGGTAGGATCAAGCCTGTTGATAGCCCTAAGTCACTAGATTTGATCTTTAGCTCGTCGCCGCTAACTCCGTTTGTCACTAAGTGCCCATGCAGAATTTACCTTTCGCCAAAGTTACTGTCTCTATTGTCTCTTTCCTCGGGGTAAGGTAAACTTAACGTTTTGCTCGCAGAAGAACTATTGGCAAAGTGTCCAAACACACTCAAAGTTAACTTCCGATTTGTTCTCTGATATCTAGACCATCTATCTAAGCACACATCATACAGCATTTCTATTTGGTTTCTCCGTTTTCTCCTAAATGTACATCATAAGGATTTTGTTAAAAGGATTTTCCAGTCTGCACCTGATTCCTCAATGATATCCAAGTGGACACATCGACGACCAAGATAACGCGAAGGAAGAACTGGAAGGTTCGATGACCTCACATTGTGATCGTTCGATCTCTTACATATTCAATACGTGTCGCCGCAAATCCTTTCTATAAAGTGTGTAACATCAGGCATTTTCTAAAATTACCAGGACCACTGTTACGGGAATGAGAACCGATCATATGCCAGGGCAAAATAACAATATTCGGTAGGTTTAAAGAGAATACAAAAATAATGGATAACTGATCATCGCGCGTGCGTACCCTTATCCACCGCCAAGGCGAAACAAGGGTACAAAAAACTCAAAAACTTGTTATCCTTAACCTCAAACTAAATGACGCCTCACCAAAAATCTTCCAAAGAAAATATATGTGGCGGTGCATGTGGCCCGGAGTCATCATTCCACTTCATTATCATTGGCTGAGCACCGAGTGCATTAGGTCAAATGAAATAAAGATAAATCAGATCTCTTAAAACATGTAAATCTTTGCTGATGTCTCCTTTTTCCTGTCACATTTATATTACTGGAGAGTGGGTGTTACGGTAGTGTGGATAGAGTAAAAATACAAAGAGATAGTGATTCCACGGAGGTTTGTTCCGGACGATGTTTAATTGGAAGTTGCATAACAACATGGTTACGTCACGTCAGAATGTTTTTATTATATGTTGCTATTGATTCACTCGAGGTTGAGGTATTCTCAAACTAGATTTGGATTATTCACTCAATATTTAACTTTTAGCTATCCAGTTACAGAATAGCCGATCGTGTTCTCTCTTACCTTTTCGGCAAACCAAACTCAATATCATTCCACTATCCAGTGCACAAACCTCCACACGAATCTAAACTTATAAGAAGCATCTAAACCCATGAGAAGCATCTAAACCTTCAACCAAACAACCACAGACACAGAATGACAGCCTTAAATCCAACGCAAAAGTCACCAGAGAGAGCATTTGCTCTGCAGAAATATCTGCTTCTCCACTCTCAACATGATGCTCTCCAAAAACACCTCAACCAAGTCACTGCTGCTGTTCAAGAAAGTCCCACAGCATTTGCCGATCGCCATCGTAACTCTTCAGTCTCATCAGATAGCAGCAATGCTAGCGACACATCTGTATCACCTCACAGCGCACCTATGACAGCTTCTCGTTCCCGCAGAGGCAGTCTCCCATCTTCTTTCGGTCATATGCAACATTTTCACCGCGAGAATAGAATCAACTCTCTGCCAGCTGTGATTGATGAAACGGTGGTTGAAGAAATCGAAGAAGATGAACAAAAGTTAAAGGATGTAAATCAACAAATCAAGACTACCTTGACGGATTTACTCAATTGCGAAAGTGTGAGGGGTGATCTTAGATATAGGAAATGGGTGCAAACACGATTGATGGACACAGAACGAGAATTGAAGGAGAGCAGATCGAAGAGTTGTGAGAGAAGAAGAAGTGTGGACATGAGCCTTTGAAAATAGGAAGAAACGGTGGAAGATTGAAAAACGACACAGATGAGAGATGAACGATGTGTCCCTTGATAGAATGGTCGGTTATTGGTGGTTTGGTATGGTGCTCAGAATGGGTATCGAATATCTTCACTATGGATCGGGTTTAAAATGGCGTCTTTTTGGCGGGGAAGGAAGGCGATTTTGGCTTTTTTTTGCGGATTGTATTTGATACCCATCAGCTGTTTGTAAGAATAGTTTTATTCAACTCTATGCTTTTTCATGTATGCATGGCTTCTCGAACATGCTTTGTGGTGAAGATGCTGTGATGGTACTAGGCATGTATGTGCGCAATGGAATGCAGTGTTATTGGGATGTATTCATTACCGAAACGCTTTGTTCTCTGGGCACTTCTTTTACAGCCGAAAAGCCCCCACAACTTATCATTTCTCTCCCACCTCGGTGCTCATACCTACCAACATCATCAAAGAAAGACAAAAGAATAGAAATTACAGTTCCCTTCTTATTTCCAGTCATAAATATCACTCCACAAAATAACCAATCAAGCCATCTCATCCTATTGATAAAGACTGGATTTCCAACAGCGATCAAACGTCTGATCCGAATTCCGACCGTGGCAATATCCGAGATGTCAGCCCAACAAACGTTTAGAGTTTCGAGCCTCGGATGAAGCAGATCCCGTTTCGAAAATAATACATTCCAGACGACTTTGATGCCAAATCATCTCATGTTGCTGCATTTGTGGTTTGGATCCCCAGATCAAAGGTGGCATGATGGTAGGCTATGCCTTTTTCATCATAGGTATATATCTAGGTATATATAGCTATGGAACTATCGATGTCTGAGTACATTGGGTTTTCTTTTTATCTTTGGATGATACATTGAGGTAGATTTCTGAATTTGTATTTTTTTTGGAAGATTTTGCTTTTGTATGCAATTTCATTTGAGGTTTGCTTTCAAAGATTGAGACGGAGAATTTGTTGGAAGGGTGATTTTGAATTGTAGTTCACGAAATTGTCGCCTTGGAAGAGATGGAGAAATGCAAAGAACAGAAGATTGCTCCACAGCATAAGAGTGCGTGGTTTGGATTCATCAAGGTATGTTTTCTATCTGCATTCATATGATTCTTCTCTTCAGAATCTGGTTGCACGACGAACAATAGGAAGCACATGCTCGGCACGGACGTAGCTGCGCGCATAGATGATTTCCTGTCGTGAGCTTCCTAGCGTTCGATTGAAATAGCTTCACTGCACAGACAGGATCTCGGAATAGGTATATCCCCTAATACTAACAATCCATTCCTCTAGTCCATTGCAACATTCAAAGGCGACCTCTCAACTCTCACAGCACCTCCATTCCTTCTCTCACCACAATCAATTGTCGAGTTTCCTACCTATTGGGCAGAACACCCTTCTTTATTCATTGCACCTACACACTCTGAATCTCCTGAAGAAAGAGCATTACTAGTATTGAAATGGTTCATTAGTACGTTGAAATGGCAACACAATACTAGAGATGAGAATGGGAAAAAGAAGGGGATGAAACCTCTAAATCCATTTCTTGGAGAGTGTTTTATGGGTTCTTGGGAGGATGATGGAGAAGGAACTGGCAAAACAGAATTGGTTGCGGAGCAAGTTAGGTGAGTTTTGATTATTCGGGCAGACGAGAGAAGGAAGTGCTAATACTCAATAGTCATCATCCCCCGGCTACAGCATACAATATCTGGAATGAAAAGCATGGCGTACAAGTAAGTACCTCTCATACTCGTCAATCCCATTACCCCTCTTTACTAATCTCCTCTTTCTCTAGCTTCAAGGCATCATAGCTCCACAATCCTACTTCAGCTCAACAGTACATATCGAACGCCGTGGATACTCTCTACTAACCTTCTTCCAACACAATGAAACACATTTAATTACCATGCCACCCATACATCTTACAGGTCTCATGTCTGGTTCTCTAAGTCCTGAATTAAGCGGCACTTCTCATATTCGTTCGTCATCCGGTTTCACAACTCGAATATCTTACTCCTCGAAAGGTTGGATTAGTGGGACACCTAATACATTTTCCGCGATCATTTATAAAGAATCTGAGAATACCCCGGTATTCAAAGCCGAAGGGCAATGGAGCGATAAATTCAACGTGAAGGATATGAGATCTGGAAAGATTGTTATGGAATTCGATGCGAATTCATTGAAGAGGAAATCAATAAAAGTAAAACCACTCGAACAACAAAAAGAATATGAATCGAGGAGAGCTTGGCGTCACGTTACACAAGCTATTAACGAAAGTGATATTTTCAAGATTGGAAAGGAAAAAGGGAGGATAGAAAATGAACAGAGGGAAATGAGGAAAAAGGAAAAAGATGAGGGGAAAGTATGGGAGAGGAGATTTTTCGTGAAAAGGGGGAGAGATGAAGTTGCGGAAAGATTGGCAAATGGTTTAGAGGGTTTGGATTTGGATAGTGGAGCTGGAATTTGGAAATGGGATATCGATAGGTATAGGGCTATAGAGGTAGGGAGTAAGGGGAGAATGAGAGTTGGGGATAGTAAAATGGATGCTGGGAATGGAATGAGGGGTCCTTTGGTATCGAGCCGGAATTTGGGTGTTATGGTTTAGTGGAAGTCGTTATGGTGCAAGGCGGGATTAAGACAGAGCTCTAATGAGCTCGGTGAAGGGGTTTACGAATGCGAAAATGCAGGGATAGTTTGTTAATTAAATGAAAATCTAAAAGGACGACGACTGTTGGCCGTTATAGCCTGTGTTATAAAGTGTAATACTTTACTTTTGGACCACCCTTCTTTTGAATCATCTTTTTATATTGAAAATAATGATTTTTATTTATTAATAATTGTCACGGAAAGCGACGCTCTCCCCTTTCATTCTAGCAAGGCTCATATGGTGGACCCCTATCGAGCCTTCCACTCTTCTGGATGATTCTTATTATTATCAATCTTAATTTACTAATAATATAGGATCTAGTTTGATCCGGCTTTACATCGATTAGATACTACTTATTCTAGTATATATATATCTTCCCTCGAAGCAAATCCTGGTAGACATTCTCCATGCTGATAGTTTCAACCGCTTAGAATGCTTGGAATGTCCGAAACGAATTGAGCACTGCCAGGCACCATTACCAGATTTCGAAAGCTTCCGTTGGCTTCTCCCGCTCCATGATTCTCCAAATCACGTCGAATTCCTCGCCTAGCAGAATCTTAAATCTGTTTCCAAAACGACCGTAAACGTTGACAATATATACTCCTGGCCATTGTTCCGCGTGTGGGTTTCCAAGACCAAAACACAGTTTTATCGCTTGGAGACGAATATCCAAGGGCATGTTCTCTGTGACTAAAACCATTCTTTAATTTTGCTTTTGTATATTATGGGCCAACTGACGCTTTATTTGCTGGTTTGCTGTACGCATAAGAGGAACTAGATTAAAAGATCGCTTTGGAGTTATAATTAGTATTCAACATTCAATGGGAATCTTGTACGAAGTAGAAAAAAGCTCACCAGTGTGGTACCTGTTGGACTTCGCGCAACCGTTGAGCTAGACCTCAGTCTCGAAAAGTCGCCTTTCACAGCGCTACTTTGGTCCTGTTTGTCCATTTGCATATCAGGATCATAAGACCTTTGAGTGAAGAACCATATGTCTAGTTTGTGCTTATGGTAGTCATTAATACAATCATCGATTATTACATTGAAAGCAATAAGGAGCAGAGCCGCCAACGGCCGGGGAACTGTTAGTATTGACCAATTATCAGCTTGAATAACCATCAAGATGTTGTATTGCGGCGTTTCGTCTTTAATCCCGTTTACTCGTTAAGGAAGGTTGGATTTATCTTTCTAAAGGTCCCTGTTTCGTAATAGTTGGAGCCTTGAATGCCCTATATCACATATCTCTTATGCAAAATGGTGTGTAGGGCAGGGATTGATATTATTATTGATGATATTATCCTTTATGTACGACACAGCCTTGCATACGACCGCCTTGCAGCTACTACTACTCAAGATTCAAGGAAAATCGGCCGATCTAAGATTTCAAACTTTACAAACGATAAAGGCTTGCTTGTTAACAGGGGCTATTGTTTAAAGACAGAATTTCATGCTCGAACTCTTGTTATACCGCCTTCGCTTTTCCACCAACCAAGTTGTTCTACTCATGGAAATTCGAGAGTATACCTCCGTACTTATTAAGCCTGAATTCATCAACCGAACTCATACTTAGATCTGCTTTTCAATTTGACAGAACACTATGACTCCCTCACAAAGCTCACACACTCCGCTCTACGATGCTACAATCCATCAGCTTGTCATCAAACCGATCTTCGATACTCTCAAACTGCAGGAGAAATTCTACGCACACTATCTTGTACGAACAGCATGGCATGGAAGTAGAATCATCATGCGGCAGGTGTCGCCAGAAAGCCCAGATATATTCGATTTCGTCATGGATCTCTATTATACTTGCGGTGGAAAATGGGATACGTTAGTGCCAAAATGCGATATCACACCGCAGAGCTTACATCCTTCCTAGAGTATGCTGCTATGTTTCTTTGTAACTTAGGTAACTACTTATGTAAGTTTGAAAAGCTGTCCTTGGTGCTAGCACTAATTTTTCATAGGGCGAAGGTGATCAAAGGTTTGTACCTGATTTGAATGTGGAGGCCCTTCGAAAGGTCGCTACTATATCCTCAAAAGCAAGAGTTGGCCGGGAGAAAATCATTACTCCCTTATTAGCAATCCCACCCATTTAATCTAGGATATCCTAGCAAGAACGCGCAATCGAGCTACTACCCCGGTACAGAACTTATTTTCCCAGAGGAGAATCGCCAATGTATCCGATACGATGCAGATACTCGAATTCCTAAGCTGGTCGAGGACGGGAAACCCATCTATCACCTCTTGCAAGCTTCCGCGGAGACCAGTGTACCTCTAGATGGGCTACGTGAACTCTCTGATGGTATATCTCTTGTTAACAATGATCATTCGAAAGAATTATCAAAGATATGCTCCGCTTTAATCAAGGCGAAAGAGTATGCAGGTAACAGCACGCAGACTCGATTCCTAACATCCTATATCGAATGTTTTCGCACTGGTAGCTTAGAAGCTTCTCAAAAGTCTCAGAAAGATTGGGTAACAGACGTATCTGCAAGAGTAGAGAATATAATTGGCTTCATTGAACCTTATCGTGATCCAGCTGGAATTAGATCAGAGTGGGAGGCTATGATAGGGATCGCCGATCTCGATGAGAAATCGAAATTGAAACTCTTTGTCGAAAGTTCAACTGTTATCATTCGACAACTTCCATGCGCTCTTGAAGGTGTAAATGATGGAAAAGGGCCATTTGAAAAGAATCTGTTTGAAAGCCCAGACTTCACCAGTGTTCACGGCTAGCTAAATTTGTTTCCTTACAATAAACATGGAGACATGCTAATTGCCCTAGCGCTCGCTGTATGCGGTAGTATCGTCTTCGAAGCCACCAACCTTCCAAATGTAAGATTGAGAAGGAAATTTCCATAGAATGATGCTAATGTTCAACATAGTACGAATATATCAGGGAAACCTGTGGTTTCAAGAATATTGTTCTTGCCAACGGTCTAAGTGTTAATAACAATCCAAAACTTCCGTGCCACTGGGCCAAACAATCAGAACTAAATCTTTTCAAGAGGAGCACAAATATTGTGAGATTCATCACTACAGCTATCCACGAAATGTTTGGTCATGGAACTGGAAAACTTCTTAGTGAAACCACACCAGGAGTCTACAACTTCGATAAGCAGAACCCGCCGATCAGTCCCTTGAGTGGGGAACCTGTAACTTCACACTATCTGCCGGGCCAGACATGGACAAGTGTCTTTGGGAAGCCAGCAGGGACTGTGGAAGAATTTCGTGCCATTCTGGTTTCGGAATATCTCATGGACAATAAGCAATTGTTAAATATCTTTGGATACATTGACACTAGTGAGATCACAGCTGAAGACCGTAAGTTGTACCACGATTGATTCATACAATTTACTAATCCTTCTCATTTCAGTTCTTAATACTACTTATCTAAACATTGGTGTTGATGGTCTCCAAGCTCTTGAACACTACAATTCCCATGATAAAGCTTGGGGTCAAGTTCACCACCAGGTACGTATACCTACACAACATTCCCCGCTTGGTTATGTCCCGAGTTTTACTGGAATCTAACATTTTACCAGGCCCACTTTTCTGTTCTGAAATACCTCCTCCAGAGCGGCGATGATGTTATCCGCATTTTAGATGACCCTGTAAGTTCCACCCTCTCCGTCGAAATTGACTCTACCAAGATACTATCCCATGGCAAAAACGCGCTAGGCCACTACCTTTGCCGCCTGCACATCTGGCGCTGCACCGCGGATGTTTCTTCCTGCAAGCAGTTCTATGAACCTTTGTGTGCCGTAGATGGCGTGTATGAACAGTGGCAACAAATTGTGTGCTCGAAGCCGAAACCAAGATGGAAGTTCGTACAGCCGAATACTTTTACCAAGGAGGGCAGCGTTGAAGTAAAGGTTTATGAGGAAACCAATGAGGGTATCATTCAACCTTGAGTCGAGAGAAGGGTCTAAGAGCTAGGTCTCTTAAGGGATTGTTTCGTGGAGATGAAGTTAATGCTTGTTTCAAATCTGATTTTAGACTCCCTAAGAATAAATGCAGCTAGCTAAGGCACGGTATTCAGTAAGAGATTTGAATAAATTTTTATTGTGAGAGATATTCCAAGGGTAAACTGTGAACTACCAGTATGTTCCATACTATTCATACTATTCACTATGCCAACAACACTTCATTCCATCAACGAAATGCAACACACCGAACCTCAACACTCTCCCTTAATTGACCACTGGCCTCCCTCTGAGGTCCAAATAATGACTGGCCTTTAGCGATGTGCGACTGGACGACCATCGCCTCAACTGACATCCGCGTGAACGATGCCATCAGACGTGATCGTGTCAATGAGAACGCAATACTGCATTTTAATGAACCACAAATGGTATTTTATGAGGGATCAGTCGGTGGAAGATTTGATCGTTTTTCGCAATTCTGATTCTTTCGGCAAACGTGCTCGTAATTTTGGTTCCTATGTCTCTTTAGATTGATCTGGAGGTTTGAACGATGAGATGTGTGCTGATACTATTTTCTAGAAAGATTTCATTGCTCTGTTTCGTATCGGGGCCGCCAAACGCTAGTAATCAATTAAATGTTTGAGAGATACTCTTTCATAATCCCATATAAGCGCCGAATCAGATGGTGCGATAGCATCACATGGGGATTTCTGATCAACGTCCTGTTTGTAGGAGGGCGACCAGTCTACTCCTGACTATAGGCCAATATCGATGCTCTTTAGTTGCATAATCTGTATCTACCGTGCGACCGAACAATCCACTTGGTACAGGTCATACGGCAACAAAGCGAGGACGAGCATCTACAAGATTTCGGTACGCTTTTAGGAAGCTACGAGGGAAAACTCTTTTGAGATGGTTGGGAACTTTTATGAATGTGTGATCAATGTCCTCCCTTTAACTACGGTTGTAACCTTTGGATCAACTTTACAGCTGTATTCCATGGGAAAATAACTCTGAAGGTTGCCCGCTATCATTCAACCCGTAAAGATAGTTGAAGCTTTACACAACGTCAGAACGCTCAAACCGCACTGATAATGAGGCTGATAACCTCTCTCCTGACCTCCATCTTTGCATTTATATCCGAATTATGCTTACGCCAATTTATGAACTGAAGGTGGATGAGCAGATGGCTCTATCCCCTAGAATGCCAAAACTGACTCTAATGTCACTTGACGAAGTCTTATTAACCAATCAAAACATTGGGATTCTTTAAATATCATCAAATTTTTATATTCAAGATCACATTTCCCAAACTTGAAGATATACCCAGTGCTGCCCTCTATTGTCATCAACCCGATTCCTTCTAAGAATAAACTACTCCATAGAATAAATCATCATGAACATAGCAAGAGCAGCCCCGCCAAATCAAGCTTTTCATACCCCTCTACCAAGCTTTTGGAACTAGTGGTTAGTGGTATCCAGGTACACACTACATACTACGTCAGTTACTATGTCCCACAGTCTGCAAAACCCAGATCTGATTACCCTATCTGACCAGCTGCTGATTCAAAATGATGCAAATAATCCATCTTTCCATGAAATGCAGTGCAAGCAAGCAAGCATCCACCAAGTAAAATAAACCAAATCAAACCAAACTAAATATTTTCCCGTATCCAAACAAGGATATCAGCGCTAAACTCTTTCTCTGTGATTCAATTTGTAGGAAATAGAATTCGTCATGCAAACTGGATTATGTAATCTTAGGCTACAAACAAGCTATGACAAGCTAAAGCAGGCTGAAACGCTAAAATTATGATGTCATACCCCACATCAAGGTTACCCCTCTACCATGGATTTGGATTCACTTGGAAGGGCCATCAATGGTAGGAAGGGTATGATATGATGCTGGAGGAAAGAGGAAGGAAGGAATGGAAATGAAGATATATAAAGACGTGTTGCTGCTCTTGAAGAACTTTTTTCTTTTTTGAATCATACAATTACACATATACAAACGAACAAACAAACAACGCGGTTTACCTACAATATTACTTTAATACAATTCAACACAATTCAATCGAATTAAATCAACCTCTACAATAACAAACAACAAATAATTCATAATGTCCGACAACACCTCAACTCTTCAATCATATGTTGATTCTGCCAAGGGTACAGCACAATCTGTACTTGGATCTGTGACCGGTAGCACCGCTGACAAAGTATGTCTTTTACCCTTTCCATGCACCCACAACTCACACCCACAAACTCTACCCCCAAGCCCCAACTAACCCCTCCCCCAGGAAGCCGCCGCCCAAAAAAAAGACAAAGCGTCCCTCGAACATGACGCCTCGCACGCCGGGGCCTCAATAGGCGGCTACTCCGTCTCCTCTAGCGGAGCCATTGCGGAAAACGATCCCGCACGCCAAGAAGGATCCTGGAACCAAACGGTTGGATCAGGAAAAGAATTCATAGGTGGACTGCTCGGAGCGGAGGAATTGAGAAAGGAAGGGAGAGAACAGAATGCTGCGGGTAGGGGACAGCAGGCGCAGGGACAGTTGAATGATCTTGGGAGTGGGGTGAAGGATAGGGTTAAGGAGTGTGGGGAGAAGGTGGCGGGGTGACCGGGGATAGGGAGGAGGAGGAGAGGAAGAGGGAGTTGCATGATGTTGGGAAGTCGAGGCAGAGGGGGGTGGAGAGTGAGTTGCAGAGGAGGCGTAGGGGTTTTCTTTTGTGGGTTTGAGGAGAGGAGAGGGGAGATTGTATGATAGATAGATACCTGTGTGGATTGGGAGTCGGTGCTTGGTTTGGAAGGTTATATTGTTATTGCGCTGATAGATATCCTACGCCAGGAGGGAGGGAATGAATGAATGAATCAAATAATGCTTTTCCAGCTACTCCCGTTCCAAATTACTGAAAAAAGTTCCACATCTTGCTAATTATACTACAAATTACTATTCCCAATTTCATTTCCCAATTCTATTTCCATTTCCATATCAGTCTTCTTAAAGAGTAAGTCATAGGTCCCTCATACATCCATCATATATCCATTGTACAGACAGATAATTATCTTACAAAAAGAACTACAAACACAACAAACTCTCCTCTCGTCGTCGGTCCACTCTATATCTAAGTATATCTATACTAAACCACACCTCATACTTATAATCCTTATATATATAAATATTATTATTTTTATTATTTTATTATAAATTATAAATTATATCTAGTATTTATTTATACCTATTTATACTTTTATTTCAATAAATAAATAAATAAATAAATAAATAAGAAAAGAAACAAAATAAAATAAATATAATATAATATAATATAATATAATATAATATAATATAATATAATATAATATAATATAATATAATATAATATAATATAATATAATATAATATAATATAATATAATATAATATAATATAATATAATATAATATAATATTTAATACTTTTATAATGTCTATTTTATCCAGGACCTCGTTATTGAGTAGATTTCTAAATTTTCTAGTTTTTATTGTATTTTATTTGGTTTTAACTTTTTTTCTTTTTGATCATTAGTAAAAAAACAAAAGGATGTTATTATTAAACTGTATAAGTGTTTAATTCGAACACATTATTTATAACAAGACTTGCTGCGTTATTTTAGAAACGAAGCAGTGAGCGACTCATTGAATGATCTAGTATTGAAAAGCCACTGACAAGTGAACTAGCGAGGTGATGGCCGGGAAGCGACTTCAGATGAGAGTACTAGTTTGGATTGAGTGAAGGTAGATATTAGTAGAGAGGTGAAGTCACTAATTCCATTCATAGGCTTTCTGGAAGAATATATTGATATTTCATATTTGTCTGTATCTTTATAGATGGTTGGGAAAGAGTTTAGTGTGATGACTTCGTTATACCAAACTTTTCCTCCGCTTGGTGTGTTAAAACTTCCTACCTTCTAGCAATTCTACCTTTCAATTATGCACTGGACGAAGTTCCATGAACTGGTGTCTTCTCCTGTGTGATAGTCTCGTTATGGATAATCAGAAGTATTTATCTGGGCTGAACTTGAAGGTCAATGACGGAATTTGTGTTGACATGTGGTGAAAGATCTGACCAACAGCTTGGTATCACAGTAAATCCAATAAGATGGTGAATCTTATTTCGGTGCGAAGCGAGGCGGTGATTTGTGTCTTGCGGTCACCTGGGAGCCGGGCGATGGAAGTTTATTATCCGTGATGACTTTTTTCTTCTACTGGCGATTCTTCCAATTTGTTAATTAAGATTGTTGATGATATCTAGAACATCAAAGATCAGAGATAATTCAAGCCTCAACCTTTACTACTCTATCACGTGTCCTATTCCTCGTTGCCCATTAATCGCGCTACATTTCGAGGTAGTTAAATCAAAACCTTATAATGAGATTGGTTGTGACCTCAAAACACGGAAAAGACTTATGCCGAAAAACGTGTTGCGTAAGGTTCCATCCAGATGCCTGAACATATGCTTACCCGGCCGATAAGTGACATCTCCATCGTACTGCCAAGCGTCATGGCTGATTGACAATTAGATGCCTTTAGATGAAAGTATTTTGGACGAATTGGGACTATCTTATTGATCTTCAAATAGTCAATTCCCAGCCGTATCAGGCACAGCCTCATATGTGAAAACTATGCAGCATATAGAGGTTTGGGAAAGGAACGTCCCGAGCATTAAGGCTTTCATCGCGAATATTAGGAACAAGGCGTGTATCAACCACATAACTATATCCTAAAGCTGAAATTCTGCGCCATTGAGAGTTGAAAGTTCGATTGTAAAAACCCCGCATACAACTCCACGGTGGAGTGAGAGGACATGCCCCACCATTCAGATCTTGAAATACTTGTTTCAAAGCTGCAGAGCGACGTCACTATGCTTTTATCCCGAAGAAGAGGATCAAACAAGTCAGAACACTGCCCGTCTTCTTTAGAGCCTGGACGCAAATCATCACCTAGCTGTTACAAGCTAGGCATCCAGTTGACCCTTTAAGTTCGTTGGCTTGAATGCCATAGTAAATTTCTATGGGATGCCCAGTATGGAAATGATTGTCCGCGTAGATGTCCTCATGCATTCTCTTCATGTCGAAGGGTTTGAAAATTACAATTCCATGAAATCGAAAATGCTTCGTTGAACGACTGAGCCAACTATTGGAAGAGTCATGGTGTGAATGCAAGGCCAAGAGCCTCAAGAATTGATCGGATGTCACGGATGACACCTCGGCAACAGGGCACATGCAACTTGCAAGTGAATTGAGTTCAGTTCCGTGTTTCCGTGGAAGAAAGTCATCTTCGATCCAAATTCATGCCAAAAGCCACAACTGGCAAGAGAAGGTAAGAATCGCATGTTAATTCCATTCGAATACCGCCACGTCTCGGAATCTTGCTGCCATCAGATATCGGATGTGCTGCCGAATTAACATTTTCCAAAATGGAGTGAGTTGTGTGTCGGAAAGCAGAGGGCGGGCGCAGAAGAAAAGTGCATATGGCATGAGATGAGGAAAAGTATGTATTACAAAGAATGACATATCCTAAAGTAGGTAGGCGTATCTACCTAAGTAGGAATACCGATGACCAATGACCAATGAACGTTCTCCTTGCTTTACGAGCAGGTGGGGTAGTACTTGTAAATATACTTCCCTTCCAAGATCATTGGTAAGTGTTATCTTTTGCTCCTTTACCACATCTTGAGAAAGTCGACATATCATATAGGTAAATGTTGAACTTCGTACGTTTAAATTCTTCAAAAATGTTGTATAACTTTAACCCGCATGGCTGGGAAATGATTTCATTGCATCTCTGTTATACCTTAGCTTGGTGCAACAAATCCATGATCAAGTTCAAAAGGTTGTGTAAGGCCAAATGGACTGATTTATCAAAAGCCAAGAAAATCTAAATGAGTCTAGATGCTAAAACCCGTTGATCAGAACTTGTATTTTTGATAATGAATGGTAGCGTTGAGAAGATATTGAAATTTGAAGAGGTGGAAAAATGGATGGAAAAGGGGGTGAAATTTGCTTTTCCCAATAATACGGACAACACAACACGAGGACAAGATTTTGATTGCCAAGGCTGGGATCATATTGATGAATTGATAGATCAATATTGGTATTTCAATTGGACTTTCATCTTCTTCATCTATGTATTTATGTTACTTATGTTACTTATGTGACTTATGTGACTTATGTGACTTATGTGTAAGATTTGGTGGCTTTATGCATGTTTCCCGAATAAGTAATTCCGCATCAACGAAGAATTTCCCAATTGGTCCAATATTTTTGATCCCTTATATAGAAAATGTTCAAAATGACGTTGATCCTTGTTCTCTTTTCATAGCCATTTCGTCATTGTGGACATCATATATGGTAACACTGCCTAGAAAGGGAAAGAGGCCCTAAATTTTCACAATGAACACAACATATTTTTTGGATTTTCTATCTTTTCATTCATCTGCGACAAAGCTGTAGCAGGAGATCAACCCACAATATACACGTGATATTTACAGCTGCTGAAATGATGAAAGTTAACTCCTACAAATACAAACAGGTATTCTTATTCTTTAAATATATGTTTATCAAGTATATCTATCTCTTGTGATGACGGTACCGGTAACTCAGCCGGTGACTTGGGATCATGTATCCTCGAAATCATAACTAGACGAAGGTTGAAATATATTCTTAACAATTTACATTGAAGTCACAGATGTCCCAGGGTTGAAGGTCGAGGAGGTACTCGGGTAAGTAGATACCTCTACAACTAAGTATCACGACAAAGGAAGACTGCTTCAGATCTAGATTGCTCTGACTGATCTGACTCTACTGATGAGGTATTGTAAGACTCGCCAAAACAAACCAAGGTAACACCTTTAACAACTGTCACGTCAAAATACTTCAACTCCCGCTCCCGTTTGTTCCCATGATAGATATCCAAAGATTCATGTATGTTGTGGCCAACGGAGGAAAGAAGTTGGAGAGATGGCCCCTACTTTGGCTCTACGAATACGATACGGGATAGAATTGGGTTGCAAAAGCCATTGTGTGGATTAACCACTAACCCCACCATCACAAATCACCTTGGCAATCTATCCATCCACTCTAAGAACGAAGATCCAGAACATCTTGCTTCTACTTTTCTTCTATTTGCAATATGAACATTTCGGGTATCGATACAATTTCCTTGTACCCCGAAAAACTCCTTGGGAAATAAAGAGGGAAGAGGGAAGAGGAGAAGAGAAAGAAGAGAAAGAAAAGAAGATTCCAAAAGTTCTTGATGATCATCCGACAATTAAAAAGTAGTAGTCATCACCAACCAACCAACATTCCATCATTTCCTTCCAAAGGGAATCTCCGTGGCACGAATAGATAGAAATCTAAAGATCTAGATGGCTCTTGCTCTGTCTGGTACGTGCCATCTCCCGTCTTGTGCTCTTGATCTGGTCTGATCTGGTCTGGTCGTGGGTATTTTATTGATTATATGTCTGGGCATCAACATGATTTGTACACCGATACAATAATAGATATAAAAGTATAGACATGTAACTAGGTATATAAAGATGTAAATTATATGGTCTGCAGCCATACTCCTCCCTCGAATTCATCCGAGATCAAGAAGCTTAGCAGAATCACATCTTTTGTCAACTGTCAACTGTCCTTAAGTATTGTACCATTTAATTCCAAGATTTCCACCAGTAACCACATATCAAGGATCCAAGGGCTTGCGGGCTTGCGGGCTTGCGGGCTTGCGGGCTTGCTGGCTTGCTTACAATAATACAACATTGGGCTTTGTTGTGGGGATTGGATTTCCGAGGGAGCATTTCCCACATTCGGATTCACATCTACATTCACGGCTGTACAACCAACTTAATACTTCCTCCTTACTAGGTACTTAGGAATTCAAGGTCGAGTCTTAAAGTGGAAGGAATCACTCACCACACCACCCAATCATCGATTCAAAACATCCTCGGGTCCTCCCATATTCCCTTCCCACTTTCCGCTAAGGTTTTAGACGAAGGGAAGGGAAGGGAAGGTAAGGTTCCGTATTCATTCATTCATTCCATCGGGCTTCCATTCAACCCTGCCTTACGTTTACAATTCTATATCCACCCCACCATCGCGATTCTGAAGCAAGTAATCCCAACCCACTGAACAACTTACAACAAAAAAATCACTACACGATACCCTAACACCCAACACCCAACACCCAACATTTTCTCGAATTTGTTGAACGACAAACCGTTGTCGTTCATACAATAACTAACTTCTCAAATATCATAATGTCCTCTTCCACTTCTACCTCAACTCCCACTCCAAAAACCGTCCCCGTGGCACCCAAACCCGAACCTGTCAAAGAAAAATCTCCAGTTCCTGTGGTTCCACCTAAAGTAATCGAAGAACAAGATGTTGATGAAAGGGTAAAGCTTTTCTTTGCGCATCCTCCAACACCCAGTTTACACATCAGAGAGTGAGAGAACTGACTCGGCGCAAAACAGAGTGATGACGGTTCCGTTGGTCCACCAGATCTCGGTGATAATATCGATGCGGCTACCTTTGAGCAAATTCTAGAGATGGATGATGATGAAGATGAACGAGAGTTCAGTCGTTCGATCGTTTTTGGTTTCTTTGAACAGGCCGAACAAACTTTTACTAAAATGGATGATGCACTGTAAGTGGGGCACGTGTGTTTGTGTGTCGCTCGATGGATATGATATATTTCAAGAAGATGGCCCATCTGCGGACACAGATATGAATACAGATACTGACAATGTGCAGTGAGGAAGGCGACCTGGCAACACTCTCTTCCCTCGGTCATTTCCTAAAGGGATCCTCGGCAACGTTAGGATTGACAAAGGTCAAGGATAGCTGTGAAAAGATTCAACATTATGGACAGAAGAAAGATGAGGCTGGCACAACCGATGAACCCGATGAGAAGAAATGCTTAGAGAGGATTAAAGAAACATTGGTATCGGTAAAGGAGGAGTACGAGGAGGTTGAGAAGGTCTTGAAGAAGTTTTATGCCACTTGAAGGATGGTCGTATACACACATACCCCCGAAAAAAACACCATGATGGAGGATCGTTTTCGTGCTTGAGGCTTTCTGATCTGGCAGAAGCAACCAAAAGTATTGCCCTATCGAAGCTCTTGTGACGACATTGAAGTTCATGCACGAGCAATGTACTTTTCTTACAAAACAAAGCTCCTCATAGCTCAGGCGTCTCGGATTGCATTCACATACTTTTACGGTCGTCTGGAAATGGCATATGGGTTCTCATGGATTTTTTGTTTTTGAACTTTTTTTTACTATTGGTCCATATGATGGAAATATATTTTTCCTTTTTGTTTTTTGTCAACTCCTCTTTCTCATTCGACTTTATCTACGGATGATGGAAGCTGAGGAGTAACATTTTTTAGTTAGATGAGGTGGTGAGGTTGATGATTTGCCGGATTTTTTAAAGTCATGGTTACTCAGCACATGAAGTCACGACAGATGCATCAAATCAGAAGATTCATTTACTTCGGAACCTTGGCATTCATCTATGATGATGATGATTATGATGTACAATTGATTGTATACCAAAATACTAAAAGTGATTTGGAAGGTGGGATTCGTGGTACAAGATAAGATGAAGGAAACGTGAAGCTGTTTGATTTTTCCAATTCCTAATTACTGTTTGTCTTTTTTTTTTTTGAGATAATAAACAGAAATACTATATATATAGTATTTCCTATCTCCTATTTCCTTCATTCGCAAAATGTGTAGAGTACAAGTAAGGTTACTACAATATCTCCAAAAATATAGATATAGATAGCTCCTTTTTTTTTTTGAAACGCCTTTGCCATTGTTACCCCTTTCATACACATACACATACACACTCTCTCTCTCCATCTTCCCTCGCTCCGTCCTTCTCTCTCTGTCTCTTTTTCCCTTGCTCCCTCTCCATCTCCCAACATTCCCACAATCTCACAATCTCACAATCTCACCAACCCCAACCCCAAAACCCGAAAAGCACCTCAACCTCAAACCCAAGGTACCTCCACCTCAGCCTCCACCTCATACTCCTCATCCCCATCCTCATCTCCCTTTTTCTTAGCCCCCATCCTACATATCGCCACTTTCTCAATCCGCATATCGCGCATCCATGTGAAATTAGCATATCGAGAGAGAATCTCTCGTGCGTTGAATTTTAGACGTGGTTTGGGTTTGGTGGGTTTGTTGGGCTTGAGGGGCTTGGGTGGTTGAGGGGGTCTGTTGGGGGGTTTGGGGAGTGTGTGGGATTTTTGAGTTTTTTCTTTGGTATTTTTGATTTTACTCTCATTTCCAGTCTGAGTCCCAGAATAAGATCCTCCCTCGACCTCGATTTCGATTCCTCTCGCATTCTTCCGCTCCCGACCCGGAGCCGGGCCAGCATGCTCGTGCTCGTGCTCATACCCTCGAGGAATATATATCGTATTCACTATCGTCGCATGCAATAGTAGATCTCTCTCCTTCTCCCTTTCTTTCCCCCCTCTCTCTGTTCCGGGAACCACAAACCCAGCATCTATAAATCTCTCCCTGACTGCTTCACAAAAGGTTTGCAGATGTTTTTCTGGGTCTAAGGGAGAGGTGTATAGGATACTGGTTGAGTGGGGGCCGTGCATAGATTTAAGTGAGTGAAGGGTTAGTGGGGGGAGAGGGAGGAGGGTGCGCAGGGAACGCGGACTTTTCTTGCTTTGTGGTGCTGGATTGGTATTGCTTGAATGGTTTTGATTTTGGCTTTGATTTTGGCTTTGATGTTCATCATCCTCGTCAAATAAACTATGTAGGATTTTGATGGCGGTGGAGAGTTTGCTGGGGGTGGAGAGATTCAGGATGTGGAGGGTTAGGTGGAGGGTTGAGGGTGGTCGGATGGCGGAGGAGGGGATTTGGGGGTGGGTTGGTGGTGTGGATTTTGAGGGTGGTGATGAGGGTAAGGTGGAAGAAGCACTAACGTCGGCTTTGAATATGGAAAGGCTGGATTGGAGTTGTGCGCGTGAGGAGGGTGTTGTGACTGGAATGCAGAGGAAATGTGTTGGGCGGGGAATAGGGGGGCGTTTGGGTGGCATGATTTTATAGCTTTTATGGTTTTGAGGTTGGAGGGGGAGTTGGTAAATATATCGCTTCGGTGGGAATGAGGATGGTGATAGAATGGAATTTAATTCTTGATATCGATATTGATATTATTAATAACTATCAAAGAAGTTTTCGAGTCGTTTATTTTAGATTTTCGATAAATATATAACATAGATGACGATATTGATATTGATAATGATAATGATAATACCCCGCATTCTCAATCGATGTCAAATTTGATAATCTAATAACTTTATATTTTATACTCTAGATAGAGTAATAACAAGTCGATCGAAAGCTTCTAGAAAATTGCTTCATAAAGCAATATTATTTATTGTTATCTATTTAGATAATCCTACCTTGTATTTACTCATCTACGAGTACAAGTAGTATCTAGTAATTAACCAAAACTTTCAATTCTCTTCATGATCTATATCCTATATCCTATATCCTATATCCTATATCCTATATCCTATATCCTATATCCTATATCCTTACGAGCACCAGTCCATGCCTTTAAATTCTCTCCTTCATATGAGTTACAAACCAGTAATACAGATATAGATAGATATAATATATGATTATCACATCCATCTCCCTCGATACAAACTCGAACTAACTAAATCACCCCAACCCAGGAAAAATACCACCGCAGATCTCCCGTATCAAACCCCTCATTTAATAACCATCCGCATCTGCATCCGCGCTTAACCATCTCGTCATCCAGGCAGCAGTTTAAGAACCTCTCATCTCTCTTTATTTTTGAGAGTTTGGAGGATTTTTTAATCATGATGCTATACGATGTGGTGTGCAAACAGATATGTTTGATTTTGGGATTTCTTTTGAGGGGATTTGAATTGAGGGATGAATGAGGATGAGGATGAGGATGAGGATGGGGAAGAGAGTTAATTAGATCTTGTTTTGTAATTTCCTTTCTCTTTTCTATTCTTCTTCTTTTCTTTTGCTTCTTCTTTTGTGATATATAATCTTAAGAAATAATTACGATTAATATTTTATTTTTGAGGACCTCAAGAAGAAGGGAAGGATCGATTTTACTTTTTATTTTGATACTTTAATTTCTTGATGATCCTTAACCTTACCTATATACTAGTAGGCATTGATTATCCTGTCGTTTATACACACGCTTTCTAGCTTTCTAGCTTTCTAGCTTTCTAGCTTTCTATCTTTCTATCTTTCTATCTTTCTATCTTTCTATCTTTCTATCTTTCTACACGAGTGTCGAAAGAAAATTATTGATTGCAAATTGCATCTTAATTCATGATTACGATTTCAATCACAAAGCTACCTAGTACCTACATACTATATACATATCTTCATCTCTGCCCAGCTCAGGAACGGGGTATTTCACTTCTTCGCTCAGTGTGTACGTACTTGAGTGTCTACTTACCTCCGTACCTACCAAGCTAGCTATACAAGTTTCATACGGAAAATTACCATATTTTAAACGCTCTACTTATTACACACAAGGTTATTTACACATACAATCTTACTCATTTATTCAATCATTTATTTAATCCATCAAACGATCACTCAATTATTCTCAATTACCTACCTACCTACCTATCCACCCATCTATAAAAGAAAAGCCATATCCTTCCTCCCTTCCTCCCTCCCCCCTCCCTCCTAAACCCCCGCAAAAATGAGTACCAGAGACAAAGAACTCAAAGAAGAGAAACACACGCTAAAATCCTCATCTACTCGTATCGACCTTTCGAATTCGCTAGCGCATCGCGCTGCATCCGCATCTACATCTACATCTATGACGGCCGAGGATTACGATTTTCCTACTTCTAGTTATGTTTCTAATACATCTCAATCTCAATCTCAATCTCAATCTTCATCATCAGAAATATCTGCACCACCACGAGTCCGCCTCTCACATTCATATACAAAATCTACAAATCATTCAACGGCTGAATCATCAAGAAGTAGTACTCCCATTTCAAATCCCACGTCTAACCTACATCCTCGATCACGGTCACCATCACAATCACGAACGCCCTCCCCTCCCGCCGCAAATTCCAAACCCCACTACGCACGAACCCCAAGAATTCCCACCCCTCATCCCTCCTACCCTCCACCCCCACCACCAACCTCCCATCCCAACTCAAAACCCTAACCACCACCCTCCACCACACACGCGAAACCCTGCACCTCCTCCAAAACGCCCATTCCACCCTGCACAACAACTACCTAACCCTGGACACACAACACCGACATCTACGCTCCACCCACGCCAATTGTCCCAGTAATTCCGAAGTGCAAAGTCGTATTACAGCATTGATGCTAGATCGTGATGCTTTCCGCGAGGCGTATAATGAGGCGATGGGGGAGATGAGGGGGAAGGATGAGGAGATTATGGAGTTGAGGGGTCAGGTGAGGGGCTTGAAGGAGTGGGTTAGTAGTAGTGGGCGGGGTGGGGTTGGGGGAACAGGTTACGGATGAGGTGGTTAGGGAGAGGATGCAGTGGATTGGGAATGCGTTGCAGAATTGGGTGATAACGAATTTTAGGAGGGGGAGAATTGGTAGGTTTGGTGATTTTTTATTATTTTTGGCACCTTTTTTGCTATGCATGCATTGTGGAGGGGGGTTTTCATGAATGTGTATTACGTGAAAGATGGGGAATGTTTGTATTGATATTGATAAGCTGGTATAATTCAGTATTATCAAACTGACTTGTAATAGATTTAGACAAAGCTCCGGATGACGTACGGCAGCAATTAGACCAATGGGTACCCATGTACCAGCATCTAGCAACATCATCTAAAATAAACTTCATACAATCCCTCGTATCAAGTCTATTAGTATATGACATCTTCCAAGCATATTTTGTCGGTCTTCCAAAACAACAAGCAATGGAGCTCGCGCAAACCGAAACAACCTTGAGTTCGTACGGTAAGAGATATAATCCTAAATGTCCGAGGTCGTAAAGCTAATGAAGATATCGAAGGTTCCGAAGATGCTATGAACCAATGGCGTTCCACCACTCTCGGAATCCTATTAAAAGAAGCTCCTGAAAAGCTCAAATCCGATACAGCCATTGTGGTTGATACATTCGTTGCGCAACTCAACAGTCTTCTGGATCCGATATGTGACGTTCCAAGTTCGGAAGCTAGAGACCAATCGCTTAAAACTATAATTCATAGCGCTATTGATCTTTCGCGATTATTGCGAGTTCAAAAGGCAGTATTTAGCATTATGATGCCGGTGATTGAGGGATATCAAAGAATCATGTTTGATGAGGAGAGAATGGAAGATATTGGGGGAGAGGATGAAGATACTTTGAACGAGCGAGAAATTAGCTGCGTGACGTTTCCTGGGATTGTAAAAGCTGGAGATGAAAATGGAGAACGGAATTATTTGGTTAATATTGTTGCGAAGATGAAGGTACTTTGTGCACCTGATTGAAGGGCAAGCAAGGAAGGAGAGGAAGGAGGACAGTAGCATCTTCATCACCGATTACACAAAAAGGATACCCGCGGGAGAGAGTGGAGAAGCTCTGTCTGTTACGCTGCTCTGTGACTCTTGTATCATGCAGCAACAATGGGGGAGTCTTAAGTGATAGGTTAAATGATATCTTCAGACAGTAAATCCAGCAGATATAGTGGAAGAGGAGTGCTGATTCCAACAAACAAACATATGTGTATGATACGTGTACACAATTTAATATCACATATAATGGTTACACAGATACCGTGATTACCCGCTGAGATCTTCGTCTTGCATGCCGTGGTTCGAATTCAAAAGCGGGGTCGCTGAGGCTCTGCTGCTAACTAAGCAAAATCATTGGTAAGTGCGGGGTATGGGGTACGAAGCTTAACCAAATTTCCTGAATCTATTCATCCGCCACGGTATATACCTGTGGCGAATGTATTTATACTTTTGATTAGCAATTGGATATATGCGTATGGTCAATGCTTTGCATTTATGAGTGACGATAATATTGAAGTTCGTTTTCCGAGTACTGCCCCGGGTAATCAATTTGCCTGCTATCACGCTTTTCAGACCTGACCGAGAGGATGCAGTACTACAAACGTTGTATCGTGATCCATTGGGACTTCGCAGGAACTGAAATCGACGATCATGCATGAACTCTGCGAATTCATTTATCGGTGGTAAGGAAACAATGTCGTGACAGAAGCCTCCTGAATGTGGAGTGGATGGAGGAAAGGGAAAAGCTAGGAAGTATGTTTGCATAAAAAGCTCCGAGTCAAAAATCATGCTCCTTGTTGACCGAGTACAAATAAACATCGAATAGGAATGTCGAACAGTTGCTGCCGTAGCTCAGTTTAGTTGGTTGTTGGTCTGATGATCTACCGTTTCGAGGAAATAATTTCCTCTCACCTCCTCATCCGCATGGTATTGTAGCTTTGTGTCCATTCAAGAGTATGAATTCGCCATCAAGAAGCGGTGTAGGTGTTGCGTGTGTGAAGGAGTCGATAGATATGACCGAATGGTTTGAAGAGCCACTTGATTTGTTAGGTAGACGGGTAGCTACTGTTACATGCAGGAAAAGATGCATTGCTGCTCCAGCAATTTAAATACTAAGAATCGATTTGTGAACCCAAGTGTATGTGAGCACCGAGATTTTGCTCATACTGGATCGGTGTGTAACAACACTCTTATTATCCTTGCAGTTAATAATATATATGTATATATTTTGACGTTGATGTGGATGTGTGGGAATGTGGGAATGTAGGAATGTAGGTCGAGTATTGGGTCGATGGGACCATTTGTCGCAAAATGACGAATAAAAAAGGTTTCACTAGAAATGAATGTTTCAAAATCCGGGGCAGAGACGAAACACGAAGGGAAAATATTCTTAAAAGCAAATCGAATTTGAGCTTCCACATTTAAAGATGCGTGAATTGAGAACTGAATGTTGGCTTTGCTTCCTTAAATTGTGACACCTCCACGCTTATTGCAGTGGTCAGCCCATCGAAGAGGACATCACACAAACATCAGTCTTTTCCTCCTTTCCACTTTCCAGAAGACGAAGCACAATTTAAAAAAGGTCATTGATCTCCTTTTGGATGCTCCCGACGATAAAAACTCAAGGAAAAAATAAATAGTACATCGGTCGTCGAATCTTTTCAGAAAATCATTAGTGTGCGCCATCCATTGTTTAGTTTTCGAGGGAGAGGCCGCTTGAGACACCAAAATCTGGGGAAAGGACCATATTTCGCGCTACTTCCTTTCATCCCCGCAAATATTGTGGAACATCACAACGAAAACCAGTACCTATCTATCCTTCACAACACAAACACCAATATATAAAAGTTGTTTCCGCAGCTTCATATATATCTGCCACTATCATTCTCATTGCCATTGCCTTCAGTCCATCCTCTGACACTCGTCAAAATTAGGGTCCATTCCTAGTGATTGGCAAGACCGTCCTTATCTTATCGACGCTCCACTTTCTTTCATTGTCCAACAAATCCGTCCATCTTATCATAGAAGCTAGATCACTTATCGTCAAAGTGAGCACTGGTGCACTTGCGAATTCGACTTGCTGTTTCGCCCGCATTTGTGCGAAAATGGCATCTTGCGATAATCCAAGCATCTCCAGGTACCTCAATGACTCGGTAGATGCTCTCCCGAGTCTTCTCACAGGTACTCATCGTACAAGCTGTCTTAGCATGCCATCTCTCCTTCGACAATACACAAATGGAACGTACAATGCCTCGACACGACCAATTACAAGTCAAGAGCCAGCATCAACGATATGTCCTTGCAGTGAATATGACGAGAGTGTGTTTAGCAGACAGTCAAATAAAACAACCACAACAATGACCAGCCATCAATCTGTTCAGATCAACCCTATAGCAGGATGGCAGCTCCTAGTACCCGAAGCCTCTCAAATCAATACTACCGTCGTCCTTCCATGCGAGTTTATACCGATAAATTGTGGGGTATTCTTCCGTCCGGACGATTTTGAGAATTGGCTTGCGCACAGCTTGACTCATTTCAATAATCTTCCCCCTCCATCAAAATGCTTCTGCATCTTCTGTGACGAGGAATTTGAAGAAGATGATCCGCATGATAATTGGAGGCGAAGGATGATGCACAGTCGTGACCATCTTATTGACGGGGAAACAAATATTCGCCCAGATTTTTCGGTACTCGAGTATATGTCGAGGAATGGTCTGATGAGCGATGCGGATTACACTTTGGCAAAGCAATATACCGAACGTCCATCAGTACATGGTCTCGTACGAAAGGGTTTTGTGACCCCTGAAGCAAAATACAAACGGGAAAGAGAGTCTGAGGTTCCGCACAATCTGCAAAAAGAGGAAAGAAATCGCAAACGTTCAGACCACACGCACAAAGGCATCGAACACCAGAGATCAACTTCATCAAGGAAGTATATGCCAGTATCCATCGAACATTCAAAACACACTTGAGCTCTGTAGCTTCTCGCCCAGCAAAAAATCATACTTCAAAAGTCGAGGCAATGTTTTGAAAACTCTGCGACTTTATATTTGCGATGCCGAGTGGTGGTGGCTATGTTGATGATGAATTTTGCCACTGTCTCAGTGTTTAAATACCATGTCGTACTTGCGTTAGAGCTGTTGAATTTTGCTCTCAGCGAATGAGTGAGTTTATCTGTGGACACCCATTTCGATGCAGGTACATAGGGCCATGCGCCCCCCGGCGTTACCTGCCTAACCTTAAACCTCCCAGAAAAAGGACACCGAGTGGCACGGACCCGGGCCAATGATATTTTGTTTATTGCGCAACGTTGGGATTCTGTCAGACGTTTTGTTTTGCATCTCTTCGGATTCACTATGCTGGTTCATGGTCGAAAAGAAAAGTCTCTTGAACGATTTCCATACCAAAAATGTATTTCCTTTTCTCTTCCCTTCTAGGAAACGATATGTTTATCTGCTTTAAATTTTTAGTTACGATGGTGAACTATACTTCCCATGAGTTATGGCAGTGCCGTCATGAATAAATAGCACTTCACTTGCATTTCTTGTAGCATCTCATTCGTGCATATGTGCGTGGTTTTTTTAGGCATTCTTTGGTGTCTATGAGTGGTAAGGCGTATTTCTTCGGGAAATGACTCGATGGGAGATATGTTGGTCCCTTCCCATTTAATAGTGCATATCGGTGTCCAACCAGGTCAAGCAAGCCAATCACCCACCAGTACACATATACGTTGGGATAGATTATATCACCAACAGTCTTGCATATGAGTAGATCTGGCCATAAGTCATGATATAGGGCGAAAAACCGTGTCTGTTGTGAGAACCTCGTTAACCAGCCAATTTGGAAAATTTGAAGCTATCCCCAGCCTCCTAAATTGTCGCCTTCCTAACCATGCCCAAAAATAAAATGAGAACAAAAGTACTGACCGATCTCGTATTTATAAACCCTCTATCTAGCTTCTGTACTTCAATTTTAATAGCTAAAAATTCATATCCCATTCTCGCACCAAATCACAACCATATCTGATGCTTCGCCCAAACTTTATATATATAATCATAGCCCCATAAACCATGCGTCAAATTAACTTCCAGAAGCACTTTTTAACATTCCATGCAGTAAGTAGCCTTCATCATGCAGTGTAACATAATATATTTCTTCCAATGATACTCTTTGTCTCCACTGCAAGGGTCATGGCATGTGGAAAAATATCAGCACAGCCTCACTCGTTTGCCGCTCGGCATTCGGTGAGCTAATCTGGAGTTTACATTTCACTATATCTTAGCTAGATACCTAGGTAGGTAGGTAGGTAGGTACTTATGGATTGATAGATTGATAGATTGATATAGGATTTATTAACCAAGATAGATATAGGTAAGTGTGGATAAAAGAGCAGGATAGGATATCAGTTATATACCTAGCTAGCTCCGATGGATAATAAACGAGAAGAAGAAAAATGAAAGTAAGAAAACCAAAGTATGAAAAGAATGAAGTAGAACTGGGAAGGAAAAACTAAGAATTATCCGGATGTAGTGTATTAGTATATACGGTTATGCAAGTAATGGAATAAAGTAAGTCGGTCTTATATCCGCACGAGAATTGTTTCGTGGCGTGTCGAAATATAATATTGTTTATGGCAGTTCTGGAACTTTGACGCTATTAATGAGTAGATATCTAGATGTTGTTTATTGATATTGATCGCTGTGCTATAACTATAACTATAACTACTGTTTCTGTTATCAATATTCATATGCTGTGCAAGTAACAATGATATCATTCTCAAAAGAGCCTCAATACCTATCTCCAACACGAGTCTCCCCACCATTCTCCCAAATAACACTCCGCATCAATCCACTAACTCTAGCACATTCTCAAAAGTCACTAAATCCAATCTCCTCAATGAAACTCTACTTCCACCCTCCCATACCTACGACCATCAACCTTCAACTCAAACGCCAACCCGGCACTCTCCACCACCATCTCGAGAGTAAAATCCAAATTGAGAAACTCTACTCCCCTCGTAGTCGTCAATCTCGTATACATACTCTTTGGCACCGCGCCCAGATCCGTCGTTAGCGTGCACACGCTTATGAGATCCTTCGTGTCGGATGCGGGAGGTTCGCCGTCTGAATCACAGGCAATGAGATCATCGGATACGATGAGTGATTGTCCTGGACGGAAATTACGCGTGTAGTGAAAGGAGACTGGAGTATCTGTGCTAAGAGTATCACCCTGTGTGGGGTTAGCGATGAAAGAATGGACGGGGAGAAAATAGTATACCTTATGAAGATGCCATTGCATCCTATCACTAACCATCCATCTTTCCCATAATGGACTCCAGTATCTTTCACTAACATCATGTTTATCCTCATCATAAACTGTTGCGTACGAGGTTCCGTAATGCATTCTCGCTTTTCTGGATACTACTACGCTTCCTTCCAATCCTTTGAGAACGGCTCCTCGAACCACAGCAGTCCATGCATTTATAGGTTGCATGACCTCTACCGAATTGCCTTCTGCTAAGGCCATAGATTGTGCGTGAGTTGGACGTTCGCTATAAGGTGGCGGAGCTGCGCTGTTAAAATGCGCTTTTAACCTTTTGTATAGATGATTGCTTTGTCCAAAACCGCCCACAAGTACTATACCAGAAACGATACCTCCTTTTCGTCTAATACCATCAACTTGGCCTTGAACCAAATCACACACCTCTTTTACAACTGGCTCAAAAATATCTTTAACTTGAGCAGTTGTCATGATGAAAAATCCACAATCCAAACCAGCATCTATGTCATCTGGTAGACCTGGAAGAGGAATATTGAATTCAGTATTGTTGTCCTCATCAAAATCTCGTTTTACGTATTCTTCCCAGTATTTTAATCCCGTCTGCCATGACTTGGCTTTCTTCATTTTCATCTCTTCAAATCGTTCGACTCCTATCCTACTCTTGCAATGTTCCTCAAATCGATAATTAAGAAATGCGCTCCCGCAAAGTCCTCCCGTACCTACTGCTGACTCTTCTACTCGCAGTGGTTTGAGGGATATAATTTTATAAGCAATGAGATCTACTGTGCCCCCTCCGGCATCACACACCACAAAATTGTCACCGACTTGTAGATGATTTGGTTGAATGGCTTTTAGCGTATAAACAGCAGCTGCTTCCGGCTCACTGATCATTTGGATGGCTGATTTGTCACCCATTCCCGCTCTCTCCGCAGCTTGAAGTGTTGTGTTCTTCGCAGCATCAGACCAGACCGCTGGACAAGTAAGAACAAATTCGACTTTCGTAGTTGACATGAATAATTCTCCATATCGGCGAGTTAATGTCTCAATTGTGTGCTTATAAATTTGAGTCAAATAATCACTGACAGCATCAACAACGTTTTTGCCGTGCTCCTTCAACAGGTTGGCAGTTTCAGCCGGACTGACGTAGAAAGGTAATTTTTGAGATCGGTCAAGAAATAATTTGATACATCGCAGTCGGGGTTCTTCAGGACGGAATTGGCAACCCCATTTTATCGTTGATTCAGTCCCTGCTGGTGATCCCGGCGGTCTGGAGTATCCTATTTCTGTTGGAACTTTGTCGGAAGTGATTCCATTACTTCCAGGCCAAGTTTTGATGATATCTACATCATCAGGATTAGATGTATATACAACAGCAACACTGAATTAATGTTAGCATTTGTGTTGACATTTGAAATGGAAACTGTGACGAAGAAGCTGGTGTGGGCGCTAATACGAAGAAACTGCCATCAACACGAACTTTCATGGATGGAGGCCCCTAAGATTGACCAAAAACAATAGTTTCGAATTTCAAAAACTAAATAGCGCAAACATAATAGAATATCTGAAATAGTGTAATTATCAGAAGTGTAAGATCACGCTTTCGCGGCGCCACAAGTATCTCGTCAAGACAAGCTATAAAAATATACATACCCAGAATATGTTGTCCCAAAATCTAATCCAACAATTAGTCTCTCAGTCACAGGTGCTGGCTCCCGTATTGGTCCTGCGATTACTTCCGTTGAAGAAGTGGGTGTGTGGTTGCCAGAGGTGTAATGCTTCCGACTTTCATCGTTTCTCCGACTAGCACTCCTAATAGGTAGACTGAGATTCATAGTGACCATTTATGATAATAAATTGCTTTGATTTCAGGAATACACCATTCACGAAGGGTTTTCACCACGATGGTGATTGTGTTGATCTAGGAGGAGGGTCGCTTGATGCCCCTCAATTGAGCCCCGCCAGATCCCAGACGAGCCCTTTGAGCAAACAATCAATAAAATGGAGAGGATCGGCTATTTGATTTTATTCTCTCTCTCTCGAGCTTGACCAGAAAGATTCGTGTCGACACTTCAGGAGGTAATGTGAGTTTTTTAGTTGCTTCAAGCGTGTGATGCTTTTCCGATATAAAGCGTAAACGTGGAGGAATTATATTCTTGACGGATAAAAATATTCTTTCGAGAGTTATCCTTCTGAACTTTAAAAGACACGCACAAGAAACGAAGGGATGCAGCGATGACGGATCAAAAACAATACTGAGGAAGATGGGACAAATCAAGATTCCGCCATAGGCAGCAGGAAAATGGAATTTGGAAGCCTGAAGTAATACTGACGGGTACCTCGGGAAACAGATGTTATTAAACAGGGTCGTCGGATGCAAAGAAGATATTTAACTTTATAAGCCGTGTTAGGGTATGATCGTGTCGAACGGAATTTATATAAAAGGAATAAAAAAAGAGCGATGTTTATTTTAAGGTGATGGTGAAGTTTGGTCGTGCAGCATAAGGAATTCCTAGAACATCCATCCATCCAATCCCACCTACAAATTAGCCGCAGTTCAGCGTTACATCAGCGAACCTTCTTGGATGTATTCCAACCCTCTTCAGACCATCGTGACAGAACCAGATCATTTCTTATCTGGTAGGGCTGAACATCTTCAGGTTGCATCTTTCTGTAATACGACATCCAAGAATGGAGTTATGGGCATGTGGGTTTAATGCTTGGAATCAACTTCAGTTCGATGGAGATCTTCCTGACGAACCTGAGGATGTTTTTACCTTCAAACGGGTATTAAAAGCAAAGGGAAGTATCAAAATTATTGGGACTTCTTTTTCTGCTTGTTTAGGTATGTTGAAATGATCTTCTTCTTGACTTGCTGTATTCAGTTCCAGAAACGGGAATTCAAACTTATATCACGTGTGCTTCACATGATCAGGCATATTGTATTGTGAATGAGAATACAAATGGCTTCAACTGGCAGCAGTTCTGGCCGGTGCTGTAGATTGAATAAGATTGATTTATCTTACTTATTTGGGCTGTTCTTCTTTCACTGGAGTACTCAAATTCGAACGTCGACAAGAAAGCTGAAACGGGATTACAAGTGAGCTACAAGCTTCTACTCTTCCCTCATAATAGTGCAATGCTTGGTCTATATAAATCCTATTTGATATGGAACACGACCTTAAAGTATACACATATGGGTTCTGTCAAAATTTAGGGACACCCTTCCTTCATATTATTCCTAGGTCAATCAGGCAAATCGGAAAATTGTAGGCTTGATACCTAGTTTGACCCTCTTTTTAGCATATAAATACGCTGCCTCACCATGTAACGTAGCTAATCCTCCTTTAATTTGTAGTAGCAATATCAAACGACTCTTCAAGCCATGCCGAGGAAATCAAAGTCGCCGGGCATCCAGACGGATTCTTACAGACACAACTCGTGCAAATCACGGCAAAGAGCAGCACGCAAAACCAACAACAAGAAACACTCTCCAAAGCACCCGAAGAGTATCAAAGAAAAGCAACAGCAGCAGGAAACGATAATATAGCAGGTAATCAACAAACCATCCATACCAATCCCTCTATCAACGCACTAACAACCCTTAGAATTCACCCCGACAGAGATAATCCAATACTCTTCACTCCGCAACTACCTCACACGCAGCAATCCAGACTTCGTTCTCCCGCTCCCACACATCACACAACTCGTATCAAACAGCACGACCTTCAGCGCTCTGGCGCAGGAAGGGAACGTCTACACCTGGGGCGACGAACGGTACCCTTCCTGTCTCGGGCGCGAAGTGACTTCATCAAGGTATATTTCCTCCTCACTCCTCTTCTTCTCATTCCGCAGTTCCCATTCTCAATTTCCCCGCAATGACAATCTCAAATGAAAAAAAAACCCTAACCATTTTAAATCCAGTCCCGCATCTCATCCCACGCACATCCAATCCCTCACCTCCCTCCCCACAGGACCCATCCAAAAACTCTCATCCTCTGGCCCCCTAACCGCCGCTCTAACCAGCGGACACGATCTCTACATCTGGGGCCGTACCAATACTCCCTCTATAATCCCCGAACTTTCATTCCCGCCCCCTTCATCTTCCTTATCCCAATCTTCACATTCGTCTTCACCATCCCCCTCAAACAACTATGATCCCATACCCCTCGATATCCACGGAGCCGACATTCTCGATTTCAGCATTGGTGAGAATCACATGTTGGTGCTTACGACTGAGGGGGAAGTGTATGTTATTGGGGAGAATGGGAATGGACAGCTTGGGCTTGGGGAAGAGGAGAAGGGGAGATGTGAGGAGTGGAGATTGGTGGGTTTGGATTTTGGAGAGGGGAGTAGGAAGAGGTGTGTTGGGGTGTGGGCGGGGTATAAGTGTAGTTTTGTTTTTGTGGAGGATGCTGGTAGCTCTTCATGAAGTTGGGAATGGAATATTCGGTTTGCTTTCACATCAAAGTGGGAGCAAGGATTTGAAAAAACAGATGTTCAGTATGGTATCTCTGTGCTCATTTTGCCGTCTTATGCTATTCTATGATACATCATGACTTTGGGACTACGTTAAAGTTCATTGCTATTGCAGAAGAAAAGAAAAGCAGCTCATAGATTCGTAAGGTAATCCTCAATTTCTTGAGGGCTCAGTTTTCTAAAACGTGGGCCTTGAGCACCCTCGACTCCCTCGATGCCCAACAAATGATCGGCTGGTGGTCCCACAATACCTAGGAATATGTTAGTAAATTAGAGTACTTATTTGAGTTGTTTTAACTTGCCGATCTCTACTGTATCGCCATTCATCTCTCCCTCAATAGTCTCCTTCAGCGTCAAAAGAGCAATGTGTACGGCATCCTCCAACTCCAACCCTTCCGTGTATCTCTTCTCCAAGAAAGTCTTCGCCGAAGTAGCGTTCTTTCCGATGGCAGTTGCCTTCCATGGAAAGTAGCTACCACTTGGATCAACTTGGTATAACATAGGCCCGCCCTTCAAAATTCCACCAGTCTTGCCTGATGGTTTCTTCTCATCAGGATGTATCTCCGCACCAGCAACATCTTCTGACTCTGGCTCAATTCCATCATCCCAACCTGCAATCAACAAACTAACACCGTATGGTCGTACACCTCCAGACTGAGTAGCTTCTTGCATCACCCTCGCAACATCTTGTACTAATATCCGAGTAGGTGGGTATTCGTTGTAGATACGCTTGTAGCCAGTGTGGGATACTTTGCGGGCCTTGTCGACGAGTACGCGGTAATCAGGTCCCATGCCGGAGTAGACCATGCCGATGTTTGGAGTGATAAGGGAGACTTTTGAGAGAGAGGGTGGATCAATGAGTGTGGATGAGGATTTCTTTTCCGTGGCGAGGACAATGCCATTGGTAGCTACCGATAAATTAGTACAAATACGCAGATTTAAAGAGTATATATGTACCTTTAATTCCCAATGCAGTAACACCTTGATTGACGGCATTTAACGCATATTCTGTTTGCGACTTGGTTAGTACATAGAGCTGGTGGGATGTATCAAAAGGATAGTTGGAGTTTGGCGCATATCAGAATCGAGCTTCATTTGATAGTACGAACCTATCTGAACCAGTTTCCCACTGCAAATGTTAGCAAAGCACTTTAATATGTATAGTATATCACATAATGGGAAACCTAGGAAGCTCTATTTCAATCATACCTGGGGGAGAAGGTTGTCAAGGAGAAAGAATATCTATCCGCCATTGTATCTGTTTATTCAAAAACCTATCTAGCAGATTTTGAAGGTTCGAAGTCACAGAAAAGAATTAATGGAAATGTAAAGTATGGGTGGGATGTGTAGAGTTTGAAGCTGTATATTTCCGGGGTAGTTGGACTTCAAAGCTACAGGCAGCTCAGGTCCACGACGCGATGTAAAGTAGAGCCTTACATATTAGGCATGAAGTGAGCTCAAGCGCCAGGCATCAACTCGACATGTGGGCAAAGGCAAAATACCAAGGTTTAAATATACATTTTGCATTTTTTCTCACGGGTAAATGATCCTTTTCTTTATTTCCCAATGGAGCAACTGGAATTGCAATCCTAATCATGTTGTATCGTAAGGAATTATTCTGGTGGTTTTTTAGTATCGCCCTGGGTACTTCCTAAGTACCTAGGTGACATAGATATGTTTTCTAGAAATATAAGGAAACAATTTTCGGGGATTTTACTAGCGCGATCGTACAAAACGCACACCTCAGAAATCTGATTCAGATGGAAAATCAACCAAAACATTTCTCCTCAAAAGCCATCAAGAAGCCACATCTCAACATTGTTGTCCATGTCTTTATATACTCTTCATACTTCTTCATTGAAGTTTCCCTATGATTGATCTTATTAACTATCTGTTCACTAACTTTAGTCCTGCAAACTTACAGCCCTTGGTGCATGGAACTTTCTCTTTGTTTTTTCCAAAGCCTGCTGGGAGCTACTTTTTTTTAGTTAATTCTTCGGAGATCGGAAAATCATTATATGTAGCTTCACTGTCATCACTTCGAAGCTCCATCGTTCCTTCTCAATTCATCACATAAAAAGAAAATCACAAAAATAGAATCACAAACCCAACTCACAAAAAATGGCAGTTCCAGTTACCTCATGGTCGTGGGGCAATATTGCGGAAGAAGTTGCCTCCCAATCCTCTGGCCAAAATCAGAACGACGTATACACAGAAAACAAGCAAGCGCATCAAGAAGCTCCTGTGCAAGAACCAGAGCCGGCGCCAGAACCGGAACCAAAACGTCGGAGATATTATCCACCTCGACAATGTCGAATATGTCTCGAAACCGTCGAGCCAACCTTCGAAACTCCTACCGCTGGCATAGCTTCAATTCTCAATCCGACACCTCGAGTAACGTACACGTCCGAAGATCCTGAGTTAGGTCGTTTAATGCGACCGTGCAAGTGCAAAGGGAGTCAAAGACATGTCCACGAAGGCTGTTTGACAGCCTGGAGACACGCAGATCCACTTTACGGAGCACGAAATTATTATGAATGCCCTACATGTAAATTCCAATACCATTTTCAGAGAATGAAGTGGGGTCATTTGATTAGTAGTACATTCGCGCAATTATGTCTGACTTTGGCGATATTATTTGTGACGATTTTCGTGATGGGCTTCGTCGCAGATCCAATCATCAATTTCTATCTGGATCCGTATAGCACAATCTTTTCTCTCCCTTCGATGGGAGGGAGTGGTCCCGCTCTACATATTGTGGAGACCGAGACGACGACTTGGACTGAGCATCTATTAAAGGGATTGGCGTCTTTGGGAATGCTAGGATTTGTTAAGATTTTCTTCGCAATGTCTTCATTCAGCTGGTGGAATATAAGGCAAACTGGCGTGTTTGGAGGCGGCCGCATTCGAGCTGGAACAGGTCGAAATCGTCTGGAGAATATCAGTTGGACGCTTGTCATTATTGGTGTTGGCGCTTTCTTAGTTGTAAGTTACGCCCGAGCTATAAATCATAAATTCGCTAACACTCTTTAGACAGTTTGGAAATGGACCAGAACTTGGAGTAGAGCCGTGCTCGAGCGAGCTGGCGAGACTGTGATTGATGTTGGAGGTGATGATGCTGATGAAGATGAAGAACAGGCAGAAGCAGAAGCTACCGCGCGGGCAAACCAAGAAACTGCAAGAGAACACCCTCCAACAACTGTCGATCCTGAGACCAGGAAAAAGCAGTGAGGGCATAAGAGCGTTTTCCCGTATAATTTGTCAAAATCTTACCTCAACAGTGTTTGTATATTGTTTTCCGTAAACTGTACTCGATCATTTCCAAACATATCTATCAGGACTACATGTCTCGGGAGTACCAACCTCTCCTCATTTTCCACCTTTCCCGCACATTCTTAAGTTGTCACGAGATCCTTCACAGTATCGTGCCAATTAGTCTTCGTGCGCAGAATAAGCCAACTCAGCTGGAGCCCAGAAATCCCGAACGTCTTGTTCTTCTTTTCACATACCGGCGACCGCGAGTTTCTTGATCAACACTCCCGTTTCTCATATTCGATCGGACTCCTTTGGAGAATGGTCGCATTGAGATGTTTATTTTCTGATTCCTTCGCTGCGGCACTGGTTGTGGCTTTATGCTAGGATGGGGAATTGGAGGGACCGTTGACACATTCTTTTCGGGTGCTTAAATGCTTAGGTGCTTAATGCTTTGCATAGTTGGATAGTTGGGATGGAGGCATTTGGAAATGGAAATGGGAAATAGGAAATCGAAATGGAGGGTGTTTTATCGTTGGGTTTTCCGAATTATGCATGTTTAGCGTGATTTGATATTTTGTATTTTATTTTAACTCGAAAAGAAAAATTGAAGGGAATTTTGAGATATGCTTCTTCAATTTTTTGGGTGATTTGCAAATGCGATAACTGCTCAGGTGTTTTTTAAACAGTATGTTTGAGAACTAGACCGCTTCTATGATATTGGGTCACCCTTTTTGAGTTGATATTGCACTTTGTTTTGAGTATCAAGTGATTTTTGGTCTGATGTGAAGATAGGCATTTACGAATACCTAAAACCATTTCGTCAAGGGAAACTTCACATACGGATATAGTCTGTACAAGATGATATTCTTGTGTAAATTTCATACCATTCCATGCCATGTCATATCACATCATATCACGCCACTAGATATCAAAAACAACTAAAATAGAAACTCTACGCTTCACAAAAAGCAACATGTGCCTCCAAACCCTCCTCAGCCTCAAACTCCAACTCCGTACCTACACCCACGAAAAATACATATCCCTCCTTCAACTCAAACTTTTCCCCGCCCACTTTCAAAGTTCCTTTACCGCCCGTAATAACCATAATACTTGGACCTCCCAGCTTCTCAATCGTTTCCTTTTCTCCTTTTTCGAGCGCCATGATCAACATGTCGAATTCACTCATAGGTGGTGCTAATACTTTTGTTTTTCCATTTTTACCCTTGGGGCTTGATGTAGGTTTGAGGATACATTCATCTTTTCCGACGGGAGAAAAGGTCAGAGCAGCGCTGAATAATTCGGCAGAGTCGCGGTCGGCGCGGGGACAGAACCCGCTGTTTATTACGTTGTCGGAGCGAGCCATGCATTCTACGATGTCGCCGGAGAGATAGGCGTGGATACCGTCTGCGGGGACGTAGATGGCGTCGCCTTTTTGGAGGGTCAAAAAGTTCATTGTGAGGAGGGCGACGAGGTTTCCTGGGTCGGAGGCGGAATATTGGGAGGCGAGACGGGGGAGAAGCTCGGGGACGTGTGATGAGGTAGGGAAATCTGAAGAAGGAATTTCTTTAAGGGCGTTGTAGATGGATGTTACTTCGTCATCTGAAAGGGTCAGGATTTTGTGTACGATGAATTTTAAAGCATCTTTATCGATGGTATTGGATGGGGAGGTGAGGAATTTGGAGCTCAGGACTGGGATGCTGGTGAATAGCGATTGGATTTCAGAAAGAGGTTTCCAGCCAACGAATGTTTCGAATTTTCCAAGGGCAACAGCGATTTCCGGTTTGTGGTTTGGGTCTCCAAACCTCTCGGGGTCTCGTTTATGCAGTTTGGTTGCAAGGTCCTTGTCAGGATGAATTTGTAGAGGCAGAGCTTTAGCTATTGAAAGAATCTGAATTTATAAGGTCAGTATGGACATCGCAGATAATGTGGCAGGAGGGAAACAAGTACCTTTGGTAAATATGGTAGATCTGCTCCGAATTTATCGAGAATTGGTTTTCCAATCAACTTCTCCTTGTTGGCATTAAGATGTTCCTGTAAGTCTTTGCCGTTTGACAAGATGAGAGATGGCGTAGTGGGATATGTGCCCATCCACATCTCTGCGTACTCTTTACTCTCATCGAGCTTGAATTTGCCTCCTGGGGTAGCAGCTGCATACTTTGCTGCAAGAGACTCCTTGCCTTGTTTGCCCCAAGGATAATTGTTGCATTGACATTCTAATTGAATGACTGATGAAGATGCCGACATTTTGGATGACATTTTGGATGAAGATGTAGGCTTCTTTTTGGAGATACAATTCCCAGAAATATGCGGAGTGTGAAGAAAGAAAGACAGTGATCAACGGTTATAACGAGTGTGAAAATTAATACCTACCAAGCTTTCTAAGAATTTTCCATATTCTTAGAGTTGTAGCGCTCCGGAGGTATCTCCCATATACTTACATACATAATGACGTTGAAATTTTGACATTTGTAGTTCGTTCGATCTTTTGTTGTTACATCATAGTAGGATACAGATGGTAGGTATTTTCTGTGGATGCGGTTGATGGATGGGATTTTGAATGTCCCGACGGACCGAAGAACAACTGAATTACTAAGTTCCTGGCTCCGTATCGCTTGTCTTCCGGACCTCCACATGCTCGTTGCATGGCACAGAAGCTTAGTTGTTGGCAGCCATGGCAGCACAGGGCATGTTGAGCTCTATTTAAGAGACCCAATCAAAAGCTTCAAGTGCCTATTTCGTATGGATGAATGAAAGTTGGCCAGGTGTTGAAAGAACATCTAGCTAGATGGGGAGAAGCGGTCTGGATTGAAGGGTCTTATCCTGTAGATCATTCATTGGGTGAGTGTGGTGAGATCTCCTTCACTGCTTCTGTCAAAGATGTTTGAATATCGACGGCCTGTTCACCTACCCCTAAACTTTACCTAGAGTGTCTTGTTGTAGATTCCAGATACGTTCACATGTATTTGGCCAAGGTAGCAGAGCAGAACAATAGAGAGAAGCGAGATGGATGAAATGTAAAAAAATAAAAAAATATAATCTAATCTTATTTCCTGCACTCTTATCTGTTGTTCTCATCAAAACTAGAAGCCACAAGGATTGAGATTTGGAAGTTTAATTACATCTCATCTAGAGTGAGAACGGAGGAGAAAGGTTGAAGGCTCAATCGATTATTTTCACCCCTACACTTATTCCTTCTAGTTCTAGGTTAACCAACCTCGAGCCAAGAACAAATTTCTCTAAAATAACATAATCTGGGTTTCGATTACAACGGCAACAACACCTTCTATCTTCTCCTTGTTGTCGCATTAAGTTGCTGTTGAAGAATTCTCTTCATGATCGATATGCTTTATTATTTTCTGTAATAACCTTTAATCTCGATTCCCAAAGACGACCCTGCTACCATCAGCTCGGTATATCGATTCTCCACTCAACGCGCCAAGTGTCCACCACAAAGGTCAAATACGAAAGGACACAGCGCAACAATCTCGCCATCCTGTGCATCGCGATCAATTATTAAAGAAAGTCCCGTACGACGTTGGGGCTACAATTATTGGCAAAAGCTGTAACGATTGTAGCAGGTGCCTGAGGGGCCCAGTACATACGACACATAATGCATTTGGCATACCCCTCGAGGAAAGCCTCGAATCCTCCGGCATATCTTGCGCCACGGTCTTCTCGTTTCCCAATGCTACGCAGAAGTAGGGTGAAGACGATACTTCTAGGTGCCTGTGCCATAGGGGCAGTATTCTTTATACTTTCAAGTATACTTGGGGGAGCAGACAGAATTCCATCAGGGACTCCGCCGGTTGTAATTGTCACAGTATTGGATACGGTGGGATACAGCAAAGAATATCAGGATAGCGTAAAGGAGAATCGAATTCAGTACGCCAGGAAACATGGTAAGCAAATTCTGTGCGAATGGCCAGATCTCACTATTCTGGTACTGGGGCAAGAACCAAACTGATCATTCTTAGGCTATGCAACATTTTTCCCTAGCATTGGAGACTATGATGTTCAAGGATCACCAAATTCATGGTCCAAAGTTCCCGCTGCACGACACGCACTATCACAATTTCCACATAGCGAATACATTTGGGTTTTGGAGCAGAATGCCCTCATCATGAATCCTGCGCTGAAAGTCGAGGATCACATTATGGAACCAAAACGGTTGGAAAGCTTGATGATCAAAGACCAATCTATTGTGCCTCCCGACAGTGTTATCAAGACGTTTCCAAATTTAAAAGGAGGAAACATTGATTTGGTACTCACTCAGGATAAAGACGGTCTGTCGCAGGCTAGTTTTATCATCAGAAAGGGGGAATGGAGTAAATTCTTTCTCGATACATGGTTTGACCCTCTGTATCGTTCTTACAATTTCCAGAAGGCGGATACGCATGCATTGGTGAGTGCTCATACGTCTTTGGAAGGTTCGATATCTAATATTAATCAGGAACACATTGTGCAATGGCATCCAACGATTTTGTCGAAGTTGGCACTCGTGCCACAGAAAATAATGAACGCATACAACTCGGATGATGCGGGGGGATATAAAGATGGAGATTTCGTCGTCCGATTTCCAGGTTGCGACCAGTCAGGACGAGACTGTGGAAAAGAGGCCGAAAAATACACAAGACAATGGCGGACTGTCTTCGCCCAACGATGATCCATACCTTTACTACGATAATTCTTCCAATCCTCATTAACAGCATATAAGCATACTTAGGGCTATAGGAAGCCCTTATGATCTACGAATAGCGGGCAAGGCGTTTGCAGGCGTACAACAGCATGAAGATAAATGTTTGCATAAATGTACAATACCGGCGAGGACGTCTGTAGCAACATGGATATCGTTGAGGCTGGCAGGTGTAGTTTTCTGGGGGTTGAAGTAAAGATTTTGTCTTCTGTATATTATTCGAAGCCTACATACCCCAGCTGTCAATAGTATTGTTCTTTCAGTACTTGCAAAGGTCTCCGATATGATTTGTGTTTCATCATATGCTCTCCAGGACAACTTACAATATAAATGTCTGACCGGGAGAGGGGATGATGGGGCACGACAGTCTAATGAATTCGATGCATTGTTATTCGTCCGATGTTGATGACCTTCAGTATATCCATGTAGCATCATATAGCATCACAATATGAATAATTGGTAGAAACTTGTCAAAAAATAACCATAGAGAAGAACTTCCAAAGATTATGTCCACTTTTATATGATGATATTTTAGATTCTTATCAGACCGTTCGAAGTAAATTTACATGGGCAGGCCGGGTAATGAGCATAAAAGAGCCAAGCATGTGACGAGTAACATCCTCGGCATCTCCAAGTGAATCAAGGAAAGAATAAACACCGATGGAGACGAATCTTGTCCTTTTGCACTTTATTTAGGTACTCTTCAACCCCAACTTTTTATCTCCATTCTCATCACTCACCGATCCTCCGTCCCACAAGATGCCCGGCAGTTCGAGAATGCCCGTGAGCTTGCGCAATAGCTTCACCGTCACAAAGGGTTCTTCAAGTAGCAGCCAATTACTGGCGCTGAATATTGATATGTATGTACTTATTCCTATGTTCTTGGACCCACCGTGTATGCGATAAGCTATACGATGTGTTTGTTGTATCTTGTCAGTGATGGAGTAAAATTTATTGATCTTGTTTTAGACTTCGAAATGCCGTATTCTTTTTGTTCCTGCTGAGATGGACGAGGAAGTGCTTTTTGAAGTTGAAAGGACGGGGAGTTTTTGGTAGTTTCACGGACGCATATATTTCGGTTCGCAGGACACTCTATGGATTATTCTTACGAGCACCCGGTGTGCGATCTCAAGTACAGAAGCAAGTCTCCGAGGCAATTACGAAGCTGCAAGGGAAGTTGGTACCGTCTGGACCGGGTGTGGTACGATATTTGACGCTGCCGAAGGAAGGATGGTCTGAAGAAACGGTCATGAAGGAGTTGGAGGTTCTGGCCAATATGGATCATACCAGATGGGAGGACGGGTTTGTCTCTGGTGCTGTGTACCATGGAGGGGATTCGTTGATGAAGATACAAACAGAAGCGTTCGGAAAGTTTACAGTCGCAAATCCTATCCATCCGGATGTTTTCCCAGGAGTGAGAAAGATGGAGGCGGAGATCGTGGCGATGGTTTTGTCGATGTTTAATGCTCCTCCAGGGGCCGCCGGTGTTACGACTAGTGGAGGTACAGAGTCTATTTTGATGGCTTGCTTAAGTGCTAGGCAAAAGGCTTATGCCGAAAGACGTGTAAAGGAACCAGAAATGTCAGTAGATCCACGGGTATGCCATTCACATTTCTATACTAATCAATGTTTAGGATCCTCCCAGAAACAGCACACACAGCCTTCCGCAAAGCAGGTCAATATTTCGGTATCAAAGTTCACCTCGTCGCTTGTCCCGCTCCATCTTACCAAGTCCATCTTCCAAGCGTATCTCGCCTCATCAACAGCAACACCGTCCTACTAGTTGGCTCCGCCCCAAATTTCCCTCATGGACTTATGGATGACATAACCGGCCTTTCCAGGCTCGCTGCCAAACGCAAGATCCCACTCCACGTCGATTGCTGCCTCGGATCATTCCTTGTTCCTTTCCTCGAGAAGGCCGGATTCGAGACCGATCTCTTTGACTTCCGTCTTAGGGGTGTTACAAGTATCAGTTGTGACACTCACAAATATGGATTCGCGCCCAAAGGTAACTCGACTGTTCTCTACCGGACCGCAGCCTTGAGAACCTACCAATACTTTATCTCCCCTGACTGGTCAGGTGGTGTATATGCCTCTCCATCTATCGCCGGGTCTCGTCCTGGTGCTCTCATTGCCGGATGCTGGGCTTCCCTCATGAGTGTTGGGGAAACTGGTTACATCAATGCCTGTACCGAGATTGTGGGAGCTACCAAAAAAATCATTGATGCCATAAACGAAAACCCCTCTCTCAACGGCGATCTTCATATCCTCGGTAAACCACTTGTTTCCGTTGTAGCTTTCACATCCAAGACACTCGATATTTACGATATCGCCGATGCCATGTCGGCAAAAGGATGGCACTTGAATTCATTACAAAGCCCACCGGCTATACACGTAGCCGTCACTTTACCAATTGTCAAGGTGAGGGAAAAGTTAATCGAAGATTTGATAGCCGTCATAGAAGGAGAAAAGGAGAAGGAGAGAGTCAGGATTGTGGAAGGTAAAGGAGCGAAGGGAAAGAGTTTGGGGGATTCAGCAGCCTTGTATGGAGTTGCGGGCAGTTTACCAAATAAGAGCGTGGTGGTTGAATTAGCGAGTGGATTTTTGGATACCTTGTACAAAGCTTAGCGAGTTTATTATTGGAAGAGTTTGGTGAAGATTTGGAGATTGAGAGGGGGTACACAACATTGTCTTGAAATTTTGTAGATACGATGAGCATGTGAGCGATATTTTATTACGCCTCGATACGGCGCTTTTTCAATAGTATTTCTATTTATACCCTAGTGTGCGGTTCATATTGCTTTACTCTGGAAACTAGATTGGAAGGATCATGACTTTCTAAAAGCTATGTATATCACCGCATCGATCGTTCAATTACGTATACACCAACATAATAAAATCACCAGCGTCCTCATGGTAAAGAACAAGTGTATACCCAGATTGGACGTTTTTTTGTCTAGCTTCATTTAGTACTTCCACATATGTATCCTATTCTCTTCCTCTGTTTCTAGTCCATCGTTTTCTTCCCTCCCTCTCCCTCCCTCTCTTCCTTTAGTGCTCGGGTCTTCCAATCTCCTTGGCTTTTCTACAATCTTTTGATTGGGACCACGGAGTTCATTAGTGTCTTCCAGAATCTCATTTAAGTATTTGGCATCGGCTATTCAACATCTCATTATCTATCTCCGCGCCGGTTGATTCTAAGAAATTTTTCCAGACGTGCAGCTACTTCTCCTGTGCCTGGCCAGTTCTTTTATTCAAGCGCATATATGCATTGCTGAGCTGTAAAATGCTAAACTACCCAATAGCTACACTGCTTCGTACACCATACACGGTATTTCGGCAATTTCCCAACCTTTAATATTGGAATAGGTACGAAGCCGTATCATCATGTTTGCACAAGCCTAGGGAGGACAAGCACATCGTAGTGGTGCAGAGTAGCGAAAGATAAGGCCAACTGTATAAAGATTACATTCATTGTTGGCCAACCAATCACACCATTCTGTTATATCTCGATTGCAACTTTTCAAAAGTGAGGAAAAGCGGCTAACGGATAGTCAATCCCTACCATCCGATGCACATACTGCTCAAAAAGTTTAATAAAACTGGGGTACCGCAACAGTACTGAATTCCTGCAGAAATTGCAAAACTTGAAGTAGTGGGCTACTTAGTGCACCAATTGTTTTTCTCTATTCGCAGAGGTCGACTTCAAAAGCACACCTGAACAAACTTACCAAACGTTTGCATTGATTGTGGAAAATCAACCTCGATCCTGGTAGAGCATGTGTGTGATGACATTGAAATAATCGACTCGAGTAGGTACATGAACTTTCTTTCACTGTTCGAGCCTGATGTGTGTAAAATAGTCGGTAGTATTACATCTTGGTTCGAACAAATCAATTAAAAGCATCGGGATGAAGACATTCCGTCAGATTTTCAAAGAGAATTCAAAGAAAATTCAAACTTCGAAAAGAGTTGAGAAAGATTATCAATGCCTTTTTCAATAACTTTGTACTGAGGATATTCAAAAAGATGACGCGGATATTCAAATGTTTATTCGAGACTCGTCAGTGGGGGCTTTCTTACAAGTCGTCTTCGGGTTGACTCTGAACGATTTGCGGGGGATTAGATATTGCGATCTCATGTCTTCCCTACATTATGGAGTACGTTATGTAATCATTCTAGAAATATAGCCTATTATTATAACTGTATCTCTTTGCCAGGTTGCTTGCAAATAATGTTACGGTGTACATCACTGCAAGAACCAGCTAGAGCAGACTTTTTGGTGATAACATATCTTGACGAGCTATCATGCACTGTTTGTAATGTTTGCAATGTACCTAAAAGCCATGCGTTCTATCCCTCTACTTTTCCCATGTCTGCTGCCTCTCAGTATGCGCCGGCTGGATCGCTTGTCAATGAGGCTAATCAGATATCCATTATCTACGGCCATCCAAAGTAGCTCGGGTAGGCAAAATGCTCCATGAGCTCGTCGAGCAGCTAATAACCCGACAGTCCTAAGACTTTGCGAGCCGGCAGCAAAACAAAGACATGATGTGTGTGGCAGCAAAGGAAAGAGAAATAAAGATTGTAATTTTTACTCTTTAGGTTATTAAGCAAGAATCACATTGCACCTTACAGTAAGACACCATATGTATTAGGTGGACAGCCTTATTCGTCAATATTTCACTAGAATGATTGACTAATATCATCAAAATTCATTTTTGGGCCTTGTTTTTGTTGATCGTTGAAGACAATTTTGAGGGTTTCCTTGTGAAAGCTTGGATTTTAAGCGATGGCGAAGCGAAGGTTTTTCGGAGGGGCAGTAAGGGGTATGTGCATGCACGGGCTATTTGGGTTGCTTGAGGTGGATTTAACTCATTTGTTTGTTGATGTTAACTCCTGGTCGACTGCTATCTACTGCGTGTGTACAAGGGGAAGCACATAGTGTTTTAATACTGGCCGATATCCAAGTTGGGGTTGGTGCTCCGGGTTTCATAGGAAGTGGCCACTGGGAAGTAATTCAGTATGAAGCTTGTCTCTTTAGCTTTCTTGCACGGCTTTGATGAAATGCGGGGGAATAATAGTGAGGACAATTATATATCAAAAGTTATAGGGCATCTCTTCAATATTAGTACTTATGAGGTTTCCGTTGGGGAGAAAAGAGGCAGAAATATATCGGTAGTGGTTGTGTTCTCGAAGAGATCGAATGTCTCAAACTACCTTGAGATTAGTTCACGGAAGTTCTAATGTATTATATATCAATCACGGATGGATGTGACCAGGGGAAGAGTGAATTGTCCGTGACTGATAAGTATTAGTCACTATCCTGGACGAATGCAATGCATGGTCGTTCGGGCATGATTTTCTCCTTGCGAGGTCAAAGATAGGTCTTGTTTTCTGAACTATCGATGCTTCTGCCATGTCAGTGCTTGTATCTTACCTGGCTGCGGAAGAATCTTTGTTTACCTACGCTGCCTATCCACTGGAGCGAGTTCTCCTTATCGTCTCAACACCGATAGGCGAGAGATGATATTTATTCAAAACTGAACATGGATCAGAATTTGAATGAGAAAGTTAGTTCTCTTTCTGTACTTCCGTTACTGCTTAATGCGCCGGGCATAAATTGACACCAAAAGGGGTGGCGTGGAGTGTTGAGCAAGGGCTACAATATAGCCGGTACATACCAACATCTACCCAGGAGTAAAAGTCATGGGAATATGTTAAAAATTATCATTTGATCAAGTGTGGCAGTGGTGAAGACTCAGTAACGATGCCTTAACCTTCAGACAAGGGGTACCTATCATACATTTAGACATCCTAATAACGAGGGAATTGGCTCTCAATCTGGCAGCACAATTAGTTTACATACAGACATGAATGCAAGTATATATAACTAGGAAGATGCGTAAAAATGAATTTGTACAGGGTTCGAACCCAGTGGGGAGATTGTTTCATTTCCCAGCAGAGGCCGGCATCAACAACCAAGACTACAATTTGATCACTACACAGATTACAGCATAAACGTACACAAGACTAGACCAGACCAAGCCAATCTTACAATAATGCAAACACATCAAAACTCGGCTTCGCTTCACTTTAACAACCGTCAAAACTTAAAAATGGCACTCTTCTAACTGGTAGAACTACACGGAAGCTGACCCTCTCCTTCATTATCCTCTCTCATTCTTCGCCGTGTCACTGTCTTGGCCCGCCAATTTGGTTCTCAGCTTAAATTTTACCCGATCCCAAGTATTGCAACTTAGTCGTACAATTATAATAGGAATCTTGGAACTGGGCTTTTTCAAATTTGCTATACCGTTAGGAAAGGAACTTGGTGTTACTGCGCGATTGCTGGTAATGTGATCGAAGTGAGTGCTATGTGGAGGAATGTACGTGTTTCGGAGTTTGAGATGGGATTGTTGGTTATGTATGGTACTTTATATCGTGTGTGTGGTTAGGCATGTAAGGTAGTCGAAGCGAAACGTATATGCATCTCCCCTCATTATCTCGCTCTCATCACCCTATCCATCTTCCCTACGCTCAAACAATCCCCTGAAGTCCAACTAACTAAGCTATTCCCTGGCTCTGCACCCAGACGATAATCATTCTCGGCTTTACGTCCGCTAGCATCTATGTCACGGGCCTTCCAGTCTTCACCTATACCATCGATCACCACACACCCATGTTCAATATCATCTCCGTGATGCATATATCTTTTATGACGCTGTGAGGTGTTCAGAGAGCTTTGTTTTTGTTTTAGGGAAGAGATTCATGGGTGGTCGAGGGGGAGTTTGGCTCATATTATGCGAGATTGTGAGTATCCATTTTGAACGCGAATGTGAAGGTCCCGACAGGTGAGAACTTGGCTTGCGATTTAAGTTTTTTGAAAGATATGAATCTTTGAGGGTGGATTGATAATTCGAGGCAGTAGATTCAATGTAATCTTACCAGATAACAATTACAGAACAACTAGCTATATAAGGAAACTTACGAATCAAGAAGGTCTGTGGCTGAACTATTATCCAAAGTCTATATAGAATACTGGTATTGAAATTGGAAATTCAAATTCTTCCTTTCATTTTATTCATTCTATTCATTTTCTTGTCTCATTTTGACTTCTTCCTAAAATCTACTAGCTAGCTTTCCTTCCCGAGTTTGGCTCCATTATATGATTATGTATTTTAATCTGATAACTATTTTCATACTATCTTCTGTCTATATATACACTTAACAAGATTCCTCAATATTTGTTGGTAGGCTGTGCAAAAATAACCCGTGGGTTGTAGATATCCGTAGGTTATCCGCTCCATGGGTTACCTATTAAGCTTATAATCCACTCTACGGATTATCTATTAGGATTTTAAAATTATCTATACTGTATAGATTATTTATGGATTATTCGTAAATAATTTGTTAATTTATAAAGATTAATTATTATAAAACTAATATAAAAATTGTAAAGATTTATTGAAAAATATAAAAATAACTTCAAAAATTTAAACGAATGTTCATTTTGATAAATAATTTATAGATTATCTACAAATTACTTGTAAATAATTTATTTATCTATAGATTAATAAATATCTATAAATAATCCGCATATAATCTATAAGTTATTTATTCAGATTTTCTAATAATCTATTCTACAAATGGATTATCTGTGAGTTATTCACCAAAGGCAATAATCCACTCCGCGGAGCCCCGCTGCGCAGTCTACTCATTGGTAACAGAATGGCCTAAAGCACAACCCCTGAATTAAAATCTGGAACCCTCTTTGCAGTATTATACTTTTGCAGTAGTACGGCATGATGTTGATGCGAGAAGAAGTGAGGAAGAACAAAAGCACTTGAGCTAGAGTTTTGTGGTATGCAACAAGACAGTTCGAGATATAATATCGAGAATGAAGGGAAAATGAAGAGGAAGCTGCGCTATTTAGGCGAAGCAATGAAGGAAAAGCAGCAGGAACTTACAAAGTACATACGGAGTACTAGACTCTAAAACATAATAACTAGACCTCGAAAAAAGCCCAACATCATGTCACTCCCTTCATAATCACAAATTCTTCTATCTCTGTCACATACGACCATAGACTGAGGAGAATTGGGCATCCCGTCCGCTCTGCCATACACAAGCCTCAGATCGGTAGATTAGTAGTTGGGTGGGTGACCACCAGCGAATCCCTACTGTTGTATGTGATATTCTTTTTGCCTTTTTTGGTCATAAGGTGGGGTGTGGTGGAGTTCGAGGAAAATGATGGCATCTAGGGTTTACAAAGATGTGTGGAGGAGAAATGGGTTGGGCAGAAAAGATGTTGTGTGCTGATGGAGCGGGTGCTAAGCTTTTGGAGGGTGGTGTTTTGATAGGTGGTATGGAGGGTGACGAGAGGATGAGCTTCTTTTTTTGATAGATACCACTACCGAACAAGCGGGATTCTCTTAAGTTCCCAAATTTAGATACTCAAAATGCTCAAGGAGAAGATGTGATGCAGGAATGTGTATTTTATGTTTTGTTCCTAAAGGAGCCTGCCATCTGTTTCACTCAGTTCTCCCTTCACAAGCGAATCCATGGACTTCAAGGAGATAAGTCTTATGATAGCTTCGAGATTAGACAAAAATTTCTTCATAATTTTCCCGTATAGATAGAATAATGGTTTAATATCTCATGTCAGGTATTAGACCTTTAGGAATTGTAAAGCCTGTATCAAATGTTCCATGCCTTTGTATGCTCATAGATTTGATCGAAAGGAAAACCTACTATATCTCTCACCCATGACTACCTAAAAGGGGTGATATACATACCTATCTTAGTCTTCCAGACAAATAGTACAAATAACCTTGTAAGATATAGAACCAAAAGAAGGTCTATCCTAGACTTAGTAAGTGCAATTTAGCATAATATCCATAAGATCTGCATCTGATCATCCCGAACTTCCGGCTGCTATTGATGTATATCTACTTAGTACTTTTTATCATACCAAGACATGAGTGTATTGATTCATCCGAGCAAACTTTCACTCGAATGGAAGGCTAAAAGATTATCACACGGAGTATTCCATCCATATCCTTATCCTTCCACCGCTAATCCCACCTCTCCACTTCGAGACCTAACCAACAGTTCGCCCGTAAGGTTAAATTCCAATTGCAATCACCCATTCCATCCCATCTCATCCCAACGTTCCCGCAACTCAAACTCAAACTCAAACATCGAATATCGAATATCATTTCCCCTTCTAATTCTCGCACCAAACTTTCAAATAGACAATGAATAGCACCTTAGAGCCTAGACTTCATCGAGATTCAATCAGGGGTACCTATACATCGTGCCTGACTACTTCGGCAGTACCTGACTATAAAAGTTATAAGTCAAAGCTCCTCCCTTATTAACTTTCCGAAATCTGAACCTAAAAGTTTAACCTCTTTAATACTCGAGTATAGTATTAGACTTATTAGGCTGTGGACTAGGTACAGTGAAAGTTTAAATGGAATGTTGTTTAACCTTATTGATATCTACTAGATAAGGTTAATCTGAGGAAGTGAATATAAGTGGTGACAGAAGCGAAAATTATGCTAATTTATTAGAGTTGTGCTATGAGCTAATTATAGTCAAATATAGCAGATACGGACGGTAGTTTGTAATGTGAGTTCTAGAACTTTATATTCGAAACGCCACCAACCAACTGATCAAACAAGCAGTAACAGCCACAGTCACTAACCTCCTACAAACCAAGACCAACAAGGCGGAAAAAGCGGTTTAAATTTTCCATCCTATACTCTATACTAGTAATATGATGCTTATTATCTTTCCTCATCTTTTTTAATACTACTTCTTTACTTCTCCTTTGAATCTTATAAATAATAAAATATTACTTTTCTTTTATTTATTTATTATCTCTTATTAATTAATATAAATTTATTTATTGTTTATAATCTATTAAAAGATAATCTCTGTTTCGTTTTATATTTCAAATTTTCATATTTTAATTTTAATATTTGATATTTATTATATATAATATTAAAATCTAAGTTTTAATTATTATATATTAAAATATATTTTATTTTATATAATTGAAAAAAAATCTCATTAATTATTATAAGATTAGATTTAATGTTATATTTTTATTTTATTTTAAAAATTAAAAAAATAATATTTTATTCTTTATATTCTTTATTTTGTATCTTTTTGTCGGTACATCATGTGATCAACCTCGAAAGGGAGCCGTACACAAAGGGAACCGTACGACTAGTACATTCTAGCCTGTTGTCACGATTCATGGTTTTCATTATAGTAGTATTATTGACGCCGGTGATTTATATGCCGACTACAAGGGGGATGTGATTTAACCGTTGCTTTCGGGGGTCCTGATTACCTAAGCCTAGGACCCCAGGATTCCTAGGATAAGTATCCTAGGCAACTATAGTAGAATAGGATAAGTGTCCTATCTAATTGGGTGTAATGGGATTATCACCCTAGAGGATATCGTATCCTAGGGTTATGGTTTCTAGAGGGAAAGCTCCTGGGACAAGTGTTCCAGGAAAGGAAAGGCCTTGGGATATGAGGGGCTTCAGGATTAATCATGTGATGTGCTAGCCAGCTAGTATAGTTAGCATGGGAAAAGAGATTAGTATATAGTCAGAATAGTTTCATAGTTTAGGAGCTTCGTGTTCAACTTAGTTATCAATTAGTTTATCTATATTTCAATTGATCTAGTAATGTATTCACCTTCGAGTGGATAACCAGTGATTATTAGTCTTAACCTACAACTACCAACTATACGAAAACCTGAGGCAGCCGCTGCCTCTACCAGATCGTTACACCTGTACCCCTTTCAATATAAATAGGTCTCTCTTCTCTATGTGACGCACAAGAGCTGTATAAGAGCTGAATAAATAGGGTCAATTATATTCCTTAGAATCTACAATTGAAGAATTATAGCTTGTAAGGAGTATCTATATATATATAAAATATCTATACGATAGTTGTATAGTTGTGTATATTCGATTTTAAGGTCATCATATTCCTATACTAAAATGGGTAAATCAGATCCCAGGTGTATAGGTTATCAGCTCAACGATAGGAAAAGGAATTATGTGATCGTTCTTATAATTCGAGATCCGTAACACTCTAGATAGATAATAATCATCCATGAACAAATATAGCAAGAATACTATACACTGCATTCGTATCACTGAAGTGATATCAACACTTTTATATCTTTTATATCTTTTATATCTTCTCCATCCCCCCCCCATACCTCATCCCCATCCCATCTATCTCTTTCCTTTAATATCCATCTTTATCTTTATCCTTATTTATACCTCTCATCCTCATCCTCATCCCCATCCCTCAAACCCTCTTATTCCCATCTCCATCCCCCATCCCCTCTCTCATTCCTATCCTCCAAATCTCCAAATCTCCAAATCAATACAACAATATTCTATCGATCCTCCCCTCCTCTTATCCTCTAACTCATTATCGCACCCCCCATCCCACCATCCCCTTAATCCCGTCCCCCACAACCAAGAAAAAGTCCAAAACCAATCTCAATCCCAAACCCAATCCAACACACCCCAATATCATACCTCAACACAATCCATCCATCCATACATATATAGTCCATTCATTCATCCAATCCATACACACACACATATATATATAACCCCCCAATTACAACCAAAAAAACTTTTCACCCCTCTATCATCTCATCTATCTCACATCATACCATACCAAACCATATTAGATAATATATACTGAAACTGTATCACACCACACCATCTATAATAACCATTTATAATAACTACTTATAATAACCATTATTAATTATCATTGACTCACTCCAATCCATGAATTCAATCTATAAATTCGATCTGATCTGATCCAGCTTGAAGATCATGTTATAATGATGTGATGATTCAATCAATCAATCAATCAATCAACACAATCCACACAAACAAACCTAATACAATACAAATCAATCACTATGACGAAATAATCTCACAACAACAAATCAAATCAAAAAGAGAAAAGAATCGGGAGAAGAAAACAGAGCGTCGTCACGCTATATTTATTTAATATTCCACTAGACAGCTAGCTTAGCCTAGCCTAGCCCAGCCTAATCTATATTTCCTTCCTTCCTTCACTTCTTCCTTCCTCCATCCATCGATCCATCAACCTACCTATCTATATACCTATATACCTATCATCCATCGAATCCCCACAATCGCCTCATCACCATCTACAGTGTAAATACAATTCCGCACTCCCTTGACGATTCAGGAAATCCATCCATCCATCCACATCCATCACCTTCAACACAGCAGCATGCCTATAAAGCTACTTCCATACGACTTTCTCCCTTCAATGACCATGACAGTGACAGACAGTGACAAAGACAAAGAACATACCGACCAGTAGTCCCAACCACGGCAATCCCAACCTCGCAAGCCAATACAGCAAAGCAAAGCAAAGCATAAACAGCGAATAAGAACCATCCAAATCCACCATCCATGCATCAACCGATCCATGCATGCATGAAAAGCATCTCTACTACGTAGACCCAGGCGATCCTTCCAAGGACCTCCCCCACCTCATATCCAGGAACGAGCATGTTTGTTCCCCAGAAAATCCTTCCTGCAGGAAAGCCTTACAAGCCTTACAGTCCTTACAGTTCCCAGGATAGTCCCGACCAGTTATATACGACAAAGGAAATAATAAGAGGAGAAAACAAGGAAAATAAATAAACAATTAGGTAGATGATGATGTACAACCCCACACCCCACCACAAATATGCATACCCTTAAACCCTTCCTCTGCCCGTCCCGCCAAAGCGGTAATACCCAGATCCCTTTCCCATACCCATATTTTTTTGTTGAAGCTAGTCTTCGAAACATGTGGACAGTAAATAATTGTGAGGCCTCTGTTGATAAACAGATTCACCTCCTCCAATTAACGGTCGCCACGTGGCTCGCCTAAAATCCGCATTTGACCCTGAAAAATAAGAAAAGAACGGTGTATATAATTCGGTCCTGGCATTCAAGAGAATTTGCTACAGGCCACATCCATATGAAAAATTTAATGACAAATGAGATATTGTTTGAGTGCTGTGAAGCAGTTTTTTTCCATTGAATCTTCTTCGGAAAACAAAATTTAGTGCAGTCTATAAAAGGGTATTTAGAAGACGAGAAAAAATGAACACCAAGAAGCGCTTCTATAGGCGCTACTATGCTCAGGGGTATGAAGCTGGAAAATAAAAATCAAAAGAAGGTTTCGATATCAACATTAAAACGCCGCAGATGAACTCGCTAGACCCAGCGGTACTGGTAGTAAACTGATGTCACAAAGAACGTTTGAACAAAACTGAACCCTCCCTATTACCCAAACACCATGCAATGTAAATGCCCCGAAACTTTTCCTCCAAAGTATTTTACAAATTTGACGATAGAGGATCGTCTAAAATCGACTTTGTGCTGCGAAGATACTAGCGGCGGCAGATGCTGCCCATTCATTTTCTTCATAGTCATATGGTGGTGTTGAAGATTGCTTGCCAGGTCCATGTGGTTTTGGAGTTGGTGAAGCATTGTTTAACCCTTGACCAAAAAGTACCGAATTACCATTAGCGGACGGAGAAGGTGTAGGGTATGGATTTAAACCAGTATTACTATGTGATTGCCTTAAGGGTTTTCGATGATCGGTTTGGACTGAATTCCCACGCTTCATCATCGTCGTCTTCGTGGAGATTTGCGCTTCGTCAAGCAATTCGTCCTCCTCATCAGGAGTCTCATATTGTTGAACGCCCGGCAATTGGCTCCTCCTATTCCTAGTGGGTATGGGTGCAACAGATCTTGGAATATCAGCAGTTGAGCGAGGTGCTTGTTGGTGAGGCACAGAGTGATGTCTCTTCAGAACGCTGCTTGGGTGAATTTGATGAGTAGGTGGTATGGGCGGGGAATTTGTACTTTGTGGGGAATCCAAGTTTTGCTGGACGTTGCGCAGCGCCTTGTCCAATGCCTCGGAAGAATCGACTTTCTGCGCGGCAGGGCTAGAAGGCTGATTAACATCCAATACCATCGATGATCGATTGCTCGACCAAGGTCCACATCCAGCCTGCGATTCAAGATCCATTGATTTTGGTGACATGGGAGTTTGAGATTGTCGACCAGAGAACCTTCTCGCACGTTTTCTTAGGTGAGAGAAGAAGCTTTCTTTATGGCCACCTGGAGGAGATACTAATCCAGAATTTCCACTCAGTGCCATTTCTGCTTGTTGTCGATGAATTTCCGCATAATGATTCGTGCTTGAGGCAACTGATAGTTGACGACCAATTTTCTTCGAACCCTTATCATTTTGTCCAGAGTAGAGATCGTTGTATGATGGTGTTCTGCTGCTTGCTTGTGCTGTTGCGGTATCAGAGATTGGCGAGATGGGTTTGATTGTCGGCAAAATCGGCATTGGCGCTGCGTTAGTAGCCCCGCTGGCCCACGTTGACCGCTTAGCGGCAGGCTGACGTGTCTTAGCAATAGGAATCTCACTAATTGTAGGTGTAAGTACCGGTGAAGGCTTTGTTACCAAGCTCTCCTTTTCTTTTGTTTGAATAGTAGCGGTGTTAGAATTATCATTTCTGCCGATCAAAGATTTTCTGAACCAGGAGGGTTTTGTTGTCGAGGTTGGTGTTGTTTCGGGGAATTCTTTTGAGCTACGGTAACTTAGGTCGGACTGTTTGCGACCGAGTATCCTCGATGAAGACTTTGGCCTTAATGGATCCACAGCATCAGTGAAAAATTCGTGAGCCATCGCTTGAGTTGATGTTGGTCGACTCTTGGGATCCCACATTAGGCACCACGTGACGAATTTTGCCAATGATGCCGGCCATTGAGGAGTCTGAAGAATTGTGTCCATGGCATGTGGCGCCATTTTTGGGAACGAAAATCCAAGTTTCCCAGCCAATCTCGTACCCTCTCTCCAATCACCTCCACCAACTCTCTCGCCTGCTTTGTTGTACCAGTTTCCTGGGCTACCCATAATTTCACACACTCTCCAAACCTGATCGACTTCGTTTCCTCCAGGGAATAAAGGCTTCAGAGTTGCAATTTCCACTGCCATGGCACCAATCGCCCAAATATCCACTGGAGCCGAATACTCGCCTGCTCTTAATAATACTTCTGGTGCTCTGTACCATCTCGTCGATACGTAGGTTGTGTAAGGTAACTTCGAATGAGTTTCTCGTGCAAGACCGAAATCGGCAATCTTGACGGTGTACGCTGGCGGTGTGGAAGGGGGGGTAACCATAGCAGAGTATCGTCGGAAAGAGTTCCCTGAATCCTGCGCTGATGTGGAAACGAGAATATTCTCTGGTTTGATATCGCGATGGAAGAAATGATGGGCGTGAATATGCTCAAGCCCTTGCATAATTTGGAAGAGAATACTCTTGACACTAGAAACGTCCAGGCACTTGTGATCACGAGCCTTCATCAATTGATATAAGTTGCCATCCATGTACTCCATAGCAATATGCAACTTTTTGGTGAAAGGGTCGAGGAATATATCCAATGCAGGAACAAGGTGTGGGTGAGGCGGTAACGTCTTCAAGAAGACAACTTCTCGTAGTTCTAGACATGGTTGGAATGATTCGAAGGTTTTCTTCATCGTCTTGATAGCAATCTATAATCGTTCCGTCAGCTTAAGCAATTCCTCTACCAACCTTGCTTAGACTTACAATTGTTCCACGTCGAGCTACGCTAGCTCCCGCCCCGCGTACTCGTGCTAGAACAACACTACCAAAGCTACCATCTCCAATATCCTTCAGCACTTCGAACCTGTCTTCCAAAGCTTGTCCTGCTGAAGTTTGAGGGGCCGAAGTCCCTCGGTGGGTCAAATCGTAGGCGACTGTCATGTTTGTAGATCGAGGTGTGATGTATGAATTGAAGTAATGTATATATGAGTTTAAGTAAATAGATATTCGTGTTAAATGACCGACAGTGAATACTGGATGAAATTGGCTGTGTTAGCAATCTCCTTCGACACATCCAAAGATTGCATGTCAAGGTCAGTGAGTATCAGGAGATTCACTTACCAATGATGCTGCGTATATAGCTCTACGAGAGCTTCCTTATGTTAACCAGAGCATTCATGTACGTGAATGTCGATGGTGGTAGGTAACGATCGAGGTGATAATGATATGTTTTGGAAGTCCTCCGCGAAATTGCAAATGAGTGAAAGCAGCGAATTGAAAGATCAAGAGAATGATCAGGTAGAGAGATGTAATGGGATGTCTGAGAAAGGGTCCAAGGGTAGTAAAAGAAGCCGTTACCAAGAATCGGTAGTGCGGGTCTTGACCCGCTAGAGCAAGAAGGGCTTTCGACGATCAAGTAGAATGGACGGACAACTTGTGACGTTTTCGGTTTAGTATTTCAATGATAGGAGAAGCTGTAATAGATCAAGGGCCCTTTGTAGTTTCTTGATGTGCGGCGTGGGGGAATCGATGGCTTGCTTGTCGTAGGTGGAATTGGTGGATATCGCAAGCGCATGAGAGTCAGTTAAAAGGAAAGCACTGGCATGGGTTGCATGAACTTTGAATTGTCGAAACTACCAGGCCTTGAACCGTGGAAAGTCCTCAAGGTCTCTCTCGCTTTCTCTAGTTTGGGTTTTATTAAGTTCCGCAAATCCTTCCAGAAGACAATCTTTGGGGCATGAACAGCTCGGGGATGATGGTTATAACCAATTTCGCTAAGATCCACTTTGACATCGAACTTTTAAGTAGTTTCTCCAGGGGTTTGTGCTTGCCAGAAATGGGTGAGTCTCGAATGGATATTAGATGGTAGGCATTATCATTATTGGTATGATGTGCACCGGCATAATTAATAAGGGAGTTTGGAAGGAAGAAGAGGCAAGAAGTGAAGGGTGGTGGGTGTGTGAATAAATTTGTGCAACGAATGGGACGAGGGACCGGGTGGTTCGAACTTCGAGGTAGGTGTGGCATGTACGGAGTACCTAGCGAAAGTTTTAGAATTTTCTCTCTCTTCTTTTTCCTGCGCGATGCGGTGCGGTGCGGTGCTTGATTCCTTGAAGCTCGATTATGCTGGTTGATGTTTATTTGAGGTACCGGTATGCGTGTGTGTGGGAACCGATACCACGAATGGGGTGCGAGGTTGTGGGACTTGTCTCGAACAACACGCTGTTTAGCTGAATAAGAGCACCGTAAATCTCGTAAATCAATAGGAAAGAGGGAAAATGCCAGTGCTCTGCTGGGTTTTGGATCCCTGGAAGGTATCGGCTAAAAAGTTTCGATTGCTTCTTGTGATGCCAACACAGCGACCGAGTAAAGATTGTGACTATGCTGATTCGATGAGACGTGAATAATTCCAACTGCCCTTGGGACTTGGGTGGCCCGGGGAAGTGTGGCTAAGGTACTCGTAATAGAGTATTAACGAGTAAAGTGTCATGGAACTTTGAATACCTGCCTACGGAACATTGACGGATTACTATTTCAAAGGGGATGAGTTGAAGAGGGGCTGTCACTTTAAGGCGGGGCCCTTTCCAATCAATGAGGTTATATTAAGGAAAGGGAAAAAGGGTCATTGAATCAAAATAGTGGATTGAAATGATTGATTTGGATTGGACTCGATTGTTTGGTGTTTGGTGTTTAGAGTTTGTGTGCGATGTTTTTTCTTCTTTCTTTTTCTCGTTGAAGCCAGCAGATATGGGTAGGGAGATACATAGATATGCATAAAAAGATAAAAAGGGAAGAAATACCCCCCAAGTGATGTTGCGCTATTATCTCATGATGTACAATCCAGTAACGACGATGATAAATGTGTACAAAAGGAGGAGATTTTATCTTGGTAGTGGTCGCGATGACATTTGAGGCTTGAAGGGTGACACGGAAAGGAAAAGTGGTGGATGTGACTCTGCGCGGCGCAGTAGTGGAAAGTGAGTGAAGTGTGAAGTGTGAAGTGTGAAGTGTGAAATGTGAAATGCGAAGTGTGTGAAGTGTGAATTGTGTGAAGTATGAATTGTGATGAGCGGTGATGAATGGGTGAAAGTTCCAAAGCTTTCAAGGGTACTAGGTAGTAGCTTAGTGGTTGGTGTGTCAAAGGTGAATTCCGATATGAAAAAATGATCTTACCTTTCTTTTACCTTTCTTTTACCTTTCTTTTACCTTTCTCTCACCTCCCAAGCCAACTAAGCCAACTTATTCCGTAGAAACTCTAGCTCAAATGCTTCTTCAGTTGTCAGTCAATCCGTCTTAGACTCTTTGTAGTAAAATGTCCAGCCATTCTGAAGCTATTCAAATTCAAAACTCAAAACCCAAGCAAGTTCATCTCACATCACAAGACCCGTTTGTTGTAAGATCAACCAAAATCAAACCATCACCATGCCATCAAGGTTTATTGATTTGATGGATGGATTGACTCATTGACTCATTGATTGATTCATTGCTTCATTGCTTCATTGCTTCATCGCTTTATTGCTTTATTGCCCCATTGATTCATCGATTGATTTGATTGATTGACTTGCTTGATTCTATCCTCATATCATCATATCATATTTCCCCAAATTTCCATTTGGTCAATGCATACGGATTAGCCACCCTTGGTACTTGGGCAGATTTCGTACTGGCTAATCCTATATCTGAGATTCCGAGCTCCATTCAAGATACTTCGTACAGCGGGTAATTAATATGTACAGGCGAGAGGGAAAGTGCATCCATCCATTGATCTTTTATTGATTTGGTAGCGATACATACTTTACTCCATCATGCCAGACTGATCCCCGGGTATCATAAGACTCTGACATGCTTGACTCGAGTTATGTATGTAGGTGTAGCTTGCTCTCCACGATAGAATGTTTATTTATTTCTTACTTTATCCATACCTACCTATCAAGACTCTTCTTTTTGCTGCCTGTAACCTCGTGTTACTTACCATAAATGGTACAGTGTCAATTTAGGATACCCAGCATCTTTAACCTGTCCTTTTGATTTAACGGTAGTGTTTTCAATATCCGGCCCCAAAAACGAATCATTATTTTTATCACCAGCCATTAAATGCGCCTCTCACTATCATTCCATATCATGCCATGCTTCGAGAACTGCCGTTCTGCGTCTGATATTCTAGAAATAAACTCACAGAAAAAGATAATAAGCATAGATTTGAGGCTGTGACAGGTCAAGGATAAACTGATAAAGATTCTACAGCGGCATTCGAGCACATGTCAAGAGTGGCCACAGACTTGGTAAGTGGTTGATCGCGATTAGAATATAGGGGAAATGTCGTTAGACCCTCGGAGAACGGTGGGAACCTGGGAAAGAAAGTCGGAAGATTTGATGTTAATGCCTGCCCCATTGGTGAACATTGCGTACAGTCATAGATTCTATTGTTACTCCCAATCCACTAATATATCTCACAATTTATTATACGGACTATCCGTGTTTCGCCGTCCGCTTCTGCCCAAAATGTGTATAAAGTTCAATGTAATCCCATGCCTATTTGAATCCGGTTTCGTCCCATCAATGCAACACCCATCCGATTGTAGCCTCGTTGTATAATTTAGTGGATAAGATTCAGAGAACTTGAACTTGAACTTCTCATACCGCTATGGCCTTGCCAAAAAGAAATCAATCTAATGAAAGACAGGATGATCTAGTGGTGTTTTGTGTTCCTAAGGTTGTGCAGTGCATTACAGTAACCCGATTTACGCAAGCATCCAGCCTGGAAATATCTTGCTCCTCCCCAAATGGTATGATGGAAGCTGACTGCGCATACCATGGATTCATTCGATAAAGTATGAAGAAGGCGAAATTATGTTTATTTTGGTTTGCTGCTGCACTTCTTCACTTTGTGCTCCATGTAAGATTCTTATATTTCCTTAGGTATCATTCATCTGAATCTTTCCATATATCCGTCCCAACGCCCACACGCGCCCCTTTCTTCCCTTCATCATTTCATAAAATGTCGACGCTTTTCCTTCTTCAGGCGTTGACCGTTGACAGTCCATTTTGTCTTGGTTTTAAATTTAGCGTACTTTATCCTTGCCAGTTCCTGTGGGTATGGTTCGGGTACCATTACCCACTAAACATGGTCTTCTGAGTTTGCCATTTTAGCTCTTCCGGCTTCCGCTGTCGACGGTCCCAAAAGCTACTGATGGGCCGGCGTGCTTTTTGGCTCGAAAACTGTTTGAGGAGGTTGGGAGTCGGGAAGTTCAGGTTTTAATGTGTAAAAGCTGTAGAGTTTAATAATCGTCATATTGATCGAATGGGACCCTGAATAACGCCCCTGTCATCATGCTCGAATCAGAGCCGGCATTTTGTCTGCATGATTGATTGTGGCGTCCAGGCTTTTTCTCAACTTGAGGTGAAAAAGAATCATGTCATGATGTGACCCTCCATAAGAAAAAAAAAACAAAAAGCACATGTTGAAGCCATATTAACTTCTATATCATCGTATACCTGGTAATATTTAGTCTCTTCTTCTTTCGTTGAAGATCCTGATTGACACGTTTCACCCTGTTCATAATCCACAGTATCGGGTCTGATTCGAGGCTGGAAGGCGAGGGCAAGTCTAACGGTTCTTTGCATATGCGAGCTTGAAGCGGTGTGATAAAGATGAAAAGTCTGGGGAGATATTGATATTTCCGCACCGCTCCTCCTCTGTTGGACCGGTGATCAAAAGTTTCGGTATTCAATGAAAGCTGACTTTCTTATCAATCTCACTCCGCCTTGTTCAAATTGGAATATTGTGGTTTCATTAAATGAGATTTTGTGCGAGATGAACAACCAGTCAGCACTAGAACCAGCCAAGTAGTTTGAGCCTCCAAACATCGGTCATACTCTGCACTCGCGGAGCATTAATAGTGTAGGTCAAACAAGGGCATTGCCCCTGATTGTAAGATCAATTCCGATGACTTCCTCAAGAACTTCCCTGCTATGAACAAAAGGTTGGGCATGTCTCGATGGAAAGCCAGCATTTGAATGGGAAGGCCTGATGCGGTAAGAAGTCTTCTCTTCAGCCATGGCGTCTGCCAATACGCGCCACGGGAGCTCAGGATGAACTGCTGGTAGCGATGTCTGGCAATCAAGTGACTTGCGGACCTTAAAATATTATGTTATCCGTCAGCGGAGAGGTGCTTCCAGGGAGAAGCGCCATCAGAAATATATCTTTTTATGATATCATTATTGGAAACGTGTAACCCTTCCTGCTATTCTGTATCCGAGCTGCACTTGGAGTGTTCCCATACCAATTCTCAATTTAGTGTACATCGAAACGTCAGTATTGGCCTACTATTCTCTGTTTGAAAGAGTCAGGATGAATGCGTTCAATGGTGACCTTCAGTTCAGGTAAACTGGTAGCCATGTCGCTTGCAGGAGTGAAAAGCAAAAGACATGAGATCCATGCAAGCTCTGCAAATATCCGAAGTGGAAGAGGCAGCAGCGAAAGAACGTAGGATATGATAGAGCGCATACGAAACATAGCGCTGCAGGACAAAGAATATTCTGGCATCAACACATAGCTTGTAGTTAGATTTCATGTGAGTTCCTGTTGGCATGGCGCATGAACCAATGCCAGGTACCTAGCAAATGTTCAACAAACAAAATGGTGATGTCGGGTGAGAATTAAGGATTGAACAGGCGCTCGTTTAAGAAGGTGCAACAGGCCCAAAAAACCGCTCTTATGCTTATTTCAAAATTCATTTCAAAGCAGAGTTCCAGTTGATATTGATCTTCTTTCCTTTCTAGAAGCCCTCCCTCCCTCGTTTACCCATATTCACTCTTGAATGACAACGGACAGACTGGATGCCTACAACCTAACGAGCTACAAAAGAGTTCCCGCTTCTCTCACTCTTCATCCAAAAAACACTCCATTCCATTCCACCATCACCAAATTTCTTTCTTCCTCTACCAATATTACTTCTTAATTAGTTCATAACCACCTTTACCACTTTGGCCTGGCCTCGATCTTGCAGAATCAAGACTTAGGTGATAAGCCGAATTTCCAATCCGTAATTGACCTTTCGAGCCGATCATGGATATTTCAGCATTGATCTGAGACGTGTTGCCGACATTCATACCAACAACCTTTTTTCGACAGTAAGTGACTATCCTTGAGCGAATTTTCAATCTCGCGCACACCCATCTTTGAGCTATCCATCCTTCATAAGCCAATCGCCACTGCAAAAGCAGATCGTCTTGTGCGCCTTCCATCTATAGCTTACTCCACACTCCACTACCTTTTTAAAGTGAAGAAAGGAAGTGAACTAAATGCTCGCGTCAAATCTCAAACGCTAACGCTGTTTTCAAATATAGTAGCGATTAAACGTTTTGAAGTTCAAGCTCAACTACGATCCTCTTTCGACATAATTAACAAAATTTCTACAAGTCTTTCCCTGCTATCCTTTCATGATGTCGTGGAACAACAACCGTTATAGTCCTGCTGCCACGTATGTTCTTCAATATGAGCCGTTGATTCTTTGTGCTGATCAGGCTTTGTAGGCGCAATGGCGTAATTCCAGTCGAGTAAGTCTACATCAGTCATGCATATTATATGCCCCCTATACCCAATCCTGTCATCACTCTTATTGTTTCAAGCAAATAAAGAAACCAAGGTACCATTTCTCGTAGAGTTTACTGATGGTCTTATCTACAGTTTCAAGTTCAAATGTCGTCATTGCAAAATTTTCAAGACGCAAGATTGCTTCTCAAAGAACGAGATTGCTCCTTACAAACATCAACTTTCTCAAAATCCGGGTATGAAGCCACATGCAGTAGAGCCGCTTCTACGATGCCGTGGCTGCAAGGGTGGGCAATTGACTGAGCTCCAATGCGAGGGCCCATGTTCTAAGTATAAGCCTTTGGATCAGTTTAGCAAGGCACAGAGATCTAGGGGAAACAAGGTATATGTGCAAAACTTTCAGGTGTGAAGCATTCGTCCAATAGATGTGATGGCTAACGTAGAATTGTAGTGGTGCATGGAATGTGTGCAGTGGAAAGAAGGTCATCACCCCGAGGTCGACCTTACACCTGCTCCAGGGACCGAGCCACGGGAGTTCGTTACAACCACTGGTGCATCTGAGCAAACAACAGGCTCTTCTTATGCTGCAAGCATATCTGGAGTAAGTATCTTTTCCACATTCTTGCACTTCCATAGTCTGGACTCTGTTGTTCATTCAAAAGTCGACATTCGAACTTTGAAATGTTTACGTACTAATCAAAATTCCATAGTTATCCCAAAGTCCATCTTCCCTTGCCATCGGCAATACCTCCAATGGCTCACAGCTTGCGCCGCATCTACGAGCAGTTGCTAGAAGCCAAATCGGGAACCGCTCACAATCATCCATGAGTAACCCGTTCGAAGGTGCTCGCACTGGGGATATGCCTGTCGGTTCTGATGCATGGTCGACCCGCGATTCTAGACGCCGAGCTGGTCCACCTATTCGATACAATGCATATGATGCCAATGGAGTACGTCACTCTCAAGGAAGAGCAATGACATTGACATCACAAGCAACTTCAACTATAGGCCCATCGAGTGTAGCTTCCATTACCAGCGGCCGTGCTTCTACTGATTCCTCGGGTACTCGTCCACCCGGCACTGCTTCTCGTCCCTTGCCAGCATCAGCACCAGTTTCGCAGCCGGTCTGTGTGGTCACCAACCCATCCACTGGTTGGGCTAAACCTGTAAGTGTCTTGAAAACTTTGGCCCCATCATGTATCATGCATGGTTGTGTTCATCAATCGTACTAATATAATCCCTGCTTCAGATTGGAAAACGTACACAACAAGCAACCAATCCAGGCGTCACTGAGTGGGCTCCCGAATCCAATGAGGTCTACCGTAGGTCCGCTTACGATTCCAGCGACGATGAGATGTAGGCCATTGTTGCAAGATTCAAAACCTGACCATTTCCTTTGTTGCTCTTCGCGGGCATGATGGTTTCTAGGGCTATGGGGATTTTTAACGGGAACTTGATGCATTTCACAATTGAGCTACATTATCGAGACAGACAGACAGCGATTTTTATTTACAAACAATGACTTTCCTTCTTCGATTCATAGTAGCTTTCCTTTTTCTCTACTTTAGGTGCTATGTATGTTAGTGCTTAGCTTCAGCTTGAGCTTGAGCTCGAGCCCATCCATAACATGCGGTGGTTTCATGGCTTTGGCTTTAACTGGATATTTTAGTAACTGGCTTTATTCTTTACGCATAGCATTAGATAATTGACATTGATATAAGCGGTTCATTATCAATTATCGTACGACAACTAACTGGTGATATATTTACTGTAGAGTGTATTATGTTGTTTCATTCTCCCCTAGCTTTAGAAGTCCTCGGGATTTAAATTTTTAATCTTAGAAGTAATTAGAAATGCTCTTTTATACTTTTATTTTGATTTCCTTTTTTTGTTCAATGAATTTATTTTCTATGGGTGTCCTCTAAATCTAGGGGATAGTCAGACGGTGTGGGGGTTATTAGATGGGTATTAGTTAGGTAGGTAGGTAGGTAGATAGATAGATAGGTAGATAGGTAGGTAATTAAGGAAGTAGGTAAGATTACCTTTAAAGGAGAAGTTGAGGGGGAATCGAGGGGAAAGTTGGGAAGTTGGGAAGTTGGGAAGTTGGGAGGGTGAGAAGAGGTGGTGAGAAGAGGTGGTGAGAAGAGATGGAGATGGAGATGGAGATGGAGATGGAGATGGAAATTTATAAGGATAATGTAATTTTGTGATAGGAGGATAGAATATAGATGGGATGGGATGGGATTGGGTTGGATTAGCTTAGGTTGGATTATATAGTTATATATATTCGAGTAGATGTTTGAGGGTTTTGGGTTCGGGGGATTTTGTCGTTGCTGGTTGCTGGGTAGAGGGATTTGTCTTGGGGGTGGGATGTAGATGGTTATGAATAATTAATGGGGGGAGGAGGTGGGTGTGATTTGGTGTAGTTTGGTTACTTTTGAGGTTTTGGGTTTCGGGTTTGGGGAGGGAAGGAGAGAGGGGAAGAGGAGAGAGGGGAAGAGGAAGAGATTATATTGTTGAAATAGATTAATAGATTTATTGATATATTTCTTTATATAAAGTTTATAAAAAAATATATAATAAAACATTAATAGATTATTAAAATAATAAATTAATAAACAATATTAATAATATTTTATTTTATTTTATAAAAGAGTGTAAAATTTAAAAATAATATAAAATTAATTGAAATTAAAATTATAATAAATGATTATAAAAAATATATTACATTATATTAAAATTTAAATAAAAAATAAAAAAATATTTATAAAATAAATTAAAATTAAAATTGGAATCCAATTTGTTCTTTTAGAATATTAATAATATTGATAATACTAAAATGTAAAATTTAAAACCTAATAAGATCTTATTTGATTATTTTATAAGAAAGTATAATATCAGATTGAGATAAATAGTAAATGCTGAACTCAGTATAATTCCCATATGAAATCAAGAGGTCTACCTAGATCTAGCCAGACCTGACCTTGGGATTGCGCTTGTGTGTGCCTGGTTGGCTTTTGATTGGTTGATAGGTTGGTTGGATACCTTCATCCCACGCTGCGAATCATCACATCGGCTATATTTGTACGTGTCGGCGATTGATATGAGAGAGGTATTGATATAGATGCGAGGAGATATCTATGTACTGTAGAAGGGAGACTTTTGGCTTTTGGCTTTTGGCTTTTGGCTTTTGAAACGAAAACCCTCGGGAAATGAAACGAAATGTTGTGTTTGGTGCGCGACGCCCTGTTGGGCGGTATTTTGGGATAAGGATGAGGATGAGGATGAGGGCGAGGGGTGTCAGGTTTTAGATGTTGGGTGGTGGGTGGTGGGTGCTTGGTCGGTGATGGTGGGGTGAAGGAAGGGTTGGGATTTAGCTATAGGTACTCGGTTGAGTATTTTATATTTATATTGGTGAGGAGTAAGTCATAAATAGGTTATGGTTATTTAGTTTACACTGTAAATCTTGGAGGGGATAAAACTGATGGTTGTAAGAATTTTTGTAAAGTTTAATTAATATTGGTTGACTTAATCATGATCTTTGTTTATAATTGATGCCCTGGTTCCGTGCCCGTTTAGAAGATTGTTAGTGATACGCAGTAGATGATCTATTTACTAGCACAAGGAGCGTTAAATATTAGTGGCTATAAACCTCAATGATTATAGGATAAACTAATGCAAAATTGACTTAAATTATGGAGGAATAAATCATCAAGGATGGAGATTGGTTTAGACAACTTAGACGGAAAGAAGGCGATGAACCAAAGGATGAGTTGGTGGGTGGTAGTCAAAGTAGCTTGTGTGTTAGAATAAGCTTGGAAACCTGTTCCGTCGAAAATACTGGGGAGAAGATGTTTGAAGATATTGATCGTCCTATTCTTAATATATTGAGGGGTTTGCTTTGTAAGGAGTACATCAAAATGTGGCAAGTTGAGGGATGTTGAAACGTGAAGACGATGCGAAGAAAGACGTGTGAGTGATGGATGGTTTTAGGACAAAAACTTCTTTCGCTGTTATCGTGAGTTTTATCGTTTCTATTGTGATATGCGTCATAAGAAATAAGAATTTAATACGGAAATGAGAAAGATTTTGAATCCTAAAATAATTATCATGTTGATATACAAAACTATGTTACCTTGGAAGATCTTTACTTCTTAATCGTGATGGCAATCATCATACCTCACATACCTCACATACCTCACATTTTGCCCCGGTCTGCTGTTGAAGAATATTTGTGAGTCGATGATTTGATGTAAAGCAAGTTAACTTTTATAAGAAGTAAAAAACTTTTTTCCGTCTTGCCGTTGCCCAGATACATACAAGTACAGTCAGTTCTAGGTGTGTTGGAATCATCTCGTGGGACTTTCTTAACGCCAATAAGCCAATGAAGCTATAGACCAGGGTTTAGTTTGGTGTATACAGCGGCAGAAGAGTCCTTGCTCGCAGTATCGTCTCTCAAACGCTCAGCAAAAAAGTCTTGCTTCTTTCTTTACTTCTTTTACTTCTTTTCCTCTGCTCTGCACCGAGTAGCGATAAGCTGGCTAAGCTTAACCGGAAACTTTCGACGACACGACACTCTTCGAGACATTTCTCCCATTTTCCTTATGGAATAAGCCTTTAGGCAATCGAAACTTTGACATCCCACCAAAGACACACGACAATAAACCTGAAGACTTTCAGACCCAATATCTCCTCTCGCAACAACGCTTACATCACATATCCTATCAAATTATTATCAAGTCGGATCATACGAGAAAATCATAAGCTACAAGAATAAGCTACATCAAATCCAACTCTCGAGCCTTGAACCTTTATGAGGTGACAAACACCAAATCACATAGCCTCGCCTTTAAAGATGGCCCATTTTGACGCTTATGGTCGTCCACTGCGAGGCGATTCAGGCCCGGAATATGGGTATGAGACCTACAAGACCTACGATTTCAATGATCCCAACAGGCACATGCCTACCTATTCAAACCCCTCGACCTCGACTAGATATGCTCCGGAATCTCGAGATTTACCTTATGCTTCCCAAAGCGCATCAAGTGCTCGACCACTTTCACCACAACAGTCATACTCATCAAACAACAATATGGGAACGGCATATGGCTCTGACCGTGGCTCCGCTGTAGATAGCGATTCGGTATCGCCTGACATAATCGCAGCAATCACTGAGAAGGTTAAAAGAGAACGTAAGTATATGTTGTGCATCTCTTCACTGCATGTTTGTTATTTTTGCCGTTGAGCCTCGCCGAAATGCCCATGCTTACTGAAACCTATTCACTTAGTTTTCGAACATCTCAAGCAAACAGGCACCATTGATGACCAACCACGAGCTTCGTATATGCAACGTGAATTCTCAGAGAAATCCAACTCTACAAATCAATCTCCTCCTCCAGATAATCGCAGAGTTTACACTCCTCCTTCACCATCTTCTACGACCAAACAAAGCTTTTCCACTCCACCTACAGAACCTATGAGATCCCCTCCTCTAAGTCCATCCTTGGATAAGTCTTCTAGGTTCAATGACCGTGATCGGGATCGGGATCGTGACCGTGGATATAATGATCGACCGGCGCAGAAAGTTCACCGCACATATTCGACCTTGGAATTATCTACAATTGATCACAAATGGGGTCGGTTGTTTGATAATGAATCCCGGCCTACGGAAAGGTTGGGGCAGTTCTTGAGAGGTCTTGCGAATCATATTGTTAGTCTTCCCATACTTGGATGAGGCATTTCGGTGGAACAAGGCTTCACAGAAATGTTTTATCTTCGACCCAATCGGAAGTTGTGTTTGAAAAACGTACTGATGTCATTCACAGGTTGATGACTTTGCGCCCAAAAAGAGTATTGTGATCACACCTTCGAAAATGGCAGCATACTATAGCGCATATCCTATCGGCAAGGAAATTCATCCATATGTTTGTAAGGTTCCTTGACTTCTACCATTAACTTTATTCATGCTCACATTCTATATCTAGCCGTTTTCAAAACCCTCTCTAACGCCCAAATTTCGAAGCTATACCAAGATCTTGGATGTCAACATCATCTAGTCCAAGAAGATTTTCATTCCTACCCTACAATACCAGCCTTGACTCCACTTGGATTTGCACACTGGATGACAATTCAAATTTCTGCTTACCCCAGTGAAGAGTCAGAGAGATTAGGAAAAGTTGTCTTAGCTTTACCGATTAATGCCGATGGGCAAATGGTGGATGGAAAACCGGAACGTTTACCAAAACAAATCTCCCGCCACTTGTTACCTGATGTTGGGGATCGCGACTCGGAAAAATTGATGCGAACCGCAATATCTAACTTCTCTGATGAGCTTGGCATTCCTCAAAGCAGCAGAAATAAACCAAGAACCTCTAGCCCACCACCTCGTCAGTCTACGCCTGCCGATCGGTCAAAATCCCGTCCTGATGACATACCTCAGCCCAGAGCCTCTTATGCGGGGCTGACTGGCAAGTCTATTGAACGGGAACGAATGCCTTATGCCGGTGCACCTTCGGTCACATCTGAGTCATCAAGCGTCGATGAAGGATCGGCGGTACAAATTGAACGTGAAAGGAAACCATATTCCGCTCAGCCTGGTAATGGCAAAATCTATACCGGGCCCAATAACGTCAATACTTCAAATAGGCCTGGCAGGGCGAATTCCACTAGTCGAGTAAAAGAGCCTCAAGAACGTGAGCGTAGTCGGTCAAGACATGATCGTACGCAAAGCAATGCTAGCCAAGATAATTATAAGCCACCACCACTGTCATCTACCAAACGCAATCGCAGCCCGCAATTCAAGAGCTACAGTCAATCTACACCTACCAATATTGATGTTGGGTCTACTTATGTGCCATCACCTGCTAATTTCCCTCCTACCTTCGAAACTTCGTCATATGGATCTAACGCTTCCTTTCCTCCGCCACCCTCTTCTTCAGAAATTCACAGTTCGAGAGATAGAAGACGAGATGAACGGTCTCACCGCAGAGGAGTAGAAGATGACCGTTTCTCAAGTAGTACTCATATCAATGACTTTTCAAGTCCAAGAGATGCGGAGAAATGGGATAGGTTGCATGAGGGACTCGACTCGAGAAGTAGTGATTATGACCGCGATCGTCCAACTAAATCTACAGGTTCCGCCTATAGTGAACACATGACTAGGAGTTCATATATGGAACCACAAGTTGGCGCTGATTATGAAGATTGGTATCGAAATGGAGTTGACAAGAGTATGAGAAATAGTATGTATTACTGATATGGTATTTGTGGGAAACGGGGGATTTATTAGGTTTTTGGGTATCATATTAACGAACTGGATTTTTATTATGGTATGATTTGATATGATGGAATGAGAGATGAGATTTATGGATTATTGTTGATGGCGATTTTTATGTGTTGGGATACGGTCGTTTGGTTCTGGAAAACTCGTTGTTTTATTTAGGTAAATGATAAGGATAGGGTTAGGATAGGGATGGGGATAGGGATTTGAGTATGAATATGGAAATGGATATGATAGTAAGCAAAGAAAGGGAAGGAAGGAGAAGGGAGGGAAGGGAAAGGATTCTCGGCAACATCAAATGTCGATGTATGGATGTGTTTTCTATTTAGCGTTGAGATTCTTTGATCATTCAGTCATGCAAGCAAGTAAGATACCACTATCAGAAATTTTTTATTGAATTTATTATTTCTATATTGGTTTTGGTTTTTAGTTTGGTCTTGATCTGAATCTTGATCTTGATCTTGAATTTTGGATATTGGATTTTGTAAATGATGTTTTTTGATGTGTGATAGACAGTGAGTGATTTGATGATTTGAAAATTTGATAAATATAAATAATAGATTAAAAATAGATTCAAAGTAAAAACCTCAACCTGATATCCTAAGTTGCCATAACACTCTTGCCTCCGTCAATGATCAATCTCATCCTAACTCGACTCTTCAAGAAACCATCATTAAGCTTTTTCAATTTTAATTTATCATTATTACCTACTTCAACATCTATCATAGCACTCGGGTAGAGGTGTTGTATTGGAAATTGTAAGGAAAGAGAAGCACAGCGAAGCGAATATGAAAAGAAATGAGCGATCAGAGATTTATTTAACTTTGCCATATACATTTTGGACATTTGATACAGATACAAATTTTCTGGTCTGATGAAGAGTATTTAAAATAAAATACAAAGATTCTTTTTGCGCGGGTTAAAAAGTAAGAGTTGTATAATTATGCATACAGCCGCTAGACAGATATACCGCAATAAGTCCAGTACCCTACTTTCCGGCCACCTTTTCACACCAAAAATCATCATTTTCACCTATTAATATTTCAACAACTAATGAATAAAATCGATTGAAATTTGAATCGTAAATTTATTATATAGTTATCAATCGATCTTGAAAATTTTAGATTTTTTGGAATTTACTTCATTGAGATCTATAATCTTAAATTTTGTGATTTTTGATTTGTATGAGATTTACATACAAATTTACAAAATCATTAAAATCTTGAATAACTTTTCAACAAAAATAATTAAAAATAAATTATTAACTTTTTTCGAATATTTATATCATAAATAATCAAATAGATCAATTTATTTTAAAAAATCCTTTTAATCAAAATGTCATGATTTTTAATCTCTGTAAAATCTAAAAATATCAATAAAGTTTCAATTATATTATTTAAAATTCAAAATCTTAATTTATTATATAATATTTGATTTGAAGATTTCAAAAAGATTTACAGTTTATTTTGAATAATTTTTGTTGGAAAGTTATTCAAGATTTTCAAGATTTTCAAATTTGTATGTAAATCCAATACAAATTGAAAATCGTAATTTCAACTTTCAATTTCTCAATCAATAAAATCATGGAAAATCTGAAATTTTCAGAATTGAGTTATAACTATATAATAAATCTACCATTCAAATTTCATCAAATTTTATTGATTGGTTGTAAAGTTATTAATAGATGAAAATCACGATTTTTGGTATAAAAAGGTGTCCGGAAAGAGGGGTGGCCGGAAAGTAGGGTACTAGACTTAAAAAATTGTAACAAACAGGTTGTGATTTATAGGTGCTTGGATATTATCTACAAAATTGATTTCTTCTTCACGTCCATGCAAAGAGGATTACTGCAACCAGCAAGAAATCATATGTTTGTAGCTGAAACGCTGGCCAAGTCCTTCAGACCCTTCCGATGGACTGTTGATCCTTTTCAGGTTGTCACACCCATCCTTAACACTTTATTCAATAGTATTAAGATCGAAGACTGATACTATGTATAGTTTGAATATGATTCTTGAAGTATCGTAAGGGTTTAAGAATAAGCCCTTCCTGTTGGCAAATAGGATGAATATAGAATATTCTTTGGAAATTCAAAACTTTTTTCAAATTGCTTTCCATATAGTTCATCATTTTGCATAAAGTGATATAAGTATGTTTCCGATATGTATAAGTACTTCGACTGTCTCCTATATATATAATGCATTGGGTCTTTCTACAAAGAAGGGAATAGGGTCCTCGTATAAAGGCTGCTCCTCAGGAAACTCCAAGATCCCCAGCTCGAGTGGTTGCTATGTTGAACTTCTTGTTCCTGTCGATAGGAGAATGCTAACATTAAGTCAATGGTATGGATCCGGCAGTTGATGATATCTTGGGCTCATAACCCTCGAGAGATCCCAAAGCATCTCTTGGAACCGAGTTCATTCTGGAGACTAATGATGAATAATAAGTTCAATATATTTGTTTATAAAGAACTTTTTGAATTATCTTTGTAATTCTTCCCCATTGATATAATTAAAATGATCTCACTGTAACTCTATCTTGATTGCCCGATTATGTTGTTTCTGTAAAGAATCAATCTCCCAATGAAGTTATTCCCATTCTTTGCGGATTTCAAGTAAAGCTCGGCTATAGGATATATATCGCCTTTTGTTTTCTCTGTGTTCTCATGTAAGTTCCATTATCTCTGGATCCGTTCTTTGGATCTGGAGGAAAAGCTTTCAAAATCTCTTCGGGCATATCGCTTAAGGTACGCGGATCACAGCTGAGACTCATATATATAAAGGCACAGAGAGAAACCGATATACATTAGCTGGTTTAACACTACACTGCATCTTGAACGATAAACCGGACCTTCTGTTGATGTAGGACCCGCAAAAGATTCTTGTCTGAGGATTATGCTTCATCACCTAGTCATATACAGCAGTTATAGCTGCCTCTAGAAGATGTCAGCAAGAATACAAAGTATTTACAGAAAACTCTTACCGCTTATAGTATTTCTAGTACTTCTATGATGTAGCTACTTAGCTAGCTTCTATGCAAATCCGACAGCTCAACCAAGATGATCAAGGTAATATGCAAAGGTCGAGTAATGGAGGACCTTATGTTCTGATGTTGATAGACCATCAAATGTCCATACTGCCTGCCGAAGATCGGTATTGAGTTTCTCTGGCTTCCAATGTACTAGAATTGTTTTTGTTTGGTCTTGTAGATCGCTTATAAAAAAAGGTTTAGTATAAGTAAATCCATTTATCTTGATTATATTATCCCTGATAGTAATAGTTAAAATATAGTTAACGGGATAGAGAATTGGTAAAGCTTTTTCGTGAAAAAGGGATATAATCTTACAAATACTATATTAGCAAAATCAAAACAGACCAAACCAAAAATATATAATTTGAATTCCTATCAGCTCCCTTATAATGAGCAAGAGTAATCTCCATTCCAGGAAGATCACGTTTCTCTAGGAGTAGGATTTCGGATAATCCAAAGACGGATATCTTCCTAATAATTTTAAAGAGCTTTATATTCTCATATAAGAATATCCTCATTATCTTTATCACCGCAATTGGAAATCTTTGGAAGGGCCAAAGGCTTTAGATTTCTCATATATAGAACCATCATCTTTCATCTAATTCAAGCCCTCACATTTAGTATCCCAATTGTTGTCTTCATATATTTGGTCGCGACTAATAGCAATTTTCCCTTAGACTGCGCTGCATCAACCAGCTCGGCGGGTCGGCAGCCGGTTTAGATAGGGGGGAGTATGATTGTTGCAAATACCAAACGCGGATCTCCGGCCGGTTGGAAAAATATATGTGTCCCGGGTCCAATAATAGATGAGGAGGAGGATAAGGTCGTCCGTTCTAAACATCTCTTTTACCATTTTTTCCCATCTCAAAATAAACTCCTTGATTAAAATAATATTTAGATATTATAATTATATAATCAATAATCAATCTTAAAAAAATAATAAGAAAAAATATTATTATTATAAGAATTCTAAAATCTATTCATTGTATATCATTTAAATTTGTAATAAAATCTCTATAAAAAACTCTAATTCTTTATATAAAAATAAACATCAAATAAATTTTTAAAAATTATACCAGGGCCTGCGCCCCCGGACCCCTGGCTTTTCGAGATAGTCTAATGAAAATTTAAAGTTTAAAAAGTTTATAATAAATTAAATATTAAATATATATCAGAGTGCAGATAGAATATCGGATTGTTTTTAATAATTGAAAATTAAATTATTTTATTTAAAAATAATAATTATATTATTATTATTATTATTATTATTATTTTGAATTGAATGAGTTGAATGATCTCAGTAGAGTTGAATGATTTTATTAGAGTTGAGTTGAAAAAAGCTCCAAGTCAGATTTGCCTAAGGTTGTAAGGCTTATGCCAAGCTTTTTGTTAGATTATTTACCGGGGTATTTACCGGGGTATTTTAGACCAATCAGATTGTCAGGATCGCGACTCATTTAAGCGAGTTTCTCATTTTCCATCACCCACCGAGTAAACCTTGTATACAGCAAGGTTATAAAGTCGGCAAGCTGATAATAATTTGGTTTTCTAATAATTTTTATTTAAAAAATATATTTATTTAAATTTCAAAAGATTTAAAAAATTTAAAATTTAATTTATATTTATATAAATATATAAAAATAATATACATATACAAAGTTTTCCTTTTTATTATTTTCTTTTTTTATTCTCGTTTCTTTCTTTTTAAAAAGTCCTTACACTATCTACTTATTCAATTATCTAGTTTACCCCCTTTACCCCTCCCCCGCCTAACAAACCAACCCAACCCAACCAAACCATCATTCACACCTACGACCAAATAATCTAGCGTCGCCGCAATTTTGTCATATTTTGTTCTGAATCCTTCAACCCCATCTACAGCGCCAATCATTTCATCCTCTAAGACCAGATAATTTCTTTTCTTTTCACTTCATTCCATTTATTCTTCACTCTAAACCTCACCACCTTCACCCATAAAAACACCTTCCATTCCACTACCCCCTCTACCTTCATTAATCATACTTTCCGCATCGCCGACCTGTTTTCGCTCCGAGACTTCCCGCATTCCCATTCCCATTCCGGCTTTTCCTTTTCCATTGCCTAATTTTAAATTCATTTGTTTATGTCCTAGACCCAGCGTCAATCCTCGGGATAATCCGTCTTCACTCCCTATCCGCGTTCCACCGATATCGGGACGGGATTGTGATTTTGATGTATCCCTCATGACTGCTAATTGTTATTGAAGAGGCTCCGAACTCGATGAAAGTCGGTTTAGGTGAAGGTATACGTCTGTTCCGTATCTTTTTGTAGGAAACTTTGTTAGCTTATTCCATGCTTGCGCGAGGAGAGAGAATATAAAAAACTCAGAAGACCTACCCCTCCATACTAATCAACTTCAAATCTCCTCCAAAATATCTAGCATATAATCTTGAAATTGGTAGACCATAACCAAATCCTGCCATTGGTGCTTTGAAATCACTCTTATCAAAATCTGGATCTAGACTGGGTGTACGGTCCACGGTAGTATACATATAAGTCCAAACTAAAGGTATAGCACTTCTAGGTATTCCGCCACCTTCATCCGAGATTTTGATGGTAATATCCTCTCTCCCTTCCGCCACCACGACTTTCGTGATTGGAAAGTCCTGTTTATCCTGTCCATGTGTTTCGACGACAGCTCGAAGGGAGTTTTTGAGAGTTTCGAAAAGCATGTGTGAAAGATGACCTGGTACATACATGAAATGAAGGTCTGAAGGACACACTAGTTGGATCTTGGGCGCATCGAAAAGCCCATAGTGATCTTCGCAAACAAATCTTGCATTTTCGATTGCTTCTTCGGCGAGATCTCGAACATTGGTTTTCGTGCATATAATACCTACGTAATTAGGATCTTTATCGTGACTTTGATCTGTGAGTGCTATATGTTGTCCAATGAGCATTCTTATGCCAATACGGGACATGTAGAAACGATCAAGAAAGGACTGTATGTTATTATCAATTTGCATACGTTGCCGCTTCCGCTTGTATTCGAGAATTCCCTGCGCAACGGTTGTAACCACTCCATCATGCCGCCTTTTTATATGGTTAAGGGTTTGTGCGAATCTTTGATTATAATCGTGAAGTTCTGGAGGCCAATCCGTACTATCTTCTACTGTAGCAAAATATCTTCTTGCTGATGCTGACTTTGATTCTTTTCCGTTCCCATTAGAGCTATACTGTCCCCTCGTCACACTCGGGTTTTGTGTGGCTTCTGTCAAAATCTTGGATGTTTTCCCATTTATTTTCGCAGGCTTCATGAGTCTTTCTTTGACATCTGATGATAATTGTGGCCGAGGAAGTGTGGTAATTTCCTTTCACATGTCAATTCACGCCAACGTTTCCTTTTGTGTGAGAGAGAAGAGTCATACCTCAAATGACTGTGCATACCATTCCTTCACTTTTTGAATCGAGGGCATCTCATTAAGTCCATCTGGTAAATCTGACAGCTCCTGTACACGATGCGCAAGTCGTATGGGAAGTTCTTCAGAGAGAAATTGTGATGCCCGGAAAAGGGTACCTATGTGTGAAGTAGTGCTTGATCAGTATGGAACAATGACAGAACCTCTGAAACCCGCAACATGTACTCCCAGACATACCTGTAGATGGTCTCTCCCCGAATTGTACCATCTGCCTCAAACTCACTCCCGTAGCGGGGAAGTGTGAGTAATGTTTGATGGTATCCATCAACATCTCACTCGTCTTCCATGACATCTTGTGTAATTCCTTTTGGCCCTAGGGCCCCTAAGATATGATCGTAACCCCTTCACTTATCGATTACTCCCGTTCAGCATTAGCTGCCGTTGATGGTATAATAGACCCTTTTGAAACGTTTGTTGATTTTTCTCCCCGCGTTCGTGATATCCTAGAAGTACCTTTACTCAAATGACGCAGAGGCTAACCAATTGCTACCGAGGCAAAGCTAAGGAGTTGATTGATGGATGGATTGATTGATGGATTGGTGAATTGAACAATCGGAAACAGTTAAAAAGGATTTATCAATTGATTGTTTGCAAACAAAAGAATATATTAATAATGTTGGGAACGACAATCAAAAGTCTAAATATGAGAATTTCTTTGTTAAAAAATTGATCGTGTGCACACATACCAATTCATTCAACAATCATCCAATTAGTCGTCATGTACAAGTATGTAATCATGTTTTCATAAAGTGCCAGTGCCAATGCCAGTGCCAGTGCCAGTGCCAGTGCCAGACAGAACCGGTGGCCAGAACAATGTCACAGCCAGTGCCAATGCTATATCACGCAAATCTGCAGCAAATCGAAAGATACAGTAAGGAGATGTGAGTACCGAAAGCTTCCCCTTGTTTCCGAACGACCGAGATAATCTCACTGTGACTGTATTACACCATGACCTTAAATCTTTCCCCACCCTTGTCTGTATATATTCTAAGCTTTCTGGCTTTCACGCTGCATCCGACAACATCCTCAACCACACAATCAATACTCAGTCCATACTCACTCACTCAAGACCAAGTCCTCCGTTCGACCCGTCATATAGCTGAAAAGTGCGTGTGTGAGAGATGATGATAAACTAACTATAAGCTTGCTGAGCTACAATAATGCTGTACGCTCGTGATTAGATATGGCTATATTAACGTTGCTTTGTCTCACGACAAGGTCTTGGTACTGTACTATTGACATTGACAACCCTACCTAGGTAGTTAACCAGAGTACTTTTGAGCAGGAAAAAAAATAAAAATCAATAAAAATCTTCCTTTCACAGCTTTGAATCTCACCCTGCTCCACACAGGCAGGCAAGCATCGATATTACCTCGGATGATTCATTCCTGCGACTTAAGTACTTGCGAGACTTACAATTGGCGGAGAAATGAAAAGAGGAAGATGTTGGCAAGCATTTTGGCTCGCATGTGAAGTTACATTCTCTGAGTGAGCTGAGTCTTGGAAATCGTATAGATTGTCGTTAAGGCTATTCATCCTCTTCTCTCTACTTTTCCGTGCCTCTTCCCGAAATCTGGTGATCCTGTTGATTCAGAGACGGGTAAATGGAAGGTTAACCTTATAAACACGTGATAATTTTGAACAAAGATCTCACATCGACGTTGTCTACAAAAGATTTGATACGTGATTTCGGAATTTAAGAATTTCCTCGATATTTCTTGTGGATTGGAGGAGTTATTGCAGCCTCGATATTTTCTGCTCACTCTGTCATGAGATTGCTTTCTGCTGCTGCGCTGAGAGCACCAGAGGAAACAGATGCAGCGTAAAGGCTAAGATGAAGAGACATATATATAAGAATCGAACATCCAAAGTTTTGGTTGCTTTCATTGCAAATAAATTGTTTTGATTCATCTGGTGGTCGGTCCCAGGGTGGAAGATTGCATTTCATTTCATCAAGCATGAAACTTGTCAACCTCTTCGCGTGACACGAAAACCACAAATTGGGAAAGAAGGAAAGAACGATTTGATAAGTCAATCGAGGAAGATGCAACTACCCGTGAAGTGACCGACCTACCTACTACCTACTACCTACCTACCTACCTACCTAACTACTTCGTCCTTTGATCTTTACTTTTCTCTTCTTTCTTGAAGTTAGAAGATACTCAATAGCAACATCATTTCTGTGATATCATTGTCAGTACAGCTTGAGGTATTGGTTCATAAAGTTCAAATGAAGATGATTTCTTCTAGCAATTACCGTTTCGGAGGCATTTGTCTTGTCGTATTTATCTTCATTTACGCAGTTTGGTCTCCTTTTAAAGGCTTTGTTTCTGACAATGTTGTGGTTTCATCTAAACCAAAGATAATTGAACCTGGAGAAAGGTAATATCCATAACTTATCTATGGTATGGCTGTTCTGACCACCAAAAGTGCCATCAAACATTATCTAGGTAGCAAAGACTGTGGAATTTTACAATCGGACATATATCATGTACCATACCCCGCCAAACCGAATGTTTCGCCTTTCTGCAAAAATAGGGCAACACTATTAGAAGCTTTGGGTAGTGGAGGCAGACATGGATTCGATGAGCCATATGTTGGGAAGGGTGAGAATGCACTCTACCACTTCCTGAAAATAGCACTCACAGATATAGGTTGCACATATCGATGGTTTTCAACATCTGAAATATGTATGATCCTCGAACGATTCAGCGCTGTTGTGTTCCTCGGTGATGAGACGGCTCAAACTATTTATGCTGCTCTCAATGTCTTCCTGCGAGAAGATATATCCCACGGTGGCTTGCAGGAATGGATGATGACGGATGATGAACGAATTGCTTGCAAATGTGATGCTCAATTCTTGGATAATAATTGTCTCGGATACTCTGTCAAGAACTTTGAGGAAGTCATCAAAAATGAAGCAAATGACCCGAAAGGAAGCCCATATGCATGCCAAAGTAAGATTTCTTCAACTCTTCTTCAGAATAGGAGTTTAACATAAGATCTAGGAACTCCACATGCCTACATACCTTTCATGACCACACCTGCGTCATCCGCTGCCATAGCTACATTTCAATCCTTAGCATACCAAAAACCAGATCCTTGGCAACCTACTCCCGTGATATTTTCTCTCGGTCATAGATTTTCCCACGATATGAAGTTTTCCGTAGATTCGATAAATGAATGGATAGGTATCACCAACGGTGCTGAACGCAATATTCCAATATTACTTCTTGGTCCTACTGCCTACGGTGTCTCAAGACAATCAAGTAACGACGGTAACATGGAGATATGGAAATACCAAGAAGAATTAAATAGAATCGCCCCTGACAAGCATATGGATATTCTTCGACTTTGGAATTTGACTATACAAGCGAGTAGTACGGATGGAGAAAGATACGGGGAGAAGGTTGCGTTGGTTCAAGCTATGATGATTATTAATTGGTTGGCGAAGCTGGAAACTTCTTAGGCTTAATTTGAGGTCTGGCTTGAAGAGAGATATAGGTATACATATTCGGATATGACGAAGGAAGAAGGAGAATAGAAATAGCTATAGTTAGTTCATCTTGTATGTCTGTCGAGGACATAGGTGGTTTCAATACGTACAGTTGTTTCCCTCCTCGTCTGTACAGATATGCTTTTTTAAGCTTGATATTTTTAAAGTTTTATTACATCAAGTAACCATAAATAGCTAGTTATAGATGATTTATAAACACTTTTAAACCAAAGAAACTTGAGAGATTTCACAGAGTCTGAATTTAAATTCTTTGATTCGCTATATTATAAATGCTAGGAGTACTAGACATGTATCAATAATTGGTTTATATTATATATAAAAAAAAAGTAAATCATTCATCATAAGACGTTAAAAGTATATATATCCAAATAACTAATCAACAACCATCTTATCACCCTCCGATGCTCCTTCTTGTGCGTCTATAACCTCACTCCCTCATCAATTCTCTTTCTCTTCCCCTGTCATCTCCCTTTATCCCCTTCATATCCCACTTCTCTAGCCCTCCCCCTCAAAATCTCCATCGCCGCCTCCGCAGCCCTCGCCTGAATCTCCTCCTTCCTAACCCCACCACCCACTTCTACAATTTCCCTCCCCCCAATAAACACCTTACATAAATACTCTGTACCGCTCTTCTCTTCTCCTTCCGTTCTATTATCTTTCTCATCCTTCTCATCCTTCTCATCCTCACAACCCATCCTCCTATTCCACAGAACATACTTAACATCCTCGGAATCCGCCAATATCCCCAATTCCTCCTTCGGATGCATAATCCTAACTCCTTCTCTCAAAATCCTCCTCATATATCTCAATATGCCCATCCTCTCTACAAGTTTCGTACATGCATCTAACGATCCACTATCGATCCATATCGCCCCAAGTAAACTCTCAATCATATCCGAAAAGAACTTTCGCGCATCTAATCTTGATAATAAAGTCCAAGGAAATTTATCCCCCGTTTTAATGACCGCAAGGATCTCTTCACGAAGTTCCTGATGTCGAGCTAGAGCTTGTTTTTGATAGATGGAAAAAGTGGTACTTGAATGACGGAGAAAATTCACCAGGGAAAAACGACGTCCAGTGTGCGTTTCGTGGATTTTGTGATCTTTTCCTTCGGTGAGATCGATCACGTCTTGTTCGATACTCATTTCCATGCAAAGAAATGCGAGGAAATCTGCATTTACGAGGGCGGAACGCAAGAGATGCATTTGGAAATGTGAAAGCTCGGTCTCATGAGACCACATGGCTGTGACGATGATATTGTCTAGGATGGCATCGCCGAGAAATTCAAGACGTTCGAGTGATTGCGTGCCGCTGATGTAAGACGGGTGTGTCATGGCTTCGACGAGGAGCGATTTTTTGGTGAATGTATATGCGAGGATTTGTTCGATGGGCCTTAGTGCGATGGGTAAGTGGAGATCATCTGGTGCTCGTTGATAAAGTGACATTTGTCGCGTTTCGAGAGCTAGCCAGTTGAGTTCTGGGAAAAACAGTTGCAAAGATTTGAGAGCTTTGGGGATACCACCATCAACCATGCATGCGCCAATGAGTGCTTCAACGACATCAGAGAGAACTTTGGAAGACATCTCTCTTCTTTTTTGCTCTGTGATTTTCAAGTAATCTTCGACATACATCGGACGCCATTTGGAACCTGTAAATTTCTTGGTGATTATATACTCATCCAAACCAAGCTCTACCGCCGCTCTTGATGAGCGCGAGTTAGAAACGATGCGATCTTTCATAGCCGACAGATATCCTTCAGGCCAAAGAGGATATTCTGAAACTAGTTGTACTGATGTACATAACTTTAGTATTGAGTCGCCCAAAAATTCTAGACGCTGATAATTTGAGGTCAACGAGTAACTGGCATGTGTGATAGCTGTTTGAACAAGGCTTCGATCGCTGATCTCGAGATCCTTGAGGATAGTTTTTCGTAGACGATCGACGATAAGTTGTACCTCAATGTGATGTGTGATAGAAGGTATCATCATGCCGAACTGCACTAACTGGAAAGGCATTGCATCTTGCACGCATACTGAAGCTGGTAAGACACATGAGAATTGTTTGGAAGACGAAGAACTTTGGGTTTCCACCTTGTGCAAAAAATCCGTACGACGCATAACTGGAATTAAAGCCAGATACGGTACATTTTCCGGCGCATTTGGATAGTCCAGATAAGGGTGCTGGACTTCGTTGACCGGTGGCTTGCTGGGCAACCATTTTTTAAAGATATAGGGCTGGGCCAATTTACCGAATTCTCTGATGAATCCAGTAATCTGGGAAGGCTCATCGGGGGGAACCGTCATGCAATCTAAACTGAGTGACGCTGGAGCTCGATTTGTAATGAACTGCACAACTGTTCGGCGTGAAAAGATATCAAATCTACGACTAAAAGCACCAGATAAGAGTAAATGGGTATCTTTTAATGCCCGTGATATCATGTCCTCGGTGGTTCCTATTTCAGTATCGTTTGTAAACTCGACAGAGAACTTTGTGCTGGAGTCCCAGTGAAGTGTTAAGGGCGGAATTGGTGGTGGCTCGATTGGAAGGCAGAGCTCCATCTTTAAATCATCCAGACTCATAACAGATGTACGAACAATTCCGGGATTATTTTTTGCCTCTTGCCATGCCCTGGCAACGTCAAGCCAAGGATCCAATCTCTCCTTGACCTCCAGCAGAGATGCCCGTGTATCCACGGGCTTTGAAGTCAACTCATCAATGACCTTGTCGTGTACCATGAGGGGCAATAAATTATCATTAACCAAGCCTCCCTTATGTAAGGCAACATAAGCCTCGAATGCTGCATCCTTTGCAGCCCCTTTCTCGCTTAACCAGACTCCACGGCTCTCATGAACTCGAAAAGTTTCAGGAACTGATAATGGAAGGATCACTTTTGCCCGAACAAAATCAGTGCCTAAATCAAAGGAGTAAACAAAGTCTGGTCTGAGATCAACAAAATCTTTTGCCGTCAACACTGAACAGAAATGATATAGATGTGCTACAGCGTTGTCAAGGTCCAACCGAGCACCGGTACTTTCTATTCGCAAGAATCTGCCATCTTCTGACTGTTCATCGACATTCTCAATTTCGAAAATGTGTTGTAGTTCCCGCATTTCGTCTTCATACATCTTTCGCATGTTTCTTTCAAGTTCATGCCAATCAATTACCTTACCACCTGGAGAATCAAGAAGAATCAATTTAGAATCTTGCTGCCTCGCTCGCCCTCGTCTTTGTATGAATGATTTGAGATTTGATGGTTTGCTATAGCATAGGGGGTTAGTGATCGCCTATCAAGGAATACTTTCAAAGCTTCATGGGGAAATTGAAGATGATGCAAAAATGCAGAATTCACACAGATATTGACATCTGGACTGGCAAAACTACAAAAGTCATCAAGCTTACCTAAAGCATATTACTAGGTTGCACGCACGAACATCAATTCCCTCTTCCAATACATTTGTAGCGATGAGAATATCGATCTTTCCAAGCTTGAAGCGCGATAAAGTGTCTTTTTGTTCATCTAGATCAACAAGCTCCCCTACGATCTGTGTGCGCTTGCTGTTTGACGATGAACCAACCATGGTTCCAATTTTAAAACGCTCTTTTGTTAATGGATGATGTGACAACAGATGGGCTAGTACGAAGACTGTAGCTCTTTCTTCGACAAATATGATAGCGGAAAATGGGGGCTCTTGCTGCAAGATTGTCTTTAGTAGCTTTGCAACTTTATTAGAAGTTTTATCTGTGACTGAAAAAACAGATGGCGAGATTTCGACTTGCTTAAGAGCCTTAGCAATGTAGACTCTTTCGGTAGCAGCTAAATCCATAACCGCAAAGACATCTCTTGCTTTCATTGCTTTCAGATATTTTGTTACCACTGCTGAGACATAATAATCTGCGGCCCACGAGCCTAGCTCAACAAGAATAGTCTTACTAGTGTTATAGATCAACCTCAGTTCTTTCTGACTATTTGTTTTGTAGTTGCTGAGTAATTTTGCTAGTTCTCTCTGACTTTTTTCGCTACCACTGCTCTTGAGTGCCAAGACATACGGGTCTTCAGAAATGTTGAGGTCTGTTATAACCTTTCCAAGGCTTGCAACGGTTTTTGTTATGAGATATTCAGGCTCCGGACTGTATTCGATAATGGATAGGACAGGCAACTTTACTCGAAGTCGAAGATCTGCTTGGTGTATTTTTGGCGTGCGGCAAACGGCATCCAATGTCTCTTCGACCAAGCTCAAAGATTGTGGATCGGATCTCATAACAGGGCTGGCCGAAAGGCCTAGAATGTGAGGAAGTGGGGATATTGATTTATATGGATGATAGAAAGATGTCATAATCTTAGCCCCTGGAGCTTTGTTTAGACAATTGTGTGCTATCGCTGTTAGTAAAGTTTGAGAAATTTTTATTTTTTATCGGGTTTTTGATTTATGATACTCACCTTCGTCGAAAATGATCAATGAGAGACGCTCCATGCGTACAAATCCATGTGTAAGGGCATCTAGAAGAACTTGGTACGGAGATACGGCTATCTTAACATCCTTCAAGATCGCATCCCACTGTCTCTGCTCTGTCCATCGATCCACGCCATCAGAGCCAACAAGTAGTTTAACTAAAACTGAGGAAATATTCAACTGGAGATATTCATTATGCTGAGTACAGAGAGCAACGGTAGGGGCAAGAAACCATATCAGCTATAGCATCACAGTTAGCGAAAGGAAAAATAGAGGATGGAACTTTCTGCCCACCTTATCTGGCTCCATCCGCTCGAGTTCTGCTAGAATTCGTAGAACAGCCCTAAATAGTCGACTGGTCAGATTACGACCAGCCTTTGGAAAAAATTATGACGGTGAATTATATTAGAACACCACTTCTCACTGCAATTCAAAACCCTCGAGGTAGGTTTAAACACCTAGTGGGCAATGCAGCAGGAACTGGACCTTTCCGATTTGCTCCAACTTGAGTCCCAAAGGAAAGAACCTACACATGTGTCTTGCCACTCCCTGTGTCCATCTACAACCATCAGCATGAAATCCCCATTAAAACTATAAGGCAAACTTACCGCAACGATAATATTCCTTTTCAAACTTTCCTCCAACATTTCTAGTTGATACGTTCTCGGAGTGACTATCACATCCCTCCCTCTCTCCTCCTCACTAATATTATCCTCATTTTCTACAGCGGACTCTATAGTAATACTACACAAATCCTCTACAATCTCCTTAGATCCCTTCCCAGATGTCAAACCGTCTAGATACCCTTCAGCCTCATGTTGGTTATCGACAAGGCTACCACCAATATTGGAGTAGGCTTCAGGGTCAGAAGTATTGTCCATCGTCTTAAAATAACTGGAAAAGAAAGAGCAATTAGGTAGATTAGAGAAACCGACTGGGGGCAATGATTCTTGAAGGAATGATGTCGGTTTGAGAAATAAAGAGTTGTGGATGAGATCCGAATAAAGCGTTCGTCTTCGCCATCGGGATTTTTTGGTTCCGGGTGCAGTCATCCATTTTGGGAATTGATGGAATCTCATTTATCATTTTTATATTCGTGCACTGCACTGATTACAATATCCTGCAAGAAATAGTGGCTGGAAAAGATTGATATTTGAGCAGGCGGACGCAGAAAGATCTTGTCCTAAAATTACTCTGATCCAAGCAAGTTGACCCTTAAAAATTGTTCCAATGTACTTCCGATCTTACCTGACTAATCTCAGAGCAACTTGACTTCTAAGTGGCTCTTCCACATAGGTAATGAAGTGCGTGTCTAGCTAAAGTAGTCGAGATAATTAAATTAATGTCCATTACTGAGTTTCGGGTGTCTACGGAAAGGGGCTCTATCAGGATCTTATGTATCTTGAGTATCTAGTATTTCTATGGCGGCCATTCTCAACATTTGTAACGGCATGTCCCCCCGCTCATGACCACAATTTTACCACCATTTATTCTCCAACCACATGCCGCTTTTTGCCTTCAACAACTGCCACATCTCTCCCGACCCAAGAACTTCTCAGCATCCTTAATCCCCTTTGTACATTCTTCTCCCATACCAATGACCGCTTTTATTAAGTCATGGTTGATCTTCTCGTTCACTACGCTATCCTTCTTATAATCCCCATGACCCGCAACGAAGTTTCTTATCCACTTTGCTGCTGTCCATAATCTTCCGTCTGCCCTCTTTCTGATTAAATCCAAGTAAGACGCCAACTCACACCTGGTTTGGACATCAATATTGACGCTATCGAGATATGATTCTACCAATGGTATTAAGCCTGGGAATTTGTTCTCCGAATCACTCTTACTGCCATTGATAATTTCATCGACGGACATAATTGCATATTCATCTTCTACTGGTCCAGATGGCGTAGGTGGTCTCGAAATACTAAGAGGGGTGTTGGTACCAGACGCTCCGCCAGATGCTCCACCATTCGAGGAATATGGTCGTGGCGCGCGAGTTGGGAATGGATTTTTCCGAAAGTAAAATTTCTGTTCCAGGACTGCATCTCGAGCATGTGCTGTTTCCATATTTTCACTTACTTTAGTGATAGGTATGTAAAAATTGAGGTCGAAGGAGAGGATCGCTCGCGTGATGAGTACAATGAATACTGAAAAAGCGGCATTCTCAAAATCGGTGATTTGGATCTCCATTGGTCTGAATTCTACTCTCCAGCCAATATCACTTCCTGTTGGTGGTGGCTTGAAACGCATATGTTGCCAGTTGGTTGACTGAAGGTTCTCGAAATGATCTGTTTTTGATAGGTCGAGTTCTTCCAGATCCTCAGCAAAGACAACAATCGGATCCCGAATGAAAAGATGTGCAAAGTGAGTAGCTAAACGATCATCCATGCCTTCATTCATAAGCTGTTGTTTGACATCGGGATCGATCACAAGGTCGCGATCCAAGTACTCCTTTCGTAATCGAGGATCTTCTGAAATGTATGTAGAATTGGAGGCATAACGTGATTTGGGTATGCGCCATCGATCATGCTTCAGGGGCTGCTAAAATTAGCATTTCTCACGTATCAAGTATAGCTTTACTAACCTTCTCTCCCAACTCTTCTGGAGTTCGATCGTCCACAGAGCGACTGATTTGGTTCCATCGGACGTCCGTGTCGGCTAAGAAGCCTTTGTAGATTGGAGTCGCCGCAGTCAAGGCGAGGAGAATCGGAGCCAAAGGACTTAACTGATCATACATTCGTCGCCCTTCAGTGATGTTTTTAGCTTGGAAGGTAATCTGCAAACAACAACTGCCCATGCCAAAAGCCATTGCGTCCATATGAATGAAGTTGTCGGGAGCAGCGCCGTTCCGAACATCATCGTCCTCTGGCCAATTCTGCAAGTCGTAATTAACAGTCGGGTCCTTCCAAGGCCAGGCAGTGTTTTCATCTCTAAAAACCGGTACATTCACTTCTACCTTTCGGCCTCTTCTTGCACGAATGTTGGCTGCAAGGGTGGGAAAACGAATATGTGGATTGGCGATTTCATCAGGAACGAATTGTGACCGTAATTTTTCCCCCGAGGGCGGGAAAAAAGGAGACGTAAATACCCCTGGTGAACCCAAGCGAGGATAAGTTGTCAAAGTGATTGGATACTCCTCAGCATTCATATGCTCTTTAGCAAGCTTCCGCCTTCATATGATCAGCTCGCGGAACTCGCTTCTAAGTTTGTTTAACGCACCTCCATTTCATATTCGGTTCAACGTCCAATAAATCCTTGAATCCAATTCCCCAAGGTCTTCCAGGTGTAGCTTCCAGCATAAAGCGTCCGAATTCCGGATGGAAAACTGGTAATGCCCTACCCCTTCAAACAGTTAGACTCTCCTTTTCATTCCATCCAGTACACTTACTTGGTGTTCGTAACGTCCTGTAGTGCTGGTACACATCCTCCATTCGTACGCAACTCCTCATCTTGCGCCAATGCGGTCAAGATATCTGCCTGTCTCAAAGATAATGTGACTTTCTCATCATCGTCTTTGTAGTTAACGACCAAATATTCGACCTGAAGATATCTTAGCGATGGTATCTTCCATGGATGAGTGTGTGCTGACCTCGTCACCCCAGAGTAGGGCATCTCGCTCTTTTCCTTTCGCACGATTCCAGATCGCTAGTAGTTGCTATATCGAGTACTATGAGCATAGTCTTCGGGGGTCTGTCCAGCCGTAAGTCGTACCTGTATACCCCATTCCCTGACTATATGCGCATTCTTCTTAGCTTCCGGCCACTCCAACGGCGTTCCTAACGCACTTCCAACACAGATTAGTATTAAACGGATACTGGAAGGTTTGCCGCAAACTCACAGAAGACCCATATCTTAAGACTTGTAACACGCAAAGGGAGTTTTCTCGGGGCGCTGAAAAGTTCGCAGTTGACTGCCAAGGGGTTTTGATATTTCTTATGTCCAGGACTCGATGCCCCCACTTTGTACGGCGTTATCACAGCTTCATGATCCTATCAATCCTTATCGATTGCGCAATATCGGATTTGGATGCTGCCTTGGGGAAAGGTATCAAGTGGCTTCCTCCTCCTCATCGATGCTTTAATATATATTCTAGCAGATGTTCCATAAAAAAATCTCGACACGGGATTAGCGTATTGATGTATTTGTAAGGCTGTTACTAATTGTGATGATATAGTGGGGTTGTTGATATCGACCTGCTGCTCACTGTGGCTCACCAGCTATCTTTTGTGGCTGGTGCATGAGCCACACACACGGTTGAATCCAAGGCAAACGAGATTGCAATTGATCGATCAGATGTATCAAATTAGATTGATTTAGAGTTGCACCACAAGACATCGTGATATCGATACGGGAGGCTTCTTACGGTAGACCCGAGTCTCTAGATCTATGTGATATTACCTGTCCATGCCAATAACCATAATAGTTTATCAGTCATTGGCAAAATGCATATACTTGGGGTACTTGAATGTCATCTCCCATATCTAGCAATGCATATATCTCTTCAGTAGATAGAAATGACATTGGTGGGATGATCTGAAGTCATTAAACTCAAGCCGATAATCCCGAAGTACGGGCAAGCCGTGCCAGTGGCCGAATGTATGTAGCTGTCAAGGAACAGCTTTCACCTCTGGGGATTGCACAGGCGTGATCGGACGATGACACGATACAGATTTACCAGATAAAGCTGAATCTTGTCCCTCTCGGATACCGAGTCAGGTTTCTATGCCACTTTTGAGGCAATGGCGTGAACTGTAAACGCGCCTCAAATCATGAGTTGAACGACGGAACTTGGCTCCTTTGACCTCGGAACCGCGATTGTCCTTATTTTGATGCAAGTGCTAAGAAGTGCGCGGGATGGCATTCTTCATGGCATGGTTTTTGATCAAACTTAGAGCGTAGAAAACGGTGGATGGCTATAGAGAATAGTACCACATCCTGGGCCCTCTTCATGACTTCTATCAGCCTTAGAGAGCAATCTGTGCCAACTAAGTGGAAGGTACAGGCTCAAATAATGTAAAACAATCAAAAGCCAATTGTTATGAACGATTCATATCTTAGTAAAATGATTCAGAACGCTGAAACGCGGGAGAATACCACCCCATCTGAATTAGTCTTCATTTTCACATTGAACCTCCTGGCTAAGAATGACGAGTAAGAGTCTTGTCGCTCGAGCACTCTTCATTAAAATTAGATGTTCTTGTACAACAGATACGTATTTGGATGCCTCCACAATGTTGCTAGCATAATGGAAAATCTCAGATAGTGTCGAAAATGTGCTGGCTGGCATCTACTTGCCGTTCCTGGGCGGTAGTCACGGACATTGCAAGTCTCCCTCTTAACATAATTGTTCAGTAGAGGGGAGTACAGCTAGCCACCGTATTCCCCTGGGATACAATCTGTCAATTCCTACGAAACTGCTGCCACTTCAATATGCCGTTCATTAATACTGGCCATGCATTTACTCAGTGGCAACAATACTTCTCGCAGAAAGAGGGTAAACATCCTATGCTCCATCTAAGGATTTCTTTTCCAAAAAAGGAAAGGAGGAAAAAGAATGTGACGGATCCCCAGCTAATAGTATAGTCCGTGGCTTGCAACTCAACAACTAAGTCGTCATGTTCTTTAACGCCAGGCTCTAGGTATTTCAGGGTCAAAACAGTATCTAATGATGTCTCAAACATCCATAATCTAGTTGGTTGACGGCATCTATTATACATGGCAGCCATTAATCTTGTGGACTTTAGTGTAGCCATCATTCAGTCATAAAAGCTATCCAGACCACCGATATTTTCAAGGCTATTTACTTTTGCTTAATCTGGTATAAGATTGTAGTAGGAAGTTTTACGTCAACGCTCCGAGATTCGACTTTGTTTTTCGTTACCACCCATCTCGTTGACTGTTATGCCTAGATAACCACTATACATTGAAGCATATAGAGCCTGTTACTGTACAAGTTATAGCAGAAGAAGAAGTTGACATTTACAAGACTCTGTCAGTAGCTTCAAATAGTGTTAGAGTGATTCGAGCTTGAGCCTAAACTACCAAGGGCAATAAGTGACACGGTGAATGAAATCACGCCGTTTGTGATAATTTGAGGGTACATCTTGACTTGTTGCGATCCTTGCCATAAAGTTAATTAGAAAATGCAAGACACGATCAAGAAGTTCACCCGCACAATGACACATTAGGTCCGCACTAGTTTTACAATGAGTACAACGATACTTCTTGTCCAAGTCTTAGATCTGAGACAAACGATCTAAGACAAGAAGAGTCAAACAATTTTAGGCGAAGAAATCCTTGAAGTATTACCAGTACTACATGTAGATATTTTTCAATCTAAAGCTAGATCTACAAAATTTCGAGATGAAGAGTACTTGCGGACACAGGGGAGACGGAAAATGCCAAACCAGGAAAACAGCCTAAACATATGTAACCTGGAACCTCTTACCAGATATCGTACTAAGATCTGGAGCGATCGAGTTGTACTGTCTAAATACATGGTATACATACTATCACTGATCATAAAATTGTTAGAGTTGAAGGTCTAGTTGCTTGAACTGCTGCTGGCAACCATTAATGAACATCGGAAAAATACATCCAGACGTTCCTGCGCACTCGCTTCGATGCAAATGATCGATATACGCAGCTCGGAGATATCTCACAATTCAAAGCGAAATCCGAGTCTCCGAGAAAAGTCCATGGCATCCATCGCTCACTCCATCTTCTCACATCGCCATCTCAACAAACATATCGTATCTCTGTACCACAACAAGTGACACGAACTCAGATCCCCGATCTGAAAAGTCTCCCGAAGTCTCCGCATATTTCACTGACACGTGTTCCCACCTGATGCACATTGCTGACTTCGCACCTAACCGTTTCTACTCTCATAACAAACCTCGTGTTCATCTGCATCTGCACTTGGGGTGCCTACAGAATCACGTTTAATTTCCTGATGTTACAAGGCATATGCACGAGTGCAGATTAAGTACGCTAGCGCCTGTAATCTCTAGTGTGCTTTTGCATAGCTTTGCTGCGCTTGGCTTACTTGGGTAAATATGCCCTGCTACAGTGTATGCCGTGTAACTTCATATCGGAAATCCTAAACTCTTTTTGTTTGTCACCCTTAAAATTGACAGGGGCGTTAGTCGTATTATATGATATATTTTGTTGGGTGGTGTCTAGAATGTACCGCGAACGCATAGTCTTTGCTGTACATATTTGTTGAACCCTTATCTATCGACTAGCTTTATTATTTTCTCAATATCCAAAACCCAAAAATCATAACCCCTTTCGTCACAAGCCAATACACCTACACCCCTCCACAACATATCTTCCCAGAAGCATCCACCATACTCTACCCCTCACCTATTCTCCCAACCCTACTAGACGCATCTCACAACATAGAAAATCACAACGCATCCCTCACACAGAATCTTCTCCTCCGATCCGATCGATCCTATTACATACATACTGTACATGAGAAAGATACCCTCTTCTCGCCTGTCCGTTTCCTGCAGCCCATCATCCGGATTCCCGCATATTTCCCAATGTATATGCCGGCATTCTCGAAACCCAACGTCACACGCATATCTACATATACATATACATATATACAACTGTATGCATTATGTATATGTATATCAGTCCCAAACCTGTGCTGTGTACATACATATCAGGCATTTGCTATCATCATGATGAAACTCCTGCACTAGGAATGCGCAGTACGCATACTCATCCTGTGCTTAGAAAGCCTCCTCGTTGTTAATATGAGAATGAATGTCACCCAAGTAACACAGACTCATGACCCTTAGGATAAATACTAATCTCGTCAGTATGATCTACTCTCGAACGGCTAAGCAGGCCTGTATATTCAAGATAATGGTTTTGGAATATCAAACTAGAAATCTATATGTCCACTGATTTGTATTCATCTGTACATACACAACACAATATCCAACACTCATGAATCTGCACGATGATGCTGGTTAATATACAAGTTCTACGTTGTCTTGTCTTCTCTTCTGCAAAAGTCGTGCCAATGAATATGCATCATGAAAATCTCACATGTCTACTTGTACATAATAAGTAGCAGCTTCATCATATCACATCACAGCAAGCAAGCAAGCAAATGTAACGCCTCTGACAAAACATGCAGGTATATATCCACATAGTCACACCACACTGCCCTCATCTAACACCTACTAAACCCATAACCATGAATATTCACCTTACCTCACCATACCATACCGCACCGTACACATCACATCACATCACATCACATCACATCACATCAGAGACATAGCACCCCAAAAATCTAAAGTCAACAAGCACACGTACTCTTACAAACCAAGCCCCTATCCATCCATCCTCCCCCCCTAAAAGCCACAACCCCAAACTTCAAACCAACAATCCTAGCGCAACCAACCAACCAACCAACCAACCAACCAACCAACCAACCAACCAAGTAACAACCATACACAAAACCGATAAGTCAGCAACCAACAGTTAGGTAGTTAGTGAGGTAGGTATGTAGCCTACGTAGGTACGTAACATCAAAGCAACCTTATCTCATCTCCGTGTACACAGACACAGCCCCCCAAAAGTTATTCGTACCACCACCCACAACCACCACCGGGCAAACCCACTTACTTCGAGTTCCAGCTATACCCCTAAAACACTAAACAGCTCGATCGCCAACCCCCTCCACCACACGTGACGACCTCTAAAACCATCACCGCGATCTTGATCCTAGAACTCCTTTCTATTTCCATCTAGGAAGTATGAAGTAAGTCAAGTCAGTCAAGACAGGTCAAGACAGGTCAAGACAGGTCAAGACAAGACAAGCTCACAAGTCGAAAAAAACAAGCCTCGCACATCACATCAGCCGCTCGATCAAAGTAAAGTTCAAACCCATGTATTCAGGTATGAAGGGAAAGGAAAGTAAAAGGAAACCCAAAGACTAACCAACATGTAAAGATAAGACCCGCCGCTTTGGTCGTGGTCCCGAATATTTTAAAGTTCCAATAATAAATATCTAAGAATTTCTGCATCAACCACGATACGCGTACGGAGTACATAAGCTAGCCCTTGCAAGACCCTCCAAAAAGGGATCGATCTGTGACCCCTGTTCCACAATGCTCACGATCGAAGACCAGAGAGCATAATGCGCATCTCGAGAATCCACTCACCCTACCACATACAGAAATACAAATCAAACTTAAACACAACAAAGCACAAATACAGCACACGGCGCATAATGCGCACACCAGAATGGAGGAGACGGGGAATTGATAGACATTATCTTTCTTTTAATTCCCTTTCATTGCCGTCTTGTCTTGCGCTGTCCAATGCTATCTTCTGATTTATCCCAGCCCATCCCCTTGTATCTCAATTATTGAATATTTGTACGCCACCCCAGATCTTTTACGATCCGTGGTCCATTCATCTGACAAGCAAGTGAGAGCTTAGGATCAGTCTTAGATCAGATCAGATTCAGATGCAAGATCACCCGTCCTTCCGTTCCCTTCTATACGTACAGCCACTTCTACGTTGTGCCGCCCAAACAACGTCTGTTGAAATGCATGTCTGCTTGCTTCTTTTGTATCTTCTTCTGTGCTGCTGAGGTCTCATCACTCCAAGCTTTCAACCCAAACCAGCCTATGTACCGTAATATGTATCATTCCTTAAATTGGTCTCCACCACCAGCATAAGCCCAGCTCAATCATAATGAATGTAACCTGTATAATGAATCCCTAAATGAACCCAGTATCAAACTATGCGCGTCTTCCAGAAACCTAAGTGCCCAAAATCATATATTATAAGAAAGATAAACAGTAGATATAAAAAATGGTATAAAATGGTATAAAGAGATATCCTGCCCCAAGTCCAGATCCCACGACCCAAGTTATAGGCACATTTCAGTGCCACTCAAAACTCCACATCTGGCAAGTCTGGGAATATAAAAAAACGCCATCTTATGAATGCAGATGCCAAATCAGAGTCTCGAAACTCTTTGTTGTGCCCATAGCCGTAGCCATAAAAAAAAATTAAACCACAACGCCTTGAAGCAAGTATCTCAAAATGCTCCCGCTACCCTCAAAAAAGAAAGAAAAAAGAAAAAGGAAAAAGAAGCAGAGGTGAAACCCTTTCTTCAAACGCGAGTACCAATATGCCAAAATGCCCCTGGTATGCGTCACCCTTGAACAAAAACCAATATATGTTCTCTACGCCCTAAAAGACGTGTAATTATACGACTTTTCCTATTCCCGTGATCCTCCGATCAAAAGTCTCCGTAACTCCATGTTGACGATCGCGAGAGATCTTCATGCTCTGTGACGCTAAATACTTTTATACATTAGATTTGTGCTTCGGTAATGTACCTTTCGCTTTAGAGGCGTTGCTGAATAGGTTATGACCGTGGTGAATGATCCTCCGACGATTTGGGTCGAAGTGATGATCCGGTCGAGCCTTGTGACTGCTTCATCGTGTTTTTGCGGGTAAGTTTTGCATAATGTAACCCACATGCGTTGCAGAGCGTCCGGGCTCCATCAGGTCCCCTTCTCCATTCGGGGGTCTCCGCTCTGTTGCAGCTGTGACATCTCCCTGGTGGCGCAGCACGCTGTTCAATCGTTAGAAATTTCTGTGCAGCACGAATTGGAGAAAATACGTACCCCTCGACGTTTTTTGTTATCTGGCCCACCAAAATTCTGATGATGTCTATCATCGCCATAAATGCTCTCATCATCGTAATCCGGAGCTAATCTTGCACCCCGAGATTGCTCGTCCGCTGCATGCTGCTGCTGTACGGCGGTGTCCAACATGCGATGAAGGCAAGATACAACTCGATTGCCGTGAATTAACATCTCCTCAATGGCCCTGCGGTCTGGTGATCTTTCCGGGATTGCAATGTGAGAGCGTGGTTGTTCTTGGCTAATTGCGTGGAAATGCCGTGACCATTCCTGTAAAGAAGTGCTAGATACGTTTATCTTCGATCAGTTAGTTAGTGAATCCTGGTAGAAAAATAAAAAATTGGAGACAAACTTGAGCTAAATTATTATCCACGTCCCACACTTCAAGTTGTCGCTTTAACCCTTGATTGAACGGCTCATTCTGACTTTTATAACTTTTATACCCAGGACCGCCCAGATCTCTATCATCGCGTGGTGGGTAAGGTGGCTGTGGGTAACCTTGCGCTTGTGGTGGAGGATGAGGAGGCTGGATTGATTGAGCCGGTGCGTTCCCATAAGGGTGTTGATTATGCAACGGAGATGGCTGACCATATTCATTCATCGATCTTTCGACAAACCGTTCTGCGACTCTTGGCTCCTGTTCATACCTAGGAGCCTCATATCTAGGCGCTGCGTAAGAGTTGGCAGGCGGAGTTTGTGAGATTGAAGGGTGTAGTAACGATTGTCTCCTTGGCTCGGCGAAGCTTCTTGAATCCAAATCTGCGCGCGAGAAAGGTGGTGGTTGAATAGGCACCGGCGGAGAGGGATGCCGTGACTGGGACGATTGAAAAGCTCCCTGCTCATATGTTCGCGGTGGCGGCAGTACCTGCGTTTGAGAGTAAGGAATCTGCGGATGCGAGGGTGGCGCAGAGGCAGATACAGGTGAGGCATAAGGACCAGGCTTGGCGGAGGTACTACTTAAAGCTTCCTGTATGGATGGTAAAGATTGTCGATGAGCGTTGGTCTGCAATGGATGGGGCGGCGCTTTCTCATTCGACGTCCTCCGCGACTCTGGGGGAGATATCAGGCCGCTGTGTGAAGAAGCGGGCCAGCCTGCGGAGTATGGTGCACCATTTGAGTAGTGAGCGGACGCGGGGCTGGCAGTTGTCGGTGCAGCCATTGAGTTTGATTGTATGTATCGTGTGTCCGTATTGATACGCTCGATATGTTCGCGATTCATGATGGAGAGGATGCCACTAATGATATATGAATGTCAGCTTGGGTTGTGTTGACTAGCATTAGCTAGAAAATAGTCCCGAGTCTCAGTAGATCAAGAAAAAACTGACCTTGACCTACTGCCACTTTCCGCGCCCTCCATTGCAAGATCTGGAAGTATTTCACTCGAATCTGAACAGATTAGATGCTCGGAAACATGCGTGAAATGATATCGTGCTCTTCCGGTTCCGACGTTTGTGCTACTGTAACACCTGTTCACCTAAGCATCTGCGAATTGCCCTCAGCTCGAGTACTTTCTGTACAATTTCTTTTGGTGTTGCTTAAGCACTGACCAGAATATGAGGATGAAGAGTAGAACGGTCAATTGGCGTGCGGCTGAAAGGAAAATCTAACCTTCTAGATTGTCCTAGCTAAAATTTGATGACCGAGGATCGAGTTGACAAAGAGGTTGTTGGACTTGTGATTTATGGTCTGTGTCTATGTATATACAGTCGGTTCGATTGCTGTCGACTCTATCAAAGATCAGGGCAAGGCAATCGATGCGTTACCTGATGCCAACCACAGGTCTTTTGTGTATGTATGTAATTTTGAACGGCGCAAATGATGAGAATGGAATAGCAGATTTGTTTCAAGAATGTGAACTGAGCGCGGCTATCCCGATATAATTGTTCGAAGAGTGAGGCTGGATTACACAGAGGAAAGATTGGAGGGGAAAGCCCGTCTAAATATAGAGACCTTATTCGATCTGAACCAGAATTTTTCTCTAGTGTAGGTAGAGTTCAAAATGCAAATAAAAGCATTAGATCGAAACACCAGAGGTAATATATAATCCAATTGGCTCCAGGTAATGTTGATGAGGATGGAAGTAAAAATGTAAGTATAAAATACAGGATCTGCTATGTATGTTGTATGCTTGGAGAGTGATGAACAATCGTACGCGGGGACGATCGATGTTTTGATGATGTTGAAGGAATGGAAGGAGTGAAGAAAAAGGAAGAGAGCAGTGGGCTGTAACAGTGTGGAGGCTGGTTCCTCTCTTTCCCTTGCTCGATTAGGGTTTCGTTCGGTGTAAAAGCTTGTGGAAGTGTGGAAGGAGGAACGAGGTACACAACAGGGCAGGTGAGCTTCTCGAAGTTTGGTAAGGCAAATGATAGGATAAATAATGGGAACATAAGATAAGAACCGCAAAAAACTATGAAGCTAGCGAAATACTAAATAACCTAGGTAGAAGAGCAAAGGTACAATACTATAAGTCGAGCTTTGTTGGACTGCCGAATATCAATATTTTATGAAGTGTAGGAAGGACTAGTTGCGGTCGTAGTTGTATATAATATAGTATGTAGTATATAAAGTTAGAAAGTTAGTCGAGCGGGAGGAGTGGAAGGAATCGGCATCGTGCTGTAATACAATTAACTCCTCATCGAGCGGATTCGAGCCGTCACTGGCCGAGCTAGTAAGAGTTTGGCCTGTTGTTCTTAGCCCTATAGAGCTAGGTTAAGGGAGAAGATCTTTTTAGTTTCCGGTACTTTTACTTAGGTGTGATTTCTTTTTTAGGTTTAACTGTGGGATGATGCTAATAGTGGTTGGGATGGGAATCGAAGCTTAGGGAGATACAGGGTCGTAGCTAAGTTGTGAACCCAAACCGTCATCAAGGATCAAAGGTAGTAGCGGCAAAGCAAGAAACAACATGAGGACAGGAGGACATGGGAGAGGAGTGGGTGGCATGGAGGCCATTCATCAACATGATGCAAATTCCTACCTAGAGGCTAGTGAGTGATAGAGATTTTTGACGAGAATTCTTATTTTCATTTCATGGTTTAGTTTCAATATCGGAATCTCGCGCTACTGCAGGATAGGATAGTGGTATCTAGATACAGATAAACTAACATCTAAGTTGAATTACAGGTGGGACGTTTGTCTAAAGTAAACGAACGACATGGGATCTAAAACCGGAATATCTCTTGACCAGACGAGGGGCAAGCTAATCTTGAGATTTGCGAGTTTACGATGAGCCAACAGGGATTATAAATAAGATGCGTGGATGTGGCAGACTGCATATCCATGCATACGTTTACCATGGGTCAGCCCATGATGCTAATATGGATCTCCAGTGTGATGGGTGGGTGGAGGAAAAAAGATGAGTAAGAGGGGTTTATTTGTGGGCTGTGGGGTGGTTAAGAAGAAAGTGATGAAGGGATGAAGTATAATAATTGACATATGTATTCGAAGAGGGAATGGTGATGAAGGCTTGTGAAAATGTTTAGCGTCCAGGATCAACAGGAGTCACCGGGCCTTCACCAAGATGAAATTTAAAGTTCTAGATCTTCCAGATTGGTTCGTTCGATCGAAAGACGTGGTGCGATGCAATGCGATGCGAAGTAAATGTATACTTAACAGGAAGTGAAATATAAAAGCCAACCAAATTATAGAGAGTAACGAGGAGAAAGTTTTTAGCCCCTTCATTTGTGACTTTTATTCGCGTATGACAACTGTAGCCCTATAGAACACATGATGGGATGAGACTATCTACAAAAGAGCCATTATACATTTTTATAATTATAGACTAAAATTAAAATAATATCTTCATCATCGAATCTTAAGAACTTTTCCCGATAAATCTCCGATCTAGTGTCAATCTTTTACTCCGGATTTTGATCGTATCTTAGATGAACTAAAAGTGTCAAATATAATCAGTATATTATACAGATTTAATACTAGATAGATTAACTGTACGCGGTTTTAGTCGCTTACGGTTGTAGCAACATTGGGGTAGATCCGTGGCGTTATCTAGTAGCTCAGCATGTCTACCTAACCTGCCCAATTAGTATTTTCGTAATACATTATTAATGGCACGAACCGTTGGGATTCCAAATCTCCAGAGACTCTATAGATTGTATCACATCGCCGAGATCGTCACTCAGATCTGTACTTCTAATCACATTGAGGCCGATCCCTAGCAATATCTCCTCAACTTCTTACCTATATTATTTCACATTGCATATTTTCTTGTGACAATCCCGTCGCCATTTTTAAGTTTTCCAACCGTTAGCAATTTACGTCTCATTTACGGGCTCTGCAATCTACAATACGGACAGAATATCATTGATTTTGTGGGTTGGAATCCCCGAACTAATGCAACCTCGATCGAGACCCTGGATGATGCACCCAATTTTGGTCTTACAATTATTACTTGGCAGTCCTTCGTGGCTCGAGAAGTTGTACTCCGGACTCTGAAGAGAGGGATCATTTACTGGTGCAAATGCATAAAAATTGAACAAGTCACGTAAGCATGATACCTACATCTGGTGCATCATACAGCAAACAGTATCCATATCTGCCTATCAAAATTTTAAATCCCTACATCTCCTCCTGCAAAACGTGCAGTATCCAGATACGCGGCATACCTCAAGATCGTGTTACCTGGGATTAAGCTAGAGTGAACTTCTTCTATCCACTCTTTAAACGTATCGTGTCTCTGTTGAACCTCCAGGATTGCCTCCACTTACAAATTCAGTAGGTAACGTCTGCACGATCCGTACCCAGTGCTGATGGACAAATCACCAGCCTGCTTGATATTTATCCTCAGTTTGCATGCTGTACAACTTATTCTGCCTATATCATGTTTCGTCGTAGATTCGGGTAGTCGCCATATCTTGCCGCAACTTGCCGCCCTCCGTTCGCCATTGTCATGAAACACGAATGTGTCGGGCTTTTGCCAACTTCAGTCAATCTTGCCATCTCACCTTCTATTGGGATAAACACCTGGAACATTGGACATTTTCCTCTGCATACATGACAGAATAAAACATTTGTTCTCGCATTGTCTGGATTTCTTATGGAGGAGCGCATAGTGGCTCGGCCTCTTTAAGTCAAATTCTGCTAGTCCGTTAATTACAGAATGAAGGTCAATTACTACAAGGCTTATAGGGCAGATCATTCCCTATTATGATATTGCCGACTTTATTTCTGCCTTTGCGGTCTTTAATGACAATACCTAGTCTCACGAGGGCGTCGCTAAGAAAATGTCGGCTGATAAAAAAAAGGGATGAAACCATACATGGCTCAGTACTTATATCGAATCCGGGGTGCGAGTGGGTGAATTACATTCACTACCTAATTAGCTGCAGCTTCCAAGATACTATATTGGCATACTACTTACTCCCTACTGTACTCCGAAATATCAGCACTGATTACCTCGATGAAACCTATCACGGCAGTCATAAACTCATGCAATCATGCACTAAGTAGAATTGTTTTTATCACGCATCTACCATTTTAGAACTCAACACCAACAAGTTCTTTTCCATTGTCGGCAATTAAACCCTTGGTGATGCAGAAATTGCATTGAAGATCTTCCTAATTCAGACGTCGGCAGATTTCCACCCCCTGAGCTTCAAGGTCGCGGTTATCGCTGCGATGTTGCCTATTAATCTCAATTCGTCGCATCGAGGTACTTTACCGACGGAGTTAATGCAGCTCTAGCCTCATACCGTACCAAAGGAGCTCTCTTGCCAAGATGATCCAGAAGGATTTTCATTCAGCTAGTTGATCCAAAAGTGTCAAAGCCAAACAAGTAAATGTGTTGTCCACACTTTGGAAAAACGTTAAACATCATAAAGCTCGGATCTCACATAGATTTCGAGGAATAATGATAAGATTGAATCGATTGATTGATGAATATGCTTTTTAATATCTTCGGGCTTCATAGAACAAGCCTCATACGATTATCACCCTGAAATTGTTCCGGTGAGTACTTTTGACAGCTGCATGTTTCGGGATCCCACGCCCAAGCGATCCGCCCCCTATGATCTGCTCTCTTGACCAATCAGATTACATTACAGCCTTTGCATCGCAATATCGTACGCCCGCAAAAGTCTAAGCGCACGTGTAACTTTGCTGAGTATGAGTTATGAGATGAGTTATGGGATGAATTTCCATTTGCAAGCGAACCCCAGTGGCTTGGGTTATAGCAATCTTATTCACACCTTGTTAGGTCATAACTTTTTAATCTGTTTTTTTGTTCCAACATTTCCAATCTGAGACCCAGAATTTGTCCTGCAGATATGAGACAAACCACTAAAAGGAACAAGAGATCGTGTCTACCAACTTTCCATCCACTACTGCTGAAGATCAAAATTATATGGGGATTACTATTGCCAGGGATTTTGACAGACTTGGTGTTGATCACTTCCTGGTGACACTTTCCCCCGAACACGAGCTGATCTCATCGGAATGATCCAAGATTCGAACAATCTTAGTTTGGATTTCTGGCCCATCGGCATCAGGTCCAAATTTATGTCTCTCAAGCTTCCCACATTGAGACAAGGAAAAGGTTGATATGGAGGTTCATCATCGCCACGTGAGATTCATGGATAGGCCTTGCTGAAAACTCAACGGCTTTTTTTTATGACATATTTGCCAGGATATCAATTTTAGTAGTGTTTTGACTTTTTAGCTAAGACATTTCCGATATGCGCACTGTACTCCTTATAAGATTTGCATGCTTTCGTTCTTAACGGAGCAGATTTCCTCGTTGAGTCTTCATGATACACAAAGAACCCCTGATCATGCACATCGTCGCACATCTCTTCACACTTTCCATTCGACTTTCTAAAAGCTTACGGCGACGCACAAGCATCATTCGTGGATGACAGGGCCACTGGGATCGCCGATTAATACCCCTGTGCTCCATAGACAAAGATCTAAATCCTCCCCACTGTTTCGGATCCAAAGAAAAATGGACGACTTACTCCGTAGTGCTTCGTAGTGGTTGTTGGTTGTGCTAACAGCACGATGATGCGTACGCAAAGTATGTGGACTTTGATTAAACTCTAGACAAATAATAACACTTGCGTCAGCTTGAGAAACTACAGTACGTACGATACGGGTAACTGTCAATTCTCAAAGAATCTTCCTTTTCCAAACTTTTCTACTTTTCTACTTCTCCGAGATTCTTCTCCGGCTTCCAAGTTCTACGTTGACACCCAGATGTTGCACTTCAATAAAAGAAGGTGGCTTACGATAATGGATGAAGGGAAATCTCCTTGGGCCAAGCCACGTTTATCGCTCGATCGATGTCTGCATCTCAAACCTCCGCCTGTGGATGAGCATGCTGAAGCGTCTCACCTGACAAGATTTTGACAAGCCGAGCAGCAAAGCTGGAAGCGATGTATGTAGTGGTGGGCTCGGACGGGATCTCCATCAGTTCCTACTGCAAATCGCTGGGCCCGTTCGTGGAACTTCCGATGGAGCTTTGCCGTTTCAGACCGGCCTTTTCACGTGCTCCATACATCACCTCCTGCATCCGGACAACAATTAGGCATAATTAACCATAATTTCTCTCAAGTCCTGAGGCTCACTGGCGGTTCCAGTTTCTTAATATCACAATCACAAGCTACAACACAACTAACTAGTTCAGGCCGCACAGCTTCACAAGCGCTTGAAAATTCTGGGTGATCCAGGATTGTAATATGCCAAGGTTAATCAAATGATCTATCTAGATCTCGGAAGTTGGCCAAAATGTTTAGTGGAAGGATGCAAGTCGTACGATTATCCCTTACCAAAGGGTTTAAGGCTTGCGGGAGCGGGAGCGCCAATAATTCAATGAAGCTTTCGTGGGAGAACTTTAGAAGGTGTTGACTCGTGTGGTCAGCAAACAATCTACTAAGATGATAGATCGTGAGATCCAATGTCTAATCCGTCGAGCGGATCCACCTTTGGATGGCACATGAAATTTCAAAAAATTCAACGTTAGCCTGCACTTTCCCTCTGGAGTCTGGGCATTTTTGGCCTACGGAGCTTTTCTTTCATGTCCGAATCGTCGCTTAGACATTTTCTATTATATATCTTCATTTCGAAATATTGCTACCTTTCATTTTGGGAAATCCCCTTCTACTATGTGTGTTGACTGATCAATTTTCCAAGATATCATCTCACGGTTAAACAAATGTTGTAATCTCATACAGTATTGCTACTCATCGATATCACCGTCTCACAAGCTATTGCGACATATAATATACTTGATATTTCCTAAAATGTCAACACGAGAACATAGCACCACAGCACCACATCACCACACCAAAACTGGAATGATCATCGACCGATCTCATGCATAGTAAAACCTTGATGCCTGCTTGGGATGTATGTCTCTTCTTCCCATGAAAAACATTGCTAAGAGGATCGAGATTTCACACCGAACCCTTCTGTCGGTACACCATTAAAGCTACGATTTGGCCGGGCGTTTGCATCATTCTTCCGGAAGAATTTGTTGTCTACGACGCTGGCATTTAGCCTTGCATTGCGACGCAAGATCCTTATGTATTTATGATGATGCAATAAACAAACTTCTCATCCCCACTTGAGACCTCTTCCCCAATAAAGGAATCCACAAAATGACTAGGAGTGGCAGAGAGACTCCCAGGTGATTTCACTGCGTGTAGATACGGAAAGATATCAAGATCCTACGAAGGAATCATACCTACCGTGATTGCTGAGCATGGCATGATATCTAACAATGCCCCTTCACAGCCGACTAGATTTAGCCGGAATTTGATGGTCCAATATATCGATATTGAAATGCAGTGCCGTTCAGTCAATGTTATTGTGGCTTACGGCACAGCCAACGTTTTTTTCTACCCCAAATATGTCACGGACTAGGATTGAGAGACATGCAGGTCTTTTATGGTCGAGCATTAACTACAGAAGGAAGTTCGCAATGCCCTCACGTATATGTAAGCCTCATCTAAGATCTGCTTATCTTCAACTCTGCTCCCTGCCTATATCTTTCTCCGTCTTGACTCGGGTTCGACATGCTGCAGATAGATCATGAGCACCGATAAAACTTATACTGTAGGCTTGAGATAATGAATATATGCTTACAGTTAGACGGGGTTCGGCTCACCGAGCTGAGTTTTGCTCGTACCATGGTCCAATCCCACCTTAGTTCCGCTTTCCAACAACCACCACTGTCAAGCAAAACCTAACACCTAACACCTACACCGCAGCACAACAGAACGAGTGCATCAAGTGAACCCAGCAACTCTTATCAAAAAGACCGATCTTCATGTCCGAATGGGATACACCGTAACTCGGTCAAGGGTTCGACCAGATCCATGTCATAATAGAAATCCTTAGATGAAGATCACCACAAATCAAGTATATGTGCTTATTGTCCGATAGATATCTCTATCCGTTTGGCATGATGGTGAGGTAATGCAGCTTACCTAGCTTACCAAGATACAACCCTAGGTTGTTCAACCACTCATGGTCATGCAATTTCATGTCTTGTATATCACAATATGGCAATATGCAAAAGAGTAAATCTTTTTGCGGAATACTTTATCTCGCGCTTACATCATATTGGTGTGGGTGAACGGGTACCTAACAGATTAAGATCTTAATGAATGTTTTTCCTGTCATCTTACCATCTCATCTCAGATAATCCGGACTTTTGTACTCCCGTATGCATGCGCCTAGATACATATGGTATACAATGACATATCGCATCACCTCACTGCTTTCCTCATCACATTAAGTTCGGCACAGTTGCAAAATGCAATATGTTGAATCCTCAACTTTTCGGTATTATTACATATTCAACGCGGAGGGAAAAGACCTCATGTGGCACAAAAAAAGCCAAGTGGCTGCCATCATATTTGCTTTTTCTCGTGTTTTTTTTTAAACTAGACTTACATCTTTCCTCTTTTTTTGTCCAACCTCTGAAAAAAAAATATAAAAACACTACAAATATTGCCGGTGCTATCTATATATTAGAATAGTATGCGGGGCTATTTAGATGATATGATCCGATCGGAATGATCTTAAAAGTAAGATGTCCTATATAGGTAGGTACGTAATGGTTTCATCTGCATCCTCGTCTCAATACAGGAATATTACCGAGAACCAGCCTTTTTTTGCCAAAACTCCTAATTATAGAAAAAGCAAGTGATCTGCGTGGATGGTGGACGAGAACGAGGGGGCTTCAAGGCTCGCATAGATGAACCAGTCAGCCTTTAAACTATGAGATGCATAGAAACGTGTATTTTGAACACAGCGGACACAGCGGGCACAGCGGGCACAGCGTTGAGGGAAATACAAAGGTGGCGTGTGGGAAGTCCTCACGTTTTGTGGCGCATGAGAGGCCATTTTCGTCTGGTAAAGCCACCCATCACACGATATGTCTTTCTCTCTCCACTCCAAGAATCTAAAGTAAGGAACCTCGTGACGGACCGACTCTCGTGTGGAACTCAAGGGCTTGACTTTGTCAGATTTGTACGAAGTCTGTCTTCTTCTTCTTCTTCTCGTTATTCATATGAAAATTCATATGTCATTCATGTGTCTACGAGAATGTATGCCGAGGGTGGCTTTTGGTTGTCTGGATATTTAAGCGCGCAACGACAGAATATGGGGAAATTATCATATTTTTCCTTATCCGCCTGCTGATTTTCGTAGAACCTTGTCTCAAGTTGAGAGAACGTTTTTATCAAGTGAAGGAACGGCTCTAGAGTGTCTCTCAATGTCTTATTGACAATAGCAAACCGTTAATTCATGTACATAAACCCGTTAAATGTATATGTGGAAAAGGTTGAACTTGATCAAAGTGAACTATCACTATTGAGTCAGAGTCCAAATAATATCGCCGAATAGTTTCAAGATGTCTCTGACTCTCTAGCTTTTTTGTATTCATTCCTTATTTCTCCTTACTTCCTTCCATTCTCAAAAATGTATTTCTCTTTTGACGACTTTGCCGCCATAAATTGAAGACAATTTCTCCCGGCGTCTCTCGTCGTATCCAAAGTGGGAATATCCCGAGACATTCCACTATACCGCGAATAGACAATGCCCCGCGGTATTCAGAACATAAACACAAACATAAAATCTCCGAATGACCTCCCCGTGGCTGCGTGGCTGAGAGCTTTCAAGAAATACTTCTTCCATTCTTCTACATTCTTCCTTGCATATTTATACAATAGGAAGAGCATCATCCTCACCAGTGCATATCAGCTGCGAAAACTCTTGATCGCGGACACTTTTTCACGAGCATGTTCTCTAGTTGCATATGTATTCAGATATTAAAGTATTAAAGCGTAACTCAGGTTCCGAAAGGCGAAGAAAGTATCTACTACTAATATCTCTATCGAGACATCGACGTCGATCTACGGACATGTTTAGCTTTTGCTGCGGATCGGTCGATGACATCTTTCGATGGCGATAATGTTTATAGGAAGTTTTGCTCGGAAGTGCTGAGTTCCAGTCTTACATGTACAAAGGCTTTGGATCTGGTGGAATGTAGCAGCGGAGATCTCTTGGTCACTGGAAGTACGAAATTAGGAATATATATGTTCGGGAGCTAGGAAATTTGGGTTGGTTCTCTGAGTACATTGTGGCTTTCGATGTTGATACGAAGTTACGAAGTTACATTTGGAGTGTTGATATTGAATATTCCATGTAACAAATTCGTTCTTTTTAGTGTAATTGTATTTTAATGATTATTTGTAGAATTTTTATTTACAGTAATATTCATAACATTTAGGGTGATATCGACAGTCGGCAGCTTTGAGTCATTACACATTTAGTCGTCTTTCAGCAGCAAATGCAGTCTTTGTCTCCAAAACCAAGTTCTCTAGAAGTGACATATATATCTATATGAAAGCTTGATTGATATTGTGTTTTACAACCTTGATTGGTATTCAACTGAGCATTCACTATGCACATTAACTACTTCTCCTCTTCCCGAAGAGAAAGTGACCATGAACAGATAGACAGGCAAACAGAGAGATAGACAGGCAAACAGAGAGATAGACAAAAAAGAATGATCACCGCCCTCTCCTTCAGGATCTCTATTACGTGACTTGTTCTTATCTCTTCTATCTTACTATCTAGATATTTCTCTAAGCCCTATACACCTCATACACAAAATAACATCTCGACCGTAATGCTATGCTAAACTTGCAATTAATAGACTAGAATATAAAAGTACTTATATTTCGATAAAAAAGACATTAAAATCAGAGAACAGCAATATCTCATCATTCATAAACTCAATCTTCTTATTTGATTCCTTCATCGCCAGATACCCATTACATAGTTATATTTAAACTGCGATCCATTAGTATTGGTATTACCTACCTGGTATTAATCCCACCACTATATAAGTCCCTCATCATAGTATATGTATGAATAAAGACAACAAGACTTGTAATTGAAATATTTTATTTTATTTCATTTCATTTCATCTCCCGGATCTCTAATAACTTGTTACTTCTCTTCTTCTCTTCCTTAGAATAAACCTCTCCCCCCTCTCATTATATATCCCATCGAATTTACATATTCTACAAGTGCTATCTATACATCATATCTCTATCATAACCACCTCATCCTCAATCCTCCACCACTTCTCTCCCTCAGGCACCTTCTTATATCTTCTTCATTACTACTTTCCATTCTTTCCTGTTTTTTCAACAAAGAGTCCCGGAATAATTAATTGCAAATTTCAAATTGTTCGTTTACTCGAGTGGATTTTAAAAAACAAAGTGAAAATAGCAAATAAAAAAATACCCGAAAGATATACTCTATTAAATATAATAAGAGATGATATGTTAATAATACATCAATAAATAATCTTTTATCGAGTTAAGAAATTAAGAGTTCTTTTATAAAATAATATAATAATCCTCATCACTATAAGAGTGTCCTAATTATCTAACCCCCCCGCAACTACTCCTACAACTATCTCCAGTTTCCGTCTTCGTGGGGTTACTGGATTTGGGGATGGAATGGGATGGAATGGGATATACGCGATGGCATTTAAAGTATGAAGAGGGTGAGCTTTTTCTAGGATCTGGATTGCTGGTATATATAATAAGAGACAAGATGGATGGGGAGCGAGTGTTAGAGTCTGTTGGTTGTTATTTTGTAACTATAGAGTGGTGGGTTTATTGATAGATATAAATTTGATTAATTTTTTTAAGATAAACGTCTATTTATAGTTTATTTACTTATTTTGATTATTGATATTAATATTGATAGTGATATTAATGATGTTATAACTACACTCTACGCTTAAATTCTCCCCTGTATTCCTCGTGTACTATCCGTCAGTCTTTGTTGTATCTCCACATCTCCAATTCATTCCTCTTCCTCCCAGAACTTATATTCCTAGCTCTTACCACCGTTATCCAAATTCAAATCCCACACCCTCAAATCCAGCCCCCTCAAAAACCAAAACCCCTTCAAAAGCCGCACCTCACCTCCCACCCCTCCCATCCCTCAACACCCTTAACCTCTCATCCGCCCTCCTAAATCCCTCCTCCATCCCCTTTCCTCCTCCCTTTCCTACTCTCACTCCCCCTATCTGTCTCCTGCGCATTGCATTCTCATTTTCAACATCATTCATATTTTCAATCCCTCCCTCACTATCCAGTCCATCCATTCCATCTCCCACCAAAGCCAGCGGTTGATTCTTTCTACGAATTTGTAGAGGTAGAGTAATAGGTATTGTTGGATCGATTGGATATGGAGATTGAAATGTTTCGTTCGTGGATATTTCCTGCGGAATGATTTGAGAATGTAATTGAGGTTGAGGTGGATGTTGATATTGATATTGAAGTTGAATATTTGGTGTATGCACAGGAGGGTGAGGTGCACGCGAGGTGTGAGATAAATGAGGAGAGTGTGTAGATTCCGACAGAATGTTCATATAAGTCGTATTTGATCCCTGATATGGGAGAGAAGAAGTAGAAGGAAGATGCAGAGGTGAAGTTCTTGATGAATATGCATGTAGTGATCTCAAACCCGACTTATCTTGATAAGAATCCGGACTCAAACATACATCCCCATCCCAATACGCATCCCAAACCCCATCCTCATCCTCATCCTCATGTACATCCCAACCCCTCCCATGCCCTCTTTCACCAAAAGAACTAACCGGGCTCACATCCCTATTCATATCCTCCACAGAACTGACCGGACTCACATCACCCATACCATTCCGTAAAACCGCATCCCAAGTACCAATCGTATGATTCGCGTAAATATCTTCCGATTCTTCTATATTCACTTCTTCGGACGCTCCTTCCGACACCCGCCGGTTAAGACTAGATACTGCACCTCCAGACTTTTCTCCTTCAATATTCTCCACGGAAAACCTGCCAGTGGCATCTCTACTGATTTTCGGAAGAATAGTCGTATGCTTTACGTAAGATTCTGGAATTACTGGAACTTCGGGGATAGGGATCGCATCGTCCCTCATACGATTCTGCGTATTTGGAGTGCCCATTCGACGCCGAGGTAACTTGGCGGATATTTTTGCAGAAGAAATATCCGTGTCGATTTCTCCATCAAGCTCGCCATTACGCGAAGGTATAAATTGTGAGAAAGTTGTCACGATAGACGATCTATCATTGGCCGGACCTGCTCGATCCTGCAGTGATAAATTGCTATGAGATTCGGGTTTTGATGTAGGAATACCTTTTCTGTTCCAGAGTCGAGGTGATTGCCGATCTTGTTCATTATCTTTGATCCTCACAGATGGGGAAATACTGGGTGATGAGGGTAAAGAAGAGTATCGAGTACCAGCCATAGTTTCTTGTACGGGCTCTGGAATATCTGGCGACGCGACTTCGTTCTTTTTCTGTGCCTGGCAATTCTTAGTGACAGTGTTCCTTCGAGTTATTTCGTTGGCTAGAGGGTGTCGAGGATGTGGTATGGCCCCTGTATGACTCCTCTTAGGTATAGCAAAACCTCGAGTAGGTTCTTTAGTCGTGTTATTCCTCTTCGGCATATCTCTATAATCCCTGGGCTCGACAAAATCAATGGCATGCTGTAAAGCCGCAGAAGGTACAGAAAAAACCTTCTCGGAAACATTTCCTTGCGCCCACTGAGCTCTTGCAACTATCCCCTCAACACCGCGATGAATTGGTAAACTTGTGCTATGATCTGCAACATTTAATCCTTGAGAGCGAAAAGGTACCGGCAATGCATCAATTCTATGAGAATGAATCGGATGATCCAAAGCATGAGGCCGAGAAGGTATACGAATATGCGACGATGAAGATGACGTACCCAAACTTCCTTTCCAAACCGCAAGTACGCTGTCGATATTTTGCGGCGTTATATTGATTGTTTCACCATCTTTCGCATAGCTAATGATATCCGCTCGCTCTTCGTCAGATTGCGAGAACTGTGTGTCTTGGCTTATTCTTCCCGGCTTGTTCGAGTTTGTATCATTGCTCCGTCGCTCTGATGTCATTCCTTGGTAACTATTTTTGAAATCAGGAATTTTAGAACCATCAGTAAAGGAGTCCATAATTGCAGATTTATCCGTGAAGGGGCTCCCACCAATTTCAGTCATATATTCCGCAGCATGTCTCTGGGCAGTCCACCCCTGTGATGCTTTGGGTCGACTTCTTTGAGGTATATCAATAGGCGCCGATGTTGCGTTTGATACTGTTGCTTGTGAACTACCAGTACCAGCAACCACACCCTGGAAATGAAGGTCTAGAAATTCTTTGGGTGTAAGATATTCATATCCTGTGGCATCATCGATCCTTCGTTCATCTGACGATCCAGACATAGAATTATGTTCTTCTGAGCCTTCACTCTTCTTGCTCCCTCGGAAACCGCCTGCAGTTGTATTTAATCGATCGAGCCCTTGTTTTACCTTACCATGTGTAGGATGTTTATGCTCACCTGTTGCGGTCGTGTCCTGCTCGCTTTTAGGTCGGACGATCATTTTCCGCAGACTTCCAAATACACTAGGCTTTTTGGATTTAACCTTTAATGGAAGACTTTTGGTTCTGGGAGTGTCAGGACTGATGTCTTTTGCGCTCTCAGTGGCCTGGCTATACATGTCGTCTTCGAGTTCTGCGTCGAATCTGGCCATATCAGTGGCAGAAACATTTGAAGAGACATTCCTCACCCCATTCTTCTCGCGTCGTGCCTCTTCCATTCCGTCCTGGTATACTCTAACACCTTTTTCTCTACCCCTCTTGTCTCCATTCGCCACAATATCAAACCCACCTATGCCCAACATATAGTTCCTATTCCCTTCCTCTTCGTCAACTGCACTACCGTCAATTTTCTTTTCTACCCAGACCACCACAAAATTATCTTTATCCTGGCCTCGACACTTTCGACAGTCCGCAAGGTAATGAGCAATAGTCGGGGAGGCTTTCACGCACTTTTGTCGTGGGTTGCCAAGATATAAGGAGCAACGATGTGTATAAGTTTGTTTGTGAGTGCAATTTAGTATTATTGTATATGTATTGCACATTTTTGATTCTTGCATGTATCAAAGAAGAAGGAAAGTTTGAGGCCATAGTTAAAGTGGATATGCAAAATTGCATGTATAAAATAACAGTGTGATTCTTTGTTAGAGGGAGTTGGTGATTCAGGGGGAAAAGGTCATTTACTGTAAAAAAGTCAGGAACACTTGACTCCATAAACAATGAAAAGTAAATGTACGCCTCTGCTGGTAATGATTGAATCACAATTAGCGTCTCCAATGGCTTCAATAAGAACGCCTTTAACATACCACCGTAATCAACAAATTTCCATTTCTTCACTTTCTTATTTTCGATAATCGAAGCGCCTCGAACCTTTTACCGTGAATCATGTGAAGCTTGTGACATAAAACTCGGGAGAATTGCCTGGGTATTCGCTAATTGTCATAATACTCTAGTCCCAATGTGTCATGAAGACAAACCGCGTTTTCGCCTCGACGTCTCATAACCTTCTCTAACCTTCTCCTTGTCTATTTTAAAGCCAAATCTGCACCTGACCAGCCATGAAAATAGCATGGCCAACACATTGAGCCATATAATCAACATCCAATCCTTGAATCCAAAGCCAACCTTGTTGGAATCTGCAGAATCATATTCTTCACATACTTTCAGATACTTCTTTGGATCATCAGTAATAACTCCATCCACCTCTTTCTTGATACACCATCTCATCCACTGCTCTTCATTAACAGTCCATACTAACATGGATCGTTTTGCAGCTCTGGTATCAGCCATAAATTTAGTACCACGAGGCCCGGCTAAAATCTGTCGTAGCATGTTGAAGTTGATATTAGGTACAGATAGAAACTCCCTCGCATATGCTATGGAGAATCCGATGTGTGTTATGGGGAAATCGGGCAGGTAAATGGCGCAAAGAGGAAGGTACTTGGCCTAAGTTGGTTGTATGTTAGTAAATCATAGAACGATAGTCGATGTGAAAGAATTTAGGTGAGAAGCAAATAACGTACTGCCCAGCAGCCTAATAAAATTCTCTGATTCCAAGGTCTCGTTGGTTTCACCTCTTCAATGGTCGAAGCGATTAAACTCATTATTTCATCTGCATTATTATCAAGCTTTTTGCTCCCGTTAACTCGATGCCTTTTCAAAACAATACGGCACATGGTAAAGGTACCTTAATGTCTAACAATATCCATATGTCTTCTAGTCCAGGTGTAGTGAGGTATTCTAAGAGATCTCTAAGGCGGGGCATCGGTTCGTGGGGCGCCTGGAGTGTGCGAAGGGTAGATATGTATGGCCAGTCGCAATCTATGACTTTTTTATCTTCTCCAAAACATCTCTTAAGGCTTGGGTCCTTGAGGAGCGTCAGCCATCGTTCTCGCCGGGAATGTACTTTTTAAGGTTACAACACACATGTGAAATAACCAAAACCCCGTCCTTGGTGATGTGCAAGTCGGTTTCTATCGCATGCGCTCCCACTTCAACAGCACCTCTAAATGCGCCCATGGTATTCTCTGGATTCGCAGCTTTGTATCCTCGATGCGCAATAGCTTGCGGAAGTATTCGACCTCGGCGATCCGGTTTGGCTAATGTGAAAGTTGCTTGAGCAATATTAGCCATGATTCTGAGGAGTCTCTACTGAAACTCACAATGGGGGACCTCCATTTTCTCTTGCAGTAAAGGTTCTGACTCTGCCATTACAATTCTGGTGAAAAGGTTGGTCGCGATATATACAATTTGTGAGATAAATGGCAAAAGCTGCTAACCGCGGGCCGCTTCGATCAATGTATAAAGTCGGAAACCTTGATCCTGGAGGAGCTAGGAAACGTGCTTGAATTCCGGCAATATGAATGTATATACGAACTTCACAAGACTATCACTTATTGAGTAATTTTTTCCTTTGGCACACTTCCAGAATGAATTACTTGTTGATGATATTATAAGCAGTTCCAAAATGCTTTCATTTTTCCCAACGCTAGAACTGCGCTGGGTGAAGAAGCAGCTGTGTCCAAAGAAGAAAGCTTGGAGTTCTGTTTGAGGCAGCAGCTGGTCCAACAATTGATCAGAAAGTACCTAAATACAGAATAAGATCTGCAGATATAGCTGCAGGCACGGAAGCCGTATATACATATGTTGTTGACTTGTCTGATCGCGATAGGTGAAGGATGAAATCCGAATGATTCAGTCCATGTGTAGCCCAGCTCCAAACTCCTAAGGGCAGTAAAAGTAAACAAAAGAACATATCGAGCTTCAATTGTTTCTGGGGTTCATACTCCGTATGTGACGTGGGATAGGGTCGCATGTCGAAATTACCGGCATTACTGAGGGTTGGGCGCAAGGGAGTCGGTTTTGAATTGCTAGTATTGGCCCATTGATGACCTCGGAAGAGTTCACAATGTGACGTACTACGGTACGCCGGTACTACTTTGTTCGTATCTGAAGAATAAAGTTATGCAAGATATATGTAAGATGATAAGCTGCATGCAAGGGATATGCGAAATATATGCAAAATATATATAAATATATGCAAAATATTTGAGACTTCCTTGTCATTCATTTAACCCAATCAATCTCTCAATAAATCGATTGTAAATCTAGGTAGCTAATTTAATTTATATATTTCAATTGTTGCTTCATGTTTGATAGGTGAAATATCCGCTTTCTTCAAGAAATAATCAAAGACCAATCAACAGCTTCACCACCTTACCACTTTAAGACAAGCGTCGTCTCATCGGAAGCGATAAGCTTAAATCATTTCTGCAACTTCAATCTCAACACTTGCCTTCACATCTTTCTATCTTACTCACATTACACAGGACAACTACTAGGTACTTTTATTACAATCCATATAATTATTATATATTCACCGTCATCCTATAACTGCACACTTTTCAACATTCCTCAAAATCCCTATTTTTTTTTAAATTGGGAGCTGACATGGCTTTGTTGAAGTTTCATCAGAGTTTTTGAAACCAGCCATATGCATGAAGTATTGCCAAGGAATCATCAAACCGGTCTCTTGTCTCTAACTAGTATCAAGATGTCACTTCAATCTTATATGGATTGAAGAATATTTGTCACACTCACGAGAAGGGATTCATATCACTGATCAAATAGGTTCTTGCAGAAGGTAACCTAGGCACTCACTATCGATATTTCCAGACTCTCAATCTTAGGATTATCCAAATAACTCACTCGCTTGGTTGCAGCAGATGTTTGATACTCGCCAGTCCCATTGTACACGGTGAAGATCGTTTGACTACAGCCTGGATCTGTAAATTTCTATTTAGTGCAAACATGCATGGTCATTTCTTGCTGCCAACCCAATTTTCTCATTTGGAACATGCCTTACAAACCGTGGTTGTTGGTTAGCGATGGTCTATTGCAGTAGCTCTACTATACCTTTGGTTCTGCACTATTTCCAGAGGTTTTCACTAGATGTAAATGCCGTCTTACAATTTCCACAACTTGTGGACTTCGAATTTGCTGTCTCGGTTCCAACATGTCAGCCGTAGAGGTGTTGTGGATATTGTCGTTTTTTTTTCGTGAGAAGCTGTGCCTCCTCCAACCCAGGAGATATAGCGTTTTTGACTCCGGAAGCTATGCTTTCAGTATTCAGCCCGTTGATCTTCTTTAAGGGCGTCGACTCTTCGAAAAATCTGGCAACTGTTGCCACACTGGTGACATCAATTCTTTTGCTTACAATTTATCCCAAATAATAGTCAAGACAATTATCATTGCACTTTGGGATAAGTTTACTTCTCCCGCACATCCGCTTCTTGTCAGATGAAGTTGCTTGGTTGACTATAGCATCCGCAAGATCTCTTCTTTTCGATGAGGATTCTACTTCATAAAACATACAAAGGTTTGTTTTAAAGGTTTGTTTTCAAGCTTCACAAGCCGACATTTTCTCTGCTTTTCCAGTGCAGCAAGATTTCGAACAGCTGGTATAGCATTAAATACTGGCGTTCCTGGCGGATGTACAGCATGTTCATAATGTTACTTATTGGCAGCAGTGCTGGCTTGGAGAGCCAATGCTGTCTTAGACAACGTTCGAACTTTGCCTTTTACATCGACCGTTGTGTGTTTTATTATTGAAAACGTCTCCGCGATCATGTGGAGTTCTGCAAAGTGGAACAAGAGCTCTGGAAAAACTCATCACAAGGGTTTGTAATTCACGCGGATCCTACTCTAAAAAAAGGATCTCCGTAATATATTAATGTGGCTCGCTAGCGCTAATTTGGGAGCGCATTTCCGGCCACCTTTAGAGGAAACATGTGGCAATAAGCGGAGAGAACTTCAGAAAATGCCTTTTTCTGACATCGCTTTATATTTTCGCTCTAGATGGGGGGTTCTCTTCGAGTCTCGGAAGACTGTCGTAAGGATTCACTGCCCCGCTACTGCAAATTCAAGACCACAGAGAAAAAGCTGTGTATCCAAGTCCTTCCGACACCTTCCAAGGCGCAGATTCGATTCAGGGCTGCAAAATAGACTAAAAGGGCGTTAGAGGTTAGCACTGTCCGAGTCAGACATTTGGTGCTGAACCTGGCGGTTGCCTGAAAATGAAAGAATCGCATCGCTACAGCATGCAGATTGTTTGAAAAGGCCGCATGATCAAATGAAAACCCAGGCTGTTGAGAAGTGGCAATTCACAAACTGGATATGTCTGCACATTTCACGGAAATTCACTGAGGGTGAATGGAACTCTCTTTGTAGAAACTCCATTCAAAAGTCAGTCCGCAAGACCTGCCGATTGCTAAGAACTGTCTCAACTGGTTGCATGCAGCACATTAGATGGGTACATACGCTGAAATGAAAGAAAATGAGACGAAACTCTGACGAGACTAACTAGTGGAGCTGATGTCCAGAGGTCCGGAGTCTTGCCGCGCGCTATAAGTCTCCCGCTCCTCCCTTATTGTATCCAACAAAACGAAATTTCGTTCTCACGGAGCTCCCTATATTCGAGATGCTACATGCGAATGGCCCGAATGTTACTAGCAGCGAAATAGCTACATGCTCCACTACACTGAAGCCTGACTGTCAAACGGCTTCAACCTTGATTTGCGGCAACATCTACCCTTTATCCGACTTTCCACGCGCATATTCAACCGACCACCCGTCCCCTGACCCGTACGTGACGAAATCGTCTCAAATGAAAACCAAATATTACGCCTAACACCAAGTTCCCTTGGCGACAGTCACGACCCTACTGAGTGTATTCTCATTGGCCCTCTGCCCGGCTTCTTGTTCGATGACCGAAACCTACGTGGTGAGTTTGATGTGGCCTTCCTCTTTGAGGTCCCATAACGCTTCCAACCCGCTCCCAATATTCAGGAACTCGGCTGCGGTCATGTTGGTCTGATTAGATTTGTTGGAATATAATACTTCATTAATTATAACTTCCTTGGTATATTCGATGGGTGGCGCGACGAGAAGTAGTATGAAGAGTACGGGGCGTGGGAATGATATCTCGGTAGGATCCCCGGCGATATTCAATCGATTTTCCGTCTGTAAGAAAACTTTTTTCTTTTCTTTCGGGGGATGGGAGGGTGGGGGGATATTATATATTATCTTTGTTAGTTTATCGATTGATGCGAAGGGCGAATATAAAGCTTTCTGAATAATGCCTTTTACATCGCGATAAATAATGAGCTCGGCTCCACATCCACGTACGTCAGAAATAAATACCGGAATGGGGGCGTCGATTGCTACGGAAGTAATAATTTTGTCCACATTAGAAGGTTATGAATGAGTGCTGCGAGCCATTGTCAAGTAGCTATAGAGAGCACAGTGTTTGAGATCGGCTTCCAAATATACAGTGATTGAAAATTTTGTTCATGATATGATGGCGTCTGCATCTTTGAGATTCCCATCATAGGTATCTATACCTTATTTTGATTAGCAGAGCTGAATATTAATAGGGATATGGAGGCTCGAGAAAGCTTAAGAGAGGATTTACAAGCGCAATTAGAATTAGCGTAAATCATGCTGTCGAGAACCATACGATCAATGAGCTCCGGGATACATGACTGTGGAGTTCTCGTCTAGCAGCTTTCATATGAGGAAAACCCAGTAATTATACGGCTTATCTACAGATTCGATTTTGGACAGTTGAGTAAATTTTTTGCTATTGCGTTTAAATATACAAGTGTTAATTCTAGATTTCAGTGAGTTTTGATATGATTCATGAAACGACTGATATATAGTAGTTGGCTAGTACTGTAGATAGATATCAAAATGAAACAGTAACGGTAGTTAGTATATTATTCAAAATATAGGATTATACCTCCATCGTTTCTCCTCCATTTCAAGAATCTCATCATATTGATTTCCAAATATCCTTCGCCACAACGACATCTCATATTTACGGCCCCAGGATCCAAAGCCCGCATGTGTGAACTCCCAATATTCAGGCTTGAAACCAGCACATTCCCAATCAATAATACCACAAAAACGTCCCCAGTCCACTAATAAATTGGAATAATGGAAGTCGGAATGTGTGAAGACTGATTGGTGACCACTAGGTATCTTTTCTTTTCCGCCATAGATTTCTGCCAGTGTTTGACCACCACCTACCTCGCTGTACATATATGCATTGAGTTCGAGCTCGTTGTTGAATGGACCGCCTGTTCGGTTTGGTATGAGATGGTCATACATAGGCCCGCCTAGGGTATCAGAGAAAAGGCAAGAGGTGGTGCGTGGGATCTCTCTCATTTGTGAGACACATTCTCCCACATCATCTATAAATTGATTTCTTTCCGCATATGACATTAAGTGGAACGAGTCTCTAAAACTTTCACCTTGTAATCGTGTCATAACTAAGTAGCTAAGGCCCTGGCTTGAACCTTTGACAACATCGACGCTTCGAGGAGCTGGGATAGAAGTATATCGTTCGATCATATTGACGGCGTTTGATTCATTCCAGGAGGTACCTGCTTGCGTCTCTTTGATATAAAGTCCGAAAGGGACTCGTTGAACCCATTGTACTTCCTCGGGCCCATATAACCTTTCTCCAATGGTCCACAAGTGACGATAGCAGCGCAATCGTACAGAGGCTGGTGTCCACAACCACAAACTGTGAAAAGCTCTTTTGAAAACTGAGATAGGGAACCTGAATAGGTTTTGTAGAATGCTAATAGTTGGCTTAGGCCAACCATGGCTGATCTTATCCTCAATGCTGAAAAGATGGAGTGCAGAGCTGAAGCGGCGGTGGATATCGAAGAGAAAATCGCTCGGCAAAGGAACATCTCTAGGATCTGTTGTAGATATACTAAAGACCTCGGATTGAGACCTTGAAAAGGGAAGTCCATTTCCAAAGTAGAGGTCCCTAGGTCGCTCCGGGTACTTTCCCTTCACCCGATACTATGACCATGGTCAACTCATACTGCCAATTTTCTCGCAATAATATGACTAACCATTTCTGTTTGTGAAGCCTCGGTATCTGAGCTATTAGATTGATCAATTTTTCGTACTTCAATGTGACCAGCACGGAAAGCTTTATGCATACTCGGCGAAAGTAACCAAATATTTTGTAAAAAGATTGCATTGTCTTCAACGCTGTCAGAAAGCAATGTTCTCAGTCGATGAACATGAGATGTGGAAATAAAGGCTTCTAAAACAGAAATGAGGCGTCCCTATATTTGGTTTATCAGATCAGCTATTCCTTCGTAGAGTTAGTCACGAAAGAGCTTACCCCCTCAGCGGTCTCGATGTCTCGAAGTATCGATGGAGGAATCACGTGAGCAGACTCAACACGTTTAGGCGCCGGACTCGTATCACTTGCTTGCGACATAGTCATGGTACAATATGGCCCATCTCTATCCCGAACCAAAGTGTCAAGGTGCTTAGGAACGGAGTCGACAACCATCACTGGCGATCATCAGCATGGTCAGTTCAAGTGGGAATTGGATATTGCACTAACGCCGACTCGCCAACTTTCTCCAGTCCCTTTTGAATTGACGTAAGCTGTTTTCTGCATCATTCCTTTTTTGGGCAATTATTGATTGAATATATTGTGCGGCAACTTCAGGCTCGACTGCCTGTTCGATGAAATGCTTCAGGAGTGAATGTTCGGTTGGTGACAGACGAGATTGCGTCGATGACAGAATCGACAGTAGCCATTCATTCAGATGAACAGAAGAATAACTAATACAAACTCTCGGCGCGAAATAGAAGAGCTGAAAAGTAAATTTATGATGTTGGATAATGTTGGTGTTTTGTGAGGGCTGTTGGAATTAGATTTATTTAGAAGTCGTCAATGCTAGCAGTTGGCCAGTGCACAAATCATCTTTATCCCTAGCGTTTGGTAACGAGATAACATACGAGCCTATGAATTTGAAAAGTCGTTCTTGAATTGGGACTCTCGGGTGGCTTTGGTTAACCTACTATAGTAAAAACTTTCAAACTCGATAGCTATCACATCCTGGATAGTTGCCGCCGATAAAAATCAGTTATGAAGTATGAATTATTAAGATACCCCCAGATGAAAACTACTATCATGCAGCACAAGCAGATCTTGAATTGTAACTCATTCCACAACGCACAACAACTTCATTCAGCCTGCCTCATCTCTTCTCTATCAACTTCTCTTCAGTCTCGTCTTTGCGTGGCTTCACTTTTCTCTTTGATAACCTTGTTATAAGCATATCTGGTCTTATTCTTGGTACCACAGTCCTCCATTCGCCAAACTTAACCTCACCCTTTTACCAAGATTATCTCTTCCGCCAAATATATTGGCCGCGGAGACAATCATGTCTTTCACAAGAGAACCAATACCTCTTGAGCCCGCAAGCTTGTATATCACGCTCACCGATATCGGTGGCAAAACCGAGTTTCACTGGGCATTGTATCTTTCGAGAAATCCTGGGAAGGAAAATAGGCAGAGGAAATATGTATCATGCTACAAATGAGTCTGCGACGAAAGAATTTGTCTACCAAGAGAGAGTTGATTCCAACATCAGCGCGTCAGTAAATTTTCTGACGGCAGTGAAGATTGCTGTCATCCACCAAGATCTCTGGGATAGCTTGGGAAATTTATTGAGTCCGCCGGACAAGCATCCAGATGGACAGATACGTATTGGTCGTACGACAACTTGTCGTACCTGGGTTTTGGAAGCAGTCACACTACTTGATGATCTTGGATACATCAAGTTGAAGAATGAAAAGCTCAAAGACCTTGAGAATGAGTGCCGCGGGGTTGCCGAGAGTGACTGGAGAGAGAAGAACAGAACAGTTGAAAAAAGTTTCTTTAGTATCGCTTAATCATAAATGTTTGTAGGGAATTCTGGGTTGCTGGATGGAGAAGCAATGCAAAGAGCGATGGTGGTGCGTTTGGATCATGAAATTTCGAAGTGAGTTAGCACATTGATATTGGTACGAATCTTGGAATGGGTTTGGACATCAAATATGATTGAGAATGTTTAGAACATTAGTAGTATTTAAAGCTGACGATTTCCAACATCGACGAGACGTGGTGCTGAGATAGATGTGTACTTCTCAATTACTTTGAAAGCGTTAGGCTCGTTCTGGGAAGAACCTCTAGTCCGCTTGATGTAAAGCCCGAAAAGCACTCGGTCGACTAATTCTGCCCCGCTTGGTCCATATAGCCATCTTCCCAATCTCACTAAGTGGCGAAAGCAGTATACACGTGCTGCAGAAGGTAAACAGAGCCATAAGCTATGGAAAAACCGTCTGATTGGAGGGAATGGGAAATCTGACAGTAGTCCTAAGTGACGAGGCTTTTGCCAACCTTTGGCAATCTTATTTGTCGTCGACATAAAAACGATGTAATGCAGCGGCGAATCGAGAATGAATTTCAAAAAGATGAGGACTTGGCAGGGGAAGTCGTTTCACGTCGGGTGTGGATATTCGTGTAAACAGTATATTGTCTCGCCACTCTTTTCCATCTCCAAGGTAAAGATTGTACCAGTCTTCGGGGAAAAGCCTATATAGGCCGTACTATTTGATACATTTCAATAAAGAACTAGGTTTTGCCAGTATTGTTACTCACTATCTCCTCCTCTTCGACTCACTTGACAGTCTTGTAGGTTTGCAATTTCATTGAGACATGACCTCCACGGAAAGCCTTATGCACACTGGGTGTGAGAAGCCATAAATTTTTGAGATAGATTTCATCATTTTTCACTTCGCTTGAAAGGTAAGTACACAGCTCTGCGACATAAGGTATCAGAAATGCCTCTAATATTCGAATAAGGCGTCCGTATTCGTTGTTAGTCGGTATTTGGCAGATTATAATATGAGATAGTAACTGTAGCTCACTTCGTTGGCTAATTCATACCATCAAGCATGGTGGGCGTGGTCACGTGAGCTGGCTCCACAGACACAATCGACTCCTTGTGTCGCATATTAGTCAAGGAACAGCGGGGACCATCTCTCTCATGGAGTAGTCCATAGTAGCGCTTAGGTATCGGATCGAATACCGTCACTCGATAGAGTCGCTGGATCTGTCTCATTGGTGTATGCTATGAATATCGTCGTGATTGATGGTTACATACAAAAAGCTCTAGACGAGAGGATAACTCAAGTTCCTGTTGCCAAAAATCAGTTCTGCTCACTGAATTGTCACACTTGGGTTCTGGAGAGAGACGAAACGAAATCGCTTCGTGTGTATTTTTTGGAGCTCAAAGCTTAGACTGAGAATGATATTGTATATTTGTTACTCACATACATCTTATAAAGTAATGACTCATAAAGTAAAATTATAAGAATTGAATTGACTACAATAAAAGAAATAACTTTTATATAATATATTTTTACATAAATCAAGAAAGAAATCAAAGAAAAATAAATAAAGACGAGAAACACAAAGATATAACTTTTAAAATTTGATTTATATTCTCATCCTATCCCATCCGTCCATCCATCAAAACAAGAATAAAGGTATCATACCACTACACTACCATTGTCCATATGCATCATCTCTCAATTTGTTGACTTCTCTAGACTTAATTCTTGATATGAAACATACAATCCAATTCATGTTCCTCTCAATCAATCCATCACAACCATTAAATTATACAATCCATTCACTTAAATCTACAAAAGTGCTGCACCAACAAAAGTCAAACTAGCGATCAACGCACCAATAACCATTGGTGACTTATCCATTGGGGCCAATGCGTTTCCAGCACTGGCTTTGGTAGTACTGGTAGCACTGCTCGTGCCAGTCGCAACAGCGGTAACTGATCCAGATCCAGCAGAGGCAGTTCCAGTAGAAGCTCCTCCAGCGTTTTGGGATCCTTTACCGGTCAATCCTGCACCGGCGCCAGCACCACTCTTCATGAGAGCTGCAGCACCAGATGGGATAGCTGGGAGAGCATTGCTGGTAACGTTCCAGGTAGAAGATTGAGCTGGGCAATCAGAGGCTTTGTTGGTAGAGCTATATCCACCATCTCCAGATGGGTTGGTGGTTCCTTCGAAAGCGGCCTTGAGAGCGGTGAAATCAGGTCCTTCAGTGACAGAATCGCCATTGATGGTTACGAGGCCGTACTTGGATCCTTCCTCAGAGTACTCATAGACGAGACCACCAGAGTAAACCGCAGTCATATCAGTACTGTAAAGAGACTTGACTTCTTCGAATTTACGGGTGTTGATGTTGCAACCATATTCGGAAAGGCTACAAGGCATTAGTTGAGGTATTTTATACCGGGGCGAAAAAGAACTTACAAGATAGGAATTCCGTAATCGGTGAAATTCTTAACCTTTTGATCCCATCCGGAAATAGTGAATGAAGATGGATCACACCAAGAGTAATCGTTGAAAGCGAAGAAATCACTGCGTTCGTCATCGGTACCGCAGTTCATGTATTGAGCCATCTCCAAACGGTTGGAGTCAACATCAGCTGCGGAATATCCGACTGGGATTGAACGATATCCACGGCTTCCAATATATTGTCTCATATCACGAGTAACTGCCTTAACGTATGGGGCAGCACTGGTTGTGGAATCATCATTGATAACTTCGTTTCCGGAAAAGAATGCCAAGGTGTTTGTGTAATTTGCAAAGGCATCAATGGTAGCAAAGATGTTTTGAAGGTAAACGGCGTTGTAAGAAGGTGCCGGGGTAGCACGGTTGAGCGAGTACAATGGTGTGTTGACATCGAGAACCAAGTAAATTCCTGCGGCAGCCAAAGCGTTCATGCAATCATCGTGGTTGGCAGTGTTGTCAACGGAGTAAACACGAACAGTGTTAATTCCAAGCTCCTTGAACTTTGCAATATCACGCGTGCAAGTGTCTTTATCGGCAATAGGGTCGACGAGTTTGGAAGACCCTCCTGGTTGATAATCGACTCCACGGATATAAAATCTGTTGTCACCGATGAAAAATGCTATAGCCGGTTAGCAATTGTTAAAAGAATCCACCAGTTTAAATAAGCATACCATTTCCCTTCGTTGAAACAGCAGGAAGAGATGTAGATGAAGCTCTTGCTGCCAAATTGCCAACTGGAGATGGAGTAGCCAAAGCAGAACCTGCAGCGGCCAAAACGGCAATTGTGTTGAAAGTCTTCATTTTGAATTTAATTGTCTGGCTGATTCGATTTCGGAATTCAGAGAATATGAAAGAAGTTGACGGTAATAGAAATCGTTGGTCCGAAGGAAACAAGAGGTACAATTGTAAAAAGATTTGGTGAATGTCCCGAAGTGAGTGAGAGACGATTCAAGAAGGATCTAATTAGAAGTTTGTTAATAAATGGCAACTACAACGAATGAGAGTGCCAAAGAAATTTGTCAAAAAGTAAATGGAGAAGTTTTGAAATATTGAGAAGAAGTTTTGATTTAATAGAAAGGAAGAAGAGAGGAAGAGGAAGAAGAAATGAATAGAAAAGGGATGCGTCCAGATTATGTGCAATAATCGCCAAGCCAAGTTAATTGCTGTAACAGAAGGTCAATCCATGCCTTCTCGTTCCAATTCGAACGCCATGCCGCCCATTATTTTGGATAGACTAATCTACTTCGGGTATAGATCTTTAAGGATAATCAGGAGGTAAATCTTGGCAGTCAAGGTTTTAGAGTTTTAGAGTTATTTAAATGGGTCTAATTATTTAAATGGGTCCAAAGACTTTAGGATGAACCAGGATTGACAACAACAAACGGTTAATTCAATCAAGCCACATTGATTTGGTTGGAAGAGAGTCGGGAAGGGCTCGTGTTGAGTTTTATTTTAAGAGATCGGTGTCTTGCATTTCTTTCCTTGCGAGGAGTAGTCAGTTTAAAGTGAAGCTTGGAAATTGAATGGAAGTAATAAGTGCTTGTTATTTATTTATTTATTTATTTATTTATTTATTTTATTCAATCTTTTCTTTTCCAGTGCATAAACACTGCCTCAATATTCAATCTTGAATTGAGGCTTAAATCTTAAATGATTATTGGTATTTGGTTTTTTCTCTTTTAACATCTCGTAAAATAAACTCCAATCAGTCTTCTCATAGCTGTACCTTTCGTATTCTCGTGCTCGTGTCATCCATCTATCAAATCCATCAACTTCATACCATTGATCACAATCAATCAAGTCACCCCATATTGAACTTTAAATTCATGACACCATCGAAAATCAACCAAGAGCATGAACATGAACATGAACATGAACATGATCCTCATCATCATCATCTCATCATCATCACCAAACAAATGACCCAATCAATCGATCAATCAAATTAATCAATCAATTAATCTCAAACTCTTCTAATTATAAAACAACTCCATTCCTCATCTCCACTCACTCCACCACCACTAACCCAGCTCCACAATTCCCCAAAAACCCGGCGCATCTTCACCAACATCAAACCTCCGTACCAAACAAATACATCCACTTCTCAAACAACTCTCAATTCAAAATCACGATCATCCCAATCTGAAATTATGAACCAAGCCTTCCAACATCAACGTACAATATCTCACATCCCTCATCCCTTTGTCCTCTATACTCAACCCTCTCGACCCCAACAACCAACAACCAACAACCAACAACCAAACAACCTACTCCTACAGCCCCAGAAACCCTCCAGGACGACCACCTCAAACAAGCATATCACATTACTCATGTAATGAATGTAGTTCATCCTAACCACAGGCCAAAACAACACCAACTACGCCCTAGAACATATAACCCAGCTCCTTATTTCCAACGCACCCCCCACAATCTATCCCTACTCATCCCATAATCCAGATAGATGAACTCCCAGATTACATATACATCTATATACCTACCCAAATACATCCAACAAGGATGAAACTCATTTCACATACTCACTCGACATATTACACTCACTCTGTAAATTTCATATATTTCATATATTTCATATATTTCATTCGGATCTTCAAATGATAGGAGCAAGAAAGAGGCTGTCTACGGAGCATAGGAGATTCCGAGGTTGTATTGAGTACTAGATAGATGAGTGGATGGGTGTTTGGATCCAATCACATAGGGATGAATAATATAAAAGAAGAGTGAAGTATCTTTTTTCTAGAAGTTTATATGTAATACTAATATCTAGATAGGTATATATAGTATATAATCTCCCCAGGTAGATGACAGTTAAAAGAATCTACTTATATACTTTTATCAAATAAACAATCATAGAAAAACCGCCCACTTATTTAACATCATCATTTTTATAATTATTTACGTTTCACTTAGGTATAAAATATAATCAACTCGAATCCCCAATTCCAATCCCAAACCCCTAAGCCCCCATACCCTACCAAGCCAGCCTAGTGATTATCATAACTCCCAACCATCTAAAACGTAATCCTCAATCCTCAATCCTCATGCCTTATCCCTCATCCAAGTCACACTCACTTATTACTCCCCTCTATAGCTTAACCATCCAAATCCAATCATATATAAACATATCACCAACACTGAAAACAAAACATACGAATGCTTAGGTACTTACGAATAGTTCATTCCCTAATATCTTAAATCTCTTGACTTTTCTCTTGGGGTTTCTTGATGTTGTTTGTTATATTGGTTTTTTAAGGGGTTGATGACGATGAGTTAACTTATAAATGGATGAGTTATTTTTGGTGCTTTTTTCTTGTACCTGTACTTGTACCTGTATTTGTATGTAATATATGAATGAATTGTGCGTAGGAGTTCGCCACTACTAATAATCATAATATCCTGTTATCTATCGCTCGTCATTCATCTGTTTCCTATACACCTATCTATCTACCTATCGATCCATACATCACAAATCTACAACAATAACAAAATCAACCAATGAATCACTATCAATCAAATAAAATCATCACCATCCTAACGCGACTTCTTTTGTATTATTTTTATAAATTAAGACAAAATATTTCTAATTGATAGGTATGAAAATTCGTTGTCTTGTACTTGTAGGGTCGCTGGATGCACCTTTATGTCATTTGTGTCAGTTATATACATCTGTTCCTCCAAGACCGTTTAGTAAGTCTTAATTTTGATTCATGTTGGCCTTGCCTTGGTATTGAGTTGATGTTGGGATTCTAGGTGGAGGGGGGACTATTTTTCGAAATATCTCTAGGAATTTGGAAGGCTAATATGCTTCTTGCTGATTCATGTCAGGTTGACTTCTGCTATAGCCTTGGATTGCCGGGGGGAAGGATGTCACGGCGTTATTGTTTGTTAGCCGTGTTCTCGGAGTGAGCCCTGAATACGGCCATTTTCAACCTTCAAACTCTCAATTTTCATTTCTCGTAGTTAATGTCTCATATTCTAAGTGAAGAATTATGCTTTACAAGTGAATTGATACGTTGAAGCAAGTGCTCCACATTTGTTCTATCTATATCTATTTCTATATCTATATACCGCACAATGATGGCATGCATAGCATCATCACACATACAGCATGGACGAATACAAACTCCACCGATGCACACCATAACATAACCTCCACACAAATCCTCTACTTTCCCATACAAACTACCAATCACACCCCGTCGCCAAAACCCCCGCCAGTTCCTCCAACCACTTCCGATCCACCTCATCAAACCCCTCCTTAACCCCACAATCAACATCAATAATCGCCCTCACAATCCCATCTATGATAATCGGCACGACAATCTCACTCTGGCTAGCTGCATCACATGCAATATGACCCGGAAATTTCTCAACATCGGGAACAAGCTGTGTAGTCTGAGTAGAAGCAGCAGTTCCGCATACACCTCGAGAAAAGGCGATAGTTTGACAAGCGACTTTTCCTTGGAAGGGTCCGAGGATTAGAGAGGGTTTGGTGGACGACGGGTCTAGGGTGTAGAAACCTGGGGAGGTGAGTTGACTGGTTAAAGAAAGAGGAAAGGAAACGAACCAGCCCAGTTTACTTCCGATGACGGTGACGGAAGTGACTTATATGCGTGCCATAGTAATGAGGCTGTATTTGATAAATTACTATTTTCTTTACGTTACTCACGATCCTTGGTACTAACACTCTTCATTCCACATCATATCACTTGATACAACAACAAGAGAACCTGGGATATTTACCACACCTAAACTTCATCAGTATGTATACTCATTTACTCATCTCAATCTCAATAAACTAGGCAAGAAAAGAACCGAAAAAACATACCCAATTTCTCTGTCCATCAAATAATCCCCTCGCTTCTTCTAATACCTGCGCATAAGCTTCCTCTTTACTTATGTTAGCTTTGAAGGTTGATGCATCGGCATGTACCTGATTTGGTATTTTGGTTAGCTTGCTTGCTTACCTGCTTGCTTGATAAGTATTCGAGAGGTGCAAATGAAGATGACATACCATTGTGCAGTCGGGCTCGGTAGTGATGGGCTAGGTTATTGAAAACACTATTCATGAAGAGGGTTTTCACATGATGCGGGTGGGAGAGGAAGAAATTGAGTGGTGGTCTGTGCGCAACCGAAGTTCTTCTATTGCGTGAAGTCTCGTGACTTTAGATATCGTTAAGGACGTCAAGCTTTTGAAATGTTGGAAAGTCTTGGTAACTTTTCTCAACTTTTCGATATTTATGTTAAAATTGTCGTATCGTATTTTAGTTTGATGCGATACTGGTGTGTGTACTCGTATTTCATGTGTTTAGTCAAGCGTGAGCTTGCTACTTCGTACACGAAAAGAATCTTTTCACGACGCGATACAAGATAGCCTCACTTTCAGAAACAGCCATGATGGTGACTGTACCCCGTTATGATGAATTTTATTGGGGAATCAAGTGATCTTCTCAAAGAAGAAGCCTTTCTCTTCCTGTAACGCAAAGGCTAGATGGATATGTTTGGTGGCTGTGATTCACATACGGGTGTCGGAGGCCAAATGTGCACTCTTTTTCTGCTTACAGGTATTCTGCCCATACAGATTTACCCTTGCAGCTCAGGCGGTGGAATGCTCTTAGTAGCCTGGTGACGATGATTCGGACAAGAATGAGTCTGATGTTCATCATGATGGTAGGTATTCAATGATACCTACTTAGAGTGCTTGGAGATTGCTCATATTTCTACCCTTTAGTGTTTGAGACAAGTTTATGGGGAGAATGCACCATAATCATAGTAGTAATCCAAGCAAAGTTGTTTATTTGATGTGATGTACGATCAAATCATGTGAATGTCATATGATCTTCTACTTAACAAACACTCAAGCGAATCTAATGCAACGTCACACTACATTGAATCAGCAATGGGACAAGGGTATTGCAATTAAGATGTTATGTCAGCTTCACTATCTGAGTCACGTGATGAGGGAAGGTTTTATTTTGAGTGGTGGAAGAATATGAGGCTCTGGAAATGCTTTGAGAATCTCAAGATATCCACGTGCCATGTGAATTTTTGCGGTATAGAGCTTCAGGAGTGTATGCGGAAGGAGTTCCGCAAAGCCATTTACATGTACATACATTTTCCATATTCATGTGCACAGCGTGCATATATCCGAAAGAAGGAAAGTGTCGAATTGAGCAGCTAGTCCTCACTGAGTGGCTTTCATGGAATGAATGTATTGGAGCATCAAGCGACATCTGCTCAAGGAAAAAGCCTGTTCTTTCTTGCAGTAGACGCCGCAAAATGCATTAGCACCAAAGATATTATTATATATAATGTTGTTGGTGCCTTGAAATGAGGATGTGACTTTGTAGATATAAGGAATGAAAAGATTCTAAAGACACGAGGTCGAATGTGAAAGTATTCTTGTAGTTCTTAGAATCTACAGTGACATTTGAGTTGAATTTATGTAAGTGTTTTCGAAAATATGCTTTTACTAGTTATATTTGTGTGAGGGAATTTATCAAAATTTCAGCCAGGCCCTCTTCCAGACCATATAATCCCAAGTCAACATAATATTAGTGGACATCGATCTGAAAGTAGAAACTAGAGATTACCATATAGAGAAATTGGTACACAAGACAGTGCCACATATATTTATTGGAGAACCAAGCGACAAGCACTCAGGAGAAGAGCTTATGCTCCTTGCACCGATCTTCATATCCGCGTCATCATTTGCGTCAGTATGCTTCTTGTGGTCACAGAAACACAACTAGCCTATGAGCTTTCCCATTTTCTACATCAGAGAAAGACGAACAAATCTGCCGAAGTTATGCCAGACCTCTCAGGCTTACCTTGGAGAGAGTCTACTTTTTACTCCGACGGTTCTCGAGGCTGCGAAGAAGCCCAACATAAATCCTAGGGACATTTTTACTCGAGGTAACACAGATAATGCCGACCTTGACGGAAATATTAGTTTATTCTTGCTGCTATTTATGTTGAAGATCTGTTCATTTTAACCATATCACATTAAAAAGACACAGGCTGCACACAGATGCACGATAAGACTTTGTCTGAAACGCTAAATGATCAATTTACTTATATTTGCAGAAATTTATAGAAGCTCTGAAATGGTCACTGGTCCACCTCATTTTTGCGAAATTCAATTTTCTCGATTGCCGATTTTGGATACTCTGATTGGGATCCTATCAGAATAATCGGAGCGATGCAAATAGAATTTTTTTAGCCTACCTTTTCTACAGTATCTTCTACATATATCTGGAAATCTTGACGTTTCTGTTTTGTCCGATTCTGTGAACCCGAGCAATAGCTGGGATTCAAACGTTGGGTTCCACTGCGGCTCTAGAATATATACATAGTTGGCGATTGTAAGGTCGAGACTTTGAATTTTAGCTAGTGCGAGTCTCTTGGATATAAGGAGACAGACCCTTCCGCCCCGGTTCCAGTTGTCATTATGAGGATCCGTGTATCCTCGTGTTGTTGCGCATGAGTGCAGCTGCCGTCAACACGTTCAAAAGGCAGACCGCAAAGCTTAAGATGATGTCCAACCAGGTCTAATGCCGTAGTCCAACATGAAAAGATTATACTTGGTTGTCGAGTTAGTCATACTTGCATGCTTGATTAAGCTGATGTGTCATACCTCTTCCCTTCTGTCTGATTCTGGTTGATATCTTTCATCAGTTCTTTCACTTTAGAGGCAGTGCTAGTACTCTCCATTTGCTCGGCGCGAACAATTGGTGGACAAGACAGAACCATTCGATGCCATACACCGGACTCTCCGGATCCAAATACTCGGCAGAGACTGTACCATATGTACTTAGTACAATGTCCGCGTTGGCTAGGACTTTGCGATTTGTCTCGCGTCCACGAACATGGTATATGTTGACGTTCACATATCCCCGACAGTGCCTACTGATTTAGTGCTTTGAAACTTCTTCTCTCCATCCATCGATGAGTACTGCAGTTTATCAATCAAAAGAAAAGTTCACGGGTGAGAGTTAGACATAAAATGTGTTTGTACTATAACAAGCATCAACCTGGAACGAACTTTGTGTTTGAGGCTTGCGTGATGGGCCAAATTTTGAGGGGAGCAGTCGAGGAAGTCTTCGGCTTCTTTGGATGTTTGCATGATGCTGGCTGGCAAGTACTGTCAGTGTTTTTCCGAGACCCATATCATCCGCCAAAATTCCCCGCCACGTTAGACGGGGATTTTTCCAAGTTTGTGCCTAATATCTTGTGCTGATAACTCGCATATAGTTAGCATTCAGAAAATCGCTGCCCTACGGCAAATTAGTCAAGCTTCGCTCACCAGGTCTGAGTTCTATATGTTTGAGAAGTCTACAACGAATACTCATCAGGGATTGGAAGAAACTCCCTCGGCGCTATGAAATCCAGTGTCTCAGCTTGGTGCCTACTCATTTGAGCTCGGTCATTAGTTCAGATAGTTTGCAACAGAAGAGCATAGCTTACTTATATGGGGAGTCATAATCTTGATATCTGCCTCGATTCTTCTCAGATTTCGATACCTTGTCAGCGAATCAAAAATCTTTGTGACCCTGTTATCAAGCTTTGGTTTGAATTGCGTATCATTTCTAGCATCTGGCTCTGTATTCGGAGAATATTCGTTATAGAAATTAGTCGCATGTGCTTTTCCGCTATCTAGGAAAAAACATTTGATGATAATTTTTCATACCAGGCCCGTAGAAATCGATTCTTTCGTAATAATTACAAACATGTATATATTTACAAATTGTTATGTTGTACTTTTTAAAGTTCCAGATAAAAACGGAATGAATATTATGCAAAATGCTGTGCCCTAACGAAATGCTGCGAGGCTCTGCCGTGGGGCTGATTCCTTCTCATTAAATGCAACTAATATTTTTTGTAAAGGGTGGAGCACAGTACATGGCAGTGCGTTGTGTTGTGAACGAGTGGCTCTGGGTTCATGAGACTGCCAAACGGATACATACATCAGCCACATGCATGTCTGTTGCACCTTCCTCACTTATAGGTAATGTAAGATATAACACAAGAAATGCTTTTCATCAGGCTGACCCAGTTTCTTTTGAAATCTAACATCCAATAATTGAATCAAGACATGCATTCAAGTTGTAAGAATCAATTATCTCTTACAGTGTCTGCATCCAAGTTGATGAACCTCACAGTGAAGAATGACATATTTCTTCATTTCTGCTTGATCATATATCCATGCGTGGAATAGCTCCTGTCGATTGTTTATTATGGACATAAGACGAGTATACATCAAATCATGGCCGACCCATTTCAAATTGGGTTATCGAACTTCAAGAATCGATTGACTCAAGAGGAGCAGCTGAGGTCCTAAACTACGACCGACACTGGATGGCTTTAAGGCCTCTATGTTGAAGATACAAGACGATTAAAGCCAGCGCAAGAGCATGATGAATCTTTCTCGTGTCGAAACCTTCATTGAAGCATTTGAGCAATATTCAAATGTCATCGAAGTTTTCCTCAACACCTCTTCGATATTATGTTTCGTTTAGAGCCCGATGAAATTCTGTCCTCAGGTATGTGCTTAAAAATTAATCGGTGTGCCCTGTCCTGGATAGTGTGTAATATAAGACGCTCCCTGAACTTTGGCAGAATTTACCGAAATTTACAGGTTGTAAGTTAATGGGCCGATTCTTTCGATACAATATTGGATGCGTATCAGCAGCTTGCTACATCTCTCTTCTCAGTCCATACATGGATTTATTCAGAAGCAATTCACAAATGATTCACGTACTTGCATTATTCTATGAGGACATACTGGAGTTTCACCGAGCTGCACTTAGAGTTTCAGCAAACCAAATATGTTACCCTTCAATCTTTCGTCGGATTATGGTCACTTACATCTCAGCGTGGAAACAAATATTTAGGGCGACATGGAAAGACTTTGATAGCAAATTCAGCCATATAATAGACGGATTAGACAGGCACAAAAGTCTAGTAGGAAGTTAGGCGACAATTTCACAATTCGAAAAGCGGCAAACGGAGCATGCCAAAACCGAAACTTCATTCGCAGCTATTCAGGACTCGATCCTTTCTATCCAAAAGTACCAGAAGGAGCATCTTAGCCGGAAAAAAAAAGCAGTTTGAGGCTATTGAAAAGGAAGATAACAAGCGTCAACGGCTTGCATTGCTAGACTGGCTCGCTGCCACAGATCCAATACTCAATCATGAAACTGCGGTGGCTATGCGAGCCGATTATCCTCCTCGGGTAATAGGATTTTGAAAGAGCAAGACAAAAGCATGGCTTGATCCGCAGCAGTCAACTACTTCGCTCTTATGGATTAATGGCATTCCCGGAGCAGGTGGGGACAACAAATTTACTCTATTTACGATTTGTGGACTAATTGAAATGAGGAAAAACTATATTGAGCTCCGTGATCATTGAGGAATGTATGAAGGACGGCTCATCATCGACGGTCTCCTTTTACTGTAAGTATAAAGATAACCAAAGAAACACTTTTATAACTATCTCTAAGGCTATAATTTCTCAACTTCTAAAGCAGAACGAAATTCTTCTGCCTTACCTACATATTGAGTGTGTCAAGAGTCATTCCGTATCACTTGTATTGCATGAGATGTGTACGAAGTTACTCGAGGTATGCTTTGGAACTGTATCAAAATCCCGAAGGACGCACTTGGTAATTGATGGTATGGACGAATGCGAGCAAACTCAGCGAAAACTCTTGCTCTCTGCCCTAGTCTCAACTCTCCAAAAGTCTTGGCATCCAGGAATGCTCCGCATATTGATTGTAAGTCAAAACGAGCCTAACATAAGAGATGTCTTCGGCAAAGCTCGGACTTACGCTTGTCAAGCTCTTGTAATAGATCTGATATTGAGATGTATTCTCGTGTTTGGTCGAAAAAAATACAACAAAACTTTGCTGTACCAGACTGTACGAAGACATATATTATAAAGGCTGTGTCTGAAGGAGCAGATGGTAAGTGGCCTCCATTTACTTCGTACCTTGGTTTAACCGCCGTCGAGGATGCTCATATATGCAAAGTTTATCCTTATAAATCTCTAAAACCAAACATCCCGTGAAAAAGTATGTGAGGAACTTCAGCCGGGCACATTTCCAATCGGGTTTGAACAAGCGTAAGGGAAACATCTGGTAGAAAAAATTCGATCATGCTTGTTATTGCTGACAATTCAGGTACTCGAGGATTGTTACTAGAGTATATCAGAATCCAACCTGTCAGAGCGAGCTACAGCAGAAAGATTATTGGGCTGAATCTCGTGTGCTAAGCCACCGACGAGGCGGCATGAATCAGAGGCCGCAGTATCTATCGATTTGAGTGATGAGGAGGTTTATTACGATGGTGCGTCGATTGTTTGACTTATACCCTTTCATAAGTCCCCTGAAGAATTATATGGAAAAAAAAAAGAGTCAGCCCTTCAAGATTGCGTGTATTTGTTCACCATGGCCGAATTACCTAGCTCTTTAGATCGCCAGCTACGAACCCACATTACCGATCTTTGAGGCTCACTTGTGGAGATCCTGCCTGGAGACCGAGTACAAGTGGTATATAGCACCGCAAAATCCTAAGTTGAACATATACAACACCATATGGTAGCTTATGATTGTCCAAATTATTGATAAATTTGAGGAATAGTTATTTGATCAAAAGCAGTCATTCTGGAAGAGCGAAACTGGCAAAAATATGCCTGCACTATCTACTTTTCAAATGCTTTGACCGAACCACACATAAAAATAAAATCCATCACTACGTCAGCCATGGATATTATTTATTCCAAGAATATGCAATTGTGCATTGAGTTGACCACCTAGAATCCCTGATCAAGCATCTATTATCCTCGGGTCTTGAGAACTCGGAACAATGCTACCTTGGATCTGCCATCGAAGAGTTCTATGAGGTGTTCGGGGTACAAAGCACAAAAAGGTCGGATGTTCTTTCCTCTCTGGATGACCGATGTACCTCCCTTGTTAGATCTGACCAGGTGGACACATTTCTTCTTCTGCTGAGCCATACTAGAAAAGTCCGGGCTGCACAGGATGAACTTACGAGCTAAAGGACTTGAAAATAATCCTTCACAAAGTACGATCCTATCTAGCCGAGCTTTCCAAATCAAATACTTTGACGGTGACGGAGAAGCAAGAACTCACTACCTACTATGGACCAAAATGGATCAAATGCCCTCGCCATGCATGTTTCTATTTCCATGAGGGATTTTCCGATGAACCTTCTCGTGACAAGCATCTTCTCCGACATGAAAAGCCCTTCTTGTGTACAGATTTAAACTGTCTAAGGGAAAATTGAGGATACAGTACCGAAAAGGAGCTCAAAAAGAATATGGTGCTAGAACATCCCGATCCAGCAGCTTTTGAAGGAAAGTTTCCAAAAATTAAGAAAGAACCAATGGAATATCAATGTGATCAGTGCTCAAGCTCATTCACAAGATCATCCAGCTTAAGGATACACCAGAGAACGCACAGCAATGAAAGGCCATTTAAGTGCATATCTCTTGGTTGTTTAATGGCTTTTGTGAGGAGGTGGGATCGTGATGAACATGGAAGGTCTACTCATCCAAGAATGGAGAAGGCTTCGAGATAACAACCTACGCAGTCTGGTCTTACTGCTACCTAGCATGACCTCGATCTTAGAACCTTTTTCCGGAGTAAAAAGAAGAGAGTTTCTCATTAGTGACTATACGTATACTGCGGACCCCTGCATTATCGTCCTAGGAACCGTTCGCCAATCTATGGAAAATAGGCGATTGTGATAATCTAAGGCCTCGATGTTGAATACTAGGTTCGAGATTTTGTTTAGTATATATTTACATAGGAAGAAAATGCAGAAAGTGTATGGCGGAGTGAATTACTACTCTTTGAAATGCTTGAAAATGATATTAATGCTGGAGGGAGCAAGATAGGGGTAAATCAGAAGCGAGTTTTTCGTCTTTCTTAAATTCTTATTGTTATCGATTGATCTTGTTGGATAACCTTATTTGAGAATAAGATAGAAGTAGGAAGTAAATTGACGTTGTCTTAAATTTCGAGGTGATAGTAAAGCTGTATAATTATATATAGAGCAAGACTTTATTATAAAGTTTTAAAAAAAAGAATACAGAATAAGATAGGTATATATATTTCTATTTGATAATCACTTGACTCTAAAATTATATAACTGTGGACTAATTATTCCTTCTCAAGATACTTTCTCATCCCTATATCATAATTAAAATAAGCTCATTAAATATAGATTTTATTTGCCTATGAATGCGACGAACCGCCAATGTTCTCCACTGAGTCAGGTCATGCTTCCACATAGGCATTATACCCATTACGTCCGCACCGTATAATTCCGCATACCTTCATATCATCTACTCGTGAGCTACTCTGCAGGTCTAGTCAACAATGTGTTCACCAGTTGTTCTCTTTCTCGAATGAACTTTCGTAGTTGAATCCCTTGCCTAGTGGCAGTCTCTCCCAATTCTAAAATGCGGCGTAGCAACTCATCGTATTGTACTCTATGGTTTAACGCTTCCTGCAATTGTAACTGTAATGCACTGTTTTGTTCGGTTCCGACCATTATTGCTTCCTGAGACTTTTAAATTATTTGTTGAAATTGTATCTGTAACGCATCGTATTGTCCGACTGCGGGCTCATCTCCTACCAAATCTACCTAGGAAAAGTTAACTCCAATTTCAATGCCCAAAAAGATCAGGGCAGGTCTGGACCTACTCACAATTCTCGTGGTGTCGCATCTCCACTATCTAAGGCCACTGCTCCCCCGTCGTTTCCGGCCATTGCTCCTGGATTGTCAACGAATCTTTCGAGTCGAGCTTTGAGTTTCGAAAAATGAGAGGAAACGTTCGGATTCTTAGAAAATCTATCTTCCAGCCGTGAACCAATGAAGAATGAGTAACTGGTCTTGCAGTCGAATTCAGATCGAACTTCTGAATCTATGTTTGTTTGTTTGCTTGTTTGCGTAGAATGGGGGAGATTTGATAAGAAAACCCATGAGAAGGAAATATAGAGTAGAAGCATTCATTATAGAAAAATGTTTGATGTTGAGGTTTGGCACTGGTCCAAGACGAAAATCACAAATACAATTCGTCGAATGAACGCTACTCTTTGAAAGCACATCAAAGATGCGGAAACCCAATTTGACAGAAGCCTCGAGAACTCTCCATGGGACGTGTCAACCGATAATGCATCCACACGTACGATAAGCAAGAATCGGAGAATGAAAAGAAGAGGACGAAAGCACAAAGGTTGAAAAAAGGTTGCGACGGCAAGTCATATAGGACTGATATTAAGGCCAAAATTCAGATATGACTCCCACAACATCCATTTCTAGCAATATGTACAGTGAAATGCGACAGCAGAGGAGTAGGATGGGGGCAATGATCACCAGTATTTTGTACCCGACCATCTTTCCAACCACGATGCATTGTTGAATCCCAGTGGTGAGATTTATTTATGTACTCGAGGCTCGAGGTCTACTAAGCACATGAAAACTTGACTAGATGATAATGCAAAGATGGAACAGTAAGTTAGCCGCCAAATCCGCGAGAAATATATGCATGCATTCATCGTATCGAACATTCATTATTCATATATGTAAACCAAAATTTATGAACCATCCAACCCGAGATGTGCGTTTGTGCTTCTTTGCAGGATAGTGTAGTCTGGTGAAAAGTAAATGGGAATACAATTCAACTTCCATGGAGAAATTCCCTTGAGCACAATTTTCTTGAGCATAATTTCTTCGATGCACAATTCTCGATGCACAAAAGTAGGTTACAGAGTGGAGCCTCGAGTGTAGTGGAGACGGTGATTATCTAAGTTGACTGAAGTAGCCTTTTTTGCGGTGTGTTTTTTATTAATCGCGAGAACTTCGGTCAACGCAGTTTGCCATGTTTGCCACTTCGTCAAACATGTTTGCACTAACTGGCCTCTTTCCTAGCGCGCACAGGCCACTTCCGAACATCTATATAAGATTCCCTTCCCTCCCAGTTTCCTTTCTCCTTAGCTCTCTTTGCCTATTGGTAAGATACCCCCTACATTTCCACACTCCTTTTTCTTCCTCCTCTGATCATTTGCTAACAACGTTTTCACGTACAGGCTTAGATCAAGTGTAGTATCTGTTCTTTTCAGTTTAATCTCTGAAAGATCGTCACAGACGGTCACATTGATTATACTTATTTTTGTCCTTCGGGGATGGTCCGCTGTGCTTGCGCATGATCATTCCCACAGTTTCCCTGGTATTACACTGCCTCCAGGTGAAGCGAACAACTTCTTTTCATTGCAAAATTCTGGGCTTGCCTGGATTGTGAAGAAGAGTCTTGGTTATGTTTTTGGCCTGTTTTGATTCGAGTGAGCTACGGGATTGATTTGTATAAAGTTGACTTCGTTTGGATGGCTTTGGTGGAAATCATGAATCGAGAGCTGTGTTCTCGCAGCATTTTGATTTGGCTAGAAATTTGGGGTGGAAATTGAAATACCTGAATGGAACCTGTATTCTATCTTCACTAAAGAGCTATATGAATTCTACTGTGATACCGACCCTACGAATCGTCATAAAACAATCATAATAACAGCCATTTTGGACCTTACCATTAATATGCACTGAGAACCCCATGCGCGAGATTGATACCAACACGCATCGTGAATTATATATAATTTTCAAATTGGTGATACAAGCATTGTTTATGCGCCTCGAGATTTATCATTCAAAATCTACTGGATAATCCGAGTTCTTCAAAGCAAACTTGCAAAGTAAAACCCCACCACAATACCCTCCAAAATTTCAAGCAAAATGTCCGACCTCAATGGAATGGTAGACCCAAAGATCTTTGAAGATCTACAAACCAAGATTGATGAAGATGCCGAAGTAAGAGATCAAATCAGAGCTATTTTGCAAACATTGGAGAGGCAATGTAGGAATGCCCAATCAGTTTTATCTCGAGCGCATTCAACACCAGCTTCTCACTGTGAGTCTCCAGGCCTGCTTTCTAGTTTCCGCCGTCTAATATTTCATAGTGCAGCCAGTTCTCGAGTCTGCAGAGAAAGCTATAAAAGAGGAAGCTGAGAGTATCCAAAAGCTTGCAAGCGTTGCTTCGAATTATCCATATTACAAGTATGCGCTGTGGGTTCTATGATGATAAACCTGGCTAACTGGTAAATAGATATAATGGAATCTGGACAAGAGATGTGCAGAATGTGATCTTTGCCATTCTTCTCTGCGGATGGCTTGGTGGATTGACCAAGGACGGAAAGCCTGTTGAGTCAGGAAGACTTCTCACAATTGAGGAAGTAGGAGAGATTCTTCAAGGTAATTATTTTGCACACATTTTTCATGCGAATGGCACAGCTAACAATACAACAGTTCCAGTCAATCTCAAAGATCGAGACGCTTTCCACATCAGCATCGAAGAATACCTCCTCTCCCTCATCTCCTTGATCGAAGAGCTTTCACGACTAGCTATCAATTCCGTTACTCTTGGAGATTATCAGAGACCTCTACAAATCAGTCAATTCGTTAAGGATTTACATGCGGGATTCCAGATCTTGAATTTGAAGAATGATGTTTTGAGGAGAAGAAGTGATGGTATCAAATATAATGTGAAAAAGATTGAAGACATTGTGTATGATCTTTCATTGAGAAACTTGGTGGCTAGACCCGAATCTACATCTTGAGGGCTGGATGATAGGTTGAAATATTGCAGGAAGATATTTCGATATCATGATTGAAAGCTGTTATAAAGCTAAAACTGGTCTAGATAACGTTTCAAGGGCAGAAAGAAGTGCTGAAGGATTACTCGAGATTGTGTGATGTCATGAAGGGGTTTGGACGCTCTTACAGATATTACGAGCTATGGCAAAAAGTAGAGGGTTGTTTAATCTTGCATGGTATATGGCTTCAAAATGACAAAAGCGCATTTGAATATATCTTCACAATGACGTTCCCAAACTGCTTCATGATACTTCCATTCACCAATATCAAAACTACTCTATCGGCACCCTTGCCGAAAAATGCCGACGCTAAGTGACGGAGCTCCAACTAATAACACGAAGCTTAGAATCCCAAAAATTATATCCTTCAATTGAGCAACACCAAAAAATGCCATTGATCGATCCCATCACCATGTCCGGAATTAGCCCTGTATCTGGAGATACCTCCTCCAAACCTAGATCATTTCCCGTCGAATTCCTTCCTTCCAATATAGCTCGTATTGTCACTCACGTCCAGCCAGCTATCCTTCTATCGGCATATTATTTTCGATTCTCTGCGTTGGTCGCAGATCCAATACACACACTTTTACATTCATTATTACCTGTCGCTTTATTGCAGGTAGTTTATGCAGTAGCATGTTTACCAGCTGCTGGATCAAATATGGCGAAGAAATTGAAGCCTGGAGAGAAAAGGAAGGGTGTGGAGGGCGGAGAGGTCAATCATAAAATATTCGTATGTTCATCCATTTGAATTTTTCCTCCTATGCGAGGTATCTCTCATGTAAATGAATTATTGCTAATACTTTTCTCGGATAGACAACTATATTCGCCCTCATCCTAACGGCCACCACAATCCCCGCTATCACCGCCCTCCAAATCCTCTTCGGCGCTCCCTTTACCACACATATGGAACATACACTTCTTTCCTCCGCGCATATCTCTCTCCTCGCACTCTTTCCCCTCTTCTATATCCACGGCGTGGATTCTGTTAGATGGCTCGAAATAGCTTCGTTATATGCACCGGTGGATGAAGTGTTTGGTGCAGCGCTTGGATGTGCATTAGGTGCTTGGTTGGGCGCGGTACCCATCCCGCTGGATTGGGATAGAGAGTGGCAGAAATGGCCGGTTACGGTTATTACGGGTGCGTTTGGTGGGTATGTGGTTGGGAAGTTTGTGGGGGGTTTGTCTGGGGTGAGGGGAAAGAGGATTGAGTTGGAGTAGAGGGCGTTGTTATGCTGCGTGTATGGTTTAATTTGGTATGAGGGGATGCGGCGCTTGGAATTTGCAAGATGTATAGAGAGGTTTTGGATCTTGTCGCATTTATATGGGCGTATGGAATAGAAAAGAAAAGTAAAGGAATGAAGGTTTGAAATTTGATGTCTTCTTAGCGGAAGATATGGCTCGATCAATGTGAGTTTGACTTTGATAATTGCCGTTGCATTCATTTCGAATGATTCGCATGGATATCTGATGCTCAGTATACTATTCATTGTACATAACAAAATGGTAAACCAAACATTCATACTCAACCTTTTCAGAAAATATAGTCTCTTTTCTACTCATTTCGTTATCATAACCTTATATTAGATACTAGGTATTCATGTATACAAATATTATCAAATCCCATTCCTATATCAATCTATCTTCTTAATTATCTTTTCTATTTATTTCTTCATTTATCTTTTTATCTTTTTATCTTTCTATAATCATCTCTATATCTTCTTTTAAATAAATATTTAAGTGTTTAACTTTATATTATATTTTATATATTTTTATTTATTTATTTATTCATTATTATTTATTTATCACTCTTCATCACTGATATATATAAAAATTGTATAATTGTATATTTGGATATATGATATGTGTATATATATAGAGCTTTTCTGGGGTGAGGTGCATAGGGTTGAGGATATAATGATGGTGGTGGTGGTGTGATTGGGGTAGGATGAGGGAGGTGTTGTGCTTGGAAGGGTTATTTTCATGCTGATTTTCCTGATCATGATGGTGATACTGATAGTGTTTTGTTTGAATTTGAGATTGTCAGGGAAGGTAAAGACTAGTATTTAGTTCTCTTCTCTGTTGGGTGTTGGGAAGAGAGGAAGAGGGGATTGTGGAATGAAGTTGGACAGTAGTAGGATTTTGAAATAAATTTGTTTGTTTGTATTTTTTTTGTATATAAAGAGTATATTTTACTTTTTGAAAGTTACGTTTTATTATTATTATTATTATTATTATTATTATTATTATTATTATTATTATTATTATTATTATTATTATTATTATTATATATATTTATATTTATAATATATAAAACTTTTGTTTCTAAAAATATAAAAATATATTTCTTTATAAGTTTGAAAACTATATATTAAAGACTATTAAAGTTTTTTTTATTTTTATATATTTTTATATATTTTATTAATAACTATCATTTCTTTATTAAATAATACACTTTATATACAAAGTATTTTACATTTCTTTCTCATCAATCTCTTCTTATAAAAGTTCTAGATTCCTTGTGTTTTGTTTTATTGGTGATCTTTTTCTTTTTTCTTTTCTTCTTTTTGTTGCTCCTGATTCTTCACGGTGGTTTTCCTCTTTGATTTTGAAGGATGGAGGTAGTCGTGTACTTTTTTGTGGGGGATTTGGAGATGGGATGGAGATGGGATGGTATGGTTGAGAGAATGGGGGATATCAGGAAATAGCTATGAATTTTCTCATATCACTCCTGAACGATCGAACCTCATAACTTCCTCACAGGAACACTTATAATTTCACTGTATTAAAGGGGGTCTGGAAGCGGGATATCCCCGAATATATGTATGAAAGTGTTTTTACTCGGTTTGGTTTGGTCTATTTTATTATTTCTTATCTATGCTGGGCAACTCCACCTCGATTGGAACAGTGGAGGGTAGAGGAGGTATTAAAACTTTGATGAGAAGCTATAGTTTAACCAGATTCTCTGAAAGAAAAGGAGGCCATAGTTTTGAGGAGATGAGCAGCTCTTCTCTACGGGAAACAGATAACTACTTTGCGATTGCTGTAGAGGGAGTTTGAAGTATACAATGTTATGATGAGGTTGAATTGGCTTGGGGAGAAAAATAAATGAGGAAAGTGCAGGGCATAATGGGACGAAATGAATGACAACAGGAATAAGAAGAGACCGAAGAATAACTTGAGATGGGAAGGAGGAGATTACGTACTGTTGTGTTTGAGGTATTCAAAATGCAGAGCGCGGTTGCCCTGGTACGAGTCAGTCCAAGACGAGGAAGATAGTAGTCCCTACACATTCCTGAAGAATAAACCCATTTCTTTTTCTTCTTTCAGAGTGCAAGTGTTGGGGTAATTGACACTTGAGCTAGTTTGAGGGGATTATAAATACTTTTTTGGTAGGGGTGGTGTTGGTTATTTGTTAACACCGAGATAGAGACATGACAGGATGGATATATGGATGGGAATATCTGGAAAAAATGATAGGGAGAATTTTGATACCAACACCACCGTGCAAATCCACAGACGTCGACCAGGGATTAGCAACCCCTATGATTGTGTATTTTGATGCACGGTCCTGAATGTCATCGACAGCAGTTTAACTTTGACCTCAGAAACTTACTTTCGGGAAACTCCCCGGAGTATATTGAACTTGTGCAGATGACGATGAATCTTCTCTGTCCCTGAGTTCACGAGATGGGATAAAAGGCAAGCATATAGTATTATGAGGCCGAATCACTTGACGTACTATGCTTCAAGCTCAACCCGTAAATGACTTTTTACAATTCGAGATCATCAAGAAGGGTGTCAAATTTTGAATTATCTTCAATACAAAATTCTTGCCCAAATTCTTGTCTAAATCCTTCGTCCAACACATTAGAGGTTTCATCAAAAGCTTTGCGATCGAATTTATCTCAAATAGAAAAGGAAAGTAAAAAAGACTTTTGGCAGTAAAGTATTTCTGCCATAAAGCGGTGAACAAGGATTTTTTTGGCGGCAGGAACATTTTGATATTGAAAATGCTGTAAGCAAACTTCAAATCACTTCCTCCATTCCTACATAATTTAAATTACATACGATTTCAAACAGACAAACAATCAAGCAGCAAGTAAATTCACTACTGTACAAACTAAATTATCCTACATACACTGGACAAAATGCGCATTGCACCTCTTCCTCTTTCTGCTCTACCTCTCTGGTGCAGGTCGAATAATGTAGAATTCCTCGACACTACTGTTCGCTCATCTGAAATATGTCTGCACGGAGACAATGCCAGTCCTCAAAATGGCATCAGCACTACAAGAGCATTGACCACAGTGAATACGTGTGACATCCCCACCGTACTCGACATCCCTAGTGATCTTATACTGGGTAAAGACTTTCTTTTGGAAATTGAGAAGGTAGATCACCATTTCAAGCAATTAAGAGAGTTAGTGGGGGAGAGGTCGATTAGATTAGACATTATGTTATTTTTGTTGCTACAGATCACTATTGCAAGAAACGATACGACTGCAATATGCACATCTTGTTATCAACAACAGGTAAATGTTGAAAATCCGCTCGAGACCTGGTCGTGCTGTAAGTTGATCGAAGCCATGCTGACCAACTTCATAGTTGGACTGTTACGGATTTGAGGAAACTGAAAGTGGCAATTGCCACAACTGTGACGGTTCGGAACAAGAGTGCATTTTGTCCACGGCAGTACCACAACCGGATAGAGCCTCTAACGTTGGCGTGAGGAATCCGTGGTCAGACTACGTAAGGTTTCTACCGCAGAAGGTTCCATTACCTACGATGTGGAATGACGAAGAGAGAATGCTTTTGACGGGGACGTCTTTAGAAGTATGGTAGAAGGAAACTACAGTTGCCGCTATAATACTTGCTGATGCTCGCTCAGGATTCCGTCATTAGCAAAATGGTTGTACTATCACGAGAGTTTGGAGATCTGCGTGAGAAGACCATCCAAATACCTTGGTGTCACTCGTGCTGGTGGGAAGACGGTGGACCATTTCAACCATTACTACTCTCAGACTGGGTGCGACTCGATGCTTTGTACAGATCAAGGTCTTTAGTACTTGGAAATGCTGGCGACGTGATGGTGCCTGTTCTTGACATGGCCAATCATTCATTCCAACACACCGCATTCTGGAGACAGGCATCCAATGGCAATGCCGTACTTGTTCTTGAGCAGGGTATACAATTGGACGCAGGAAGCGAAGTTACCATTAATTATGGAGCAAGAAGTGATGCCGAGAATCTCTTCAATTATGGTTTCATCGATGAAAAGATTCCATTTGCATCATTAGTATTAGGAGTGGAGCCAATGGGGACTGACCCGTTGCGCACAGCAAAAGTTGCTGCATTTCAAAAACGCCCATCCATTCGTATCATAGGCCATTCGGATGGACAAACTTCATGGGAGTGCCCATTCCTTTACCTTGCTTGCTTGAACGAGGAAGACGGCTTGGAGTTCAAAACTGTGCAACAAGTTGATGGCGAGCAATCATTGGAAGTTTTCTGGCAAGGGACAGATGTCACAGAATCTGTTGATCAATTTGAGACATTGATCAGTGGTCACAGACTGGAGGACGTTTTCAAGCTTCGAGCTACAGAATTAGTTCGAGATAGGGTCGAAGTGCAATTAGAGCGTCTTCTTGAAAGCAGACAAATAACGGAATCTTTGAGGGATGAGATGATCGACCGGGACACTCGACGCAATGCATCGGAATTGAAACGGATAGAGAGTGTCGTGCTAGAGGCGGTTTATGGGTCTCTCATTGAAGAAGTTTGTTATATTCTTTTCGGATATCTCGTTTATCGCTAACAATTCCTAGATATCGGAGCTATCCAAAATCGTTCATGTTACTCAACTTCTGCAATCAGTGCATGTCGATAGTGATGATCTCGGCCCCGAAAGCAACGAAGAGGACGATTTCAGTTGAAGTAGTCCAAATGCAGGCGCAATATTGCCCCGGAAAATACAAGCTCCCCAGTACGCTTAAGAATTATCCCGAAGATACGAACCGTTAGTCTCAGTACAAAACATAAGATAAGACGTTTTCTATCATCTGAAAAATATGATTAGTTGTCAACAACTTTGTGGAGCGTAATATATTAAGAGGAATGAAACGTGCGTAAGGATTAATATACCGGCAGGTCAAACATTCATGTGTACGAGTACCCTAGAAAGTTAAAAAAACGGAGAAGACACCACTCCTTGTACCAATCATTAGAGAAGAATTCCCAAACTTTAATTGACCAGCACCAGTTTGACTTGGGCTTAAATACTACTCTGCACTGTATTAATTAGCAATACTAGTGGAGAATTATGCGCAATAAATTCCGTCCATCACCGAGCGAAAGCAACATGAGCGCGAGTCAGAGCCTTGACCATCAACTGCGGGAACATTTCAGTGAAAAACTCAATTTCCCGCTGGCATCTCACATCCACTGGGCAGCATGAATAGCTCGATGAAGAAAGCATATGCAGTCTTGTGTAATCACCACAGCCAGACCCAGTATGGACTTGTACAGTGCCACATAAAAACCATAACGGGCGCCATAAGCGTGTATGTGCGACTATCGCATTCAGCCTGCCGATTGTTCACATTCAACCTGCCGAATTTTTAACCATTTACAGCCAGTCTCCCGTACTTAGTTGAATGATGTTCCCAAGGATGCAGACATCACATAATCTTTCCATGCAAGCTATCAAAGTGAAGGTTTAACTTCAGATGAAGGGTCAAATTGTTCACATGATGTTGCTCCACTGTCTGTCAAGTAGAGTGACCAATCCTCGGAGCTTGAGTTGCGTAGCAATTAGGCTGATCAAGATTTATGAAAAAATACATTAATAGTCCTATATTATAATATTTTATAATATTTCTTATGTCAAGAAAACTCAGCCGCTTCTTGATATCCAATATACGGACTATAGGACAGATGAAAGAAGCCTAAAATCTGAGCCATCGACATCTGAGGTTGTATTGGTGAGTAAGACCTAATTGTTAACTTCGGTCTTGGAAGAAAAATTTACGAGAAAGAGTGGAAAGGAGCGATAACGCTAACCTTAACCGAGTAACTTTTCCTGGGGTAACCGTCTACCTATCCTTAAGTAGTCTTGGAAATTGATCATTTCTACATTTTATTCCGTGCTGATTCGAGTTCAAGGTCAAGTCCTTTTCTTATCTCCGCCCGGTATGCATTTTGCTGCCGAGCCGGTTGAGATTGAGTTTAAAAAGTGGCGACCGGGCTTACAGCCATGATAGCGCAATGATCGACAAATGAATGAGCTTTGATGATATACAGGTTTGTTGTTTCCTAAAATGTTGGTTGCTAGATCTAGGGGGGGGATATGAAGGGTTGTAAGATATAAAGTGTGTAATGTGTAGGTAATGTAGACTTGCAATGTATAAATGTATACATAGGTACTAGCTATTAGCTACTGTAGAACATAAAATGTTTTACTCGGGTAAATGAAACCATGCAACTGACATAGGCATAACATCTCAAAGATTGATCTATCTTCCCAGCTCCAAGGAAACAGCCATGCTCGTTTGGCCACTTTGGTCATAGACCAAGATGAGCAAATGGTCTAATCTGTCTAATCTGTACAAAGCTGTAGGTACCGCGCGTGCTACCTTCAGATCATCCCCGCTAAAAAAGGTTCTTTTAGTGTGAGGGTTTTTGTTCCGTGGGATTTATGGATAAGCCAGTACGCTACCTAGCTAACCTTAAGCTAAGCTTTCATTTTACCCTCCAATCATACCCACTCGACATCGAATATAGTTGCTTGCTATTGGCTGGAAAAATCAATCATGTAACGGCCCCGATGATATACCTTAGCCCAGACTCCATCTCCACGCCTATCAGCTATAAGGATTCCGCCATTTCACTTGCCCTCACTCGCACGCAGCACGCAGCACACAGATACACACCCACACCTACATAACCACCATCACAACCACAACCGTTAATGCACCCCTTCGCCCACCAAACCTCTTCCTCATTATCCGAGCGAATATTTCTTCATCGAACGGCATAGAACATAGAAAAATAGAACATACCTAGCACATCACACACGCCTAGCATTCTCCACATTCTCCACTCCATTCGCCATTGGCAAATCAATCAGCTCTTATCAATTAATGTGATATAGCTATATAGCTCATCACCAACCCAATCAGTGTTACACAAACGAATTGATTCGCCCATCGCAAATCAAGATAAGCTGAAGAAACATCAGCGTTAAACAGAACGGCGTCGCCGATACAAGACGGAAAATATCTTCTCGAAGACGAAGATTGCAGTTTCCTCGTCTTCTTGAGCAATACAACATTGGGAGAAGGAAAAGGCAGATTAGACCCAAAATGCCTGGAATTTTACCTATGAAGATGATTAAGGTGGGGTCGTCGAACTCACAAAGTCGCATTGCACAAGCTTGCGATAGATGTCGAAGCAAAAAGATACGATGCGATGGTATTCGACCATGCTGTTCACAATGCTCCGGTGTCGGATTCGAATGTAAGACGAGCGATAAATTGAGTCGACGAGCATTTCCTCGAGGATAGTGAGTATAATAACTCTTTCCTCCCAAACACCTCGATGTCCAAATCTTTTATTTGGCGTTTTATGTTCTGTCATAGCCTCGGCTTCTTGGTATTCCGCAGAACACTTTTCTGCTATGGGCAATTACTGACTCCCCGTTCTTCCAGTACTGAGTCATTAGAGGAAAGAGTTCGTACATTAGAGGCAGAGATCAGGGACCTCAAGGATTTACTTGATGAGAAGGATGAGAAAATGGATATCCTTTCGAAGATGCACTCAAATCGAGGTCCTTCGATATCATCAACGTCGACCTCACCTCCCGCCGAAAGTCGAAGAGAGTCATCACCTCAAAAAGAAGATACGTTTAGGGTTCAAACCTCTTCACATTTGCTGGAAGGTGGGGATTCAGACTCATATTTTATGGGAGCATCGAGTGGTAGAGCTTTTATTGGTAAGATGTTATGAGAAACATTTTATCAACATTGTTAACATATTTTAGATCTCTTCAAGCGTAAAGTTCAAGAAAGTGGCAAGGCGATAGTAGGATTTCAGACGGAAGCATTTTTGAACCCTCAAAACGATTCAACTTCATCACCCGTGGTCACAGCGGCCCCAAATTGGGCGCCTCCGCGCCTATTCTCAGACAAATGCGTACATGTATTTTTCCAAGAATGGGCGCCATTATTTCCCGTCATACGTAAAGATACCTTTTTGCCGCTATATGAAGAATACTCATCACATCCGGAAAAAGTGAAGGATCAACATAAATTAGCACAATTACACCTTGTCTTTGCCATTGCTGGACTCTCCGCCGACCGCCCTGATATGGAACAAATATCATTGTGTGAAAGTCAATGGCGTACAGCTCTCGATTCTATATTGATGGAAAATACGATTTCCACAATCCAATGCCTGATTTTGGCCCTTCTTTATTGCATTCAAAAGGGAGACTATAATCGTTTACAGCATTACAAAGGAATTGCTGTAGGGCTTTCTCATCGACTTGGTTTACATCAAAGTCAGAAGCGATTCTGTTTTGATTCACTGACTACTGAGACAAGAAAGAGGATTTTCTGGACTTTGTACACTGTTGATTGGTAAGAACTATGCTGGCGCTTGTATCGTAAAGCTAACCCTTTGTAGTTTTTCTGCCTCCCTCGTTGGCCTGCCCAAGTTACTGAAGGAAGATGAGATTTATGCCGAGTATCCTTTGGACGCAGATGATGAACATGTGACCGAGAATGGTTATGAATCCATGCTTCCAGGGGAACCTACCAGAATATCCAGCGCTCTAGCTCTTTTTCGATGCTCGGGTATTCTTTCCAAAGTTCTGGAGCAAAATTATCCCTCAGCCGCCACTCACGATTTATCCTTGCAGTCACTCTCAGCTCTGGAGATGGAACTAGATCAATGGTCTGATAATCTACCTGCTCATCTGAAGCTTACATTTGTGCAAGGTAAGCCATCAACAGACATCACAGGTAATCGATCAGCTTTACTGGTAAGTCAAACAATAGCGTGTGGATTTTACTTTTGTTTCTAACCTAGCAACAGTCTCTTGCATATTATTATATTCGATCATTAATCCACCGTCCTGCTGTTGGTTCCACACTTGGAGCTAAAGCTTCACCATCTATAATCTCCTTGGCCGATTCCAGCAAACGTCTTATCCAGATTACGCAGCTCCTTCAAGAGAGAAATATGACATTCTCTTTTTGCCTAAACAGAAACAGCATGCTTACGCTATGTGGTTTCAGCCTTTTATATCAAGGTCTTGATCTCAAACAGGAAGGCAAGTTGATGCAAGAGAGTCAACGGCTTGTCATCACTATTATCAGATACCTGGAAAGGAGCAATGCTTCTTGTGCATCCGACTTCAAGAAACTCGCTTCCTCCTTAAATTACTTCGACAACCAAAATCTGCACGATAAAACCCAGTCGGCATTTTTACGCACCGCTTCCGCCATGTCTGCTCCAAAAGTCACGAAACCAGCAACAGCCCTATGTCTTGGTCCAAGGAAGAAGAGCCAACCACACCCATATAAGCACATAAGTGCCAGCATGAGCGAGAATGACATATTAGCGCAACAAGAGAAGCTTCGACGAGCTACGTTGCCAAATATTTTCAATCACACTTCACAAAATCAAACTTCCTCTTCTCCATCGTCCTACGAAGGGACAAGAAAAGATTCCCCGATGAATAAACGCGGGAATCGTAGTTCGCTTTCTCAACTATCCTCGCTATCGAAACCTCGATATAACACGGGCTCAAAACCTCCGAATTTGGATTATTTATCGTTGAGCAATACGCCAATTTCTTCACAACAATCTTCACCAACACTATCACGTACAGCCCCTTCGAGCGCTAGTTCCCACAACACTCACTTCATGAACAACAAAACGGATAACCATCCAAATGAATTAAGCAGCTTGGGGCTGCTACTCGGTTCTTTAGAAAATGGTCAGAGCAACATACATAGTGCAATCTATGGTGGACCAGCACCTAGTCTTCCGGAAACAAATCGAACGAATCAAGCTGCTAGCTCGAATTCACCTTATGGTGATTGGTCATCATATTCGATGTGGGACGACATGACCTCTTCAAATCATCATGATTCCTCATCAGGTTCCGGACCTGCACAGAGCGTATTTAGTTTTAGTGGCGAGAGCCATAGTTCCGCGGAGGAACTATCCAATAGTGATCTTGGGATGGGTGGGAATATGCACTTCTTACCCGACCAGACACAATCCTGTGATGATTATCTTCGTCATATGATAGATGAAGTACCTCGTTTTTATTAATGTTCTTGGCGTCATCTTTTGATCCACTCCGGGTTTTCCGAGAGGCTGGTTTCGGTTGGGTTTGCTTGTATCGGGTTTGCTTGTATCTTGGGGATACCCATATATGTTGGACATTGGCGTTCAGATATGTGGGAGGCGCATCATTACAGTTTGACAGTACCTAGTATTTACAGGCTGGCTTGGATTGGGTTGGGTTTAGAATGGTGGGTACTTTAGATATGAGAATTTATGTATTCTCTTCGTTGTCGACAACTTAGCGGCGTACTTTTAGTTTAGCGCATTTTACATTTGTAAAATTTTACTTTAGAATTAAGTCAGTTTAGCGTATTTAGATTCATAAAATTTTACTTTGAAAACAAATCACGCAGGATTTGCCTCATCTACTTTCTTTTGATACTATTTTCTCAAGTCTGCAAGTATCATGCACAATATTAGATAAGCAAAATAGAATAAGAATAATAATCATCTTTCAATTCCATCTCTGGCGATAAAAGGAATACCATTGAACTAACCAGTCTTCTCATCCATGAGACCAGCGCTCTATCTTAACACCGAATCCTAAAACTATCCTATTTCAACTAATTCTCGTATTTTCTAGTTTAACGCTACTCACATCCATCAGGGAGTAGACACCTGAACCCTCAATATAGGCACATCAAACCGAAGCAAGCACATTCCCGTGACGGCATCTCCCTTATCCCCACCACCGCATCTCCCTTATCTCCCCTCCACCAACCCTCCCACCCCAATCCACACCTACAACTTCGCTTTAACAGCCCCCGCCTGTGCCTTCTTCAAAATTGGTTCCATCTTCGTAGCCTTCATCACATCCCCCTTAACCTTCAACTTTCCCGTCATAAAAAGTCTCTGCGCATTCGCCTTTCCATTGACCAATTTGCCAAAATCCTCATCACTTAGACTTAGCGTCACAGTGGGTTTTTCTCCAGACCCCGTTCCTACTGTGCCTTCGTTTTTGAGATCGATGTGCCAGCTGGCGGTTTCTCCGGCTGAGTTTTTTAATACGAAGGCGAAGATTGCGTTGACTTGTTTTATGGCGGAGGTGCGGTCCGCGGGGGAGTTTTGGAGGGAATGCGAGATGAGGTCGAAGGCGGTGGAGGAGGGGAATGCGTCTATGGTGGAGGAGGGTTAGTGGGTTTGCGTGGATGGTGTGGATGGTGTGGATGGATGGAGTAGAGATTGTTTGTTTAGGTATGGGATATGATGGGATGTGATAGACAGCTTACCGTTTTTGAGAGACATGATTATGATTGATGAGAGATCAACGGTGAAAGGGTGAAAGGCTTCAGTATATCGATTTATTCAACTCGATTATGCGCGATAATTTCTATCGGAAGAATGATTTCCTAATATCGAACAGTTCCCAAAATCGTAAATAAGTACTCGAATTCAAATACTTCAAATAGGTTGGTAAGTACAAGTAGTTGATATATACTCCAAATGTACGGAGTAAGTAAGATCTTATTTAACACAAGACCGAAACCGACCGCAAGCAAACATTCGCTGCATGTGATAATGACCGAGGTTCGCTTGAAACAGCGCTATTCTTCTCTCAGGAAATCCGGGGGTGCACGTGCGCGTTCGTAGTGCGCCGGTGATTTTGTTCATAGAGGAGATTTCTTTTTAGAATGAATGAATGGATGAATGTCACTTTGGAGGGAGGAATCGTCTATAATAGAGTGAGTTATTTATTTATGATACTCTCATCTGATTTATAGTACGGAATTGAGATTATTAATCAGTAGATTTGGATTGAATTTTATAAAGAAATTTATTAATTTAGACCCGGATTCCAATTATAAAAAATTTGATTAGTATATAATTCTATCAAGTTTTATTAATAAGTTATTTTAATTATTTAATAAAAATTATATATATATAACTTTGAGTATTAATAAAGGTCAGGGGGTATATTTTTTTAATTTATAAATAAAGATTTTTATTTTTTATTTTAAATTAAAAAAATATTAAAGATGATTATTTTATTATTTTATTTTATATATATTTATATATATTTAAAGTTTATTTTTTAATATTATTAAGTTTTATATAAAGTTCTATTATTATGCTTTATTATTAAATTGAGTTATTATATCTTGATATTATTATTGAAAGATAAAATATTTAATTTATTAATATTATAAATAACCTCAAGAACACTTTCACTCAAGAGAATAAGATTATAATAATACGAGTCTATTTAATAAAAGCGATATTTATACTTGCTCTTGTTCTTGCTTTCATCACTATAGACTAACTTCACGGTCTATTGTTTATCGTGAAGTGGATTCATATATAAATGTATACCCCCAGATATCCAGTTCTTCTCATATCACAACCCTTCTTTCTCACATACTATATCTACTTTTATCCACCCAAACCACGGCAAAAAATACAACTGAAAGTGCAGTACGCATTCTCGTCACCATATGAACTTTCCAACTCCCACTTACTGTTCACATATATACTAATATACACAAGTAGCTAACCTTAATAACCACCCGTCTCCACAAACAAGAGCATATATATCATAATCAGACAATAATAAATAAGCTTCAAACTCTTTACAAGAACAGAAGCAGTCACTAGATCCCGTTATCCGCAAATATCAACCCAACAAAACACAGAAAACAATAAAAAAGTTCCTGACTGCCGCTAAAATATAAGATCTTACCACGCATCCTCATTTTCGCTCTGAGTTTCAAGAATCGATATTACGAATGTAGGAAGTATCCAGGAAATGATTAATTGCAATTAAGCTTATCATCAAAGAATTTAGATATTGTTACTAGAGATAGGGTGGCTTGAAATTGAGATTATTCCCCTGAATATTTGTGAACTACGATTTAAGGAAAAAAAGTAAAGTAGAAATTTAGATTCATAGGACATTAACGACTAATTAAGTAGTTAACTTTCAATCACCAAGTCAATTACTAATTAAATCAATTTTCCCTTTGCATTATCCTCTCTGCTCCATGATCGATCTCGAAAACGGCAAAAAATTTTAACTAAATCCCAAGGAACTAATACTCCATATCACGCGGAAATCAACACGAAAGTAATTAGCCCCAAGAATCTCGAAAAAAAGAAAAAAAGTAGAAAGCAGCGAGCTAGATATCAATATCAGTCATAATCATTTTAAATATTAATTCTATAAATATTATATAAACTTATTATGTAAAATATTTTACACAGCATCGAAATATGCAGTTATATATATTATATAGTATAAATAAGATATATATCCAACATACCTTTTTGCTTCATTCCCGCGGCGGTGATGTGAAATTTATAAGATGTGGTTTAAATAGCAAATGTGCTCTTAGGAAGCTAGGAGACGTCCAACAACTGCGATAAAAATCCTGTCTGAATCGGAACTGGTGAAACGAATAGCTGCGCCGAGGATTGATGTATATGATTGCATTTTTTGTCTAATACATCAACTAGTTTTATGACGGTTGCAAGAATATTGTTGATGTTGGTGTTACTCTTTACTTTATATACATCAGGGGACGATGATGTGACTATGGATGAAAGTGGGAGAAGATTGAGCGGGAAAGATGATGACTTGGGCATGACAACTCTTCGATCTTGATCTTGTTCTTGTAGTATATATGCTGAATACCTGGTACGAAATGAAAGGTTATTTGGATTATGGGAGGATCATAATTGATATAGAAAAACTTTTTCGTGAACATGGAAATTGTTTTACTTGTCGATTTGCGGGGCGGAGAAGGAGGACATCAATGAACCATTTAAAAGTAAGAAGAAATATTTGATGACTATTCTTCTTCGAAAAAGCTATCGAAACACCGTCACAGAGATGTATCATGCTGGCAATAACGGAGAGATCATGGGAAGAGTTCACTGTCTAACGAGTGATAAAACCAAAGAATAGATTAGAAACTGAATGAGATGAATTTTGAGGACTAAGAGCTGTGCGCTATAGCTATCAATGAGAAAGCGCATTTGAGAAGAATGAGTATCAAGGAAATGTGCAGTTGAACTCTATGAATACTTCAAATACATGAAAGGGCATGAACTCCTGACTCTTTCAAGTCTTCAATCATCGTAAACCTCCCAACGTGGAACATAGCTTCACCGCTCCACTGAGGAGCACAGTTTGTGACCATCCACAGTCCTCTTGGGTATAAACTGATGTATTTGCTTCTAGCATTACTTGTGCCCCAGTACGTATGCATAGTCTAGATATATCACATGCTTCATTGTCTTCACAGACCATCCCTCCAAATTCCAAGCAATTCTTCAAAAGCCAAACTATTATTGCCCACATACATCTAATGCATCCCAATCTTATCCTACCATTTGACACTCATTGGCACACCCCACTAGACATTGACAAAGTCACTTAAAAATACCAATATAATCATCGTCCTTTTATTAAAGTATGCACCAAACACTACCCCTATCCATCTTCCCGATAAATCTCACGCATTTCTGAACTGTGTTCGTTCAAACATACTATGATCTCTCCCCTTCTCTCCCCCTTCTCTCTCCCCCTCTCTCTCCCCTTCTCTCCCCCTTCTCTCTCCCCTTCTCTCTCCCTCATCCACCCCCAGGTACCTCTAGCACAACAAATCCACAGCGCAACCAACAAGAATTCATCATCATACCTAACATCACACCCGCCATCATACCCAACATCATACCAACATCATATCCAACAATAATAAAGTCCACTCAAGCCCACTCAGTACAATCTCGGTTAATCAAACTATGATCTCGAGAACAATGCAATATGTATTGGTACAGGAGAGAGAGGGAGAAGTAAATAACTTTCTTTCCTTCTTATTTGGTTGCGGGAGAGTACTTGCTGGTGTGCATGAAGGGTACTGTTAATTGTTGGAGGGTGCCTTGCTTTTAGTTTGCAGTATAGAGTATGGAAATGGAACTTTCCATGGGTCTAGAAAGCTGCAGGGTCAGGAGGTGTTAGAAGAGAGGAATATGGCAAGAAATGCATAACATTTCTCCGCAGCTATGTGAAAATTGCGATCAAACAGTCAATGAGCAAAGCAACAACTCTCAAATTACGAGCAAGTAATTTCATAGCACAATCACACATCAATATCTAGAGTAAAAATATTTTGAGAGAGCAGTAATATAGCATTGATTATTCCTACCATTGCTAAATCCCAACCCTCCTCATGATATTCTAGTCCATAGCCCAGGCATCATGGTATCATTTCTTAAATCTTAGATGTAATATGTAACCATCTATTCATCATCCTCCTCAGCATCATCACCAACAACGTTGAAGAATCTCAATTCGTAGACGCCCTTGGAGGTAGAAACCACACGAAGCCAATCTCTCAATTGGTTCTTCTTGAGGAACTTCTTGGTCCTGTTATTGCATTGGCACATTAGCAAGTATTCCGACAACCACAATTTAGTAAGAACAATTTCTGGGGTAAAACATACAAGTACTTGAGGTAATGACCAGAGTTAACAGAGGTCTCGACCTTGATGCTCTCTCCATCCTTGGTAACAGTGACCTTGTCACCGAAGTTACCCTTCAATCCATCAACCTTAAGGTTGTCTTGAAGGAACTTCTCGAAAGCAGCGGTATCGAAGATCTTGTCATTGGCAGGTTGCTTGCAGTCGATAACGAACTTTCTCTTGACAGAGGGTCCCTTCTTGTTGGCCTATTCGATAAAAAATAATAAGTTAGCCTACTGTATCACGCCGTAACTCTCCAAAAGAAAGCAGGCCAACAGCAAAGCGGTTCTTATTCATGGACGTACTTTTGGAGGCATTTTGTCTGATTTTGGATGAGGTCGCAAAGAAATGGTTATCCTACGCCGAATTGGGTGTTGTTGATGATTGAAGTAGGAACTTTGAAAAGGAAATTTTCCTCTGTGGGTTGCCAAGAGTTTGAATCGCTTAATGCTTGTGAGCTAAGCTAAATATGGACAAGCAAAGTTTTTTGTTCCTGCCTCATAAAGGAGGCATATCATAAAAGGGCTGAAGTGGATGAAGTGGAGAGGAGCGGAAGTTTAACACTCGGGATCGGAGCATGAATGAGAATCCATGAATAGTCAAATCCGTCTACTTGAAGAGCTGGAAGTTTCTATTGCGACAACGCTTGACCAACTCCATTCTACAAGTCGGTGAAGGTAAGACAACATATTCCACCCATTGTTGTATGCTCTTCCTTCCTTACTTGGCGGTCGTATAGTACACAAATACGACAAGTTCACAACACAGCACACATCAATCACAACATAAATATTTCTGGGCATTTTGAAAAAATTGTAATCGATTTTAAATTCAGTATATTATCCATCCATCGATCCCTCTGTACGATTCACCCGCGAAACCCGTATTGCACCGCAAATCCGTAGACATGCTGCCAGAAGACCCAATGAAAAAAAAAAAACCATTCCATTAAAACCCCATTTTATGAAATGCGCAAAAGATAAGTATAATCAGAAATCATGACCATCCCCAAATGATTCATACCCACGCATGCCCCATGTCCAAAACTCCCAAGCCATCATATTTTCAAGCCGAGAAATATTCTGCAGCCGAAACTTCCGATGCCAAGAGATCAATTATTCATCAAATATTTCTGAGCATGAACCGTGAGGGTGACATCTGATTTCGAGAAGGTGTGGAAAGAGACGGAAGATAGATTGGGGTATCGTTGGTCGAGGAGAGTAAAGATTTATTGTTCGTGTTGAGTTGAGGAAAGGCGTCATCATGAGGTGAAGCTTAATACTTCAGAATAATATATAAGGCGTGGATAATACCGGGGATATATCCAAGAATGGTGAGAAGGACTATGACCCGTGTTAATATTTTTGAGCGTACACCCAGAAAATGATATCTGGAGAGGCTTACTGTTAATGAGCAAATCGGCACCGCATCCTCTCTCAAGGAATACACCAATAGGTGGTAGGATGATGGCGAGAATGATCTTGCAGATATCGCTGTCATGGAATGTCAGTATTTGATTCTTTTGACATGAACTGAGGGGGGTGTAGTATGTATGATATCCGACAGAGCCGAAAAGGAACTGGGAGAATGTTTCTTACCTTGCTGTGAAAGGCATGATGTTGGATTTGATTGGTAAAAAGGTATCGAATTGAGAAGCCGATGTGTATACTGATAGATGAGTATCTTAAAAAGCAGAAAGTTCTTTGTTTTTTTGGAGAGAAGATTGGAATGTCTGTTTGCAAAGTGTAACTAATAATGGGAGAGAGGGCCTTTATGTATGAGTAGAACTTTTCGGGAACCGGGAATTCTGAATGGTACGACTTCCCGATTTTGCTTGAGTTGGAGGTACAACGTCACCAATCTAGCCAAGCTTAATCATTATTGCACCTGTTATGAACCAGCAAGGAAGACTTGGCAAATACTGAAAATAGATTAGATCACTTTGGAATTGTAATTGTGGTGAGTGTGGCCCAACCAAGAAATGAAAGAGTCAGAAAGACCAAACCGCTCTGGTCAGTAAATTATTAACCACGCTACGTCATAGCCATCTCTTTTTTCTCTCTTTCCTTCACCTGCTTTTTTAGCCATAGAACAGACATCATAGTCTCATAGGTGATAATTTATCAGCCAATCCTGCTTATAGAAAATCAAAAATTGGAATTATTGGTTATCAGTGATTCAGTGCATATCTATGAACCTGCATATTGTTACAATTGCTTAATCAACGAATGGGTTTCCTTCTTCTGTATTTTCTTTCCCAATTTTGAGACGATTCAACAAATTTATTTTGGGTAGCATTATCGCAAAGACGGAAATTTTGACTCTCTCCTTGCTACCGCATGCATCCGATTGGCTTCCATTATTTCAACTTATTTTGGCGGGGACTCTTGAGCGTGGCGGTGTTGTGGCGTTTCGGGGACGCTTCTTCATGTGATCCGATATTCTATATTTCATTCGTCCCTGTTTAATTTGCACTTTGCTAAGCCGCCGGCAAAAGAATGTGTAACCCACTACATGCGAGAGCTTGTCGACTTTATCTTATAATTACCTCGCCATTCTGATTCCAGGGTTCTTTGATTCAAAGCCACTCAGAAATGACGAGGTTGGGCTTTGTGGTTGTGCAATGCAAAGAACATCTTTCTATCTTTCTTGGCAAACGCATACAGGTGCCTTGCAAGGCTACACGAGTCAAGGTGAGTTTGATGAAAGGTATTGGAAAGGATATTCAGATATACTGCATTTGAAAAGCTCGTTTACCCGGGGCTTGGTTGGGTATTCATATAAACGGTACAGGTATCCATGGAGTCGCAATTGAAATGACAATGGGATAGTGAGAATGGTTAAGATGCATTGATTCACAATCAACGTGGACTAGGTATCTATTCCATGATCACGATAATTGTTAACATTGTTGCCATCCTAGACAGACCTCGCCTCGATTGTCGATGTCTATGCGCGAGTGCGTTTACGTATGAAGTTACGGTACTGGGTCTAGCTTCTAGCTTAGGGGCGCGAGACGGTATTTTGCACACGGACGTGGGTTTCCATCTGCCGAAGCTTGATTTCTTGAATATAAATAGAGCTTTGTTCGCTCCAAATGGAAGATATGGAGAGTTACCAGGTCAGCGTTGATATAAGAAAGCGTTGCAAGAAGGGTGGTACCTCAGAGCATCAAATTGCAAGTCAAGAAGGATAATTGGCTGAAGATCACGATTTAAGCAAAGTTTCTCATGAGAGAATAGCTACATAGTCGGGCTTGGATTTCGTGGGCAGAAACTGCATACCGATGTCAGCGCGGAGGATCATAGAAGCTATATATGGTTTGGGAATCGCACTAGATCAAGAAGAGAGTAGACATGAAGCGTGTCCCTGTTCATCAAAGCCACGGTCCGTGGAACATTGATACAGATCTGTTGAATATCGGGCCTGACCTCTTACATGTTCATCTAAACTCTAGCTGAGCTCGTGGGCATACTCAAAAGACATCCAATCTTCAAAAAGTCAAAAAGTGTAACTCGTTGACGGCCTAAAGGGCAGTTACTTTCTAAGTGTAGATTGCTAGGCACGAGTCCTTATGAATCTGTAAATATGTGCCAATGTGTAAATTGAGCAGATAATAAGTAACAAGTCTACTGATACCAGATATATGCACATGTTTTGGAGAGCTGAGTGACAATGATCTTAAGACTTCCACTTTAAGAATAATCTACTGTTTTCTGCCTCAGGTATCAACCCCGCGCCTACACAAATTTTATGTTTATGCAAGATCATCTTCAACACATCTCTCTAACCACCGCACGATATGCCACGAGATCCTCTGATCGGCCTCGTAGGCAAGCCCTCTTCAGGGAAAAGTACAACTCTAAATAGTCTTACTGATGCTTCGTCGAAAGTCGGTGAGTACATATATCCTCCATGCTATTCTATCTGACCTCAAATTACCCCTCCATACACTTACACCTCTTTCCCATATAGGCAATTTTCCGTAAGCACTCCCTCCATGAATTACATGCGCGGACTCCTAGGACTACGAATAGAAAGCTGTGGAAATCGCACAAGGGTAAAGCAAGAAGACAAAATACTGAGCCATTTCCAGATTCACAACCATCGATCCTCAACGTGCAATTGGCTACCTTCAAATCGACTGTGCCTGCGCCCGCTACAATCTTCAATCGCGCTGCAAACCCAACTATGGTTCCTGTATAGATGGGCGTCGCTCTGTTCCCATCGAACTCCTCGATGTAGCCGGTCTCGTTCCAGGCGCCCATGAAGGAAAAGGTCTTGGAAATAAGTTTCTCGACGATTTACGCCATGCAGATGCGCTCATTCACGTCGTCGACGTAAGTGGTACTACTGATGCGGAAGGCAAAGCAACAAGAGGTTATGATCCTAGTTATGATATCGTGTGGTTGCGCTCGGAGATTGTAGCATGGATTCGAGGAAACTTGATGCAGAAATGGGGATCGGTAAAACGGAGACATGTAGCTGTGAAAGCTACAGCTGTCGAGACATTACAGGGGCAGTTTTCCGGATACGGAAGTACAAGTTCGGTGGTTGCGAGGACGTTGGATAAATTGGGGTTGAAGGAACCGTTGGAACATTGGTCTGATGAGACGATTGATTTGGTAGTGAATGCTTTTACGGATGAGAAATTTCCGACGGTCATTGCTCTTAATAAAATCGATCATGCGGATGCGGATAAGAATATTAGCAAGATTGCGAAGATGCAGGATCCAAAGAGTATTGTGTTGTGTAGTGCTATTTCGGAGGTTTTCCTGAGGAGGTTGGCTAAACAGGGTTTTGTCAGGTATACAGAGGGAAGTGAGTTTGTGGATACGAGGGATGATTTGATCGCCGACGGTGATGAGACCGGTGGAGGTCTAAAAGAATTGGACGAGAAGCTCAAAACGAGAATTGAGAATCTAAAGGACATGGTTCTTTACAGATTTGGAAGTACGGGAGTAGTTCAAGTACTCTCTCGAGCAGCAGAATTACTAGGTTTAGTACCAGTATTTCCTGTAAGGAACGTAGGAAGTCTAATAGCGGGAAGTGGTGGTTCTGGAAGTGAGAAGGTGTTTAGGGATTGTGTATTGGTTAAAAAAAACACTACAGTCGCGGAGTGCGCAAGGAAAGTTATGGGAGATGCTCCTTTAGCTTATGTCGAAGGAGCTGGTGGAGTGAGAGTTTCGGAAGATGCTATTGTTTCTGTTGGTCATAATGATGTGCGTATACTTTCCCTTTCTTTTTACATTCAAAATTTGACACTAATGATTATCAGATCCTTTCCTTCAGAGTTGGTAGAGCATGAAAGCTGGCAGCTTTCATCTCAAAATGCATGTATGTTACGGGTCTGGCGTTTTAGGGAGAAGGAATCAGCATAGCAAATGGCGTTCGTGAGGTATTATAAAACCTTAAATATATTGGGACTTTACTCGAGTCATTTCTGTTCAACACGTGCACCCCATTTCTCTTTCATTCCTTGTATATATCACTGATCATTGCGGTCAGCTTTTACAACACACCCCCTACAGTGATATCCGCTCTAACTAACTTATTTTTAACTCCCAGTGCTCAGCCACTAACAATACCACAATCTTGAAATACCTGAATGAAATCATCAGCCACATTTGCCACGGTTCATCGCTAAAACGAGGACTAGCAGTACCCCACGTTGTCGATCCCCCTAAAATTGTGACGCCATCGAATACTAGTTGACGTCTCCAATACCGGTGCCAAGTAGCCACTAATGCATAAATGAACGATTAGCTAAGGGGAAGAACTCTTGATCTAAGCGTTCCAGAGCTATTCCAAGCTATTACTTAGTTGTTCTCGCTACCTATTTCTCGCACAATCCTATTTCTCTTTTCTTGTTTTCTATCCTACTTTTTACTCTACAATTCTTTAATACTTTTACAACTATCAAATTATTTGCATCTGCAGACACATATATCAATATACACCTCAATTCGTTAATCCTAGTTTTCAACACTTTATCATCATCACATCATCACATCACACCTCTCAAACATCCAAAACGATGGCTCCAGCTCTATCTACCTCTCCCTGCTCCCGCATCCGCCACCTAACTCCCAACCCACGTCTCCACCTCCAATTCCACCGCTTACCCTCCCCAACCCACCAACCCCAACTCCCACACCAAACTCCCCAGGGCACCCAACCGTCCATCCCCTCACGACCCCGCTCCTTCTCAACCGGCACGCACTACCGAACCCCATGGCCCGGCACCCCTCCCTCCGAAAACGCAGGCACAGACAAGCCTACCGAAAAATACCAAGTCGAACACGACGAGTCGCAGAAAGCGAAGCAGGAAAAAGCAAAAGGGGATAGTGGGAGTGCGGGGTTAGAAGGGGAACCGGTGGATCAGACGAAGGAGGCGAAGAAGAAGGTGAAGGTGGAGTTTCCGAAGGCGGCGAAGCAGGGTCCTATTATTGGGATGGAGGATGAGAGGGGTGGGGTGAGTTGTTTCTTTTTGTTTTCTTGCTGATGGGATGGGATGTATGCAGGAGGATGTGGGAGTATGATAAAAATGGGAATGGGAATGTTGGCTAATGTTATGTGTGTGAATAGAAAGGTGCTTAAGGTTTGAGAAATGATGGAATACTTGTGGTACAGTGCGCGCATAACGGTCAACAAAAAGGCGTCTATCTTGAAGTAACGATCGGACATGTGTGTAAGCTGATTGATCAAAACACTACTTGGGCTTATCACCTTGAAATCAAAACAACGTATTCCATGTACTCAAACAAAAATAAGTAGATATAAATCAAAATATCTGATCTATTACTCTTCCTAAAATTACTCGTTTTTCTTTAATTTATACATTACATCAACCACAATATCAACATCAATACTCACTCCTCTCTATAATTTCTCACCAATCAATAAAGAGAGTACTCTAGCATTTTTCCAGAGATAACAATCCTAATCCATCGAGTACATTACCGTAGACCAAAATCCCCAATTATACCCCACACCGCACTAGAAATGAACTCAAGATATATAACATAAAGAGACTTGCATAATACCAGTTTCCATACCCATGTCTATGTCCATGTCCACTATATCTATAAATCCTCACCCCACTCGCATCTATGAATATATATAAATATAAATATATATCTCCAAGGCCAATACTCGGGCTAGTCTTTAAAAAGGGCCGGGGGCTTAGCGAAGTATATTTTTATATTAAAAATCATCTATTTCAAAAAGATTTATAAATTCAATAAATAATTATATATAATTCAAATTCTAAAAATTAAATAGATATTTATTAAATATTTGATACCTTATAAATTTTTAATTTTCATATATTAAAATAGACTTTGAAAATCTAAAATATATTAAAAATTAATAAAAAAAAAATTATGATTTTTAATAATATATATTATAATAAAAAAGACTTACTTCAAAAGTTTCTTTCATGAGAAGGGCAGATGGATATAATATATGTAGAATTGTAATTTATAAAGGATTAAAAAAAAAGAGGCTTTGAGAGGTGGGGGGGAAGGGTTAGATTGTGGCTTCGTGGATATATGACGGAGCATCGTTAACTAGTTTAGATGATAGTTCTAGCTCAGTTCATCTAGGGGCTTGGATTTGTATCGTGTGGAGGGATGAATGTATAAATAGATAAATATTTCATATATACATATACAAGAACATGGGCATGAACATGGATATATTGGAATTAATATCCAAGTATTTCTTTATTTATTTCTTCTTTTCTTTCACGAGTACATTGACAAAAACACAAATTGTAATATCAGGAAATCCAATTTTCTATATTTTCCCAATATTTCCTCGTCGAAGTATTCTATATTTATTATTAAGAATATATTTTCCAGTCGTGTAGCCTTGCTAGGATAAAGAAGTAGAGAGTTCCATCCATACTCAGAACAGAGAAGGTTCATTTTCGAGAGAGCCAAGAACCCAGATGCACCGGTTGGAAGCTTAGCTATCTCGAGCGTGCTTGGAAGGAACTAAGTCGAGAGTCCATGTAGTTCCTCCAAGTAGTGAACCGTTTCATCTTCTATCTCCACGGGATGAGATCCAAATGCCCTGCTGAGTTCTTTAGTGCTAATGGCTCATATATAACTATGCAAAGTGACATAGTTATCAAACTCTTTCCATCCAGCCCCGTAAATCATACTATGAGTTTCATGAGCATTCTAGCCCTCCACGCTCACCACTAACAACACCGAGAAATCAGTCGAACTCGAAATACTAGTCCTTCTCCACTCCTCCATTTGGATTTCCGAGTGGTAGCATAGCAATGGGAAACGATACTCCGTATAAAAGTCTTTCTTCCAAAATGCGGATGCCGAGAACAGGGGTATAAAATGACAAGACTTAACGAATGTGCGTTGGTGCTACCCAAATATGATGCAGTGCAGTGCAGAGCCGCGTTCGCCCAGAGCCGAGATAATAGGAGAAAAAGAAGCGCATAAACGACCAACCAGCCTCGTTGCCCTGTATAAGAACCCTCTAGATCTGAAAACACGTAGAGAATCTGCAATACTTGTAACCAGCGTTATCAAGATTGATGGAGAAAGTCCCGACAACGGCTCCGATTCCATAACCTGAGCAAACTTGCCGTAATAGTACAAGCTAAACCCAAACACCCATCATATATTTCCACACAAGTAAACTTCTACAATTATGATGGGTTGCAATCTGTAGAAGTTGGGTCGCATGGGGAAGAGTTTGTCTTGTAAGTCACGGCAAAAGGAGGACATCCCTCTGCTACCAAAGCAGCGATCCAAGCCATGATCATCTGATCATTATCGTATCTTTGATCTGGATCGAGCGAAAGATCCGAAGGTGCAGAAGACATTGTTGTCGAATCTCCGAAAAGAAAAAAAGACTAAAAAAATGATGTCCGTTATTCAACAAATATAAAAAATATAGGGATATGACCCAAAAAATAAACATGTAAAAGATGATAATAACGATATAAAATTACCTCTTCCAATAATAACACAAGAAGAATCACCAACAACCAAAAAAATTATCAATCAGGGTCGATCAAAACCTTAAATGTGGCTAAACTTAAAAACCAAACCTTAAAATTTGAATGCCGATCAAATAGCATATTATATTATAATTCCAGCGAACCATGTCGTTGTATATATAAGGAGAGATATAGACATCATCGTGGAACGAGGCACATGAAGCTTGTGATGTGGGGAATCCGGTGGAACATCTTTCGCGAGATTTCGAGAAATTTCTACGCAGGGAGCAGACGACGACGTCGATGCGCATGCTCCAACTTTTGGCTCCACGAAATAAGCCACAACGCAATAATTGTCCTTATACTCCGTATACAAAGTTGGAATCATGCATTTCCAAGGAAGATGGTGATGGCTCACCAAAAATACTGGGAAGAGTGGTTTGATCGGGACGGTGAGGACTTATGAGCAAGGTTTGTACGGCACGTGGTTTGACCCCACTGAATTTCATTAAAAGGGTGTGGTTATATATATATATTGATACTGTATAATGATTTAAACTTCGTCATCGCCAGCGAACCTTTGGAATTTCCTGTTGCTCATGTCGAGACCCGGGAAATGAAATTCCTTCGAATATAGAGATATGAAAAGAAGAGAAGAAACGGCCTCGATAGTAACATAACCATTGGGACATCGATCATGTGACCATGAACAGAGCTGTACTGGCTAGCGAGATGCTAGGCCTCGAAGCTCTTATTTACAAGTTCACCAGTTCTGGTTTTCAGTATATATAGAATAGAATCAGTCAAAAGCAATTACAAATAGGATAAAGTAATTTACAATTTCAACACCACCAAATTGGTACCAACATTAATCTGTCTGTTCCATGGGCAACATTTGCTAGTATTTTCTCCAGGTCTCAAAGGAAAGGAGAGAAGCTCACTAAACAGTCATATACCTACCGGGTTGACCTATACTCACAACTCAGTAACGGATTGCAATCGCATTATCACCAGGGAATACAAAGAAAGAAGTGATTTAAACGTTTTATTAAGTACTCATATCAATGTGCTGAAGTGTTTCCCCTATGCTATTTACAATCGCTTCCGGCCAAATTCTAGTTCCAAAACGGCAATCTCGGCAATATCAAGGTTCTATATGCCCCATGAGACTTTGATGAGAGAAGGGGTCACAGCCCATTGTACAACCCTGATCAAAATCTCACAGTCGTAGTTCCCCACCCACAAAGGGATGTTATCAATCGACAAAATGCGCAAAGCAACTTGAAAAGGCCGGTGCCAATCAATAATATGCCTATAAGTACTCCGCCCTTCCTTTCCATCAATTTTGAGAAAGTGAAAAACAGCAAAAGCGAAATCGCAATATAAAAACAATCATAAACTTCTTTTTCCCGGGTCCACGCTATGCAACGCAAACGCCAAACTTATTTCCATGAACATGCCATCATTTCTTGCTGAAAAAAGTGTGATATAAGGTGAAATGAGTTGATCATCAACTGTTATTGACCTTGTTATCCTCCAAACACTTAGCCAGCTCTTCCGCCAATTCATTTCCCTTTACTTGAAGGACCCAGCTTTGCAAACCCTTCCCATCATCACCGACTGTCATAAGCTTGATGGTCTTGCCGCTAGCTTCATACTTGACCTGCGAAAGAAGTGATTTGTTGAGTATAATAGATCCAGATGGATCACTTCGCAAAAGAATTCGAGTAGCTTTCGTTTCTTTGTGACGAAGTACCTTCAATGGCCCCACGCCTTTAGTGTCCCATGGAGATTTCTCGTCGCCTTCCTCCCTTGGAGTGAACTTCAAAGCCCTAGTCCGAACAGAGTGGATGACATCCTCATTTTCCTCGCCTGGATTAGATTCCAAGAGGTTCACCTGAGCATGGACTTTTTCCGGATCATTGTCATCGGCATCAGTGGCACCCTCGGTGGTTGCACCGGGTGAAGTAGCTCGAGAAGTATTTGCGGAGGCTGCCACAGAAGGAAATAGAGAAGATGTAGCAGACGGAGGACCACCAAACTGAAATCCTGTAGTAGTGGCAGGTCCATTAGAGAGAACAGGGGTCGATGCTCCAGAATTACCAAACAATCCGCCGAATGGGCTGTTTACGGGCTTTGTTGGAGTAGAAGCAGTGAAGTTAAATGTTGGGGCGGCAGGGGCAGAAGGTGGAGTACTACCAAATTTAATTGGTGTATCTGGCTTCCAAGTTTTATCTGCTGGAGTATCAGAAGTTGCTCCGAAAGAGCTACCGAACATATTCGTGGATGGCTTTGGTGCCGACTTCTCGTTCTCGTCTGACACAGGATCTCTAGTCATACGGCTGAGAAGACTTCCACCAGCGCCAGGAGTGGGCGTAGTTGCACCAGAGCTAGCAGTTGAGCCAATTTTTTTTAGCTTTGGTGGCTCAGTAACTGCTTTTTTGGAGGCAATGCTAGAAGCAGACTCGTCAACGTGAGCACTAGGTGTACTTAAAGTGCCGTCGCTTGTATTTGGTTTATAGCTTGGATCCTTCTTTTCACTTCCGCCGTCAGAGCCATCATCAGAACTTTCATCATCTCCGTCATTTTGATTATTTGAGTCCGCATCGGAAAGATGTGCAAAGGGGTTGCCGGCAAATGAAGATGTCTTTGCAGCACCGCCAAGGACGGATCCGGTGCCAGAGAACAAGCTGGGAGTGGATGTTCCTGATGCGTTTGCTGAACTGAAGATACTCTCAGCAGCTCCAGTGGTAGATTTAGCTTGTCCAAACAATGGCGTAGAAGTAGTATTGGCGAATGGTGCAAATACATTTGTAGCTGTTGGCTTCGCAGTTTCTTTTGCTTCAACGGACTTTGTAGTTCCAGTGGATTTGACGAGGAAATTAGGAGCCTTATTCTTTGCAAGCTCCTCCAATTCTTTGAGCTCCGCAGCTCTCTTCTTTTTGTAATTGGCCTCCCATTCGGCCTCATCGTCATCCTCGGAATCGAAGTCGGCGTCCTTAGCTTTTTGCATTAACAACTTCTCGTTATCTTCTGCACTTTCAGCAGCTTTTTGGCCAAATTGGGCCATGAAGTTGACAGGTCCGCTTCCGAAAGTTGGTGGTTTAACACCACCAGTAGGAGCACCAGCGAAGGTAGGCGGTTTGATACCACCATTTGGAGCACCTGAAAAGGTAGGCGGTTTAATACCATCAGTTGGAGTACTTGGAAAGGTAGGTGGCTTAATGCCACCAACAGGAGTACCAGAAAAGGCAGGCGGCTTAACACCGCTAGTGCTAGCAAAGATGGGTGGTTTGGTTGGAGACGTGGTAGGTGTGGTGGAGGTAGGCGTAAATTTGAAGGCTGGAGGTTTGCTGGGTGTAGTAGAGGTTGTGCCGGTATTAGATTTAATGGGAGAAGCACCTGCCAGATTTCCAAATGGATTGGCAGTAGGTGCCTCTGCTGGAACAGACACGGCTTCCTTAGCAGCTCCAGGCAATGCCCGCGTCTTTCTCTCCGGGCTGTCCAAAATATTCTTGAACATGTTAGAAGTGCTTGAACTAGAACCATTAAGTATTCTCTTGTTACTGTTCTTGCCATCTTCAATTCCTTCAGGATCATTTTGAGTCAAATAGACCTCGGGCTTTCTCTTCTTGCTGCTACCACTTTCAGCTACCTCGTTTCGACTTGGCTGCTCAGGCTTTCTCTTCTTATGTCCCCCACTTTCACCATCACCCGATTCCAGCTGAGTCTCATTCTTTCTCTTCTTATTTGAAGTTGGTTCCGAAGCCGCGCTTCTAGAAGGTGATCTACTTCGGCTAGACGAACGGCCAGGCAGAAGTTTTGGTGCTCTTAGCATCGAGTTGCCATTGAGGTCAGACTCGGGCTCATTTGTCGCACGTGAGCGTTTATCAGGGCTCCGAGTACTTCGCGGGCGCTTTTCAGGGCTCGGTACACGATGTGGGCGTTCTTTGTCTTGTCTGATTCGCTTCTGAGGACTCATGTTTTCTTGGTTCTCGTCGTTCTCAAGACCAGCTTGTGGTCTACCTCGCTTGTTTGAAATGTAATCAATCTTATGTTCTGCGAGAATCTCTTTCTTTTTAGCCTCCATCCACGCCAGTCCCTTCGATGGGTCCGCGCCAGGCGGCAGATGATGGAAGTAGGCTGCCATTGCCCTCTGCACAGATGCGATACGCCAAAGTGCCTTGAATTCGTTTCTTTGCACTGTATCAAAGCTGGGAGGCATATTTCTCTCCATTTCCAAGTCCGTAGGTTCAGAAACTTGAAACTCAAAATCGGACAATCTACCAGGAGCAAGTGGTTTATTATCAGGAGGTGGGACTTGCGAGGATGCATTTGTAGGGGCGTTCAGAGCGAGCGAGTTGCAAACAGAAGCGTTGCCCGGTGATTCGTCCGAGGCTTGCATGCCTTGGGCTTGAGAAGGAAAGCTACCAAGCGCGGTGTTTGGTGGCTGATGTGCCGCGTCTGCAGAAGCATCGACTGGTTTAAAAATAGAAGAAGCGTTATTTTGACCAGATGCATCAGCACTACCACGAATTTTGAATGAAGATGCAGCTTGGCCGTCGGATGGGGCGGCGAACTTTGACAGATTAGCATTCTTCCTGTCGTCAATTGGGGAGTCGGAAAAGTCACTTACAGATTGTTCCTTGGTGGCACCGCCGAGCTGATATTCTGCCGAGGAATTTGCCTTACCAAAGCCTGCGAAAAGAGCATTTGGTGTCTTTGCTGGAGTCTTTTCCATCGTATTGTCCATTGCATTCTGCTCAGAGTGTTGTTGCCCGACGGGTTTGTTGAAAAGATTGAGAGTTTGCTTGTCCTTTGGCTCTTCTGCAGATTTTGATCCAAACAAATTATTGTTTTGGCCATTGCTCTGATTGTTACGGTTAAAGAGATCTGCAGTTGATTCCGCAGGTTTGTTGAAGCCAGTGAAAGTTGATACAGGAGTAGGTGCTGATGCGGGTTTGGCAAATATATTTGATGTGCCTGAAGAAGCTGGAGTTGGGTCAGTAGGCTTGGAACCACCAAAAATGGGTTTGCCCGGCGCGGATGGCGCCGGATCGACAGGCTTAAGGCCACCAAAAAATGAAGTGCTTGCAGCAGAAGGATTCGATTCTGTAGGCTTGAAACCACCGAATAGTGAAGTGCTCGGAGCCGATGAAGTTGAATCGGCAGGCTTACTAAGGCTACCAAAAAGTGGAGCAGTCACAGCAGATGTAGTAGATTCGGCAGGCTTAGCAGCACCAAAAAGTGGAGTGGTTGAAGCAGTGGCAGGAGGGAATGATGAATTAGCATTGCTAAACAAATTTGTAGTGCTTGGTGCAGAGGCAGTAGGGAATGAAGAAGCGGCACTTCCAAACATGTTCGTGGTGCTTGGAGCGGATGTGGTTGCCAGGAACGACGAGGTGAAAACATTCGAGGAAGGCGGAGCAGAGGTCGCTGCCGTCATGTTGCCGAACAGGCTCTGGGAGTTTTGAGCGGCAGCATTGGTAGAATTGAGACCAGTAAAGCTGGTGTTGGCTTGGTTTGCGAAGGAGCCACCAAAGGAACCACCAAAAGAGTTATTTTGAGCAACAAAAGAATTGTTGGTATTATTCTGTCCGAAGGAGGTATTTGCATCGTCCTGTACAAAATGAAGTGGGTTAGCACGGTGGGCCGCTAGCAAAGGTGTGTTGCCAAGGATGGAGCTAGTTGCTGTTGTCACTGATAGACCTTCAGAATAGCTGATATTGGCGGCCAATGCTAATTGACCTATTGGGTACTGAATCTGGGAACTTTGTGCTGGCGCTTGCCCAGCATCTCCGGGATATTCGACTTTGGAGTCTCCAAACATGTTTGAGCTATCTCCGTTCGTGTGAAAGAACTGTTGGTCAAAAATTGGATTGTCGAAATGATTAGTAGGGAAAGTTGTTGAACAAGAGAAATTGGAATTAACAGGAACAGAAGAAGGAGCAAGGTCGAAACTGAAATTACCAAGAACGGAAAAAGATGAAGAAGGGTCGCAATTAAAATTACTTGCTTTTTTATTTTCATTGGTGAAAGGATTTTGCGTTTTCGAAGTTGAATTTGCGCCAAAACCCAGAGAACTTTCTGCCTGACCAGAATTCGTCGCACCAAAATTGAAAGCTGGAGTGCTATTGTTCGTTGGGGTTTGTGATGAGGAACCGAACGCAAATGTAGAATTGCTACTGTTGTTTGTTGCTTGTGATGGTGTATAATTGAAGCCACCGAAAATTGAACTTTCTGTTTGATTCTGCGATGTTGACGTTCCAAATTGTAATCCACCTCCATTTGGCTGTGTCGCGTTTGCTGCACCGAACAGACTTGGTGCTTGTGTATTATTCGACGCGTCTAGGGTATTTGACTGTTGTTGGTTTTGATGGTATGGGGAATGAGAAGCAAACAAGGCCTCTTCATTTCCACCACCCGATCTGAATCCACCGCTGAACACCTTTTCCTTTCGCAAAGCTTCTTCACCTGTAGTATCTGCCCGGGGGTCTTCGTTGGTGGGTGCAGCAAATTGATTGGATGTTGAGTTTCCAAATGAAGGAGTGAAAGTTGGTGTTCCGGATGGCGCTGCGAAGTTGAATGAACCAGGAGCAGATATACTTCCACCGAATAGACCACCGCCACCTCCTCCACCAACGCCAGCATTATTATTAGGGTTGTTATTTTGCACGGGCGCGAAGCCAGCTTTCTGGTTATTCAACCTGCCTTTAGGTTTTGCTTTGATACTACGGGCCGCCAGCTGAGCAGCATTTGCTTGTTTCGGTGAGTCCATCGCGATGGTATGGCTGGCTGTTGTGTGTCTGAATGACGCGACCTGGTGGCTGACAGGACCGAGAATCAACGATTACAATGATTGTCGCGTCCTCTCAGATGAAGTCGATGAATCTTGATCACTATGGAAACAAGATCATGGAAATGGATGTCATATCAATGCGCGCAAATTCGAGATGAAGAAGTCGAAATCAAGATGAGTATTTAGGGATGTTGCAGGAGAAAGGTATGGAGTCAACTGCAAAGACTTGAAGTAATTTGTCGTCCTAAGATTTTGATATTGTTCGAACCTTATATGGGAAGAATCTGTTTATGGCCGAGCTTTTATAGTAATGATCGAAATGTTTGTTGATAGAATGGGAATGGAACAGAAGATACACGAGCTGTAAAGAGAATGGGGTTAATAGGTAAATAAATAAATTTACTGAAAGTGGTTGAGGTGAGAGAAATGTTTTGACTCCCGAGGCATCAGGCATCAATAACACAAAGTCACGCGACGATGCAGTCAATAAGGTTAACCGGATCCAATGAATGACACGTACGACACAGATGCACGAAGATTCTGCCACAATAATAACCCTAATTACCGTAGGACTGTCCTACTTGTTTGTGTCCTACGGTAATAATCCTCAATGTACACCCATTGAGGCATTAGAAACCTACTCCGTACAAAATGAGTGGCATGAAATCGATCAGCTGGATCACTGGGGATCCAATGATCTCAATAGTGGAGGTATGGGCAAATGGCTGAACGATTGTGTCCATGCATTTGCATTGCATAGTGGAGATGACTGACCCGATATCGATGCGGGCATTGCAATTGAGATTTACCTATCTTCTTCCTGTGTGGCACGAGCAAGAAGAAACATCCATCTTGTGTCGAACAAGTAGGGCGATGAAGATGTTACTTTAGGATATTGCACAAGGAATTTGATGAAATGGCTCAGGATTGTTTTCTCTTTAACGGGACTTGTTGCCACGGCAAAACTAGTTGAGGTTCTGTTGTCGTCGCTTTGGTACAGTTTATCCTTTTGCGCGTTTGCTCAACTGCTTTTATCTTTTATGACATTTTGATTCTGGGTACCTTTCATTTTCTCTACCATTTTTCGCCCGGCTATCTCTCAGCCTTTTGAGTGCTTTTATCTATCTGCTTTACTCCATTCACTGTTACAACGTCAGCCACCTCCATCCCTGCAACCTGGAAGAGAGTAACAGCCCCAAGAGTACAATTGCAGTTCTGTTGCTTTTCATGTTGAATACCACGATCATTCTCGTTATTTTCACAATTGCAAATACTGTCATTCTTGTTTACACGTATTTTAATGGCGATTTCAATCTCTTGTTTCATAACTTTAAAGACAAGTGTCTTTCTGGTGCCTGGGAAAGCTGGCCTCCGTGGTAGCGTTGGATTTTCGACACAGACGACTTGTGAGGCATATAACAGAAGCAAGATGCTTTCGACTTTTTTCCGTGTACTAACCTATTCGATGTATTACTTTTTCAAGATTATCCCTCTGTGAGAGGCTGTTAATTATGGTCCGGATTCAAGGGATACATTACACGTATTTATCTTCCGCCATTCTTGTTCACGAGAAGATTTCAACTCTGTATCTCTGTAGCTTCGTAAGAGAACGCTTGACTCTTGACAAGCCAGGCTTCTATTCTCCAAGCGGCTTCATTAGCAGAAAATCGGAACACGACAATAGAAACAGTAAAGTTTGTCATGCCCTCTCGTCAAATGTTAAGTGGGAGTGAATATCTTGGCTCTACGGAAACTTTGCTTTACACTGGTTCAAGGCAACCAAGCAATAATTAATTGTGCTGATTTGAGAGTCATATTTGACCTTCCAAATCCACAAGCATTGTATCTCCATCCAATATCGACGTTGAGATAGCGAAGGCTTTTCGGCCTAGATCAATTGCTGATTTGATGTGAAATGCGACCACTGTTGACACGAGCATATAAGTCTAGTACCCTACTTTCGGACCACCCTTTTGCACCAAAAATAATGATTTTCAGCTATTAATAATTTCGTAACCAATCGATAGAATTTGATGATATTTGAATTATAGATTCATTATATAATTAATAAATTCTGAAGATTTCAGATTTTTCACAATTTTATTGATTGAGAATTTGAAAATTGAAATTGTTACGGATCTTGTATAAAGACGATCATGTGATTTCAATTCCTATCGGTGAGCTGATAGTCTGTGTATATCTGATCAGATTTACTCTTTTTAGTATAGGATTATAGTCATTCTACGATAGAGTGTGGACAATCATATAGCTACTGTATAGGTATTTGGTATATATATATAGATACTTCTTACAAGTTATAATTCTTCAGTTGTAGATCCTAAAGAATATAATTAACTTTGTTTATTTAGCTCTTATATGTCACGGACCTTGTATAAAGGACGATCACGTGATTCCAATTGATCGACAATTCCTATCGGTGAGCTGATAATCTGTATACACTTTTCCAAATTTACCCTTTTTAGTATAGCATTATGATCATCTTAAGGCAGATTGCACACAACCATGCAGCTATTGTATAGGTATTTTGTATATATATAAGGATGCTCCCTATGAGCCATAGTTCTTCAGTTGTAGATTCTAAGGAATATAATTGACCCTGTTTATTCAGCTCTTATGAGGCTCTTGTACGTCACAGAAAATACCTTTCAGATTTGCATAATCGCGGCTCTCTCAAGAAGATCTAAATATTCCTACTTTCAGAGGAGTATTAGGGGAATAAGATACCGATATATCTACGAAAAAAATCAATTAATTATTACCAATCTGTCAATATAGCGGCTGTGGACATTTCAGGGAGACTATTGTTTTCTACAAGTCTCCCTGACACTCGAATTTCCAGTTAAAAGTTGTAAATTCTCTTGACCGTTGGTCTCTGAAGTAAAGTGCTGCAGATCTTATTAGGACTGGTTCTTTGCATGGCTTTTTCTAGTAAGGGCGCGCTCGGTTGGGGGGTTTTTTGAGATATTTGATCACATTTACCTCAATATATTAATCTCACTTAAATATACTCAAATATATATTAACATTTTTATTATATTCAATATTTTTAATATTTCAGAAAATCAATGCCAATAAGCTTTAATATTACAATATTAAATAAGTTTAAATTTTTTTAATTTATTTTTTATTATATCCAAAGGGCTTATATTTATTTATTATAAAGAATGTTCTATTATCAGACAAGTATGGCGTATATAACCGATCAGAAGACGTTCACGATATCAGCCCGTCAATTGAGGGCAAGAAGCTCATTGCTCGCTGACTGACTGGCTGATCTTGTGTTTTTCTGCCTTAGTCATATTAACACAAGGAATCAGTGCAGGAGATCGAAGAGCACGGGATCCAGGGGACAGACAAGTGCAAAATAAGGCAATGTAGAATAATAGCATGAGTATAATGAGCGTTTGTAAGACTAAATCTGTCGTTAAATATGCCGTGACCCTTAAATATGCAAGAGAGTCCATGTTGAAATCCCAAAAGCACTTGACTTGAATACTACATGATACTCATACCAAAGTATCATGACTACCTCCCCGCTATATCCCTCATCCCAACAATCTAGACATAGATTCAGTTAGGTTCCCATAATCTTGATATAATCTTGGTATCCCCATTGATCTCAAAGACCTTCACACTTTTTCTTCAAATCCGTATTATACTTCTCAAACCAGCCTTTAATAGGCTTTCCCATAAGCCAAGGCTGCATCAAGAACGAAACGCCTCCAGAATATACCTCCGTCTGTGTAAATGTCGTTCCGCCAGGGTTACTCTTACTCGGTTCAATGAGGAAGGAATGGAGACCAGAGACTATCATGACGGGCGGACCTTGCCATGCAAACTTGTTTGGGGAATTTTCCTATATCGAAAAGAAAGATTAATCTAGAATTCGACTGTGTTGCTGGCAGTATCTAATGCTGCAATATATTGTATATGCAATGATAAAAGATTATAATTACTTACGGTAATGATGGAATCAAATTCAAAGTCTTCCATTTCACAATGAAGTTTCTTTCCTATGGCAAGGGGATCGCTGGTGTCTAATGGTGTAATGCTCTTGATGAGTCCTTTATGCCATTTACTGACGATAGGGAAGTCCAAAAGCTGAGATTCTGGGAGTTAGCGTTGATCATGATTTGTGCTACGGCTGTTATAACTGACTACTTTCCGCACGGTTTCTGGAGAAGCATTGATCTCAACTTGTGTTGTAATCATTTTGACTTAACTTGAAGATGAAGACTGGATTTCGAAAATAGACTGCGGGAAATTGGGCTGTTCAAGTTCGATGTCAATGTTGATGTTAATTCATGTGGTGCTGGTATCTGCCTACCCACCTGTAGCTATACCCTGCATGTGTAAGGTGCACTTCTCTGACATTACATCATGCTCACCTCACCTACCCTCCAATCGTGCTATTTTGATTTTGTTGCAACCAACACACCTGCTTTTAATATATAAGCTTACATGTGAAAGTCTACCTAGACATGACCCTGGCAATCCGGAAAAGTGGAGTGCGTGATATAGCAACGCTAAACTGATGACCCGGATTGGTTCAATTATACGGTAGATGTACATATGTTTTTAGACGACTACCTAGGGTTAATAACGCTCAACTTTGCCCTAGTCCTAGCTTATTATAAGCTAAGATCTTGCCAAAATTTGCCAGTCCATCTAGGTACCTATCCTATCACTATCTAGGTAAATAATCTGCAGGCTCCGGATTCGCAATTTTAATACAAATGATAACAAAATTCACCATCTATCCAATACACAATATTTATCAGAATGATTATATCAAAATTCGAGCGGGAATTCCTCTCCAACAATTTCTCCACTGAGTATCTACCCAAAGCTTCTCCGCCAATTACCAGTTTCTTATATATCCTTAGCGAACTCTTTAGGCGCGATAGGATTACAATCATGAAGATAGGACTCGGACTCGGCTGCAAGGGTGTTAATATCCAGCTGGAATAATCTGGTCGAGGGGTAAGATGAAGAGTACGTACATACATGTGAGATATGAATCGAAAGCTGCGGCCATGGTGGTTGATGATCCTGAGTCCTCTGTCTTATCTACCACGTCCATGTTGAGTAGATGATTGATTGTAGCCTGCGGCAAGTGTCTGGCGATTTCGGTGAGAATATTAAAACCTACAAGGAAAATTAAAAATATTAGTAGAAGCTCGATGGAAGACTTGATTAGTAACCTACCTCCTGGATTGACAGAAAATGACAAGATAATACAAGTGCTCGGTCAAAGATCTGGGGGAAAACAAAGTATTCGCAGTCTTTGATTATGCATAGGCCACTTCGAATTCTGGAAGGTAAAGAGCTATAGTCGCGTGACCAAATTTAACCAAATAGTCTTTGCAATAGTCTGGCTCTTATTCTTATGGAATAGATTTCCCTTCGAAATTCAAGTCGTCAAATCGCACCTGGCTGAATTAATGCATGACATCCTCCAAATAACATCATGACTCTGGTGGCTTCTGGTTTCGCTTTCGAGTTCCTGGAGCAGCCACGAGCTTACCCAAGATCAAGTTGGTGAACAATTGCAAGAAGTGGCCAATGTATATGTGGTTAGTTGCAAAGTGCATCTCCACTCCTTGTCTGACATAACCCCAGCATTGTTGATCAAAATATTGTAGCTACTGGAAATAGAAAAAGAAACTTTCTTGTGCTTTGAAGGATATATATGTAAGAAGTATGCCAAGGAAAGTCCTACCAGTTATCCTCAATCTGGGCATGTCGTTTCACACAGTTATCTAAAGACACCTGTTTATATGTATCTTACTTCGTCTCGTTATACAGACACTACAACATTTATGAAGCAGTCGCAGATAGCTGCTAGCCGCAGCAAATCAATACTTCGAACCCAGTCATCATTGTTTGTATGAGGTTTGTAGTTGAAACTTGAAAGAATACCTCCGCAAAAAACCTGACATACATCGAGCTTTCCCATTCCGTGCCTACCTGTCTAAACTCGAAGCTTCCTTTATCACCGATGCTCTTCACTTCTATCTCGAACCTATGATTAGCGAGGCCCGTGATGGAATTGAATGCGAGCCACCGGCGGGAGGCTCAAATCAGCACCACCTACGAAGATTGCAATTCTCTCGCTCCTACCAAATGCAACTACATCACAAACATCCAAAAACTAATATGCCAGATCAAAACCAGATTGGAAATCTCACCATCCAAAGTAAAACCTTAATCATTTCGTAGAAAATGTCTTCCGCGATCCTGGAACAGAGATGTCTTTAAGTTCTTGACATGTACAATACACAGCAGTAGAGGCGAGAATATGGGCCAAAACGACACTATCTTGATAACTATGATTTATGATCTAAGAGAGTTATAAACCTAGAGTATATCCTGATATATAGCCAATAATTACTACATACATACTTCACGACATGTCGTCTCGATAACCTTAGTTGCGATCTAGAAAGAGTAATCCCGATCTTAGATACCACAGTACTAGTTTGAGTTCACATACATCTATCTAACCATCAAGATAGTAAGTAATTCCCAATAAAACCAGATTACTTCGCGAAATTGCCCTATGACGGAGCGGAACCATATACATAACCTGAATCGATATCCTTGCCATCTCAGATCCATCTATACTATTAATACAATTATACAATCTGACATATATATATCTAACAAACCAAACCAAACTACTCCAGCCACGCAACCACCAACCAGCCCAATGAGCCCGGGCCCCTTACTGTATAATCTGAAGCTCGTTTTAAATCTAATATTTCTTTTATACTCTCTTTATAAATAATTTAATATCAAATCTTGTCTTTTAATTTCTTATTTAATTTCTTATTTAAATTCTCATTTAATTCCTTATTGAAATTTGAATTATAAAATGATTAAAATATTGATTTTCAATTAATGATTTTACTTTTTTCAAATTTTCATTTTTCATAAAATTATTAAAGATTGAAATTAAAAAAATAATTAAAATCTTAAATTTTTATAAAGGTTTAAAAGGATAATAAGTGATTTAACTTCGTCTATACTTCTTTAAAAATTTCACCGAGTTATACATTTATTCATAATCCATAGTCCATTGACTTTAACACCTCCACGTGTGTATTGTGTGTATTAACCCCTGCTATTCCATAGCCCCCAAACCCCTCCCATCATTCCATTCATTTGCATATAGCCGTGCATACAAAATCAATCACATGAGCTTCAAACCATGCATGCCATACAAAGGACAAAAGATATAACTGACGAATATTCAAATGGATGATGTGATGATATATTGAATTTGAATTTCTATCAAATAAATAAAAAACCCAATTTCAAATCATTTCTCGTCCCCCGCCTTCCCCATTTGATATTATAATCCACATTAGCCATAATCCATAAATCCGTAGCCTCCAAGAACATGTAAAACCGGTTTACTACCTTCTTCTACACTGTAACATCCTGTGTTATCCAAATTCATACTCCAATATCCAGTATTGAGTAGTCCAGCCCGGGATTTAGTTGTGAGTAGGATACACAATGCTAACACATGCTCAACATGTGCTTTCTAAAACAAAATTCCCAAAAAATCAGAACCAAACAAAATATCCCCCAAAAAAACTAAATAGATGAGGTAAGTAGGCGCTGCCTCTGAGACCAAATCCTCCTTCGACAAATCAACCAATGTATGAATCACAGATCCAAGTACTCAATGATGCCTTAAAATACTTCCCCCCAAAAACCAACCCAATTTGATAATCCCTCCCAAACACCAGGTATATTTCCCATTTCCCTATGCTCCGCAAAAACAAGTGTAAACAAAAGGAAAGAAAAAACAATCATAGACAAAAAAAGTGCCTAGACAGATTTGCCATGTCCAATCTACCAAATATTCAATGCGCTATGCCATATGAAACCCGCTATACAATGCCAAAGACTTCAATGATTATGTTCTCGGGGACTGAACTTCTTTGCGTATATATAACCATCATGCCTAAATCATAATATCGCGTGTTTCCATTCTTCGATCGTAGTTGTTGTAATGCTTGAAGGGAGGGGTATTGAGCGTAGAGATTGCCGCGCGCGGTTCGGGTCATGGTTTACAGGCAGAGGTTGCGCGATCGTGACCGACGAAAAGTAGTGTGAGTCCAGATGGTGGAGCGGAAGAAGTTCTGCGACGGAATGAGAAGAGATATGTGATCCAATGGTCGAATTCGAAGCGCACAAGAGGTCGCAATTGCCATGAACAGCCAGTTATGGAAGACAATATATTTCATCTGCGATATTGTCTAGATGAGTGCGCATGCGAACTTTGACTGGCTGTGTGATATCCAGAGTCTGAGTAGTCTTCTTGCGCATATGGATCTTGGTATGATTGGTGTGTTGAGTGTTTTTCGCAAGCATATCCGACTAATACCGTTCTCTCTTGAATTCCATGGCCTTGCGTTCCATATGCCGCGCACATGTCAACGCTGTGTTGGTAATAGAGGCAGCGGCAAACTGAGTATCTTTCGACCACGAGGTAGCACATGTTGAAATGATAATTTCAGTATGAGGCTGGTAGTTGTCGATTTCGTATGTTGTATATATAGCGTAACGGAGTTTGGTCGCAATGATAGAGGGGTAACTAAGATGAGTAAAGAGACAATGAAAAGTATGAGATCAAGGAGAGATGAGGCAATGAAATATATTAACGAGCAGACTGAAAGGAGATGATGCCTGGACAAAGGAAGTCTAAACTTGACAGATGATGAAGCTTGTGATGTAAAGGTAGGAGTCATTGATCGAAGGAATATGACTGCCTTATAATCTCTGCCACTTGAATGAGTGAGTCCTCTCGTGATGAAAAATAAGGCAGCAGTGGGTATGGGCTGGTGAATGAACCTGCATCTAGGATATGCAGGTCAACAAACATGCAGGAAACCTATACATGGGATGAGACGATGAGTCGTAGGCGGAGTGGAGAGGTGGAAGTATATCTGCCTCAGTACAGACATTCTTGCAGGAAAAGAAGCCATGCTTGTTCATATCTCGAACCAAGTCCCAAATGGATGGTCTTTCACCACGAGGTGGCTTACCATCACCTTGATAGAGACATGGTATGTGGAAGGAAACCAGGTCTCTCATGGATGGGCTGAAATAGAAACCTTGAAAGCGCTGAGTAAAGCCTCAGCCTCGACTAAGTAACAAGTAGTCCGTACTTGTTCTGAGATAGTTCCGAGAGGTCGGGATTATTGATCTACGCAAGATCGATTTAGGTAAAGACGGGTAAACCGGGATATGGCAGTAGGTTGCTAAAGAAGGAATAAGATGGTGGAACGTGTACTCAAGCCTTGGCTGTGCAGGAAAAAAGACCACCATTGTTGACAGATACCCACTATAGTTTGGTCGAGAGTCCTCTACAAAGGCAAGGACCATGTATGCTCTCTGGATAATCTCGGTTTAGAGAAAGGACAGCTATAAGAATAACGGGCGGGATGGATTAGTATCATGTGAGAGCGTAATAATTTGGCGGGGGGAGACTAAGAAGTCAATGAAGGGACTGAATAGTCAGAAATAGCAGTGCAATGGGGGACGGGAACGAAAGGTGGAGGAATCGGGAAGGAATGTTTGTAGCAACATTGATGAATAGTCGGTAAGCATTGCCAGGATAAGTGAAGTACGCAAAAGTAGGTATAGTTTAGTCAGCCTCAGGTCGGTGGACAAGTTTGGAAATAGATTCATAGTAATGAAAGTGCCCAAGTATCCAAGTAGAGGATAGTGCTAGTGCAGTAATAGCACGGAGTAAGAAGATGAGGACCTTAATTGGGATCGCGCGTCAAGGTAACAAATTGCCGCGAGACTCAATTACGATCCCCATGTTGATAACCATGAATGTTTGACAAGGATAAGTTCAAAGATGATGGGATGGAGAGTTACACTACCGCAAGTCAGGTACGAGCTGCCAGATGCCAATCCTTGGATGAATATTTGTCGGTCAGCCAAGAAAGTTTGATAGAGATTGGTTTGTGCGGTGCGGTGCAAGATAGTGCAGGATCGTTTTCAAGGTTTGTGGTTGTGATGAAGGGATGGAAAAAGAAAAGGAAAACGAAGATGGGAAAAAATAAAAATGTTGTCAGCAAATAAAATCTAAATTCAGCTTTTTCCCCACTCAAATCATTTAGCTTGACTTGAATTTTTATAACAAGGGCAATCAATGTCTTGTCTAGAAGGAAAAGAGGTAATATGATTGGATGAATAACGACCCTCTTCAAATTTAATAATGTTTGATATTCCGAAAGAAGATTGAATGTCCGATTTTTATCAAATGAGAACTTTAACAAAAGCCGTTGAGGTGAACATAATACATAAATAATACATACACAATACATACACAATACATACACAATACATGATGAATTCATCATCCCAAGTACCGGACAAATGAGAATGAGACATTCTTATTCTGCACCTTGACGATGATCCTTTTACTAGACATCATTAACATCTGTACGTAATCCACAAGAGAAATGGTATTCAGCCGCCTTGACAGATGGCTCGTACTGTAAAACAACTGATTTCAGTGGTAAATATAGTAAGTTTATTGTCAACGGGACGCAGTTTGATCGGTTTCCATCTCTTTTTAGAACTCGGAGAGATCTCTGCTAGGGAGGTAACTAAAGTTAGTTACCCGATCTATTTCGAGCTTTTCAATTCTTTTCCGTAAATCTACTCCGTACATTTCCAAATCCGTAAAGATTGTCAATCATGCACTTCTCCCTCCCAATCGCAATCCCTACACAAGCACCACCCATAACTGACTGCTAAGAACTTATCAAAGCCCATTATGAAATTTATGGAAACCCTCATACATACATTCATACATTCATACATTCATACATTCACGCAATCGTACATACAAACATTAATAACCGATAACCCCAAACACCACCGAAGGATTCCCGCACAACAAGGGAACCAGCCCATCTCCCGTAGCCATACCTATACCCATACCCATCCATACCCATACCCATACACATACAAAGCAAATATACTCAGCTGAATCAGGCATACTCACTGACCGCATTCCCAAGCAACAAATCATGTGCAGCTCTCTCTTCCAAGAGAATTCGTGTCCGGTTACAGATTCTGATTTCGGGGAAAGAGTCATAAATTTCTCCAATCTAGAATAGGAGGGAGCCACGGCTACAAGGTATCTACCTACCTAGGTAGGTAGGAAGGAAGGGAATTTGTGGGGTACGTATTGAAATGAAACAAACACAAACAAACACAAACACAAAGCTTTGATATTCTTGCTTCTGAAACATATTCTAGATTTGGTAGATTTCTTGATACAATTTTTGATGTTATTTCAGTCATTATACACATATTCATGTTCATATGCAATACTCCCCTTTCCCTCCAATACGTAAACCAATTAATACTCAATCCCCAAACCAAACTCGCCATATGCATATGCATATGCATATGCATAAATCTACACAATGGTAACAATTCCCTCACCTCCAACCGTCTTCCAATCTCTCTCCCTCTCCCTCCCTCCCTCTCCCTCTCTCCCTCTCCCTCTAAAACCAAAAAACCCCTCATCAAAAATCAAACATCAAACTCCCAAAATCTGCCTCGTACCCACCATTCACCCATTCCACTCATTCCACTCATTCCCACACCCATCTAGCACGCACCAAGCCATTCAGCCTCGCACTAAAACCGGAACTCGTAAGGCGACCTATCTGAATTCCGAACAAAACCCCCACCCACATGCATCCCCACTACAAATCCACTAACAAGCCCACCAGCAAGCCTAGCAAGCAGAGCAAGCAAGCAAGCACTGCCTCATTGTGGCTCACCTATGACATTACCTTTCCTCACCTCCAATTCTCACAGTACCGACTATCTACTGGTGTACTTCGCACTTTGCGCATACAGATATTACTAATAATTAGCCATTGCGATCTCGTCACCGTACAGTAAGACAAGCATTGAGGTTAGCTAGCTAGCTAAGGAACGTCCGTCGCTCCCTGGTTAATAAGTTAGTGTACGGAGTAGGTAAGTAGTTATGTCATTTGATCGGAAAGCTTTATGGATGCAATGGAGTAATACGCTACGCGCTCCGTACGCAGTATTATGTCTCCTATCCTAGTATCCTGTCCCTACCTAGGTATGTATGTATGTATGTATCACGGGGACTCCGAGAATTATCACGGAGAGGATATTGTAGACATACCATACATGGCTTGTAATTATGAAGGGCATGGTGTTTGCGTGCGTGCGTGCGTGCGTTTGCATGGGATGGGATGGGATGGGATAGAAGGTTGCCTCGGTCGTTTTGGAAATGCGAAGGTTAGTTAGGAGGTAGGGAGGTTATGGTTTGGATTGCGAGTGTATATTGATTCGGGTTGGTTACTAGTAGATCTATATATCGATACCAGGTACTGGTAGTAATCAATTGAACCTTCTCACTTGAATGAGATATCGATTCGTGATTGATGATAGTGTTGTTAATACTAACTAGGTAAGCAACGATTCTCTTACCGACGAACTCATTAATCCCCACTAGTACCATATGCTGGTATACCCATCCATACATCCATACATCCATACATCCATACAGCCATATCCCAATCCAAATCCATAATCATGCATTTCATCCACCCATCCATCACCCATACATACATCATCTACAATCCACCATCACCCACCATGATGACAACAAAAACAAAACCAAACAAACGGCCTACCGGCATTCAGCCACACTCCCAACCAGGGTACTCAAAGATCCCTGAAGATCCCTGGAAATCCCTGGAAATCCCTTGTATGAATTCGAGACCGATTACTCGAGTACCTAGCGCACTAAACCATGACATTCATTGAACCGGTCTACTGGTCTACATAGCATCACATCACATCATATCATAGTATACCACATCCCATGATATCTGATGAAATAATCGCACATCTATCTATCCATCTATCTATCCATCTATCTATCCATCTATCTATCTGCTTGCTTTAAAAATGTTCTAATATAGGTTACCTATTCAGAGTATGAGTATAAGTATAAGTATGAATGAATATAGACCAGCTGGTGAGTTAGAGATTGATTTTGATTGATGTAGGTATTTGGAATATACTCTGTTCTGTTATTGTAAGATCCCAAATTGGAAGCTCACCATTCGTTCGATGTTTCAATACTAGGTAGGTAGGTAGGTAGGTAGGGAGGTATGTACTACTTATGTAGAGTAGAGACTAGCGAAACTAGCAAAGTTATACTATAATTACAATCGCAACCTCAGTACCAATACCACTACTAATACCAATGCCAACCTTAATCGCAATCTCACCATCTATTTCAATATATCAATATCTCAATATCTCGATACCTACCTAGTACCTACCTAATAAACACCAAGCACATAAGATCTTACAACAACTCAACCAAAACCAAACCAAACTACACCTACCTACCTACCTACCTCTACCTACCTACCTACCTACCATCAAAATATCCATCCATCCCTTCACCTGATGATTTCCTCAACAAACTTTCCAACTTGCAACCTTCAACCTCCAACCTCCAACCTCCAACCTCCAAACAATTACAATTCAATTAACCACATTTTCAAAATAACATTAATCAGATAGTCATATAATAAATCAAAACCTATACAATCTTTTCATTTCATATCCTTTTGTATCCCTTTTCTCCCTTTTGTATCCCTTTTCTTATCTCTCTTTTCTTTTCTTCTCTTTTCTCCCTTTTCCTCCTCACTATATCCCAATCCTGTCCAAAAGTTCCCCTTCCCAATATAATATTTAATATTTAATCCCCATCCCATCCCAAACTCCATTTTAAATCATCCATCATCCATCCGTAATTCATCCTAATAAACATACTCAACCCATTTCCAGAGGGTGGGTATATCTGCACTCATTATAAGCGTTACCTATGTACAAAGCTAATAGCTTCAGCGAAAGAAATCTTTCTCTCTTCTCTTCTCTTCTCTCACACCAACTCTATCTTTGAATACTTTTCCAAAAACTGCCCAAGTCCACACTCAAACATACCACACCTCAAGTATTATTTTGACCACCCTCAATTCCATGCTTCAAATTCTTAATAAACCAATCTGAATTAGCATCCACCATAAAATTCGTGATATTAAATTCATTCGATCCATTTCCAATTCCATTTGACATTTCCATTCCATTTCCATTTCCATTTCCATTTCCATTTCCATTTCCATTTCCATTTCCATTTCCATTTCCATTTCCATTTCCATTTCCATTTCCATTTCCATTTCCATTTCCATTTCCATTTCCATTTCCATTTCCATTTCCATTTCCATTTCCATTCCCATTTCCATGAGCAGAAGTAGAAGGATCTCCCGGAATAACAGGTAATCTAGGGACATTAAAGAAATCAAAAACATCCAAATACTCCAATTCATTAGGAGCCGGTGTTCTCGCCGGTGTAATACTAGGCATTCGAGAAAGTCCTACGTATTTAGGTTGTCTAGAAATTAAAAAATCTAAATCATATGCACATCTTCTCATATCTGCTAGGATTTTGACCGAGGAAGGAGTGACGCGTTCGCCGTTTGTACCGGCGGCATGTTCACTATCACGATGTTCGTCAAGCACGCGTTGAAGAATGGTTGTGTAGCGTTCCGCTACGAGCCAGTAACTACCCATTTCTCGAAGGGTGTCGACGAAGAATTGAATTTGGGGGCTGAGTTTGTGTTCGATGGTTGAGCCATGTACGAGAAGTAATCGAGCGGCTACCCAAAGCGTGAACGCAAATGGCGGACCTAATTTTGGAAGCATACTATTTTGAACGACATATCTATAGCATGTGTCAGTACGTGAAAGAAAAAGAAAAAGTTTTGTAAACTCCAGGTTTCCAAGAGAATGGAGTCATATTGGGCTCTGGCGCCGGCTCAGTCGTAAGATTAAATAAGAAAAAAAGTACGTACTCTCCTAGGGCTGCAATATTTTCCACTGCACCATGACAACGTTGACTTGCACTGTACGAAGGAGTAAAAATAGGCGATCTAGTGGTAGGGTAAGCAGCCGATGAATGAAGTCGTATTACTGCCGTATGATACGTCGCGTGTAACATGACCCAGCCACAATTGATGGATTTATTGCTTCCTGGTTGAAAAAGCTTTGCCATGTTTCCATAATCACCAGGTAGATTGAATTTCCATGAAGTGAGCATATTGTCTAGTTCTCGATATTCGCCTTGCCATTGTTCAACGTCGGACAAGGCACTGATGTCCACTGGCTTTTTCAAAAATTTGTGAATTCTGGAAAGAATACCAAGGATTTCGATGTAGTACGAGAATGCGCCAAGATTCTCGGGTTTGTCAATATCGTATTCCGTCCTTTCGCTCGTGCGAAACCACCTTGTTTCCACATTTTGATTCTTATTCCAAAGATCGTCTCGGCAAGGTAAAGTTCTGTCAATTTCTTTTTCATCCAAGGCGAATTCGAAAGCTGTCGCAATTGTGGCATATCGATCCAAGAGATATACCATCCAGAAGAGTCGTCTCCGAGATTCCTCTTCAATCCAATTTTCAGGCTCTGGCAATACCATTGCTCGAAGTGTATAGATTGAAGGGTAGTTCGGCGATACAGAGAAGGAAGTAGTCTCTACGGAAAGTCCCAATTGAACTACCGAGCGCGTGATTAGAGCTAATAAATTCCATCCAGGTGGGCCGTTACTACTGCCCACCAGATCCAAGGCCAGAATTACCAGAGCTTGTAACGCCTTGACCGAAGAGTTTTCTAATCCGTATAATAATACCTTTTGCTTAGATATATCATGATAATGTCGCCTCCTCTCCTCGGTCAGCCGTTGATCCGTGGAAAATCTCAAAGTAGTGGCGACAATAGCATGTAGAAGTATTTTGTCTGATTCATCCAGAGCAGATGGACCGAATAAAGAGTCCAGCGTCGATCTTCGATGTAATATTGGGCACCAAGTATTGACATACTTAAAGTAAAGATCAACTAGCGCATACAAAAGATCATATGGAGGGAGAGCATGGTCGGAAGAGACGTCGCTTGAGTTCGGGTTTATGTTCAAGCTTGGTGACTGTAGGGGTGGGTGGTTCGTGCTATAAAAATCTGGTGCTTGACTGGCTGGTATTGAGTGATTATGTTGTTGCATGTCCATGGATAGATGAGATCCCTGTGATCCCGGGGTGTGTTGCTGATGAAAGATATCACTATGGATAGATGGCATCGTGGGATTTGGAGGTATCGAATGTCCGAAATCCATGGATGTACTCCGTTGTCCAAAAGTGGAAGGTTTCTGAAGAAATAAGGCTGTCTCGGCTCTAGCAACATGTCCCACACGATGACTAGAGAGTCCCTCATTTGGTTTGAAGCTGTTAATACTCTGTGGTGTACCGTGATCGCTTGAAACACTGTTGGGGACTCTATTGCTGTTATGACCAAAAGATGATTCCAAGATTTGAGCATGCGAGCGTAGAATATCCTCGAGGCGATCTAATCTTTGTTCCAGTTCCCGGCCATACCCAGCTCTCAAGCCGGGTTTCTTTCGCTCCTTGTATTCACATACGGCACCATTGCGGCTACACCATCCGCATGATGGTTGACCGCGATCACATTTGACCTATTCGTGTTAGATTAATATGTATTCAAACATTCAAAAGTCAGTTTGTAGACTTTGGTGAATCATCAAACCCATGCCGAGACACATAGAAAATACCTCTTCTGCATAACGCATATGATTCCATCAAGCATCATTTGTATGCTTGATCAAACTATGTATGACTGGGGTAGGAATAAAAGTTTGACGATCTTCCATCAAGAAAGTTTTAATAAATTGTGATTTGATATATCGTACCTTTCTTTGCTTACATAGCTCACACCTTCGACGAAATGTCAGCCAATCATGTCCAACAATTTTCGAATCATTGATTGGGGGATCATCTTCCGATTCCTTGATCGGAAGAGTGATGGAGGAATCATCGTGGATATCCATTGATTGGCGTTAAGATTAAGAAGATAAGTGAAAGAATGAAACATAATTCCTTACGAAACAGACATTGGTCGACGTTGCCTCTTGCGAGGACCGTCTCCATTTGCGTCAATACTGTCCTCCTCCCCGCTGTAAGATTGATCATTGTCTCCATCACTCTCGGGTTGAGTTACACCTGAACGTAACGACGTTCTAGGTGACTGCTGATTATCCATAGGAAATAGAAGCCGAAAGCAGATTCCGATAACAAAATGACAGTAGGAATTGATAGCCAACCTGGTCTCGAATTCGAGTTCTCGGTGAAAATGGGAACGAAATGGAAGGGCAGACTCGGTGTTAAATGAGCGAGGAGGTGGGTCTCTTTTAGTTCCAGATTCCAGAAGCAAGTGAAAGAAAAAGCTGGGAAAACGAGAGAGAAAAAAATACCTAGTTGATGGGAGCATGTGGGGGGTGGCACGTGTTTAAGATGAAAATGAACAATCAATGATGGGGGTGAAATATTATTATTTATCCATGAATATAAATTCATGAATCCATGAATCCCTTGAAGCATTATTGGGATGGACATCAGTAACCCTTGGTGCTTCCGTACTTCCGTGACTCCGAGAGTCTATTCCTCTATCAACGGGGCAGTGAAATACCTACTCTAGCACCAAGGTAAAAAACTTAAAAGATAAGGTTGCCAGCCAGATGAAAAGAATAAAAGGAACTTTGCGACATCTGATTGATCAATTCAACCTAAAAATATGCCCTAAAACGATCTAGTTGGAACTTGGCATAGACAAGGGGCTCTCGATTACGTTTTGTGGGGTAACGGTAATTAACATTTGATGCACCATCAGCAGCTGACTCGATCATTGATCAATTCCAATGGTAAGCATCCCATTCATGCATGCTTTGACTGGTATGCAACGGTGACGGATGGATGTATGTATGGTCAAGTTTTCTTCACTGCACATGTGAGAGAAATGCACATATGTAGGTACCTAAAGTACCATCTGGTACCTGGGAAGGGAAGACAAGAGGAAGAGTATATCTGCTTCAACGTAAGATCTTACAACGACCAATTGAGCTGGGTCGTGAAGTATGGAGTCATGAAGAGTCATGGAGAGATTGTTTCTATAGAGATGCAAACAAAACAAAGCCTACTGTATTCGCATCGCAATCACCATACAAGAAAAGAAATCTTTCAAACTCTTCAAATATCGCCATCTAAAGATCTTTAGTACATTCATTACACACAGTGACCGGGAGAGAACATCTTCAACAAACATCATCCACATCAATAACTCACATGCCAAGTCATAATAATCAATACTTTCCTAGGCACAGACTTATAATCGCTCAAGATTATGGGATTGACTTGCATTCCACATCAACAGTATCTCGGTCGATATTCTCCCGGTGGATTTGGAAACAATAATCACCCCGCCAAGGTGTTTCTTCTGGAATTGAGGTACAAAGTAACCTGTCTGTCCATCAATCATGAGTAAACGGTAAATACAATCCTGGCTTTTCATTTGACTATTTACTTCTATTTGTTCCCCGTTCTATCACTGTCAGTCCATTTATTCCTTTCGTCCACATCATAATGGCTTCTTCATCAGCTCGCAGCTTCCCATCTATCAAAGCCGTCCGAACATTTGTTGTGGACGGCGTCGGATCCGGAGGAGATTATCACAATGTCGAAGGTGGCCATTGGTAAGTTCATCAAACAATTATCTTCTAGCTTGTACTAATTTATATCAGGCTAATTGATACACCAATTTCCACACCTATGTCAAGATGGGAAAACTATCGAGCATCAAGAACAAGTTGGGGTATCAATGTGCTAGGTTCATTCTGCGTCGAGGTGGAAGGTTCAGATGGCACAGTTGGATTTGCGACAGGATTTGGAGGTAATTGTCAAAAAAGTATCCCATCACTCGGGCTGAAGCTCATTACATATTCGCAGGTCCACCAGCATGCTGGTTAGTTCACCAACATTTCGAAAGATTCCTCATCGGTGCCGACCCCAGAGATACCAATCATCTATTCGAACAAATGTACAGAGGCTCAATGTTTTATGGTCGAAAGGGTCTCCCAATTGCCGTCATTTCAGTTATTGATTTAGCGATCTGGGATTTACTTGGAAAGATCAGGGGAGAGCCAGTATACAAGATGATTGGAGGTGCTACAAGAGAGAGACTGGACTTTTATTGCACAGGACCTGAACCTACTGCTGCAAAGGCCATGGGATTTTGGGGTGCTAAAGTTCCACTGCCATATTGCCCGGAGGAGGGTCATAAAGGACTTCAGAAGAACGTTGAATTCCTCAAAAAACACAGGGAAAGTGTGGGCCCTGATTTTCCACTCATGGTGGATTGCTACATGAGTCTCAACGTTCCATACACTATTCAAATTGCTGCAGCTTGCAAGGATTTAAATATCAATTGGTGGGAAGAGTGTCTATCTCCAGATGACACTGACGGCTTTGCACAAATTAAACAAGCTCATCCACAACTTAAGTTCACCACTGGCGAGCATGAGTACTCGAGATATGGTTTCAGAAAGCTCATCGAAGGTCGAAATTTGGATATCATTCAACCCGATGTTATGTGGCTTGGAGGAATGACGGAATTACTCAAAGTTGCAGCTATGGCAGCTGCTTATGATATTCCAGTGGTACCACATGCAAGTGGACCTTACAGTTATCATTTCGTGGTTTCTCAGACAAATTGTCCCTTCCAGGAGTACCTTGCAAATTCGCCAGATGGGAAGAGTGTTCTACCAGTCTTTGGAGATTTATTCTTGGATGAACCAATCCCTGTAAAAGGATATCTTGATGTTTCACAACTCGATAAGCCAGGTTTCGGTTTGACACTAAACCCAGCTGCACGACTTATTCCAGCTCAATATCTCTTAACACCAAACCCGGAGAGGCCTCTTGGTCAACCAGCAGTTGAGCAAAAGAAATCTGCAGATCAAGGTATTGTGAATGGAGTGGTGGAAGAGATCAAGAATTTGTCAAGTTCATAGGTTGGATTATAGCCGATTGTTATATTAGTCATTTAATTCTTTTTCCTTGAATACAATATCATCTATCTTAGCATAATTAGAACTTTCCAAGATTCCATTTTAAGGTCACTAGTGACCTCGGGATAGCGACATTGTCAAATGAGTGTATAACATAATGAGACCTAGGTGAGAACATGTGGATGAACAATTTTACCCCACGTTTGGGAATACCACTTTGGCTTCGGTGGTCTTTACATCGAGAAACCGGACCGCGGGGTCCTTTTACTCTATTGACAAGGGTCTAATTTCTTGAGCTATCAATTCATTTACAACAGGACAGGAATTTACTCGGATATACTTGTTAATTGTAACATTCGTATTTCAATTCTCTGTATAACTTTACGTACTTACTTTGATTTCACATAATCTACAATTCTTGTCAAAAAGCAATCACTTCACATACTCATCAGAGCTTCAACCACAAGATACCCCACCATTCCAGTAAACAGCATAACATTCATTTCATCCTCATCTAAGCTTACATCTAAATTCTTCCGACTTAAACATCTACACATCTCTTCCCACAACATACACCCAAACAATGAGTCTAAAAGATGTACACCTTCTAGCCGGCAAAACGGCCGCCATAACCGGCGGAACAACAGGAAGTTCGTTCCCCAATTTCAAAACACCCTTCCAGATCTCCCCTCAACTAACACACCTCTTTCACTAGTCGGTCGCGCAATTACCCTTTTGTATCTTCGTCAAGGCTGTAATGTAGCAGTCAATCATCTAGGTCTCGATTCCGATATTCCTCATCTGGAATCCCTTCATAAAGAGGCTAAATCTCTCTTGCGGGAAGATTCGCAAGCGGGGAGTTTGTTGGATGTACCAGGAGATGTTAGTAAACCGGAGACGGGAAAGGAGTTGGTGGAGAAGGCGGTGGGGAAATGGGGACGGTTGGATATTTTTGTTAGTAATGCGGGGGTGTGTCGGTTTGCGGAGTTTTTGGAGTGAGTTTTCTCTTGGGTTTTTAGTTGCCTGTCTTTGGCGGGAGGGTGGGGAGGAGAGTAGAGGGGATGGGAATAAAGTGATTGAAAACTAACAAAAATACAAAAGACTAGAACCCGATCTCTTCACCCACACAGTCCGCACCAACCTCGACGGCGCCTTCTACACCTCCCAAGCCGCCGCCCGTCAAATGTCCGTCCAATCCCCCCCAGGCGGCTCCATAATCGCCATCTCCTCCATCTCCGCCCTCGTAGGCGGTGCCCAACAAACCCACTATACACCCACCAAAGCGGGCGTCTTATCCCTCATGCAAAGCATGGCGTGCGCGTTGGGTAAATATGGAATTCGTTGTAATGCACTCCTACCCGGGACTATTAGGACGCAGTTGAATGAGGAGGATTTGAAGGATGAGCAGAAGAGGAAATATATGGAAGGACGGATTCCGTTGGGACGGACGGGAGTTCCGGGGGATTTGGCGGGGCCGGCGGTTTTTTTGGCCTGTGAGGACTTGAGCGGGTATGTTAATGGGAGTGGACTTTTGGTGGATGGGGGTTTGTTTGTTAATTTGCAGTGAGGGGAATGGAAGTGAAGGAAATATATAATAGATAAAGAACTCGTATTAGCTCAATCCAACAGCTTTGATATATCGAGACCTTATATCTTATATCTTTTATGTTATACAATGGAACTATTTGTATTCATATTCCTCTATATTGAAACAAAATATTCATAAAATACAAATCTAATTCTTACTCTATACACTCAAAAACTTGATTTTTTATTTATTCTTATTAAATAAATATTTTTTATTTATTATTTTATTATTTTATTATTTTATTATTTTATTATTTTATTATTTTATTATTTTATTATTTTTTAATATTATATAAATATATATAAATTTTAATAAAAATAAAAATATAAATATATATTTTAATATTAATTTATAAAATATTAATGAATTAAAATAACAAAATAAAATAAATAATATTTTTAAAGATAAAAAAATATTATAATATTTTTATAATTATTCAAAGTCTAATTTAAACAACAAGATAAATAAGTATTTAAAATTTAATTATTTTATAAACCGTTTTAAAAAATGTTAAATTCATAAACATCAAAAAGGATGAAAAAATATTATCAATTGAAATTCTATAGAAAACCTCTCAAATTCAATTATAACGATCTCTGAATGTCGATCCCAAATCCGCCGCAAAGTTAAAAGTAACATCAACCCCCTTCCCACGAGCAAATTCAACAGCATCTGGGCTCACTTTATTACAACCTCTCAAGTCAAGCCTTTTGATGCCCTGATCCACAAATTGTTTCACGGCAACACCTGTGATTTTCGTATAGCCAATATCCAGCGCTTTGAGATTTGGACATTTCTTTACGATATTTATAAGGTTTTGTTCATCGCACTGTAAAGAGCCTGCATGTAATTCTTCGATACTATCGCATGAGGGAAAATCATGGTGAGCTACAGCGTAATCTCCCAGGAGTCGATTTCCTATGAATAGAGTCTTTAATTTTGGGGTGTTTTTGACTATAGAAACGACTAGTCCTTCGGTAAGTCCGGTACTCTCACAGCTGAAGCTTTCCAGAAGAGGGAGAAGAAGGGTATCATCTTCCTGATTTGATAATCGCAGGTTCTCATCCAGAGAAAGTCTCTTGAGCGTCGAGGGCAGTAATGGAAGTCTTGTCAAACCGCAATCTTTGAGTTCAAGATGCTGCAGACGTTTGAGCCCGCTCAAATTTAGTGGCGCGGCACTTTTTAAGTAAAATCCTCGCAAGGCTAAGGTTTGTATATTGGGGACTGATTCGATTAGGTTGTTCTGTAGAAGAAATTAGAATCAATATATTACCGGCGTATTAAAGATAAAGCTCTAGAATTTTTACCAAACGTATGCCAATAATATGAAACCTCCACACATGCAAAGTCCGCAGGTTTTCTAGCCTTGGCCACATGCATGCAGAGTCCGAAGAAAGACAATTGACATTAAAAAATTTAGCTTCCTCAATTCTTGCTTGCACCTGCCGTAACGCTTCCAGGAGAGTCCGAAGAGAAATTTCACAGCCACGCGAGTTTAGATATCGCAATGACTTGGCCTTGGGAAGTGCCGATATTAAGGATTCTCCAATGGTTCTATGGCCGTGGAGTGTAAGGCGTTGCAATCGCTTACAAGTTCTAGTGAGGTATTGCAACTTTGGTGCAGCGAATGTACCATTTCTAATATTAGCTTCATATAGGGTATACTTTGATCTTTTAAGGTATGCCTTCAAAGCTATATGAGAGATTTCCCTTCTAATATCAGTCGTGTCGAGAGTGGTCCAGAGTTGATGAGAGGATTCTAATACACGCTTCCATGACTTGCTGACCGTCAAACATACCCTAATGACCGTCAGCCAAAATCGATAAAGGATTTATTCTTGACATACATTCGTTCTCGAATGGTAAGTCCTTCGGCTATCATTTCTGCCAATTCGAAGGGTAGATACGCGAGGGGGTCTAGTGTTTTACTCGGCGCTTGTGATTTTTGCAATTTGTTGAACATGGCTTGCAGAGTCTTGAATCGGGTGTTAACAGAGCAATAGAAATCCATCAAGAACGCCAGAGCTTACCACACGGTCTTCGTCAGTGTCAACTTTGACCTTCCTGAGGCCACGCTCATAGATTTTCAACGCAAGTTCATGCTCTCCTTTGAGTTGTAGAACTTTTCCACATCGAAGATAACCCTAGAGATTCGGTCAATGACAACGAATCATTTCGCAAGTGATGACGATAACTCACTTTCGAAAGTTCTGGCTTTAACTCAAGCATTTCCTTCGCATCTTTAAGAGCTGACTGTAATTGATCCAACTTCTCAAATGTAGCAGCACGATGATCCAAAGCAGTCAATAATATATGACCAGTACTAATTCTCACAGCCTGCATACAAAAGTCAGTATTTGAAGGTTGCGGTGTTGATTATGTTTTAGAGAAGAGATGACGGGCTGGCACATGCTAACAAGAAATAATGAATACCTCTGTGAATGCTATCAAAGCTCCTTGATAGTTTTGTTTCTGGTAACGATGTCGTCCTTTCTCCAAAGGTCCCACTCCTTCCTCTTCATCATAAGCAGGAGGCATGTTGCTCAGTTATATTGACACAAATTATGAATGAAATTATGTAGTTGCCAATCAAAAGTTCTCCATGGAAGTCGCGCTTTGATGAACGCGAATTGATATCCGAAGGCAGCAATGATTTGGGTAAGGTTATGGATATTCTTCGGCATAAACAATTACCCCGACGCCGAGGTTCACGGAGTATAATTGAATTCGATGTTACCACCAGAACATCTCATTCCAAATGTCACAAGAAGATTATCCTGTAGAATTTGTTTTAGAGAGTATAGAGACCATAATGGCTTCAGAAAAGCAACCGAAAGTTATCTTGTTTGATATTGGCGGTGTTTGCGTTAGTAATCATTCCTTCTTTATGTTTCATGCCGCTGCATAGGTATATGAAGTTAGGATTAGCGGTCAATCTCATGATACAGCTCGGAGTTACAAGTTTGGAATTTTTTGAGAAGCTGGATTTCTAGACGGGGCATCTGTTTATATGTACGACAAAAGATTCACGAAAAGTTTCGTTGGTGCCTTTTCGTTACTGTAGCATGCGTTGGGTGGAAGGATGATGAGTCTCTAGTGAGGTTCATCATCTTCCTTTAGCAACCATGCATACATATTATCCTACATATAACCAGCTATCATAACCCTAAACAACCCTAACACCTCCCAGGTTCTCTCGCCCATGCAAGCAATCCTCGATTTCGAAATATCCAACAACATCCCACCCGGCTGGATTAACTATGCCATCTCCAAAAACAAGCCCGACGGATTCTGGTAAGCGATCTACATATTAAAAAACTACTCTACTAATCTCTCACCCAGGCACCGTCTCGAACGTGGCGAACTAGAACTCAACGGTTCTTGGTTCATTGGTTTTACATCTGACCTCCGCAACCCCTCTTTCTGGACCTCTTTCTACAATTCCGTGCGAGAAAAATATTCCCTCCCATCGGAAGTCCCGCCTGTACCACAAATAGACGGCGAAGCACTATTTTGGTCGATGATGGATAATTCAAGGGAGGTTGATCCCTGGTGCGTCCCATTTCCTCCCCCGCGTTTCCAATCTCAGGGTTTCGTGAACCAAGTGCTAATATAACCACAATAGGATGTACCCCTGTCTCCAAAAACTAAAAGCCTCCAAAAATTACGTCTTAGCCGGACTCTCCAACACCGTAATCTTTCCTCCCAATCATCCATACTCCAAGTCACTTTCCTTCATCTCCGAAATCTTCGATGTATTTATATCCTCAGCACACGTGCACCTCCGCAAACCCTCCCCGGAAATCTACTCTCTAGCACTACAAACTCTCCGCGATCATTATTCCTCAAGGAATCCCTCTTCTCCTTCTCTCTCCCCATCAGACATTCTCTTCCTAGACGATATTGGCGAGAATCTCAAAGCTGCCAAGACAGCCGGTTTCCGTACTTTAAAGGTAGAATTAGGACGTGCGTATGAGGCTGTCGATGAGTTAGAGAGGATTACCGGGTTAGATTTGACCGGGGAACATCCTAAGATACCGATTAAGTTGGGGGGTAATGGGAAGGGGAGGGATGTTAAATTGTAAGGAGATGGAGAGGGGAGAGGATCAAGAGAACAAGAATGACTAAGATAGATTTGGAGATTTAAAGACAGATAGATATATGCAATGCCACACTATGAAGTGAAGTAAGCACAAGAGAATGAAGGTAAACTAGGCATTCGACCTCCTTGAAAAGAAAAAAGAAAGAAGAAGAAAACGCCTCTCAGGTATGCAGACATACTACATACAAAACAAAAATTGGTATTAGGGGGAAGACCACCTAGGTCTCTTTATACAATCAACAGTCATAACTTCATAAATAAAGAATAACAAAAAGCTCCAGTCCGTGACGCCAGACTGTGGATATCTATGCACATCATTCCTCCTTCTTTGGTGATCCCATCCCGCCTAAAATTAAACTCTCCAGTTCCCACGGACTCAATGTACTTCTTCTCCTTGCAGCTCTTCCATGCTCTTTGTCCCTACTTGCTCTGACCTTTCTCTTCCTATTTGATACAGCACTCAAGTCTTTTTCGGGACTTCTCATCGTTCTGCCACTGGTACTTTCACTTTTGGTCGGTTCCTCTCTAACAGGCGAGGAAGATGGAGGCATTAGTTTCGTGACTTCTGGCTCTCTTTTTTTAATTGGGCTTTTGGATCGTGGGGCGGTCGTGCTGGTAGTAGAGGCAGCACTGCGTGCTAACTTTGCAGCTTTCAACTTAGCTTTTACTCTTGCAGCATCTGCTTCACGTTCGGATGCGGCGAGTTTGGCGGCTATGCTAGCCATGGTGAGAGGACTCTGTTGGGGTGGGATATGGGGTGGTCGAGGCAAGCGACTTGCGGATGTAGGGGGTTGGAGTTGGATTTTGGGAGTGGCTTTTGGTTTGGGTGTTTGATGGGCAGGCTTTTTAGCTGAAGCTGCTCTTGCGGCTGAAGATCTGGTTTCTCTTACGACGGAGGATCTGGTTGAAGATCTAGTTGATGAATGGGCGGAGAGTGTTGGGGCTGGTGTTTTTGGAACGGAAGTTTCGTCAGTGGATGCAACGAAGAGCTGTTTTGCTTCCTCTTTCGTTTCTTTTCGGGGGAGAGGCTTAGGTGTTGGGGTTGAAATAGATTTGTGATTATATGAGGATTGCTCGAGTTGTAAGAGATCCCAAGTATTTTCTTCAATAATAGTAGTGAATCCCTTAGGGCTTAGCTTTGTGGGACTACCTCGGTTTCCTTTGGTTGTTTCGCGAAGAGGGGACATTTGAGGTGGTGTCCCAGGCAGAGATGATACTGTATCCAACGTCATATCTGCAGGTTGTTGTTGTTCCTCGGCAACTTCATCATAATCTTCTTCTTCTACTTCGTCCTCCCCCTCCTCCTCCTCCTCAGCTTCAAATTCCTCTTGCCTTGTTTGCTCCGGCTCTTCTTCAAAAATGCTAGACTCAGCGTCACTCAATTCTTCCTCGTCATGGAACTCAGGCTCTGGATGACCACCAATGCCCGAATCATCCATGGCATCAATATCTGCCTGTGTATCACCTTCGTCCTCATCTTCTTCCTCGTCCTCTTCCTGCACCATCGATAATTGAAGAACTTCATAATTGGGTTCTGCCGTAGGCTTGAACGGACTCAGGCTCAAACCCATCTTCAATTCCTCAATATTGACGGTTTGACCACTTCTAGCCATTCGATGGCGCCACCCATCCATCATCTGCACCGCATCCTTCCATCTAGACTCCATTTTCTCCCAACCTTCTCGTAATCTTGTGATCTCTTCTTCTCTAACCTCCACTTCTTCTAGCGAGACAAATGACGGATTTGTCAGGATCGTCCTTAGATGTTCAATTACGACTTCCATTTCGGAAGCAAGATGCTCATAAGAGCCCTCCATTTGTACCACCATATTCCCTTCTTGCTCCTCCTCTTTCTCGCAACCAGAAACTGTCCTCAATGTCTCAATGGTCCTTCTCACCAATCCCCCTAATGATTCATTTTCGCCACTTAATCCCCTAGCCAATTCCGTCAGAAACTCATTCGTCTCCATTCTCAAATCATACCCCTCGTCATCTGTGCCCATTCCTGCCCCGCTTCCATTTTCACCTCCAACTCCAGGGACTACATTAATAGTCGCAACACCCACAGCTTTCCCACTGCCCCTTGCTCTCCCACCTTCAGCGACATGTTTCTTCATTCCTTCGATAACTCTTTCCTTCTTTCTAACTTCATTGGCACACTGCGCCCTTGTCTGCCCCACCAAGACTCTCATCCTCGCCATATCCTCTTTCAAGCCCTTAACAGCCTGTTCCGCACTCCTCAACTGTGTTTTCAAAGCCCGTTCCGTCGCATCCGCTATTCCAACTTTTCGTTGTAATTCGGCGTTTTTCGTAGTGATCCTTTCCATATCAGTCGTCGATCGCAAAGCATCTGCGCGTAAAGCTCGAATGGCTTGAGAGAGATTCTCTCGTTGTTGAGAATCGCGCTGTTAACTTTCCGTCAATTTCGATTTTTTTCTGTTTGATGAATTAAGGCTGAGATGCGCTTGTGATACTTACATCTCTCCTCAAAATCAGATCATTCACTACACTCATTATCTTCCCCATGGTGACATCTAATCCCTCTTCCGATTTATGCGGGCGCGCAAAGTCAATTGTTTGCCCATTTCGCAGTAATCCACGAGAGAGAAGCTGGTTGTTGATGTATAAAGACGCGGTGCGCAGGTTATCTGCATCCATTTTTGCTGGCTCAGGTTGCAGTTATTTGATGTGAGCCTTTAGGAATACTCGAAATTGTATTCATGTGGAAATTGATGTTGAATTAAGTAATTTTATAGTGTTCTTCATCACATATAGCTTCTGTGTTGTCATGTAAACAAACAATCCAGATTGCAAGGATAACCGAGCAAGGGTCGATGCAAACAAAACGTTCTCGTGATCACGTGCGCTTACATGTTTCTTGCTTTTTCTTTTTTGCAATACGACGTATATGTTGTAGGATTGTGATGTAAATCATTCGTCTCATTATCATATCAAATTATTGCCGCAATGTCCTATCATCATAGGATATCTTATATGCCGGTCAAATTACGGATTTCTCACAAGTGCCTAATTCCCCCGTATGCACGTGATGCTCGCAATCAAGTTCTCTTTCTTCCTGGTGATAGGAAAGTATCAATCATCCTTGCTCTCGTATCCCAAATACAGCTTTGTTACATCGTCGCTGGTTAAGATATTATCACTTATACCTTGGAATTTTTATCGCGTCGCATCATTTTGTCAAGATGTAGTGTATTTCCATAACCTTATATGTCTTGTTGACTGCCATGGTCTTGATTTTTTCTGAGGTAACCTTATAATTCGTCAATTTCCCATCCTGCAGTATTTGTCGCCAACGCCCATCAACATTCAAAATAGGCCGTTTAAGGTTAACAAAGCCGCTCACAGTGCGTGCCAGTGATTAAATGATCAGTAGCAATCCCTCTACAACCATATCTCCAGCAAATGCCTCTTCAAGTCCTACTTCAACGAGCTCCATGCATCTAAAAAGCTCGATCATCAACGCCAAAGCACCATTTCAGCTCAACACCGATCTCAATTGGATTATGAATGTCCACTTTTGAACCCTACCTCGAGTATCAAAACCATCATTCTGACAACAATCCGTGCCTCCTACTCGTAGCAATAAGCCGCAGCTATTCACTAGTGCAAGTTTAGCCTAGGGCATGGATAGCAAATATCAACGCAACTGCCTCGACATAGCGACCATGATCGGTGCAAGCTGTGCGGTATAGACAGTAGTTTTTATTCAAAGATTTCCAATTGCTATAAAACCAAGCACCCCTCTCAACGAAGGACTCGAATGAGAACGAGAGTACATGAGAAAGCATGTGACGGACGTAAATGAGACCCAACCTGAGCTTCCAGTAGTCTCGATTGCAGTCCAACAATGAAGCACCCATGATCTTTTAATCGCTTTCATACGTCGAATCTCTCGGAATGCTCGCGTCATTTCGAACATTGAGACTAATCAAACGATTCAACCGGTTGAGATGAATAACATGTTGTAGATGAACGATAATATTTCGAAGCTTTGAACTCTAATATAGGATACACCGTACCGAACATCATACTTAATAGCAAGATTTAAAAGATATCATTTTGGCGCTGTACAGACTACAAAATCAGCAATTCACTGATTTCTTGCTTCTCTAGGACTTTCGTATGGAAACCTACCTACCTAGGAGCGGAATGAGATACTTGGAAGGTGGAAGAAATACTAGCTCTGTAGACCGAGGAGAAAGTTAGAGAGGAGGACGAGAAATGGGAAGAGAAGAGAGGGATGAAAGATGCGAAACAATTCCATACATTATTAGCTTATCTTCCTGTCAAATGGTCCGTGCATGGTCACGAGATCAACTTCGTCCCCCACCTCAATGCGCTCCTCCTCTATTCGCTTAAGCTTTAAAGTGGGTCTCGCACAGGATTGATTTTTGAAATTTCCCTTCCTGAAATTCCTTTCCATTTCAACGACAATTCATATTCCAGTAGTGCGGTCAATCGAACAAGATGGTGAGTTGAAATCGAAATACTCTGATTGCAGTATATCTGCGATTATTGACATTTAATATCCCATGTCTTTGAATCCTTGAAAAGTCAAATAGCAAAATGCTTCGAGAAATTGAAGGTTGCTGACTTTTGGAATCTTTACAGCCTTTCACCAAGCTGGTCAAAAACTCCGCGTACTATAGGTGAGCTCAATATATCCTTTATAAGTCAACCATCGCATTCTAACAACAAATCAGTCGCTATCAGACTAAGTACAAGCGCCGTCGTTCCGGAAAGACCGATTACTACGCCAGAAAGCGTCTCATCACCCAAGCCAAAAACAAGTACAATGCGCCAAAATACCGTCTCGTTGTCCGATTCACCAACCGCGATATTGTCATGCAAATCGTTACCTCCGAAATCACTGGTGACAAGGTTTTCTGCGCCGCATACTCCCACGAGCTTAAGGCCTACGGTATTGAGCACGGTCTTACCAACTGGGCTGCCGCATACTGCACTGGTCTCCTTATCGCCCGTCGTGTCTTGAAGAAGCTCGGTATGGACAAGGATTTCACCGGTGTTGAAGAAGCTGATGGAGAGTACCAACTCACTGAGGCTGCTGGTGATGAGGAGAGACGTCCATTCAAGGCTTTCCTTGATGTCGGTCTCCACCGCACTTCCACTGGTGCCCGTATCTTTGGAGCCATGAAGGGTGCATCCGATGGTGGTATTCTCGTTCCCCACTCCGAGAACCGTTTCCCAGGTTTCGATATGGAGACTAAAGAGCTCGATGCTGAGACTCTCCGCAAATACATCTTCGGTGGCCACGTCGCTGAATACATGGAGACCCTCGCAGATGATGATGAGGAGCGTTACAAGTCCCAATTCCAAGGTTACATCGATGATGAGATTGAGGCCGATGGATTGGAGGAGTTGTACCAAGAGGCCCACAAGGCTATCCGTGAGGATCCATTCAAGAAGGTTGAGGGAGAGAAGAAATCCAAAGACGAATACAAGCAGGAGTCTTTGAAGTACAAGGGACGCAAGTTGACCAAGGACGAGAAGCGCGAGAGAGTCAAGGCCAAGATTGCCGAATTGAAAGAATAAGCAGATCAATTTCCAAAATAATATTTCGGATATGGGTTTTCTAGCTAGGTGATAAAAAATGATACTCCCTTGATACTAGGACATAAAGTATCTTGATGAATAATGAACCAATGTATTTCTATGCTGAAGAACAGATGATGATGGGCGATTATGTTTTGACTTAGATCTTGGATTGCCACTCGATACTATTTTCAAAGTGTCGTTTGATGACCCAGTACCTTTTCTCCTTTTCCTCTCGAGCATACCCGTACTGGGTAGATACTGGTGGTAGGTGTAAAGTGCTTACTCAGTAATTTCCATAACTCCTTTCAACAAAATGATTGTAACCCCATCACAAATATCAAAATGGTAATTCATTTTACCCACCCTCTAATTATTATGACACTCTTCTCACCAGTGGCACCACCGTTTCTTGATTGCAGGTGTCCATCATAAGATTCAATTTCTCGCGACTTGTTTAATATACTTTTCGCACCACTACTCAGGAGACTGTGGATTTCTCCTGCCAAGTTATCGAATCACACCGAATCACCGAGCGGACTTAACTCACTTGCATTAACCCCCGGATTCCGACCAGACCCTCGACACATGACGATATTCTTCGACTGTTCCACTTCATTGCTTCATTGTATGGGTCGATGTCTGATCACTATTGCGAACCAACATAGGTAACTTGGTTGGTAGTTTTGTGGTATCTGGTTTAGACTTCATTCACAAATTGATTTATTCACCCGTCAATCACATTCATGGTGGCACAAACGCAATCATGGATTTGTACCAATAGGACTGCTCACATCAGCAACGAGACATATTACGAGACATAGAGAACCCTAGCAGCGATAACAGATCTTTATTGCGAGAACCACGAAATAAAAACCTCTTCTGCAGACCAATTAGGAGATATCTTTTGATAAGTCGCAGACTGGAGAAGATCCGTTTTAAGATATCTTTTCACAATGGAACAAATGACAGGTGTGGATGTCAGTTGGATGACACACAGCTCAAGCAATAAAGGTCAGTGGAAGCAATAGTCACATGTAGTAAGGAAATTTACATGAAAATCTATCTTTTGTGTATTTGCGACTGACTGGAGTTATGTATTTCAGACGTAAAACGACCTCGAATGGTTCCGAATACGTCTAGCTCACAAGAAAAATCAAGTCCGCCCCCACCAAATGACTCTACCCCTCCAAAGAACGAGAATGAGCAACAGGTTACAACACCTTCACAGCCGATTCCAACTCGACCTGGTGTATCTAGAAATGTGTCTTCGGAAAGGATAGTTACAGCAAATGGCACACCACCAAAAGCCTCTACATCGCCCAACATGTCCCGCAGAAATTCATGGTTATCGAGTATATCCTCAAAGTTCACTGGGTCGCAATCCTCCAACCATACGAGCGCATCTTCCGGTGCTTCAGCGGCGGCTTCACCTACAGACCCTCTGATACATAGACCTGCAGGACCGAGTGCACCAAAGAATGCTGTATTAGTACATGGGGTAAAGGAGGATGGCGATGCACCTTACGTCCCGGCACCTCCGCGAAACGGTCCCAGCTTCTTACAAAGTGCTCTGCGGAGGTTATCAAACTCTGGTGGTCAACTGTCTGGATCAGCAAAAGGCCACAGTGGATTATGCGAAAGAAAGGTTCTAAACGTCGATCCTCATCGGGAGAGATGTCCCATATCCGGGCTTGAGCAGTCAAAACTGCGACGAGTAGCTTTTTGCGTCGATGTTGAAATAGCAAGTGGTCCTCGGTATACGGAGGAGGAAGAATCTGACGACACCGGAAATAAAAACAAAGAAAGGATGAAGCAGTCCCAAGAAAAGGGAGAAGGGGCTGCGTTGAAGAATCCGAACAATTCTAATACGGACACGGAACAAGAAAATGTCCCCAAGACAGATGATGTTGGTAAACCCGGCGAGAAGCCTTCCGAGAGTGCCCAGCCAAAAGACTCCAAGAATGTATCAGAAACCAGGGAATCGTCCCCACCAGCTGAGAAGGACAATACAAGAAAGAAAGAGAAGAAAAGGCGCAGCGAAGAGGAACGAAAAGCAAGGAAGGAGAAGAAACGAAGACTTGCTGAGGCGAACGGTACAATTCCAGTCGAGTTGAAGATTGATGATAGTGACAGTTCACTTTCAACCACTCCGATTTCCGCAACTCCTAAAACTCATGCTTCACCTACCACGGACCCTGCTCGAATATATAGAAGATGCTGCCAATTGAGAGAAACGCCAATTTTAAAGAGAATCGTCGAGCAACTCACAGCATCGGTGGCAACAGCTACACTTCCTGGTCTTGTTGGCAAATTAGATCTCTCAGGCTATTGGCTACAACTACCGGACCTCGTTACGTTAGGGGATTACTTAGCTGTAGTTCCAGTGAAAGAATTAATAATGGAAAATTGCGGACTTACTGATGAAGGTGTTCGTGTCATTTTGGCTGGTCTTTTGGCCGCCAAGTTACCAACATACGGTAGAAAATCGCGCGCTCGCAAAATGAGTCAGTGTCCTCAAGGTGGCATCATCGAACGCCTGGTTCTGAAAAACAACAACAAAATTAATAAAGATGGTTGGCGCCATATCTCTCTGTTCATTAATATGTGCCGGTCATTGAAAACCCTGGATCTCTCAAGAATTCCTTTCCCTCAGGGTGTCCGTACACCACCTGTGAGTGGTTCTGGGCATCTGAAGAAAACCCATAGTAATACGAGTAGTACGAGTAGTACGAGCAACGCAGTTTCTTGCTTATTTTCTAAGGCTATTGGGGATCGACTAGCCGGGTCAGAATTCGAACTTTTGAATCTAGGTCACTGTGGCCTCAATAGCGATCAGCTAAATGAATTAGTCGATGGAATTATAAAATCTGGTCTGCGGCGTCTTGGTCTCGCGGGTAATGCAATCACATCGGTAGGGGTAGAGCATGTTGCTAGATGGATTAGATGCGGCAACTGCGAAGGCCTTGATCTTGGTGGTAATGATCTGAAAGATTCTCTGAAGACCATTGCGAATGCCCTTGATGAGAACAACAAAATTTACGCCCTGAGCTTGGCGGACTGTAATCTCAATCCGGACTCGTTGTGGCACCTTTTCCCAGCCCTGGCAAAGTTGAAGGACTTCAAGTTCATCGACCTATCAGAGAACCATGATTTGTTCGATTCGAATCCCAGTGCACTTTCTCTCCTGCGCAGGTACGTTTATATTCTCTACCATTGGTTTTTGTGTGACAACTTATATGTGGAGATTAGTCATCTCTGTATGGTTAGACATGACGATCTTTGATATCAATTCTTGTTGTAACTGGCCCTATGATTTTCCCTTGATCCTATACTCATGAAGCCATTGAGTGTTCTGGCAAGGCGAATGTCGGAATATCATCACACTTGATAGCAATTATGTGCACAGAGACGTCACCGAATACATAGAACATTTATGTACTATTGCTGCAGCATTTTGACGGTCTCGTACCGCGACCAGTAATTTGCTTCATTTATGTCAGCAACTCGGACTTCAAGGCTTTGATTGAAGATTTTCTCAGCTCTGCTAAATCTACTCCCATTATGTTGCAATTACGATTACAGAGAACATTATTGGCTGACATATAACAGATATCTACCACGTTTGCCTCAGCTGAAGCGCATACATTTGACAAATGTATCCATGACAGCGGAACAAGCCATCGCCCTTGCGGAAATCCTACCAGAGAGCCCCAGTCTGGCGCATGTGACTATTATGGAAAATAAGCAACTAGCTGCTCTTGCAAGTGCGAAAGACGAGGCAAGTCAGGAAGAAGCTTGTGCATTATATGCCTCACTGATGGCTGCGGTCCGAGTTTCTCAATCAATCGTATGTATTGATATTGAAGTTCCATCAAGCGATTCGTCCGAAATCGTAAAGGCTTTGGCTAAGCAAGTTGTCGCTTATTGCCTATGGAACATGGAACGTGGCGCCGTTGCAGAGATCAGTGAAGCCGTTCCTGCAATGGCTGATCCCCATGGCACTGCAAATGAGAAAGATGTTGCAGTCCCTGAAGTATTGTTACACATTGTGGGACATGTAGAAGGAGTCCAAGAGAACCATGATGACGACGAACCAGCACCAGGCGAAGATTATGTAATTGGTGGGACAGGCGTGGTTAAAGCTTTGGGTATCTGTTTACGAAACAAAGGGAATGACTCTAGGAGACCATCAGCTGATCTAGCTTTCTCTGATTTATCTAGGCCGAGCAGCAGCTCGGCCACTCCGAACCCTGCTGTTAAGGGTGGCAAGGCCAAGGATATGTCGAAGAATTTATTGGGAAGTGCGAGGAAGATTCGGGCTCGATTACAACCTGCGCTAGTCAAGGAGTTGAAGGCTGGTGATCATCACAATTACAGTAAGAATTATCCATCGGTATGCAGGTGTGACTTGACAAAAGCTGACTACAAATCAGACCGATTACTGTTTCTTGACCATACATTACAAAATATGATCAAAAGATTCGAGGATGAATTTCCCGAGACCCGCTTATTACCATCACAACCTGATACGGAGCGAACAGCAACGATGGGCGATGCATACCCACCTCAAACTAATTACCAAGAATCAGACGTTGAACCCGAACCAATCTTCGCGGAGAATCAACCATCAGATGAAGAGGGAGGACACGACGACAGAGGAATACGTCCCACTCTATCTCGTCACAATTCTGATGTCTCGTTGGCCTCAAAAGCACTTTCGCAGGAAGAAGGCAGAATGCATCGCTTTGGACAGAAGATCCGTCGTAATATCCTCAAGCCTGAAGTTGAGGATAATCTCCACGGGACATCTGGACTCGAAATTCAGCCAGTACATATGCAATTTTTGAGATCCATGGTTGAAGACCTCCATGGCGAAGACATCAGAAACAAGCTAGAGACTCTTGGCCCAGATGCTGTAATAGCCGAGCTGAATAACGAAGCTAGTATTCTCCGACAGGGACTCATTGAGAATGATCCTGAAGGCTGGCAAAAATTTAAAGAAAGCCAAGAAGCTATGCAGAGAAATTCAAGTGTGGCGAACATTGGCTCGAGTGGGAATATGTCCGAGAGTGCTATTGAATGAGCTTCTCGGCCCCTGTAAATTGGGATTTGAAATTATTTTTGTTTTGTTTTCTTAGCATAGCGGGCTTCGGTGTTACTTACTACAGTATACTTCTTACATAACTTTTTCTCTATTGGATACTTCGACGGAAAATGTGTATTACTAAGGAGGAAACTTACTTTTAGCAAGTCTTGTAGCGTTGAACATGGGGATGCAGTCGTGGTACAAAATCTTGAATGAATGATTGTACGAGCAGGGAATAGGAAAGAAGAATTGTGATGTTAGATCAGTGTATACCAAAATTCTAAGATTCACGTATAGCTTTATTCACACCTTCACCTCATAATACAAGAATAAATACCCTATGACACTTTAGACTAAGCAACCACCACTCTCAACACACACATGTCTGTATATACGTGAAATACCAGCTGGTAAGAGAGAAACTGTATTCATTAACTTCATGGTTTTTTTTATCCATCCAGGTTCCAGAATGATCTAAATATCAACGATAGATTTCGCCATGAACGTATTTGGTAACATCTATAAATCTTTCCTTCCTTCCTTCCTTCCTTGCATCCATAAAAAAACCACCTAAATCCAATCCAAACCTCCTTCGCAGGTGACCTTGTCAATTAACGCCTGTAAATACCTAGGAGATACTAGATGCTAATGCTAAATACACGTTACCACTGGCGGCTATCTTGAATCTTTTGTCAAGCTTGGTGGTTAGTGATTTCTTCCTTTTGCTTTTCTCTTCTTCTTCTTTAGTTGAATAGGTACCTATGCATCTGATCTCAATGATTTCAACGCATCACGTGAAATTACACCCTTTGACTAGGTATTTTGCATGCGTGAATTCGAAACCTCGCGTTTGCGTCTAATTTCTAGGATCCCATGTTCATTCCGTCTTGTTGAATAATATGCATATGCAATCCCATGATTTCCACCATATCCTCATTCCGATGTATTCACTCCACCATTTTCCTTCAAGCGCTGCATCTCTTCACTTTTCTCCTTCCCAATTTCCTTCGGCCCCCTCTTACCTTTTCCACCCTCAAACACCCCAATAACAACAGAACCCTATCCAAGCACCGCCTCATCCCCTTTCGAACTCTCCAGATTCGAATTCTCCAACCCCCGCTCATATAGTCAAGCACTCATCCTCCTCTCACTCTCAGCACACGCCTCACAGACTCCTCCACCGAAAACCCGCGTGTGTCGGCGCCAGCCATCGCCGGAAATTATCTCGCCGCTTACTGCGGGGGTGTTGATGAGTGAGTTGGGTGGCTTGGTGTAGGAGCGACGACGTGGAGGGATGGTTTCTGTAGATGGAGATCCGGGGTTTCCTACGTAGATGGGAGAGTAGGGGAGAGGTTCTAGGGGTGAGGGTGGGGTGAAGGGGGGTGGTGGCGGTGGTCGGGAGAATGTTTGAGGTGAGGTCGAGATTGATGGTGGGGAGGTGATGAAATCGGAGGAGGATGTGGAGGATTGGTTGTTGGATCTGGGTTGAGATGGGTCGCTGGCTTCTGGATTTACTTTTTTGTCCATGTATAAGATATTCATATTGGATTTTTCGGGAAGAGGGGTAGAGGCGCGACTTGGTGGGAAATGATATTGTACTTTTGTGGCGGTGCTTCGTTTCCTCCGTGTGAAGATTGTGATGCATAGGAAGAAGAATATGCCTAGGAATAGGTAGGGAGAGGATATCCTGGAGAAGAATCCATATATATCCGCATGATGTAGTCCCATGGTGGGTTCGGAGACAACAGGCATGACGAATGACAGATGATGAGCTGAGTCTCGTGACCTCTCTTTAGATTATCTGATATCTTCGTGTCGATTGAAGATCGCAGACTGAGAGCAATGAGTGCGAGAAAGGAGATAGAGATGCGGATTAGAGAACTATATATATGTGAAGTAGATCAAGCATGTATCTACACAAACTCACTTGGGAGCTGAAGACTTAAGTAGAGATCTGAGCCGGGTGCCCCATTACGGAATAATGGATTAGGGAAGTCCTTCGCTAAGGAAGGAAGGGTACTTGGTAAACTCGAGGGCAATTAACCAAGACAACCCGAGACTACTGTCAGCAAGTGATCTCACGCGCATGCATGCAAATGTATGTAAGGTAGGCATACCCTCTGAATCCATGTGGAAGAAACTCGTCTGTCAGGGCCATGCAAGTAAGAGCGAACTAGGCGGACCAAATTTCTTTTGCCATCTTTTCGATTTTGCATGGCAATGAACGAAAGTAGGCGAACGCGATACTCCCGTCAAACCCAAACTAGGGGCGTTGTGGATGAGCATTTTTGCGCGGATGGAATTAACTTTCCCAAGAATCCTTGTCAGGCTTAAAGTTGTATGTCGAGACCTCTCAACCCTGTTTCCGGGTTATGCAAAACACCCCACTATAATCCTGGTATGGTACAGACAGAAGGTCTTGGTTCAGCCAACCTGGGTAGGGAATATAGTGGTAAAGAGGGGATTGTGGCCGGTGTTGGTGGCCAGTATTGCTAGACTAGATAGTTGTAGATTAGTTTTGTTACCACGTTGCGATTCCCATGTGTTTTTTATTTTTAATTTCTCCTCTTCTTCTGATTCTCGACAGGGTTGAAACAGTTGGACATGGATTCATGGCCCTTGGTCATCTATCCTCGGTAATTAACTGCATGTATCTCAATATGCCTGCTTGATAAACATATCATTCTATCTACTCGTATCTAATCCGTATTCCCCATCTTTCCAATCTTCTGACCCAGAGCTTTCCATTAATCATCGTCCAAAAAGTCACACGGGAAGGGGGCCCCAGGTCAATCGAATTGTGTAATGAAAAGGGTTCCACTCGTAAGGCTGCACGAAGGTACTACAGATACAAGGCTAGATTTCGCTCGAATCCCTCAAAGAATCCCGCGGGAGCGATCTCCCGCTTAGTTTCCAACATTTCCATCGTGAGACTTCTGATTATGGTAATGGCAAGCGTTTGTACAGCTCTCCTCATCTCACGATGGAGGCGTCGCAATATACCAGGCTGGCAAGATCTGGCTACTTCGGGCACTTACTGGTCTTAGATTCGTGTAAATGCTGTATGGTACGGTACTTAGCGGGAATAAATAGGCTTGGGTCATCGATAGCACGAGGCGTGGTACTTTATTGACCTGTACATTCCATGCCTACCTGATGTACCACTGTGCTGTCGCATAACATAGCATACCATCCATTTGTTCATCATTTTAGGAGAAGACCCCTTGAGGTAGGAATTAAACATCAACAAACGCGGCCGATTGTGCCGCCGTATTTCGCACCAATCCCATGTCAATGGTGGGACGAGATGAATGAAGGAGGCGGTAATCGCTGGATTGTACTCCGTAGTCTTAATCTTGCTGGGCTGGTAATGTTATGCTGGCGCCATAGGGTTATTATTGTACGTACAAAACGTAAGCCCGGTGTTAGAACCAACAATCGGAAGGTTGGTGATATTGTCTTGGGAATGGGATTTTATGGATCGATAAGTGTCTTGCTGTATACGTTATAGTAATTAATAGGACGAGATATGATGGTAAAAGCTATGGATTGTCATATGTCTTGGTGAATATCCGCAGGTTGATGAGTTTGGAAGTAGGCCTTGCTGGAAAGCCTATGCCAAGCCTATCTAGGAATTCTTCTTATCCATTACTTACCCTGTAGAGCGCGATGCAATGCGTAGTACTTGTGGTACTGGCACTGCAGGTATCCATTTGTTTATCATAGATAGATGAGATGGATCAAGGTCCGAAGGATCTGGTAATCTAGAAACCAATACAATTTTCCATGTTGTACGCAACATACGAAAGCCCTTTTGATCCTCGCCCACGGGAATGCTCGGTGGATGCAAAGAGAAGGAAAAGATCGTGTGAGACGGGTACGTGACAGACATAAACATTGGATACATTAGATTAGTCTATCTAAATCGACTAATTCGTAACTCATACACCAAGTTATCATTGCTCATGGCTCCCTTACTCGTAACATCCAGTTTGTGGTGAAGTTAAAAACAAAATGTTCTTGAGTTCAGCTCACATCAGCTTCGGCAGTCAACACTATCTTTAATTTCTGCGACGCCTCTCGGATAGCGCTTCGGATAATTGCAGCTAGGGTTCAGTGATTGGATGCTTTTAATTACTTGTGGGCATCTTTCAGCTGAATACACATGGCGGACTTTTCTTGATGAATGCTGTTTCTGTCCTTAAAATTCGTATTTAAGAATTTGGAGCCGATATAACAAGTTTATTTACCATCTAGAAAAATGCAGTAGGGACTTACCCTGTAAATGAAAAAGTGGAAAGGCGGGAAGTCAATGTTCTATGAAATGTTTGAATCAGCCATAGTCATCATAATCGTCCGATGAAGCAGCCTCAAAGCAGCAATATGGTCTGTATATCTGGCTCTAATTTCGTTGGGATGGCATTGATGGCTGGTACACCAGTACAAAATACGCGAATGGATGGATGAAGGGGTTGGTGTTGACAAACGAATCTTAACCACAGATTGCAGGGAATACGATCTCTAATCAGCACAGGTAGTTAAAGTTGATACCGATGAATTTGCTACTTTCGGCGGAAAATGATCTAAAAGATCTTCAAGTTTGATCGTCGAGGTATTCTGCAAAGATCGACAGATCAGGAACTTCTTCATTCAAGTTCAGCCGATCATGTCATGCGGCTCTCTTCACGAACCTACATATTGCATATGTCGCTTGCTGTTCATCCATGTGTAATGTAACAAACGGGTTGTTGACGTGGTAGGATCGGACCGTCATCGGTGAAGAGAGATGCTATCTCGGAGGATCAATCAACTGATTCATACCCACCGTCTTCGTACCTCATATACGTACGTATTTCGTACCATCACAATTTTCAGTGTCATTATAAGCATTCAATGGCTGAGACAAGATGCAGATGCTCGTGATCTCGAAATCGCCATCTATCTCATCGTAATTTGCCTCTCAGCGAGTCATCCACAGAATCGAAGGAATCCAGTCACGTGAAGTAACTCTTGAACAATAATCCTTTGGGGCTTGTCCCTCGCCGATTACCAAGTCTTATGGGAATCGCTACTATGTATCATGAAAACACCGATGAAGAAGGATCAATACACTTATCATCGCTTCCTTATATGCTCCGGAAGTTCCGTTGACAGCTTACCGTCAGCGAACGCACATGCTGTCCGTCCGTATGAACTCCGATTACACCGAACAGGAAGCTTTTGCGATGTGTACTTGCGAAATCGAGGAATCTTATCAACCTAGGGATGACGAGACATTTTGATCTTCTTCTATGGCGTACCTATAGAAGTTTCCTCCGTCCATGGACACTGCATGGACCATGATGCTGACAGAATGAAACGAGACGGAGACGCAATATCGTTTAGAATAGCAATACGCCAGCTGCGCAGAAGGGAGTGAATTTACTATAACGTTAGATGCGTGCTGATAACAGCATAAACAGTGGCAGAAATGGATCTCATATCAAGAGAGACTATGTTGTTTGTTCTCGTTAATATGGTTGGGACGTGTCGAGCTACTTCGTTCTACCTTATGGATTGGCCGCTCACCTCTCCATATAAATGGAAAAGTGTGGTGGTTGTTCATGAGGTCATATCGTGGCCGATATAAGTACGTCCGATGCAGGACGAAGATGTTGGTTGCTGTCGGATGCGCGATAGTAAAGAACATAAATAGCGAGGGCCTAGGTGAAGGAAAGATAACTCGCAGTAAATTTGACTGTATCGATTAAAGTCTCCCTTGAGAAGCTCATATGGAGGGGCCAGTGCAATACACAAATAGACAAGCTATTTTTAAAGGCCTGGTTGAAGTCACTCCTATCGTAGAAGTTGTATGAAACAAAGAGGACAAAATCAAAACAATAAATTCGGATGAACAACATGATATTATATTCGAAGATCTTGAGCCTCAAAGCGAGATCGGGACACAATGGTTACTTTTTATTATGCTCTTTATTAAATGTCGTCGATGTTGCGGTAATGCGATGGCGGGAAATCACGGGTCACGTGCAGAGCTAATGTCACCACAGACTCCAGCTCCGTTTTAATTTCTTTTCCACGTTTCATTGGAATTTACGACGAAACACCACACCGCCAAAATCGGAGATCCTCCAAAAATCTGCAAAAGCCTTTGTTTGTATTATTTGTATTGTCTAAGTCAATGTCATCGGAAGTAATTTCATACCAATATCAACCTCAAACTGAAAAGGAATTCCTAGTGGTTTGGTGGGCATGAGCGAAGATGTTTTAAACCCGGAGGAGGTGCAGGAAGCCATTAACGGAAGGCATTGAAAACGAATACTTGTGACTTTGGAGTCTGGACGATAAGGACTCTGCGTCATGCATAAACAGTCATTCGCACTCGGGAACTGGTGGCTACATTGATGGCATCGCTAGAGAGTCGGATTCTTGTCGGATTGCCATGGTGAAGCAATTGAAGTTCAAGCTAATGTGGCCGAATTCGAATTTTGCTACAGAGGAGTGTTTCTAAACTTTGATTTTGTACCAACAATGCCAGTCTAGGCTAGGTCCACATATGGGCTTCGCTACTAAGTTAATCCCGCTTCGCAGACACACGGTCATTGAAGATTTAAAGCTGCATTTTCCCAGACAACCGCACGGTCGTCAGGGGACTTTGACCATATTTGACGATCTGCGACAGGTAAGACCTTTGAGGCTATTGCTACGATTCTGTGGCAGTGTTTCTCGGATGAAAATAGGGCATTATTCATGTCCTAGGAGCTGGTCATGATGTCGAAACAAGCTTAACTCTATGACCATATCTGCATGAAACAGGTAAGTAGCCGATGGCAACATCCGATGACCAGTATTAGCTGCCTAACGCTGCGAAGTAGCGAAGTCCAAACACTTAGAGCATCAGCCTTAAGGTTGGAGAAGCAAAGATGAAAGATCCGAGATGAGATTTGAGATTATCCCCGGGTAATCTCACATCCTAGTATTGCATGATCGACTAGGAAACATCCTGTTTTGACATTTTTTTATCATGGAAGATGTCAGTTCTTTTGTGAGATACATCTCCATCATTAGCCTGATTCTCTCGGTGTGGACAAATCACAGATCAAGGCTCAAAGAATCTAGGTCCTTTTCTGATCCCCACAGCAACGTGGTCGGATCTTTGATGTCGCGGAGTAGTATCACCAAACCTCATTGTCTGGATGTATGTTTTCGAAAATTTCATGGAGAGAACATGGTTGGTCAAGCACATCAATGCACTTCCGTGCTCGGCATCCAGTCTTTTCATCCAACCAAGCTGGCGGTAGTTAATTTTTGTATAAAGAAGGTTCATTCTCCCAGTGGAATATTTTTTTTCATCATCAGCATCTTCAGCATCTTCAGCATCTTCTTCACTTTATTTTACAATCTTTCCATCTTGCGCCGGTCGCTTTGTATTTAATCTCACAAACTTTCTTTCAATAATTTCCAAAGTTTTTCAACTTCATAACAAACCAACTACCTTCAAAATGCAATACACTTCAACAATCCTCCTTTTGGCCTTCGGTGCCACCAACGTCTTCGCCCACGGTCTCCTCACTGATGTTCAGGGTGCCAACAAGGTTGTCATGCCTGCTCTTTCGGGTAAGTTTCCTCATCCCTTGGAGTTACTTATAGCTTCTTCGCCTTTCTTCTTTAGTCTCATCCCATTAACACGTTGATATAGTCGCCGACGGAACTCCTCGTGATTGCCCGTCTCCAGGATGCGGTGCCGAGGCCGATACCTCCATCATTAGAGCTAACGAGCTTGGTACCAACAGAGCTAGCGCTCTTGGCCGTACCTCCACTGGCCCAGTCGACGCTTCCAAGATGATCTCCATGTTCATGGGAGGCAATGCCAACAGCACCTCCGCAGTTGAAGCCCGTAAGATCCACGCCGCAGCCATGCATCGTCGCTCCCTCGTTGTTCGCGCCGCCAACGGTGGTGCCAAGACACCAAAAGGTACATCAGAGACCGGTGTCAAGGCTGCTGAAGGTGGTGGTGCCGCATCTGGCATGCCAACTTGCGCCGATGACGGAACTGTCAAGATGACCTTCCATCAAGTCAACCAAGATGGTGCAGGACCCTTGACCGCAATGATTGACAGCACCTCCGGTGGAACCGACCCAGCTGCCTTCAAGAAAGCTGCAGTTACCCAGAACGTTCCGGGTATTGGTATCGGTGGTCTCTCCGCCGCTCAAACCATGGATTTCCCAGTCGCCATTCAAATGCCAGCTGGTATGACTTGCTCCGGCTCTGTCGGTGGCGCCTCCGGTGTCTGTATCGCCAAGGTTCAGAACAGCGCTCTCGCTGGACCTTTCGGTGGATCCGTCGCTTTCACCCAATCCGCCGGTGCCAAGAAGCGTGCTATCGAGTACAACCTCAGCAAGCGCCGCTTCGCCCGCGCTCTCGCTGCCGATTCTGAGTAAACATCTTCAGCACGCTAGCGATGATCGAAGCGTACAGTGCCGATGAAGTTTTCTGGATGGAACAGGTTCACGATTAATGGTTATTATTGAAGATTGAAGAATGGCTCGGAATTCCCTTTGTGTTAGATTTTCTCCTATATCGGACAGTGAACTCTATCTGGCGATGGAGAATGAGATCTGCGATCTCATCTCTTGAGCTGGGAGAAGGGGTGGTCCTATAGATACTGTGATGATGAATTGGCTTGCACTTTCGTTCAACATACAAGCCTTTTCAGTAGATGCTGGGCACGGTACCTAAATCTTAATTTATGCTGATCAAAAACTGGCTCTCTTATTTGGTTTCTACTGTGATTGTGATTGTGATTTTGAATTGGTTCTTTTCTTTTTCTAAAGCAAACGAGTTCCAAGCTTCTACATTGCTCACATTCGCAAATGGGGTACAAAAAAATCCGTTCATTGCACAGCAACCGCTGGGTTTCTAAACCTTGTCAAATATAGAGAAAATCTTTGTATGGAACGATGCTATGCAAGAGTACTGACAGCTGCAGCATGAGTAGAAACGTGGGTGGCAAAGATGGTGTATGTAGATATTTGTCTAGATTGTATAGATCTACGTAGGCTAGAATAACTCCATTTCTGAAAATTCCTAATGGATCTATTGTTGGATATGGATTTGGCCTTATCAAATTTGATTCAATGTAAGATCTTATTAGAGAGACACTATTTGCGGAAGTGGCCTTGTATTTTGGGGAGTGGGTTTAGTATTGAGAAATTACAATGATTTATTTTTCTCACTTCTAATTTCTATCTCATGTTCAGTGAAGAGGTATCTGGCAAGGAAATAAATTTGGATGGAGGTCAAATTAGTCGCGAGCGGTAAGGGACACTGCTTACAAGTCTTATTGGCAACGATACATTGTATCTAAATACAATGATTAGCGTCTTTGTGTGGAATCATGTTGTAAATTTGGCTGTCCCTAAGTATGTATTCAGGCTTAGCTACTTGGTATCAATGAGGACAAAATACTAAAGCCCAATATCAACGCAAGCTCGGAGTCTTTCTTTCCAAAAAAAGGAAAAAGAAATCCTTTCGACACACGCATCGATAATTTATTGCCCCGTCCGCGCTGCACATCACCGCTTTCTTTCAGTCCTGTTCGGAATCTTTCCGGTCCATGATATGGAATTAGGTCGAGATATTGAGCATATAAAATTTAGCTTTTGATAGGACATGATATATCAACAACGGCAAGATGCAGAAACGTTATCGAGGCATGTCGATCAATTGGTTAATACACAACATCAACTTGAACATACATTACACTCGTGACGAGCCGATGCATGGAAACGGGCCGTTAAAAAGAGTTGCTTGTGAGCGGCAAGTACCCTTCCTCCAAGCACGTGAGCCTCAAGTCAAATTTAACGTCTTGGCACATTGTGGTGTGTAAAAGAGCAACTGTCAATGACCTCATTGGTACCCCTTGGAAGTTAAACGCATCAAAATACTTTCTCACCATATCGATTCATTTGTAACACAAAGTTTATAACAATGCGGTCTTTGGGTCGCACAGTGACGGATCGTTCCACTTTCTCTTTCATGTCATGCAAAAGATTCACTGCCTTCGTTCAAAGTTTTCATGTGGCTCCATGTGCCTCGCCTACAAGAACAATATGAAGGTATCACGAACAATACGCCTGTCACAAACAATATGTGCTCATATTTCTGAACTTCCGTGAAATTCTAGTTCCGCTTTCGATTCGATCTCGACTAAGTAGTCTAGGTTAAAATTAGCAATAAATTACTTATTCTTTGATTTTTATGCTGCCAAAGTTTCCTATTATTTTTTCGTACTCAAAATTTTGTGTCAATCTGGACTATTTCGGTAAATTCGAACAGTACCAAGGGGACTTTCATTGTTCTTAGCCGTGATATTACGACGATAGTATCAAGACCTTGACCCTCGCAATTCACTATCATATCCACAATACCATGGCAAAGTAATGCCCTTGCTATTATCTCGAGACACTGCCGTTGGGAGCACGACTTGTGGTGCCGTATCTATTTCAAGGCTCTTGGAACCACCTGGATATAAATCCTCTTCTCCTCCTACAAACAACTCATCAACACATAATTTCAACGACTTCAACCTTTCAAGCTTTCCTTACCAGTAACAATACTTCGATTATTCCATCATAGCGATTTTTGCTATTACTTTTTACATTTTCTCCTTCGAAACTTCTGCTACTTTGATACCCGAACCATACTTACGACTCACCACAACCACGGAAACGGTAAAAGCAAGATGACTTCCAGTAATTCCAGCTTTGATCCCTTCATGCAGAGCATTAATATTCTCATGGCTGATGGCATCACGAATGTGTCCATCACCCCTGTCGAGATCGACTTTTTCTACTACTACAATGTGGCTAGTTGTATCAACTATGGTGCTCAAGCCGGAGCTTGCTTGTTGATGTTCTTCGTCGTCGTCGTTCTCACCAAGACCGCCAAGCGTAGATCCATTCTCTTCGTGCTCAACATCCTCTCTCTCATTTTCGGCTTCCTCCGCGCTATGCTCTTTGCCGTTTATTTTGTACAGGGGTTTAATGAATTTTACGCCGCTTTCACAATGGATTTTAGCAGAGTACCGAGGTCGGCATATGCTTCTAGCGTTACGGGTAGTGTCATTCCTCTTTGCATGACAATTACAGTCAACATGTCTTTGTACCTTCAAGCTTATACAGTATGCAAAGGCTTAGACAACATACATCGAATTATCCTCACCGGCCTCTCTGGTATCGTTGCTCTTTTAGCAATTGGCTTTAGATTTGCTACAACAGTTGTCAACTCCATGGCCATTTTGGCAACGGCTTCTTCTTCTATGCCAATGCAATGGTTGGCGAAAGGGACTCTGGTTACCGAGACAATTTCAATTTGGTTCTTTTCCCTCGTGTTTACGGGCAAGTTGGTATGGACTCTCTACAATCGTCGCAGAAATGGATGGAGACAATGGAGCGCCGTGCGAATTCTCGCTGCTATGGGTGGCTGTACGATGGTGATTCCTTGTAAGATTCTCTTTTCCCGTCCAGTAATGAATATGAACTAATTTCAAACAGCTATCTTTGCCGCCCTCGAATACATAACCCCTGTATCATTCCCGGAAGCAGGCACACTCGCTCTTACCATGGTCGCGCTCTTACTTCCCATTTCTGCGCTCTGGGCCAGCATGGCAACTGATGAAGAAATGTCCTCTATCGATATGTCCAATCTTACCGGTTCCGGCGGCACCTACAACTCACAGTCCGGAAGCTATTCAGGAAAGACATGTACCAGCGAAGTCACAACACAATCCTCCCGCCTCGATTTCCAGTCCAGAAAGGGTAGTAATGCTATGGAACAAGTTACTACAATTGACTCCGTTGTGGATAGTCAGGCTAGATATGTTCCGCGAGATAGCACGGAGTTGGATCTTGAGGCTATGGGCGTGCGTATTGATAGGTCATATGGTGTTCAGAAGGCATGAGTGGATTTAATTACAGCTACGGATGAGATACCCTTGAGCTGATAATGAGAATAGGTTGGGCAGTCAAATGGAAACGGTGGATATTCAGGAAGAGGGCGATGATGAGCATTAGGAGCGTTAGGAATATTTGCACAAGTGCGAAGCGGATACAAACTTTACTTCTTCAAATTTATTTACACATACAAATACATAGTATTAATTTAACAGACCTCTTGATCAAAAGAGATCGATTTTACACATCAAGACCTCTTTTAAATACGATGACATGCTTCCATTCTTCACAGATTTGGCAAGTGCCATTCGCAACTTCCTGGCACCTAGAGATTTCCATCGTAAACGGAAAGAGCATTTCGGCATTTCAAATATCACATCATGAAAATCATACATCAAACCAAAATCACAACTCCATATCGTCATTCGTTCAGCTGTCCACACAACATAACTATTTCACTGCTCGGTTCCAGTACCCATCCATATAAAAGTATTCCTGCTATTTTGATTTTGTCTCCAAGTATTTACACAGCAGCCAGTGGATGCAAACTCTACAAAGACAAATATGTCCTATCATGGCTCATGGGGTCGTAGCACTTATGATCGTACTGCTCATCGCACCAATGGTCAATTTCCCTCCGCGACGAGAGCGAGATCGAAGCCTTCTTCTATTGATGGTCCTTCTACTCCTACTCGTGGGTGGAGTAATAGTAATCATAAGACTTTTAACCGGTGAGCCGTTCCCCGTCTCGATTGGCTCACGGCGTCAATTTTCACGTTTCCATAGCATGTCTACTGACGGTTGATATTTTATTTCATAGGTCAAAACCCATCGTAACATCCGCTCTTCGATGTCTGGTTGGAAAGTTCGAAGCAATGGATGCTTTGAGTCTTCCGATTCAAGATCCCACGCTTCAGCCGGCACCATTGCATTCAGCGCGAAATTCTCCTCGAAAGAGAAGCAGAACACGGGATTCTTCACAGAAACGATTATCGACAATCTTGAGCCCGACGAGTAGGGGTTTATCGAAGGATGAGAGTGTTTTTCTTGATGAATATCTGAGGAATAATACTTGGGGTGATACTCCTAGTAGTACGAAATCGATGATGCTCAGATCTCAAAACAGGCAATTTCAATCACGACGATTGAAGACACCACAGCAGTTAGTTAAAGCTATCAAGACCCCGTCGAAGAGCGAAAATCGAAATATTTCCTCGAGATCTACCTCTAAACATAGAAATACTACGAAAGTCGAAACCCCAGCATATGCGATACCAAAGAAGTCTCCAAATAAGAAGATAGGAAACATGATTAAGGACCGAATACGCTTTTTCGACGGAAGTCCCGACGAGATATTTCCCTCGAGTCCTCTGAAGACAAGTCCTCCAAAGACTGGGCCATCTAAATTAGCTCCAAATCATGATTTGCATCATCAAAATGTTGAATCTTCCCCAACTTCTTACAAAACAGTTATCGAAACCCAAAATCCAGCGTATAAGGGAGCAGCCGCGGGCTCGGTAAACTTCTCGAGAACATCAGAATTGGCTAGAGAGAAAAACATATTTTCAACACCTGCTAAATCGCAATATTCGCCTCCAGCATCGAGGAAGCAAAGAAAGTTTTTTGGTGAGGCAATTCAAAATCCTTTTCTGGCATCTCAAGAATCGTCGGAAAAGACGAGATCTTCGATTACTATTTCACCCCATACTTTACCGACGAAGCCACACCTATTTTGTAGACTTAATTCGGAGACGAAAGGTATGTGTATTATGACTTGATTAGTTTTCACAAGACTTAACCAATTTCTTTGTTTTCACAATTAATTATCCTATCGATGATTTACTTTTTTGAAGCGACGCTGACTTTCATCTCCAGTTGACCTAAGTCCTCGGGGTAGTTCATTAGCTCGATACGAGGTAAACACTACACCGACGCGAAATTTTGACGCCCCGAAAATCTCAAGACCAAGAGGAAGAACTATCCCCGGTCGTAAAGATCCCAAGACGGGCATTCAGAAAGATGTTGATAGTCGACGCAACCAAATCAATGAGAAAATCGAAGCCATATACCAAGCCAAGGCTGAAGCACGAAAAGCTCAAAATCAAGAGAAGATTACCCTACAAGAATGCTACGAGGTATCTCCTATGCCCAAAAACGACGGAAAAGAAGATGATGTTAGGAAACCTCAACGAATCAAGGATACTACCTCTTTTCGATCGAAATCGAAAGTTGCCGATATGAGATTGCGATTTGATGGTGGTGCATCTTTTGCTTCTACCGTATTGCCAGGTTCTGCATCTAAAGATGCAGATCGTGGAACAGTGTCTCCAATTAAAGATTGGGGAGTTCCTTCAGTTATACCTACTCCTCCACCTGCCCCACCACCCCCTGTTTTCTCATCGCGTCTTTGTAGGAAGGGGATTATTACTCCCAAGCATCATCTTCCTCTTTCCGTTCCACCTTCTAAAACTCCCAAATCTCCCTCTCCGAGAAAACAGACTTTATCGGAAATGCTCGTGCAGAGGGTATCTACTTTACCATTGGAAACACCTGAGAGAGTAGCGATACCGGGACGTTTACAAACACCCAAAGGAAAACCTCATATGATAGATGTAGGTGCCTCGCCAATATTATCACAGCTTGGGAAATCGGCAATTAAGACATGGCCACGATCGGGTATTAAGAAACCGAAACAAATAAGAAATGGTTTGATTGCAGAAAAGTTGAAGATGTTTGAAGAGATTTCGAGGAAAAATGATGACGGTGTTAGTCCTGGGAAGGGAAAAAACAAGGATAGTGACAGTAGTAGGCAAGTTGCGAATGGTAGGATCGCGAGGACGTTGGTGGATGGGAGGAAAGAATGTTTTGAGATGAGTCCTGCCCGAGATGGAGAAGACAGGAATATAAATCCTATATTCCCAAGTGTAATTATAGCGCGAGAAAAGTGGCAAGGAAAGGAAAAGGAGAAGGAAAAAGGAGAACAGAAAGTCGAAGACCGTGCTGATGCCATCGAAGTAATTGACCAAATCTCCCCACCAACGAAAACGAGACCACAAAGTCGAGAACCCAGAATCGAAAATAGACAACATGTGGTTGGTCGGTGGAATGAAGTCTCGGGGATGAATCAGGGTGAGGGCGAGGGTGATATATTGGGTCATTTACCCATTAAAAGAGGATTAAGATGCAGGATGCATACGGGTGGGATGGATTGACTGAGGGGAGAGAGATTGAGGAGTGGGGGTTTGATTGATGGAGGAGGTGGAAGGGTGGTGGGAGATGGGGAAGGGAGAATGGAAAATGGAATGGAAGAAGGGAAGGAAAAGAATAAAAAAGTTAAATGAAGAGGATGGTGGAGATTTGGGGATAAAGAAAGTTGATGAGAGAACAGAGAGAGGAAACTGGAGAAATGAGGGATGGAGCAGAGAGAAGATGGATCAATTGGGAAAATGCTATTAGGTATTACGGAGCTGGGGAGGACAAAAAACGAATCATTTTATGAGTGCTTTAGGACTTGGAAGAGAATAGGGTATTTTGAAGGTATGAAGGTCGGAGGCCTGACTTGTGTAGGATACTAGATATTCTTCTGCTGTGTTGCAATTGGTTGGGTTGGAAATTAAAATAGAGATAAAGAGAGAGAAAGGGGGGGTTTTATAGCTAGTGAATAATGATTAAATTCGTAGAAATAGACAAATAAAAAATCAAAAGAGTAAGGTTATGATTGGGGAATTGTAATCATGACACTACAATCAAAATGCAGTCACACAGTACACTTCAGAACTGGAATACTAGGTAATTAAGACTTATCATTTCAGCGATGAGTTGTGGTGAAATGAGATATTGATACTCTTGGAAATATATTATACAAAACGATGAATAAATAAGATCTTATCAAAATAAAACAAATAAAAGAAATCCAATTAATGCCGCATTCCGTTTCTGCAATCAAAACTTTGAGGGATTGTATGATATGCTACGATTATTTTCGATTCCTGTTATCAAAAGATAATAACGAATGAGGGGCATCTAGATATCAAATTTCTGTAGTCGGAACTTTGGTAAAATTGTAGAAATGTAGAAATTTAGATATGTAAAAAGACTTTCTTGTATGGTGTTAGTTGATCTATGGGAGAGGGATGCTTTTGTATTGGAATATGAGCCTTCCCATCTTTCTCTTTAGGATAGCATGAAGAACCTATTGTAATGTTACTAGCGATTCATCATCTGGTATATTCAAGCAGAACTGGAAGTTTTCTTAAATACCCATTCATCTCATGACACATCAAACCTCTACTAATTCTCGTATAACCAGTGTTGTATGTGTATGTGTAGATACATACTATTTACTTATTTAGTAGTTCGCCTTTCACTGTTCGAATAACTTCTCATCTTCCGTGATGTCATACTAGTACGCACTCCTCCGTTTAGGCTAGGTATTGTCATTGATTGCATCCCCTCATTTCTTCAATTCAAATATCAATACGCGCCCCCTCCAACAACTCCACTTAACCCCATTCCCTTCCCAATCTTCTTAACCAATGCCTTTTTCAAATACCATTCCCTAGCCAATCCCCTCGTCATCTTTGCAAAAGTCGGTCCACTTATCCTTCCTCTTTCAACTGCTCTGCCTAACACATCTATCGCATCCCCTAAACTTCTCTCTTCACATACTAATTCATATAGTTGGTTTCCTACAACTGTTGGTGCGACGAGTAGTTCATCAATGGAGGGTGGGGTACGATGTTGAGAGGATTGTAGAAGTTGATCAGCAGTTTGTAGTGAGTTGTGTAGGATAGTTGTGTTGTTGGTGAGAAGGGCGGAGAGGGATTCTAGAGCGCTGAGTTCAGATTGCATAGCATTGAGGGTGCTGAGCATGGATTTTTGTTGCGACTGGAGACCTGGAAGTGAAGAGGTGGTTTGGGTGGTATGATGAAGGCGTTGAGAGTGTAAGGCGCTGGCGAGTTTGTGGAGGAGCATGTCCTTTTCTGGGTTGGGTGGGACGGGTGGGGCGGGAAGGTTGGCGGATGAAGCGTCGGGAATGGATAAAGTTAAGGGTGCATCAAGAAGGTCGATTGGTGGTGGAGGTTTATGTTTAGCCTGGGGTTGTGATGGCGGGGGCTGTTGGTATTGCTGTTGCTGATGTTGAGGCCATGGCTGTTGGGGTGGATGTGCAGGGTATGGTTGTTGCTGCGGCTGGTGCTGTGGATGCACATATTGAGGCGGTGGTTGAGGTCTACCATTTTGAGGGGCAGGTTGTTGAATGAAATTTGAGTTGTGTGGTTGTTGTGGTGGAGCTTGCTGAGGTTGCTGTGATTGTGGGGGCTGCTGGTATGATTGGGAGTATGAGGACTGTCTATATGGATCTTCTGGTGGAGTTATCGGACTCACAGGACTGTATGATGGTTCCCGTAAGTTTTGCCTGGATTGTTGAGGCGGTAATGGAGGAGCACTCTCATAACGTAGACTACTACTCCTTTGCGGAGTATGTGATTGTCTGTTTGGCGATTGTGGCATTGGTGGTCCATATTTGCTATTATCATATCCAACTTGTGTAGGTAACGGGGGTAATGGTGGCCCAACATCTCGCCGTGAGGAACCTGAAGGAGAGTATGGTATGGCATTGTTTGTAGGTTTCGGTGGGGGAGGAGGAGGTCGATCGTCATTTAATGGACGTGGGGAAGCTGGGCTTGGTATTGGTCGAGCTACACTGGGAGGAAGTGGAGGTAAAGGAGGAGGTATAGCTGTCGATTGTGGGCGTGGCGGGGGATTTTGTTGCTGTTTCGATATGACAGGGGGCTCTTTGGCAAATATATCTGTGAGAATCGCTAGAAAATCAAGTACATTGGACTTCTGCATATTTCAATTCATCAGTATATCTGCGAAGCAATCAAAATTTCAGTATGTCAAGTTATGCGACTCACATCCCAATAGTCTGGCCACCTCATTAAATATGGATGATAGACCTTCCCCTGTGGATCTACATGTTGACCTGCTCTTACTACCATTCCCTCCACCGGCGTCACATATACTAACGGGGCTTCATGCGGATATGCATGAGGTATCCATAGTGCGATGGGGAATCTGTAGATTGTGCCACGGAAATTTACAGGTAGGGTGCCAGAGAGGTGAAGGAGAAGGGAAGATGCGCCATTTTCGTATGCTATTAAACTTGCGCATCAGTATTTGAGCTTCCTATGTAGTCTGTAGGTGGAGCACATACTGTAGACATCTGTTCGTGGGGATAATGAAGCATATTGAGAAAGTGTCTGGGCGACGTCATTATATGTACGATTTACATCTCGGTATTCCTATATTGTGCGTTAGTTAGTATGGGTGAATTGATATATGCATCCTTAGCAGATTTACATACACTCGTAAGAACACTGTATAACCAATTCAAAACTCGCTGTTGAACACCAGCCATTATATTAATAAGTGCGCTCTGACTAAGATATTGAGGTTGTTCAGACCGTGGTGATATGATGGATGATGGGGTGGGGTGGAGCTTGGCTGGAGCGTATCATGTGATAATTTGACTAAACGTTGTGCAGCACCAAAATGTGGTAGGATATTGATGTGCCCGGTCGCAGGGGATCCTGAAACATTACCTAGTCCTTCGACTCGGGCCCTAAATTTATTAGTTAATGTTAGCATGTCGCATGTCGCACGTCGCACGTCGCATGTCATATCAATGTTGTCAATCATTAATCTATCCGACAACTTCGCTGTAATAAATTGGACCATATATTCATTGATCTGAGAGAGAATCAGATGATATTCTGATGTTTATGTTGCTATGTGCTATGTTATTATGTTATTTATGATCGTTAATCTAATTGGCTATTAATCATACTTCCCATCCAGCTAATTCAGCCTACTTTTTTTTTACCTACCTAGGTACGGAAGCCATCAAGAGAAATAAGAGTTAAACTCTTTGACAATTACCAAACAACCTTAAATGGAAAAATGATTAGTCTGAATGGGCCGATGCCGCAAAATCCGAGAAAAAGGTGCTTCCTAAGCGGAAAGTCGATTTTTTCACACCATTCTTTATTATATATGAGGGGCGATCTCCCCCTCCAAAAGATTTCTTGCAAACTTTCCAAACATTTCTCAACGCAACATATTTCTACTGCCTTTTGCACACAACAACTTTGCAGTTCATATGCAAAGCAACTACAAAGATTATCGAAAAGGCTGAGGAGTATTGGATAAAAGATCCTATACTCCTTGCGTCAGGTCAGATACTTTAAACCTATCTCTCTTTTTTTCAACAGACCATGCTTCCTCCACTTCCCAAACTCAGCAAATACGGGATATCTCCAGAATATGGATTTCTTCCGGCTGATTTACCTCTTGAACGACTTCCCGATCCATATTACAACAAATGGGAGGCGATCATTGCGAACCTTCAAGGTTTGATCTTGAGCAAACGCTTGCGCAGTGTCATTGATCGTCTTCCTGTTCTTTCCACCGCCGGTCTGGAACATGATTCGGAATGGCGAAGAGCATATTCGTTGTTATGTTTCATGGCGCATAGCTATATATGGGGTGGTGATAGCCCTGAAGAGGTTTGTACTCCTTTCCGCAGTTTTCGAGCGTCAGAGCCTTATGCTAATTGTTTTGAACCTACAGCACTTGCCGCCATCCATTACGGTCCCCCTATTACATATTTCGAACTACTTGGAAGTACCACCAGTCGCCACATATGCTGCTGTCTGTCTCTGGAACTTCAAACCATTGTTCGCAGATGAACATGTCGACAATTTGGAGAATCTTGCCACTTTAACCACATTCACGGGCTCTATTGATGAGTCTTGGTTTTATTTGGTCTCGGTGGCGATCGAGGCTCGAGCTGCTCCTGTTCTTCCGCTCATGCTTACAGCAATTGAGGCGGCTCGTAAGAATGATAGCAGGACTGTTACATCTTGTCTTCGAACTTTTGCGGAAAGGCTCGATGATCTTGGAACACTTCTTCAGCGCATGCATGAAAGCTGCGATCCTCATGTGTTTTATCATCGAATCCGTCCTTTTCTCGCTGGTAGTAAGAACATGGAAGAAGCAGGGCTACCAAATGGGGTTTTATACGATGAAGGTGATGGAGTTGGTCAATACCGAAAGCTCTCTGGAGGTAGCAATGCCCAGAGTTCCATTCTTCAATTCTTCGACATTGTTCTAGGCATAGAACATCGTCCTACAGGTGAGAAAAAGGACGCCGCATCCGAAAGTGAACTTGAAGGTAGCGCTCCACGAACCAAACATAATTTCCTTCTCGAGATGAGAAAATACATGCCAGGAGCTCATCGACGATTCCTCGAAGACATGACTGTGGTGGCCAACATCCGTGATTATGTCGAAGCGCATACCGACAATGATGAATTATGTCTCGCATACGATGCTTGTCTCGCCATGTTGCGCACTTTCCGCGATAAACACATCGCAATTGTAACTCGTTACATTGTAATCAAATCACGCGAATCGCGCTCTCATTCTCGCTCCATGAGTCCGGAAGCAAATCGTAGCCGAAAGGTAGATATTGCTACGGCTTCTCGCGGAAAAGGCGATGATGAAGAGAAGAAGAGAAAATTGAAAGGCACAGGTGGTACAGCACTTATCCCTTTTTTAAAACAAGCAAGAGATGAAACCGGAGAGCCAACAATTGATTCCTGGGCGAGGAGAGTCATGAATAGAGATTTGGATACGAAGGGTACGGGAGATTTCTTCGTGGGAAAATTAGATGAACGAACTGATGGGGGATTGGAGTTGGGTGGATTGGCTGGAACTTGGACTTTGGATGAGGAAGTCGGGGGTTTGTGCCATTATTAGGAGACGGAGTACGTACGTGTTACTTGTCACAGCGTATCTTCCCGTTCGGCATGAGCGAGCGTTTAGAGTTGAAATTAATAGTATCCTATCAATTCATCACTATTCATATTATTAGTCAAAATCAATCAATGATATTTTACCACCAATATGAATAAATTATTAATATTTGAGAATGAGGAATCGTTGTGTATATAAATGAAATGATAGGAGAGATATAGATGAGGAAGATGAACGAATAAACAAACAACTAATTAACTCATTGAAAATATACAAGATCTTAATCTCAATCTTAATCTTATAGTTCTCTCTATTACAAGAAATCTATTTCATTTCATTTCACTTCATTAATTAATCTTATAAACGCTCAAGAGCTTGATAATAAAAAGTATATATAAATTTATATTAACTTACTTAGTATAGATATAAATACAAATATAAATATAGTGATATATGTATTCGATTAGATAACTAGAAAATAAATAAATAAATAAATAGATGAATAAAAAATAAATGTATATACATTAAATACTAAACCCTTAGCTACATATATATATATGCACCAATACAATACGCCTGCGCAGTCAGCGAAGAATATATAATGTAGCCAGCCCGATTAAATAATCTTCCTTCCTTGCTTGCTTGGTTGCTTTCATGAGCACATTCCTATCGATCCTGATCCGTTTATTTATATCCATCCTTCTCTTACATTTCCATATCCATACCCTTCACTCAATTAACCCCTACCATCCATCCATCCATCCCATCATCTCCTCGCACTCCTCCCTACCCCTCCCCCTGCACCCACACTCGAACCCCCCACATCCCAAGAAGCCCTCCTCGATCTCCCGGTCCTCTGTTCCCATCTACCATTCCCATTCCCCTTCCCCTTCACATCAAACCCATAAACATCAAATCCCACACTAACACCATGTTCCGGAATACTACTTAGAGAAATCGTTGAGCCCCTCTTCCCTCTTTTCGAATAACCATTCACGCTATGTAGATAAGAGGAGTTATTTTTCGAGGAGAGTGCGCGTTGTTTCGAGAGTGTGGATGGATGTGTATTTGAATGTGTATATGGTGGGAAAGGGAATGAAACACCGTGAGATGTGTTGATATTGGTCGTGGGCCAATTTCTAGAGCGGGATGAGGGGTTTTGCCAGACTCTTGGGTTTGTGCCTGGGACTACTTTGGGTTGGGTTGGTTTTATGTGGTTGTTGGTGTTGTTGTTATTATTGCTGCTACTGCTTTTGGAATTTAGTTTAGTCGTGATCGTATCATTGAGATGTCCCGAGATATTCTTCCCCGTTCTCTTTTCCTTTCCCTCGCCCTGAACCTGAGAACGAAAAGAAGTCCGCAATGATTGTAAAGCTTCCACTCCATTAAATTCCTCCTTTTTATTACTATCAGATCCACTTTCTACGTCGACTTGAAATACTACCCCTTCATCTTCAATGCCCTCCCTAAGTTTCTCCAGCATCTTCGGATCAAGCTCGTTTTCTTTGATGTTATATATATCCATCATGCGATAGATGAGTTTTCGAGGGAGTGTATCGGCTTTGCGGTTCATGCATCCGATAAGCCATTTTTTCACTTCAGGTGCTTCGTTGGATTTCGGGCATCTTTGGGTGGTGGAAATAGGTGTGGATGTTGAGGGGGGCATGAGACGAGTGGTGTCAAGACTGGAGGTGCTGGATAGTGATGATAATGAAAGTGATGATGCACGGTTGGAGGTAAAACTCCAGTCCTGTTCTTGACCATCGCAATCTGATGTTGGTGATGTGACGATGATTGAGATGAGATTTTCTGAAGACGTCTTAGGTATTTGTATTTCCTTCCGTGTATGTTTCGTTGATTGTCGGGTGGTAACCTTCAGATCTTTGAGGGCTCCAGTTTGATCGCGGGGACTGTCCTGATTTGTAGAGCTAGGTTTGCATCCTTCGGACTTTTTGCTTGATTTACCATACCAAGACTTCCTTTTATTTGGGAGGCTTGCCCCATTTGGTGGTGCTATGGACGTCTTGGTCCCAGGTATCTCCAATGTGGATCCAATGGCGACATCCTTGCAAGTATCAACAGTATATTGCGATGATGTTGTCATTGGCGAGAAATACCTCCTCCTTAGGATTGAACCCTTACGTTTTCCGAGCTTACTGCCATTTTTGATATTGTCGACGCTGGCTATATCATCCTTCGACCTTCTAGATGTTAGTATCAACTGTGGGACTAAGCGGACAGTACTGAGAATCGGCCACGTACTTTTCCTTCCTGCCAAAGGATATCCACTTTAGGTAATCCATGTGTCCAACTGCAAGGGGCAACGTTCGATCTTTTCGATACTATTGACTTTTTCTTTGATGCGTCGATAATGATTATCGTAAACTGTCTTCGCCCACAACGGACTTGTTGATAAGAATGGTGTACTTCATCATCCGGTTAATCAAGGGGATGGCCAGTATAAGTTGACGTCGCATGCAACGGTGAAGCCTATGAGTTGTCTTCCCTATATACTAAATCGAAACTAATAAATTCGGAGCTGAAATTTGAGATAAGAATCCGAGAACTAATGGTGCAACAGGAATAATATGCCCCGCCTAGCATGTGCGTGGCGAGGCGTAAACTAGTCTTTTCGGGACAAGGTTCTTTAAAGAGCTGAACAGATCTTCCCCATCCGGTAACCAGGTTACAATCGACGTGGTGAAATGAAGCGGAAGCTTTGACGTGGTACTAGGAAGAAGTCTTTTTGAATTTCGACTTATCTGGAACGAAACCGAATCTTATACTCTCATACTCTCAATGGAAGTGACATAAGTGGAGCTAACTCCGACGTTTTTGAAGGCGTGTAGTATTGACTTGGCGTGGCTAATATCTGTGCATGATTATTTATCTTTTCCCGGTTAGGAGTGACACTAGAAAGTGTAGGGGACGGGGGTGTCGGAGGCATTTTCATGATGCCACTATTGATTGAATTAGCAAATGTTAATTTTGGGGTCCGGTATTTGGCGCCGGACGTTAACAGCACATACTTTGACAAGTCTCCCGTATCAGCTAGCATGGCATTGCAGGTGGCGTTATGATTGTTTTGATGATAAGATAGCTCATCAATTTTCCTGCAAGTATCCTTGAGCTAGTTCCCAACAATCGTAGGAATGAGCGATTGGTCTATACTCACGCTGATAACATGGCAAGTTGTATTTGAAAGATTCTTATGCTCTCGGTTTTCCTCTCATCAATCTCTCTCTGAATGCGTGTTCTCGAAGCCATCCAAGCAGCCTTTCTCTTTACTCTAGATATCCTACCATATCCATCCCCTTTGGTTACCAATTCAGCGCTCGTTCTCAATTCTCTATCCATCACTCGCATTCGTTCTAAAGATCGTACATAAAGTCCTTGGAAATACTTGAAATCGCCCGTCCCGTATTTTCGATCAGGTTGACGAATGAGGGAAGCTAGATATGCATTATTCAGCATATCAGTCTCTGTTTCGAGAAGATATATTTTGTCCAATGCACTAGATATCTCGGCTTGTGTATCAATGGCATCGCGAAGACCAAGAGCATGTGCATAGAAACCAGCAACTACAGCTGCAACGAATGTGAGCAAGCCAGTGATACTAGCAGCAATTGACAGTGGACTGTCGGACATAATGTCTAAAGGGAGTGGCCCAAGAACTGGCCCAAAAAGCGGCCCAGATTAAAGTTTGACCAAGGAGGCTTGGGGAAAGAGAACTCGAATGACGAGATCAAATGGAATTATGGGATCGGATGGATTGGATCTTTTCGATTGATATCCGAAAATCAATATTAGGCAGAAGATGCAGATTGCATGGGTACACAGCTGGAAGCACAGCCACTCATCGGGATATTTTTAATAAATGCAGGTACGACCCAATTGGGAAAGAGATGGAAAACATCTTATGATAAGAGAGATGGATGATGGATGAGTGGGAAGATCTCTCCCAATCTCCCCCAATCGCCTTCATCACCCTCATTCAATCAACCCCTTCATTTTGGTTTTCTCCGACACATGTGCAAACAAACATTGTGAAACTTTTCACACGTTATTCGTAATGCTCGGAATTTGCTATCCAGAATTGGAGAAATGAAATATCGAAAACTAACATGACACCTACCTAGCATTTACTTGGTCATGACCCCAATCAACTCATGTGGCAAGTGTCTATCTAGTAGCTACTTGTGTGCTGTACAGCCCGTACTCAACACCGCAAAAGCTCACCGGTCGGATCGTCCTCTACATGCCCGCCTATTCGACGCCCTACCTCACTCACCGACGTTCCACGTAGTAGCGTAGTACAAGGTGATGCAAGATGTTTTCAGACAAGAAAGGTGTAACACAGTAACAGTAATACCAGTGATACTTTACGAGCTATGCATTTTCCTGCTTTCCTTGCTTCTGTTTCTTTGCTCCATCAATTCATCCTATGACTCCCCTTCTATCTGATTCGTAGACTCGTAGATCCTCTTCTCACACCATATTTGCCGCACATGATGCATCTCCAGCTCGCTCTTGCATTTCTACGCCCCATACACATCCTAGATACGGAGAAAAGATTGTATGGATGGAGTACACGCAGGCCAGTTGCAGAAGTTGCTCAAACATTTGAATATCCATCGTCTAACTGGCAAAGGAGATTTGTCACCATCCGAGGTCTATCCACCAGTGATCACCAATCGACGTGTGTGATCTGATAAATCCAAAGCAAAACATAAAACATCGGATGAGCACGTCCAAGCACGTTTGAGCAGATCCAATATTTATTTTTATTTTTATTCATATTTTGTTAAGCGTTTTTAAAAGCGCTTCAAGATTCAACTTGTTCTTGGTATGATAACCTCATTCGTCAGCAACAGGAGAATAAAATATACGTTTTTGACCCTTCATCCCACAAATTACATCTTGTTCTCCAATTAAATTTGTCCAAAATGAAGCTTCAACGAGGACTTGGAAAAATGTTCTCCATGGCTATCCTCCTTGAAACCAGGCTGAGACCTGATATAGATACTCTGACACGTAAGAGGATTTAAACTGACAATGGCAACCTTTTTATTAATTATAGGTACCGTATATGTACCCAGGAGGCAGGATCCAGGAGAGTTTCTATATGTACACATACTCCTTTACAAACTCACGAGAATATATATATATATTTACTTCAACTTGTTATAATAATTCAGAAATCAGAACCCAGAACTCAAACTCAGAAGCAAATTGTCTAAGCCTCGATAAGAATAAACGATTGTGAATCAGTGACGCAGATAAAACCAAAGAACCGACCACTTTCATACGAACGAACGAAATTATGGTTATGTTGTCCGATTCACCTGTTGCAAATCGATTTGCCATCATTAATAATAATTATTCAACCACAGAGAAAGGCACGATGAATGAAAAATCCTTCGAAGCTTCTTCAAATACAACAACCATGGAGTCGTCAAGAGCTACACCTCCAAAGACCTCAATAGATACTTCCTTCGATGACATCGATCCCGAGTTTGAATTTGTTGGAGACGTCAATACGGACAATGAAATACCCTCGCAAGATGCCCTGAAAAAGATTGAAAGTATGATCGTTTTAGACAGAGATGGGAAGACTCGACCGTTCAAAAATTTATATTCAGGCCCGAATGTAGCGAGAAGAGTCTTAATTATCTTCATCCGGCACTTCTTCTGCGGGGTAAGCTTCCTCTTCAGTTGCATAATATACCTTGTCCCTAACTTTTGTCCTCTCTGCTAGAACTGTCAAGAATTCCTTCGAACCCTGGCGGCATCCATAACCGAAGATTCCCTCCTCCAGCTGCACACTCCTACCTTCATCGCAGTAGTTGGATGCGGCAGCCCGTCTCTAATCCCCATGTACCAAGAAGCCACAAAGTGTCCATTCCCAATATACGCAGACCCTACCCGAAAGCTATACGACGAGCTAGGAATGATGCGCACGTTGAATCTGGGCAGCAGACCAGAATATCAACGCAGATCAACAATACTAGGAATGGCACAGAGCGTGGTACAAAGTCTGAAACAGATCAAAGGTGGCAAGTTATTCCAAGGAGGCGATTACCAACAAGTTGGCGGAGAATTTCTATTCGAGCCCGTACGAATGGCGACGCCGATTTCCTCACCCACGGATGAACACTCAGGGATGTACGCAAATGGAGGTATTTTGGGCAATGGTGATAAGATAGGCGAAAATGAAGGATATGAGGATAAGATGATTACGTGGTGCCACCGAATGAAAAACACGCGAGACCATGCGGAAATCCCAGAGATCAGAGAAATCCTCGGATTTGACGAAACAGGCGACGGCGGCAAGAATCTGAAGAGATGGTCCAAAGCATTGAGCGAGAGAAAGGGCACGGCAATGAGTATCAGAGCTCGAAGTAGTAGAGGAACGAGCTTGAAACTCGAGGGTATGAGTGAAGATGGTGGTAGTATGCGCAGCAGGAGAACAACAAGTAGTGAAAAGCACTTGTAGATGGCGATACTGCCTACTGATATCGAAGAGCTTAAGTGTACTGTATTATATTATAAGTTAAGGCAAAGTGGCATGGAGTTTGGTCTGTATATTTTCGAGGATTATCTATTATCTCGGCGGAGCGATATATTGGGGGAGTTTGTCCATCTCGATGATGATTTTATCCCTTGAAGACTTACTTGTCTTTGTTGTATCTATCTATACCCAATTCAATTTCGAGATATTTTCTTTAGGAATATAATATTCTTCAAAGATTCCATTCAATTTTCCGATATCACGTACATCCTACGCGTCAAATCACACCACAGAAATCACATCATACATATCACATAAAAACATCATCGTCAAATCAACCCTCATCTCACTTCCATTGATATCAATCATGCTATGTATGAATCCACATCATCCCCATCACTGTACATACATACAAACATTACACACAAAAGAAATTCGAGTAAACTGCCAGTATACCATGCATGCATTTGATCGACACAGCCATTCACATCACTTTCCACCCAGCCCTCTTTCCCACCTCCCACAATTTCAGAGATAAATCCTCCTCTCCCATGATATGCCCAGGCCAGCCCAACCATGATGAAATTCTCTCTTGCCTCCGGAGAACAAAGTTTCCCCAAGTATCAAATCATAAACAGGAATAGAAAAGAAACTAAAGGGAGTTTTGAGTTTTCCGCCTATCACCACCATCTCTTACCTCCCTCCGTCCCAAAGTGAGTTAAAAGAACAAGAAAACAAAACCAAGTACATTTGCGAAGCCTTAAGGCAGTAAGTATGTTTGAAAATTATTCTAAATAGTCGCCTCAACCTTTGGCTGTCCATTAGGTAACCCATTTGCAGAGTGTCCATTAACTCCTGGTGGGCTAGTAGTTTTCGGATCACCACTTGCAGATGGAGGTCCTGAAGCTTGTGCTGAAACGATTCCTCCCTTTTTATCTTCATCTCCATCATCATCATAATTCTCGTCTACATCCATCTTTCGTGCTGCTCGTTCAGGCTCGCTAACTGGTGCGGGCTGTGTTGGAGCAGGTGGAGGCTGTTCCATTCGTTGAGCTAGAGACGGCTGTTGCGATACTGGTACTTGTTGGCGATCACGATCATCTACCGGAGCTTCCTTGATTGGAGTAGCTTGCCGAGGCAGAGAAGGCGGTGGGCCTACTTCGTATGTGTGCGGAGGTGGCGGACGTGAATCTTGTTGCATTGCTGGATGGCCTTGCATACCATGGGTTGGTGGGTGATGTGCAGCTTCTGAGGGATGATAATTCTCGTTCGCACGACGTTGCTCAGCAGCACGTTGTTCAGCTGCACGGCGCTGGTCTTCAACTCTTCTTTGAGTATCTGCTTGTCTTTGCTCTTCGGCAAGGCGTTGTTCTTCAATTCTTCTTTGGTCTTCAGCACGACGAGCTTCGGAGGAGCTACGATGGAACTGTTCCCGATCCCTTGGTGGAGTAGAAGGTCTTCGGTGATGCATGTCTTCTAGTCGAGCACGATTTTCATCTGAAGCAGGCTTTTTGACTGAAGGTTCGTCTTCCCACTCACGCAGTCGCTTTGGACCTACGGAAGGCGGCCTGTTATCACCGCGATCGGCGGATGCAACGGGCTCCGGCGCAGTTAAGCCGGGTACCGGTGGTAAGGCACCTCCTTCAATTACACTTCTTTCAGGGATATCAGTATGGTGTGGATATGGTGGTTGGTTGGGATAAGTGGTCTTGGGAGATGGCATGGTTGCACTCATTATTGGTCGAACTTCTGGTCGAGGACTATTAACACGGCCGAAAGGGGGTAAAGGACCAGGACCAGCACCATTCATTCCATTTTGAGCTGGTGGTATTACGGATGGAGGACCTGGAGGTGGAGGAGCGTAGTTTGTATTCGCAACTCTTTGTGGCTGGGAAGGAGGTCCTTGCGGTTGTTGTGGATGAGAAGGTGGAGGCGGCTGTGCTCCTGATCCCGCTCCCGCTCCAGGGCCCGGATAAGGACCTAGGGGGTGATGGTCACGAGTATCCCTTTGATCACGGGAATCACGTGGATCACGGGGATCACGGGGATCTCTCGGATCTCTCTGCTCTCTTGGATCTCTCTGCTCTCTTGGGTCTCTAGCGTCTCTGGGATCTCTAGAATCTCTTGGGTCCCTTTGATCTCTGGGGTCACGAGGTTGAGGTTCCGCGACTCGAGGGTCAGTGCGAGGGTCAGCGCGAGGATCTTTGAATTCTGATTTGAATTCTCTTGGGTCTCTAGCGTCTCTAGAATCTCTTGGGTCTCTAAGATCTCTTAAGTCTCTTGGGTCTCTTGGATCCCTTGGATCTCTGGGATCTCTAGGCTCTCTCATATCTATGGGAGCTCGTGGAGGTGAGCGAGGACGTGGCGGGAGTGCCTGACGCGCATCGGCACCAGGATATGGCCTCATTTGTTGATCTTGCCTGGGACTTGGTACTCGTGGTGCAGGTGGAATTGGACCACGATCAGCTGGGCGTTGTTCATAAGGGTTAGGTGGCTGAGGAGGAGGATTAATTTCAGCAAGCCTGCTTCCCCATCCATTGACCGCAGGTGGCCCTTGAGCTTGTGCTTGAGGGGCAGAGTTTCCCCACTGAGGCCCAGGAGGTCCAACAGCGCCGGACACTTGATAAGCTTGCGGATGCACATCTTGTGGTAAAGGAGCAGCTGCCTGACCTGGCATACCATTGGTCTGTCCACTGCGCAATAATTGCAAACGAGCTTTGATGTGAACATTGTTAGGATCAAGTTCGGCAGCACGTTGATAAGCATCCAAAGCGTCGTTGATCTGGTTGTTACATGATTCATACTATAAAACGATTAACAATGTCTCAAACACGACCGGCTGAAGATGAAGCAAACTTACCAGTGTACCCAAGTCGTACCAGACCTCGGAGATGTACGGGTTCAAGCGTATCGCGCGGGAATATGCATCAAGCGCATCTCGGTACTGGTTAATTTGGTAGTACAAAACGCCAATCGAGCACCAGAAAGTCGGATTCCGTCCGTCTCGATAAACAGCTTGCTGATAGGCCTCGTATGCCTTGGGGTACTTCTGTTGTGACATGTAGCACCGACCAAGGAGGTACCAACTCTGTGCATCGCTTTGATCTGCCACGTGTTAGCGTGTGAAATGTGAGACCGATCATATTTGACGAGTCTTACCAGAACCGACAGATTGTTCCAAATACTCAATGGCCTGCTCTTGACTTTGAAAGCTAGTACTCTGTTGGTGATGCAGCCATCCAAGTTGTTGAAGGACCTTTGCATGTTTTGGATCCCGATCGAGAACACGCTTGTAGGCAACTTTGGCACTGTCGTACTACAACCAATCTGTCAAAATCATCCAATCACATTCCGACTTTCAAACTTACATCTTTTTGTTGCTCATGAACATGTCCAATCTGAAACCAAATGTCTTCTTCTGTCAATGGAGTTGGTGGTACAGCGACAATGTATCGGAAACACTGCAAATAATCAGAACACATGTCATGACCTTTTAATCAGATGACTTACTTCCAAACTCTGTTGGTATTTCTGCTGTTGTTTATAAATTATACCCAAGCGAAAATAGATCTCATTTGCCTTTTCGAAATCTGGCTGCATTCTCATCACTTGTGAAAATGCCTCCTCGGCGTGTTCAAGAGAACCATACCTATCATATAGTATTCCAATACCATACCAAAGTTTAGGCTCCTGGAGTGAATGGTTAGACGTGAGATGCAAATGGCGCACTAATTCACTAACCTTAGGATCCCGGAGATGATACAGAGCTTGTTGATAAGCCGAGTATGCTTGTTGTAAATCATCCATCATTAAAAAGCAGTGACCTAAAGCATGTTAGAAATTTGATCGGTCATCCATTGCGCATAACCAAAGAGGCCACAGTACCTAAACTACCCCACACATCTCCATTGTTCTGATCAAACTTGAGGATATTTTGTAAATATTCAACAGCTTTAGCAAATTGTTCTTGCGCGCGAAGGATAGAACTGATGGCATTCATCGCCGGTATAGATCTTGGATTCGTGCGAAGTACATGTTCATATGCGCCCATAGCCTCATCTAGATTGCCTAGCAGCTCTGCCAGACTTCCTGTCATACACATTAGCGGTTAAAATCAAGGATAAAAGAAGTAATTCTTACCTATTTGAAGCCATACTGTCTCATTCATGGCAGTGAGCTGCTGCATTGGTGTTGGTGCAGCAGGCTGCCAGTTCGGCGGCTGTTGAGCCATCCCAGGTGGAGCAGGGCCATTATGAGGAGGATGGTGCAATTGCATACCCGCTGGGGGTGATGGATGATGCGCTGCCATCAGTAATTATAGCATGCGATCGCAAATTTTGAATGACTATACGTCGGAATTATGTGCTGGCGATTACGCGCCAACCACCTCAATGAAAATGGCTTGGCGAAAGGTCTCTCTTATCGATTAATCCTTAGGAACAATAACAACAATTGCTTTTCAAATAGATTGATTCTCTATCGTGAAGCCCCTACGTGCTAGTCGAAGAACTGAAGCGGTTATCGGAGGTAATGCGACCGAAAAGCTTCGTTTGACGACGGAGGTCGTGGCGTGCAGGGTTAAATAATGGGAATTCGAGCTTTAGTGAATATAGTGTGAAAGCTAATTCGAAGCTATCTATGTACCACAGTCTATACCGTCCTTTGAGATATCGAAAGACAGATTGTGAAGTTGCGGTCGTTGTTGAGAGTTGTATCGTCCTCTTCGTTTCGCACTTTTGCACAGTCGAAAATGAAAAGATTCTTCTACATCTGGGATGACGAGGGACAACTTGGTTTTGGAACAGAAAATCCGGACCCACTTTTCACAATAACCCTAACCCAGAGCTAGTCCCAAATAAACTTTTAAAATGTGGAGCATGAGATAATAGTAAGTGGACTAAAAACGTTTGGAGATAACTAGTCAGGAAGCTAAACCACTAAGGGCACGGAAACTACACGAATGGCGGGATTAGCTCTTTCGGCTTCACTGGCCCACTTTGAATAAAGACTGGAATACTAACGTGAAACGCGTGTAAACTAGTACCTAATTAAGGCAAGTTCCTCACAGCCCCATCTCTCTTTCCCTTATTAGCATGGTTTGAAGAATAACAGATCTCATGCACGGTCGCATAGCACGTGACTTCTTAGCTGATGGCTCAGGGCTGGATATTTTAGAGACTTTCACTAGCACTAGCGCCGGAAGATTAGATTGAAATTCGTAAGTCTTAAACTCTATAGGGAAGTTGTCCCAAAGAATGACAGAGCTAAAAGAAGGAATCTCCATTGTCAATTAAACTCCGATCATAATTAAAAAATATTAGATAACAGATTATCCTCGACTTAAAATTAGTTTCCTCCGCTTGTTGCAGGGCTTTGCAGCCGCCGAATTTAAACTATTCGCCAAGAAAGCCATAGGAGAGAAGAGAAAAGGGAATCTTTTGTTTGATCCAATTAAAATATTCTAATGGCAGACTCGAATCAATTGATGTCAACCTTGACCTGTTGAAGTATTTGTTCAATTCTAATCAGCAGCCTCAGAACCAGCAAAGCCGGCAAAAGATCATTCATTTATTTATTAGTAGAGAGCCGAACAACCCTTTTGATGGAACCTATTCCGTAATGAGGACCCTGCCAAAAATATTACTCTCTCTCCACTGATTGTCTTAATTTTCAAGGGCTGTTCAATGTGGGTAAAGTCGCTTGGGGAATATTGTGGGGGTTTTGCGTGTGTTCCCTAACTTCCCTTGTGAAAAGAAGTGGAGTTTTGTTCGGCGTGGTGGAGGCTTGAAATTCGCCAAAATATAAAAAAAGGTATGGGTGCCCAGTGGTAAGCCAGTTTCGCCGGTTGAGGATGGTGTGCACTACGGTGATGGAGGGTTACAGTTGCATTCGGAAATGGGGGATCGCGAAATGGATGACAATGCTCAACTGCACAGGCACTTGTGTGGTGTCAGTGTCAGGGGTCTTTAGGGGATTAATGTACTGGTACTGAAGGTTGTTCTTCAGCCGGTCCGGTTCTGAATTACTCACGGCTTATTAGTGTTGATGCATCTATTGAAGAGATGAATAGTTGGGTGGAGGGTTGGATGACTGGATGGATGGATGGATGGATGGATGGATTAGTAGATGAATGAATGGATGGATGGATTAGCAGATGAATGAATGGATGGATGGATTACTAGATGAATGAATGAATGGATGGATGGATTACTAGATGAATGAATGGATGAACGGATTGTTGACTTGATGGTGAATGTTCCACGAGCCGCTGATGCAAACTGACTTTGGGACACCGTATCCAAACATTCTAAGACTGCAACAGGCGTTCAATAAATATTCTCTTGGTTTATGATTTTGGAAAAGAAGAGGAAGAGCGTGTTTCTCCATCCGTTCATACCACATATGGGAGGGTGGTGCGGCGGTCTTAAGCACAATCCACCATAACATGGTCATGCATTGCGCACGGTAGCTAAGATATTTGTGTACACTGTATGTATCACAGCCTCAATCATACCTCTCGGAATTAATTAAGCCCATGTTCATCTGGCAGATACTAGGTACATTGCGAATTACTCATAAGACATGCGAGAAAGGACGTGATGCCCAATTACATCCAAAGCATCCATTGTAAACTAATTCCTGCTCAACTCCTCAAACAGTACAACAAAACTCGATATGTAACCAGGATCTCACATCTCACTCACTCAGTGCCACCACCACCCACACTCTTGTGCATCTTTCGCTTGTGCAGAAAATCTCCCAAGTGTATCTAAAGCATGCACACCACCATCGAAATCCCGGTTAGTTATCATAAACGGTGAACATTCCTTTTCGTAGTTTAGTCCTATCGTATTTGATAGGTTCATGAAGGATCACTGTTGGATTAGAAAAGTAACACAGATCTCATTTCAGCATATTCACCTATGATAGAAAGGCTATTTTATCAAGCAAATCTCAACAATCTATCTAAATTTGAACATTCTCACTCCGTATCAAACATTCTACCTATTTTCATATCCATTCTCATACATGTTTTCTACCATCCATCTCCTAGATAGACCCAAATCATCCACCACACAAGTCGAATTCCCACCTAGGTAACCCATCACCCGAAACTTCCAAAAGCCACATCATATCACACCCCCTATTCCCTTGCTCGCTCGATTTCGGCTCACCATCTCAATTAAGCAATTGGAAAATACATCTGACAGCCGTCAACCGCAGTGCAGCCGTGTGCGGGCAGCCCCAACCGGCATTATTACCTTATTATTCCGGGCGGTACATACAAGGTACACGGAGCGTCAAATGCTCTTTTCATCTCGCACGCTCACTTAAGCACTAATAACAACATCATCCAAACATGTCCCATGAGTCAGGATCCTCTTTTTTGCTGACCCGCCCTATGTTTTCCGAGTTAGCTGGATGTTGTATATTTTATCGAGGTTAAGGGTGGCTTCGAATGAAAGAAAGGAAGGAAAGAATGGGAATGCGCAGCCCTCGATCGCTTCGATAAACCTAACCCTCCAGATTATCCAACTCGAGAACATTCTAAATTCTCTTCCAAGCTTTACCTCTCTCCCCGCATCGGCGTTATATGAAATTTGATATGCAATAGAAGCTTGATATTTATTACAATATCCACTCTTGCAACCCGTTCGCTTGGTGTTAATTATCGGCTTGAATGCCTTTGACAACTCATCGTTGGTTTTTTTCATACGAATATCTTCTACTTATCTATCCATCTATCTATCTATCCATCCATCTCATTCTCTTCTTCCCGCACATCGTATCCCTCATCATTTACTAATTGCTACCTACGATTCAATCGCCTCACACATGTTCAGTGCACGTTACAGCGCAGTAATTGCCTCCCCTGCACTGACCCGACGCATATGCATCTCTTACAGAAGCGCAGCCCATCTGCATATCCATCCATTATATTGCATACCCAGTCTAGGTCACAAACATGCTACATCTACTTATCTCATGTGCTTCACCATCACCACTTTCCTTCTTCGATTCTTACAACCTCTCACATGTATCATCCTCATCAATCAATCAAATAAGCTTCCCTCTAGCAAACTCTCCGTCATGCTTCCTTTTCGTCATTTTAATTTGCTACACCTGGATGTCATGTAATGTAGTCTGTAATGTCATGCCATGTCATGCAAGCAAGACCAACTCCAGTCCTGCATTTCAATTTATCCCCCGCAATCACCAACGATTGAATTCTATATGTTCATCTCATTCACACATTGAACCCACAAGAAACCCTTGCAAATCCAAGATTCCCGTTATATCCCCTTGAAAGCCCCCTTCCACCTTTCTACTCTGCACACCAATAACCACAACCTACATACAGGTTACACTGTCAGAATCAAGAATCGCCTCAATCTCAATCGGATCTCAATCATCACATGCCACTTGGCCCCCAATCATCAATTTACGTGGCTTTTCTCATCACACGCATATTCCCGTCATTATCAGCCACAAGTACCAATCAATGCCCAAATAACGGAAAGTGGCTTATGTGGCTAAACTTTCTTACAATAGCGTTCAGTCTAGCTCGGCTCTTCGTGGTTCTGTAGCCCAGTACCCATAAATATCTCATTTCTTTCCTGACTCGGTTATCGTATCTTGGACATTCCTCCTTCCTACCTGGTGGCTTATTGAACTGAACGTACGTATATCTGATTGAAGTTAGGATCTTTCATTTCTCTCTTAACTCAGGTCCATCCATTCATCCATTCATCCATCATATCCATCATCGCCATCCTCAATGCTCATCCCCAAACTGCGCTAGCAATCGCAATCCCAATCTCACAATTTTACAATCTCAATCTTCATCTAAAATTACGTCCCAGCCCAGCCCAGCCCAGCACAAAAACCACCCATTACCACTCCCTCACTCCAGCACTCCCTCTCCAACCTTCCCACCCTCTCTACCCCTTCACCCGCTTTCAAACACCGTACAAAGTTCAAACACCAAACACCAAACACAACGCAAACCCTCCAACAACAACACAGAAGATTACGATCATACGATCGGAATTATCGGAATGAATGGTTGGACGTGTCGGTACGATAGGTGAGACATGGCTGGTTAGGTGGCTCCGGTTGCTTTTGCTTTTGCTGCTGTGTCCCCAGGAGTGGGCGGGGGATTAGGTGAGTTTGTGAGGTAACTCGTGACTTTTGCTGTTTCAATCCTTTTGTATGGAGGAATTGTTTATGGGATTATTATAGGGCGGATATGTCGCTATTGTTTTCTCTGGGTTTTCTCTGGGTTTTCAAATTGGGTATCATGTGATTCCTCATTATTGAAGTGTATTGTGTATAAAATGGATAGGTGCCTAATAGTCTTCAAAAAATGAAGACGAGATCTGAGATAGTAATGTTGCCATCGGGCAACGGTTCTGCTTTTGCGAAATGGAAGCTGAACTGATAAGATAATCAATTTCGAACTTCATTATCAAACATACATCAAATTCAAATATCTTCGCTCTTCTCGATCGAAGGGCTTATAATTTATAACGGTCTTGAGAAAGTAATATAATAGAATTTAATTATATTATAAAGAATAACTCTTTATAAGAAATAAAATTTTTAATTATATTAATTTTATAGAATAAATTTTTTTTTAGTAAATAAAATTAAATTGAATAATTTTAATAAAATTAAACAAATTGAAAAAAAAATATCAAATTAAATATATTTAAGATTTTAAAATTATATTAAGTTTTTTATTAGATTTTTTATAAAGATATTTTAATCAATTAAATTATTAAAATCACAACTTATTTAAATAAGTTTTTTCTATTTTTTTATAAATTTATTAAATAGACATTTGATCTCAATAAATTGATAATTAATATAATATAATATAATGTAATATAATTTTTTACAATTATAAAATAATTATTTTATAAATTTTATTTAAAATCCTTGGGAAAAATACTCATTAATTATTTCTATTATAAAAATTATTATTTTTATTAATTAATAATTTTATAAAATAAAAATATAATCTTGTTAAATTATATTAATAAATAAAATAACAATCTTTTATATAAAAATAAATCTAAAGAGAAATAATTCAAAAAGAGAATATTAGATTTATATTAAATTATTTATTAAAACCTAAATTTCTTACTCTTATCCCCATCCTCTTCCTCTTCCTCTTCCCTTTATATAAAACACTATTCATTACCCATCCATCATCTCTAAAATTCATCCTACCATCTCGAAACCCCATTCCCATCATCGCATTATTTCCCTATTTCCCCATCACCAAATCTATACACTCCATACACACAAACAATAATCCCTCCCTCCTCCCTCCTCCCTCCTCCCCTCCTCCTCCTTCCTCCTCCCTCCTTCCCTCCTTCCCCATCCTTCCCTCCTTCCCTCTATATCTATATTATATATATACCTGAACCATTATCTTATATATACACATATATATGTAGATACATACATATACTTAAAAAGTAAATATAAAACAACATTCTAATATTCAATTGGCTTGTATTTCGATTTTCCAAGCTCTTATTTATATCTAGCCTATTCTACACCCATCCCATTCCATCCCATCTGATTAACATCTTTATTCCAGTCCATCGATCGATTGATCGATTAATTAGTTGATAAAGAGATAACTCATCACAAACAATGAACACTCTCAAAACACAAACATCTCAAAGTCTATTTATTCATTTATTCATTTTAATTTCCACTTTCGAGTTTTACTAATTTCTTTTATTGGATTTTGATTTTCCATCTCCATCCAGTCTTTCTCCACTCCCATCTCTCCCTCCCATCTCTCCTCTCCCCTACCTTCACAAACTATGACAAGATCGTCCGAAGCCCCATCTCCTCTCTCTCATCTCCCAACTCTTATCTCTCCATCCTATCTCATCTTCATTCTCCCCAGATATATCCATTATATCTATAAATAAGCACTTCACCAACCCCAATCCTTTTTCCATCTCATCTTATCCCACTTCCCCAAAAATTTATCCTATCCAATCATTCCACCGTACCTCAAAATTACTTATCTCAATGCGCCCCCCTCAATTATCTAACATTTTTATCATATACATATATAATCATCAATCGTACCATGATGCGTCCTTCTGTCCATCCACTACCTATCCGCCAATGTCGAATGGCCCCGTGTGTATGTGCCAATCATTAATCTATGCCGGATACACCTTTTCTTATTTTGCCCTTACTTGCCAAACTCCAGACTCCTCTCCTACATTTATTCCCTGCAACTCCATATCTTCGACTTGGTGATTCTCTACTGTAGTAGATAAGACGAGATGTATGATCTATCTATGACCATTTCAACTACTGCATTCTGTGAAGGACAAGTATCTCTTCTACTTCATCATGCTAATAGTAAGTAGTCTTACTCGACGTTTTTTTTTATCATCTCTCGTTACTTTCAAAGTGACGCAGGAAAATGTCAACAGTCGACTGTCTTATTTTTGTTTCCACGACGATCTTGCCACAGAATCATCGACTGAAGTTGATGATTGCCAACTATACAAATCATTAGCATTAATTCGACAATGACCACACGGAATACATACCACACTACTACAACCATAAGCCAACTTTTGACCATTCGCATCCCAACTTAGGACATACTCATCTTCTCCATTTGATTCATTTGATTGTGGTGTTTGCCAACCATTTCCAGGTGGTCTATTCCAAGTTGCTCGAGGAATATAGGTATCGTCAACTTTCCAAATGAAAACTCGATCACTAGTGGCACCAGCTATGAATGCACCATCTGAAGTGAATTTAACTGTAAAATACTAGTTGAATCGATCGTCATTGAGCATTTTTGCTTTGGCTCCGAGGATATGGCGTTCCAAATGCTAATGGCGCCGTCTTCACTCGATGAAGCTAGCAATCTTTCACCGTTTTCGTTCACCATGTTAGAAGGTAATGGTTGCCATACGAGGGAAGTAATTGGTCCAGTGTGCGCATTGAATGTTCGAGAACGACCATGCTCGTCCCATATCTAAAGAAATTAGATTAGTAGTCGATTAAATCAACAGTGAAGATACCTACATCAATCATACCACTTTCACTACCAGTAGCAAGTAATTTAGAAACCCTGTCGAAAGTAGCATGAGACAATCGATGCTGGTCACGATGCTCAAGTTTCATTACATGTTCAACAATTCCATCAGTAATTCGAAATATCTCCAGGAATTCGCCCCCGTACACGATGAAATCTTCATCACTCATCCACAAAGCCTCTAATGGGTATTCTAGAAGAGGTACCGACGGTAATGTATATTGTATAGTTCGAAAATCCATCATTGAAGTGATGGTAACGGCTGTCCCAATAGCATTTGGTGTAACTGTAATTGGAGAGATCGACAAAAATAATGTATTCGAGAAATTCCATCTTACTGAAATGACTGGAGATTCCATTGGAGCAGAAGTATGCAAGAGTTGACCCTTGACAGACCAAACAGCAACATTTGCTGTTCCTTCAGACTGCTCACTGGCAACAAGAATATGGTTCCCATCCGATGACCAGGTAAGCTCATTAACAACTGTCGTTTGGGGCGCTAGAGGTTCGAGAAGATGAGTACATGGTGGGAAACTTCCATTCCCATTCATGTCTGAAGCATTAGAAAGAGTATTACTTCCATTGCTCTGATCAGTAACCGTACGTGAAAGGTCCCACATTCGAGCTAATGAATCGGTACCTCCCGCAGCCAAGAAATGAGGTATTCTTGGATTCCATTCGCAACGATATAAAATGGTCGATTTCGATGCATTATCGTCCAATAAATCTAGATATATCGTTTCGGTTTTGAGGTTTGAAACTTTATCATATTGAGTACCTTTTTCTGGTCCATTGGTGGCGGTAATTGGTGATGGTAATTGCTCTGGTGATGGATAAGCATGACCATCTCCATTCTGATCACCATCAATTTCCATGGGTGTTGAAGCTGATTCGTAATAATTCACACTTCCATTCCCGTTTCCATTTCCATTCGACATTCCATTCGAAGTTCCATTTGAAATTCCATTTTCGTAACCATTGGTAAGTCGAGGTTTCTTTCCCGGTGGACCATTTGGGATTGAATTTGATTCCTCTTCTAACTGATGTTTTCGGGCAATTTCTGGGTCTTCATTATTGTTGGGGGCTTCTTGAGGCGAAGCAATGATTGGTATGGTTCTGTTTGTTGTTTCTAAGGGACCAAAAACTCCCATCGGTAATTCTGAAACATTTTGAGGTAATCCTTGGTGTTGTCGAAATGCCTAAAAGAAGAAGCATGTTAATTAAAAGGTTCCATTTGAATTCTCGATTTCAATCAATTGAATGATGAGAAGAAAGTAAGTGAGTAAGTAAGTTAAAAAAAACGAGGTAAAGTGAAGAAGTGTAGTGAAGTGAAGTGTGAAGTAAGGTTAGATGAATGTAACATGTAAAAATAAGTAAACATCGCAAAACCCAAATGATTTGTGAAATGCATTAAATCCGACAGAAATCGTACAGGAGTCGAGGATTTGAAACATAGAATGTAGAATAGACACATACCCTTGATGCTTCTCTATTGTATGCATCATAAAGAAGACCTTTGTTTAAAACGGAGACTAGTGCATGCTTTCCGACATGGGGCGCAAATGGTAATAGTTCTGGCTGTTTAACGTCCCACTCTTTGGAAAGGTGACGAGCCGCTTCTTCGTAACCTGAATAGAAAGGAAAGAAAGAATTTGATCAGTCCAATGATTCTCCATACAATGAAAATACGAGTACCATTTTTGTGACCTCAGGCTCAATACCCGAGGTAAAAAGGCAGAAGAGGAGGGAGTAGAAGAAAAAGGAAAATAGAAAAATAAGAATGAATGAGATTGAGTATATCCTCATCTTCTTTCTTTCCCGTCCTCTTCTTTTTCCCTTTGAGTAACTGCACTGATTGTAACTATACATACCTGATTCTAAAAAATATCTGTAATGCAATACCAATAATTGCCGTTAGCGAAATGTAATCTCAAATATCATTCCGTACCTATAAGAAAAAAACCGAATGAACGGATCACGAGGAAACACGTACTTCCAAATCAAATAATTCACCTTGTCCGAGGTTAAAGTTTCCTTCGTCATTGCTACTTTGGTATTCGAGGATGGCCAGATGGTGTAGATATTGCTTCAATTCGAGACCTGGATGATTGGAAAATCTCTGATTCGTGATTGTGTAGCGTCGAGGCTGATTGATTGATGTATGATGTATGTTGAATGTAGATGTAGATGTAGATGTAGATGTAGTGCAGTAAAAGCAATTTGCGTATGGGGTATCTATCGTATTGGGTATTGAATCGAAACAAATGGTATTGTGTGGTTGAGTGGGGGTTCTATTATGATTGCGCGCTCGATGCTATGTTGTAAGGACGGTGAGTTGCGATTGTTAAGGAGGTGATGGTGATGGTGATGGTGATGGTGATGATGATGATGGTGGTGGTGGTGGTGTAGTGGAAGTGAAAGTGGTGGCGGCAGTGGTGGTAATGGGGAGTGGTGATGTTGTTGATGTAGATGGGTTGTAGGTAGGTTTATTGTTGTTGTAGTTATGTTTTTTTGCGGGCTGTGTTGAATTCGAGATTGAGGAATGGGTAGAAAAGAGACTTGTTCGTTGCAGCTAGAAGCTAAGGACGATATTAAAACCATAGACGGATGTTGATTGGTTGGAAAGTGGAGAGAGATCCAAAAGAATTAAAGCAGGGGAGGCGGAATCATTGGATAAAGTAAAAGGAAGTGAAAGCGTAACAGGGACGATCTTATTAAAGAATAGGTGCTAATACCGAATTAGTACTAACTACTAGGGAGGTAGTATTTCATCCATTTCATCCATTTCATCCATTTCATCTGCAAAAGTTCAAAAATTCCAAAATGCTAAATTGTGTGAAACGGTGAAACCAAGTGCCCGTACTCTCGACTCTGTTCTTTTTGATGATTAATAAGTAGTCGGTGGTACTTGGGACTTGGGACTTGGGACTTGGTACTCGGTACATGCTAGCTAGGTATGTGAAGATACTAGGAGATTCAATCAAGGCAAGGTCCAAGTTCTGTGTTTATACTTGAGTGAATGTGTTATCTAGAAAAGATAGAATTTCATCGGCTATAGCATTGCGCTTGTTTTATCACAATTCACAAAGGCAAAAGCAAAGCCCAAGGCAAGAAGAGAAGAATGTTTGAGATGGAAGAAAAAGGTTTAAGGTGGTAACAAGAAGCGGTGGCATGGATGTATGAGAAATACCTACGGAGTAATACCCAAGTATTAGTAGTGGTTGAATTTTAGTGCATGACAAGCAGGAAAACAGAAAACCACCAACGAAGCCATGGCCCATGGCATGGGAAAGTCAAGAGAATGAGAAGGAACATTTTCAACCCATCCACATGAACATCCACATGAACATCCACACCTACGGAGTACTTATTGTACTCTGCCCATATTATTCGTTCCAAGACTTCTTTTTTTAAAAAAACCCCTCCCATGTCAATTTTTCGATCAAGCATTAGTACCACCCACCCGTTACTACAATAAATTAACAGGGGGGTCATACACGGGGATTCAAGGGGACGAGGGAAGTGGCCGGACAGCAAGAGTATAAGCCAAGCCGAAACAAATGACAAGGTATAATTACAGTTGGTCAAGAGTCAAGTGTGATCGTCCTGCCCTATCGAGAATCGAGATGCGTGTGATGGCTTGAACCCGGTTAAAAGAATGGAAGGATTATCAAAAATAAATGGAGAGAAAGAGTGGCAGCGAAAGAGAACCCTTCATTTGATGTTCATGGATGAAACTGGAGATTCCCATTCCCTTGACAGGTCTTACCTTCTTTGTTAATATCTCCGACGCTTTGTTGATTGTGTGAAGAAGATGGATAAGTGACAAAGCAACCCAAGAGATTGATTGTCATGGGAGTTGATTGGCCGATATTTAATAACTATACATTATTGCGAGCTTGCGGATGGGAAATTCTGAATGCTTGAATGACGGATTCGGTATGTACCAGATTTTGGGATACTTGGCTTTCACTAAATCCAACTCTTTGACCCTCAGGCCTCACGGTGGTGACGGAATTTCCTGGAGTCGAGTCGACTTGTTACCGAAAGAGGTTGGAGATCTGGCTAAAGCTGGTGTTTCTTCTAGACCATTACCGGATTCATGGCTTAAATATTGGCTGAACGTATCCCCGTGCATCCCAACTTTTCAAGATGCATGAATTGATAGGCGAGCTGGAATAATGTGCCTAAGTGCCCCAGGTGTGCAACGGCGTACGGTACGTGATGGTAAAATGCTTGCTTGTCTCGATAAAGCCGTGGATGACGGCGATGGTATGGTGATGTCCTGTTGAGGCAAGTAGCTTCTCGATACACGGTAGTTGGTAAAAGAAGATGCGTGTAACAAGAGAAATGAATGCCTGTCGATATTTAATTTTAGATTAATATTTGCCCATTTGCCTACCAAAAGATTTTATTTTTAGGTTTCGAAGAGGAATACTACCATGTAAGGTAAGGTAAGGTAAGGTAAGGTAAGGTAAGGAAGGAATATTCTATTCTAACAATGAGAGAGCTCGGATGAAAGATGCATGGGATACAAGACCAGTTTGTTCTTGCTCCCGTTGTTGATCAACGTCTCATCCCCGAGTAAGATTCAATTCTGCCTACCTAGGTGCCTATTGATTAATTTTCAGGGCCCATTCCAGTGATCAGATTTTCTAGTGATGAAGCTTGTAACGAGAGAATTTCTATGGTCTTACCACTCACTATACAGTAGTACAACTGTAGCACTGGCATCGCGTTGCACTATCTCGCACCGAGTATCTTCAGGGCTTTTCTCCACCACCTCTGACTGAGATTCTAGGGACGGAAGTACGAAACGAACTAAACATGCTAGGTAAGGTTATAGTACTAGATGACAGATGAGGGACGATTCAGTGGAATAAATACTGATGCCTAGGCATGATGATGATGCACAGCAGTAGCTCACTTCATGCCGGGGGTCCAAATATTGCAATTGATGAGAAGAGAACCTTATTTATTATATTCTTGAACCCACCCATACGGAGTACGCATACACTCATACACATCAATTATCACCATATCACCATTTCACCATTTCACCATTTCACCATATCACACCGCGTATCTCTTCAGACGTTGGAATATGTTGGTTAATTCAGGTACGTCGAACTTCCTGCCATATTACTTGCGCATATACGATTAACGAATTTTTCCTTTTTAATTGCATTTTCCGGTACCGCCTCCTCTCATGGAATGTTTATTAGTTGCTAAGACCTACGCCTACCCCTAGTATGTATCACACGCATAAATATTTCTAAATCTTGATGAACTGTCCTGCCAATCGTGCTTCTCTCCCACATTTTCAGAATTTCTACCCGGCATGTTTTTGCCCACTAATAAGTCTTTGGGGCTAAATCCAAATAAAACTTAGTTCATCTCCACAGCCTCATACCTCACGTGGCTTACAATTTTTCATACTTCAGCCTTATGTTTGAGGCTACAAGGTTCTTGCTCAAAAGGCCGAAACAATTTCAATGGTCTGTGTCTCGAACACTTAGTAATTTTGATGACAGCTTTAATTTTTGTTTAGGGAAAGCTTGATGAAAATCCCCAAAGCTTCATTATTGAAGATATACTTACTTACACTGCTACCAAATTCTTTACCAAGGAGGAAGGATTTACCACTCCTTCCAAGGTACTTCTACATATTCATAATTATGCCACCAAGATTAAATATTCCTCCAGTGACGAGGATACTACTTGTCGCATTAGTATCTGAATCCATTTTGAGTGCAGCAATTCGATATAAACAATGGGACAAGGAAACCGCGGCAGATCTTCATATAGTAGTTCCATACTTATCGCTCGTACCTCAATTATCCTTCATATATCCTTGGACCTTCCTGACAACTACATTGGTGGAGAATAATGTGTTTACGTTGGCTATAGCTGGATTGGCTTTATTCTATGGAGGAAGATATTTGGAACGAGCATGGACATCCAAGGAATTCGCAAAGTTTATTATAGTCGCATCTCTTCTTCCTAACCTTTTTTACATTCGGGACCTTGGTTCTTTTCTTTGCTGTTACTGGTGATATGAGCTGGACGTGAGTTATTCAAATTCTGCCGTTTCTATCCTAAAGCTTGTCTATTCTCCAAATTACTAACACCTACCAAAAGTCTCAGCTCAATCAATGGGACCATCCCTCTTCAAATCTCATTCCTAATCGCCTTCTCTCAACTCATACCTACACATACCGTCACCTTATTTAAGGGAATTCTCTCTCTTCGCGTTCCTCGATTCCCTCTCCTCCACTTCTCTACTATCCTTACCCTCTCGCTCCTCCAACTCCTAAGCATCTCTTCTGTCTTCCTCGTCTCATGGGCCTTCCTCACTTCCTGGACCTACCTCCGCTTCTATAAACCCGCCTTCCCAGATCTCGATTCCCATCAAACGCCTACCCTTCGCGGCGATGCAAGCGAGACGTTCGCATTCGCAGAATTTTTCCCTGGTCCTCTCAAACCTCTCCTCGCTTCCTTCTCAGACACCGTCTTCAATACTTTAGTAGCAATTAAAATATGCACACCATTCTCCGCAGCAGATGTCTCAGCTAGTAGAGGAGAATCTTCCTTCATACAACAAAGAGGTACACCGGGAGGAGCGAGAGCAGAGGCAGAAAGAAGGAGAGCTTTGGCGCTTAAAGCGCTAGATCAGAGATTACATGCCGCGACAACTAAGAATGTTTCACCGCCTGCGCCTACAGGTCCATCGGTAGCGACACAACCGCAACCGGGAACTCAAACAGCGATGACAAGTCAACCGAGTGGGATGTTAGGAGAGACAAATTATGTACCAGAGGGACATGAGGGAGATAAAGCCGGTTCGTGATGATATCCAGAAGGTTAAGGCATGGATTGAAGTTATGGGTGATAATGATTTGAAACTTTTTGATACCTTTAATTCACCGAATGGGAATTGGACGGATGGTTGATCAAGGATCCTTGGACTCATCGGATTGGCGTTGGTGAGATGATTCAACGGTCTAGATAGATACTTCTTCCTCGTTTGCACGTGCCACTCACTACATTATAGTGCATTGGACTTGATTGTATTGTACGTCTTTCTTTTTGTTCTTGAACTGAACTGGACTGGACTGAACTGAACCGAGAATTCTAAATATATCTATGATACCCCTTATATTATATCTTATCCTCTGTTTCCTCATTTTATCTCTGTACACGTGAGAAATAGTCTGAGTGGAGAGTGAATTAGTGAGATCTTGCGTTGATTCTTGAAATCTGAATGGAGAGTAGGTATAGAAAGCAAGGGAGTACTGGTATAATTAGCTCCTAGTTTCTAATCAAGGGAATAGAAGAGGGTAATTATCTAAAGGAGGGTTAAGCGATGAGAAAGTAGAAAATAAGAGAGAGTATCTAGGTATAGTTAGTTAAATAATGATGTGGATGTTGTATTATGAGAGTAATGAGAGTAGTGAGGATTAGTAAGGATAAAGAATTTGAGATGAGAAGAGAGAGAGATGAGATGAGAGAAAGGAGATGAGAGGATGAGGTGGAGAGGGGGGTGGAGAAGGGAGGGGGAGGGGGGAAGGAGGGGGGAAGAAGGAAGGAGAAATACAATGGAATATAAATCTATTAAAACGTATAAAATGTTATTTGATTCTCAAGAATGTAATTAGGATTTCGGTATTGGTTTGATTTGATTGGGTTTTAGAACGATGGGGGATTTATTGATTATATTAACTTATTTTTTAGATTTACTAGTAAAAGAAACAGTTAAAAAGGGGGATGGAAGGTTAATAGAAAGTAGATACTAGGTAGGTAAGTGTTGGAATGAAGGTATACGTATAAAGATCGGATGAGGGCTAAAGAGAAGTCAACTTGCGCATGGAGGTTGGACGAGTGCTGAATATTACCGGTATTTTTAAAGGAATAATGACCTACGCAACTCGTAAAGCAAAATTCTAACAGGAAAGCAGATGTGATGTATATTTGTTCATGATTGATTATTTGACATCCGGCCTTGGCCTGCCGTTGAATGCCATTAATAGACATCTATACCATCCATTCCGGTCCTATTGACCCTTGCTGTAGTAGCATAAGCGGATGGAAAGAGAGAAACGGGTGTCTTAAACAAGAAAAATGTAGAGGTGAAGATTCAGACCAGAGCTAGCTATCTTCCGTGACAAACTTGTATGTTCTCCTCCGCGTCGATGCCGTGAAATTCGTCATTGAGCTAGAGATCGAGATTATTCTGTGCTGCGCACTTGTAACATGGAATCAAGCAGAATCATATCCATCTGTGCCGGGCCAAGCCGAATCGATATCAGACTCATCATATCGTTTTCACTTAGGCTCTATTTTGATCTTCGTTATGCTCGAAATCTCCCACATTTTCATCAGTATCGTTCCTATTGAGGTTGAACTATCCTTCGGATAGTGATTATACCATATCTGGTGCCGATCCTTCTGCGGAGTTTGATGTTGATGATGTTACCGGATAATCGTAACGAAGTTTCACTTGATACATCATAATCTCCCAAAGCCTACTGACTGTAAGCGTTGAGAGATCTGAATGTTCAGGAGGATCCTTGATGAGAAATTCTATCAACGTACTCAGACATAGTGGTTTAAGCCCGTGTTTGCTGCAATACTGTAGCAGCAAAGATAGTTCTGGATAGCGCTCTAAGCAGATATCATAGCTATTGCTCAATATGAGGACAAAAATATTGACATTCTCCGCTTAATATTTTCCGCCCAAATAACCTCTGAGCTGGCAGGTGCGGAGAGGTACGCTCTGTAGTGTAGTAAAAACATTGTCCCATCCAGACATATTTCCCTCCAATATCAAATCACCTAAGTATAAATGCTGAAGCGTTGATATATGATCCTTGAAAAATTTAGGGAGGTGTTCGTAGGTACCTGATATGTTATAGAGCTCGAAGGATTTCAATTTCGGCAGTTTTAACAATCCAACTATGGAATCCCAAGTCATTATGGAAAAAGTATCTATGAAGAAATAAACTGAATCCAGGGCGACTCGGAGTTTCTCAAGATTCACGGCGGGACTTAAAAAACTCCACATGCCTGAAATGACAGGAGTGGGAAGTTGCTCCCAGAAGTGAGGGGCAAGTGTTATGTCCATGCGCTTGAGGTGCTGATCTACTTGAATAATAGGATAGTGGGAATAGTTAAAGACCGAGGCGAAAAAGTGCAGGGGAATAACTGTAGCAGTGAGACTGGTTAATTTTATGCCTGCTATGCCAACAGCAAGAATAATTCTTTGTAAAGCTCGAGCCCTAATGTCCTCGACACTATGTGCAGCAGCGTATATTTCGAAATAAATGTCTTTGGTCGAAAAGCGTTCATGAAAGCTGGATGAGAATCAGGCCCATCACTTTTCACATTGATAAATTTGAGATTTTGAAAGTTTCGCAGGGCTTGGCAAAGTGTAGTCATAGTCAGTAGCCTTTATGAATGACTCGCTGTCAATGATACGCCGGTATGTCTTCCACTCTGCTTCAAAAGCCTCTTGTCTTGTAACATCATCTCCTGTTATAGAAGTCATTATATTGGACTTAAATCTAGATACGTCGATATCGACTAGCGTGCGCGGCTCGTAACATAAGTTTCAGACGTACTTCGAAAGATCTCGTCGTATTGATACATTCAACAGGTTTTCAAAGCTCTTCCTTGTAAACATGATATGCAGATCGCGAAAAAGACATTTTGACGCAACATATGCGCATGATTTGCTTGCAAATCGAAAACAAATTAGGTCTTTTCGAGCAAGGTACTCGCAGATCATAGCAAGAAGTTCCGTAGGTAACGTCTCCGTGATGGACTTGCCGGTATAAAGGTCTGATTCTGTCATGACGAGAGAGTGTTTGATTCGGATAGAGAAGCTCAATTAGATAGATGTGCAAACAACAGGGAGGAGAGCAGTTAGTCAAATAAAGAGAATAGAACAGTTCAAATGGCAGAACTGAGCCGCCTATGGAGGTTTGGAAAATTGCCGAATTCAAGAAATCGTGCAAGCTTAGAGATTCTTCGAGAACAGGGAAGAACTTTTGAATTGAAGCCGCACGTGTGTGTGTAATGTTGTAAAGGCGAAGTAGTGTAAATATTTGTGTGGTATGATGATATCGAAAACACTGTTTAACTGTGTAGAATCTGAAGCGGTAAGTTACAATGGAATCGTTGAAACCCACAACACCTTTCAATGATAAATAAGCTTACCTACCACGCTATCAAAGCAAGAGAAGGATAGATAAATCTTTTGATCTGTGCCTGTAAAGATATGAGGAGTATAAAGGTTTGGGAAGTCAACGATATATTATTACTCTTTGATAACAAACCATGTTACCAGCTCACCAAAGAGAAAGAAATAGAGAGGTTTTTTGATTTGTGTATGGAAAGATGAAAGGGGTATAAGGTCCCGGAACCGATGACCAGATTTTTGATCATGTACATTTGTATCAAGGTGGAAAGCGTGTAAGGTGTGGAAAGTCTAAGATATCGCAAACACCTTCCGACGGTGTAGAATCCATCATAGTTGAGGAATTCACAATTGAGGATTCCATTGAAACTCAAATCAGAACGCTTTCTACTGTGTCAGATTACAAGCTTAAAACTTAATCAATAAAGATGGACATGGAAGACAGATGAAAATATTATAGGTCTTTGTGTATCTATAGTACCTATGTAAAGGTGGGAAGGTCAAAGATTTGGAAAGTTGATGATCGCAAGCAACTTTTTCATAAGTGTGTGTTTATTGTTTATCATGCAGTGACCGTTACGTGATGCGATGATGAATTTCGCGGGATCACGTGGACGGTCAACGTCACTAACCTTAACTTTAACCTTAACCTACTATTCTACTTTTTGTACAAGACTACCACCACCACACTAAAGTTAACCTTACCTATCCCAGTAGAATTAGAATCGCTGTTCGGTCCCCAAAGCTCCTTTCATTGTCCCGTGCCATATCATCAAGATCCTGTATCAGGAGTTAGACACGCAAGTAACACTCGAGATACAAGCACAGAGCATGGGGGCTCGGCAAGTGAAGCGTCTTTGAGCACATTGAATGTGCTTCAATGACTCAGACCTTGACTCGCAACCGCAACCGCAACATTCAGCAGATTCTAAAGGAATGCTTGGAGGTAACGCAATGTCTCTTGGTCCGTGTTAAGTGACGGTCTCCGAGCATGAAGTCCCCAGTTCCTTGCTGCGTACCGGTATAAAGGCGTGTCTTTGAATCTCTGTAACAACTCCTTTGTTGTATGGCATGGGCCTTCTTCAAACTCGTCGGAGCTCAAGTATTTTTTATGAACTTCTGCTTCAGACTGGGCAATCATTCGTTCTTTCCGACATAGAGTGGCCTTTCTTCATCAGTTTTGATGCCACAAAGGTGTGTTTTGAAGAATCCGTTAGCTGCGCGATGGACAAACCCAACCGTGTTGTCCTCACCCTTGGCTTCAGAGACCACAAGTCCAAGACCATGGTTACGATTTCTTGGATGGTGTATAGTTTATCCTCGCGTGTTTCCAAAGCAGAAGAACCAATTCAGATGGCAAGTGTCGTTTTGAAATCGCGACTGGTAATTTTGGCTTCAGCAAATGTAGGCCAGGTAAAGGTAGCCTTTGCATCTTTGTGAGAGCCTGACTGTCGATTATTAATTCTTCGCAAAGTCCTTGAATTGGAGGTCCTCACCGCTTCTACTAGGTCAATCTAGTTCCTGTCTTTCCTGTTTTCGTGTGTTGCGTTAAAACCCTCCAACGCTGTGATAGTGTCGCGCGCTTTCCTTCCATCTTCCAGCAAGTCGTCTTCTTGCCATAGTCTGATCGGCTTTCGTGGCAGGTTATTTTTCATTGCTCAAAACGAACACATGTTCGTTCCAGTTACCAGTACCTCCTGCATGATCATAGAATAAAATTATGAGGCTGTCGCTCCATTCGGTGCCCTCCTTTTCGTCCCTGATGTAAGCAGTTGCAAGCGATCTCTTTCTTATTTTTAGGCTGCGCAACGGGGCCCCGCGGGGCAGATTATTGGAAAACTCAAATGAATAATCCATGAAACAGGTATATAGATAATTTGTGGATAATTTGTAGACAATCTGCAAATAATCCACAACTTATAGATATCCGTAAATAACCCGCCCTCAGATTATCCACAAAGCTCTGTGGATTATCTACAAGGCGAGTTGAAGCCTTATGGATAATCTAGAGAGCAGACTTTCCATAGATATCCGCGAGTTGCAGATTATTTTTGCACAGCCTACTTATTTTGAGTGTATTTTTCTCTTTTTCGACATGCTAGATCCGCCCCGCTCTTCTCAATACCCCATAGTTTATCCAATCTGTATCGATCGTTAGCGCTAATGACTGTGGCCTTGTTGTCCCTTTTTGCAAATCTCGCACAGTTTAACTTTGATTTTCTAATTCAAAAACCTGTAAAAAGCAAAGCGTTAACAAGATTTATCATTAATATTCGTGTTGTTTTTGCCTAAACAACCAGAACTATATAAATTACCGAAGTGTATACAGTAGAACCTCGTTATACCAGACATTTATATACCAGAAACCCGCTTATACCAGTCATATTTCGTGAAATTTCATTTTTTTGTATAAGTATACCAGAAATTCTAGTATTTTACCTATACCAGACAAAATTTCGAAATTCCTGTATAAAAATTGCAAAGTGAAGGTTCGTTTGCAAGCCTATTATATGATAAATCTGTAAAATTATCAAGGGTAAATATTCAGCGAGGTTAGATTTGAAGCTAAAGTCCGAGCTCAGCTATACAAATCTCTTAATGCTTTAATGCCTGAATCTCGATATACCGGTAATCCGTATATACCTGATTAAATAGGCCTGATTTTCGTGTCCGATATAACGAGGTTCTACAATAGTCATTCAGTTCCTTGGCACTAGCGTCAATGTTAGAGGAATATAACGTGATCATTATTCTCACTAGTATATCGAGATGTCTAATCATGATTCAATTAGTTGAGACAGTGTATTTGATAAGTGGTATAATCAAGACTGTGTTAGATCATACTCGTACCTCCCGCAAATCATAACATATCGTATTCTACAGCCCCAAATGTTGACCCGATCAAGCTACCACATGTACCCACGTGCACACCACCAAAACAATTGCCGGCCATCAAAACAACCGCCAGCTTATAAATGAATGCGTCTCGCGGAGTACCCCCCCATTTATGGAATTGAACCGCTTTGATTATCAAACAAAATGAACCTAAATTTCAAATGATTTGTCAAATTGACCAATTCACTTGTTCAATTAGATAATTGAATTGGGAGATGAGTGGTAAGCATGCGCATGCATAAAATTGGAGAATTATAATTCAAATTATGCACAATCTTCAGGGTATGTAATAAGGCATGCTGCTCGAGCAAGTGTTAATTCAAACTCTCACAAGCATTCAAACATCATCACCTCCAGTATCTCAATACGAAAATCTCTTCAGAATTACCAATCAGAACTCATAAAATGGTGCTCAAACTCTATGGTATGACTCGAGCAACTTGCACTCAGCGAGTACTCACTGTACTCGCTGAGAAAAACATCGACTACGAGCTCATCTCTGTGAATATCTTACAGGGAGAGCAGAAGCAGCCTTCATATCTTGAGAAACACCCTTTCGGGAAGATCCCCTTACTCGACGATGATGGTTTCTTGATTTATGAGAGCAGAGCCATATGCAAATATCTTGCACGAAAGTACGCTGATAAGGGTACGGAGCTTATTCCCGCCGACGGAGATTTAAAAGCCTATGGGCTACTCGAACAAGTAGGTTTTATAGTGGATATGTGAGTGACCTTTAACAAAGCGAACTAACACCTTACTAGGCTTGCTCATTGGAACAGTCTTACTTCGATGTTGGTAGCTTTGGTCTCTGGTTTGAACATTTCATCAAGCAGTAAGCTTCTTATAGTCCGATTTCATGCTGGAAAGACGAATACTGACCAAAGGCAGAGCGAAAGGATTGGGCGCCCCCAACCCGGAAGCTGTTCAACAACATCTCCAGGCACTCGAAAATACTATCGCTGTATACGACCAAATACTCTCGAAGCAAAAGTATCTCGCAGGAGATAAACTCACTTTGGCGGATTTGTACCATTTGCCACATGGTACGCAGGCATTGACATGGGGCCTACAAGACATACTTGGAAAGTATCCTCACGTGAACAGGTGGTGGGAGGGACTTCAAGCTAGAGAAAGCTGGAAAGGAGTAGTTGCAGCCGCTGTATAAATTTATCATGTGCTTTTGCTGTGGTATATGATTGTCAAAAGCCAGCCAGCCATTTTAATGGTTTGAGGTTGCATGCGTTCAAGTCGTACGAAATACTAGCACTACCACTGATAAAAGTCTTATTACCTTCTTCCTCGTTTCTCTTTGTTGCTTGGCGCCTTGAAGTGCTTCCAGTACCTGCTAGTCATCTGAAAGACTATTCACTTACCATTGAATATTCGGACGGTAATTTTACTGCAGGCTTGGGTGTTTGCAAACATTAGATTCTGAAATGGCTGAACTTGCTCTTGCTGCCATAAGATTAGCCTTGATAGTTCATTATAAGTTTCTTTGCACTTACAGGTCAAATTATATACTTCTCTCTTTACTCTTACAAAAAACACAGACCATCTTGCGCAAATATCTTTGACTTTCCAACCGAGAAAAACTATATTTACTTCTGATAGGAATTGCTTGACATATATTCACACTGGGAGGAATACAGTGTTAGCCAACCACCGTGGTATAAATGCAAATGTCACATCAAAATTCATTACATGGGAATCGTTTCATACCAACCCACCTGTGAGGAAAAGGTCTTCATTGCCATGTAGTACTGGTGACCGAAAACCTCTCATCTAACGCTGCCAAGAAAAGGAAAATCACAAAAGGCTTTATCATCCTACAATCTCAAAGTAATAGATCACTTGATTGCTCACCTCTATTCATACGTCAAATTATTCCCGCACGACATTTTCGGAGCCTATAACCTGCTGTTTCACAGCGTTAGCAGCGCGGTATATAATGACTTCTGGTCTAATATCCTCGTAGTGAACTACACAATGTTATCTTTTCATTCTTTTCCACAACGTGTAACCGCAATTTTCACCGAAAGCTCTTTCTTCATCGATTTTATTCAAAAATTCGTGGTATCTCATTAGAAACATTCAAGTCAATAGTTTCAGTCTCACAAATTCCATACGTCTATACCATATATTCGGCAAATGCCCCCTGCCAATCAACAGAATTTCCATCATAGAAGTTCTATATAGATTCAAACTGATCATAGTCTGCCACATACGACCACAGACTGAAGAGAATTGGGCATCCCGTCCGCTCTGCCATACACAAGCTTCAGATCGGTGGATTAGTAGTTGGGTGGGTGACCACCAGCGAATCCCCACTGTTGTATGTTTTTTCTTTTTTTTGCCGTTTTTGCATCCTCCAGGTGGAGGGGCGACGAGTGTCCATCGTGGTTCCACCAGTTCGTGAGAGTTTTGAGATTATTTTCCACATTTATCTCATAGTAAAAAAATTTGGAGACAGGGAGATGTTGCAATGAAATTTCAGAAGCTTTATGGACTAATGTTGTGCTAGATTCCTTTTATTTTACATTTTGCTCGAAATTCAACAGCCTAATTACGTATCACAGGGGTAGCGAGTTGCGGGCATGTTATACTCACTCACATATTAGGAACATCGAAATTCAGCAAAAGCTCCATTCCTTACAATCAAAACAAACCAAAAGCTATTTAACAAAATTCCCATAACTTCCCACTTCAACCCACCACCTCTGCCTCTCCAGCTTCAATAATGAACCGGAATAAATCAGATTCTTCTTTTTCATCGGGAGGATTTGAATCAGTCTTGCCGTTTTCATCACTTTTTTTGTCCTCTTGAGTCGTCTTGGTTTGGGACTCGTCGGTTCCTTCCTCATTGTTCTCGGACTGTTCTTGAGGTGTTGAATTTTCGTCGTCAGCTGCTTTTTCTGTTGCGTCTGGTTTCTCGTCACTCTCTTGCTTCTCGTCACTCTCTTGCTTCTCGTCATCGTCTGGTTTCTTTTCGGTGTTTGGATTTTCTTCGGCGTCTAATTTCTTATCGCTCTCTGGCTTCTCGTCACTCTCGGCTGGTTTTTCGTCACTATCTGCATTTTCTGCAGCATCTGGTTTCTCGCCACTCTCTGACTTCTCGTCACTATCTGGTTTCCCTTCCGCGTCTGGCTTTTCTCCATCATCCGGCTTCCCGTCGCCATCACCTCCACTGCCGGGCTCTTGTTCTTGTGGCTTTTCATCACCATCTGCCTGTTCATCACCACCTGACTTTTCCTCACCATCCGGTTTCTCATCATCATCTGGCTTTTTGTCATCATCTCCGCTCCCAGGTTGTTCTTGTGCTTTTCTCCCGTCATCTACGCTAGCTTCGTTTCCATTTTCGGGTGGTGGTTGTGACTTCTCGTCAGTATCTGGCTTCTCGTCAGTATCTGGCTTCTCGTCAGTATCTAGCCTCTTTTCATCATCCTCACCATTCTCGGGTTGGTGTTGTTGTGTCCCTTCATTGTCATTTGCGCTGGTCCCATCTCCGGCATCATCTTCCTGCTGCTCCGGCTTTTGCTCGCCATCCTCGGATTGCTGTTGGGAACTCTCACCAGCATTATTACCCTCCTCACTAGGATCGACACGAATGCTTCTCTTAGTCCCTGCTTGCATGTGCATCTTCAGCATACTAGAGACACCTTTCTTTATCATAGGTAAAAGTGTCTCGCGAGAATCAACCACAGCCTGTGTAAAAGCAGGTGCCTTGCCGCCAACTCCTGCAGCCTTGGTGAACTTTTCTGAATCTGACAGTATCTCATAGCCGAGACTCCAGCCAAATGCCACTAGAGGTCCGATCACGGGAATCAAACCAAGACCCACAGCGACAAAGCCCACAAACAGATCTTTGATAAACTTATCGTCCGGCTCATCTTTCTCATATTGCAATCTGACCCCTAGCTCTTTCGATTGCGCTTGAGCGAGGTCGATGGCGTGAGCCATGTCAATCTCCGCAGTAACCTTTGATTCATGGACAACGCGCCTTTCAAATAGAGTAAAGCAAGCATAAACGTTTCGGTACTCATCTGTACGCTGGGAGTACGGAATCAAAAGTTGGCATGCTAATGCAAAAATATCAATTCGAACAGTCCATTGAGGCCGCATCCCCCAACCTGTTGTCTCATCTGCCACCGCATCTTTGGCATAGTTAACCTTGGCGTACACTTGACTCGGTGCTTTTCCATCAGGTTTCATATACCCTGATGTGAGTCCAGGCTCCTGCAATGCCGGACCTTCACGATCAGGCCCGGCCTCCAGATCATTGACTCGTTTCACTAGTTTATCATATACTTCAGCAATATTCCTCGCTTCTTTCCTCCACCTCCAGTTATGGGGATACGTTTCATCCCAATTGTCGACCACTTTCTTGCCAGCCGCAATGTCACTGGCAGCAAGGCCTTTTATGACGTATGATGGTGGCATACCCTTACGACCACGGACATCGAGGCGAGAGAAAATTGCATGCCCCTTGTATTGGGGGTGAGCAGTGAATGCGCATGGAATGTAAAAAGCTCTGACAGGATATGTCAGATCAATCCAGATAAAACGTTCCTTTGCAGTCGGCAGCGGGACTGCAATGTAGCAAACAGCGGCAGAGCCTGTCTGACGCCATAGTTGACCGCGATAAATATTGCTGCTGATGCGATATGTGCGCTTGATGTCCTCGGCGCTGGGCCCGTACATGGCGGTCATATACTGATAGCGGCTGTATCCGGTACTGGCGATGGTGCCGAGGAATTCCTGTTGCCCAGTTCTTGGGTGGCCTGGATAACTTAATGGTGGAGGGAACGCGTAGGCCTCGTCTTCAGTGGCATTGTAAACGACTTCGAGAAGCATCCACGAATAAAAGTCTTCCTGCTTTGAGCCATCGTAACCTGGGCTCTTGAGACTCGATTTCAAGAACCATGCTTGGCCTTCGCGTGCCGCTGCTGCCATTTTGCTTTCTCAATTGAGAGTGAAATCGAAAGTAAAGTGAAAGTAAGTTGTATTTTAAAGGTAATATAATTAACTTTGACAGGAAATATTTACAATATAAGGAATCACACCCAGGAGCCCGTATATGACTGTGGTGTCAAATTCGGTCACATCCAGGGTGACAAAAATATTATCATTTTCGTCCCTAATACCAAATGGCAATAATATCACATTGTTGTGGCTGAGAATGTTACTTCTATTTGGTGGAACTTTTTTTGGTGGCAGATTTTAGATCAGCTGCTAATGTGATGTTTCACAGGTGTTCTTTCACTTAGGAATATCCGCGCTGAAGCTGCATACTCATCTGGCACAACATTATTTGATATTCGATTAATATAGTACATCGTGAATGCTGCCCAAGTATTCAAGTTCATGTTTCAATTGAAATGCTCGTCTGGAAAGCTGATGTGTTCAGACGAATTCTCATAGACAAATTGAGTTAGGTGCCAACCAGTTCCTTGGAACATTTCAAATATTGCCCGATATTGGTCTTTCAAAGACCAGGTCTCGATCGATTTACACATCGGAATCTTTTGAGCTGTCAAATTCTTTGCATAGCATATAGAACATGCAGATGATCTGAAACATACGGACCATTAGGAACATTCAGATTATTCAAATGTATGAAACTGTCTCGAAGATTGAAGCATCCAAATCTGATCTGCCAATCCGGACAATGGCTTTTGGATACACAGGTGTCAAAGACAGAGCTGAAGGAATTTAATCAATTCAGCTACTCGAGCATCATTATCATCTATGCAGAGTCACAACTCAACTTGTGTAGTGTAACCACCCGTATCGGTAACAATGTAGATCATGGGAATGAATGACGTCGCGCGACTACGTAGTACCGCGTGCTGGTGCAATATTATGTTGCCTCATTTCCTACATCCGGGAAGTCATGCATGTACATAGTGTTTTCAGCACCACAAAAATATGGTTTATCTTAGTGCAAAGAGCATGTGTATATTGCTTAGTTGCCATTTGATCAGGTTTTATTCTCGCGTCTGATGATCACTCGATTTCAGATCTAGTTCTGTGTTTCTCGTGCCTAAACATCTTGGCAATTTCTTATTAGGCTCGATAATAGCTTATGAGTCTTGTGTATACTACCCGTACTCTGATTGTATATCCTTGAGAGAATAACCCCACTATCTCCATGCTACCATTCAGCTATATATGCAATTGACTCGCCTGTGCACCAAAGTTGCTCATCCTACCTCTACCACACCTTCCATACACTCGCCCAAGCATTTTTAAGAAAGAAAGAACAGTAGGAACAATAACCATGGTTCGTACATATCTCTCCACATACTTTCTTTACCACATGAACCATCCAGCTTATCCCATCCCAATCAGTTTCGAACAATCGACGGCATTGCCACCGGAAGCAATACCGAGGAACGAGTAAAGAAACTCGAAGCACTAGTCACAGAGCTCAAGAAGATAGTACAAGACCAACAAAAACGCATCGAAGAACTCGAGAAATCAAATGTTCAGAAGACAGTAGATGATTTACAGAAGCGTATGGAAGAACTTGAGAAATGGCCGGGTACTGGCGAAGAGGCTATTATGAAGGTGAGCCTCACTCTCCGAAATGAGTAAATCCATCAGCCATATATTACTTGACTAACTTTACTCTAAAGATATTTCAGGATGCAAATCAGGATGCACCACAGGCAGGAAGTCAAGCTCAGCCTGCGACAGAAGGAAAAACTGAACCTTCAGCTGATGATTGATTCGCTGATTAGTTTTTTCATTCCAACGTCTGTCTTGGAAGCTCTAGGGTTCATGTAGATACACGTCTGGCTGGATCTTTTGGCCCCCGTGTCTCAATTGATTCTGAATGACAACGGCTTCATGTCCTTTTAAATAGCTTGAACGGAACAGAGCGCTAGGAAGTTACTTTGAGGAAAATCTATGCCAATGAAGCTCCTTATTTGCTCAAGCCTATTGACCATAGAAATAACATGCTCACCTTGTCGTAATTCATCCTTCTATTTTCGCCCATCTGCCAAATTCTGTAGCTTCCGTCCGATCGCAGAAACATCAGACGATATTAATCTCACCTCGAAGATCCCTATCCACTCCGCTCACATTAAATCCCTCTCATCCCCGTTTCCAAACCCAAAAACCGCTTAACAAATGACTATGATCTAATAACTCGCCCGCATCAGAGAATATTAAAATCCGCCTCAATATCTTCAAATTTAAGAAAACCAGACATTCCCATAACTTTCCCCAGAATCACAGACGAAGCATCTCCAGACCACCAATCGCCAATTTTCAGATAAAGGGGGATATTCGCGTAAAAAAGTTCGTCCTATTCTTTCCTCTCGCCTTCCCACACACAAAAGTAGCATTTCTATTTTGCTTTTCTATTGCATACACGACACAGGGAATAATTAGGTATTCCATATGTTTATGAAATTCTCCATGAGGCAATATACACCTTTTTTCTTATCTCATCTGATTTTATCTCTTATCATATTAGTCCCTATTTCACCGGAGGTTTTGTTACTCTCTTTAATCGGTAATATGTGACTCCGTTGATTCTTTCTTTCGGAATCCGTGTATGGTGATATAACTATTATGCTAGTATAAGAGACACTTGATACTTATCGGTACTCATGTTAATATTGCCTTCTCTTTGACAACAGAAGGTTCAGGTTCGGGTTTGTGTGTATTTTCTTCATAGGTAATAGTTACTAGGTACTAGGTAGGTAAAGAATTTACAGATTTGAGACACATCCTCATCCCCATCTCTTATGCATCATTTAAGAACCCAATCAGGATTGCTCTATCCTCCTTTCTACCCATGAGACGCAATCCACAGTCCTCAATCCGCAATCTGCAACTCAAATTCATACTGATCAAAAATTCCATCCCACCCCATCCGATATCAAACAATGAATCCGACCCTTCTAAACAATCTGTAAATAGTTTGCCGGCACACTCTTCACATGTCCCCCCTTTTCAACCTCTGCCCATCCATCCCCAGGATCCTCCTTAATAAGCACAAACCTTTCACCCTCCACCATACTATGTTCCGCTTCACTCTGCGCCGTATATTCATAAAGCGCTTCTACATATTTCAAAACTTTCGCTCCCCTTTTAGGTGCGACGGCTGGGCCTTGCTTTTTGCTTGCAGAGATTGAGGAGCCGGAAGTAGAGATTATTGAAACGGGTCTATTGGTAGAATTATGGGAAGAAGATGGAGGAAGGATTTCGAGATAGGCGGTTGGCACTAAACCTTCTTTAGAGCCGTATTTGATTTTGGTCCAGCCACCGTCTGGGCCGAGTCAGCAGGTTGGTTCTTTAAAAGATAGGAGTGTAGGGTGACTAACCATCTGGTTCGAGGATTATGACTTCACTGCCCTCAGCTACAGTGACTTCTTCGCTACCATTAGCGTCATAGGCATATAACATCTTTCCTTTCTGTTCATTTGATGCCGATCCATTGATCACTCCGCTTCCCGGCAATTCGCTAATATACGCTGCTGGTGGAGGAGCCACAACCCTACTTTTCTTTAGGATTCCTGGCTTGAGACTCGAACTTACACTCTGCCTTCGATCGGCTGTCGTATCAGGGGGCGTGTCCTCAGTTGTCGATTTTGCCGAGAGGGATCTGTTTGCACTAGCAGCATAACCCGAACTTAACGAATTCATAGTATTGGATCGGCTCATAGTGGGGAGCTCTGCAACACTATCTGCCAGGCCTGTGCCCGGAGCTTTCAGGACATTTGCAGCTTCTTGACGTTCTGCCTTTAGTTTCTTCTTTTCATCTTTGGTTTGTTCTCCTGGACATTCGGCTGGAACTTTCATCTCACATTTGCTGTGACATGTGTACCCACAATCCCTACAATCGAATCCCTTTGCTGAAAGTCCCCATATACGTTCACCACATAAATCGCAATTAGTGGGTATTTTGAAAGTTTGAGATTTGAAGTTGTGACTCTTTGAGCCTAACGTGACATCGCCGACCGCCGCCGTAATCGTGGATGTTTCAACCTCTGCAGTGAGCCTCTTGTGATCAACTTGATGTAGCTCTTCTTGCAAAGCAAAAATAGCCCTAACAACTTCGACTTCATCCCGTTTGTCTTTACCCTCTCTGATTTGCTGCTTTACACGTTTGATACTTTCAACCTCACGTCGCTTCTTATCCACCTCTCTCCTTAAATCTCCAAGTTGATTCTTAGACTTACTAAGAACGTTCCGTAGGAAAACCTTTGCAGTATCTCCAACCATCATCGCATCGTCATCGTGCCATACAGGACTTGGTTCAAATGGCTTGTCTGAAGGCTCCTGCCAAGGCCCCACATTATGTCTGACAAACATCATACAATCTAGAGAAGGCTGGTTTCTCGGGATCTCTGTTAATAAGTGATTGGTAAACTCCGTGCTACGTTCTAGCATTCCCTTCTCTAACTGCGCCGCTAGTGACCATATACCATTCAGTTTAATTGTGCGCGATTCGAACAGATCCTGTAAGCTGTCGAGAAGGTCCGGGATATACTCATGATAGTATTTCTCTTTTTGTTTATTGGTGACATTTATGGCGATTAAGTAGCTATTTTTGACGTTGTGCATTTCAAGAATCTGTTGTTGGTATGCATTTTGTGCTTTCGTCTTTGAATAATCAAATGATGACTCCGCCTTCTTCCGCTTGTTCTCGACTTCCTGACATGCGGCATCGTATTTCCCTTTCATTTTGCGCAGATCCGCGTATGTAGAATCTCTCTCCTTCTCCAATTTGTCCGCATATTCCACGTGGCGTTTCCTTAACTCTTCGTAACGTCCTCCAAGTACTTTCAGTGGCTCCGCAACCTGCATAATCAATTCCCCTCCATAACGATCGTGTTCCGCTGCGCGAGATTCGAGAGTGGTAAGTTGCGTTGTCCATGTTGTTAATGACGCACTACATGCGACAAGGTTAGTCAACCGTTGCACGACTAGTTCTGGTAAGAATATTCCTAACCTCTCGAGCGACCCAGGGGTCATAGCAGGTGTATCACCGACACTTAAACTGCTTGACTTCTTTGTCTTCTTCTCATAATACTTCTTTGCTAAGGCATTGAGCTTTGCGCTGTATTCCTTTTCAATTACACTTCTTTCGCGATAGAATGCCTGGATGTCGTCCAACCAGTCGATACCATTGGACACCCAATTATTCGTCGCTTTGAACCCATCCTAAAAACGAACATATCGAAAGTCAGATAAGACACTGGTCAAAAAGAACATGCGAGCATGCGCCGTTCACTAACCTTCAGCTCAAGGCCAAACTGGGGAGCAATATCAACCTCCGCCATAGTGTATACCACAATTACAGGTCAGTAATCTGGAGATCTGTTGGATCATGGGCAACGTGAGAGAGCGAAAAGATTCATATTAGATTAGGGAAGTAAAGAATGAAAGAATATGAAGGTCGGTCTTGGGCTTGGGCATATGTCATCAGGACAATAACCGTAATGAATAACTCGTAACGCATAAATGCCCCGCCAAATTACGGAGTTATTGTTATTTATTAGTATCAGTACCTAATTATTATTAGTTGGATTCAGATTCAGGCCGATCAGATTACATTGAGCCATCAAAAGGGCGGCGATCAAATGTTTTCTAAAGCGGCGAAATTAGGTAAGTAAAGCTGCCTTGTTTGTGGTTTGATGTAAGATCACGTGTAGATTGGCAAACCACAAAAGAGCGCTAGGCAGTTATAAGTTAGTTCAGCTCTTATCGTCTACTCAATCTCAATCAAGTCCTTTGCAACAATCACACAATCAAAATAGTTTACCCCTCCAAAGCCTCGTTATTTATAAGAAAGAAACAGCGTTTTCTCTATATCTTCACGTTTAACATTAATTCTACACCCTCAAAATGTCTGAATCCCAGAGCACATCTTGGGCAGATGAGGTTGCATCACCATCTACTGAAAAAAATGAGGGAAGCTCTCTGGAGGATGCACAAGTCGATGGAGCTACTGAGCCGTTAGGAGGTAGTACTCTCCAAGACGGTCAATATGAAGTTGAGGTTAAGCTCAGCGACATCCAGGGCGATCAAACCAGTCCTTTATATTCTGTAGATACATTCGAACAGTTGGGGATGTAAGTATCAGCTTCACTTTTGCAGAAGCTAAGCTGATCAACCCTACCAGTGACGCTTCGATTCTTAAGGGTCTTTATGCGATGAATTTCAAAAGACCTTCTAAGATTCAAGAAAAAGCTCTACCACTCTTACTTGGCAACCCACCAACAAATATGATCGCGCAGTCACAATCAGGCACTGGAAAGACTGCCGCGTTCGTCATCACCATCCTATCTCGTCTCGACTTTTCAAAGCCAACTACACCACAAGCTTTATGTCTGGCACCAAGTCGTGAACTTGCTCGTCAAATCGAAGGTGTCGTCAGAAGTATTGGACAATTTGTTGAGGGCTTGTCTGTACAGGCAGCCATTCCAGGTGCGGTGGAACGAAATGCTAGAGTAAATGCAATGGTTATTGTGGGAACACCTGGTACCGTGATGGACTTGATCAAGAGAAAATCTATCGACGCATCTGAAATGAAGGTTCTATGCTTGGATGAGGCGGACAACATGTTAGATCAGCAAGGTCTCGGAGATCAGTGCTTGCGAGTTAAGTCGTAGGTTTGATGTCTTCCCGTTTGAATATCGCGCCCTAATTCATTTTAGGATGATTAAAGTCGAGCAGATTTTACTCTTTTCTGCAACTTTTCCCGATGAGGTCTACGGCTTCGCTCAGCAATTTTCGCCCCGTGCAAATGAGATTAAGTTAAAGCGCGATGAACTTACTGTGTCCGGCATCAAGCAGATGTTTATGGATTGTCCAAATGAAGTCGGAAAGTATGAGATTTTGGTCAAGCTATATGGTTTGATGACAATTGGCTCCTCAATCATTTTTGTGAAGGTATTTGACGAATAATGCACTTCCCGGATAGTCACACTAATTGAAATTACAGCGAAGAGATACTGCTAGTCACATCGCTGAGCGGTTGACAGCAGAAGGACACAAAGTTGCTGCCATTCACGGAGCCTTTGAAGGTACGGAGCGAGACACAGTACTTGAGGATTTTCGACAGGGAAAGGCCAAGGTCCTTATCACTACAAATGTTCTTGCCCGAGGTATCGATGTTCAATCTGTCTCTATGGTTATCAACTATGATATCCCTATGAAGGGCCGATCTGATTCAGAGCCCGATCCAGAGACCTATCTGCACCGTATTGGTCGAACCGGAAGGTTCGGACGTGTCGGTGTCAGTATCAGCTTTGTTTTCGACAGAAAGAGTTATGATGCACTTAACAAAATCGCACATCATTATAACATTGATCTTATCAAGCTCAATCAGGATGATTGGGACGAGACGGAGGAAATTGTGAAGAAAGTTATTAAATCAAGCCGTGCTGGTACCAATTTACGGGCTTGATTATTTTTATATGGATTCTATATATGGATCCTTCGTTCATCCATATATCTCCTGCGCGTGCTTGCTTTTACACACAAAATTGGGGGAAAAGCGGGCGTTTGCATATATGCAGAAGCTCATGTTAGACCGGGAGGCTCAATTTGCTTACGAGGATATTTTTTAACAATGGATTCACTCAAGCTGGGATTGTTCTGGGCTGCAGACACAGCCGCGAGATGTGCCTTTGAAATTCTAATCGTGGATGAATTACGAGGAAATGACCATAATGGATGATTTAATCCAAAATAGCTGCAACGTGACGCATTGGGAAAGGCAGTGGAGATGGGTATCTAGGAAACTGCAGCAAGATTTAGTAAAAAAATCAAAATCAAAACTAAAATTTGACACGTATCAAACGCAATGGATCGTTGGACAATAAATAAATAATACTGGCGTAGTACTTCGTACCCTGGACTGTTGAACGTTCCTACCACTTTCAGCCATTAACCATGAACTGACCCTGGGCATACACCCGCATCTAATAAGTGGGTAAATGCTTCGGGAATCTCAATTTTGATGTTTAGCTCTAGTTATTGCATAGCATCGCTTTCTTTATTATATTAACATGCTTATTTATACCTCGTTCGAAACAGCTTTACTCATGGTATACAGTGAGTGCGTAGAGAAATATAGACGGCAATGGAACATACTTGGCCCTAACTTTGCACTTATATTTTGCATAATAACCATTGCAATCCATCGTTTTCAATCCAATTCGCGTCAGTCACGTGTCAATCTAACCTTGTAACCGCCAGGGTCCTTCTTCAGCGCTTACATGCAGAACTAGACAACATCCACCATACAGGTAAGGAGGCTTATCACCACATCAAACATGGGGTCACCTATTATGGCAGCGGCTATGTATCTTGAGTCCAGCGGTAGTATCATGCAGTTCCACCATTCGTACCTCGAGAATCGTGACGCCATGTGTATGGCCCATAAGCCGGCTGTTGGAAAAGTTTTATTGGCTTTCAAGGTAGTATTGCGGTGCGGGGTGTGTTCAGTATTCTGCGAGCATATTGCTGATATCTCCTGATGGAAACTTTCTACATCATTATTTCATATTTTCCTTCTGTTTCTCACGTATCTCCTTACTGTCGGATTTTCCTTGATTTCCTTGTTTCCTTTCTTCTACTAGTATCATCACTGCCATGAATTTCTTTGAAGTTAGATTCGTATTGTAATTATGGATGAGACGCTGGACGACTCCAAAAGTGCTTTATTTCCCATCTTTGAGGTCAGTGAATCTATTTCTGGCTCTCCTACTCCTTATACATATGCCACCTGATTCGAGACCATGCCTTGGAGCTTTTGTGTCCAACAGATTGAGTGACTCAAAGAACTATGACCTCAACAACCTCGATGATTACAAGCCCATGAAAGTTTTGAAATATTCAGAAGCATTTGGGAGATGTATATACACAAACAATGCTGACATTCACCCTCCTACAGTGTTTCCGAGAATGGCAATGTTACCATCGAGCCTCCTCCTACTCATATACGCATTGTCGACTTGTGTTAATGCGGAATTTTCTTTAACATCTCAAGTAACAAGTTTTATACCTTCTTGCGCACAAGTCTGCTTTGAGTCATTTGTACAAGACAACTATCCGACCAGTGTTTGTGGCGACACCCCTACGTTAGATTGTCTATGTGAAAATGGCAGCAAGTCTACATATACTGTGGGAGAGGGGGCGGTACAATGTATAATGTCAGAGGCCAGTGTTGGCTTTTGTAATGGAGATGATTCTTCTAGTGAGTGATTGTCGAGGTTGGCTTAATGGGTCTTTCTGATTTGTCTGGCAGATGCTACAGTATTAAAAGCATATGAGATGTGCAATTCCGACAGTAGTGCACTACCAAATACACACAGCACTCTCACAGCAACTCTAGTTCTACAATCCGGCTCCGCGAGCATAGTACAGATTGCTCCGGTAGCAACAACAAGTGCTAGTGGTTCAATGGCCACAACTCTAAGCACAAGTGCATCGCCAACTACTCCAAGTTCAACTACGGCAAGTTCAACTACGGCAAGTTCAACTACGGATGTGAAATCGTCGACGGGGGTACCACAACCAGCAGCTGCCACGAGTGTCACTTCATCACAGGAGAAGAGCAAACCAGTTTTATCGACCGGCCAAATAGCTGGGATTGTGGTAGCAGGAGTTGGTGGTGTGGTCTTGGCAGTTGTAGTTATATTATTGTTTGCCTGTATGAGGCGGAAGAGGCAGGCAAATCGTGATAGTGGATACCTTCCATTTCAACAAGAGCCTACAATGAGCATTAAATCTCAATCACACTTCGGAATAGCAAAACCAATAGCACCATCGCCGGCTTCCGTTTCGACCCGAGGACCAACACCAATAGCGCCGTTTTTGGGGGCTCGAATGCATCCAAGAGGGGGCCAACAGAGCCCGGATCCTTTCTCCCAAAGGAATGGCATCCCGGAAAACATTGGCCTCGCCATGACTTCCGAAAGCCCCCAAAACAATTCTTTAACTCCTATGGGTTACACCGAAGACCTATTCCAACGTGGACCTTCTCCACTTTTACCCGAAAGACCCACCCTAACCCTACAAGTTCCTTCCCAGCAAAAGTTTAACAACATTCACAATGCTACCTATCAGCAACCATCAACCTTCGCCGGTAACAATCGGCAATCTGCGGCAACGCAATTCGAAGATGAAGATACATGTAGCACAGCTGTAGCATGTGAGGCACCGTGGAATGCTGCCTCCTATGGCTCCATGTCTAAAGAAACGGTTCCTAGGCAGCCTAACCCTGCACATTATCGATTACCTCGCCTTCAAGGCGAACTTTCGCCAAATGAAACCGAAACTATCATCAATTCCTACAAGGATCCTTTGGTAGAACCTGATTTCTACGTACCTCCCCTCAATCTTCAAAGGAACTTCTCACAACCTCGTCGGCCTGAAAATACAATGAAACCTGTCAGCCGCAATTCATCTGTCAAGGATCCTTCCACAGCAACATCGTCTGTGTACTCGGCAAGATCCCACATTCGTCAGCCCTCGTCAAATGAAGTTGAGAAGCTAAACTCTCTCATGCAATCTAATCCCTCATTTCGCCGCGTCCTTCGAAAATCCGCGCACAATCCCGGCGGACCATATGATCAAAACCGCGCCTCTAGAACATCTATTGGTTCGATGACATCATTCGAAACCATAGATTCTATCAATCCGGAGCTCCAAGAACTCTCTGGCGACAATAACCTCAGTCCTGTCGCCGAATCTCCGTCGGGCAGCCTAAACGCTGCTGGTAAATCTCCCGTCAAATACCCTAAAATCAAAGGCAACCTGAGCCAGCGACATTCTCGCAACCGCGCCCGCACTCGCACGTCAATAATAACCAATTTCCCCGCTCCACCACCCATCTCCATTGAGTCACCCGTCTGTCCTCCCACGACGTACAGTAATAAGCCATGGCAAGAAGCCGAGATCGCCGCTCAGAAATTACGAATGACATCTCTTGGCCTATCACCTGGTAACCATCTCGCTCCCGGCTCTCACAATTCATCTATCACAATTCGCAAAAGCAATGATTTCTTCAGCCCCACTGTCTTAACGTCAAGGAGTCCTCCGCCCCCAATCCCATTACCCTTACCACCAAATACTAGACAGAGAGATATAAGTCCAGGAATTATGAGCGGAGGCAGCGGTAAAAGAAACGCACCACCTGCCCCCTTAAACCTTGCTTCTGCTTCAAACTCAAATACCAATCGATCACAAAGTAAATGGAGAGTTCTTCCCGACAACAACGACGACACCAGCACGAACAGCAGCACCATCACTCCTCCACAACAAACCTCGCCCACCATCCCATCCCCTCACTGGCGTCCACAAATCCTCACAGGCATCTTGCGAAAAGACAGCGTCCAATCATTACACAACAAAAACACCATCAATCTCGACAACCAAACCGAGAACCAACTTCAATCCCAATCCATACACCCAAACCCATCCATCCAAGAACCCGAAGTCTCCTCTATCTACAGTCAAGAAACCCGCAATTTCACCTACGATCCACGTCTTACACAAATGACCACAATATCCAACATCAAGGCCCAAGGTCAAGGTCAAGCTGCTGACTCCCATACTACATCCAACATCAACTTGGATTTCAATTTCAACCAAGCTCCAAAAACCAATATCCATACGAACACAAACACAAATGGAAAATCAATCACACACACCAAAAACGATGGATCCAGTCAAGCAATCACTATAAATACCAACGCAGACAATCCAAGTCTACCCAAGACACCTGGCTGGGTACCAAAGTTAACCCCCACGCGAAGGGGAAATGATTTATTTCTCAATGTGCAATAAATATTATTTGTACATTGGCGAATTTCCATTTCTATTTCTACTTCTTGATAATGGATAATGAATAAGGGGTACTCGAATACAGAGAGCATGTGTACAAATAGTATGTAGAAATAGGCTTCTGGGAGCAGAATGAAGGATTAAAGGATAAGAAAAGGATTGGATCTGGGTTGATTTGGCTTGGGTTAGGTTGGATTTTCTTGGACTGGAAAATTTCTTCGGAATATATTAGTACATATTCATTTTTTTCCGTGTTCTTTTCTTTCCTTCTTTCCTGTCTTTCTTTTTTAACTTCTTGACTTTTAACATTCAAGCTTTAACCCTTTTCTTTTTTCTCTCTTTCTTTTGTAATTTTGTATGAGTATGAGTACGAGGACGAGGATGAGGATGAAGTTATGAGTCGAGGGATGAGTACGATGTGATGTGATGTGATGGGATGGGATGGGATGGGATAGGATAGGATGGAATTGTTTAGGTTGCATGTTAGTTGGATCTTACGCTCTCTATGTTTTCTTTTGTTGTTCTTATTATTGAAGAGAAGAGAAGAAAAGGAAGATACCCAAGTCTGAAGTTATAAGGAAAGATACGATACGGAGTTAAAGAAGCATTGTAGGAGTTTATCATTGATATAGTACGGGGATTAAGCGAGGGCGTTGAAATTGCTGTTACAGTGGTGCTTGTGGAAAGGTTCTGTGGATTCTTTGCATGCATGCATTCAAATCTAATTGGAAGTTAGGTTATGGGCATTTGGAAGATGTGGGTGGGTTTAATGTATTAGTGGCTATTTATAAATTGATTTTAAAAGTGCCATGACACCACTGTGTAAATGTTGATGATTTTAATGCAATTGTAGCTCGAAGCGAAAATCTGGGTGAAGACATGAAGTGAGAAGAAACAAAATGAAAAATTAATGGGAAGATGGCTCGAATTCTGGCCACGGCCCGTAGAATACTTGGAGGGAAGAAAGCAAAATGGGGAATTGATGACTAACATCTTCACCTGAACTCCGAAGATGTTCTCGTAGAGGAAACACAATCACAAATCCGAACACTAAGGAACACTGGTGCACCCCAATTGCTATACTATCCGTACCTGCGTATTTTAAGACTCCATAAAGTCAGCACATCCGTCCTAACATCCCATCGTCCTTCGAATTCGCTGAAGACACCGACTCCCCTTAAATAACAACCGGCAATTATGTGAAATTGAAGGAAACTGAAGCCCATACTTGAGCTGGGTCTGCATATTATGCGAAGGAAATAACAGAAGGTTTGATCAGGATTGCCTAGCAGATGATTTAATCTTGCCAATGAGTTGGGATCACTGGCTCGTTAGCCTACCTCTCAAAATGTGTTATTAGCCTATCTGTCCATCTTATCTTTGTCCACTTGAGTATATGCTTACATAGGGGTCTGATTGGAAGGGGCCATTAGTCAAAAATGACTCGTCCATGATGCTTGGAATCGGTCTAGGTCTTTTGCCTATACCAAGGCTTGGTATTAGTTGTGGAGTAGGAATCACGCGGTAGAAGCTAGTGACTCACTTGCGAAAGAAGCGCGACGAAGCTCTTGAATCTTCGTTTGGAGAGTCTCTGTGTTAATTTTAATTTTTGGAGGTGAAATTATAACCGGGGAGTCAGCCTGTATATATAAGTTTTCTGATGATTGGATTGGCGGAGGGGAAGTATTGAGAAGGATTCGCCTCGATGGATGCATGATTTGGTTTGCTTCAGACATAAGAAAGTCGTTTTGGGGGTGTATTTCTTGCACCGGCACCGACATGGACTCTATTGAAGAACTTCTTGGATGCTTGGCAGATAATTCAAATAAAGTGAAAGGGCCAATGTCTTCTCTCTTGACATTCGTTTCTGTACCTACCTTGGTTTTGACTGATGATGGAGGTCGAGTTTTTGGTTTGCGAGGATATAAAAGGGAAGATATTTGGCGTTGAATATCTGAACCTTCCGCTTGTCTTGGCTTTGTTCTCTCATCGAACGAGTATCTTGCATCTCTAACAGAATCAACGTAAGCAGTGTTCACCGTCGATCTTTGTCGTTCAGAAGCTGCTGATTGATCCAAAGGTTGCGATCCTTCTAGGGAGCCGGCGAGTGGAGTTTGAATGGAAGTGGTTATGTTAGCTGCTGCAATTGCCATCAACTCTTTATGCTTGCGACTGGCAATCTCCACCCATGATTGTTCCATGGGACTTGATGAATTAGTAGAGTTAAGAGAAGGATCTATGAATTCCTTGTGCTTGCAACTAGCAAGTTCAGCCCAAGACTCCTTAACTATTGTCTTTGAAAATTAGAAGCAGGAACTATCAATGGCTTATATACTGGGACGCGTAAAAACGTACCTCCTCGGTATCTAGAGACTCCCCAAGATTGTAAGTCGATACAAAAGAAAGAAGTTGGCCGTTGGACTTGGACGGTATGCGTGTGTCTCGGAAGGCATAAGATGGCCTGTAATAAGAGCTATTTGAGACATCCCTATCACTAGTAAAACCTTTATGATGAGAAGATTGATACGTATAGAAACTGGAGCTTGAGAGCTCTTGATATGAGCCAAAGCGTTGGGAGTAACGGAAGCTGTGTGGACTTCGGGAACGGACATGAGCGGCGCGGGAATAGTTGGGACTTCGGGAGCGTAGTCGATAGTGACTCGAAAACTGAGGGCCTCTAGAATGTCGTTGATAGTGGCTACTAGGGCTTTTGGTGGTAGAGCTGACGTGAGGAAAAGTTTGACGGCTTCTTGAAGGTGACCGAGAGTGAGGATGGTACTCGCTATCCTGCTCTTGTCTGACTGAGCTAGAGCCATAAGATGAATTTTTGGCGTGAAAACCAAGAGGCTCCATGTTTGAGTTAAGACCTGGCATTTTCTTTGATTTACCCATTGTGATTGAATTCTGATAATACTTAGTCTTCTGCCAAATACAAAGCTGTTGTTAGTTGGTTAAGTAGAGGGTGATACAGTCGCGGAAAGCAAATTGGTTTTAGCAGAGTAGCTATCTCTGTAAAACAAAGCCAAGCTGGTGTAACATTAAGTTTTCTCAGTTTCGAGAGCTTTTATCTTTTCTCGATGGATGCAAAGAAGCTGTGGAATCGATATCATTGTATTTGTTGACGTTACGAACCTTGTGGGATTTATTATTTCAATGTAAATACTGGAAGCACTTCGGGGAAGGAAGGCAGCGGTGGCAGAATCTATTCTAACCTTCCTATCAACACAGAACACCAGAACAATGTCTCAACTCTCAACCTGATCATTGGAACCTCAAAAAACCAGTTGTAACATCTTAATTATATTCCGATCGACGACACATGTGCATGGAGTATTCAAGTCTTCCTATTCTACCTACCTACAATCTTCATGTTTCTCAAACTTTCTTTTTTCTTGGCTCGACTCAACAATTCTTACCAAGGCCTCGTTTACCTGCCTATCGAGGGAAGTAGAGATCTTCAAAAGCCTCAACTGCAGTCACCAAGTAAATCTGGCATAATATACTGGCCAAATAAATCTACATAACATTCACCAATACATAACCTAGCTTCTTCAACAACCACCTCCATGTGGCGACTTGCATGAACCATCAAAACTTCATCTCTTCAGCCTTACAGAGAAATCCGCAAAACACAACAGCAGCCACAAACTGCGCGCGAACTATCCAATCGATTATACATCTCCAAACCTTCATTTCATCATGTGTGATTGGAAATTTTTTGAATTGATTCGAAACTCGGTATTTTAAGACTGTTTCCATCATTTTGTCTCAAGACCCCTGATTGTTACGTCCATGGCCCCCAGTGATATTCAACTACATCAAAACTGCAGGGCTCTTTCTTAAGCAAAATACATTGAGTAGGTATTATTGAATCCTCTGGGGTCCTTAGGATCTCCCTCTTTTGTTATCCGAGGATGGACTATCTTTGTGGTTGTCCAGTGCTGTGTTCCCGTTCACGTTCTACCTGTACTTGGGCGTATGTCTGACCTGCATATGTCCCTCGTAAATGCCTCCGCAAGCCCCATAAGTATGCTTAAAGGCAGATCGGATGGGATCATTGCATATCTCTCATTTCCTGTGGCCATGGACGGTCTATGGTAGTACCGGCTTTGTCCCAGTTTGAGCTTTGGACATCCCACGAGACATTCGGATTTCAGTGAGCCAATGATCATGATCCATCGTGATCCAAATCAACTTCTTACTGTCGCAAGTTGGCTTGCTATTATCGAATTTTCTATAGGCTCTCATCAGATTGCTACTCCAGCTGAGGCCTGGACACTCCCACATTCCCAGCAAATCTCTATTATTGATGGCCACGCTTCTTCTGGCGAAGCAGGTCTTCCACACCATTGAAGCATGGGTGACACTGCATCGTCCAGCCTTTCATAGCCGGCATTCTCCTCCTTTGTTACTTGCCAGCAATGCACATAATGATCACGAATCAAGATCTCTGGAAAAACTTTTACGTAGATACCAGATGTAATCTTACTATAAATCGCATTTCGTGCTGAATGCGACGACTGCGTCCTGCGCCTGCGGCCACAACTTTGGCAATATCCATCCATCATATACAATTCTGCCAGGTAGTTTCTACCTTTATGTGTCATCCTCATCAACCTTTTCCGGCTGTTGTTAATTATTAGGTTATAGGTGGCTGCGGCGTCTCACCACCCGCATATCTTGGAGAGCTACATTACAAGGCTTGAGAACAATTTATATGAAAGGGTGTTTCTTTCAGTCTTAAAATCGACTTTCTAAAGTTAACTTTCGCTCCCGCTCCTGGACGGCTAACTTACCCAGGATCCCCGTGTGTCAACTCGCAACCCGCGTCATTCTGGTGGTCAAATAGGCATCGCCCTTCTCTCATCCTGTGCTAATTTTGTAGCAAATAGGCATAAAACCCATTATAAGTATCTACGGTGAATTCCGCAAATATCACCGTTCTATCCAGTTATATTTCAGAAATTTCTTTAATTCATGAAATGATTTGACCTCCTCGGCCTTGATGAGCTACTTACCCCTCGTGGCTACAGGATTGCCTGGCCTTCTATATTTTCCTACTTCTAACACACTTTGAGGAATCAAAATCCTATTGAACTCTTGTGGTTTTCTCTTAAATACGCAAACATAGTAGTAATCAACAATGAGATAGCAAACAGCATAATGCGCATTGCAATAGCAGGCTCTGGCGGCTTAGCCCAAGTTTCCGCCCACTACATCAATGAGACGGTACATCCATTCATCATTTTGTCAAGACAGGTTAGTGGACTTAAGATCTCTGCTTTCCGAACTGAATTTGACCATGCCTTTAGACTCGACCAGATCTAGAATCACTGGGCTACCAAGAAACCGTAGTCAACTACAACAATCAGGATGATCTCCGTTTTCATCTTCGAGGGATAGATATTGTTATTTCAACGGTATCTGGGACCCCCCAAATCAACGTTAGTGATGCCGCCGCTCATTCTCGTGTCTCGGGTAACCGATATCCCTACATCTTGCACACATTTTATAACCTCAAAAATTATCAATCATATGAATTAAATCACTATTAGTATAGCTACACAAAACATTATAAAGCTTATACTAGTTCATATTGAAGAGTAAAAATATCCTCAATATATTTATATAGCAAAATTATTTGGAATCAATTGTTCTATACTTTTTCGATGTTATAAAAATAAATCAGTCTTCTATAATATAGTCTATACTGATTTGTATCAATGCCTTTTGTGACGTACAAGAGCCTCATAAGAGCTGAATAAACAGGGTCAATTATATTCCTTAGAATCTACAACTGAAGAACTATGGCTCGTAGGGAGCATCCATATATATATACAAAATACCTATACGGTAGCTGCATGGTTGTGCGCTTTCTTCCTTAAGGTGATCATAATGCCATACTAAAAAGGGTGAATTTGGAAAGATGTGCACAGACTATCAGCTCACCGATAGGAATTGTCGATCAATTGGAATCACGTGATCGTCCTTTATACGAGGTTCGTGACACTATAAAGCTTTTAAATATAAAAATAATTGATAATTTGAATAAAGAAAAAAAGAAAATAAATATATATACAAAGAGCTAATAACAAATCAAGATTTCATTAAAATTCTAAATATAAAGTTTTTAAAATTTTATATAATAATATTACATCTTCTTATTCGTAAATTAAAGTTCTAATTTTATATCTTATAAAATCGAATTATTATTAAATTTTGAAATGATTATAGTTATAAATAAAGAGCGTACAAGATATGAGGTCATACAAGATATAGGGATGTCGGTTACAACAATGAGCTTATTTTTCACCACTTTTATGGCCGACGATGTCGATACATAAAAATTAATGAAAACCATTGAACACTTTGTCCTCGAACACTTGCACTGAATCACCCCATATATAGGATCTTTTCAACTGGAGTTTTTTGGTAAACTTAGAGTGCTGTTGCAATAATGCATTGGAGATGGAGACAGAGGGGTTAGATGTAAGACTATCTTTTAAGAAAAGGATGATCTATTCTCGCAAGAGAGATAGATCGCAGATTATTTGACTTCTTTGGACATCAAACCCTTTATTTTCTTCTATTCTTTTCTGTTCTCTTAAGTTTTGTTCTAGACATCGTTTACACATAGATGTATTTTTGATGGCTCTTTGATGGCTCATAGAAATGGTAAATATAGCCATGTTTTTATTCGTCCTCACAACTTTCAATGTGAATCTGCTGTACGTAGGTAGGTACATAGGGAAAGTTCTTGAATCCATTCCTCATCCAAAATATCTTGCTAAGCACAACAGAATCATGAGATTGTATGCAGTATCGTGACGTAACATTAAGATGATTGAACAGTAGGTATTGACAAGATATTTGATATCCCTTTAGCGGAAATATTTCAGTCCTTTCCTTCATGTGCATTTATTGGGATCATCGACCTTGGATTTTGATTGAGAATTGAGAATTGAAACGAGAAGAGAAAGGGATGCAATTCTTTATACAAACTCTAGATCTCTCTCCGTGTATGATAATGGAGATAGATTGTGATTCGGGTATAAGGTTAGATGATAGTTAATTGTAAGACGTTTAGGAGAAAGATTGATAGTATGTTTTGTTCTTGCAGGAAAGAAACTACTATTTGATTAGATTTTCCTTTTTTGGGGAATGAATGGTAAGATTTATAGAAATCTTACTTCTATATTCATGGATTAAGAGTAAATTCATATAAACACATCCAAAAGAGAAACCCCACGAAGCTTACGATTTCTCGGCATTGGTTATGTCACATGATCCATTTATTCCGGCACTAGCGAAATGTAAACATTGAATCCCCATAACATTACCAGCTACAGCAATCAACCGTTCAAACCCAGCAACCCACGATCCCCCACGAATTCACACCGAGATTTATCTAAGCTCGAATACTGACATCTATCGATTGACGCGAAGACACACGAAATCATCGCGCGAAATATACCTAATTCACCAGTTTCAAAGCAACGATCGCCCCGACAACGAGAAATCCAAGAAAGCAGATGCGCTGCTAAACATCAATGACTACCCTTGTACGAGCTCGAAATCCCCTAGAAACGTTGAGAATGAACCAACAACCTGCGGGACGAAGAAGGAGTAAACGATTAGCTGGTGGGTTTCGATATTTCTTACTCTTTGGATTTGTGATAATGGGCGGGGGAATGAGGAAAGAGGATTTTTTGCGCATTGGCCAGGAAGTTACTGACAGAAAGAACAGGATATGAGGAGGAAGATGGAGATTTTCAATTCACGCGTGTATCAAAAAAGGCGAAGACTACGGCGTCTGTTCCGGATCCAATACCGGAGGCAGTACTGCCTGTAACAACGACGGTACCTAGGAGGACTAAGAAGGTAGTTCATGAGCGGCAAACTCATGGTGTTACATCAGCGTCATCGCCACCCGTTAAGAAAACGAGAGGTGCACCCAAAACGAACCTTTCTACGCCGAAAGAATCGAGAGTAGAGAAGGTACAGAAACCCAGGAGTGAAGTCGAACCGAAACGAGGGACTAGGAAAAGTACGCGTTTATCGACCGAGAAAGTTCAGAGTGGAAATGGAAATACCGCGAATGGAAGCAGGGATCATGACAACAGTATCGACATGAATGGTGGTGCACCAGTACCAGAGGAATCAAATAGGTCGACTATAGAAGCGCCAAATAATACGCACTCTACGGTCATCGCCTTACCATTTAGCGATACACCAATTATAAACCGAAATAAGGAATTACGAAAGAAAGGCGGGACAGGTCAGAGGAGGAGTAGTTTAGGTATGCGTGGGAGGAGGGCAAGTTCACTCATCGACAGTGGATATAGTGCGATACCTCACAAAGAGGTCGAAACCTCGCAGTTTTATAAACATATCGAGGACGGATTACCTGAACCGAGGAGAATGAAACAACTTTTGACATGGACGGGCGAAAGGGCTTTACCAGAAAAACCCGCGCATGGCGATCCGGATAGTGGTGCGAAATTGGCAGGTGAGTAATTTAGTCACATAGGAAGTCTGGGGAAGGGACTAATTAAGTACAGCGAGGGCAATATCAGAAGCCCTTCTCAAAGATTTTGGTACCAATTCTACCTTTTCGAACTGGTTCGATCGGGAAGAAAAACAACCAACCAGGATAACGAAAGTGGTCAAAAAGCCCAATCCTAAAAATATCGAGGCTGAAGAAAACATACAAGCGCTAGAAGCTCGAGTAAAACAGTATGATTCTATCTATCCAAAATTTAAAAAATGCGCTAACAAATCCCAGACTAGAAATCGAAAAAGCGCAATGGATATCCTTCAAAAAGCCCCCAGCGCCACTTCCACCCCTCTTTCCCAATACAGATGCAGACACAAATCCCCTCTCCCCTTCTCAAATCGATGCTACTCTTCTCGACCCCGAACAATCTGACATTCTATCTCTAATAAATTCCTCATCCTCTTTAACACTACGCGAAAATGTCTCGGAAAGGTTAAAAACCATTCATCAAGAAATTGAAGGAAAAGTGGATCGCTTCGTAGACGGAATTCACAAAATTGAAGGATATGGGGGAACAGTAGGAAGAGTAGCGGATAAGATATTGGCGTTGAGTGCAGTGAGACTGGATGAAAGGGAGAGAAGGGAGAGGGAATTAGTAGGGACGAGGGATGTGTCAATGGTGGAGGTACTGAGGAGTTTAAGTAGGATTTTACCCGAGGGAAGTGCGAGGTAGTTTCACCTGTGTTTATCAATGCAATTATTGGTTAATATATGTTGTGGTGAAAGATTCCGTAACTACATTGGGTCCCGTTCCTGCTCAATTAGATCATTGAAGCTTGACAAAAGTGTCGGGCGTAACATCTTGACAGGGAAAGAGGAATCGCGACATGGGATGGGATGGGAAATGATAAAGGGAGAAATGGAACGTTGAATGAATGAATGATAAGCGACTTTTGTCACGTTTTTTTGGGGGTTTTTTTTTACCTCCTTTTCCTTGGGGGATTTTTTGTTTTTTTGGTCACTGTGAATGGAAGGAAGCGTGACATGGCAGGATAGCAGGATAACAGGCTTGCTTCTTTTCTCCTTTAGCTCGCATTTTATGGTAAGACTTACAAAGACTTACGAATGGATGGGATGATTAGACTGTGTGTAATGTGTATAATGTGCATAATGTGCATAGTGCAATTTCAAGGAAGTAAAAGAGAGGAATTTTGACATGTTCATGTTAGTTTAGTGGGTTGGATGGTATGGATTGCATTGGAATTGAGCTAGTTACAGACAGGATGATGGAGGGGAAGGTTGGGGGGTGGGGATGGGTGCAGCAAATCAATCAATCAATCATGAAAGATTTTAACGATTCTGAATACTGAAATGGTTACGAAGTATTGAATTCCTTTTTCATCATATATACATATATATTTTTTTCTTCACTTGTGCCGGGTTATTGATGCTATCTATAGTTTACAGTTTGAATTTTGAATTTTAAGGTGATGTTAGTTAGTTGGGTAGTTAGCTGGCTACTTGGTAGTAGATGGTAGGTATTAGGTATTAGGTATTCTTAGTCTTACCTAGTTACTAGGAAGGTAGTCTCGATGTCGTTTAGATGGTTAGTTACTAGTTGGTACTGGGTATTTACTAGGTATTATATTTGAATCATCCTTTCTTCCCTTTTACTTTCTTCTCTTCCCTTCAACCCCTTTTTCTCAAATACCAAACAAAACCAACCGGCCGGTATTCAACATCATTTACACATAGCACACATCACGCACATCAAACATACATACAAAATACAAAAAAATGCCTCCCCCTCCTATTTCTACTTCTACCCCCATTGCTTCTACTTCTATTTCTCCAAAAACAATCACAACCGAAAAATTCGAGGGATCTCCACAATTTAGCGATAAATCAATAGGAGAGGCGGCAAAGCTTTTTAGTGAAAATTATGGGGTTTGGGGTTTGAAGGCTAGGGAGAATATGTTGGGTGGTGAGTTTGGTTAGTTGATTTTTTTAATTTTTAATTTTTGAGGTTTTGGAGTTTGTGGCTTGTTTTGAAGAGAATGGATTTGGAGTTTTGTGGTTTGAAAGGTGGAGGAAGGCTGTTGAATGAATTTGAATTTAGATTTAAATTTTTCGAAGTGAGTTTTGGGATTTTGGTGTATGGTTGGATTGTCTAGATTGAATTTATTTGTCGGGATGGGGTGAAGTGAATTCTGAATTCTTCAAGTTAATTATTGGGTAGACCTTTCAAGTGAATTAGATCTTTCAAATAGGTCGGTTCAATCTTTTAGATGGATTGGATAGATCCTGTCAGTAGGTTGAAGATGTCAGATAATTTGAATCTCTCAACTATTCAACTCTTCAACCTCCCTCATCTCAATCTCTTCATCTCTACCTCCACATCACCCCAATCCTAACACAAGACCCAGGAACCCACGTAAAATCACCCCCGAAAGCTCCGCTCTCAACTCCTCCCCCCCTCACCAAACAACCTACACACACATATTCATATTCGTCTCCTCTCCTCCTCTTCCTCCACACCCATCGGTCACCTCTTCGCTACGCGCTGGAAATACCAGGGAGATAATATGCTATGGATAACCCAATTATGCGTACATGGTCACTACAGAAATCAAGGGATTGCAAAACGAATGCTTCGGGTTCTTAAAATGAGTGAGAGAGATACGGAAATAGAGGGAAAAGAAGAGAAAGTAAGCAAAGGAGGAAAACAAGAAGCACAAATAGTAGGAATCCTCAGTACCCACCCTTTTGCTCTAATAGCCGTTCTAAGTGTCTTCGGAAATGGAATAAGAGATATTGATGAGGATTTAAATATGATGAGGAAAAAGGACTATGTAAGAGAACTTATGAAATCATGTCCTGTGGAATATGTTAGGGATGCTAAGATTCGAGGATCATTATTTGCTGAGGGAGATGAAGGTACGGATCTAGATGGGACGGTAGCATGTGCTAATACACAATTTTGGGTGGATCATAAGGAGCCGCTTGATGCTTTGGGAGTACTGAGGGAGAAGGGGATTGTTTGGCCGTTTGGAGAGTTGCCTGATGGATGTGAGTTTATGGTTTTGGTGAGGAGTAGGTAGTTGATGAGTTGGTTTTTGAGTTTGGGGATTTATGGATGGTGGATTTGGGTTTGAGTAATGGGATGGATAGTACCGTTGTCTTGGTCTTTTGATAACTTCTTAGTTTTCTAGAATATCTCCAGAGTAGCATCCATTCTACTTCCTCATCCACAAGATTCTGCATATCTCGAGTCTCCTCTTACTATCTTTAAACACCTTTTCGACTCAATTCAGCGCTCATTAATCTCAAATTCTAATTAATATCTAGGTAATCCAACCACAAAGCCACACCGCATTATCGATACAAACAAGATACCTAGTATTATATAGTAGCCTCTACTCCCCTCCTCTCTCGCCTTGCTTCCCTTCTCTCCCCTCCCTCCCTCTCCAACCCTCCAACCACCACGTCTTTTTGATCTCTCATACTCTCATTCCCCCACCGCATTAATAGAACCCCTTCTATATGCACATTTAAATATATACACACAAGTCCCAAATCTATCGCATACACCATACACTCATACACTCATACATCCGTACCCGCTCCCCCCTTTATCCTTCACTTCACCATCTTCATCACTTCATCATTTCATAAATTATTCATCTATTATTAGATACCTAAGAATATATAATCCACCCAATAACTCGATATTAGTCCCATCCATCCATCCATCCATCCATCCATCCACTCGGCCACACAAATATTACCTTAAAACATAAGCAGATCATTAATGCATCATTTACCTACTCACCTATCTATCTATATCTATCTACCAATCAACCAACCAACCTACAAATGGATAGGTATATATATACACGCACATATTCAACTCAAATACTGAACTTATATACATTTATATATCATATAATTATTCAAGTCACAGTACACAGTACACAGTACACACTCAATCTATACACTTCCTCTATACTCTCTTCATGATCATCTCAGTATCAACCAGACTCCCCAATAACCTTTAATCTTTAACTACCGCATCTAATTATTTAGCCAAAGCAAGCAAGCAAACAATCTATTTCACTGCCTACATTAAAGAATTTGCAAGGGATCTATCTATCTATCTGAAGGGTTTGTTTTTATATAGATGGTTAGGTTAGGTTAAGTTAAGTTAAGTTATAAAATGGAATCCAAAAAGAGAGATATTATCATGAACACTCATGCACAAGTTGAATTGGTATGTATTTCATTTATCAATCAATCAATCAATCACTCGCTCCAAATCATATTTTTAATCCTCCACCACCACTGCTCACTATTCTTTTTTCACCACCACTGCTCCATTTCCCTCAATATGTAGTGGCACAGATGCTCCATACCTTTTCATTCCCCTATCACCCATTCTCTCTGCTTCCTTGAATCTATAAACAGGCTAACGACCACCAAAGAAAGATTGACCAAGCCATTAACAGCATGAAAACCCAGAAAGAGATCCCATCCCCAAATTCATTTTATTCATTCCAATCAATCAATATCCATCCTTAAAATAGTAGATCGAAACCTTCGTTCTCATTCCCTCCCTGCCATATTGAAACTCCCTCCACCATCACTCGTCCCAAATTGCACAAAAGCCTAGCTGCGAGTTGTATGTACCGTGCATCCTCAGGTGAGAAGTAAAAGTAGAATGGCACACTCCGCCGATTATCTGATCAACAGAGAAATTGTGTGTGAACAACGAAGAAATTTAGGTTTGTTAATTTATTATACAAACCGTTTGATATTCGAAAATGCTCGGAAAAATCTCTCTCCTGCTCCAAATGAAAAGAAAATAAATTAAAAAGGAAAGGAATAAAACACGTGAAAAGAAGTGTGGGTATTTTGGTGAAGAGAAATTTTGCTCCATATATGGTGTAAGATGGAACTTTTGACCAACGTCGCTGGGACATTTTGTATAAAGACCAAAAGCGAATGCGCTGCGATATTTTCAAGATAAACTAATAACCACCGCAGCGAATGGCCATATTTTTATTAACGGGGTTCTGTGCTGCTCAGATGAGGGAGGGGTCGTGCTTGTGCTGGAAGGGGGAATCTTAAAGGCTTGGCTCCGAACAGACAGTGGTTAATTATCAAAGGATCAACTTTTGAAGATTTCTCTGTATAATCATGTCCTGCACGGAAGCCATAGTGACCTTGAGGAGATCGGTATCGGTAGCATTTGTAAAATGGCCATAAACTTCACGTCCAGGGCTTCGGTTCAAGGCGATAAATTTGTCCATGAAATATTTCGATGTCTGTTGCCAGCTTGTAGTATCTCCTTGGAAATCGGAGAAGCCGAACTTGGTGATTGGACTGTGACTAAGCTTCGCTTTAAACAAGTCAATCTTGTTCAAGAAGAGGATTAATGCAGAGTGTTTGAACCAATGAGAGTTGGCAATTGACTCCCAAAGCATTAAAGCTTCCTGCATTTGATTCTGGAATAGTGTTAGTCGCCACTGGCGTAAAATGATCAGTGGAGCTGATATGTGACTTACTCCATCCTTGTCTTCAGCTAGACATTGATCGTAACCACTGATGGAAACCAGAAAGAGTAATGCGTTGACATTCTCGAAGCAATGTATCCATTTCTTTCGTTCCGATCTTTGTCCTCCAACATCGAACATTCTGTATTTCAAGGTTCCGAGATCGAAGTTTGTTTCGGTTATACCTGTGGTTCTTAACCTTGCACGAAGAACATCTTGATCCGTCGGGACGAACTCGTTGCTGAAGAGACGGTCTAAATCCTCGAAGAAACTGGGAACAGAAGTTAGAAATGTAGGTTCCGCAGAGCTGGAGGAACACTTACTAGCCCAAGTTGTCGTGTAGAGCAAACTCATTCCCTCTATCAATGGCCTTCTGTATACCTGGATCCGCCCACATATCCTTGAATGCTTTAAGATATTCGAAAGGAATTGGCTCGAGTGGCCGAAGGTCCTTTTCTTCTGTGATCATGGAGACATATTCCTGCGAATGAAATGATTAGCCATTGCTTTTTCGATAGTTGATTGCAAACATGAAAGTGGGTTGGCGCATAAACCTACACTGGTTTTTTTGTTTTCGAAAGGAATGTTGAAATCGGTCATCGCCTCTACTGTCATTCTCAATCCATCTAAGATGTTGTGAAAGATGATAATGCGCCATTCTTCCTTTTCGTTTTTCGAGAAACCCTCTTTAGTGTAAATAATTCTCATCTGCTTCAGGATAGTTGATTTTCCAGACTCTCCGGCGCCTGCCGATAGTAATAATTAGCATGTACTATTCTCATCTTTAGATCGTGAGGCTCGGAAGAGTTCGAATGCTCCGATTCGATTGTGGTTCTACCGAGTTGTGGAGGATGCGACAACTTACCCAATAGTAACAACTTGACTTGCCGTTGCATAACCTTCTCATCTTTGTGGATAAGAGCGTCTATCTCTTTAGACCTCTTAGCCTCGACATCCTCCCTGCTGCCGAAACACATCATCAAGGGCCAAACTGGAGGAGCAATTGTGAATGATGTTTTCTAATCGCCAAAGGCGACGGTGTAGTGTAATTGAAGAAGAGTTTAAGGATCTCGGGTACGAAAGTATGTATTTGAGATTATTACCTAGGATAGGTAAAATATGGTAACGTCTTAACGAGAATTAAATCCGTCGATGGATACCAGTAGAAGGTAGTGAGTGAGTGAGTGTAGGGTAGGCAAGCCAAGAATAACCTTGAAGCAAGGTCAGGTACCTGTATAATTTGATTTGGCTACTAGGTAGTAGGTAGTAGGCAGTAGGGTAGGTATGTTTGTTGTTGTTGTTTATCGTTGTTGAAGAACCACTCAAGTACGGCGTACGGTAGTGTCAAATAGTAGTGTCAAATAGCAAAGCTTCCAAGGAACTAGGAACTGGGACTTTGGGAAGCGTCTCTTTCTTCGACGGATGAGAGATTTAGGTCTGGGTTGTCAAATTTTAAAATGATTCGGGGATGGTCGTTGTTGATAAGACGGCGGGCGGCTTTGATGGGTAGTCTAGTGGGTAGACATGCAAACCAAAATGGGCGACGGATCTGGACTCGCTCGGGGAACTAGTAATTAAGAAGGATCGAAAAGTACGGAGTACCTACTAGGGAGTGAGTGAGTAAAGAGCAGAGGCAACGTTAATTTAGGTCCCGGCAGAAGGCAGAAGTAATCAGTGCTGATGAATTCGGAATATGAAATAAAATAAATAAATAAATACCTCGTAGGGTGATCAACTCTTTTGGATTGATGATTCTTTTCTTCAGAGGCCTTTCAGCAGGTAATTAATTGATGATGAATTTTTGCTGAGAATTGATTTTGGTTTTGAGGTTGATTTTGAGGTCTCGGTGTTTGGGTGTGTGGGTGCTTGGGGGTTTGGGAGTTTGGGGGTTCGGGGGTTCGGGTCTCTGATTTGAATCGCAATATCTCTTACAAGTAGGCGGGTGCTGTATATAGTAAGACTACCCAGTAGTATTGTAGTAAGACTACAATATCTCCCTCCTCCAAAATATTATGCCGAGTTATTTTTGGTATATTGAGTGAATTAGATGAGATAAAAAACAAGCCCTGAAGGTGAGTGCGGAATAAACAGAATTGTAACTGGAACTAGGTATAACCGGATTATTCTCTCACGTTTTCGATTGGATGGATCGCGATATATCAGTCAGTAGGTAGGGTAGGTATGGTGTACTCGTTGCGGTGGGTGCTTGACCGTTTGGGTGATTGATGGATGGAGTGCGTGTGCGTGGGGCGAATGGATCTTGAGGAAGGAAGAGGAGATGGAAATGGAAATGGGAATGGAAGTGAAGGAACTTGGAAGTGAAGGAACTTGGAAGTGAAGGAACTTGGAAGAAGTGAAGGGACTCGGGAGTGAAGGGGAAAAGCGAGAAGAGGATTGATCCTCAATTTTTTGATGCCGAAGTTGTTGAAGGACCCTCAGGGTAAGGTTCGCTATCGTCTGCTATCCTTTAATGGGCATGAAAAACAGATTGGCTTGCCAGGTAGGTGCACGCACTGACGTTGGCGTACGGGAAAGCATAAAGAGAAGAAAAAGAGACAGAAAATAAAGATGATTAATATTTACGGGTTTTGTCCCGCATGTACTCTATAAGTGTAGGTACCTACTTGGACATGTATTTCTAATCCCTATATGTACCTATTCAAAGGTAAAGGAAACGAAAGGAAAGGAAAGGTAATATGCAACATGCAACATGCAACATGCAACATGCAACATTGGGATGAGGTTTGAGATACCAATATGAATGCTTGCTTATTTACTCAATAGATTCTCCATTTATTCGCGCGCGATGGTCCCCTTCTATTTTAGTTTCAATATTGATAATGAATCATTGATACTGTTTGATCGGCTTCCGCGACCTTTTCTATCATGTGCATCCAAGGATATTCAAGCATCTAAAGCAACTTGTTTCTATTCCGTGTGGTAGGTGGTATCGCATCGTGTGTCTCCAAGAGCTTAGAATCCAAAAGATGCACCCAAGGTGTGTGGTAGATGCTGACGGTATGAGCAACACCATCATTACCATTGTAACCTCAGACGGCCGTTTTAGTACGTAAGGTCTCAAAATCTTCACACCGGGATACCAAGGGTATCAAGGCTTAGAGTATAACCACATGGAAATGGTACTCCATATGGCATAGATGCATGTGAACTAAGGCATGTACAGGGAAGCAACGTGGAATGTAGATTGGGAGGCTGTCAAATCAATTCCGACTCCCTAAACTTTGGCTCACATGAGGAGAAAGGGGGCACCAAGAGGTCCACACCTTGGTGTCGGCAACCAGTGAACACGGCGCAAGATGTTGATACTTGATATAAATGTTGGTGGTCTGTTTAAAAAAATTGGAATGATGAAAATGATGAAAATGATGAAAATGATGAAAACGATGAAAATGATGAAAAGCTGGAACGATGGCTAGAACCGACAAATGGACATTGAACCCGTCGAATGATAACTATGTCTCCAGGATTAAAGGTCCGAGGGGCAGTGTTACAAGGTGATGATATATATCGGCCAGTCACTGATTTGAAATGTTCGATGGAGATGTCGGTATATGTAGTGTAACCGTCATCGAAAGAGATTCAAGGTACTTTGAACAACGTGTTTTCTTGTAGTATCTCGGGAGTTGTGGTACTCTCAAACAGTACTCTCAAATGTATTTATATATGGATTAAAAGTCGGTCATTCAGGGGTGGCAAGCAGGATGGGTGAGAAAATGGCTGGATGGCGCAGCCCCATTAATACTACCTACCGCATTAAACACAAGGATGAATCTTACCTGGTCCGGCTGCAGTAGTTGACAGAGAGAGAAGAAAATCATGGTCGGCATGGTGAGAAAATAGGTGCATCACCATCAACAAACAGCACGAGGTTCAAAGGGGACTAGGTATTCGAACCTATAGGAAGTAGGTATGTACAAGCATACAAGCATACAAGCATACAAGCATACAAGCATACAAGCATACAAGCATACAAGGAAGCTTCATCTGCCAATATTCCATCACAAATACAAATACTAGGTAAGCATTGAAACTTTGTCATAAGTGTAACATTTTAAAAGACAAGCCAGCCTCGGGGTAATCTCATATTCGTCATACGGGGACACACATAGTTTAAAGTACATACTATATATTGCGGGCCGTAGATTTGAACTTGACTGCTTCTATCCCAAGGCTAACTCTACTCCGGTACTGAGCGAGCCGTAAGGTAGAGTGCCTACCCTAGTATGCCATGCAGAAATAATGCAGTAGCTACGGACCCGTCCACCAAGTTCCCCTCTTCTAGATACACCTGAAACGAACCATTTATTATCGACGGAAATCTCTCAAGGCCAAACAAATAAGCAGGGGCTGTAGGCAACCTAACAAGTAATCCGGTTGGGCAATTTGATTCGTCCTTTTCTCTAGTGCTTCCATTCAAATAACCAAGGATGAACCCACACCAAAGTGGCACATAAGATCTTACTCTTCTACCTACCGGTAGCTCCCCAATGCTGCTCATTTCTTTTTTCCTTCCACTCCGTGCATTTTTACTTTTCAATTTTGGCCCCACCCTTGTCAGTGAGATTTTAAGGATCATCTTTGAAATTGAGGGTGCCCCTCAAACTAGCAAATGACATACACTGGGCAGGCTGTGAGGATGTACTATGTATAATGAACATTTGATCAGGGGGGTGCGGAAAAAATCGGCTCTTGAACAATTACAGCTACCATATATTGAGTGAAAGACTTCCAATTTAGCCTATAAACATCATAACATCAGATAAATATCAAAAAACTAACTCCTTTGGGGGAGTTGTTCGAGAATTGTGAAAACCAGCCAATCACAGTAGTTTCGTGGGTCTCACATCAAATAAAGTGTAAGGTGGGGTAGGAAAGTGCTGCTTGGGAGCAGCAAGTCATATCAAAAAAAACTCTTCTAGGTATTTTTGACAGCAGGGAATCAAGGGCTTTTTTGGTTGTGTTTTTGCAAACTTCTACAATTTCCACTTCTTTTTTAACTTCACTTATTATTGCAAGAACCACTTGTACTTGCAATCTCCCTTGCGCGTTTTGCACTAGATACCCAACCTCAATCCCTCACTCCAAGCCTCCTCATCTTTCTCCTCTCTCAACATATTCCGTATTCGTTTCTCCAGACCCCTCATTTGCTATCCACGACACAACCTTCCAAACTGGTTCTTTTCAAAGTCTATCTCAAAGATGTCAGAGATCACCCACCCCACTATCAAGGGTATGTCCGAGGAATCTTCTTTTTCTTCTCCTGCTCTACATCACTGCGTTGGGTCCTACGAGAACATAATCAAAATTGTTTTCAAGTGAGACATTTCCCAGGGCGGCATGTATATTCCAGTCAGGGTTCAATGCCATTGCCTGAATGACTGCTACGCCTTTCGGCTTGCATCTGACGTTGGGCCAATACAGCATCTGCGGGAACGTGCTACGTCCGGCAATATGCAAGAAAGGACCCAAAGCTGATTAGTTGATTTACAGATGGCTGGTTCCGCGAAATTTCCGAGATGTGGCCTGGCCAGGCAATGACCCTCAAGGTTAAGAACGTCCTTCACCACGAGAAGAGCAAATTTCAAGATGTTTTAATCTTCGAGTCCACCGATTATGGCACCGTCTTGGTCCTCGACAATGTCATTCAATGCACTGAGCGCGATGAATTCTCATACCAGGAGATGATCACCCACTTGGCTATGAACTCCCACCCCAACCCAAAGAAAGTCTTGGTCATTGGTGGAGGGGATGGAGGTGTCTTGCGTGAGGTTGTTAAACACGATTGTGTAGAGGAAGCCATCCTCTGCGACATTGATGAGGTTGGTAACAGATATCTAAAGTTCATGACTTACTTTTTATACTGACATTATGTAACAGGCCGTCATTCGTCTTTCCAAGAAATACCTTCCTGGCATGGCTATCAGCTATCAACATCCTAAGGTCAAGACTCACATCGGTGACGGATTCAAGTTCCTAGACGATTACAAGAACGAATTTGATGTTATCATCACCGATTCTTCCGACCCAGAGGGACCTGCCGAAAGTTTGTTCCAGAAGCCATACTTTGAGTTGCTATTTGGTGCTCTTAAGGAGGGTGGCGTTATTACCACACAAGGTTGTATGTTTCATTTTTCTATGCTTACACTTCTAGTGCTGTGTGTAGTAGCGGTGGGCAAATGACACTCGCTTTTCCCTTATCATCTTATCTATATATATACATCCCCCCCGATTTCCCCCTTTCACAGGGCATGAATGCTAACGCTCTGTTTCTCATAGCCGAGAACCAATGGCTCCACCTCCCATTGATCACTAAGCTTAAGAAGGACTGCAAGGAAGTATTCCCCAATGTCGAATACGCCTATACCACCATTCCTACATACCCATCTGGCCAAATTGGATTCATGGTATGCTGCAAGGACGCCGATCGCGATCTTAGCAAGCCAGTCCGCAAATGGTCCCCAGAAGAGGAAGAGAAGTTGTGCCGCTACTACAACGCTGCTATTCACGAAGCAAGCTTTGTCTTGCCAACTTTCGCCCGTGCTGCATTGAAGTAGGGTGTTGATCCCACTTAACTTTCGTGGCGTTGTGAATACACAACTTTGGGCTTAAAACATAGATATGTGTAGGAGTGCCCTGCTCGTAGCTAGCTACTGGCTATTCCAGATCGTTGTATCTGCGAGCTTTACTCCATAACTCCAGCCAGGAGATATAGTAGCCAAAAACGAAAAATAAACGAATGATGACACCAAACCATGTTTTTCTTTTTCAAAATTTGAGACCGCTTATAAAGAATTAATGACGCATAAAAACCTGAGTCCCTACCAGTGCTAGTAACATACTCTAATATCCGATCGATCTTCACCTTGTAAATTGCACATACCTTGTTTGTAGATGTCATTCCCCTGAATTCGGATACAGTGCTTTAAATAAGCCGTGAGACATCGGAAGTTGCTGGTGCACGTCCCTCAGTCGGTATTTGTCATTCAAGCGAGGGAACCCACTTTGAGCTTCAACAGATCTTGTAGCTTCAAGGCATCAATATAGCAAATACATATCCGTGGTATGATGCTTAAGGCTACCCTACGATTTCTACCCAAGCTTACCGCACGATCAATTTCATTTTCAAGACAGGCCACACTCCGCAACATGTCTCAGTTACTCAAGAAACCAGTCAAAATCGCCTTGATACAGCTGGCTAGTGGTTCGTCTTTCTGGGGACTATCAAGAACTTCATCCTGATGCACCACAGGAGGCTAACAAATCACGACAGGAGCGGACAAATCTCAAAACCTAGTGCACGCCCGCGAAAAGGTCCGTGAAGCCGCGTCAGCTGGTGCAAAAATCATTGTACTCCCCGAATGTTTCAACTCTCCCTATGGTACCCAATACTTCCCCAAATATGCGGAAACTCTCCTACCCTCTCCCCCCACCTCTGAGCAATCGCCCTCATTTCACGCCCTCAGTGCCATGGCCGCGGAGACGAAGACTTACCTGGTAGGCGGTAGCATTCCAGAATACTCGCCCGCCACCAAAAACCATTACAACACTTCGTTAACATTTTCTCCATCTGGTAAATTATTGGCTACCCATCGAAAAGTTCATCTGTTTGACATCGATATACCCGGAAAGATTACATTCAGGGAATCAGAAGTTCTCTCCCCAGGCAATCATATTACTATGATTGATCTGCCAGAATATGGTAAGATAGCAGTGGCGATTTGCTATGACGTCCGATTTCCAGAACTAGCTATGATTGCGGCCCGAAAGGGATGTTTTGCCTTGATTTATCCTGGCGCGTTCAACACTACAACAGGTCCTCTTCATTGGAGATTACAAGGACAAGCAAGAGCTATGGACAATCAAATTTATGTTGCCTTGTGCAGCCCCGCTAGAGATGAAACTGCCAGCTATCATGCCTGGGGACATAGCTTGGTCGTCGATCCGATGGCACAAGTGCTTGTTGAGGCTGCTGAGCAAGAAGAAATCGTTTATGCTGAGCTGAACGGAGAGAAAATTGAAGAGACGAGAAAAGGAATCCCAATTCAGACCCAGAGAAGGTTTGATATATACAAAGATGTTAGTGAAGACTTTAAGAACGGGGATGAAGAGTGATAGGCCTTGGATAAGGGCGTCAATATATGTCACACTCGTTGGACACAACACGCACGAAACTTACAATCGCAACTGTCATTACGATGAAAAATATGATTTTAGTTGTTGGTTTTTTCGTCACTTGTATTTCCACTACAAGCAACACGTACAAATGACCCGGCATTTCCATTTTGTATACCGTAATGTGCAGCGTCCAAAAATGTCACACGTCATAAGCTAGCAATTCGATATAAGCCTTCATTTGAAGCAATTGCTCTTGAACTCTAGAGTGTTCCCGGTTCAATGTTATAAATGTCGATTCCGCGTGAGTAACAAGCGTTGCAATGGTTAAAGTGGAAGGTGCAAGGTGAGCTTAGTTTATGGATGCTCGGGGATGTGCAATGGCAAGACCTCGAATGCTCTTTCCTTCCGTATTGTATCTTTTGGGACCTGTAATCTAAATCACATATCGAAATCACGCAGCTTTACGCTCGTTTTCTAAACAGTATACATAAATAATAACACTCGTTTGGTTACGTTCATTCATCAAAATTATCCTATAATATTCGTTACCTTATGTACCTTTAAGACTACCGCACGCTTTTTCAACGACCAATGGACTCTCTGTCCGTTGGGCCGGCTGAAGTATCTGTCACTGGCCGCAGAAGGACATCTTCTGCACAGAGTACTGGTTTTGATCATACTACTAATTGCCGTGTTGAGGAGGATATCCTTTCGCGAATTCGTGCACTCGTCTTATCCCGCAATACAAGTCGTCCACCTCGAACCCCAAATCCATCCGACGAACGCAACCCACCGCGACACGAGGCCAAAGCCTTTGGAAGTCTCGACGAATATATAACTCCTCAGAAGGCTGCAAGAATTACACGGTCGGATTCTGGGTTCCTCGGCGTGGAGCTACAGGCCCGTAACTTTCAGAGCTCTGACGGTAGCATGGATATCGAAGTTCCACGTACCCAAAGATCTCGACAAAACTCCATTCCTAGTGTTTCTACGAACAAACGCACAGCCAGATTACGGGGCTCGAGTTCGGCAAACGATCTTCGCATCGATGGTGGTGCTGCTGACATTGACCCCTCCATCGATTCGAAACTGCTCGAATCCAAATCTACGACAAAGACGGGCTATTTTCGGCTCCCTAAGTTGGTAGTACGAGATATTGAAAAGCCCGGCAAGCCCAGCAGTTCCAAGATCGCAGTTGGATCCTGCCTTCCTCCAATCAAGAATATATATCAAAAAGTACCTACGGAAGATACTTCTGCCCAAGAAATTGATCAACCTTGCCCGCACTGCGAACAACCAACCAATAAGGAATGTGCAGCACTTGCTGTAGCCGATGATGAGTTATCCAGATTCTCTAAACTTCCACAGTCTCCTCCAGAGGAAGTTAAGGGTCAGCCAGAAATCGCTTGCTCCCCGACATGTCCTCCAAATTGCAAAGAACACTATATTTATCATCCTTTGCCCTCCAGTACTCTATTGCCAAAAGATGATATTCTCAAAGTTGATGTGACGATGGTCCCAGATGGTGTGGCAAACCTTGACTTTGCGCTCAACAATATTAGAGACCAACAAACTTTGGTGCGGTCCTTAAGCTACAAGCCCGAGTCCAATGTTACTCGTGCCCAAGATAATACGAAGTCCGAATCTTCCTTTACAACAGCAACCGTAACAAACCCACGAAATACCGAAGGATCTCCACCTCCTACCCGTGGTAGCAGTGTCAGCTCGGTTGACACTTTTCCTCATGTTTTGACTAGCGAGATGGCTATCGATGAACTCATTCCTCGACCCCTTTCTTCGGCGGTGGTCACAAATTTTAGCTTACCAGGGCCTAAAGCTAAACCTATTGTCTCAATATCCAAAGATGAGGCTCACAAAGCTAGAATTCCTGAAGTAGGTCGACCTCCTTCGGCTGGATCTGTTCGAGCTAAAGCAAAAACGCCATCATTACTTTCCGGAGCATCAAGGACCTCTGTTCGCCATTCTTTACTCAAATCGCCTATAGCCACAGGCTCACCAGTAGACAATGGGCTACCGGTCCCACCTGTCTTAACGACGGTAACATCATCATCGAAAGCAGGTACGACAGAAAAGCCTACTATTCTAACCCAAGTTGCCACGCCGAGTTCAGGCATACAATTACCCGTAGAGTCAATATTGGCCGATATTGTGGCAGCAGCAGAGCTCTCTGCATTGAATGCTGTGAAGGGGCGAGACGAATTTACGAACCAATCTAGTACTTCATCGGCAGACAAGCTCGTCGTAGAAGAAATATCGCCTACGTGTATCAAGCTGGGCTATATCGACAAGTCAAGTCCATCAGTACCTTTGCTCACTGCGGTTGTGACCGTTCCAAAAAAGCGACAACCAATTGAAAACCCCAGCGATTCTTCTGATAGAAAGCCTAGTATCCCTGAGCGTAACAAAGCACGTACAAAAACTCTTACCGACCAGAAGTCTGTAGAAGAAATACAGCAGCGAGATGCCCCAGAAGCCTTTCCGCCGGTCGATCCTCTAAATGCATCCTATTGGGGCTTTGTTCCTGCAGTAAAAGATGCCGTTCAAGATGCAGTCAAGGTAGCTGTTCGCAATGCTGTGCAGGACATGGTCGTGCCCCCTGGAATTGAGAAAGCCGAGGCAAGTGATGCATACAGAATGCTTGTTGCTGATTCTCTAGCCGAAGCAGCTAAAACTGCCGACGAATATTTGCGACGGGACTCTTTGTGGACTCAGGCACCAGAATCCGCCCCTGAGTCTTATTTTGATGACCGCGCGGCTGAGATATCAATAATCGACTTTTCTTCTACCAAGGAAGAGAACCCCAAGTCTCGGAGCGTTTCACCAAACTCTGGGGAGATGGAAGAGATACCTCTTACCTCGACCAGTGGAAATAGGAGACAGGAATCCTCAAAAGCTACCACCACTATATATGATGCTATTCCTCCACGAGATTCTTCAAAAAACCGCGTTTTGAAGCCCAAGAATAGCAACGGGAACTCATCTGCTGTGCCTTTCCAAAAAGACCCTCCTAGGCGTCGTGGATCGAAGGAAGGCTTGATGTCTGTTGCAGATTCTACCACCAACACTACTTCAGAGGACAGGACGACGAGCAGGAAAAACACTGTTCATTGGCTTAAAGAGCTACTAAGCAGTAACGATGCATATGCACCTAGACTGACCGCTTTGCCGCCACGATCTCGACGTGCCGAAGCTCATAGTGAGTCTAGTGGCCGCCAACGGTCCTTCACAGCACCAATAGTGCCGGTACAGGAGCTTTTTCTTGGGGCTACACCAAGCCCCCTCGACACCAAGCCAAAAATCACTTTCGCTGATCCGAAAGACAAAGGGGCAGCTGTTGCAGCAACTTTCACAAGGACTATTAATGACCTCGAAAAACTGCTTAATGAAGCACTCTTGATCGCAAGACAAGCTGCCGAAAAAGACGATGATAACAGTGTGCCAAATCTTCTCAGTAATGCAGCGGCAATTTTGAAGGGTGGTCGCAAATACATGGACAACGGGACATCATCTGTCCCACAGAAAAGCCGAAGAAGACCCAGAAATGAAGCATTGTTAAGTGTTGAAAGTATCCCAAGTGCGCATGAAAGTGCTCGTAGTTATTCTGGAACAAGTACCGAAGGCAATACTGACGATGATGAGTTTACCGAGGATGAAACCATAAGTCAAGCACCTGCCGCCAACATTACGATTAAAGAGCCGCTGGAAAGGCAGGAAGAGAAAGAAGCTTTCGATACAAACCTTAACATACCTGATCAGACTTTTAGACAGCGTGAAAGGAGTGCTACTTGGGACAGTTCTAGAGCGTTACATGCTTTGGACCATGCAAGCATCTCCAAAAAACCGCAGCCGTTAACACAGCGTCTCACTATGCCAAGGCAAAGCACCGCAGGGGTCTCGCCATCATCTGAGTCCAATAGGATTGATTTTGTCATAGCTAACGGCAACCTTGAGGTACGTGAAAAAAAAATAGGATAAATAAAATTGCTTTACGTTTCTCTTCAAGGATGTTTTGTCGAATTATGCTAATAGAAACAGAAACCATCGAGAACCACCACATCTGGCGGCTTTGGCTGGCAAGACATATCTGAGCGTCACACGGTCTACCAGTCTCCTAGCCTTTTACGTTCCCAAAGTGATGATGAGACACGCCCAGGAAAGCAACTTTATGAAGAGGATGAAGCCACACTAGCGAGACTTCCCGTCACTACACTTTGTGGTAAAACTTCTGTATCAAACAGCCTTGATGGCTCACATCCTTCTGAGACGGTTGATTTTCAAACAGGATTTCATCATGAATACATTATGCAACATGTTGAAGGGAAAGGGGGAACAGCTCGAAGCCAGCCACGGAGCCGACTCAGAAGTCGAGCTCAATCACAGTTCCGACAAGCCGCACAAGGTGGCGAACGTAGTGGAGGTGGAGGGTATGACGAGGACAGAGATAAATTCGTAGAACTACAAGAACAACGCCCGCCGATAAACCGAGATGGTTCGAACCGTTCATTGAAGATGAACACGAATATGAGTCATCACTTCTTCAATCTTAAAGGTAAAAGACATGTCAGCCTAAAAGATCACAAAGGGTTCAGCCTTGCAAGAACTCACAAACGAAAACCTATCGCCAGAGATTGGTCTCCTTCGCGAAAGAGATTCACGGCTACCATAACATGTCTCAGTACGTTTCTTGTTGGCCTTGTAATTGGTATCTATGCAGGCGAGGTTCCTTCAATCCAATATTCGATTGTGGACTTGCACCATTTCACGGTTCTAGGGAACGTCTTCTTTTTCATAGGCCTTGCCATTCCAACAACTCTCTTTTGGCCACTCCCACTTTTACACGGTCGTAAGCCGTATATTTTGGGTTCAATGTCACTTGCCATGCCATTGCTTTTCCCTCAAGCTTTGGCTGTTGGTGAAACACGAAATCCTAACTTAGATGGTTGGAGAATTGGTCTGCTTTTGTCTCGGTCATTCATGGGTTTTGCACTTGGTTTTGCTAACATGAACTTTTTGTCTACTTTGATGGATCTTTTTGGTGCTTCACTTCAAAGTGCTAATCCTCACCAAGAATATGTCGATGAAAGTGATGTTAGACGTCATGGCGGTGGCATGGGTCTTTGGCTGGGTATATGGACCTGGTGTTACGTTGGATCTATTGGAGTTGGATTCTTGCTTGGTGCAATTATTATCAACTTCTTGACGCCTGCTTGGGGCTTCTATATTAGTATTGCCATCCTTGCGCTGGTATTAGTTCTGAATGTGGTTGGTCCTGAAGTTCGACGGTCTGCTTTTAGGCGATCCGTTGCTGAAGTTAGGAAAGATGATCAAGTGTCTAGAAGGTTGGCAAAGGGTGAGGTTAAAATGCATAGAGTACATACCGGACCGAAGTGGTGGGGTGAGGAATTTCATCATGGTTTGCTGCTAACGCAGAGCATGATGCGTCAACCGGGGTTTCTGGTTTTGGCGTTTTATCAGGCTTGGATTTATGGTCAGATTATTTTGGTTATGATTGTAAGTTGCTACGATTTTTCCGCTGTAAAATCTTTTCTAACGATGGCAAGCTTCTCGGTTCTTTGACTTCAAAATACTACAAATTCAAATCTCCATATGTTGGCGCAAGCGTGGCATCGATTCCACTTGGTGCACTTCTCTCCGTTCCATTCCAAAAGGCAGGCATCTTCAGCCGAGAACGAAAAGAAGGGATGCAAAGTGACGACGATACATTGAAGAAGAAGAAGATCTCTCTATCGTCCCATTTTGTTCGACGCTCGATTTTTGTTATTCTTCTTCCATTCATGGGCCTAGCTTATACACTCTCCTCCACCGGGCCACCAGTTCCGTTCATTTTACCTATCATTTTCGCTGCTGCCATTGGGTTCCTTTCGAACCTCGCTGTTGCTGAGTGTAATGGTATTATCATGGAGACTTTCGATACTTCCGATCTTCAGCCTGGTATGACGGGACGTCCGAGAAGTGGCAGTAAATCCGGCAAAGTGACAAATTACTCTTGCTTCCCGCGCGTGTGTGCAGCCTTTGGTATCACGCAAGGTATGGCATTCTGTATTGCGGCAATAGCAAGTGGAATTGGAGGAGTTGCTCAGAGACATCTGGGCCAGCAGGCCGCTACGGGCGTGATGTGCGGTGTTCTACTTATCCTCTCTCTCCTTCTTATTGGTGTGCTCGCACGTTTCCAAGATGTACAAATTATTCCGGAATCAAAAACAGGCGAGTTGGAACGCTATCAGGCGATGAAGAGGGAACAATATATACAAGGAAATACAGGCAATGATGTGGATGAAGAATTTAGGCCAATTATTATTGGAAATCCCACACATATCATGCGCAGAATGAGTGTGTTAGAGATGGGCAGTATGACGAGGTGGAGTGACATTCGGAACAAAAATAGGTTGGTGGATGAAAAGAGTTTGGAGGCTAGACATGCGAATTTGAATACTTTGGTTCAGGTGGAGAAGAAGTTGAAGGAGAAGCGGAAACATGTTGTGGAGTCGGTGAGAAGAAGTTTAAGTGGAAGTAGGGATGGCGGTGACGATGTTAGGGAGTATAGTTATGAGGAGAAGGTTACTACTAGTAAACTGGTGCCTGATGGTGGACGTAGTGGATATGGAGATGAGAGGATGGATTTCAGAGAGGATAGGATGGGAAAGGTGGTGGAAGAAGTAGAGTGGCGACAGGGGAGAGTGGTGAAGAAAGAGGTGACGACGAGAAAGAGGGAATTCAAGGGGACTTAGGTGGGCTGACAAATGATTGGGAGTTCAGAAGGAAGGGAAGGAATGAAAGGTTGAGGATGGAATAAAGGGGGAAGGTGAAGGGGGGATGTTATTGGGGACTTGATGAAATGATGGATGAAGGAAATAGGATTAGAGTCACTAAATTGTCAGGTTAGAATACAGAATTTGGGGAGTAGGAAGTTGGGTGTAATAGGTTTTTGGGGAAGGAATAAAGTAGATTGAGTAAATTGATTAATGGAATATTTCTTATGGAGTGATGAATTGAAGTAAATTGAGCTGAAGTGAGTTGATATGAGTTTATAGTGGAATAATATCTTTAGTGTATATTATATATTATATCAAAGTCGATGGGATTGAGATTGAGATTCATTAGATTGAAGCGAGAATGTAAGATTAAGATCAAGTCTTATAATAACTGAAAATGTAACGGTGAATTAAAGAATTAGAAGAGTAGATTAAAAAGTGAGTGGGTCACGAATTCGAATGGGTAATTAATTATGTTATGCTCGTGAAACATGAAATATTAAAATTCTTACTTTTTATTTAATTATTTAATTAATATATATATATAATAATAGATCGCTATCTACTCATCTATTTATTCTTTCTATTCATTCATCCTTCTTTCTATCTATCAGGGAATATATATTCATTCAGTACTCCAAAACCCATTGATATAATGATAAATGAACAAACTCCTCGCTATGCAAATTAAAAATAAATGCCCGGGCTCCCAAATTCTAAAGTTGGGGAAAATCATACTGCTGTACATGTATATATGTATGGTATGTAAACGTGATCTCGTTCGAATAGGTATCGTAGATATAGATATCATAGATGTATGTATGTATGTGTGTGTATACATACATCTTCACGATGCCGCTTAAGGTTGTCCTCAGCACGTGTAGCTCGAATTTTTCACGAACTCCGTCTGCTAGTCTCTCCAACCTCCCACTCATCGCAATTCAGGGATTTTGTACTCGTCTTCCCTTCTCGCCTCGCTTATACATTAGGACTAAACCTTGATAATGCCCTCACCTTCGCTCCATACACAAAGAAAAGTATAGGCGCCGGAATCATAGCCACGCAGGCAAAAGCCAACACGCTAGTAGCCCACGATACACCGAGACCATTAAACATATACTGAGCGAAGAGCGGGAATCCAGCGCCCGCAAAACTCCGCAGGAAAGTATTCGCCGCAATGGCTGAATTAGCATGCCACTTGTACACATCGATGATGTAATTTAAGCCCTGTAAGAAAATCATCAGGATACCCCATCCGATGAAAATTCCCGAGATGACTTGCGGAACCCATGTGATATGCGGAGAGGATGTCCAGGCAAACCAGAAGAGTCCGACGGGGAGGATGAAGGAACCTAGGATCATGGGGGGTAGACGTTCTTCTGGGATTACTTTGCCGTGTTTTTGGAACTTGCGCGCGAAACGTGTCTTGGTTATGAAGGCGATGGTGCAGGCACCGATGAGGACGCCGATGAGAATTCCGATGAAGGGGAGGGCGGCGAGACCGGGGGACCAGCCGCGTGCTTGTTGGAAGGAGATGGGGTAGGCTTCGAAGAAGAGGTAGAGGATTCCGTAGATGAGGGCCATGTAGAGGGTGATGAGGAGGAGGATGGGTTCTTGGGCGAGCATGATGAAGGGGCGGAAGAGGTAGGTTTGGATGATTGTGTGGGCGTCGAGTTTGATCTGGTGGTAGGGTTAGTTATTTGATTTGATTATGGGCTGCGGAATTTTGGAAAAAGGATGGAAAAGGGGTATGTAGAGAGGTTAACTTACTTCATCAGCTTTACTATGAAGAGCCCAATTTTTCGTTTCAAATCTCAATCTTGCAGCCCTCTGTTGAAGAATCTTCGGATGAGAACTCTCAGGCACAAAAATCAAACCAAATGTTCCGAAGCCCGCAGCCAAAATCAAGGTAAGCCAAGCTGTCCATCTCCAGCCCAGGTATGACTGCGTGATAAAATTACCTCCAATGGGTCCCGCAATAGGACCAATAAATGTTGCTGCGGCGAAGACGCAAACTGCAACACCACGATCCACCGGACCGAAGAAATCTGCTAATGCTCCTCCGTTAATTGCTAATGGGGCGGAAGCAAAGGCGCCGCCAATAAATCGGCATACCATGATTGTGGCAAGGTTTTGAGCTACGGCAACGGGGATCTGGAAGATGGCGAAACCGGCATAGCCGATGAATAGAGGGAGTTTTCTGCCGAAGAGTTCGGATCCTGGGCCCCATATCTATATTTTGTTAGTTGCATTGTCTATGATATATGTATGCACTGGCTTGGAGCTTCCAGAACAGAGAATGGGAACATACCAAAGGACCAACTGCAAAACCCACGACAAACAATGAAGTGCCTAATACAGCCACTTCTTCGGAAACGTGATATAATTCCGCAACATTCGCTGTAGCTGTACTGAAAACACTAGACGAGAAAGTAACGACGAAAGTCATGACACCCAGAATCACAGTGATACACCATTTCTTCTTCGCAGGCCAGTTCATCGGATTTTCGGGATCATCCGGTCCATCCCAAGTTACCAGATTCGGGTCATGTTCTTCCTTTTCTCTTTTCAAACTCAACGCAGCTTCCTTTTCCTTCTCGCCTTGTGCTTCCACGTCGACGTCCTCTTTCGCTAACGTTGTAGTTTGACTATGTCCTCCTGACGGTTCTTCCTCGCTGCCTTGTCCGGGAAAGGGTTCTGTGTCGATACTAGCGGTATCATTCCACCTCTCCTCATTCACATGTTCATGCTCATTAGACATTGTACCAGCTGTAGTATCCATCTCGAATTCGGAATAAATATATCGGCTTCAGTATCCGACCTCGTACCGACAGCCTTATTCAAAGCCTGCTCAACAGCCTTTCCGAAACTTGACCTAGAATTATCTTAAAACCCTGCACCAAACTGAATCCTCGTGCTGCGATGCTCCTCTAACTCAAAAAGGGGTATATCTTGCGCCCCGGGGCAAGTAGGTCTATTTATGATTTGTAGGAGTCTTGAGTGGAAGGCTGGTATGCGGGTCCTTGAGGAAGTATACTGGGTATGTGCACAAATATATGGATTCCTTTTTGCAACTTTCGATAATAATTATCCCAGGATAAATCGGGAAGTGGATACGATACCGAGGAATGTCTCATAAACTTGGTTCTCGAATGATTTTAAGGGTCGGCCTGGCTCAACTTTGGGAATAGTGAGAGCTGGGATGGTCTGTGGATGGAAGATATATGCAGAGAACTGTGGGAGTTCAAACTTGGGGATGTAGATAAGGCATGAAGATATCGTAAGATGATATATATATAAGTCTTGAAAATCCTTTGAAGCACTACGCAAAATTATATTGGTATTGCTTGTTCCAAACTCCACAAATGATGATGAATTGACCATGAACTACTCGTGCGGCGGGAAAGTTCAAAAGTCCGAACGCTCAATCAATAATAAGAAAGGGAGGGAAATCTGGAAAATGGGGCACTTTGACCAATAACGACAATCACTCCCTAAGGTTCGGTAATTTTTGACAGCACGAACAGCGACATCGTGGAGGGAAAAGTAAAAATTCGGGACCGAAAGTTGCCTTTTTGGGTTGGGACCCTGGGAATGATCACTTTGAAGGGCGTGTCCCGGCAATATTGCGTAGCAATTTCTCGTATTAACTCCGATAGCATGAGCGTAGCATAAGAGCTGATTGCAAAACGGCATTTGGCGGACCCATTATTCTCGACAGCAAGCGGATATGCAGGTGGTAAGGAAGCCCGAGTCCCCGACGTGAGAGCTAGCCGTAGAATTCATGGAAGGTTAACGTTCTAAGCCAGTAAGAGCTCCCAACTGTGCAAGTTTTAGGGGGATGTTTCACTCAACTCGAGGGGTGAAGTGGATCGCTCAGGCAAATAGGTGACACATGCCCCATGCCCCATGCCCCGTGCCCATGTCAGTAGTGGTGGACGGGTGGAGCATCTTCACTAGATGCCACTGGCCGTTGACGGCTCTCACAGACAAGCAGCGGATAGATCGGCTTGATGGGATAACTGGGCGTGGGAGGAATATATATTTTTGTAAAATCTGATGTATTCCCTCCCGCTTTCAAGGACCCGAGTTGCTCGACACTCACTTGTCAACCACTTGCCACTTTGTTATCAGAGTACCCTTACTCCATATAGCAATCGCAAATCGCAAATCGCAAATCGCAAATCGCAAGCTTACAAATCAAATGTTTATGATGGGTGTCAGTACTGTTTGAGATGGTGATGTCGACTCACCTGTAGACGTACAAAGTATAACATGACATAAGCTTCCTTCATCAAAGGGAAATCCCGCCTCCACTCCGAATCGGCTAAAAGGTAAATATCACAAAGGGTCAAAAAGATTTAAGCATATTTTTCCTTCAGATCATTGCGGTAATTCGTCTCCATAATTGCTTAATCACCGACACCTGCTTCAATCTAGGAGATGTCGCGAGTTGAGCGCGGAAATTATCAAATTTGTTCCGCTTTGCTTCGAAGTTGAGCGATCCTTCAGCTGGCGGAAAATTTCTCAAATCCCGAATCCATGGGCGGTAGGTTATTCACATTTCCGTTAGATTGATAGAATTCTTCAGTTTGAAACTTCCGAAACTAAATATTTATATGATATTTATATTTGCTTATGTAAACCATCTGAAAACATCAAAATGCTATTTATATCGAATTGATCAACCCAGTGGTATATTCAAATTCTTCAACACATACTTACCATCAATAGGCTGGCTCACCAGCTTTGAATTCGCTGATCTGAGAAGCAGAAAAGAAAGTAGATTGGTGTCCCGGCAAAAACGGCACGGTTGTTATCGCACGTGCACATTTAAGACAACAATCAAGGATATCATTTTCCAATGGATCAGCAAATATGCCTAGTTCGGGACCGACATGTTGACCAATCAATCCCGGTATGCTAGAATCTGGTATTCATAGAACTTGCAAAGTCGGCCCCTTGAGATTTTATGAATTAGTCACTGATGACTCCTGAGAGGGGTGGTGTCTGGCATAGTGGGGTTATCATGTCCTCAATACGTATACGGAGTATGGTGTCAATCTTCCATTTACCATATCATAGGAGTTTTGGTACCAGAGGTCGAACAACCTCCGAAAGTATAAACGCCCGCCTGCGCGTTAGACACTCAATAGTACACCATTCCCATGATATTAAACTTTTCGACACAGACTGACCGCAGAATCTCGCCCTACGGCTTTTGTGTATTGAAGATGCTATCAAGCTAAAAGGGGTTTTCAGTGTACTTACCCCGCCTTCAGATCTGCGAAGAGTAGTTTTGAAGTACTTCTAGCTGTGTTTGCAAACACAGACGTTTATCTATCGTTTGACAGGTAATGCAAATTTTCAAGGTGTTAGTCTGGACCGTATCAGTATACTCTTTGGGCTTAGGACTGTGAAGTGGTGGCTCGAAGGCGTGAGTTTGATTGGTAATACCATTGGATGTTCCCAAATGCAAATGCAGAAGTGCTTCTTGCGAATCATTTTCCTTTTGTATATGTATCCATGACAGTCATCATTATCATTTTGAAACCAAAGATTCAGAGGTAATTGATTCTGCGCCGTTATAAGAAAACAGATACATAGCAATGGGTGATAATTCGCATTTGTCATCTTGGCGTCTTGAATAGGAAATATTGGAATCATGGAGCGAAAAGGTGGCGAACAATGAAATATCAATGTGATTTTCCTGCAAAATGTTGATGTAAGTCGAATGATACTCGATGATTCAGGTATGATCTATTCAAACTCCAGCCTCCTTCTTTCTCGACGGTATAGGGCACGAAGTGGTCTCGCTTTCAAACACTAACAAATAAGCATTGCTCTTCTCTCAAATAACTTAGAGTTGGTGCTTGAAGCTAAGGTAAGGTAACGAAGAGATGTGGAATCTGAGGTCAAAGGGCTTGCAAGCTATACAACTGCCCCAACTTGTCACATTGCTGCCTAAGATGGCTCACTGACATGTTGCGGCGAAGGTCGTATAGCAGGTCGACTTCACAATTTGGAACTCATGCTATTGGTGAAGGCTTATGAAGCTAAATTGACATAGCGGTACCTTTGTAGTGTACTTCGGGTCCAAGATCTCCATTGTCCAGTGGCTTTTCCACAGACAAATAGCAAGGAACGGTCCGATTGGAGTCCGAAGGCACTTCCTAACAAACGACATTACAAAGATTTTGCAACATTATCAAATTCCCCGTCATGCAGGGGGATATTTATTTGTGTTGCCGGGACTGAACATGAAGATCTTAACAAAAGATGCATTTTTGCAGGAGGGGATAAAGCGAGCAAGGAGACACTTGGCGAATGCGAAAAACAAGTAACGTTTCGTTGTCTTTTCTTAATTGTCGACTAGTTGATACTCTGGATGACTTATCACGAGGGATGAGGAGATGCAGCTGTGCAATGCTCCAATAGGAATTCACCCAGAGTAACATCCGTGATATCACAGTGACACAGTTACAATGAGCCTTCTTAACCTCAAAATCTATTCAGACCGACTAGAAACGACATGGAAAACCTCGTTTCCGATAACCTCTTTGGTACTTTTACGACGCATAATCAGTATTTGGACCGATTTATGTACCACGAGGGCTTTCCGAAGATATTTTGAATATCGTAAAAAAATGATGGGGAAGAAATGTCCTTTGTAGGTAGTTCAGATCCGCACCTGTGGATAGATTGGAATAGAATCTCTTTTCCGCCTCAGGTGTTAATAACATGAGCCTGGCGTGAATAAGTGCCTGAGTGATAGATAATAAATGATTAATAAAAAGACTTTGAAGTTTGAATCCTTGAAAAACAATGAAAAGGAGAATTCAATCCTCAACATCAATTGCAACGTTCCCGCCTTCCAGGAAAAAACCAGATATGTATATCAGCGGCGTAACAATGGCTAAATACTTCACTCAACGCGGTGAAGCAAATCACCATGAATTTCGAACCTTCCGAGAACCTTCGAATGAGGCTGCGCATCTAAGTTAAGAAAGCCACCACAGTTGATTGAATCTTGCCCTACAGGGCTGCATAATGTGACGCCAATGTCAGATTACCCGTCGCAGCCAGGAAACTGTTCACCGATCAAAATAAGCATCGCTTAGAAACTAGATCTATCCCCATCCTATTGAGGCCCCCGAATGCTCGATACATGGAGGTTTTTGGCCTGATTCGAAGATATGAGTATCGGTGTACAGTTGCTGGAATGCTGATTTCTTTGGAATTGTCATGAGGGAATGACGAAGGTGAAAATTTCCATCCCCTTCTTAACAAGTACGTGCATGGTTGGTCTTATTAGTATGGATCTGATCTCATCTTTTTGCGGATTTCAGGTGGATGACATATCTCTATGCTTCTTTTATACATTTTTTCTGCTCTGTTTTATGCTTTAGTTGGAAGGCAAGATTGGAAAGCTTTCGCCAATGCAAGTATGATGTCCACGTTTTCTCCTATTATTATGTACATATCAGCTCAAGCTCAACACTGCATGGAGAACATGCAAGCTCTTCGCACCAATATTCAACATGCACCAAAATCCATGAAAGATGGTTGTGAATTGGTCGGAAAGAAGCTAAAGACTAGCAGAAGGGTTTTCGAGGGCAAGTAAGTCTCTGTCCCTCCTTTATGATGCACTTCTGTTTTCTTTTTGGCCCAACTGTGCCTCCTTTCCTTTCCCGTTGCTCATAATAGGTCGGATATTCACGTACGGAGTGTTTTCTCTCTTTGTAGAGTATCCCCGGACTGTTGGTAGTAGTTCGAGCATCGAAAAGTTTTACGGGGAGTGGTTGTGCCGACGGCCTCGATCACATAAGACTTTAGGTTTCGCGCTAGCTTGGATGGGTACAAATTCGCTTTCCAGTTCTCCATGGAATTATTCATAGATGTTCTTATTTACTCAAACTAACTATCATGAAGTCGAAAGAGTACAAGCCCAAACCTTCGGCATGATGTGCCCAACAGATTGGGTATCTCCATTACTCAATGCGCAGAAGGATCTATTATTTTTCTTGCTCTCTACTGCTGTTACCTGCTTTTGATCGCCTTAAGTACGAAATTCGAGCCAGTGCAGCCCTGTCAAAGCATTTCTCACATTCCACGTTATCCGTATGTTCGTCCCGGAACAGGCTCTTGCCGCCGTGGGCATGTGTTTGGGTTTGGATGGTTCCTTGAGTGGCCTGGAGGCCAGCGCCTTTTTAATTCGACATGGCCATGGGTTGGGGTGAAGCTCTCCATCCTGGTATTGTGGGGTGTATGTTGGATGTTTTATATGCGAGTCGACTATTGGCAGCAAGCACAGCCGTATGCATCTCGTAGCCGTCTGCAGTCATTGTCTTGCGAGGCTCCCAGGCCCTCGGCGTTTAACTCGTCTCTGGTGACGAACAATTATTTACCAGCCGGTGAGCAGCATGGCTTTCCTTGACGTTTGACTGACCAAAGGTGAGACGGTGCCGGGGTGTGAATTAACCCTCCTCCAACCAGGAAGCCATCAGGTTAGGATGAACACTGGAATATCTCGATTCAGCACAGATCAAGGGTGCACTCTCAACCTTCTTTCTACCGTACTCGCCCTGGATGATTCATGATGCACGGCTGTATGCAGAGCATCACCTGCGAATGCTTTGTGCTAAGTGAGATTTTCCCAGGTGGTTGTTTCCATACGGCTCTTATTGTTTGTTGCAGTACTCTTTGAGGAATTGTCTTCTCCCAGATATTTCAAAGGTACCGATACGAATGATAAATGAACAAATCCAAGTAACTATTTTCGAGGCAACCACTACTTACCAATTTAAATCATTATTCCTATTTGGTTACTACTAGAATACTTTTTATAGAGATAGTGAAAAAGACCCACCAGCATCAACAAGAATTACGATTTCTCGTCCATGGAAATTTCTGGGTATAATCCAAGTGTATTGGAAATTCAATACAAAAGCCAGGATTCGAGGATCGAGGATTCAATTTTACTCTGATCACTACAATAGTATTTGTTGTTAAATAAATTTCAGTTTTCTGACTATTTGAATACTTTTTAGATCAACAATCAGGATCAGTCATCAAACAAGAACCTTACGACTACGATCCATTTATCTTCGGTCAATACCAGGGCGATTATATTCAGGGCAACCATTTACAACGGACCGGTGACTCCAACGGGCATCCACGATCTGATTCGCATTCGCATTTGAACCATACAAGGATTTACACGCACAATAGTGTAAATCAAGATATCTTTCAGCCAATACAAAATTCAAATCAGCTTCGGTATACATCTACTCGAAATTACGCACAGGCAGCTGCGCCGAGAACACAACAAGGTGAGTCACGATTTCTGCATTATGGGTTATTTTTTGTTCCACACACACATCCGATTTCTCCAGTTCCAGTGCGCTACAACCCTGGAATACGTACGGTTATACGAATGTCTACTAGGTAGTCATCAGTTTCTTGCATGTGATGTGACTGATGGGCAATTCTCTTCTATACACAGGTCTTTTAACCATGTCGCATACGAGTACATCGGACAATCGACCGGATAGATTATCAAAGTCGCCAGCCTCTCCTCAACTTTGTCAAGGCCCCGACAGCAACGAAGGAATAACCGATACCGACAATATTAGAACGAGTCATAATTTAAATTCGAGCCGTGGCGTCAACGAACTCGTGGCTGTCGTGCCTATTGTGCCTATTGTGCCTATTGCCTCTGTCGCGCCTGGAGTTTTAAACCTTCAGCCAAATATAACAAGCATTGGCTCCCCCGATCGAGCTGAAGGTCGGAATAACCTTAATAAAGAAAAAGAACATGAAATTAATGGACGTGGTAAAAGAGATGGATTACTAATAAGCGTGGCTGGTACTTCGCCACATCGCCTTAGCGCACAAGGCAAACACCAATTTCAAGCCGCCGCTTTTCAAGTTCAAGGATATCAGCAATACCATTATCAAGAATCCAATAATCATCCTCAAAACAACCAAGGCGGACTGTACGAGCGTGGCAATCATCTCCCTGACGAATATCAGCGAAATCTACATCCCTATCCTAATCGCAATAATACATATTTTCCTCAACATTACCTTCATAGCCAAGGATCAAACTTCTTTCAAAGTTACGATTCTTCCCGTCCAAACAACAACATGAGCTTAAGCTACGAGTCCAGAACATTTATGCCTGATACGCAGTACCCGATGCAAATGGCGCATGAAACTCAGGAACAAGATGAGTTCAAACCGCACGATGAACCACATTACCCAAGTCCGCCGCCTCCAATGTCCGAAAACCCTTACACAGCACAACCTATGACAGAAACTCCGGACCACACATCATTAGAGTTACCAGAATTACCAAAAGATGAGGAGGAAGCGCCATCGCCCGGAAGATCAAAGCCAGTGCCAAAACCTGACAGGGAGATCACAAAGGATGCGAATGGAAGATTTTACTGTACTTGGCCCGGATGCACCGAAGAGACTAAAGATTTCAACAGAAAATGCGAGTGGAGGTAACGTAGTTTTCCCATATTGATAAGTGACATCATTGACATTTTAATAGCAAACATATGGACAAACACGATCGCCCTTATAGATGTAAGGAAACTGGTTGCGAAAAGCTTCCAGGATTTACATACTCTGGGGGCCTCCTTCGACACGAAAGAGAAGTACATGGAAAACATGGTGGGCCTAAAAAACAACTGAATTGTCCTCATCCGAACTGTAAACGTCATACTGGAAAAGGATTTTCCCGTCAAGAAAATCTCAACGAACATTTACGACGCGTGCATACAGCAGATGCAGGAATGTCGCAATTAGCCATGGTCACTATGGAGGAAGCTGAAGAAGATCCTAATCAAGCAGTCATAACAGGCATGAAGAGAAAACGCGGAAATAGCAAGGGAGATACAAGTGAACTTGAGAATCTGCGAGAGGAGATTAAGAAAATGAAGGCGGAAAATGATGAACTAAAAAGACAATCACAGGCCCAGCAAGCACAAACTGCAGAAGTTATGCGTCAACTCGTTGAATTGCAAAATTTGGCAACATTACAACATCCGCGGATGAATGCACCACAAGCTAACATGTAAATCTCCGAGAAGGATGAATTTAGTTGAGATGAAAGTTGAGGAGATGAGAAATGTTCTTTTATATGCATGGAAATAATCGTCTTTCTAGGAAGGATGAATGTTTGCTTGCCTGCTTGCTTGCATGATTGGGTGGAAGGGGCATTTGGTGGAGTTCAATGGATGTAGTCACGGCACTTTATTTTGGCGTTCTTACGAGATTTTGTGTTCTGGTGAAGAAAGACGGACGGACGGATGAGTTTGTTTTGATTACCAATATCTGCCAGTACTGGTCGTAGGAGCAGTTTTTCAACTTGGGATCCCAAAGCTGACTCTCGTACGCGTAGCATAAACTTGCTATATAAGATACAGATGTACTAGTACAGCGGAGCAAAAATACCACTATAGATAAAGGATGGATGTATTGATTTGATTGATTGATTTAATTGATTTTATGTAATTGATAAATACTTGCTTGTTTACTTGTTCACTTTCCTGGTTTCCTGGTTCCTTACTTACTAGATACCTGGTATTTAATATCCGAGCACCTATCTATCTATCCTACATCCTATCTGTTCATTCGGACCACCTCCTTATTTTTGAAACGAATCTAAAGTTCGATATTTCGAGCTTAAGGATTGAGTTTATTGATCTTTATATTTATTTTTAAAAATAACTTGAAGTTTGAGATTTGAGATTTGAGATTAATATTTGAGATATAAATTAAAATTTATATTATTTTATTTATTTTATCTTTTTTTCATAAGATTATATCTTCTTTAAAAAGTTTAAATTATAAAATGAATTATAATTAAATTTTATTTCATTTATATATATTTATATTTATTTATTTACTCCGGAGTCTAGATCTAGATCTAGATCTAGATTTGATATTAATTTAATTAATTTGATTTATAATTAATTGATTTTTATTTTTGATGATTATTAATAATTAATAATTGATAATGAAATGTAAAATGAAAATATAAACTATAATAGATATTTTGATTAATCTAATAATATAAATATAAATATAAATATAAATATAAATTAAAATATAAATTAAAATATAAATTAAAATATAAATTGAAATAAATTATAATAACAAAGAACAAAAAGAAAAAGAAAAAAAAACTTAAAAAAAGTTGAGAAAACACAAAACTTTAAAAATATTTTTAAAAATATTTCTGGAATAGTAGCGGAAAGCGGAAAATGGAAAATGGGGAATGGGGAATGGGGAATGGGGAATTGGGGATGGAAAACGGAGAACGGAGACCCCGGTATCATATTCTTTCGGGTTTTGCAGTCAACCGTGACTGTGGCTGTGGATGTCGCTGAGGCTGGGGCTGGGGCTGAGACTGAGAGTTGTATATGTACACATCGAGTTATATATAGATGTAATTATCATTTTCTGTTTTCCTACTTACTTAATCATTATACTATAGCTACTACAACTACTCGAGTAAATAGAATAACTCGAACCGCCACATGGACATCGATAGTGTATCCGCCCGCCATTTTCCATATCGATATCATTCACACCTCAAACGCCAGTTAACCTAAGGTTACATAACTTTGCATGTCATTAATTCTAGATCTCCTTCCCATAACCTGGCCTCGCTCTCAGCCGAGCCTCAAACTTTAGCCCCTCGTCCCCCCTACTCAACTTCCATAGCCATTAACCATTCCTCACTAACCCTCATAAACTTCGCCACAAAAGCTTCTAGATGGAATATAACCTTCGTACCCGTCTTACACCTATGTTCATAAAACGCCGCCCATTTAACTATATCGCTTTTCAATGCATCATCTACTAATGGCATAAGTTTCCACGTTAGTGTTTTGAGAATGGTTGTGGCGGGGATACAATGTGTGAGGAGATCGTAAAGTTGCGCGCGGATTTTGAGAATTTGTGCTGGAGTGTGTTCAACGGTCATGCTGTGTGCGATGGTTGAGAGGAGTGCTTCCCAATCGGGAGGTGGAATGGGTGTGTTGTCGTTTATTGTTTCGCTGAGGTGAGTTAGTATGGTATCTCTCACAAGAGTACATAGTAAAGTATAAATACATCCAAGAAGGAAAAAAAGGAACAAAACTTACTTCTGCGCATGCGCTGCCTCATACATCAAAAGCGCCCTCCTTAAATTCCTACCACTCTCCTTCGCGACTCTCTCCAAGAACCCCCTACTAACTCCCCACCCCTCCCTCTTCCCACTCTTCTCAAGCACCTTTACAATATCCCCCTCAGTCGGCGCCCCCACCCTAACCAACAACGTCCTACTCCTAATCGGCCCAATAATCCCCGACGTACTATTAGCCACTAGAATCAACCTAACATTCCCACTATACTTCTCCATGGTCCTCCTCAACGCGGCCTGAGCATCCCGACTCAACCCATCCGCCTCATTAATAACCACTACCTTAAACCTCTGTTTGGCACTCTGATCCACCTGCTGCGTCTGCGCCACTTCCTTCAACAACTCCGAAATCACCACGCGATCATAGTTTCCTACATCCGAAGGAGTGATTTCTAAATGATACAAAGAGGAAACGATATTGAATTCGAGTTTTCGAGACGAAGAAGAGAGTTGGAAGACGCGGGAATCGATTTTGATTTTTTCGACTGAGGGGCCGTAGAGTTCTTTCAGAGTGCATACGATGCGAGTTTTTTTGCCGGCGCCAGAAGGTCCGTAGAGAAGCAGATGTGGAAAATCGCCTGATTGTGCCTAGATGTTAGGATTATTGTGAGTGTGAGTTATGTAGGGGAGTACGTTGAATTTGTGTATGAGAGAGTTATTCATATTTGAAGAAATAGGAAAACATACGAGAGATCTCAGACGATCGGATAAATCATCATGATAGGTAAGTTGATCAAGAGACCGAGGACGATGTTTATCTACTATAAGAGCCATTTTGAATTGATTTGTTATTGAGGTGAATGATTTCGGGGTTGTGGATTGTGATTTGATTTGAACATGATTTCAAAACGATTTGAAAATGTTGCGGAGACGCGTTCGCGTTTTCGCGTAAAGCTGTTTTGCGGGGATCCACGTGAAGGTTAATTGGGAATGAAGCTCTCTAGAAGCTCACCGGAGCTCATCAGGACAAGAATTCGACCCGGCATCGTTTCGATTTGAAAATTTGGAGTACATGTTTCTTGGTAAACTTGGAGTTAGTTTGTTTTATCGAACCTGTATTAATTATAGTGATGCTGTCACCTAACTTCAAGGTAAAATGTAGAGGATATTGAAAACGAAAAGGGCCATACAAGTAGTTGGAAACATATATTAAGTCAAAAATTCTTCTAATTCTACAACTAGTTCTAAGCTCAAAAGTGCCTCCGAATTCTCTCCGTGCTTTACACTCTAATGCTAAAATCTCAAAACGCCAATGCTCGAACCAAGACTGCTAGGTATCTTCTAAAAAACATGACAATGTCGACATCCTGACAGCTTACCTCCCAAAAATCAAACCTCCCGTTCGCTTTCCATTACAAAATAAACTCCTCATCCAGCCAATGCTTCAACACAATTCGTCCTTCATCGAGACTTGGTTTGTCAACCCTGACAACAATAGCTGCATGACTATGCCTAACCTTGTGAATAAAAACCGGATACTTTCGCCAACCTACCTTATCTAATGCTTCTATCATTTTAAATTGGTATGGTGCTAAAGCCAAGGTAGGAGCAATGACATCGGATTTCTCAGGGTCGGCAACTTCGCTATGGAAGGATTTGGTCCGTTCTCTAATCAAAGGAGATATGACGGATGTCTCTTCAGAGTCCGAATCAGAGGGCGTGTTGAGATACTCGTTACTTTGAGTAGCGTTGAGATTCTCGTAAACATCTTCGACAGCTTCACGCATACCATTGATAAGAAGAGGAAATCGATAGTCTTTAGGTTGAATACCGGCTAGACCTTGTTCGTGTAGACGAATACGTTTGCTACTGCGGACAGTCTGAACAGCAGAATTCAAGAGAAAAGCGACAACACCGAATGGGATGAAGATAACTAGTGCGGCTATTAGAGGAATGTTTCCCAAGGTCTTCCGTGTGCTGGCTATTAAGCTCGTGCTGGTATTCAGACTAGTCTCATCTAATGGGGAAACTGGGTTTTGTCTGTCCAGAATAACATCTTCGTAACCTGGCACGTAATTTATCTTGATCTTATCCAAATTCGTGAATGGATCGGTGCTTGCTATTCCAGTGGTATAGTAAACAGCGCTTCGATCGTTGACAATATTTGCATATAGAGTCCTTCTCTCGAATTTGGCCAATCCTTTGATAAAGATTGATTCTGGATCTGCTAGAATTTCTAGTAGCGGCCTTCCTGTTTCTCTAAATTTGTCAATCGTAAATAATTGTCGACCGGAAGTTGATAGGGTCCTTGCTCCCAAAACGTTCCAAACATGATTGAGAGATCCTTTGAGAGGTGTGCGTACTCCAAGATGAGGACTAGCAAAGGTCGTCACGTTCTATGGAAAAAGGTCAGAATGTCTAATGTGAAATCCTGCATTCATTAACCAACATACCACTGGCTTGATTTTATCGAAGAAACCCTTACTATCAAGTAAGCCTATAGAGTAACGGGCTACAAGACCACCCAGGGAATACCCAACGATAGAGAACCTATTGATAACTTGACCCTCTCTCGCAAGTTTCTCGACTTCTTCCTCTATCTCTGCAGTCACTCTCTCACCACCCAACTCAATACCATCATATGTGAAGCTTCCGCTGTTACGCTTCGCGACCAATATATGGAGGTATTCATCGGAATGTTTCGCTCGTAGAGATTTCGCCACTGATTCCAAATGGGCTGGGTTACCCCAAAGTCTATCTCGTCAACATACAACGGTTCGCAGAGCAAGGAGTAAGAATAGCTCACCCATGAACAAGCACGCAGAGATGCTGAGCATCACGGCTGCTACCGGTGTAATCCATAGCTTCGTTACTGAAGAAGGCCCGGTCCAAAGAAGAGAAGGAAAAAGGTAACAATGTGGCGATGGGAGTTTGGAATGTTAGTAGTAAGAAAGTGTCTCTGAAGACACTTTCTGACCACTAACAAACAATAAGCACTGCTGTCGCGTGCTCGGGCTTTTTTGATGTCCGCTTCGGGTTTGAATGTACGAAATATGATGCGTTCTTACGGGGTTCGCAGGGGTGACGTATGGAATCTGCAGCCTAGAAATGCGCTTTCAGGGGTTGCACATGCCTTGGGCTATCCTGGCTGGGGAGGAAGGATATCAAAATAGTAAAAACCAAAATGGTAGAAATCTATCAAGGAATAGAAATTCTACTCATGAATAGGTATGGATGTGAGAATGAAAACGAGGCTAAGAGCGAGAGTGAATGGAAGGGAAGAAAAGACAAGGAAAGGGAGGGAAGGGAAGGGAAGAAAAGACAAGGAAAGGAAAGGAATAGAAGAAGCAGGCTTTGCTTTACCTTAGCATCATATGTGCAATATGTAATGAGATATGATAACGATTGCTTATAGGTGGGCATTCTCATCACCAACATCGGCCGGTCGATATAAAGGATCAAGAGATACCTAGGTAGGTAGGTTAGGTAGGTAGGTAGGCAGATAAGACGGAAAGTAATCTCTTGTCACATCGTTTATCAGTTCCTTATCATCGATATGTTTTTATTTTATTTGTTTTGTTACATTCCAATGATTTCACAGCAGAATTGTAGTGGCTTGTCGAACCCTAAATCCCGAGCTTGTACCCTTTGAATTTGCTAGCATATCATTTCTTGCAAAGCCTGTATTCCCTGTTAATCCGGCGGCTCAATCCTTCAAGTTCCAAAGTTACGAGTACTCGTGCCTGAAGCCTTGAAGCCTTGACGCCTTGAAGCCTTGAAGCCTTGAAGCCTTGAAGCCTGGAAGCCTGGAAGCCTTAAAGCCTGAAGCCTAAAGTCTGAGGTGAAGTGAGTGGGATGCATGCTAACCGAAAGTTCTATACAGCGTCGAACCCTGCCATAGGCTGGCTGTGCATGAAATTGAACAATGAACATCAACATCAGCCAATTCAACGCTACTCCCCGCTACACCATTATTATCTACAACCATCAACCCTTCTGCGAAAGGTGAGAAGTTCAACTGGGAACTTGGAAGGACCGAGCCGCACGGTTCCATCATCAGGAGACTTCTACTTAGCACTACCATTACCTCAAGATTCAACCTATCGATCATTTGACGCACGATAACCCTTTAATTGCAAACAAATAACCTTCATGTTCACGTGATATTCGTCAACAAACGACTGTGTTTGGAAGCAAAGAACTCATCAAGTCAAGTATCAATATAACTCTGGGATATTTCACCAGAAACTCACCTCCATGAAAGAATCATTCGAAATTTCCGTTTCAATTATTATAGTGAAAGAAGGCTAGAGTGATACTTAGACTCTCATATCCACCAAATATCAGCTCCCTCTTTTGCCAACTCAAGCTCCTGCTTCTCTTTCGATCATATACCACTTTCCATCCGGAGGAAACGTTGGGATGTTTACCACTAAGAGCTTATTCTCGCAAACGAAATGCCCAAATCGCGAAAAATGTTTGATACCAAGATGCATATTCTCACATGATCATCTCACCGTTCAAACATTATCAAACGGAACAGCACAAGTAAACACTGTCCAGCAAGTCGATGAGAATTATGGAGATCAGGATGGCCAACGAAAGCGCCAAAAGATTGATTGTGGGGAAGGAAGTACAACCCCAACAACTGAGCCACCATCTTCATTTCCAAGTTTGAAAGCTGTCACCACAGCACAGAAAGCAGTGGAAAGCAGAGCCCCTTTAGTGCAAGCATCAAAACCGACGTCAACAGCTCGACGTGAGATTTCTCCTCCACCATTACGTCGCAAATCTCAGAACGATATTTCCATATCAACAGCACCCTCCTCTATTCACAAGAATGCTGTCCAAAAGCAAAACGCGTCAGTCGCACTTAAAGTTCAAACCGTGACATCAAATCCAGTCAAGAAACCCGAGAAGAATGAACCTCTCAATCCACGCGCACGTAAGACTGCACCAGCTGTTCATAATATCAGGCTCAGACTTGTGCAAGCTCTATATGAGCAGTTGAAACGTCTTAATTCCGAGTTATCTAAAGATGCAAACGATGAAGAAGAGGAACTAGTATTTTCAGATCAAGGATTGATCACAAGAGTATTAGATCTGGAAGAGGCTGCTTGTGAAACACCTAGCATATATTCTAATGTTGTCAAGAACAAGATCATGGTGTACAAAAGAATGACTGTTGCGCAGTGGAAAGAAGAGAGAGCCAGGGAGGTTGCCAAAGAGAAAGCTTCGAGGGTACCTGTGTCAGACACACCAGTCACAAAACCTGACGAACCACCGAAGCCCATCGAGACAGGTCTTAGCCCAGAAGAAGAATTAGCTTTACTCCCAAGACTGTATACTCCCGTACACGGGTTATCACAACACGGATATGTCACGAATATTCCTACAGCTGCAGAAATTGAAAAAGCAAAGATAGGTATAGAGGCATCCAAAGGTTGGGAAGTTTGCGATCGTTGTAAAACCCGTTTCCAGGTATTCCCTGGTCGCCGTGAAGAAGACGGTATACTCGCATCTGGTGGTTGCTGCACTTACCACTTCGGAAAACCCTATTGGAAAGACCGTTCTTCGCTCGATCCCAAAGCAAAACGAGAAAAGAAATGGCGTTGCTGTGATCAGAATATTGGAGACACTTCCGGATGTACCACAGCTGAACATCACGTCTTTAAAGTGAGCGAAGCGAAACGTTTAGCTACGGTATTAAATTTCGAAAAAACTCCTAAAAATGAAGCAGATTCTTCTATTCCTACCCAACCCATCTGTATCGATTGCGAGATGGGCTACACAGTCCACGGCCTCGAACTCATCCGCTTAACTGCCACTTCCTGGCCCTCAGGCTCTTCTCTCCTCGACATTCTCGTCCGTCCTTATGGAGAGATCCTCGATCTCAATTCACGCTATTCAGGCATCTACCCCCAAGATATCACCTCCGCAGTCCCCTACTCATTCCCCGGCTCCAAACTCCTCGCCGAAAGCAAAGGCAAACTCCGAATCGTCGATTCCCCCGGCATAGCGCGTAGCCTCCTCTTTTCCTTCCTCACCCCCTCCACTCCGATCATCGGTCACGGTCTCGAAAACGATCTCAACGCTACCCGATTCATTCATCCCACAATTGTAGACACGGCTCTACTATTCCCTCATAAAGCAGGTTTACCCTTTCGCAATGGTCTTAAAATGCTCATGCAAAATTTGCTAAATCGAAATATACAAATGGTTACGTATACCGAAGGAAAGGTCGATGGACATGATAGTGAAGAAGATGCGAATGCAGCGGGAGATTTGGTTAGATATCGTATTGGGAAGGAATGGGAGAGGATGCAGAGAGCTGGGTGGAAATTGAAAAATGGCGTTTTTGAACCCCCTGAAAATGCAAGTGCGCGTGCGCTTGAGAAGGGGGGAAAGTGGATAAAGGAGACGGGTCACGATGGAAAGGATGGAAATGATAGAAAAGACGAAGAAAACAATATGGAAAATGAACAGCAGGTAAAAGATGAGAGGATCGTAGTATCTGTATCTGTATCTGCGGGTTCAAAGAGAAGTAGAGAGGATATGGAGGGATGAGGAGTAAGTATCGTATTTAGCTAGTAGGTAGTTAGTCAAAATCACCGATATAAAAGTTAGATAGATTTAAATCTTACACCTTCGAATTTGAGTTTGAGTAGGAGTTTGAGTCTGAGCTGGAGAGAGTGTTGTATTAGTGAATTGATCTGAATCAAAGATTTAAGAATAGGTATCTATTATCTATTATATAGATAAATAAATAATATTTGTCACATCACCACGCGCATCAAACAAACTACACAGTGTGGAAAAGACACCTATTATCCCACCATCCACCATCCATCATTCATTATATAAAAATGATAGTATAATATCATATCCTCTCATCTTATAAACACAAAAAGAATATCTAAATCATGATCATACAATCAATCCATCAATCAATCAGTCAACCTGACTTCTATCTCCAGATCATTCCCCAGACTAGCACGCCAACTGCAAATATAAATCTTTATCCATGAGACCATGTTCATCATTACGTTTATAGTATGCTTTTAACCCATATATGCAGCGCAAGCTATTCACACATTCGACTTTATAGTCTAAAGCCCCCAGCGCCAAATTATGCTTTAAGAAATCATATACGATACCAAATGTCATTCATTTTACGATTGTGGCGTGAAGGACCATGACGATGAGATCTCGAGGATTTCGGTATACGTGTCAAAAGATGTCAGGCTGGGATGTGCTACAACGTACATATGATCCTGTAATATAGCATGAGCTTTATCACAGTAGCATCACATACTTTGTAAAGACATCCCAGATCGACACCAGATTGACATCTTAGCAACAACTCCCCAAGAGGTCATCAGCGACGACCACGGGGAGCTCCTCGAGCAGCTCCACTCCCACCTCTACCGCGATAGGCTTTTTTACGATCTGAACCACCACCTCTTGGAGGGCTGTTTCCATTTTTTTGCTTCGACTTCTTTTTGTCTCCATTACTACCGCCGCCTCCACGGCCACCACGTCCACCTCGGTTTCCACTAGATGCTCTACTATTTGGGTTGCCACGGGCATTACCCTGGAACTGGAAAGGGGGCTCTTGATTGAAAGATTGCATTGCGCCAACTTGAGAGAATTGAATCTGACCGTTTTTGGAACCCATGTTGACTTTAGGATGGATGAAACCTTCGTCATCATCACTATCGTCCAGCTCGATAGGATCATTGGCTTTTCCTTTGATGGTGAAGCCCTTCTTCCCACGACTCGGAATTGAATGATCATTACCTCCTAAAGACGTAGAATCATGACTAGTAGCATCATCGAGATACTTTTCCAAGTTACTACTTGACCAAGATATTCCACCAGAAGCTGGTTCTCCATGATGTAGTCCACATTCAGGGCCAAAGTGACCTGTACGACCACAAAAGTAGCAATATACTGATATGCTTCGAACCTTCTTGATTTCCTCGGTGCCAGGAAGAAAACTTCTCCAAATTAAATGGCATTGATTTTCAAGATGGCTTGAAGATTGACATATTATACATTTGACATCTTCCTTGGCAGCACGTAGTTTTTCGGGGCAATGCGACGTCAGATGACCCACTCCTCTACACTTACCACATACCGAAGTACGAGGGCAAGCTGGAGTCAGATGATCACCCGTGCTGCCACAAGAAGAACACGCGCTGTCAGGGCATAGAGCTCGATCGTGGCCACTGGAGCCGCAGACCAAACATCTTCTGAGAATGATGCCATCAGTGGTTGGAAAGTATTTCAGAATTGCAGCACGGTCTTCTGGAGTTGACTTTGGACTTGGAACCCTTTCGCACGAGGCACTAGAGCCCTGGCCATAATCAATCTCAACGGCAAGGTCGACTAGAGGGGGCTCCATATCACTTCCAACTACAGACTCAGAGGAACCATGATTCATCTGAACTGTAGCAGCTTCAGCAAGAATCCTACGATCTCGGGTCGGGTCGTTAATGTCCGTAACCGGAGTTGGAGTAATCCGCGCGGTCAACTTGCCATTGGATTCTGTTGTAGGATTGGCGGCCACGGCATTGTTCTGTTCCATGGGAGCCTCATCTTCGACTACATCTTTATTGTTAATTGCAGGAGCGGCATTCGCGTCATAATGATCAACCGCGCAGGTTAAGTCGGGTGGAGTAACTCTACTGAAAGTTTTGGCCGGAGCAGTGTTTGGTTCAGAATCGATGATCACAGGGACTTGAGCTGCCGGGGCTTGGGTAACTTTCTGGTTGCTCGAATCGCCACTCTTCTTGGAGGGTTCTTCGGGCGTGGGCTTGACATTCCCTTTTGAAGGCGGTCTAGAGTTCTTGAGGACATCCATGAAAAAGGGGGCTTTCTCCACGAGAGAAGTTGTAAAAAGTTCCCTTTGCGGAACGTGATTGTAGAAATGTCTCATATAAGCTTTGAAGGCGGCCTTGGCACGTTTGTCTGACAATCCACTTTTGAAGAACTCGTTGTTTACCACGAGCGCACAAAGGACATCAGAATAAGTGATATGTTCAATCATGATTGGTTTGCCTTCTGCATTAAGCAATTCTCGCAGCTGGACATCACCACCGCCGTACGAGTAGTATCCTACGGGCTGATCCTTCTTTATCGGAGTGGGATAAAAGGTCAATCCATCTTCAATATACTTCAAGCAGCTCTGTTGAGATGCTTCCGGCACTGGCCAGCCATAAAGATCTATTAGAGCAGAAACATCCTGGGTATAAGCTGTCATCAAAACCAGCTGTCTTTCTTCTGATAGCTTACTTAGTTGTTTTCTGGTCAAGATCGGCCTCTGATTAGATTTTCCTTTGAATTTCCCAACAGTGTTAGGATTAGCCTCGATACCCTGTGGGCTGACAAGACCTTGTCCATTATTATTTGGGTCTTGCTCTGTCTCTTTCAAGGGGGGATTCTGGGGCAACGCCGGTTTCTTGCTTTTGAAGGATGTTCGTAACCCGCTCTGTACGCCTTGATTCCAAGCCACCGGTTGTGCAATATTTGCTCCAGGCTTAACAGCTCCTGCTGCCGAGTCCTTTTGCATCGGCGAGGATGTGAGATTGATCTCAACTCTGGCGGATTCGGTGGGAGATTGCTTTGCCCTCTTTCGAGGTTGTCCCTCAGATTCGTCGGAAGAAGAATCAATTGAGACGATTTGTGTACCTTGGTCCGAGGATGTGTGTAAAGCGCGTTTCCTTCCAACCACATTCGATCGCGAATCAACCACATCTTCTGCTGGCGAATCCATTTTTGATAATGCTCCCGTGGCAAACAAAGATCAAAACAACTCAGCACAATAGACTGCGACATGCACGAATGTCCGTATATGTACTCAAGGATGGGTATGAATGAGTCGTGGATTTTGGGTTGGATTCCTAGAAGAATTAGTGAAAGTTGATATTGATTGTCTTGTCGTTGCAAACATGAGAGCAAATTCAAAGTATCAAGAGAACTCCTGAAGCTTGAAATGCTTTCATGTGTATGATAAGTAGGGGACTTTTGTCCTCTCCCAATCTCTGTACGTTGTTGAATTATCTGTTGTGCAGTTATCACGGCAGAATTTGCGATGTATTAGATAAATAGATTGTGTCTCGAAAATTAAATAACAAGAAGTTTCCAGGCTCCTTTATCATGAACACAATCTTTTTCTGGAAATTGATGTTCTGCCTCGGTAAAGAAGCTTGATTGGCTGGTGGGTAGACGTGCGTAATTCATTTCGGCTAGACTAACCATAAAAACGAATTACCCATGAAGATGACCCGTTGATTGGTTACTTTTCAGAGAAGATTCTAAACATTCTCGAATGATTTGTGTCTTGTATATATTCTGCCCTTAATATATAAATGTAGATACGATACGATGCTCATTAGATGATATATGTTAGATGATATATGTTAAATGATATCTATCAAATGACTCCTATCAAATGACTCCTAGGTATTAATTAGTAAAGACAAAGCCAGGTCAAGTGTATCAGAGAATATCTATGTAGATCACAGCTCCGCTTTGAATAGTAGGGAACATTTGGAGATATTCCATACAAGATTCAAACTTCAAACTTCAAAATTCAAAATTCAAAATACCCAAATACAGCAACCTCAACCTCTTGCACACCCTGAGCTACCCTATTCCCATACCCTATACCCTACCTACCCCTACATAATCCTACCATATACCGAAAAAGTTAGACCCATCCGATTCCCCCGAGCCATTAACCCATCCATCCCCCCCAAAAGACCCCAAAGACCCAAAGACCCAAGGATTCAAGGATCCAAGGACACAAGGACCCCAAACCAAAAAGACCGAAATAGACGACTTAAATCAGAACAACAACACCAAATACCCAATATCACCAAATTCTCCCCGTTCGCCCCCTCCCCCATTTTCATCATTCACCGCACGTCTTTTCATTCTATACAATAACCCCAAACCGCTGCCTTTATTTTATTTTCTTTTTCATACTTCATACTGCTCATCTCTTCGTTCTTCTTCCCTTCCTCCTTACGCCTCGCCCCTCACGCCTCACGCCTCACGCCGCCTATCTCTCAGAAACTCCAGCTTCACTCTCAATTCCCGGTTGAGCGTTCTGATCGTTGACAAGTCGATTCATCAAATCCAAAATCTCAATCATCTTTGTATTCTTTTATCTAAGGTCTTTCGTTTTGTCATCCTCTTAAAGTGCCTCGCGATTACTCAGAAGTAAGCCCCTAAGTTTCTTCAAATTTATGCCGACCTAGATAACTGGATCCTTTCGGATATCCACATGCCTCGCTTTGCTTATTGCATTAAACATCATAAATATACAATGAGTGCATCGCTGACACTTCTTCAAAGCTAGGAGCTTCGACAGCGGTCATCAAACCCTATTATATCTTGTTCCAATCACAAATATCCATCCTGACATTACGATAAAACGCTCTCTCGTAGGCGTCTTCCAAGCTTCAAAATTTCTTCCGCAACCACCGCCAAGCTGTCTTCTCCACTCCTCCTCCCTCGCACCGTCTCTTACGACGCGAGTTCAAATCCACCTCGTTCGAGTGGTCCATATAGAGCAATGAGCGATCAAAAGGTTGGACGAAGGAGGCGGTCGAGCAGTTTGTTATATCAAGAGCCACCGGAGACTATTGAACATATGAGTGATCAAGCAGCGTTGCCCAATCTCAACGCCAATTGGGTCAATGCAAAAGGTCAGCGATTCCTGGATTTGGCTGTGTAGAGTTGGACAGCATACATTTGCGACATGATCTCTACATGGATATGAAGTACCTTGATTCTCGTCATGCTAACCACTTCATTTAATAGGTGCCTGGACAATACATTTGGTTCTAATTGCGTGTCTCAAGATTCTTTTTGATATAATCCCTGGTGTTTCCCAAGAAACATCTTGGACGTTGACAAATATATCGTACATGTTTGGTTCTTTTCTCATGTTTCACTGGGTCCGTGGTGTACCATTCGAATTCAACGCTGGAGCCTACGACAATTTGAACATGTGGGAACAAATTGATAATGGAGCTCAATACACTCCTGCGAAGAAATTCCTCATGAGTGTGCCGATTGTATTGTTTCTAATTAGCACACATTATACCCATTACGACCTCACTTATTTTATCATCAACTTTCTCGCCGTCCTCGGAGTCGTGATACCAAAATTACCTGGCGTAAGTTTTCCTCAAAATCAAAATATGAAGAAGTGGTTATAGTATCAAATATTGATATATATTTATTAGAGTCACCGAACTAGAGTTGGTCTATTTTCCGGAGCGCCAGAGGAAAGTTACAGATGATATGATATTTTGAAAGTACATTATTGCATGCAATTAGGCGTTTGTACGATATCTCGAGGCTGCACTTTTTATTTCAGATGACGATGAGAATACACTGGTTAACACAAAAGAATCCCGGATCCCGGAGAACTGTATCTAGAAATAGGGATGGAGTTTAGGTACACTTTACAATTCTTGGCTATTTCAAAATTGTTCTAATATGGATTTGTCTTTACTCCCCTTCTTTTTTAGCGGTGAAGGTGTGTTTATTTGATGAGCCAGCCATTGGTATTGGTTATTCGATGTTTTCCAAATCGAATTCTTGAAGTTGTCATCATTCTGGTTTCTTGGGAACCAAACGTTTCCCTAGGAAACAACGATTTTTTCTTTCCGTAGGACAAAACCAAAATCCCCCCCCGACCCGGTCCTCACCCTTCACCGGAAGCGAAACCTTTGAAGATCCAAGTCCCGAACAGTTCATCCGAGGAATGCCTATACACTTCCGATGGAAATGTCTGTGCGATCCAATCTGAACAGTTCATCCGAGGAATGCCTATACACTTCCGATGGAGATGTCTGTGCGATCCAATCTAGAGGCTTCTAGATACGAGATATCACCTTGATGGTCAACAACTTGATCCCAAAAATGAACCAAATGTATACTAATTCACAAGTTCTCCAAGCTCCAGAAACCGTTGCAAAAGCTTGCCCGTTATGCATCAAAAGACCCACTTGAAATCTGGTGGTCTCCAGGACAACTCTTCCCCCCAAGCTAAGCTTTATTATCTCATCAACACGAATCGTCGACCTCTGTCTACACTAGTCTCCGGCACCGTCGCTGGACAACCAGATGGTAGTGAAAAATTCATGTCTGTATTAAGAGTTTGAAGAAAACCCTACGTAGGCACTTGAATTATCTAGGGATTCGGTAAACTATTCCTCCTTGGTAACCCATACTTCATCCTCGATTTCTACATCACAACAACTTAAGGTACCTATAAGAGGTTTACAGGTTGAGGCCAACAAGCTACCGTAGGCTCTACTGATTCTGCTCAATTCAGTCAAGCCTAATCTTTAACCATATAAGCTGGTGGTTGCCTCTTTTCGAGCGAATGGAAAAGCTTTGAAAGTGCTGCCTCTGTAAGTTCCTGAAGTTTATGGCTCAATTGGTCATACACACCTTCGCCATTGATCCGATTTCCTTGCAGGTCTGTTTTGCCCCATGACTTCATTCCAACCACTTCTGCTCTCTGGTACAGACCAGAGTCTAGATCTTCGAGTGGGAACGTCCAGAAAAAGAAACCTGTTCCCTGACATCAGGTCTGATGTTGAAGATGTATTTGTCAATATAGGATTGGCGTAGCTGGATGGGCAGCCCCACAGTTTTTCTATGGCACACCGTTAAATGCCAATATTGAATTGGCATTGATGGGCGATTTCCCTGCTGAGTTCTAACGGTGATGCTAGATTAAAAGCTAAGTGGGCAGACTTCGAAGAGATTTCACCTCTTGAGTATACTTGAGGTTTTGGTGCGCTTTTCCATAGTATTCCCCTAGAGCTCCTTAAGTGCTATGTCGTGCGGAATCCAAGGTTGAGTATATTTCTTTATGGTAGTATTATCAATGCCAAGAAGGTGGTTGGTTTATAGTTTAAGACGATCATTTTGACAGTCTCAGACGGACCGATGTATAGTTAAATCTTAGTGTAACTTACTTACTACATTCAAACTTTACTTCCGCACAACCGTGGTCAATTATATTCTTACTTCATCTCGTTCGCGCCCCATCCATAATAATAAGTCGTGTCAAGTACGAGTACGAGTCAGTATATAGTCACGATTCATAGCTCCAATGATAAGAAAACTCTCTTCACATCTACAACAACTCTTTGAACCGACCAATTTCCCGGGAAACCGATGAATAGTGCCTCTGATCGCCAATGTCACCATTTTGAAAGTGACATTCCAACTATGACGTGTTGATGAAGGAAAGTGAAGACACTAAATCTTAGCACATAATGGATATGTATAAAGTTGGCGGCCCATTCTTCCACCAGATAATTCAAAGATTTGCTTCTCTTCTTCAATCCTACGTGGCCTACAATTTTCACGTTACAATATTTCCATCCCAACCGTGATCATGAAGCTTACCCTTTCGCAAACAGCTGCGATTCTCGCATTCTGTAACTACGCTGTTGCAGAGCCTATCGTCGAACGTGACAACACTGCCAATGCTCAAGTCGATGGACAAGGTAACACTCTGCAGCAAGGTGCTGCAAGCGATGACAGCAATATTCTTCAAAGTATGACATCGACCTTTGCTCCTCTTCATATCCTGTGAATGTTGCCAGGTAACAAATTGATCTAACCTTACCAGGCAATACAAACAACGGCAATGTCGTAATCAACCAAGGCCGTGCCGCATATATCACCCAGGTCGTCAATGCCCACGCCACCTACTGTCCAACAGCAATCGTCGTCTCCGAAAAGCACATAGTCAAGACTATAACTGCTGGAGGATGGCACACCATCACTGCTTGCCCGGCTGGTTGCACCATTGTCAACAAGCTTAACATCCCACCTTTGCCAACTCCTGTTGAACATGTCGTCTTCGAGACCATGGCTCCTGCTTTCTCGGTTGCAACGACTACGAGTGGCTCTTCTTCGATTGCAACACCTACTAGTCACTATTTCTCAATTGCAGAGTCTACAAGCCACACTTCCTCAAACACCAAGTCCACAATTCCACATTCCCCAACTCCCAAACCCACACATGTACCTTCGTTCCACATCCCATACTACGGGAACTCCACCACTTCCACTACAGTCCTAGCTGTTGTCAAGACGTCGGATGTGGTCCCTAGTGAAACCCACGTTGCTCCTACCTCTGAGACTTCGTTGGTTGTTTTTACTTACTCTACTACATTAGTCGTTCATTACACTTCTGCTGCTGCTGAAGCCTCAAGTCACGCTCCGGTTGTTGCCCCATTTAGCAATTCAACTGAAGCCTCAACCCATACTCCAGTCAGTGTTCCAACTGTGGTCCCAACTTCCAGCTCGGCTGTTGTCTCGACCCCAACCAAGAACAACAATCGATCCGCAACAGCCAAAACTCCATATACCACCTACACCCCCAAGATTTTTGAGGGTTCAGCCTCTTGTATTAGTGCCTGCACCGTCGCAGCTCTCGCTGCCATTGCTGCCTTGGCCATGGCTTTGTAAGCACCTCTCCTTCTTCACAATATCATCAATCATGAAGAGTACCATCCAGATTATTATGATTTGGACAGGGTACACTAATAATGGGGTACTGGGCGGCGTATACGGAAAAGTGTTTGGGAAAACTGCTTTGGAAAGTGTTTCGGGAACCCTGCTGTTGTTCGCAAGTATCTCGATTAATAAACCAGATGACGGTATGTGCTTCTTAATCTTAGGATTAACCAGCCTCACCTACACAATCTTGATCTTAATAGCGACGCAGCAGCAGGGTTGGAAAAGTTTAAAAAATGGGATATGGGAGTTTGGGGCTTTTCTCTTTCTAGAGTTGCATTCGAGTGGCTGCAGGATTTTTTCCCTCTGTGCAACTCGGATGTCTCTGGAGTGATCCGCGAGCTCGAGATTTGTCTTTGCTCGATGCGAGTTTTTACGACCAGATCACGGGAGAATTGTCATGGGAGTTTTGAGGCATTCATCTTTGAATGTCGTGGGCGTTTTCTGGATACACTTCTCGCCTTTTATTCGTGAAAAATTTCCAGGATGCGAATATAAAGGTGACGGGTATAGTGTCATTGGGAAGGGATTGGGAGGGGCGGGGAAATCATAAGAAAAACAAAGTATGTCTCTGGAAAGATCGAAAAAGGAAAAAAGTTCAGAAGAAAAAGTTTTCCAGTCTTGAAAAAGTTTTGGAAAAAAAAAACTTAACTTCAAAAGATACTTATGGGATGCGTTTGATAGACGGAGACCTGTAACCGAAAACATGTGGAAAAGAGATGAGGAGAATGTTTGAAAAGAACAGGGGATGTTAATTAATAAAAAAGAAAAAAATTCATCATCAAAAGCTATACTTACATCTTTACTTAGGTATTTGACATTGAGCTATCTGGAAGGTACTAGTATCATGTTCTTACCCCTGGGGTGAGAGAGAGTTGGTTGCATCGTGGCGAGTATTGCATAGGACGTTTAGGGGTGGAGATGTTTTTGGGTCAAGTGATGGGAAGCTGACAATTTATAGTATTCTTTTTGCACTCCTTCGCACTCCTTCGCACTCTCTCGTCTGATTCACTATTCCCCGGAACATGGGTGTCGTGTTTGATATGTCTGTATATCATACATGGTACTTGCAGGGGTGGTGGGTTGGGATCTGTTATTCCTGGAGATGGCTTTTAGGTGTCTCCGGGGGTGCAGGTTAGAGAGGGGTAAGTCGATGAGGGGAGTGTTGGGGGTTGGGGTTGGGGGATGGAGTTTAGGTTGGTGTTTGGAGATGGAGTTTTGGGGATAGGGCTTGGGGATGGGGATTGGGTTTCTGGTTGATATTTCTGACTGGCGTTTCAGGCTGATGCTTGGGGATAGGGTTTCTGGCTGGTATTTCTGGCTGGTGTTCGGGTATGACGTTTTGGTTATGGCGTCTGGAATGGTGTTCAAGATGGCGGTGTTCAAAAAAGGCACACGGAAAGGAACATACATCGTACTCTCTCGTCTAATCCACCAATCCCCGGAATCAAGGTATCATGAGAACGTGGCACTTGCACGGTTGGTGGATTGGGATCTGTTTTACCCTAATTCCTGGAGGCTGTTGTGGTGATATGTCTGTGTATCATTACACAGCACCCAGAAGAGTAATAGATCAGAGAGAGTTAGGTTGGAGCTGGGTTTTCTAGGCGTATGGGATAGACGGGCTTAGAAATTTGGGATGGGTGTTTGCGGAACAGGGCGCTTGGGTAGAAGGGCATTTGGGTAGAAGATTACTTGGATGGGAAGGTGCTTGGGTAGGACAGCGTTTGGAAAGGAAATCCGAAAATCATCTCTGGCTTCATATAAAGGATTTGAAGGGCGTTTGGGAAAAATTCGAAAGTCATCTCGGGTATCATTCATAAAGTTCAGAAGGCGTTTTAGGGAAGGTGCAGAAGGAGTTAGACTCTCGATTCTCGAAACCTGATGCACGGAAGCAAGCTCGTATCAATCATGGTATCACACGGTATCATGCAGGGTAATAAGCTGGGAACTGCAGACAGATCCGTCTTCACCACCATCATACTCAATCAGGACATGGCGGTGAGCCATATTCCAATGCGAATATCTTTACACCTTGCAGTAGAGGAACAGCTACTGACAAGATCCTCTTGTCGTTTGCAGGAGAAAATGGGAGAAGCGAGGGTATTTCGTAAAGCTCATAGGCACGCTATCAGATTATTTTGGTGCGTGAGGTGGGAGAGCTGCGGGAGTTCGGGATGGGAAGTTCGGAATGGGAAGTTTGGGATGAACAGTTCGGGATAGGTAGTTGGAAATGGGAGTTCGGGACAGGGTGTTTTGGCATCTAGGAAAGGTGTTTGGGGAATGGGAACAAATTGGGGGTGGGAGTTCGGGACAGGGTGTTTTGGCATGTGGGAAAGGTGTTTGGGAATTCGGATATAAATTCTTTTCAAGCTTGTTCAGTTTGGAATTAGAGTACAAACTCTCTTCCAGAATCTACTCCGCTTGATGGATCGATGAACACAGACGCTCGCTTGCGATATGTGCTGTAGGAAGTCAGGACATACGCGCTCTACCTCAGCATGTGCACAATTGATTCAACTGTTGTCGACTACATTGATGATATTATTCGGATGGGAATTATGCATTGTGGACGGGGTGTTATATGGGATTGGGTGTTATGGGATGGGTGTCTAGAATAGGGAGAATTCTTGACTCGTAAAATAAACATATAATTTTTAATGTTTAATTGAGGGCGGGTGGGGCGGTGAAGGGTTGAGGCGTTTGGGGTTGGAGGGGATGAGCCGGGTTGAGTAGGTGCGGCTCGATTTTGAGGATTAGAGGGATTTATTTATGTGGACATATCTAATTCAATACTTGAACCTCAAAATCTTGCTCTTGTCTGTGACTTGAAATTTGGCTGTAAATGTGATTGCAGGTATGCTGTTTGTGTGTTGTATGTAGATGTTGAGTTGTAAATGTGAATTTGAACTGGAGATATCTAGATGAGAGGTCTGTATACTTCTACTAGAAGTGTCTATTTTGATCAGATTGGTATGGATTGGGAAAGAAAGACTTATGACTATTTGGTACCCAAAACCAAACTACCTAAGTTAGAAGATAGAAGGCTGAGTTTGCGGTTGTGGAATGAAGAATTCTCTTCTTTATGATTGTCCATTGGATGCTCTCATCGTGACGACGCCTTAGTGCTGGAAGCTAGATACATTTATGATCTGGATCTAAAAACAATCGTATATACTACAATAATATAAAATCATATCATAGATAAACCATCTACATAATATTCGAAGTCAATAATGGAGTTGTTTTCGACTGGTTTAGATAACAAACAATTTAGGTTATTAAGCAGTTCTACGGTTCCAGAGATCGTCTAGATAAGATATTTTGAGTTTGTAAGAGTTACTCGAGTAGGTCATATTATTAATACTCATCGAGATTTTCTGAATAAGATATATAGACGATCCACTTATAATATGCACAAAAAGAGTAAATATAATTCATTTTCATCTCTGTCCTCATTTTCTATCTATATGTCGTCCATCTTACTATATTACCCCGCATCCCTTAAGGTTACATACCCCACTATTGCTTCATATCATCATTGATTAATCATCCAACATTAATCTAGGTATCATCCTATCATCGTCTAATCCGATAGTCCCACTGTCCTATCGTACATGATAAGTGAATCCAAAAAACTCAGAAACACTCCGTGTGTAACCGGCCGATCATCGCCATCTTGAACCACATCATTTATCTTACTCCCAGTTGGCTATTCTCTAGCAGGTGATATATATCTATTTTTCTCCGCAATCGGCTCTATACACGGTCTTTGAAGATAATATACATCCATATCTGTGAATATCATTACCAAAGTATCTAATTGTCAACAAGATAAAAATCGAATAAGTTACAACAGGGTTAAAATGGCACCATCAGCAACTATCGAATCTCCCCTCTCAATCCAAAAGAAGCCGGGAGAAGGAGACGTGCAGGTCGAAGAGCATGAGGAAATCGAACATGTTCATGGTGGAGATGATTTAACGCCCCTAGAGGCTATTAGCCATGGAGGTGTGGTTATGTCTGGTAAGATAAGATGGAATTTCTTATTTTTGAGTGTTGTGATGAAAAGAGCGGGGTCTTAAATCGGAAGTCGAGTGTCTTTTGTGTTGATGGGTTGAGGGTTTGGATTGAAAGAGACGAAGAGATGATTTGAAGCAGTAATGTGGTGACTTGTCTTGAAAGTGCGGGACGGCTATCCCCGTGAATAGTAGTGTTCTGTGTACGCAGAATGCACTCGGACAACCACCAATATTCCTCTCTGCTAGAGCGGACTATGCTCCCTCTTCCTCTCTCGAAATTCCCGAGAATTCCTTCTCCATTTACCTCTTATCCATTCCATATTCCTCCATTAACAAGTCCTTCAGGTATCCCAACTTTCCCTACTCACGAGGCCCACCGCCATCACATCCTCATCCATATGGCAGCAGTCTTCCGTGACTTTGCTCGTAGTGGTTTCACCGAAGGGATGGCAGGACATATTTCCGTTCGAGACCCAGAGTTTGAAAATTACATCTGGATGAATCCTCTTGGAAGACATTTTGGTCTGATGACTGCTGGTGACATGATATGCCTGGATTTAGATAGTGGGAAAGTTGTTGGAGGTAATAAGGTAGGGATTCCATTTGCGAGAAGTGAAGACGAATTAAAGAGAATCTTTTTACTGATGACGTAAATAGTCTCGTCCCGCTAATGCTGCTGGATTTTTGATTCATTCCGCAATCCATAAAGCACGCCCTGATGTCCATGCTGTCTGTCACGCACACACAGATGCTGGGCGGGCATGGTGAGTGCTTTCTCTAAAACAGTCTCAAACATTACTCCTAACAACATTTAGGTCCGTCTTCGGCCGTCCCCTCGACATGTTAAACCAAGATATATGCAACCTCCACAACAGCATCGCCGTATACGCTGCATACGGTGGTATCGTATTCGCCGCCGAAGAAGGTGCCAACATTGCCCGCGCTCTTGGTAGTCACAATAAAGTAGCAATTCTACTAAACCACGGATTATTAAGCACTGGGTCCACAGTCGACGAAGCTGGATACTTATTCACATTATTGGACAGGGGATGTCAGATACAATTACAAGTTGAAGCGGCCGTAGGTGGAACAAGAGATGAAAATGGACAGTTGAAGAAAGGCGTTCATGTTATTAGTGATGAGGAAGCGGCGTATAATTTTAAAATGGCAAGTGAGAAGAATGCGTTGTATGCTGAGATGCAACCGGATGTTGACTATGAGATGGAGATGGCGGGAACTGGAGTGGTTGAGAGGGGAATTGAGGGACAGATGATAGATCATGGATTGTGAGTTTGAGGGGCGAGGCTTAAAATGTTTGGAGGAGGAAAAATACTTGAACCTTTCGATTTATATCCATGCTTAAGAACATTTGCATATACAAACACAAATTTTCTCTCCACTTCTCAACAAAAGAGCAAAATGCGAGAAACCCAGCAATCGTTACCACCGCTATACAAACCATCCGGGAGACTTAACACACTCCATTAGGGATTAAGTTTCAATACAGCTGCTATGTCTCATAAATACCTTTGGGAAGAGGTACTGAGTAGCGGAAATGATCGGGGAATATAAGGGAAAGCTTTCCCTCGCTCTTGCTTTATTTGGCTTTCCATCTTCACTGGCGACTTCTCCATAGCTTCCTTTTGGGATAGTCTAAGACATATCCATTATTTGAGATGGAAAGATCACGGTTCTTGAAAATAAATCAATAACTTCATATTTCTAGGGTGGCTAATTCAACAGACATAAACAGTAAAGATATAGGTAAATGCAGAATCTCCCAAAACACTGTTTAGTTCTAAGGTTAAACCCATCCGAAAGTTAGCCGAAACCTTCGCCAAAACCTCTAAAAATATATTCGACAGCGAATTTTGATATCAGATTATACTCAAAGAGATAGGAGTGTATGAGAGTAGATTTTTAATATAGAAAAGGGGAAAAGAGGAAACGGGCGCTTCATCAATATAGCTGTCTCACCTAGTGTTAAAGTCTAGAAAGCTGTTTAGGAATTTGAAGTTCCAGAAGCGAATTCAGTCAGAGTCTTCAGAGTCTTCGGTTTCTTCCTTCTTCTTCTTCTTTTCCTTTTTCTTTTTTTTCGGACTTTTCCGATTTTTCATCCTTGTTCGAAATCTTCTTGCCTTTCTTATTACTACTCTTCGACTCCTTTTCCTTCTTTCTCTTACTGCTCTTTTTCTTCCTTCTGGCGTCTGACTCATCTGATTCATCTGAACCGGTAGAGGCTTCCGACTCATCGCTGCTATCCTCCCCCTCCGTGCTGAAATCAGAGTAAAATAACTTGGCCATCTCAGGGGAGGGCGCATAGTTCTTTGCTCTCACAGTCTCGCGGCCTACCATCGAGTCTTCGTCTTGACTGTGAGTCGCTAACAGATACTGACTGAATTGGATAGAGGCACTGGCGGCGATTTTAAAATCTTTCTTGGTTATGATGGGGATTGTTGACTCGCTATTGCTACTCTTAGCATGAAATTCGCATAGGGCGAGGGCAGTTTGCAATGCGTTGCGGATCTGGCGACCATTCCATCTCAGCTCCTTCCAGGTATCCTCGGCCCAACGCATGATTTTCTTCTCCGAGTTTACGTAGTCGAATGGTGGCAGATTCCTGTTTCTGCGGTCGACGTTTATGTCGGCGATTCGTTGAAAATTATTCTCGAAAATCTGTTTTGTTTGCTTCTTTGTGAGCTTGGGGTAGTAGAGAGTTAGATGTAGACGCGAACGAAATGCGTCGTCAATGGCTCCGACTCGGTTCATGGTGAGAAATAGGATTCCGGAGTTGTACTCGAGCATGCGCAGAAACACTAGGTTTATGTTAGCATCACAATAAATAAGGTATCGTGGAGATGTTTAGTCTGTTCGAAAGCTTAACTGAAACCAATTTATTTCTCTGTATATCTCTTTGCTATACGGAGTAAGTACCTGTGTCTTTCAAATCTCAAAAGGGAGTTGACCCACATCACGTTTGGCAAAGAACACATCTACTTTATCGAGCAAAGGTACACAACCACATCTATTTGCCAGCTTAAAGTGATTATCCATATTTCTTTCCAATTCTTGAGGCTCAACGCCAATGCCACCTATTTGCCAAGTGAATTCAGTATTTACTGTGTCACTATAATTTTTCCTAAAAGATAGAAAGGCAGGGGCTCGACTCACCGCAGGTGATAGGGTAAAGTGGCTTCTTAGCATGAGCAGCGACACATTCTGCAAATGGATTCATCTATCAGTAAAACTGATTCAGTATGCTCATTTGCTGGAGGATTTGCCTGGACTTACCGGCCGTAGAAGTCTTGCCAACTCCCGGGACCACGTGCAAGAGGATGACACATCCTTTTCCTTCAAAATTCTCAGCAGTGCTAACGAATCTTTCAATGAAATTCGAGTTACTCACCTTTCCCTTGCACCAAATCCAGTCCGACGTTGACGTCCTTGTTGGGGCTGATATTTTGTGTGTGGGTCTCTGCCATGGCTTGAACCATCTTTCGATGTCCCCGGGGAAGGACAAGATTCTCCCAATTATCGCTCTGCTCAACAGACCTGTGTTGCGCGAGATTCAGAACAGCTGTGTGTGAAATTATGTCAGCGACCCAAATTTGTGATTGGGTGCGTTGGGACAATTGTACTAACCCTATTTTCGATTCCTCGGAGCGAAGCCCGGTATTGCCCCTGGTAAGAGTGTGATGATTCCGTTATCCTCCATAAGTTTCTTTAACCATCCCACGCCGTCCTTATCTTGCTGATTCTTCTCGCTCTTATAATCTTCGAGTACGAGTTTGATCTTTGACTCAATCTTGCCCCGCTGCATTTTCTGTGATTCAATGTATACACTTGCCGTGCATCGATCTAGCACCGCCTATTATAGCAACCGGATTCCCAAAGAGTTTATAGGTCTGCACTCCTGAACCGCGCAACCAGAGAGATGCAATCGGTTTAAATTTTAGGACCTCAATGAACGCTTTATCCGTGCCGGACCCGCCTTCAAAGGCCAATTTTATGTCTATCACCACCGGGCTATTAATCTATGTCTCAAAATGTCAGATTAGTGACTATATCCTGTGCAAATAGATGTGGTCAGACTAACCTCTTCTCGACTTGGTCCAACGGTCAGCCCTTCGTACTGCAGGTGAGAAGCTCTCGTGGCATCAATAAACTTTTCGCCATTGTAAAGCAGCTTCTTGCGCAACTTATAGTGTGCGGGGTATGCCTGGAGATTATGAATATTCATTTCGCGCTCGTAGGGCTTGAAAACGAACACGTCCTGGACCGTACCAAATTCAACCCGTTGAAGTCTATGTAGAAGCCATACACGTAGAAATCTGTGTAGTTATTTCTAAATTTCCTTGAAATCTTTACCGTCTGCGTCAGTATACCTGCGAGAGCCTTAACGTTTGCCTTTATGTAGGATTTGCTAAATGGGCTGGCAGCGACCTCATCATCCTCATTCGTCATTTTAAATGCAGGAGCCATGGTTGTTACCAAAGGCATGCCTCCAGAAGTAGCCACCACTCGATAAGCTTGAGGCGTATACCTTCGAATTCAAGTATGTGCACTACCTTTGACATTTTCATATTCCTCTGTTGCTGCTTCGCGAAGCGGTCAATGGTGACATCGGTGTCGAGTAACATCCAGAGGTTCTCAAAGGCTACGTCATGCTCCTCCCCATTGCGAAGACGCTCATATAATTTGATTTGCTTGCCCATCAATTCATCGATGAAGGATAAGAAGGCTTGAAAGTGGAGAAGAGCTATAGGCCGGTCATAGGCTGGAATGCCGCCATTTCCACCGCTCTTGGCGGGTGCAAAGGGTAGAAGATCGCTTTCCTCGCGGTTTAATGTGGTAGCTGATGCCTCAGTTGAGCCATCCAAGGCTGTCCTAGTCTTTTCCACGCCTCCGATCATCACTCGACTGTATACTTATCGTCAACAAATAGGGTAGTCACGCATTTATGTCAACCTACCCGTAAAGACTCTTCAGCCTCTTCAAATGTTCTCTAACAGGGCCGAGATTTCTAATCAGTGGTTGGAAGGGTTTTCCAAATCGGATCAGGCGGTCACCGACGGCACTAGTGCTCAATTGTTTCTCAAAGAATAGAGCAATGGTCTCCGATGAGACACCAAAAGTCAAGATGTCAATATCATTAACTTTAGTTGGCGTGGAATCCGCCTGTTTAGTTGGCTCTGTCACGTCACCTTTGAATTTAGAGTATAGCACTCGGATGAGATGCTGAGTGTCGTGGTAGCACGTGAAAGTCCCCTTCTCGGTAACGTGAGATGCTGGATATGATCCATCCTCTTCCAGTTACGCTACCGAATTGAAGAACTTGACGAAAATTTCAATCATAGAATCGTCAATCTCAGAGGTCGACATGTTAGATGGCAGACTGCCAGTATCATCATCGTCCTCGTCCACTTCCTCGTTCTTAGCCTTTAGACTGGACTCCAATTGATCCATCCGCTTTTCCAAGACTATCAGATAGTCGGCGAATCCTTGCACGAGATTTGGGCCCTGGTTCCTCGTCTCATTTCCGGTGCTGATTCCCGATTTTTCCTTGTATGCATTGGATATTCGTGCAGGGGAATTTCGATCCAGAAGTACACTGGACAAAGGAGCAAAATCCAGGCTGGTTAAGGATTCTGTTTCGGATTTGGAGTCAGAAATAACTGATAGGGCTTCCTCTTTTCGTCCCTCGCTGTCCTTGTTAGTCGTGGCTACCCCTTCATCTCCTCTTGTATCTTCTAGCTTCACAGTATTTGTTTCGTTTTCCACAATTTTAGCTTCCAAGGCAGAGATATCATTAGTTTGTGGGACTGAAGATGCTTCAGTCGTCACGTCGGTGATTTCCCTTGAACCTCGACACATCTCTGGACTGTCTGGGTGGCTCATGTTATTAGAAGATATGACACCTGGAGTTATATCAGCCGCAGTCGAACTTTGTGCTTCAATTTAAAATTGAGTAATACCATTTTCAACTTCGATGGTTTCCATCTTACAAGAACCCTTGCCAGTGTGCAGTTGAGATTAGTCGAGAAAAGAAGAAGTTGAAAAAAACTGTGAGCTTGAAACTGAAGATTAAGAGCTTTGTAACGGTGAAAGCAGTGATGTTGCACTCTTTTGGAGTCAAGTAAAAGTCTGTCCACAAGACGGCACTGAATTGTGTCACAAAACTACAAGGACTGAGAGGCGAAGTGACCTCACGTGATTCTCCGGGATGTTTTGTCCACTTTGTGTGAGGCTCTGAATGCTCTGCGCCTATTCCGCGGTCTAATTACGACTGCAGCTGGCCGATTGAATGTTGATGGTTGAGTGGCGACCCCTCATTTTGAACTCCACGTCATTAATACCCAATACTACTTGCTGATCTTTCTGTTATCGCTTCACAATGCTATTGGTCGCACGCAATAGCCGGCCTACAAATATAGTCTGTCCGATCCACAGCTACTGGCTTGTGAAAAAGTACAGTATAACCTATATTCAGTTCTTATATTCTGGGCGAGGTGCAAACACGCCGAAACACGTCGCATACCGACGTGGAGTTCAGTCCTATATAAACTCAGCTACTTCAAGGTCAAGGCTTTTCTTTCCTATTTCCGGGGTGAGAGAATCAGCAGGGTGAATCAATCCGCTTTAACGATCTATCCAATCATAAAGCCCTATTCAATAAGGTGAATGGTGACTAAATGACTAGATAGTAGCTATCTTCTGCATATTGGCGCACCTGGATCACTAGCATTTGAAACCAGTCATTGGCCGTTGTATTCGTTATCTCAGGAAATCTTCTTTTTGGTTTAAAATCAGTCATCTAAGGTTATCGGATAATCGAAGAAATGCTCAGGTAAAAGAAGTAGTTCCCTTCCCCTGGAATCTATATATACCAAAGGTAGAATAAGGAGTGGTCCCTCCGCAATAACATCACGACGTGTACTGTATTAACAAAGGTTTATCCTTGAGAATAGCACTTGGTAACTTCTTTTAAATCCCACTTCCTATCTTCAACTCCATGTTCTCGGAGAACCGCTCATTATCCGATTTCCTCTAGGAAACCGCAGAGAAATAGCAAGAGCCTGGTACCATGACAATTGTGCGGAGGTGAAAGAAGGGTTCTTATTCTTTGCCCCTGGTTATCTACTCCAAAATAAGGAGTTGCTCGCCGAGACACCGTCTCGATAGAAGTGCTAGCCATGGATCCTCAAGAAGTTCATCCAGAGCTGCTACCGGAAAGTAAAAGACAACAAAGGCGTCATCGAAGGGATCCTCACTATGATTCCTGACGACATCTATGGTTCGGTGATCTCTGGAGAATTAACCTTGATTTTGGCTGCAAGTCTATGATTTCCAATACGCGTTCTAGGCATGATTTGCCGTGTAAATAATAGCGTGACGCTTATCGCGGACGAAAATAGAGGTGAGTCTCCTAGTTTCAATCCTTTCTGTTTCGGATTTTCCCTAACCCTGACTCCGGTAGAGATAAAGGATATGATGGTTACTTCCTGGAGGCACTTGGCAACAGAACTTGACTTGAATGGAAGCAAGACTCATAGGATACTCATTTCCTCAGTAAAAGACGCCTTCTATCATCTATGCGCTTGCAATCCGATTTTAAATGCTAAAACTAGTAGATTTAAAGTTCCCTATCCAATCCGGTTGCAATAGCATCTGCTAATAATCATCGATGACAGTGAATCATGAAGTAATAAAACTCCAACAACAAAATAATGCGATATTACTTTGTGTTCTAAAGCAGAAAAACACCAGTTTAGCGTCGAAATGGCTCAAAGAATTCAAGGGATCTGCTTACGACCCAAAGGTTGATATGAAAGACTGTCTCGAGCACGTAGCAGTACTTGACTCTGACGAGAAGAACATATATCAGTGGATCCTACACTTGGAGGAATATAACCAGTGGCTCCAAGAGGAGAAATCGAGCATCCTCGATATCGAACTCCAGACACCTCCCACTTCTTTGAACAATCCAGTCTCCTTCAATAGTGCGCTGGTCGCCACAACCCTCCGAAGCACAGATCAATTCCCGGTGCTCGCTTTCTTCTGTAGACATAGAAACCTCAAGTCTTCCTCGATGGATAACGCGAGCCCTGTCGCTCTCGTCAAGAGTCTGACCGGCCAACTTCTTAGGTTCATCGTTGAGCACCGGCCCTTCATAGACCTATCACCATTGGAAAACCAGAAGCTCTTTTTGAAAGCGAGGACGGATCTTAACAATGGACTCTTGCTGCTGGATACACTACTCTCGTCACTGCCAAGAGACGACATGGTTTTTCTTATTATTGATTCTCTCATACCTCAGGGGAAAAGGGGAGAAAAAGGTCATTGAAAAGCTAAAAACGATTTTTAGGAAGAGGGAAGATCTTGTCATAAAGGTGATGGTTACGGATGCGTTTGTTACCTCATATATCAAGAGAGTGAGGGTCATGTCGCTCTATGTTCCCGATGTGGTTAGTGGATGCGGCGTGATTAATGTGGTTGAGAGCAGATACGAAATTGCTAGTAAGACAAGGCGTCAACGAAACGCGAAAGAGGAAGATGAGAGGATTTCTGGATTCAAAGCTTGTAAATAAATAAATAAATTATCAATAATAAAAATTGTTATTTTTGACATAAAAGAGTGATTCAAAAGAGAAGTAATTCAAAAGTGAGGGTATTAGGACTTAGAAGTTCAATAAAACGCTCCAGACATAATTATATTAACTAAAACTTAACCATCAAGACATTGGCCCAAGACTTTGTAATTTAAGATTTAGAGCAATGATGAGTACAAACACAACCTTTAGATGATCAGGGCGTTGCAAATTGAACATGCCATATTCCCTAATTTCTGCAAATGCTGGCGTTTCAGACTGGGAGCCATCGCGGAGATACTGCTGGTACTCGATTGGAAATTCCCCAAGAACCAAAGAAAACAAGTTCTGGGCGCCGCACACCAGAGGTATGCTATTTCTTTTAGCACGTAATGATTAAGTGTTATGAAGATCTTACATTGTATTATGTTGAAGATGGCCATCGGTTGGTACACGTTGAGAAAACATAGCGATCATATGCGCAGCTTCTTGAGCTTGGACGCCGAAAGGTTTCTCTACGGTGTCGTGCCACGATTTCGCCTATATGACGGATTAATATTGAGATCGATGTGAGATTAGCATTGAACTCACTTCGATAGAGCAGTATGAATGATTGGAAACACGTCGCCAGGTCCCATCCTGATGTTCTTTGTGTACGAGAGTACCATCGTTTTTAGTAGAGTATTTGTGCGATGCTGCTTGAACGGTGATAGTGTCGTTTGTAACAGTCCACTCCAGTCGGAAAGGTGGGTCAGTCTCTTTCCTCGAAATCTCGATTACAGCGGAACAAAGCTCATATATACATGAGTTTGCAGTAATTTCTGACTTCGCTTGCTGATCATATGTTGACTGGTCGCTCTGGTCAGAAGGTAAGTATCCGGGAGATTGATCTGTCCGAGCTCTTTTGCTGGGATACTCTGCAGAGGAGGAAGATGACTCAGACGAAGGTGAAGGGGGGGGGCCGGGAGCATTGCTAGGCGCGGGCATTTGGAGTTCTGTTCGTGCCCTCAATACTCTTTGAGGACCAGGAGCAACGGGGGTCTCAAGTACTTGTGCTAAGAGCTTAACAAATGATGACAATGGTCCAGCAGATCGTGTAAGCTTTTCGTGTGTGAGATTACGCCAATTCGTGCCGAACAGCCGAAGAACAGACTGTAAACATTCATTCTCTTCAACACGCGCGCTTGCTTCCTCTTTGTATTCCTCAAGCCATAGTGGTATTCCGTAAATTGGCGCTCTACGCAACACTTGGAAGGTACCTATTTCTCGTATGCCCCAAGTGCTACCGGAGCCAACTCGGTCAGTCCTTTGTGATAATGAATCTTCCGGCCACGACGGAAACCTCTTAGAGTATTCAACTTTAGAGGCTGGAGTAGACATGATAACTTTGGCATAATGTGTGCGAATACTATCAACAAGATTAAGAGAGAAAGATGTGGTGGTTTGATTAAAAGAATTGGCCCCTTCTACAGATCCTCGTGCGGGGTCTCTCCACTTTTGATCTACGTGGCCGTTGCTGGCCTAATTGGGAAGCGGTAAAGATCGTAAATACAGGATCCCTGCGCTTAGTCATCCTTACTTGTCCTTTGAATAATTGTCGACTTGCCGACACCAAAACCTTGCTGTACGGGTAGCTTACCGCAATTTACCCGGTGTAGATTATTTCGAATAGGAAACAAAATATAATTATTAAATAATATCGTTTTTAAATATATTATAAAATAATATATATTATCAATTTATAAATATCAAAAAATATAAAGAATATATTTAAAAATCAAAAGATAATATTGAAATCTAGGATTCTGTAATATAATTAATAAAATAATTATCGAATATGATATTTGTATTAGAAATAAAATTTCCTATTATATTCCTTATAAATAGATGAATATTATCGAAATATTATCTATATTATAAAAATCAATATTATAGAACTTTATAGATTCATTATCAAAATCCAAGGATTCAACAATAAGAATAATATACAATTATCTTTTTATTATAATAAATAAACTAATGAAGTATCTGATACTTATATTATATCAAATAATATTAATTATAAAAATATTAATCTTTATATTTCTGAAAAAGATTATAATAATATATAAATTATCAAAGGAAATATTCTCTGATAAGAATAAACTTTTTATTTTGAAATTTTGAATTATTCTAATAACATTACTAAAAGTAAAAAGGAAAATGTCTATAATATTCTATTTATAAATTAATAAAGGAAATAAGAAAATAAATCAAATTGTTGAAATTTACTTCAAATATTATATAAATTATTAATAGAACAATTGAATAAAACTTTTACTTTTAATATAATTCGTATACAATAATTCAATATCAGAAATAATACAAATCATTTCGAATTATACTAATTATAAATACAAATTAATCATATATCATAAACTAAAGATTACAGAAATAAAAAACCAATCTACAATAATATAAATAAAAAGATTCAAAAAAGTTTATAAGGAAATAATAATAGAATTAAAATTCGTTATTGAAAGAAATATATATTATTATAATCAAAAATATAACCAAAAATTAATATTAAAAGAAAAAAATAAAGTTTATTTATTTCAGAAAAATATCAAAATAAAAAGATCTAATACAAAATTGAATTATAAGAAACTCGAATTATTCAAAATCAAGAAAGTTAAAGGATTTTTGAATTATAAATTGATATTATCGAAAAATATAAATATATATTTAATATTCTATATATCCTTATTCGAATTAATACCCCTAGAAATACCAAAAATTTCTGAAATAGAAATCATATTTACAAATCAAGATATTGAATATAAAATAAAAAAGATATTAGATTATAAATATATTAAAAACAAAATCAAATATTTAATAAAATAAAAAGATTACTTCAACTCCAAAAACATATAAGAACTTGAAAAAGAAATTAAATATCTAAAGAAATTCCAGAAGTTTTATTAATAAAATCCAGATTTACCCAAAAGGAAAAAGAATTCATCATTTCCTATAAAGAAAAATTGAAAAAATCAAAATCGTTTATAAAAATTTTGTTGAGGTTGATAGAGTTAATTAATAATTGATCAAATTAATCAAATTGATCAGAATTAAATTGATTAAATTGATCAAATTGATCAAAAGGATTGAAGAAGATAATAAATATAAAAAATACAACAATTTCTTATTTCTTTTCTTTTCTTTTCTTTTTTTCTAAAACATCGAATTCATTTATAAAATTCAAATTAGTTATAATCATTTTCTATTTTCGTTTATAAAAAAACTTTTGTTATTTACTAAAATAAAGAATTCTTAATATCATTTTATCCTTTTTAATATCTATATATTCGATTTGAATATCAATAACTTTCTAATCAAAAACAAAGAACATTTTGTTCAATTCACGAATATTATATAATTTATTGAAAATAATACAACAATCACAATAACAATACTTAATATCGTAAAGAGAAATATATTCAATATCAACATTTTTATATCGAATATAAAGAATCATCTTTTTTTCAATCAAATTGATTTTTTACTTAAAAGCTTTATAATCGATATAAAATTGAAAACGAACAAATAGTATAATAAAAAAGAAGTATTTAAAATAAATTATATAAAGAATAATATTCTTTTCAAACTTTATAAACGATCAAGGATGATATTTAATTAAAATGGGGATAATATTATGATTTATAATTTTCATTATAATAATATTATTGATATCGATGATTTATATATCAACTACAAAGAGAGTATAATTTAATCATTACTTTCGAGGGTCCTGATTATCTAAGCCTAGTATAACGATCTGGTCGAGGCAGCGGCTGTCTAAGGTTTTCGTCTAATTGGTAGTTGTAGGTTAAGGTTAATAATCACTGGTTATCCATTCGAAAATGAATATATTATTAGATCAATTAGAATATAGATAAATTAATTGATAATTAAATTGAATACAAAGCTTTTAAATTATAAAACTATTCTGATTATATACTAATAAATATAAAAGAGCTTTGTAAAACTTTAAAACTTCAAAAAGCTTCTAAAGTTTTAAAAGCTTTCGAAGCTCCCAAAGCTCCTTATCATATAATTAGAATCAGATTATATATCCAAGCTTGTTAAAGATGAAGAGATTATATAAAACGATTACTATACAAATTTATATACAAATCGTTTTGCTTTTCGATAAGGCCTAAACTTATATAAATACATTGACTACTGCCCCTCAATATATCTATTACGATTCACGGTTTTCTTTATAATAGTATTATTGACATCGATGATTTATATACCGATTATAAGAGGGGTGTGATTTAACCATTGTTTTCGGGGGTCCTGATTACCTAAACCTAGGATTCTAGGATTCCTAGGATAAGTATCTTAGACAATCATAATAGAATAAAACAAGTGTCCTATCTAATTGATTGTAATAAGATTATCATTTTAAAGGATATCATATTCTAAAACTATAATTCCTAAAAAGAAAGCTTCTAAAACAAGTATTCCGGGAAAGGAAAGGCTTTGGGATATAAGAGGCCTCAGAATCAATCATATGATGTGCTAGCTCTGTTAGCCTAGTTAGTAGAGTTAGCATCACAGGAATGCTAACCGTGTTAGCCCAGCTAATATAACTAGCATAGGAAAAGAGATTAGTATATAATCAGAATAAGTTTTATAGTTTAGGAGCTTCATATTCAACTTAATTATCAATTAGTTTATTTATATTCCAATTGATCTAATAACATATTCATCTTCGAATAGATAACCAGTGATTATTAATCTTAACCTACAACTATCAACCAGACGAAACCCTGAGACAGCCGCTGCCTCAACCAGATCGTTACAATATCCTTATCTTAATCGTAAATCGTGACACCTAGGACCCTAGGATTTTTAGAATAAATATTTTAAACAATTATAATAGAATAAAACAAATATTCTATCTAATTAATTATAATAAAATTATCATTTTAAAAGATATTATATTCTAAAACTATAATTTTTGAAAAGAAAGCTTTTGAGATAAATGTTTCAGGAAAGAAAAGGCCTTAGTGTAACGATCTGATAGAGGCAGCGGCTGCCTCAGGTTTTCGTATGATTGATAGTTGTAGATTAAAATTAATAATTATTGATTATCTATTCGAAGATGAATATGTTATTAGATCAATTGGAATATAGATAAACTAATTGATAATTAAATTGAATACAAAGTTTTTAAATTATGAAACTATTTTAATTATATATTAATCTATTTTAGAAGCCTTTAAAAGTATAGACTTCTATAAACTCCTTGAAGTTCTTAAAAGTATAAACTTCTCGAAGCTTTATTATATAATTAAAATCAGATTATATATCCAAGCTTATTAAAAGTAAGAAGACTATATGAAACAATTATTATACAAATTCGTATACAAATTGTTTTGCTTTTCAAGAAGGTCCAAGCTCATAAGGACAGGTTGATTGTTGCCTTATAACACTTTATAAAATGATTTTGTAACACTTAGAATATAAAAGGCTTCAAGATCAATTATATAATATATTAACTTTGTTAATCAATTAATAGAACTAGTATTATAGAAAATGTTAATTATATTAATTAATTAGTATAATTAATATAAAAAAAAAGATTAATATATAATCAAAATAGTTTTATAATTTAAAGATTTTATATTTAACTTAGTTATTAATTAATTTATCTATATTCCAATTGATCTAATAATATATTCATTTTCGAATAAATAATTAATAATTATTAACTTTAATTTATAATTATTAATTATACAAAAATCTGAGGCAGTCATTACCTCTACCAGATTATTATACTTTGAACATTATATAATTAAATTATATATAATACAATAACTTCTAATTAATAATTTATTGAATCGTTTTCATTCAATCCAATTAGAGCCTCTGTTCAGGTTATTATTATTATAAAATACAGATAAGTGATTCAGATATCTATTTTTGATTTATTCTATAAAGATTGTAATAAATATCAAGTTTTTATTATACAAGTTGATTTTTATTATATCTTTAACAAATAACTTTTTTTGATTCTTATATAAAGAATTTTATAATTAATCTTTTTTTTCTAAGGAATTGTATTTAATTAAATTAAATTATTTTTCAATGATTTAATAATCAAGATTACCGATGATTATGTAACGATCTGATAGAGGCAGCGGCTGTCTCAGGTTTTCGTATGGTTGGTAGTTGTAGGTTAAGGCTAATAATCATTGATTATCTATTTGAAGGTGAATATGTTATTAGATCAATTGGAATGTAGGTAAACTAATTAATAATTAAATTGAGTACGAAGTTTTTAAATTATGAAACTATTCTGATTATATATTAATCTCTTTTTCTATGCTAGTTATACTAACTGGTTAGCATGGCTAGTATTCCTGTGATGTTAGCTCTACTAGTTGACTAGTAGGGTTAATATATTATATAATTAATCCTGAGGCCTTTTATATCCCAAAGTCTTTCTTTTCCTGGAATATTTATCCTAGAAGCTTTCCCTTTAGGAATTATAACTTTAAGATATAATATCCTTTAAGGTGATAGTCTTATTATAATTAAT